CCAGCGCTATTCCGACCCTGTTACCCGGTAATCCGTTGCTAGCGAGCATGAGATGCCCTGTTTTCCTCGCCCGCGCCCGCGCCCGCGCCCTAACTTTCAAGTCAACTGAGAGCCATCTCATCCGCGCGGGCAAGCCCAGCGCTACGAGATAACTAAGTTACGTCTGGACGGCACGTCCCTTCTCCCAGAGTCAAAACCTCGTCTGACGACCTCGCGAGTCTACTTCGCGCCTGCGATTGGGCCGCTGCGCATGGAGGAAAAACGAATCAGAGTTGCGCCGTTTTCTTGGTTTCTAGAAGGCAGCTGTCAAACCCCAGATCAAGAGACGATACGATCCAGGACGTGCAGACATAAAAGCAAAACTCTGCCCATGAAAGCAACGATCCCCCTGAGAAGTGTCCTGCACGGGACAGCGAGTGGCTGCTGGCACGCTGCCCCCCCGGAACAGAGGCACTTGCTGTAACTTACCCCACGAGCAGTGGTCGGCCAGACTCCCAGTCATTGATCTGGCCATTCTTTCACGCGGTGCTGGGTTTCTTCTGCCTGGTGAATTCGACGTCTGTGGCCTCGCGACCGCCACAGACGAAAAGTGCAACTTATTACGTTAGGGTGCGGCACGGCCCATACAGCACTGTGCGTCTTCAGCTCTCTGCAGCACGCCTAGTGCTGCTATAGTGCAATTATAGCGCACAACAAAAGCCCTGGAGGTGCCACTTCGGGACTGCACCAGGGCTTTTCCACTTCCATTCTCTATCTGTGCACAAGGAGCCAGAAATCTGCGAGATCTGAGGACTCTGGGAAACGGGTGAGGGGGGAAGATTCTTGAGTATTGTTCCCCGAGTCCTGGTGACATGAAGGATACGGATACGAAGACGTCCTTTACCTTGTGCCGGTGTGCTCTCTGTCACTGCAGCCAAGTACTCAAGTTATTGGCGAGCTGGGGATTCCATCGGTGTGGTGGCCCGCTGAAAAAGTATGTAACTTGATGGGTGCACAGGGCAACGCGACTAGCTGCCGGTAACTAAACCCTGCCGATCCCACCGACTAGGTTGCATGGGTTGGTTGGTGGTTGATTGGTGGTTGGTTGGCTGGTTTTGCGATCACGGCAGCACCGTCAATAGCTTCATCTGGATTTCTCATCTCCCGTTCTGCTCAACGGCCTCGAAGAGCACGCGCCTGAACCAGGAAAACTGTTGACCACGTAGTCAAAATCTCGGCCAAAGCCCGACGCTGCAGGAATATCGTAGCCACGGCCTCTCTTGGGGCAACCCGCCAGCCTCGCCGGCAGGGATCCTTCCTCACCACCATATTTCGCCAGCCTCGCCAATACTACGATCTACAGGATCTCCTGGTATATCGTCGACACAATCCCTCCGTGGACCAGTCAGGATACCACACTGCCGTTACCGCCTTCATCACTCCGTCCCAGCCTCAAGGCAGAGGGACAAGGCATCCTGGCATCTTGCCACGGTTGCAGGGTCGCTAACCTACAGTAGACCGACAACCGCCTCAGCTCGTCGTCGTCCACCATATCCTCCGATATCGTGGTGCCGACCACGTTGCGGTCTCCGGCGGTATTAATTAACTTTTCTGTTGCTGGACGCTTGCTTGCAGCCTCTGCGCGGATTGGAGGTCGCACCACGTGGTAATCTGGTCTACAAAGTGCCAAGATGTTCGCATACGAGTTACACCCAAGCTCGGGTCCCATTCCGGTGGATGGGGTCTGGACAAGGCCTGTCAACCGACTTTGGCCAAAGGGGTGATCATTTAGATGGTTGTTACCAAGCTAGACCACTATAAGCCGTCGCCAAACCATCGGTAACAGGCCCCAGGCATCTTTGAAGGTGCATCGTCACCCGGATAGCTATAGCAGGTACGAGTACTTCTACTCCGTATGTACACCCTTTGCAGTTGTTTGCACCCATCTCCATTAGTGCAAGGGCGTTATTTCAGGTAGCCGCCTGCCCACACCAGATCTGGGAATTTTACATCCCTGGTACATATCAAGTGACCCCACCTTGTGCGCAGTGGATGCATCAATCGTGGGCACTTCGTCTGCTCGGAAAATCGGCCTCTCCTGCGTTGAGCTTACTGAACGGAGAGCGCGTCGCCAGAAAAGAAATCAAGAAAACGATTCGACTGCCTAGTTAGATGGGTCGGCATGGCATTCCATTCCTAGCTGGAGCCGACTTGCTCATTGTTTCAAGTCCTGAGTCTTGCTGTGCGGAGCCTCATGCAGACCGTGATGCTGCAAGCTAGTGGGGTGCTCAACCGAGTTGGATGACTTCAAGACATACATAACGTTGCGGCCACTGAGACAGGGCATGCTTCTGTAAGAAGATGACATCCAACTGTTTGTTCAGCGCGAGTGTTGTTCAATGCTCCCACAACCTTGACTGGTTTGCCCATTTCCGCATCCGCGGACCTAACTACCAGCTAACTTGCCTAGCTCACCGGTCCGCCGGCTCCCTTGGTTTATGTGATCAACTGCCCGCCCCTCATTACGAGAACCCCTATTTTTCCAATAGTTCCGAGAATCGTCATCGGTGGTTTGTCGACCTTCTCCATCGTACTCGGCACCAAACCAATCAAACAAGCTGCGTTAGCCTGCCCGGCTACCAAGGCAAGAAATGCTCACTGCATCAACTAGATAGATCACCCTGCACAACATTTAGACGAAAGCTAATTGCAGCGCGACATGCTGTGGGCTGTCGCTGTGCGTCAGATGTGACGGCGTCCTCTGCACCCGCATGGCGCGGGAGCGGGATGGTCAGTCGTCTTTCATTCCAGGTGCAAATTAACGATACATCTACTCGCGACGCGCCCGCCGTCGCCGGGATCCAACAAAATCCCCTTTTGACCAGAATACCCACTGGGCTATGTCATCCCGAAGATCAATTCTGTGTTCTAGGGCATCTTCTCGAAGCCCCAGCTCTGGGTCCTTCTCAGCTCCCCCTGAACGAATACCCTGTTGCAAGCCAGGGCGAGGCCGCCAATTGGCCCCGACGATGTCATGAACCCCTAAATACTGTCCGCTATTGGATCCGGTTCCGCGAATCAGAGACCTCCCCTCGGGTCTTAAACTACGCCTAACGATGCAAGGTACCATCAGACTGGAACCTCATCTCACTGTTACTCCATTGTCTTTCCGCTGCTTAGGGGAGACGGACAGAAAAATAGATGTCTTCATGTCATTGCAGAGCCGCTCTGAGGTCATTTTCACACCGCTCGACGCGTCTAGCTAGTATGGTCCCCAGTCGCACGCTCTCGCTCTCGCTCATACGAGACCCGCAAGTTGACAGGGTCCCGCAGCGCGACAGCGCGACCGGATCCGTCCAATACTAATTGCCAATCAGGCTGAACCAGGAACCTGACTGTTTGGAGTCTGGACACCTGTAGATGATTTGATCTGGGCGCGCCCACGCCAGCAGACGGTTCTCACATCCGCCAGCCGCGAGCCCACAGCCACACTCCAGATAGGGGGGATGACCTCAACGGCACCAGGGGCATGTTGGGCCTATTGGTATCTTGGCCCGCCTTCAGCTAATTGTTCGCGGCCCATCTAACAGAGTCACCGTATTCTACCGGAGATGCTGGCGTCTGTGTGTCCGTTTATCCAAGACAAAAGTGATTACCGTGTTTGAGATCAACCGTCCCATCTCTAGAAGCCAGCCATGTGCGCATCCAACGGTCGCGTGCCGCCACGCCACGCCACGGCAGACGTCACGCGAGGCGAGTCGCGACGGCTGCTTTAGACACTTTGATGACTTAGTCGCAACTACACAGTTGCCACGGTCTATACGGCGCCAACTGGGCTGTAAACTGCCTAAAATAAAGTGCTGCCGACACTTCATGTATCAGACTGACACTCGCCTATTCCAGGTCATCGACAAAGTTGGCTTGCCTAACATACGATTGCGCCGGGAATCTTCGTCCATATATGTATGTCTGTACACGCGTCTGGTGTCTGTTGTGCCTGTTCGTGCCGAGCCAATCGGCTAATCACCATCTGTGTACTACTTTGTGATCCCGCGGCTGATAGTGTCTGAGGGAAATGTCTGGGAGGTTTGCGCATGGTTCCTCAAATCTCTGCTTACCATGTCCTGCAGTTCTGACCACTAGATCGGATGTGAGGTAGCCCTCGTCGACCTTCTGGTGCTCCTCGTGGTCTATGGGTATTACCCGCGCTGGCATGGTCACGAGCAGGATTGGTTAGTTATCTGCGACTTTGAAACGCACGCAAGGCCCGCCAACACCCTACGCCCCCCCCCCCCCCCCCCCCCCTTGTTTCTCTCTTGGACCTTTCCCCAGTCTGGTATCCGACACGTCGACTACGTTATTGTTTGTTTTGCGACTAATCTGTGCCTAATAATGACATTGTTATGAAACCGAGACATTCGACACTGAGTTGTCAGAGCAATGTTTGAGACATGGGCGCAGAGACGCCTAAGTCATCATGAGGCTCCAAGCAGGATTCGTTCAACTTCATATTGAGGGTCCAGAATCCTAGATTTCCCCGAGAATGGAAGGTTTCACTTTGTGACGTGTCTGACATAGCTGCAAAAATGGTAACTTCTAGTCATACCCTAGATGCGCTGGCCGGACAACTTCGAACCGCAACGTGATAAGCACCTCTATTAGAGATGTTCTTGCGTAACACGTGGACACAACTTTCACATCATGGGACATGTTTCTCAGGAGTGTGGATCTATTGCCTTTGGACGTGAGCCTAGTGACTATATTTGATTGGTTTGACGGTCTCAACTTTTTATGCTGAAAATCTTAATATAGTGATAAAGACTGAATTTTGGGATGGCATCAAACCATTTGATCGAAAATCTCCCCCATAGCTTGTAGACACAACAGTGATGTTCAACGAAATTTGGGTTACTGATAAGCTCTCCACGTAATGAAAGCCGCGTTATACATGATGGAAGATAATAGACGTGAACTGGCTCTGCACAATAGCATACGACACTAGCAGCAATACATCTCGCGCATTATTTACCCTTCCCACTGTTCTGTTTCTTCCATGCTTCCTCCATCTCCTGGACCTCCCGGTTAGTCTTCTCAATCTGTGATCTTGCGCCAGGCCACGGCACCCTTCCACGGTTTGTGTCAAACAGGCGGTAGACTGCAGGGACATTCACGCCGTCCATGAGCAAGTTATAGAATCGCCTATCGCTCCACCATAGGTTCCAAGCCTCAGCATTGAAGTTGCCAAGGCGCTCTGTGACGCCCGTGCCGGCCATCTTATTCAACCAATCGTACGTATTTCGAACATCAACCCGAATCCCGGGATGTGGGACCCGGTCATTCTTGAGCGCACTCGTGATGAACCTGTAGTGGGCGTCGATGTCTTGCCGCATCTCCTTGGCCGTTGGGAGAGGTGCATTGCCGCCCCAGATGTTGGCCAAGGCCATCGTTATCAGATCGTAAAACACAAACGACGGGCTGAAAGCAACCACATGGCCTAGAAAGGCAAGCGATTCTGGATACTGCTCGGAAATGAAGCCGTGATACAGACGTGAGAAGGGGTTGTTCTCTTCGAAATGCGGTGCTGCTCGAATCTCTCGGTACTGATCCGGCGCCTTGGTGGGATCAATTGGGTTTCCGGCACCGGCAACCAGGGAGAAGCTGTAGTGATACCCAGAGCAAATTACGATGCAGTCCAGGTCATCAACCACAGTGCCATCTGTGAAGGTGACCGAGCGTCCCCCGCTTATTTCCCGGACCCCCATGACAGATTGTACACTGCCATCTCGGAGGTTATATGCAAGGTCGTCGCTAAATACGGGAAGACGATGAATCATAGGTGCAGTGGGCGCGGCGCGAGGCTTCGAGAACGACGGGTGTTCAGCAAGCCACGGATAGGCCTTCATCTGTGCTCTGTGCATTGACTTAGCCATCAGGGCCAGACCGCCTTGGGGCCACCAGCTCAAGCAGAATCTCAAGATATTGCCCAAGCGTCTGGACAGGGAGTGATCAAATGCCTTGCCGTCCGTCATTTTGGGCATCTACATCAACTTGAATCAGTACGCTTCCACTTGTTAATGACACTTCCGTGGACGCACCAAGTATGTCTGGCCTCGATGGCTGAGGTAGATTCTCGCCGCTCCGGCTTTCTTCAAGAAAGTGGTCGTGTCTACGCCGGTTGCTCCAATACCGACGACCAAGATGTTCTTCCCCGTGTATCTATACGGATCCTTGAATTCCCGCGAGTGGATGATTTCTCCGATGAACCTGTCTTGGCCTGGGAAGCTGACCGTGTTCTTTTTGTTGAGCATCCCAGTTGCCATGACTATGCGATCAAACTCCTGGCACTCGACCGGGCTAAGCTCGTTGTCTGATATTGTCTGCGTGGAAACCTTCCATTTGCCAGTGACCTCGTCTCGTTCAAATTGATCAACCTTGGTTCCGAAATGAATGTGTGAGACAAGCCCGAAATGTTTTGCGTATGACTCCAAATAGTTCTCAATGCTTCTTGCGCTTGGGTGCAATTCAACGTCTGAATGCTGTTAAGAAATAATTCCTCAGCCATCTTATCTTCCCAGTTTCACAACTCACCATCGGCGAAGGGAAAATCGGTGAAGCAATTCTATGCCAAGTTAGAACCAAAATGTAGTTCACGAGGTGGTTAGCTTACCGTATGCTTAGATATATTTGCTGTGGTCAACGTAGTCGCTGTCACTTGATCAATCTTCTCTGATACATGCCAATTCCCACCGAGATAGTCATTGCGCTCCAGTGCTGTTACTTCCAGGCCCTGCTCCTTCAGGTTCTTCAAAGCAAGCAAGCCAAGCACACCGGTTCCGATGATACATACCCGGCTGCCGATAGCGGGTTTGGGATTTGAGGCCATCGTTGGGATTAGAAGGGAAGCAAATAGAGGCTGTAGGAAAGTGCGTGCAATATTTCGATGGTAGATACCAAATTCAACCTGTCTCAGACTCGGAAGCCTATGGATTGACTTGGCTTTGACTGTAACTATGGTAAGCGGGTTACAATTTAACATCGGGGAGACACCGATGATATACAGTCGCTGTTGGCTACGCCAAATGGTCTCCCTTACATGCTACTTTGATGCATGAGCGACCCAACTGCAGCCAGTGTATGAGCTGCTTGTACAGGCGGCATGCGAGGCAAGATTCTAGTGCCTGTCGCGCATGTAAGGGGCTAAAATTCAACCCGGAAACCCCGGGTCTTGGGCGGTTATCTAGCTACAAGTGCAGAATTTCAATCTACTTACCCCATTGTCAGTTCGTATTATACAACTACCAGCATGGAATATGGTAAGCACTTGCGGTACATTTACATCTACAAAGCCAAAAGCAGGTATGAGAGATTATAATAGAAAACTTGAATATAAAACCAGCTAGATGCGTGGATGGTTCAAAGGTTGAGGTATAAATTTCGGCTTTGACCTGTGTCTGTCTAGATTCTTATGTCACCTCATCTGGCAAATATGAGAGCTGCTCTGATGACGTAGCTGTCAAGCTCCTGGATGAAGCAGACGTTCATCCTTGAGCGGAGAGCAACTTCGAGCAACTTTAGATCTGCACAGCAACAATTCAGTAAAAACTACAGAGTCAAAACACTAGGACTTCTTCGCTATGCCATGAACGTTAATCTTCTTGAGGACAATGGAGCACTATCGGAGAATCCTGATTCTCAAGATAAACCAAGTTGGTCACGGTTATAGCATATTCATGTCCTTGCTCAGGCCATATCATATTCATACGTCATTTGATTGAACAAGACTTATACGAATTGAGTAGTACTACTATAAAGACGCTGATGGGTATATTACATTATGAAACATATCCTGCTTTCACATATATTTGAAAGCAATACCCTCCGCCTTCTCATACGCGTAAGGAACACTCGGGGTGGTCCAGTGCGGCGAGCTCTTGGCATCGCTCAAGGTCGCAACCGGCTTCAAGATACTGAGTCTCTTGCCATCGAAGGCACTGTTCTCGAAGCTCTGGAACCAACCACTCTTCTCCTCGAGGTGGCCTCCAAGGACGCGCTTCCAGCCATCCCAGACGGTGACAAGCAGATCCAAAACGTGGTGTGAACCACGCATCTCAGCCCACTGGAATCGGTCGGCGCACTTGGCCACAACCTCCGGCGGGTAGAGACCAACCTCGGGCTTCAGGGCAAAGGTGTTGACGGCAGTGAGCGAAGAGTGGACGGCGTAGCTGCCACCCTTGGTGGCGCGGTCGCGGAGGGCGAGCAGGGTACTAACGGCACCCAGAACACCGGTGGTCATGTCGCTGATGGGCAGCGAAGGCAGAACGGCCTCGTTGTTAGGCAGCTTGAGAGACCGGCCAGTGACGAAGGCGGCGCCAGAGGCGGCGTCTGCGATCTGCTGCCAGCCGGGGCGCTCAGCGTAGTATCCGTCGGGTCCGTAGCAGTTCTCGGATACGTAGACGATTCCGCGGCCACGCTCGCCGGCGAGCTTCAGGATATCATTCAGGCCCAATCCGTACTTGGGCATCTTGTTCATGCGGAAACCCTGGATGAAGACATCCGCCTCGGCGAGCAACGAGTGCAGGATCTTGGCCTCCTCAGGCTTGCGCAGGTCAATGGCAATGGTGCGCTTGCCGGCGTTCAGCGTCAATTGCATGATGTTGATGTCGGGCAAGTGCGGCGGGTTGATGCGGATGACCTCGGCACCGAAGCTGGCCAGCATAGTACCAATTTGAGGTCCAGCAATAACACGGGTCATCTCGACAACCTTGATCCCAGCCAAGGGGCGCTTGTCGGAGGGATCGAGCGGCGCGAAGGCAACGGGCGGCGTGGGAATGGCTTGAGGCTGGGCCTTGACATTGACAAAGGGGTGTGCAGCCAGCGACTTGCCCATCTCGCTCTCGTTCCATTGCTTGGGGCTGAAGCAAATGCTGCCACAGAATCCGTTCAGGAGGTTGTTGAACTCGAGCTTCTCAGGGGTGAGGTTGCTGGTGTGCCTGGCGATATGCGCAGCAGCGTCCTCGTTCGACGCAATTGGTTCAGACGGGTCAACACCAATAGACTTGAGAACTGGAGTGGCGTCCATTGAGCCATGTAGCGAGTACCAGACCTTGGGGTCTGAAGTAGGATAGAGACCAGTCGCGCGGTACTTCAAGGCGGTATCGACCCAACCCTGTTCCCAGTGAGGCAGCAGCTTCTTGAGCTTGCCCGACTTCACTGTAGAAACGACATCCTCTCCATCAACGAAAGCAGTGGCGATGCAACCAAACCAGAAGGCTGCGTGGGTCGTGTTGACAGTAATCTGGCGCTCCTTGTTCTCAGCACCACGAAGGGTGAGGATCTCGTCTGCGATGACACCTGCCATGGCATGTAAAGCAGCAGCCACCGGCACGGCCTTGATAGGGCCTGGAATGACGGGAAACTCCTCTCCCACGAACTTGACTTTGGACAAGAGACTCTCATCCTGCGTGAAACCCGGTGTTTGCGAAGCAATCAGTCTGAAGATGCGCTCTGTATCCTGCTGCACTGGCACGAAGCCACGGTCGGTGTGAGTGCCGGGTCCGTAGACATCAGGGAGTCTCGGCTCCAGCGACGACATGGTTGAGGATTTGGGTAAAATGTGGTAGATCAAAAGTATTAAGATGTATAAGGGATTGCGTCTTGGTAGGTAGTATATGGCAAGTGACAAGCGGTGATGGTAAGATGGGCAGGCAGGAGGACAGAGAGAGGAGGATAGCCACTTGACTATATATTCTACCTGGCCGAGCACAACATCATAAAAGACAGAAAGATGGAGAAATACTTGTGGTTCCGGCCGAGTCTCGCGGCGACCGAAGTCGTCACGCAGTTCGGCCCTGTCGCATTACGTGCGTCCCCACATGTACCTACCTCTGAAACAAAGAACGAAATGCCGTGAGGCTATTGTATTTACAACGAGGATGGGAAGCTCGCGGAGAGACGAGCGCGAGGGGCGACATATGGCGTACTAGGGGGAGAGTAAGGTTGGCCGAGCTACTTGAATCGTTGGTCATTGTGCCCACAAAACTGCCTGCAAGTTTTGCGGTGAACGGTTCTGCTGCAGCCTTTCGTTATGCCGTTGGAATAGCGCCAATGCACACCGTCGCCTTGGTCGTCCAGACCATGCCTCACAAGCCTGGGCCAGACACAACACAGCTGCGGCTGGCGATAAACAATTGACAATGGAAACAGGTAGCCTCGCTGTACTTGTCGTTGGTCTGTCAACGGCACACTGCTCCGGGGCGGGAGCGGTGCCACTCGGGAAGAGAGGCCCACTCCAAGCGGCGCTGTTCCGCCCTAGAACTTTTCAGAGCTTCTCTCCGTACCTAAGTAGCGCTAACAGCTGCCCTTTTGGTAAGGCTGAACACTACATAGTAGGTATGGTACAGCAGGCTTCTGCTAGCAGCCGGCCGGCAATCGTGCTATAAGCTCCACGACAGCCAGGCTTATCCTTGTCGTACGTCCAACTAGTGCCGATCCAAGTGGCGGAAATAATGCCGCGGACCTCAACCAGACAGTCCTCAACGGCGTTTCAACAGAGATTGCACTGAATGCGCCAGCCATGAATCGGAATCGCGACTGAAGCGCGATGTCTTCCCGCTGGGGTTTGCATCCAAAATAGGAGGCATGGGTACGGGGCGGACCGGCCAGTATTACAGTGTACTTTGCCCCCACCTGCGGACAACGTCATGTTGAACGCCGAGCTTGTATCGACGGTGCGGCGACGCCGGCATGCCGATGAAGAAGATGATGCAGCCTTAAAACCTACCGTCCCCTCGGAGCCCGCTTTCTCAATAAAAGAAGACGATCCCGTCGGCAAAGCACGTCTTCAACTTACATAACCAATCGTTTGCCATAATCTTACAACTTGAACCTCAAACACTAGAAACACTCTATTCCTTTGATAACACTAGACTCGACCGAAGCCTAGCCAGTCTCAAACACATCGACAACAGCTTACCAACTATGTCGCACATTCAAAACATCACGATAATAGGGTCCGGGGCCATCGGTGCCTCATGGGCAGCCCTTTTCCTGGCGCAAGGTCTCACCGTCACAGCCTTCGACATCAACCCCGCTGCCGAGACATCCCTGAGGACATTGGTCCAGGGCGCCCTACCCGTCTTATCATCTATTGGGCTGGTCAAGAAACCAGATGTGAAGCCGGAGGATATCAAGTTCACCACGGACATGGCTGAGGCCCTACGAGACGCCGACTTTGTCCAGGAGAACGGACCCGAGCGACTCGACTTCAAGCGCAACCTGTTCAACGACATGGCGTCACACCTGAAACCGGAGGCGATCATTGCTACGAGTTCAAGTGGTCTGACGTGCTCCTCGATACAGGAAGGCATGGAGGCAGCAGCGAGACCACAGCGTTGCATTGTCGGACATCCCTTCAACCCTCCTCATCTGATCCCCTTGGTTGAGGTTGTCGGTGGTGGGCAGACCGACCCCGAGGTCATCGACAAGACCATGGACTTTTATAAGAGTATGGGCAAGAAGGCGATACATGTCAAGAAGGAGGTGGTCGGACATGTCGCAAACAGACTGCAGGCTGCCCTCATCCGCGAGGTGCTCTACGTGCTGCAGGAGGGTGTATGCGAAGTCAGTGATATTGACGACGCTGTATCATACGGCCCCGGCCTTCGATGGGGGATCATGGGTCCAAGTTTGTTGATGCACCTTGGGGGTGGAGAGCGGGGCATTGAGCACTTCGTGGATCATCTGCTCGGTCCCCTGCAAACATGGTATGCGCCAAAGGACCCCGTGGTGGACGAAGATCTGAAGAAGAAGTGGATCGACGGCACATGGAACCAGATCGGAGGCAGAAACTACCATGATCTGGCGAAGCAGCGCGACGAGGAGTTGGTAAGGTTGCTCAATGTCAGACAAGAGTGGGATTCCTTTGCACAGGAGGCGAAGGAGAAGCGGGATGTATAGGCATCATCCCCACTGCAACTTACCTTACTCTACAATATGGAAGCAGCGAGATACCACTTAATTTGAATACTATACATAAAAGTCCCAATGATCCCTCTTAAACTATTATGAGAAAAATGTGACATGTTAATCGGGCTGCCCAATTTCGATGATTGGTACTTCCGTACAACCCATACATGCCTACTACAAAGTTGCTAGCAATTGTTGCCTCTGACAGAACCAGAACATGGCTACGTTTGTAGATCACGAATGGATTGAGCCCTGGTGAGGTTGTCACCGTGACGTCAACTGCCTTGGTGTCCCCTGCGGCTGAAAAAGTCAAATAGGGCTGATTCTCCAATTCCCCAACGTGCGCAAATCAGGACGCAAATCAGGGGGCCGGCGTCGGGGATTCGGGGCGTCTCCGTGAGGCAACAGGCTGGAAAAGCCCTTGGCAATTCCGCGGTGGATCTATCCTGGACGCCGGCCCCGGCTCCACCCGCGTCGAGCGGAACTAGGTGCCTTAATAACTCGTGCACTGCTACAAAAGCACCGGACTTCTGAAAATTTCAGTGGGCCATGGTCTGGAATGCAGACGAAAACCCGCTGCGAGTCTTTCGCGCGAACCTCGCGCAAGTCCTTTTCAAGGCCGAGATGAGAAACCACACGACGCTTCCACTCTGTCCATGCACTTGTCTTCCGGCACCCGAGAGCGCCGCTTCGCCAGGCCAACGTAGCGTGGCGCAATATGCCTCAGTTACTTAAGAAGAATTCGCTTGCTGTCTCTCCTGTTGGATGTAATGTTTTGCCATTTTCACATAGTACATAATAATACCAGTTGCGGATACTTGACTTGTTCCATCAAGACCACCACCTAAACGGTCCACTAGTCATCGCAACTATACCACCATCAACTATACCATTGCCAACGAAACCAATATCAGCCATACCCACTACTGTTAGAATGGGCTCCCTATCGTTACAACGTCTATACATCTTGGACACAGACCTATCAAATATTCCCCAGCAGCGAGGCCGTATACTGTCATGCTACCCAGATGGCGGTGACCTACGGACTGTCATTGGGGACATGGCCACCATGCCCGACGGCATCACCATTGACCATGCAAAGGGCCATATGTACTGGACCAACATGGGCCAGACCTTCAAGCAGAACGATGGCTCCATCGAGCGTGCAAACCTAGACGGATCGGACAGGAGGACCATCGTCCCCTCGGGGACCGTCGGCGTCTTCACACCCAAGCAAATCACGCTTGCGCCCCAAAGCCGAAAGCTGTACTGGTGCGACAGGGAGGGCATGAAGGTCATGAGATGCAACCTAGACGGCTCCGATGTCGAAGTCTTGGTGTCGACGGGATCCACGGCAGAAGACCGCCTGGACCTCCTCAAGTGGTGTGTCGGTATTACCGTGGACGAGAGCAGGGGCTATTTCTACTGGACTCAGAAGGGCCACTCCAAGGGCTCCGAGGGCCGCATCTTCCGTGCCCGGATAGACGCGCCATCCGAGGTCGAGGTGGTCTTTGACAAGCTTCCGGAGCCCATCGACCTGGAGATCGACGAGGAGACCCAGACGCTCTACTGGACGGATCGGGGCGACCCGCCGTCGGGCAACTCGGTGAACCGCGCGTTCGTCGGCGCGGATGCCGACGCCAAGAGCGGCTTCCAGCGCGAGGTCATCGCGAGGCGCCTGCACGAGACTATTGGTCTCACGGTCGACAAGGCCAGCGGCGTGGCCTACGTCACCGACCTGTCGGGCGGTGTGTACGCCGTCAACATTGCGAAGAAGGAGAAGACGGTGCTGTTCCCCGAGCTCGGGGACCTCACCGGGATTGCATTGGCATGAGCATAGATAGAAAGATACCCATTAGAATTGAACATTTTCACTGTTACCAACGCAACAGAGTCCCGCCGTGCACTGTGTCCATGGATTTGACTGAAGTTAGTCTCTTGCTATAGGTGAATATCAGGATCTGACTCCTCGCTCGCCTCTCCAATCAATTATACCAAGAGTTCTGCTATGCAGCGGAACATCATTCACATCCAGGAGAAGATACAGGCAGCCAGTTGGCATAGACAAGTTGGCACAGATTCTTAGCCTCATCACCGTGGGACATCACATCGGTGGAAATGCTAGATCTTTCATAATCTCGTACACATGACACTAAAACACTACCAAGAGAACGCGACCTCCAGCACCCAGCGTCTCAGTAAGACCCATCGTACCAGCCCTGGCTGGCATACGAGCTGCCGAGCACGGTGGCCATGGAGACGGCGGACGACAGCTTCTTGGCCCAGCTGACGCGGGTGCCGGCGGCGCCGTCGCCCGAGTTGGCGTACTCGCCGTAGTAGACCTTGGACGTGTCGGTCGAGCTGTCCCAGACGGTCCACCCTTCGGTGCGCACCACGGAGCTCATGGCCGTGTTCTGGAAGACAACGCGTGCGTACGTCCGCCACGGCCGCCCCAGGTAGTACGTCCGGCTGCCCACGGACTCGCCCGACGCCGCCGCGATGTAGCAGTTGTTGAACAGGTAATACGACTTGTTGCTGTCCGAGTCCCGGCCGTTGGCTACCCGGTGGTGGAGTCTGTGTCAGCGCTTGCCCGTGCTGTGTTCGTATAACAACAAATAGGGGGTTGAGACAAAAGGTAAAAATGGGGGTCATGAATACTAATTAGGTGCCGTAGGGTTTAGTTAACACGTACCAGTAATGTAGTAACCGCCATTGCGGACCCGAATATCGACCTTCTCGAACCAGACCTGCGCTCGCTGGCCGAAGATAAAGTCCGTCGCACCTGTGATCTGGCAGTTCTTGTAGATCTGCTGGTCCTCATTGGCCAGGAGGGTGTCCTGGAAGCCGTAGAACGAGCAGCCGTAGTAGCCACCGGACCCCTGAGCACTGAGGGCGATAGCCTGAGAGCCCTTGCCGTCTTAGAAACACAAGCGAGTTAGTTACGGTCTACCAAAATCGGGGGTTGGTTGGTTGGTATATGCTAGGAGAAATATAATCCAACTTACAGGAGTTAATCACGTTGACGTTGTACATCTTGAAGTTGTCCGAGTGCGCACGCACGGTGCCGCTGGCGTCGTTGTTGCCAGCGCTCTTGGCATCCTTGTTGTACGTGATGATCGCCTTGTTGTTGGCGTATGAGGTCGTGTCCGTGGTGTAGCCGTAGATGGTCAGCTTGGCGGCGCGGGAGGCGATGTAGACCTGCTCCGTGTAGGTGCCCTGGTTGATGAAGATGCACTGGTCGGCGGTGGACGACGTCGACAGCGAGTTGACCGCCGCCTGCACCGTCGTATACTGGCCGCCGGACTTGGCCACGTGCAGGCATCCGGACGGCGGGCTGGTGCGGCTCGCGGCCAGCACGGCGCTGGCGCTGGCGAGCAGGGTCAGGATCGTCTTCATCTTCAAACGGGGGTAAATCCGGGAAGGCTTTCTGTGCGAATGATTCCTTGCACTTACCTCGGACTGCTGAGACTATAGGAGCCATTGTCCTTTATAGGCGGCTATAGCTCCTCATGTGCGAAGGAAGCCCGGCAGAGGCTACGGAGCTGGGCCTCGGAGGATGCGCATCCGTCTGTGGCCCGGAGATTAAAAACCTGGAGAACCTGGGGTAACAGCGGGCGGCACCCTTGTTACATACCGGCCGCCCGATTCTGGTGATCGGCGGATAATTGAGGGCCTTCTTGGCAGACGGAAGGGCCTCGCACCTATTGGTGGATAAAGGCCAATTGGTGGCCCATGAGGTGCAAATACTGCTTTTCAGAGGCACGATAGTCTGGAAGTCAGCTCGTGATAAGTTGCCATTGGATAGCAACTGAAAAACAATTCAGTGCAAACACCAGTCTCTGGTCTTATATTTTCTTTCATCTCGTAATGCCCCTCATTTTGATGCGCCGCAAAAATCTGCAAAGTTCTAAACAGGTATCTATGCTCCAAATGTAACCACGTGCTCGTCAATCATTTCGCCGCCCGGCCAAAAAGGGGATCACGAAGCCTCCGCTGTGCCGTTCATCAGGCTGTCTTGGTGCTCCTGCTCGTATCCCTCGGTCTTCATGTCCTTAAGGCCCAGGTCCTCCTCTTCCTCGTCTGTTCTCTGGTAATCCTCGCTTGTCATTTGTGGATCCTCCTGGTCGGGGTCGACAAGCTTCTGGACGTAGCTGGATGCTAAGGGGTCTGTCAGAACGATGGTAAATTTCTTGTCGCCACTGATGGCCGCATCGAGGCCGCCGAAGAAGTCGGTCCACTTTGTCCGCTCTTCGCTGGCCAAGGAGTCACCGCCATCGCCGGCCTCGAAGATTTGACCGTGCAGGTCGTTTCGAACCTGGGTAAGAAGACCCTCAACAGTTGTGAAACGACCGCCCAGAGTTCCTGGATTGACCTGGAGACTCAGCTCGGGGCACTCGAGAGCACAACTTTCACTCTTGAGAATGTCTCGGGCCAAGTCAATGTTCGACTCGACCTTGAGGGTGATCTTCTTTCCTAGCTCGGGAATCTCGCCACCAGTCTTGACATCGTTGGACCGATATCCGCAGTCTTCGCATACGGTTGACATGAGAACCACAGCCTTGAAGTGGGGAATGTCGACCATCTTCATGTTGGTAGTACAAGGGCGCATACAGCCAGGGCATGTGGCCGGGAAGGCGTAGACCTGGTCCGGGATAATATCTTCGTCGGCAGTCGTCTGCGTAGCGTCGACGGCGGACTCGACATGGCCAAGGCCGAGAGCCTCGTTCTGGTCTGGTGTCCGAAGATAGTCTCGCTTGGCCCACTTGCCAACGCCGTCCTTCATATCAGGGGCGATCCAGGAGTTTCCTGACGGGTCGTCCACCGAGACTCTGAAGGGAAAGGCATCTCCAGCGAGCATGGCGCGGCCCTTCTCGATGATTTCGGCAACCTTGGGGTATACCTCTGGCATCTGTTCCTTCCGTGCCTCTTGACCAAGCTCCAGGTCATCAATCATGTTGGAGAGAATTCCCTCCATGTTTGTGAGCTGCCCACGCCCGGCGGGGACCTCAACGTCAAGCTCGATGAACTTGACAATGGCGGAGTCGGATTTGACGACTTGGCGGGCGAAGTCAGCCATGTCCGTTAGGCGCAGCTCGTATCGGGTGCCCTTGGGCTGGATAACGCCGGCGGATTGGATCTCGGAGTTGGAGAAGTGGCACTTGTCGCACGAGAAGGACATGACGATGACCTCGCGGAAGTAGGGGATCATGGTGAGCATCATGCGGGTGGTGCCCTGTACACGGGGAACAGACCCGTTAGCTGGGGCTCTCTATACCTAGGCAGATAGCGTTTATAGGGATCAAGTGGCATCAGATACATTCTCGTGGCAGTTCATGCAGAGAGACTCGATCTCCTCGACGACCTTGGCCTCGTCGTCGCCCTCTTGCCCCGCGCCATCAACGCCGTTGGTCGCGCCGTTGAGTTGGCTGGCCTTTGCGCCGATGGACTCGAAAAACTCGGGCGCAGAGGCGACGCTCTGCTCTACAGGAGCCGACATGTTGTTTGAGGAAGCGGAAACTGCGAGGAGGGTGGTGTTGTCTGTATTGTCGCAAAGTCGAGACGTCTCGTGTTGCTGTGACTGACGGCACCGTCTTGTTTGGGCCGCTCCAGAAAATTTTGGAGGGGCAATCAGTTGTGCATTAGCGGGGTCGCCCGTTATGACATAACCCACCCAGCCGCCCAGCCGCCCAGCCCGCTGAAGCCCCAAGCCAGCCGCCCCCGATACGATGGCCAGAGGACCCTGAATTAGTAAACCACCAGGCGACCAGGCGCCGCCAGAAGGTTCTCGCAGCCCAACTCCACAGAAGGGGTCTGCTCAAGGGCGGCCACGGCAAATCTGCCAAAGGGCGGCGGTATGGCGGGCAAGTGGGGTGGTGACTACCCCTCAGCGCGGTCTATATCCGTGGTGCAGTGTCACCGGGTTGCTGCACCGCATTTCTGTGACTGGGAATACCCATATGTAGTTACGTCGCCCGGCCTGAGTCACCCGCTGCCGTGGCCAACCGCCTACTACGACTTCTTCATGAAGTCCGTCAGGCTCAGGCCAAGCCCCATCTTGGGGCTTGATGACTGCGACTGCTGAAGCAAGGCTTGGAGGCCCTGTTTCCGGTTCTTTGCCCGTTTCTTGCTGCTTGCATTCGCCGAGGCCTTGGTGGGCTCGGGGTTGAGCAGAGGGGGAGGAAATACCGGAGCAGCTACTTCGGTGGGGACACGGCGCCTCTTGGGCCGGACCCGGCTGACGCGAGGCGCTGCTGGAACAGGCATCTTTGTGTAGCGGCCACATCGGGAGCAGGTCAGGATTTTGTGTGTCCCCGTGACTGATGGTGCCTGCTGCTGCTTCCGGGGTTGCGCTTTGGTTCCCTGCCCTGGCGAGGGCTTCTGCTGTTTCCGAGCCGCATTTGCAGCCTCCAGCTTGAGCGTGTCTCCCTTACCTGGCACCAGGATGTGACCGCAGCACCCACAGGCGTGTTGGCGCTGTTTTTCCGGCAAGGGCAGGTCGTTTTCAAACATCAGCGCATTGCGACGGCTCATGAGATGCGCCGAGGCCTCTGGAGCCGTGGCCGAGAGCAGATGAGCAGCATCAGTCAGGAATCCCAGACTGGCCGCAAGTGTGTCGCTTGCCATTTCCAACCCGCCAGAAAACGTGGGATGGGGTGCTGGAATGTCGAGCGTGGCACTAACGACGGGATGGCCGCGTGCTCTGCTGCCGCTGAGAGAGCTGCTTGAGCATTTTGCAACAATTTCAGGGTTGGCTGCTGGTCTGCCCGTCGCTGGTCTAAGCTCAGTTGCAGACCCACAATTTAGCCGTATCACTGAACCAAAATGCTGGGAAGTTCAACCTGGTTTGATAGTCGATCTTGCAGCTCCAGCTTTACATGGTGATGTCCCTTCGTAACCTGCCGGTGGAATTCTTGCCGCTGTTGACGGCCTTACCGGTTCTCTCAATATGGCACGCGACGAAAAGACGCTGCTACGTTGAGGAAGACTAATGTCACGTTCCAGTGCACACGCCACGCACGTAAATTTAGAAGGGCTCATGCACACATTACGCGCTGTCGCTGTAGGTTTCACGCCAATGAGTCACCGAGCCACAGCAGCCAGCCGGCACCTTGCAAGGTCAAGGTCGCGTCTGTTTGTGGCCGTCAATAGCTGGGGGGCATGAGGCTGAGATGCCAAGGAGCGAACATTCAACTGTCTCCCGATCCTATTTGTTCCGCCATGTTCTGGCCTCCCAGTGACTCTCTGGGCGGGTTTTACCGGCACGAGAACCTCCAATGAATTCAAGCTGGAGCGTAAGCCTTTTGCGCGCCATATAAAGACATTGAGGGCCCTGGTCATCGTCATCTTGTCTGGTGTGCATACCATTTTATTCATTCACACTGCGAGCTTGATTCCAATCCACAAAAACCTACGGTGGTATCGGTGTCATCCCCAAGTACACCCCAGGAGCATGGGCATCAACTTCTATCTCAGCTACCAATGGCTGTGTTGGACGCGGCCAAGTGGGCCGCCTTCCGCTCTGCCAGACGGTATCGAACGAACGTTTATCAGGACGCCTGGCGGCGATATCGAATTACTGTGCGCCAGGCCGGCAAGCCCATCGTCTAGGCCGCCGGTCGTGTTCGCGCACGGAGGCATGGGCTGCGCATGGGTCTGGATCCCATATATGCAATACCTCGCCCAGAACGGTGTAACATCATACGCTGTCTCGACACGCGGTCACGGCGAGAGCTGGCATCCTAGTTTCCTCCGCATGCTCTACATGACGACGAAGAGGATGTTGGCCGATGATTTGCTGGCCGGTATCCGGGCAGTCGAACAAAAGGAGGGCAGTGAAGTTGTGCTGGTGGGGCACTCCAGCGGTGGCGGCCTCAGCCAGTTTATCTTGAACGAGGGAGATGTCAAGGTGAAAGCGCTTGCTTTGCTTGGTGCTGTACCGGGGACTGGCTCGTACGTACCCAGCCCCTTGAACGAGGCAGATTCTACTCACTGACGAGCCATAGGTATGGTGTGTACTTCAACTGGGCATGTTTCGACCCGTGGTTCTCCATCCGCATGCTCTTCCATGGCTGGCACTCCAACTCACCTCTGTCGCACCCCTTTCTGACGAAGCGAGCTTTCTTCAGCGAGGAGTACCCAGAGGCGGATGTCGTGAACTTCCAGCGCCACTTGAATCGTTACGAGAGCTTTCTCTGGCCTCTTGGAATGCTTCTTCCCTTCGTCAACGCCCAGAAATTGCTCAGCAACATCACCGGCTGGGGCAGCGGGGGTGACCGGGTGCTCATTATGGCCGGCACAGGCGATAAGCTGATGACAGAACCCGTACAGCGCAAGGCAGCGAAGACGTATAGGGATGCCTTTTCAGAGATGGCCGCCGTAAAAAAAATCGACGCCGAGGTAAGGGAGCCCGAGAAAGTTAAGGGCGGATGTGGTCTGGATGACACCGGTCGAGGTGTCACGCTAGCATTCGTACCTGGTGCTGGTCATCATCTCCAGAACGACGTACAATGGAAAACTGGAGCGGAAAAGCTGCTTGTATTTCTAAAGCAACTTTAAGGCAATCCAACTGTGCGGTCGTATGATGTTTAGGCAACATTGAGAATCCTGGAACTCGACGTCTCAAATCTCCCCTCCTAAAAATTGGCATCGTCTCAAACGCTATAATTGAAGGCCCGCTCGACCAGACTTATCCAGGGTGCTGTATATAATGTGCAAATAGTATTCAAAGGTATACTTGAATGTAGTAACAACTCTGATTCTATATACATTTGTAATTACATGGGAATTCCATACGATACTTGTCCATATATGAGAATAGCTTGGCTTCGCAACTCTTTCTTTCAACCATTCTAATTTTATTTCTATTCCCTGTTTGCACTAGCTAAGAATCGTTGTGCTGGACGCATTTCAGCCGTGAATCTTGGCAATGGAAGCTGTGGCGCCAACCGGCGAGCCTAGGCCGGCCTGGGTAGATTTTCAGCTTCTCGGTTGTGTCAGAGCAGAAGGTCAGGAATCATGGGGTCAATCACTCTTCCTCTTCGCATTGACGATTTGCAAGACACAAAATGACCTCCTTCTTCACCGAAGCCGTTCAGCGGGTATGCGACCCTAGTGAATCACTACAGTTCCCAACTGATTTTACCGATTCCAGGCAGGAGGTGAAGATCGCCTTTGCGATGAATGCAGGCCCGTTGTTGCCAGCTATGACACAGCCCTGGGCGTCGGCAAGTATGCCCGGGGGGCCAAGCCGAGTATCTCAACGCTTCTCGTTGATGCTATTGCCGAGTCGGACGCCTGTTGGCATTGTGGGTGGCTGGCCTCCGTGGTAGTCGAGGCTTGGTGCAGCGAGCCAGTGGCATTCGCCATGCCACCAGACTCCAGCATTAAGGCATACGTCAACTGGCATACTATCGCTCAGCGCGAAATGGGCACTCAGAGTGTGCCTGAGGGTTCTTCACAGATTACCAGAATGGCAGTCTATTACGGTCTGGACACTCCAGATTTCACCAAAAGACAGATACTATTCTCAAAGACCAGAGAGGAACCGAAGCACGTCTCATCACTAATGGGACAACACCAGGCGCTCAATTGGCCTGTGAGCGAGCCTTATGCAGGCCGAATACGGCCAAGAGATGTAGATTATCGCCTTCTCAGGCGATGGAAAGAGTGCTGCATCCGAGATCATGGAGGTACTTGCGACCAGACGTTCATGACGAGCCGTGTCCAGTCGCTTCGCTTTGTGGATGTCGTCGACCGATGCATTGTTCAGCATTCCCCTGATACCGTCAAATGGGCCGCCTTGAGCTATTGCTGGGGAGGTCCCCAGGTGCATGCTCTTCAGACCGGGAATATCCATGCTTATCAGCAGCCAGGGGCACTGATAGACGACCTACTACCCAAAGGCATAGCCGATGCCCTGAGTGTGACTCGTGCTTTGGGCGAGCGCTATTTGTGGATCGACAGCCTCTGCATCATCCAGGACGACGAGAAGGACAAGCTGGAACTTATTGCCGCAATGGGCACGATCTATGCACAAGCTGTTGTCACCATCGTCAATGCTGCAAACTCCCAGGTTGCACATGGGATGCCTGGCATAAGCCAGCCTCGCCGAAGACAGCAGGTCCACCGCATGAAAGATTTCTGGCTGGTCGAGTCGATGGATTTGCCACACCAGAACTGGGAAGGTTATCTCGAAAACGCTACCTGGAACACCAGAGGGTGGACATTTCAAGAGGGCCTGCTTTCTCCACGCTGTCTCGTCATTGGCAAAGACCAGGTTTACTGGCAGTGCAAGACCTCTTCATGGTGCGAAGACAGCTGCTGGGAGAATGTCCCAGGAAACAGTGTCTACAGGCATTATTCAGGATCAAGAATCCTGGGGCGGCTTACTGACTCCAGAGAAGAGGACTGGATACAGCTATACAGCGATGTGCTTGGGGCATATCTGAAGCGAGAACTTACGTCCGAAAGCGACAGGCTCGGCGCTGTACAGGCAATTCTCGAAGTCCTTCGCCGGGGTGATGAGGAAGGCTACTTCTGGGGCATGCCTAAAGGGCACATGGAGATGACCCTGTCCTGGGCTTCTAGTTCTCACAACATCAGAAGAGACTGCGATTCCAAATATATGGGACCCAATAACGAGGTTCTATCTTCTCCGTTCCCGACGTGGTCATGGCTTGGTTGGCATGGCCACGCTTCAATGCTCACGATGGGCCGAGCCCTCATGGGCGGCAGGCTAGGCTTGAAGTTCTATTGCATCAAACGAGACAGCACGCTCGAAGCACTCAACGAGACCCCATTTTGTGGCCCTGAGCGCGACTTTTCTAACAAGGATTATATGAAGACCGAAGATCTGCACGAACAAATTGGATACCCCAGGGGCCTTGCGCACTCATCGATCAAGTATGACGAGAGAGAGGTCACGGAGGCAGACATTCCACAGAGCATACTCGCAAGCAAACAGTTACCGGCGATTCTCTGCTTTTGGACAAGCACCGCTATCCTCGAAATGAAGTATGAAGGCTGGAACCACTATCATCAGTGTCCGGCGATCTCTCTAGGCCATGGCGATGTACGTTTTTATGGCGCCTGGGAGAAACACGGAGACTTCAAGCTGAACGGAAAGGGAAAGTTCATCGTTGTTGGCACTCAGAGGACGCGCATGTCCCACGGAGGCGACGTGACCGCGGATCTGCTACTGGTGGACGAGGATGAGGACGGGATATTGTATCGACGGAAGCTCGTGACATATGTGCCTGAGTCCGTCTGGGACAAGCTGACCAACCGAAGATGGGAGCTGGTGTTCCTTGCTTGACATCAACCGGCTACGTTGTATTGAGCGGCCTACGTGTCACGGGAGTGCATTCTCCCTATCCCGGGCCGGAAGATATGCATAGGTGTTTTTTTGACATATATGGATGCGGTCGAACACTTGAGAAATGCTAAGTATCGTATTAGGAAACTATCGAACACAAAACATTGTAGATAGATCCAGAAGCCAATGTTTCTTACCCCTGGTGATGATGGCTGAGCTGAGCACATAAACTCGATCACTAAACCTCCAGAAGGCTTCGCTAGATGGAATGAATGTAACTCATGCAAGTCATGCTAACATTCTATTTCCGATCGAATGTTCGACTAAGGTGTATGAACCTACTGACGCTCGTGACTCGGAGAACGAGCTCAAGGGGGAACTCCGGTTTCCATGCCGACCCCAGTGTCGACTCCGGTGCCGACGCCGAAGCCGACGCCAATCGCGAGTCCGGTTGGCGGTTAACATGCATGCTGCTCATCTTTACCTGTTCTGTACTTTGAAATTAACTACTCCACATCCAATGCACGTATCAAAGCGAAACTATTGATATTATTATAACACAAACATGAGCTAGGCAGCCATCTAGACAGAAAAGGAGACACCCCTCGTCTAAAGCGGGTGTTCAGATTTTCCCATTTATCATTTCCTCTCTTACCCAATCAAGGACTAGGCGACGGAAGAGCCAGGGGCCCACAGGCGTTTTTCACATGCCTGTTATCTGGCGTGATGTCATGATTAAGTCCAGCGAGAATGTCTTCTTTGTTACATTGCACGGAGAAATGAACTCCTTCATAGAACTCCTCGTTGAAGTGAACTATAGACATAGTGAACCCACATTAAAGCTTTTTTTTTTTTTTTGTTTTCTTTCTTTCTTTCTTTTGCCTCATCTAAGTATATACATATCAGCCTTCGAAAAGTCTGAGCTTTTCAAATTCTGTGTATCTGTTATATTATCTCAATGGTATCTTTCTCATCACCTAGGTGGGCTACCATGCTCCTGCTTGTATTCGTATGGATTGGTTTTGTGTTCACAAAAAAGAGTACTCCATCGGAGACGTTGAATTCGACGCTAAACGGGAGGCTGAGATCTGCCAAACCGATGGCCGCTCCGTGTCTCGACGATTTGGAAGGTGAGGAATGTGCATCGGTTCGCAATGCCTTGTCTTCCGGCCACCCCAGTACTTTCCGTACCTCGAGATACGAAGGCTTCGAGTACATCCAGGGCGAAGCATGTGTGTCAGATCCCGAAGACCAATGCGTTCTAAGCTCTGTGGCATTAACACTAGTTCCCAATGACACATGCAACCAAGGAATCGTGTGTCCTTTACTATATTGAGGTCACCAGCCCAAGCGATGTCCAGGCCGCTTTCAGTTATTCCCGTTCATCCGGCGCAGCGATATCCATTAAGAATTCAGGGAACGATTTCAATATGCGTAGCAGCCGGAAGAGATCGCTGGCACTCTGGACTCGGTCCTTACGAGCGATGTCATACGAATCGTCATTTACACCTACAGGATGCCACGTAACAGGCGACGCAAATATATCACAGGCCGTCACTTTCGGAGCAGGTGTCAACATGGATGAGGCATATCTTTTTGCACACTATCACGGCGTTCTTTTCGCAGGTGGTACTGTAACGACGATCGGAGCGTCTGGCGGCTGGTTGCTTAACGGAGGACACGGGGTTCTATCAGGGAGCCTTGGCCTCGGGGCAGATAGAGTGCTACAATTCGGCCTAGTGACACCTGATGGTCGAGAAATCATCGCAAATCAATGTCAGAACGCACGCTTATTCTGGGCTCTTCGCGGTGGTGGTGGGGGAGCCTTTGGTGTCATCCTCAACGCGACCCATCTTGTTCAAGCTGAAATGCCCACTACTAGTGCCATTTTCTCTTTTCCAGCCAGCGGCGACAACGAGCGGACATATATGGCGCTGCCTGCAGAGAACATGCGCGACTGGGCACTTGCTGGCTGGGGTGGTCCATCCACTACAAATATGACCGCACTCGCAAACCCTTACATCAACACTAGCCAAGCAGAGATTATGATGGCCCCGGCTATTCATTTTGTCCAAAGTCAGAATGGAACAGCCTTAATTCAACGGTTTCGCAGCTACTTCGACTACTACGTTACCATCATGAATGGTAGTTTGGTTGCCTCTGAGGCGACCAGCGTTGCATCTTTTCTGACGTCGAGGCTCATTCCCGAGACAGCATTTCAAAATGAGACCACTAAAGGCCTTATGGTGGACAATATTATGAACATTAAAGCCTCCGGGTTAGTACCATGGGTCTTAAACACTACGCCGCTGTTATACGGCCGGGCCCAACCACAGCAAACAGCGCTGCATCCTGCGTGGTATAAATCTGTGTGGATTTCTACTGCTCAAGGAGGTTGGAGACCAGGGGCATCGTTGCACGAAAGAAAATTGTTTTCTGGGTTGCTTCGTCAAGCCACGCAGTCATGGATGACAATCGCAACAGAAGGCTGCTCATATGCCAATGAGGCGGACCCGTGGATGGAAGATTGGGCAGACCAGTTCTGGGGTGAGAACTATGCGAAACTATTGGAGGTCAAAAACGAAGTAGACCCAGACGGCCTGTTGGGTTGTTGGCACTGCATTGGATGGGATGCGTCATAGCCTGACTATGAATGTATATCCAGCGCAAGAGCCTAACAACTGTGAGCGAAGGTGAAACTCATCTAGTCTTGGCAACTAGATTTTGTTCGTATGTACAAGGTGGACCTATTCAGTATGGCTACAGAAATCGGCCGTCCTGGCAATCATGCAGTACGCGTATTCCAGAACTTCTAGTCTACCACTCACAGCCAAATCCACGTAAACGTGATACGTTTTGGTAGAGGGGGTTATGCACATAGATAGGTGTACCAGTTGTCCTCTTAGCAGCAGTTAGAAATAGGTGGTATGTAGATAGGGCGATAAGCAAGCCCTGTGGCAATATACCTACGTGGGTGACACGAATACTTGCGATTTCCATCTTTAATATATCACACATCGCACCCCATAAGGATCGCATCAAAACACAATATTAAAAGAACAATCAAGATTTCTTTGCAGTTACACACGACTGTCCGATACCACCTATGTTGATCTATTGGTCTGTTCACGCTCTCTGAACATGATCTGCGCCATCATGTCAGGCTTCATTGAGCCGTTCGGCATGGAATCTCTCTTTGGCTTGCGCCCACCGAAAGGTAGTTGGAAATCATAGTTCATAATCAAATGGGCCAACGTGATCTTAAGTGTGCTTGCTGCAAAGGTCCGACCAGGACAGGCTTGCGGGCCATCCCCCCAGCCTGGCGTATCTGAACTGAGGCTCGTAAAATGATATCGCGACTCATTTCCAGGCTTCCGGCGTAGATTATAGAACCGCATCGGATCAAAGGCCTCGGGTCTGTCCCACAAGGACTCGGAGATTGGGATTTGATGTACATCGACGCAAATTACAGACCCGCTGGGAAGTTCAGGCCCCAAAGAAAGCTTGACAGGTTGGCGTAACATGCGAAATAATGCCACTATACGTTCGGAATATTAGCGGATGTCTGTTATAGGCATTGTTCCACTCACGTACTATGGCCAAATGGATTTGTACGAGAGCATTCTCTGAGGACACTATCGAGCTTCTCCAGCTCGTTAAGTTGGGTTTGCGGCAGGCGCCCGTCGACTGACACTGACAAAATTTCTTCCCGCAACTCCTCGACCAGCTCTGGCCGTGTGACCAGCTCCGCCATCACGAAGTATATGGTTCCCGCAGTTGAGGGTGTTGACTCGAACGAGGCGACGATAAAGTCGTGAGCGATCTGTTCTGGGCTTCGTTCGTGGGACTTGTACCGAGACATGATCCATGCAGTAATGGGGAACTTCTTATCAGGAGTAGCTTCCAACAACTTCGTTTTGGCTTCTACATCGGATGCTCGCTCGTAGTCGCGGAATTCTTGTCGCGTCATTGAACGTAGCAGCAACCTCATGTACCAGTATATACACCAGGCAGGAATGAAGACAATTAGATTTATCAGCGGTCGAAATAGGCGTGGGGCCATGCTAGAGAAGGTAATACCAAGAAGTATGGCCATGGGAAACGCTTGAACTGCCTTGATCCAGCGAATGTCGGTTCCCAGTTCCGGGCCGACTAAGCCAGCGGCATTGGTTCTTGCAACGATTGATTGCATGATCCAATATAACCTGAAAGTTTTCCAATCCGGACAAGGACCGAGGCTGCTCTCACAGGCGAAGCGTGCACTTTCCTGGCGGGCCCATACCCTAGTAGGCAGCGCACGTGTAAGGTCTATCTTGATCGCTGTATGAATCGCGTTCATATCGGTACCTAAGAACCGCCACCCACCGAGGAAGACATGGGTGAAGTATTCAAGCGTTGAGGCCTTCTCTACTGGTATGCGCTTGATTTCGTCCCAGCTAGATGCTGGGAACACGACATACTCGAAGCCGGAGTAGGTAATGATATATGGCTGACCGTGATACCTGGTGGCTCCCTCATCGAGAATTGATTTATAATCCCATCGGCGTGCTTTTTTTGGAGGTTCGACCACTGGGATTCCGAGCCGAGTGAGTGAAGATGATCTCTTGTTTAGTCTGACATGAACAATTGCGATCGTCGTTAATGCCGCAACAGCGCTGGTTGTGTACCTAGGCACCGGTGATAGTCGCGTCCAGAAAACGGAAAGGTCTGAAATCCCTAAAAGTAGGTCGGAGACAATCTTCCTCAAAAAGAGAGCAAGTAATTCGAACTTGGTAAGGTGTACAGGGGCTATTGCTACCTTCACTACTCCATACTGCTCTAAAATAAATGCATATTGTTCCCGAAGAAATTGCAACATGATGTTGATACGACATCGATCAGTAGGAGAACTGAAGTGAACAAGATATGGGATGCGCTTCACGGTGTGAAGCCGCTAGAATTGGTGGTGCAGTTGGTTGGTCTGACTGTCGAAGCTATCAGCGGGGAAGCCATGTTGTGGTGCCGATGTGGCAAAGCGCTGTATTAGACTGGGTAGGCCTGGTGGTAAGATCAGCCGATTGACCAGGATGCCATCCTCATTTCACCCTCATCCTAGATGGATGTGCCTTGACCAGCCTGTGCTGCTGTGTAACATATAAGGACCATGCATTCATCCGGGTACCTAAGGATGCTGTCTACGCTAAAACATATAGGGTATCTAATAAGGAGCCAATCGCGGTGCACATTATCTTGGGATATTTCAAAGTTTGGGTCACAGGAGAAGTAAGGCTTTATATGCACGTATGTCTGCGCCAGAAGATATGTTGGCACGATTTTCTTCCTACGAGACTTATAATCCTTGCATAAAACCATGTGTTAATAAATATGGGTAAATTAGCTAGATATTCTTTGATAATAAATATGGGTAAATTAGCTAGATATTCTTTGATAATATTCTTATATCTTTTCATGATAGTGAACCCCGCCCTCTCTATAGCATGCCTTCCAGGTCACAATGTTGGCGTAAGATCGTCAGAATTTCTTGAAATGTCGCCGGTGACAAGTCTGCAGCACACTGGCTGGCCATAAAAGGGCCCGGTCTGCACATTATGTTAGCACCTGCGCACTTAGAAGGTCACATGAAAGCGGCGCTTACGGAGGAAGCTCATCATTCAACCATAGTTTCCCATTACTTTCAGATCCAAGCGCAGTGGCACTGACCAGGGTACGACTGCCTTCCTCAGCAGATCTTCCACAAACACATCGATAAGGAGCCATTACAAGCCTGAGTACCAGGGGAAACTCGCGCAAGAGTTTCGTCCGGCACATGCCAGGGCAACAGCAATTTATCACCATCGTATCCGGGTCCGCGCACTTTTGTGTAGCTAGTTCCTGCACGAAGAAACGCGCAGCTAGCTTCACGAGGTAATAATGGGCGTAGAAATCAAACTTTGAAGCATCGTTGAGCCGCTGTATCAGCATGTTGTCTGTCGGAATCAATTCGGGCTTGATCTCCTGAGTAGCCAAACTGTTGACGATGCAAAGATGGGGAATTGACCCATCAGAACACACGGTTTTCTGAAGCTTGGGAAGCAATAGTAGGACCATCAAAGCGGTCGAAAGGACATTGACTTGCAGTGCCATCTCGAAGCCATCAGGACTTTTCTCGTATTTGGAGGTCATGATTCCAGCGCAAAGTAGGACGACATGTAGCTGTGGGACTTCCTCGTTAACGCGACGGGCAAAGTCTTTGACAGAAGCGAATGTCGAAAGATCAACGGTCATGACGGTGATGTTGGAGCATTGCGTTTGTTGTATAATAGACACCTTGGCTGCTTCCCCTTTCTCCTTCGATCGCACTCCTAGTATCAGGGTCGACGCACCCAGTTGGGCGTATTTGAGAGCAGCTTGAAACCCCAAGCCGTCATTAGCCCCGCTGACAAGGATAACTTTGTTGTTGAATGACAGATGAGAGGGGTTCTTGGGAGGATGCCTCGCAGCCCAAAACTGCTCTTTCATTGAGGACATGGTGGGTTGTGCGGGAAGTCGAAGAGAAAGTTGGAATCTAAGAAACGGTTGGTATTTTGGTGCCTGGACCGCCTGGTTTTCGTCCTGAACCAAAAGTACCGTGCATCCCAGCTCACCGGTCTGCAGCCTCCTGTGCGCGCTTTCTGTGTGTTACACTGAAATGACGCAAACGTTTACCCTGCAATATTGAATTGCCGCGGGTATTTATCAAAGCAATCCCTATCTTCAGAGTTTGGAAACACCGCGCGATGCAGGTTCGAAGTGTACAGTGGCTGTGCTCACCACGCAGCGAATCGCGTGGATATGCGCAATGTTCCATTTGAAGAAGATATCGTCGCATTATGTTTGCCGGTTGCTACTTGATGCGGGATGAGACATTCTGCGACTCCGATATCCTGGCCTTTTGCTTCAACTCCGATTGAATACACACCCTGCACTATCAGATGATGATTAGGTAATCAGACCCGAGTGACATGGTTAGATTTTTAAACCAACATTTCAACATTTGGATTCAAAGGTTGAACATCAGACTGCAAGTAATGTCCAATCAAATCCAGGAAATGCTATGAAAGCTCGATTGCAGAAATGTACCAGTGATGAACAGATGTTCGAGGTTACATTAGGTGCGTCTAGCCAGGTTCAAGACATGGAATTTGTGAACTCCAAATTGAGCAAATTCACTGGAAGGGCTCGACTCATAAACTAATCTTGAAACAGACGGCTTTGCCTCAAAGCTGCAGTCGGCGCTTCAATTCGAACGTGGCAAGTCAGTAATTGACCTTACTCTTGACGTGTTAGGAGTAGATTCACTCCTGGCCATAGACATACAGTCATGGTTCCGTAAACAGCTAGGCGTGGAAGTAGCGGTTCCAGAGATTCTGAACTCGCGATCAGTCGGTGTACTTTTGCGATCCGTCTGGAGCTCATTCATACGGCACTTGATACTCGAAAAATAGAGGCCCCACCACTAGAGAGCGGCCGGCCGAAAAAAGCTACCGATACTTCAAGCACGACTGAACGTACCAACGCCACGCATAATGTGGAACCTTTGGTTTCACCATCAACGGAACATATCCAAAGTCCGGCGATTGACTCAGAACTTGAATCGAGAACTGGCATGGCCGCGTCTCCGCAGACTCCATCCGCCAGAGAGCAACAGCAACCTCAAAGAAGTGTTCCAATGTCTTTTGCGCAGACACGGTTCTGGTTTTTGAAAATATTTGTGCCAGACCAGACAGCTTTCAACATCGTTACGAGTGTTTTCCTGAAAACCCGAATCGACGTGGACCGGCTTGGGAAAGCGCTCGTTGATGTAGGGCAAAGGCATGAAGCCTTACGGACTATCTTTTATACGGATAATATCACTCGAAGTCATATTAAACTCGGGCTGGTAAGACGTGGTATAGAATTGTGGCGTGAGAAACTGTGGCTGTGCTTTTTTCGCGTTCTATTTATTTAATTCCCCTCTTTTCCGTAAACTTTAATACACTATCGCACTTTTTGCCTTTAATTTCACGACTATTCGGTTTGGCGACCGTCGATTTATACGTCTATTTTAGCCACACGAACAATGTACGTTCGATTCGTCGACATTAAGGAGGAGAACTGCGTTGGCTAAGGTTGTGTTACTTAGGGAATATGGCCCAGGAGCACCACTCCAGTTCAATATGCAAGGCATACTTCCCAAAATAAATCTCCAACTTGAACATATCTCTGATGCAAATGACGTAATATTACAAGCTGAGACCGCGGAAACACAACAGTACGAATTTGAGCTTTCAAGAGGAAATACTTTGAGAATGAAGCTTGTTTCCTTCCCCAACAGTTTGCATTACATTATATTGGGATACCATCACATTGATCTGGACGGAAATGAATTCCAGATCTTCTTTACAGATCTGGAGAAGGCGTATAATGGCAACTTGGACACATCAGGAGCAGGACTACTGCAATATCCCAAATTTGCACTAATGGAGAAACGAGAGTACGACGCCGGACGGCTTTCGACACAGATTACTTGGTGGCGCACTTGGTTCGCTAATCTACCCCCTCCTCTACCACTCCTATCTTTGTGTCGCAAGAGTCACAGACCGGCAGCCTTATCCTTCAGCTCCCATGATATTACGTTGCGGTTAGAACCTAACTTGAATAATCAGGTCAGTCAATGCTGCCAACGCCTGGAGATTTCCAGCTTCTACACCTATTTGACGGTCTTCAAGATATTCTTGTTCCGTCACAAAGGCGATGAAGAGGAAGAGATGTGTATTGGCATTGCTGATGGGAATCGGAAGCACCTTGATGTTCTTGGAACCATCGGTCTCTTCCTCAACTTACTTCCCTTAAGATTCGATTTCGACCCTTATCGAACATTCGTGGAATCCCTGAATGATGTGAAGAACATTGTGAATAAGGCTTTAGACAACTCTGATATTCCCTTCGAAGTGTTATTGGCTGAGCTCGGTGCGGTCTTCATCCCATACTCCTCTATTCCAGGCATTCTTTGATTTTCGCCAAGGGATCTCAGAATCTCGTCAATTTTTTGGTTGTGATGCCAGCGGAGAGACCACATCAGCTGGCAAGAACGCGTACGATATTAGCCTGGATGTTGTCGACAGCAAGGGAAGAGAGGACCTTCTCACGTTACGACTGAATACTGGAATTTATACTGCCGACGATGCCAAAGTTCTAGCGATGAGCTACAAAAACTTGCTAGAATCATTCTCACGGAATCCTGCGACCCGGGTAACGTGGCCCCCTCTTTATGTCCAGGACTGTGACGAGGCTTGGAGCGGTCTCGGCCAAGGTGAGAATGAATGTTTTAGATACACTTACTTGTATTCCGGCTACCTCTTTGCACATTTTGACTGACCAAGAACAATTAGGTCCGGTAATGAAGTCTGAGTGGGCAGGCACGCTGGTGCACAGAATTCAAGCCATGGCCCATCGATATGGCTCAAAAGTCGCATTCCAGGGGTTGAATCAGAACCAGTTGACGTACGATCAGATGATGGGGCGAGTCAAGCAAATTTCCTGTTGTCTTTCAAATCAAGGTGTTGGAAATGAGTCGACTTGCGCGATTCTGCAGTCACCTGGTCCAGACTGGGTGTGCTCATGCCTCGCCGTATTTTGCCATGGAGCAATTGCGGTTCCACTTGAACCCCAGGTTTTCTCAGATCGACTGCTCACTATTTCGAAGAATTGTCATTTAGGGTTCATCATGGTGGATAATTCAGTAAAACTGGAACCCCGGATATTCCAGGATACTCCAGTCCAGTTGATCAATGTGTCACGGGCTCCAAGGTCAGCGAGTGTGCTCACATTCACTAATCGATCAAAGAGCTCGAAGATTCCTGTCATTGCTTATACGAGTGGCTCTACTGGCATTCCCAAAGGTGTTACCATCACGCATGATATCTACCGGAATTTCATTGAGTTTGCGCCGTGTCGATGGGGCATCAAAGAAGGAGAGGAGACTATTCTACAGCAGTCAGCCTGCTCGTTTGATATGTCTCTCGCTCAGATGTTCACCAGTCTTGCCTACGGAGGCACACTGGTCATCCCAGAGAGTTATCAGAGTGTTGATCCGGAGGCTATATGTCAAACTATAGTATCTGCGGGTGTCACTGTTACATTTGCTACACCTACTGAGTACTTGACCTGGATTCAGGTTGGCGCCGCGAACCTGCGGAGGTCACAATGGCAAACTGCTATTACTGGTGGCGAGCCCCTGACTGCGTCTCTGCTGCAAGCTTTCAGGTCTCTGAGTATGCTCAACCTAAGCCTTACCAATGCCTATGGTCCAGCTGAAGTCACATTTTCTTGTGCTGATAGCATAATATCCTATACCCAAAGCTGTGCCCCGGAGATTCCATTGAAGGCTCTACATCACGTATCATGTCGCCTTACATACACCCAGCTGTCGTATCGCCAAGAAAATCTGTCACAGCTGCGGGATTTGAATACCTAGTAGTCTTTGTCACAATGTCTACTGCCGAACCGTCAATGAGCCAAGACGTCATTCTATCAAGAATTGCCCACGATCTCCCCTTGGCCCGACACATGCAACCCGCACTCGCGATTGTATTGGAGTCATTTCCAATGACAGCCTCAGGCAAGATAGACTGTACGAGTATTGACCGGATACCGATAAGCCGTATAGATATGGAGATGCGTCCATTGCTCAGCCAATTCGAATTCTGCTTGTTGGACCTTGGCGCGAGGTCCTACCGCAGGAGGCCCTAGCGCATAAAGAAACCACCAGCGATACAGATTTCTTCCGCGCCGGAGGCACTTCTCTCGCTCTTGTGAATTTGAGGGAACTAGTCAAGACGTGTATGGATAAATTTGTGGAAATCCATCAACTTCTCGAAAATACTGCTCTATGCCGTATGGCGAAGATGATAGAGGGAGGCCAATCTATGAGGCGAGAACCTCTCGTAATTGAATGGATGCAAGAGGCCACTGCTTCTGATTATCTGCCAGCACCTAAAAGCGATCTCACCCAAGCTCGAGTTCCAGCCAAAGACCCTAGGGTTATTGTTCTCACGGGTGCCACCAGATTCCTTGGGAAAGAGATTCTGTCAAGGCTGATAGCAAATCAAATTGTCACAAAGATACATTGTATTGCAGTTCGGATGCCAGTTCATAAACTGTCCGGTGTTTTTAATCACCCAAAGGTTGACGAGGAATGTGAGATACACATATCAGTCTGGGGAACGTGAGACAAATGTTCAAGCCATTCGACCTTCTATGGAGAAGAGCACTGGGATGGTCCTGGAGTCGAAGCGCTTGGATGATTGGATTGTACTTGCGGAGGAGGCTGGCATGGATCCTTTGTTAACCATGTATCTGCGGCGTATGGGGCAAGGGCCAGTTGTACTACCGCGACTTTCGATGGCTCTCCAGTGAAGGGCCAGATTCCAAAGCAGACATTTTCAGCAAACATTCTGATATGACCATTCCTCGCAGAAGAGCGTTCATAGCCTGTGAACTAAACAAAGAATTGGTTCTCTGGGTTGTCTAGTTTCCATCTCTGGGCATTAGCCCGCTGGGAACGATATCATAAAATAGTGGCCACCTACTTGAAGTCGTCATGCTTTAGATATTTCCGAGCACTGCTTCTCAAGCAGAGGACTCGTTTCATATTGTACTGGATATTATTCGGGTGTAGGCGTCTGCGCCATCTCTAAGAAAGTATCGTATTGTTGTCCCACGAGACGTATTCAGGAACTACGTGGACCATTTAGCCATCTTGCCATGCTTGAACGATTCCGGGTTACAGACCACAGTTTATGATGAACAGCTACGCAGCTTCTGGTAACATATCGTCCGTAACCTTGTCTTCATAACATGTTTCATAGAGCTGCTTGGCCATCGTAAAGTCGTCGGCTATGATATGGCGCTCCCGTTATCCTTGCGTGCTGGTCCGAATGCGTCGTAAGGAGAAAGCAGCGTATAGTTTTAAGGGCTAAAATGGCATGCGGGTATTGAAGCCAGGGGGTTTTTTGAGACCCAGTTGATGAGAGCTAGCAAGGGGCGGATGATCTTCCGACCAATCGGGCCCGTATCCACAATATTCACCAAGCAGGGCGCGCCAAGCCTGACAGGGGCCCTTCATGCATTCTCCTTTTCATCAGCTTGCGTGAGGCAAGCGAGGGGTTTTAGATTTTCTGACAGAAGGAAGAAGCTAACTGGATAGTGTTTGCCTAGTCTAGACTACAAGCGTGGATCCTACTGTTGCCCAGCGAGGATGAGGATGGCTGAGTTTGCTTAATGATTTTCATTTACCTCCAATTGGTGCTCAGCATGACGCCTGCTTAGTTACATTAATAGTCTGTGGCACGCCATTTGGCGGGTCCTCTTCCATTTCTGTCTTTAGGTCTGTTTGACAGCATCCATGGCGCGACAGTTCACCCTAGCGGTCTCTGAACCTGGAAACGGAGCTTGATTCTGGTTTGTTAGCTACCCTCAAGTAGGCCAGGCAGCTCGACAGCAAAATCAAAGACTTGGCGGATATCCAGTAGTATTTCAATAGTTTAGGTTGTATGTCGTTTCATGAAATCTAGTCGAGGTATCAAGCGTGTAATTAAGTTCTGATTTTATCTAGCACCAGTACCTCATATACCTACGTGATCAAACGCAGGGTACGGCAATGTACGAAACCCTCCGAACGCCACTTTTCCCAATCACAAGCGCCGCCGTAATGTTGCAAATGCTGCGAGATGAGAGAGCCACTCTCATACCATTTCACGGCTCTTAGCTTCTTCTCCCTTTCTATTGCCAGGGCCTGATGAGGCCGACCAAGCAACCAGCTCTCTTTCACTTCCGCTATTACTGAGCCTTCCTTCGAGGTCTTCACGGAGCTCAAATGTTTGCTCTATCACGGTCTCCTTTCTGACTCGAGATTGCAAACTTTTCATGTGATGGCTATCATTCTGATTCGTGTAGCCACTCCTGGATTGCCCTTTGCTGCGGGGAGTAGAGCCAAGGAGTTTGGGGAAGAGCGAGTTTACTAAAGGCTTTAAGGCGGGGACTGAGGCGCAGATGATGGCAACATTGATTTCGATGCCCTGTGATTCGCAGTTAGACACTTGTAATTTAGTAAGTGTGACGGGCTATACTTACACTCCATACAGCGATATCCACACCATCAACTATTCCATGTGTCAGCCATTTCTGGATCGAGTAAAGATTTGTAGAGTGGGTAACTTACAAGATGAGTCGTTAGAGACAGATATTGTTAACAAAGACTTCAATCTCACAATAGACGTTACACAAACGCTGAATTGTGTTAGCTCTGTATAGTTTTTCGCCGTTGCATGACGGACAGCCGAACTTACAATAATCCGAACGCAAAGACCACCAACAAGATGAGCTTTTGTGTGTTTGATACCTGCAACTTCCGGATCAAAGGCACGGGAATCGCGAATATGAAGATGTCGCTAGCGATGTTGAGCGCCGCATTAGAGAACCAGAATGCAAGACGGTTCATGCATACTCCCTCCCCGACACCCCAGAAGAACTGTACTGGAATGCACATAAGAGCGGAACCAATGACTGTCCAACACCCATACACTGCAAGAACACCGATCATGATATTACAGGTTCTCTGTATCATCGTCGTGCCGAATACGCGCTTGTATTGAAAAATGATCGAGAGCTTGCACAAGACAAGCGACAGGTTGTAGACAGGAATCGTCGCCCATAGTGACTGGAAGAACCTCATTCGCAGCTCTGGTGGTATCGATTCGAAGTGTGTTCCTAGACCGAATTCTATTTCTAATATATGTTCAGCATGCAATCGTAATGGAAAGGCGGCCACAAGCCTTCACGTACGATGTACCACAACTATCATGAATCCAATTGAAGCGCACTGTTAGAATTGGGTCAGTGTAAATGTTGAGATGGCCCCCACTTGTGTCAAATGCTGTTAGGACATCCTAAACCAAGCCAGCAAAAGCAAAAGCAGCTCGCGATGATTTTCGTTTATCTTAGAGACCTATTGACGTACCAGCGATCCAATCATGAGGTAGTCGTCAACACCCGCATAGTGAAGGACGAAGAAACGAGAGTAGAACCGTAAAGCTACTACTAGAAATGACAGAGTGGTGAACAGAATGCTGGTCACAAACAGCGGTTCAACCCTAGCGACGACCATCATGACGTTCGTTTAGAATTGAGAAATGGGTGGCGATCGTTGCCCAAGTGAGTGTAAACTCGGCGGAGAATTGAGATTGGATCTGAACCGTGAGTTCCCACATGGAGCATCGACGATATAAAGCTTGTTTACCCACTCGGACGAGGGCTCATCTAGTGTCCAAATCGTTCCTACTAGCGAGCAATCTGTGACAACCCGGCGATCGGGGTCCAAATGCACCGTTAGAAAGGTTCTGGAACCTGTTTACCCCTGGAACCTTTCCCGATGTGAAACCCATGGAAATGGAACTGTGAGGTTGCAATTGTAAGAAGGACAACAGGGTTGCAGGATGGAACAGGTTCCGAAGTGCGCGTAGGAACACACGAAGGGTGAGCTGCAAGCTACGTCTTGCTATGCCGATGTACGGGGAGCATGCCACGTCTAGAATCATCAGCGCGGCCCAACTAGCTGCCTGCTAGCCTGAAGCCACATGTTGGAAGCACAATTTGTCACTTCGTTCCCTGCGAGGGTCTAGAGCATGCCAGTGGTGGAGAGCAAGGCTGATAAAGTTCCTCCATAGTTGCTACACAGGATGCCTTGAAATATCGGCACTATTCCATCTAATCCTTGCCTAGCGCCTGTGGTACAGGCACATGTCGCGTCCCCTACCCAGAAGTTCATCGCCCAGTGTGTCGGATGCCAGGCCGCAGAGAACCGCGTTGCCCAACATGCGTTGGCTGTCGCGCGTGCGCCGGCCATGTCTCTCATAGTTGGCCCTACATAGTACATGGTAGGGGGCTATGCAGGTGAACTATCCCTGCTCTGGAAAACGAGATAGTACTAATGTGGGTGGGAATCTATTGACAAATGAAGTAAATGTTACTTTCCGAAGGGTCCTACGACGGGGTGTTATTGGATTATTGACCCCTGTTGAATGTGGGACTTGAAGAACCAAACCTAGATCCCTGTTCTTCGGCTGGCGTCCGGGGTTCCGGTTTCGTAACCCCGGTTTATACCGCAAGCCGTTTGCATAGGTGTCTTCCTAATACTGCCAAACTTGGCAGAACATGGAACCCATGTATTTATGCGACCTGATACCAAGGAAGGGATAAAAATGGCCTGAGGTCGACTTTTCTTGCGGATTGCAACGGGGTCATTGGACTGCAGCTGGATAGCCTCCGTTGGGATCTTGGCCGAGCATACGAGTACGAGATCGATGCAGACGTATCTAGGCGCGACTTTGGATAGTTCCAACCCTCAAAGAAAACAAAAAGAAGAACAAAAGATACCAAGTTAGGGTTCTCGGTGTGTTGCTGGGTGTACATATCTGGAATAATATCTATAGGAAGTCTATAATTGTTTCACACCCTCAACACACTGCTGCATGGAAGTCGCATGGAACATCATCCATGTGACACACCCTTGTCTCCGATCAATCTTCATAGAGTTCTGCGCGCTTCTCTGCGGGCGCGTCAATATGCATATTGAATTCCTCCTTTGGATCAACCAGGAACATGGCCGCTATGAGTTGTTAGTACCATCACGTAAAGGAAGCGACGGAAAGACATCAGGCGAACGCACCAATAGCCACAACAACCGTGAACGCTCCAGCGGCAGTCCAAACCCATCTGAAAGCGACACTGTATGTCTGAAGCAGAGCGCCGGCCCCAGCTTGGATGATCTCGGGAGAAACACCAGGGACCTTCAACAGGCCAGCGGTGTCTTGCGCTGTCAAAGATCCGATGAACTGGCCAAGAGAGGACATGGGAAGCCCAAGCGGCAGGACTGCTTCTGCAATGTTGTGCCCCAGATTCGTGGTCAACTCTCCTGCAAAGATTGCATTGTCTACAGTATTAATGTTAGACACAAGGCTGAAACTTGTTGCTTATGAGATTGCACCCATGACTTACAAATGGCCAAGCCTACCGAACCACCCAAGGATCGCATGCCGATCATCAGGCCACTAGTAATGGCGATGAGTTCTCGTGGGGTTGATAACTGGGCAACGGTGACAAGAGCACAAAGGCAAATACCGAGACCGATACCCAAGAAGACAGGATAACCCCAGACAGCGTCTGATGTTGCGGGTGTCGAAGAAGCCATCAGTGCGAAGAAGATGATCATGGAAACAAAGGCCAAGACCGTAGGCCAGCGCACATTCTTGGTCTTGGAGCAGTAGAGACCTGCAAAAACGGCGCTAACTCCGTATACGATCATGTTGATACCGTATCGAAGTCCTGTTCGAAGAGAGTCTGTCTCGTACAAAATTCCGGCTTGAAAGGCGAAGTAGTTATTGGCAGCGAAGAATACCAACCCTTCAACGAACACGCACATAAGGGCGATTGGGAAGTTGCGTCCCTGCGAGAAGAGGCCGTGGTGGAACATACCATCCTTCTTGAAAAACGCTTCGTACACAGCCAGAGCCGCGAGAAGGCCCAGACCGACACCAAACGGCACCGGCACATGCAGGTCGGTCCAGGAGAATGGGTTCTGAGACCAAGAAAGTCCCATGCAGAACAGCACCAAGCCAGCAGTGAGGAGAAAGTATCCTATCCAGTCCAACTTGGCCAACTTCTGGCCGTTAGTAAAGCTTGTTTGTCTTGCTGTCTTTGGTGGCTTATATAGCACGAGGTTCAAGACCGTCGCAACGGCGTAGATCCCAGTCGACATATACCAGTAGTTGCGGAACCCTTCAGGGTGGCCATTCCGTGTCAAGGCGCCGCCGACAAGTAGGCCAACGAGTCCACCAAGAGCTGCCGATGCGTTTGTTGCGCCCTGCGCCCAGGGTCTGCTCCGACGAGGAATGACCTCGGATGCGACAGCGTGGAGCAGCGACTGGGCACCATAGGAAAGACCAGTAACTGCAAAGCCGGCAATCGCCATGCTCATACTATTTGCTCGTGCAACCACGACCGATCCGACTACACCGCAGGCCGTTAGGATAATGAGAAACCATCTTCGGCCCCAGTAGTCTGCTGCTTGCGACACTATTGGAGATAAAACCACCGTCGCAATAGCAATCGTTGAGGTCAACCAGACGCTATCAGTACTATTGCTCAGAACCGCAGCGATATTTTGTGCTTGCTGTTGGGTGTATGTATGTTAGTCAAGTCCCAAAGCGATGTCACACGTTGGCAGACGTCAACTCACTGCACCGGCGCCTACGACGTTGATCAACTGCGCAAAGTAAATGAAGCACACAGAGAAAACGACTAAGAACGTCTTCGCTCCAAGGCGTGGGACGGGTTCCATGGGCTCTTCAATGCTCTGCTTGACAGCATCAGCCTCCGAGCTAGGCTTTTGGTGGTGGCTTTCGTGTACCATGACGTCGCTTGATTCCTTGAGTGTGTCCATCGTTTGACAAGTATATTGCAACGAGAGTGTAGATGGCGCTGTCAAGGTCTACCCGGGGAAGAGAGTGGATGGGAGACGGGTTGCAGTGGAAGGATTCCAGGCGAGGCGCCTCGTCGTAAGAAGTTAGAAGTAGGCGTGCGCATCTAGTAGCGTTACCTTGTCTGGCCAACTTGCTTCACTCACGAAGTGCCGGGATACAGCTATTGTTGCAACATTTTAGCAACGCTCTATTGAGCCATGCAGCACTAGTCGAACAGGTGGCACAAATGCATGACTTGGAACCGGGACGAATAGAATTACAAGCAGGTTCATCTTACATCCCTCCCGTCGGGACCCACCGCCATTGGTACATCTCGAGTCAAGTATGCCCAGTTGCAATCTAGGAGGATGCAACGATAGGACTAAGCTTGCAAGGGTTTAGTCAATTGCATATAAACGGGTTGGCGCTTCGATGCTGCTGGAGATTGGTATCATACGATCAGACTAGGCCGTTTCCAATACTCTCTGAAGTGCCGCGAGGGTGCAGTGTAACAGATGGCGGACCCTGCATTATAGTGATGCCGTACTCCTTGTCCCCGCGACCAGGGTGCAAAACTATCCCTGGGAGAGGCCGGTCTAGCCCACCCGCCTGAACCGTCTACCGTCTACCCCGGCCCGACCCTGCTTACTGGAGCAAGCCACCGGATTTGCAACCCGGGGCGCAACTGGCACCGGAAAGAGACAAGACGCCCGCTAGCTTGCAGGCCATCGCCAGATCATTGCATCTCCTCTGCGACTCTGCTAATACGACTTTGGGAATATGAACGCCCAGATGCGACGCGTCGGCTTTTAATATTCCGACGGCTTCTGCGTAGGAACGTGGCGTACGAGCCCGAAGCTTGAATGTGGCGGCCGTCCGTTGGGGTCATTCGTGGGACCATGCCAATATTCGTTGTGGCATAAGCGCCCCAGATGCACTTATGAGGCACGGCTTGTTCATTTACCATACTTGAGCACAAGGATAGATTTCCACTATCGGCATGTGTTGCTAACTAAGCGTGATCAAGTGCCATGTGGTGCGATACGATCTGTCCTGCAGGGTCCTGGTTTGAACAGAGGTCTGCGGCGAGACGTTTTCTCATGCACCCCATCTGCAATGCAACCAGCACACTCCAAGTAAGCCGACTCCCCCAAAAAAGATCAGCCAGATTCTCGTCCGATAGACTTCAAGGTTCTTCGAAGATCACAAACACGCACTTTGTTGCTCAGCAGGCATGGCTGAGGCATTGAATATCACAATTGTCGGCGGTGGTATTGCCGGCCTGACGGCCGCAATATCCCTGCGTCGCGCCGGGCACCTGGTAAAAGTATATGAACGCTCTGCGCTGAACAACGAAATTGGCGCCGCGATACATGTTCCGCCAAACGCAACCCGTGCGCTGCTTGCATGGGGTCTTGATCCCGTCGGAGCGAAGCTGGTCACCGTCAAGTCGAGCTTCCGTGCCCAAGCAGACACTCTGGAAAGGTTCCATGTAGGGACCACTGAGTCAGCGATACCGGAGAAGTACGGCGCGCCTTGGTTCTTTGCGCACCGTGTAGATCTGCACGACGAACTGAAGCGACTGGCGACGGAGTCCAAGGGCGTTGGCACTCCGGTACAGATATACCTGAACTCTGAAGTTGTCCAATATGTGAGTTATGCTAGAATACAGTCGCCCATTGAACGCTAGTCTAAGTTGTCTACAGGATCCTGATGCGCCCTCTGTCACCCTTGCGAATGGTTCTGTGGTATGCTCGGACGTCGTTATCGGCGCCGATGGAGTACACAGTAAATCAGTCGAAGCTGTATTGGGCTGTGCCAACAAACCTGTCCCTTCGAAGGATTTGTACAATTTCTGCTATCGATTTTTGATCCCGGCAGCGAACATCGGAGCAGATCCCGAGACAACCTTCTGGAATGAAGATGACGACGGTCGGATGAAGTTCTTCGTCAGCGATCTGAAGCGCCTCGTATCATACCCATGCAGAAAGTAAGTGATCGAAGCCATGTTCACACTCACGTAAATTGACTTTGCACAGCAATGAGGAACACAACTTCGTTGCAATGTTTCACGAGGATGATATTTCTAAAATGAAGAAAGAAGGTGAGTGTTCTGCATGATGCTTGGTACGCAATGAACTGACCTGGAGACTTGATAGACTGGCAAGCCTCAGTAGACAAGTCTATCCTGTTGGAAAAATTCTCAAACGTTCATCCCAAGCTTCGAGCCGTATTGAACAAGGCCACTGAGGTTAAACAGTGGGCTCTTCTTTACAGAGCACCCATTCCAACATGGACAAAGGGTAAAATGTGTCTCGCAGGCGACGCGGCTCACCCTATGTTGCCTCGTGAGTTCCTTCCTTTCCACAGCCCGATCTTGATTCAGTGTAGTAACAAGAGTAGACCAAGGACAGGGTGGCGCGCAAGGCATCGAAGATGGCGTAGTTCTCGGTATGGTGTTGTCTGGTGCCTCGCACCAAAACATCATGGCAAGATTGTCACTTTACGAAGCCATCAGAAGAGACCGCGCCAGTCTACTCCAAGTCTTTAGCAACGCAGGCCAGGATGAGCCAGAGCTTATACACAAGGAAGCATCCCAGTTCATCCCTCTTGAACAAGTGCCAAGTACGTACATATGACAGCTATGTGGAAACCTTGAACAGCAACTGATACCCCATCTAGAATCACCCGAGCAGTTCTTCGACTTCAACTTCGGATATGATGTGGTGAGCGACACTTTGAATGGTCTCAGGAATCTCGATGCCTCATTTGAGCTTCCACCAGGCTTCTTCGAGAGAGCGCCTGGTAAGGGAGTCTACCCCAAGGAAATCGTCTCTTCGGCACCCACGCCCCATCAAACGTCAGGGTTTCCTGGCACCAGCGGTCCACACCCTGCCGAAGTTATCTCCCACCCATTGCAAGCAGCAGCAGCAGTATAGATTGTACCTCACGAGGCTAGAAACTCTTTTCAGGTGCAGGCAAGATCAAGGTTCACCTTACTACTCACCAAGAACGTGTCCATCTCCAGGACGGACTAGCGTACAAACCGAGCTGTTCAAGACCACTTCTGTTAGATAATCGCGAGACACGATGCTTCACGATTCATAAATAGCTTGGCAATATAGAAATTGAAACTTGATGAGCAACTGCACCCGTGTGCTGCTGGTCTTTTCAAAGGGGAGTTGGACGTTTGCAGGCTACCCAGCCCAGACACTGCTAGACCAGTGACACAGCTGTTGCCAGCTGATGACTGCTCAAGCACAGATCCACTTCATGACTCACTTTGCATCCATCCCAATTCACCAGTCTGATTGAAATCTCATGAGACGACATACATGGGGAAAACCAACGAAGTCTCAATTCAATAGCAGGTTCTTCTCATGATGGATGACGAAAACACGTCGCTGCTTGAGACAGGCGGCGTACGGGTTGCGGTCGAAGGTTGCGTAAGTTTCACCATCATCCCGCGGCACCAAATGCCCCGTTGAGCTCTGGCTGAGCTTGAGTGGGCCTCTGAAGCCTTGGACCATCGTCGTCATATCAGCTCCTCGACTCTTGTTATTCACACTTGAGCCCACCAGACCATGTGGCTAATATCGCTTCCCAGGGACATGGAACTCTTGACTCAATCTACAAGTCCGTTCAGAATGCCGCGCAAACGCGAGGCTGGGATGGTGTGGACCTTCTGATCATTGGCGGCGATTTCCAGGCAGTACGCAACGCAGCAGACCTCACAGTGATGTCCGTACCCCTCAAGTACCGTAAACTTGGTGACTTCCCAGATTACTATAGCGGCCGGACCAAAGCTCCATTCCTCACTATCTTCATTGGCGGCAACCACGAAGCCAGTTCACATTTATGGGAACTGTACTACGGCGGCTGGGTAGCACCAAACATCTACTATCTCGGGTTTGCCAACGTGCTTCGCTTTGGCCCAATTCGAATAGCTGGCATGAGCGGTATCTGGAAGGGGTCCGACTACAACAAGCCGCACATTGAGCGGCTACCGTTTAACCACAGCGATGTCAAGGGCTTCTATCATGTCCGTGAGTTTGATGTGCGCAAGCTTCTCCTCATCAGGGAGCAGGTAGATGTTGGTCTCAGCCACGATTGGCCCAGAGCCATTGAGCGACATGGAAATGAACATGCGTTGTGGGGGATTAAGCCATTCTTCAAGCAGGAGAGTCTGGATGGCACCCTTGGAAATCCTGCGGCAACTTATGCGTTGGACCGTTTGCGACCGGCGTATTGGTTCTCAGCGCATATGCATTGCAAGTTCTCGGCATTGAAACGACACGAAGCTCCCAAAGCAGACGATGAGGCTGATGCTGAGCCACAGCCTGTAGTAACGGCCACTAGAGATCCGTTGGCTGCACCATTGGAGGAGCCCGCGAACCCAGATGAGATTGATCTCGACATGGAGGATGACGATTCACATACCACGCCCTCTACACAGGCCCCGGAAACGGGCAATGGTGTTTCTGAGGAATTACGAGCTCAGCTGCCAGCGTCATTTGCCAAGCCGCGGGCAGCTCCACAAGGTGTGCCTGGACAGCCTGTACCTGCGACCATATTCAACACGGAGACTCGCTTCCTGGCACTAGATAAGTGCACACCTGGTAGAAAATACCTGCAGCTCTGCTATATCAAGCCCCTTACGTCGTCGTCTGGGCCGGACTCGCGGGATCTAAGACTAGAGTACGACCCTGAATGGCTTGCAATAACCCGTGCCCTTCACCCATATCTCACCATCGGAGACCGCGACGCCAAGACCCCTGCAAACGAGGGCGAAAAGTTTTACACGGAACTGATAGACAAAGAACGCACTTGGGTGGATGAGCACATCGTCGCCCAGAACAAGCTTGTGGTTCCAGAAAACTTTGCATTTACCGCTCCTCCACATAACCCTGGAGACGCAGAGTCATTGCCAGAGGGGCCAAAATACCAACCTGAAGAATACACAAACCCCCAAACTGCTGCATTTTGCGACCTCCTTCGGCTCAAGAACCTTTGGGATGCGACGCCTGACGAGAGGAAGGCTAGACGAGCTCAAGGACCACCGCGTGACGAATTTCTTAGATCTGGAAATCACGGTGGAGGCTTTCGGGGAGGTGGACGAGGTGGCGATCGCGGTAGTCGCGGTGGTCGCGGTGGTCGTGGCGGTCGCGGCGGTGGATTCGGACGTGGCGGCGGAAGGGGACGTGGTGGTCGGCAGTAGACATCAAGCGTTTCACATCGTAGCGGCCATATCTGGAATTCAGGGGAGTAGTGTACGGATTAGGCAGTGGCATGGTGCAAAAATTACCTGGAATTCGGAGGATGAAACAGTAATAGCCATTGGATCCGTCACCAAGTGAAGGCCTTGGTCTCCTAGACATGTCAAAAGTTGGGGGGCTGATCTCATTAAGATATACCGAGATGCAGCAAGAGATGCAACAGGGCATTTCGAGCAGTTGCACAATCGAATTTCCTACGCTCTTAGGGCCAAAGCACCCGAATGAGGGTATGCTTTTGCTGCTGGAAGGTAGCGGGCCATGCCAGTTCCAGGGTTTTCGCCTCCAACTTCGTCCCATTCGTCAGGCTAAAGTCAGTGTTTGGTTCTACTGCCTACCCTTCCAACGACACCAGATCCCTCTGCCTCCAGCGTATGCTGTATACGCTGACTAGGGAGCCACCTATCAGCGGGAATAATCCACCAGGAGAACAATGCAAAGATTGTCGTCGCTCCCATGATGATAGGGGCATAGTTGAGGCTCTCCCCATCCACTGGGAATATATACGGGGAATAGAGCACGGCTACCACCCAGCCGTTCCAAAGGACCGCTATGGCTTGGAAAGGCTTACTCCACCTCCCTAAACTCCACGCCGGCTTAGGGAATGTCGTCGGTGTGAGGAGAAGACGACTCAGCGATATCAAACCATATGCAGCTGCCGAAGGAACGCCCGCAGCGGACACAAGTGAGGTAAAAGCGACGGATGACGGGAGTAGTGTGCACGTGATAACGGCGGCAACCCCCCAAACGACAAGAACGGCATTTTTTTGGCTGCCCATCCTTGACTTGTGACACCCATCCTGACCAAGGCAATACGCCGTCACGAGCTACAGCGAAAACAAGTCTCGACGCCGCTAGCACCGCAATCGCAGTATTCTAGTATCTTGTTAGCAAAAGAGCGAGCAGTAACTCGGGAGCGGTTCACTTACAAACCAGAGCGCCGTAATGCAGATAATGCTCATGAAGATATGACCTCCCTCGCCAAGTACGGCGGCGTAAAGCGGGACAAAAGGTTGGGGAGAGCCAAAGGAGAAAAAGGTATCGGCATCGGGCTGAGAGGTACATTAGCGACAATGTGAAACCTCGGGATCCGCCGACATACCACACAAAACAAGAATAATATTACGACGATGAACCCCCCTATACCACTGACAACGGTACTCCAGAAAATTCCTCGTGCTGCTGACACTGCCGCATTCTTGGTCTCTTCAGCGACATGGCCTGATGCATCAAACCCGATCAAGATTCCCGCAGTAGCGAGGAATGACAGGCACCAGTTCCATCCATCTGGAGCACCCGTTCCATTGTATGTAGTCAGGAAGGCATCATGTGTCGACCGAAAGCCGTAGGTTCGACTCGTGGCTATAGGCAACCATATCATGTTGAGAACAAAGTCTAGAACCACGAATGAGAATGACAGGTAGAAGATCCATTTGAAGTACCGTGCTGTTTCTGTTAGTGGGCTCTCTACTAAATTGGATGTCACAGTTAGGGTCCAAGGCTTACGGGGCAACAGGTTCCAGATCGCTGCAAGCGCGAGCATCAGCTCCGTGCATATCCACTGAACAGCACGGAATCTAACATCCGAGGAATCCGAAGGGAAGTCAATGTTGAAAACGACGATTTCCTGGCTGCAGATTAGCATATCGTATGAAAAATCGCCATTGCTGTGGACTCAGTGTACCGAAAGCATATAGTTCACAGCACCTTGGGTGTTGCTTGCACAGAACGTGGTCCACGCCGTAGTGCTCCACCACGCTACGACAAAACCAAACAGCCTACCGAATCGCGGACCGCCAGCTTCGGCGGCCCATAGATAGATCGAGCCAGCGAGTGGAAGCGAGGAGCATATCTCTGCGATCACGGCAGCAGTGATGAAAGTGAAGACACATGTGATGATGAAGCTCGTCCTTCGACATCGTCAGTAGGAAATAAAGGTGACATGCGGCTGACGCTGCTCACCAGTATGCCAAATTGCCTCCAGCTGCTATGCCGGTTGCAAACGTGACTCGGACACCACCTATAAAGTACAGAGCGGCTATTTTCATTAGCTACATACACATACAAGATATGGGACTTCAAGTCCTTCTTGGACCTACCAAACGTTGTTGCAAAATTATGGAACAGATTAAACGTTCGATGCAGGACCTACAGGCCTTATGAGCGTGAACGGTCTACTGTCGGCCCATTGCGAACTTACTGGCTTATACCCGAGATTCTCCTGATAACAGTCAGCGTAACGAATTGAGGGTACATTAACTTACTCACCAGGACTTTGACATCTGTAGTGTTCGAGACAGGCTCCGCCGGGTCCGCTACCCGGTCCTCCTCTCGATAATGCGTCATTTGCGGTACAGATCGTTGCCGAGACCCGGTGCGACTGCCAAGGGCCGTTACAGAAATCCCAAAGCCGAGAAATTGCAGGCTTCGCAGTAAGTAATGACCGTAACAATCTGGGCTGAGTGCAGCTCTCACACGGCTTGTTATCTACCAACGTGATTTGTCGTCAAGAATTGCGGGCCAGCATGAAGAAGGGGGGGAAAATATGATCGGATCAGTCGGTTGACGACGGAGCAAACTTAATGCCCGGCCGTTGCCGCTAAGTGGGTTCTACCCGCCGCGGACGTAGGATGGCGGCCCGTCCCGACATAATTATGGGCCCAGAACCGGTATTTCGGATAGCGTAAAATCGGACAGTATTGTATGGATCATACCAAGACTTCAGAGGTGATGTTGCTCACATGACGAGTGATGTATGTTTCATCGCTGTGCTTCATTTAGGGCCCGGAAGCTGTTCCTTTTGACACTATGCCGATGTGTGAGGATTCTGGGAACAGTCGCACTCCAGTCCCTAGCGATCAAGCTGATATCACCAAACAAGAAGCGAGTCTCGTCGGTCGAACACACACATACTGGCCCTGACCAAACCAACCGTCAAATTAAGCTCCTATTTCATAACGACTAAGGTCGCAGCAAGCCCTCCAGCACGATTTTGCCTGAAGATTGACCTTGGTATGAAGTAATTACAAAACGCCGACTCGCCTCCTTAGCCCTCGTTGCCTACCTGAAAGCTCCACCTGATGTCAACAGCCAGACCGGTGAATCTGGATAACAAAACCAGCTCCCCACAATCTGTCTGTTGTAAAGCTGTTTGTTTTTCTGCTCTCATTGTTGTTTTCCGACGCGCCGGTCGTTTGAGCTCCCACCCTCATTCTCAACGCCCGCAAGAACCGGGTATCTCATCAGGAATCCTCTGCGTATGCGCGCGCCCATCTTGAAAATGGACCTGCAGAAGCTCGACGCGGATTTCCAAGCGCAGAAGCTTGAGAACGAGCGCCTTCTGGCGCTTGAACAGGCCAAAGCGCTCCTGGTTCAACGCATCGACCAAGCTCGCACTAACATCGTCGAGGCAAGTAGCGCCGTGGAGGTGACTTTGGGTGAGAGTCCCACTGTCAACGCGTATCTTGAAGCATTCACGACTGAATGCGCGTTGCTTGAGAAAGCCCGGTGCGAACTTTTGGAGTGGTACGAGAAGAAGGCTGGACCGACGCGTCTTGCAGATGCACAAGAAGCCACGCGCAAGATGCTCATCGACTTCCAAGACTCTAGCAAGGGGCCCACGATGCAGTTCCGAGGTCAAACCTTCGTCATCTCGCTCCTCCCGGCCGCCCTACATAGCACGTCCACGCAGGAGAAGCCCAAGCTCAGTTCTACTGATGCGAAGCTCGACGCCTCTACCTTGGTTGACTCGCGCCCGCCGAAGAGAGCGCGCCACGGCGACACCATCGTTGTCGCACCGCTACCACAGAGACAACACGCATTGTCCGATGAGGAGGTATGATGACGTTCACTTGAACATAATATTGAGGGGCTGCCTTTTCTCGGCCGGACTCCAGTCAGTCGCAACTAACATGAACCGAAATAGTTTCTCCACCAACGACGTCTCCGACTGCGCAGCCGAGCTTCGCTGTCTCTTGAAGAGGTCCAAAGCCGTCAAGGCTTTGTCTTCGAGTATCCTGGTGGCTCTGGTCTGATGTGTGCAGTCAAGTGCTTTACTTGCGACTACATGAGCAAGGTAGATCCCGAGTCGCCCATGACTCTCGTCGGATGGAAGGCCCATTTTCATCACCACAGTCACCTTAGCAAGACCGGAGATACGGTTACAGAGCTCACTTTTGATGAGATCAAGGAGAGATACTCCCACATCGGTAAGTAGGTCTGATCGAGTCGTGAAAGATGCAATATGTATGGGTCCAGAGGTGTTCGTCTGCATTTTGTCCCTAGGCGAAACCAGGACGGTGCATCACTTGCCCGGAAATATGATAACTGAAAACAATCTCATGCTTACCCACTTCAGTCCAGGACGCCACGCAGGATATGGCCTCTGCCATCAACGAGCAAATTGTTCGCAGAGTTCCTCTGTCGAGAGAGGAGTACCAAGCTATTCGATCCAGGAGATCCCAGTCAGCCAGCTCACCTGAGATATCCCAGAGATTAATGTTGCCTCCGAGATCTCAGCGACCCACAACCTCGGGATCTCAACGAGCAATGCTACCTGGGAAACCGCAGCGTTGGGCCGAGTAGCTTGTATTCGAGCTGAGGAGCAACTGTGCGAGCTTCCGTCGAGCTTACAAGCAAATCGAACCTGGCTTGGTCAAACTGGATCGGGATTGGCTCATGACATTCCCTCAATCGATCATGAGGGTGTAACATGGTGTCGGCAAATGGCACCATGCTCGAGAGCGCGAGAAGCATCATTCGAGGGGTTGTAGGGAGTAATAAGTGTAATTGGTTGGCAAAAGACTTCTGTCGTCCATGATCGGAAGACCAACTGGAGAGAAGGACTTCGTTCATTTACTGCTTGGTTAGGGTGAACAAGGGCACGACGTTGCGATATGATTTGCTCTCTGCAATCTTCGGTCATTGCAGGTAGTGAAAAGACGCCAGGGTACCAAAGAGACCGATGTACGTACGTAGGTTTTATCTGCGTCTACAGATTGTTTAGACTTGGCTATGCGAATAATAATAATGCAGATCGACATGCTTGTCCCGAGTACACATACTTCGGCCAAGGCGCCATTGCGCGCCCCCAAGACCAACCGCAGGGATTCTAGAAATATCCGATGTCATATGTCTGCGTGGACTCGGCGGGTTGGATATAAATCATCGTTATGAATGCTGTCTCGTGATCGTTCACGGATCCATCTCGAGAACGGACAGTCCAGAATAGTCTCAATGTCTGTTGCGAGCAGGGTTGTTGCTGGCGTGACCTGAAACCTCGATCTGGCATTGCTTGCCGATCAGCCCCGGGAAAGATTTGCGCTGATAATTCAGGTTTTCACTGGGCCCACTCCGATAGGCGCAATAATAGAGGATAGTATCATGATGGGGCCAGCTAATATTTCCCGACACTTGGCTATTATGGCGTGATGCATCAAGAATTGTCAATTATACATGCGTTCAGCATCGGAGCATCAGATAGCCACGGAAATGAAACCTAGATATGTGAAGGTCTATGAGAGGTGGAATTTTGATCACAGGCCGTTTCAGAGCTGCATTATCACGACTGTCCGTCCCAGTGTGCAGAATTTTGATGTCAATTGCTTTTCCCCGTGTATTTTATGCTACATTATTTTTAACATTAACAGCCATTTTTACGCCGATGCAAGACTTATAGGTGCGTGTACTTTTAAGCCAAATATTTTGATCCTGTTGAGTCACATGTTTGACCCTCAGGGCCAATTATGACTTTTCGGGTGTTGTTCGTTTTCGTCGTAGGAAACCATCACCGATTGTGTGCGAACAATGGCATTGGCTTGACCATGCTGTGAAGACTTCGGCCCATCCAATGGCAGAATACTCTCTTGACTGCCGACTTTGTCACACTCAGTCAGCATGGTCGGGTCGTTGTAACTTCCCGAGTGCCCAAAGGCACGGCGATTGGAACCAAGCTCGATGTTGTTGGGATGTGTGTTGCTGCCACTTCTTTCGCTTCCGTAGTTCTTGTACTTGCGTCGGTCTCTTGAGGAACCAAAGACATCGCGGCCCAAGACGAGATCGACGAGGGGTCGCAAGACCGGGATACATGTGGCGATTATAATAGTGCTACCCTCAGTACTGCGATATATTAGCAGGCAGGAGTCGAAGGGAGATCTCAAGCTGGGTCTTACCATGTCCAAACGACCAAGTCAGATGTATCATCTAACTAGTTAGCCACATGTAACTCAACGAGTGATGGAGGTCTTACAGGAGAAGTCGGAGCTAGCAAGCGATGGGAGACGCGTTGTCTTATATATTGCCACAATGGTAGAGCTGTGATATATAAGTACAGGGCTGCGGAACCACTCCGGGAAACCACCAACATTGAACCTAGACCGAGCGCACCGCTAAGGACGATCTTCTTCTTTCTGTTCATCTGCAATTTGTATAGGACGATGGCAGGGTAGACGGCAAGGTACAGGTCGCACGCCGCGGAAAACACTATATTCGCATTAGACAATTACTTCGTTAGTTACGGCAACCATGGCAGACTTACAGCCCGCGAACATGGAGTAATGCACTAGAATCCATGGACTCCAACACGTCTTCTCTGTGATAGAGAAATCCCACTGAGCCCTTGATGGCGTGCACTGTCCAAAAAGCAGCGCAATGCAGATAGAGAGAGCCACGACGCAAGTGCAACTCATGACCCAAAGAAAGATCTTGTGTGCTTTGCTGGGGTTCAGGATGCGTGTCAACAGCGCCACAGCGGAGAGCTTCGGTAACCCAAATGAGAATACGCCTGGACTAAAGCCAACCATCGTATAAAGAATCGCACCGGACTTTTGCTCCAGTGTGAGGGTGTCGAAATGTCGTCCATTGCCGGATTGGACTGCTGCGATAGAAAAGCCTGCCGATAGCCAGCCACAGATCTTGTTGATGGCAACCTTGTTAGAAAGTCGCTCACGTGGATTTTTGCCTGTGTAGGAAAGAGGGAGAGGTACGTACAACAGAAAGCACGATGAGATAGTCATCAAGATGAAGCTGGCGGACGATGAATGCCTTTGTGTATACTCGTGCAGCGACGAAAACAGTACTGAGAGCAGTTACCGTCGAAACAGCCGCCACGATTGAAGGCCCTTTGTTCTCGGACGCTGTGTCGCTCGAAGACATGGCGCTCATATTGTCTTGTGTCTGTCTCTGATAAGAGTGTTCCGGGCAGAGTAGACAGAAGAACTCTCTACACCATTCCGACGAAATTGATTTCGGTTTGGACTGTTATAAACTTTGTATTAGGAGAAAACACGAGGCAGAAAAATGTTGATAAAGAATCCCAGAAGGATATTGAGTGCTATGGCAAAGCTGCCCCTGTCTGTTTGCAGGGACCAAGTGAAGTACCCTGGAGATTACGAAAAAGGTGACTCTATTCTACGAAGTAGAAACAATGCCTCTGCAACATCGTGCCCGTCACAGTGAGCTAACAGTGTGACTGCGGCTCAGCATGAGGCTACGTCCGTGTTTCCACGGCAGAAGCTGGTGATACATCATACCGTGCTCATGATGATCATCGCAAGAGCTGTGTCTCGAAGGATCCCTAATCAATCCACCTTAGTAGTAGCCGATCTTAAAGTTCAGCGTTACGGTATCAACAAGGGTAGACAGAGTTCACACGATGTCGAACGAGGCTATTTCTTTGGTGATCCTGAGCCGGCATTAGATAAAGTGGGCTAGGTAAAGACGTTACGGCCCCACCGGCATTCGCATCCGCGCCACTACGGGCTACCGTGATGAAGTCGAAAGAACTTCGCGAAGAGCCGTTACAGCTGCCGTTAGGGCATCTTTGATTTCCAGTCTAGCCAGATGCCTTTATAATGGGTAAGGCTTGATGCAAAAAGTACCTCGGAAAGCTATTCTTCAAATTAGTCCGGGGTAACTACCCTTCCAACAATCTCATACTGTGTATTATCTGCGAAAAGACCCCCACAAACGGAACCTGGGCAGGGGGACAAACGATCTGTTAATCTGTCGGCGATCAGCCATAAGTGGCTCTCAGATTTTCTACAGGGGCTCATCACCCGCATTACGATTGTGCCCCATTAATATGTGGTGATAATGGGGCGATTGCGCCCAAGGCACCCAGCGAGCCCCAGCGTTGAGGTGCGATCGAGAGCGCCATTTTTGGCCAAACGACCCATGCATTCAGCTCAGCCGCCAAGCCCGGAAAGTTTCCAGGAAACATTCCGGGCATTAGTAGCTGTGCGTGGAGAATTTGAATCCAATTAGACGTTCAAGCCAGCTGATAAGCCAAGGAATTACCTGGCGTAGACAAGACTGAATGAAAGCGATGTGTCGAAGATCATATTGAGTAGGATGTGCATCCATGAAACGCCACAGCTATCGGAGAACTGACACAGATGGATTGGGCTGATTCACAGGCAACACAGGTTTCATGAAGTTCATTTCCAACCCTGTCACGATCAGTTGTACCTGAAGGTCCGACTCGAGCACTTCTTTTCCACCGTTGTGGGTGGAGTTACCGTATCTGGTTGTCTGGGGTCGGGTAACGATCATAGCGTCCCGCGGTGGCAGTGGAGGCGGGTGACAGAGACCAGGAACAATGACTCGCGGCTTCCGTCGAGCTGACAATCAGCCTGACCCATCTACTAGCTCGGCTCGTGTCTGATTTGCTGTTGTGGGATATTAGTCCTGCAGGACCAAACCTTCGGTGTGCAAGAGGGCCTATTGGGAGAGCCATTGACGAATGTGGATCTTTAATATTATGGGGGTCGAGTCTCGGCTTCACATGGGGTGAACCAAAGGCTCGGGCCGTCTTTGGGCAATCGAGCTAGGACAACGGACGTTACAGCCTTTACAATTGTGCTCATGGTGTCGTTATTATGCCTCCATTCTAAGAAACCCTCAAGGATACATACCTTCAAGTCCTGAGACTCCGAGGTGTCTGCTTAATCAGCAAAGCCTGAGGCTTTCTATTAGGCAAGGTAGGAAAGTCATCTAGCCAAGAATGGTTCGAGTCAATAAGGTATTGACCTGCACAGCAGAAGTTTATGCAACATGCAATGATGGCGACATGAGTGGGTACAGCCCAGGATCAGGGCCGCATCCTTCTCCCTTAACAATTCCTCGAAAGACAGGCTTGGCAGGGTGCACCCATGGCACTAAGCGCTGCTTCCTCCAAGTCGCTGACGACGCAGTGATATTTCTGTACCATCAATGTTGTGGTCCTCCACCTGTGGAGTAAGTCTGCACCGTTAGTTACTTTGATAACACTCATGGGCGCCTTCGCGCTTCTCCATTGCCAAATGCGGGCTACGGTGGATTACTGTATACATGCTCCACGATGATCTGTCTGGCCAGAGCAGGCCAGAGTCGGCCCATGTGTTCCCAGATATTGCTCTTATGACTCGGCAAGCTACCATCCAACCAGGTACATCCAGCCACCGTGGAACCCCGAAGCTCGATAGAGATTAGCACATTTTCCGTGCCTCTTTGCATGGTGATAGTTATCACCAGGTTGATCTCAAGTCTTGCCATGGGTTAGAAGTTGGGTGAAGCCAGTGGTGCTCGGCACACCCCACATCATGGCTTTCTCGTACCTTCTCGGTGCCCAGGCTCGATAGTTATCGCTAGGCTTCCTCCTTAATCCACACAAACTCCTGGGACCTGCATTTGAGTCCCTTGCCGAGGGACGTGGCCCAACCGATCGGCACGCCTTGGACGGCAGATAACACGAAACAAAAGGGGAGGTTCGGGAGCGAGAGCTGTCTTAACCTGTCCATCCGTGAATTCTACATATCTTGCCGATACGTACGACTCAGTATTACTCTACAATACTCTCTTGACCATGGCCGACGTGCATACCAATGGGGCCAGTGGCACCGCTCCTGGCAGCGGAACCAGTGTGCCTGACAAGGCCGCTCCCGATTTCATCAACTTCGTGCCAGATATCTCGGTCGCGCTATCTCCCTGCGATCTGGAGAGTGCGCCGAGGCACATTCAACAAATCCAGAAGTTAGGTGCTTCACTGTCGCCGGGCGATGACACAACGAGGCTTCAGCTTCTTGCTTCAGCAAGAGATTTGGTGCGGGCACTGGAGACACCGCGAGAAACAATGATCAAGCACTGCTGGTCTCAGGTGAGAATGTTTCGCCACATACCGAGATTCGACACTAAACCATTGTAATAGCCGACCGCCACGTCTGCGCTCACACTGGGAATTGAGACTGGCTTGTTTAAGGCCATGGCTCAGAACGATGGTAGCACTAAAACGGCTGCGTACCTTTCCAAGCAAGTTGGAGTTGATTATCCTGCTTTGGGTTTGTCTATTCATCTCAGTTAATTGAATTGTCTCTAATATGATTTCAGCGCGTATTCTTCGACATCTCGGGGCCATGGGATATGTTGTCGAGACGGGCGTAGACGAATACAAGCCAACCAACTTTACGACTTCGCTGTGCATATCGACTATTAGCGACGGGTACCCATGCATGTAAGACAACTAACTCGTTCACAAATCATCGTTGCGTATTCTGACAATGACATAGTTTCGGTTGTCTGGCGCAATCGATTTTCAAATTCTCCGAATACATGCAGAAAACCGGATACAAGACCCCGAACGACGTCAGCAACGGCCCTTTGCAGTATGCGTACCAAACTAAGAACAACATGTTCGAGCACCTCCACGCCAACCCCCCGTACGGCCTAAACTTCAACAACCATATGGGAGGATACCGCCAGGGCCGGCCCAGCTGGATGGACGATGGCTTCTTTCCCGTAGAAGAGCGCCTGATCAAGGGCGCCGATACCACAGCGGACTCCGCGATGCTCGTCGACGTCGGCGGTGGGCTTGGTCATGATATCGGAGAGTTCTGGCGCAAGCATCCCAATGCACCGGGCCGCCTTGTCCTCCAGGATCTGCCAGTTGTGATTGGACAGATCCAACAGCTGGATGAGAAGATCGAGCGCGTGGAGCACGACTTTTACAAGGAGCAACCCGTCAAAGGTAAGCATGCCCATCCAGCCCCTTAACCATAAACCGCACGAGGTCGACAGATGTCTAACTTGGCATCATGCAGGAAGCCGTGCCTACTATATGCACTCCGTTCTGCACGACTGGCCCGATGAGGTGTGCCTCAAGATCCTTGCACCTATCAAGGAGGCCATGAAGCCAGGCTACAGCAAGTTGCTTATCAACGAGAACGTCATTCCCGCGACCAAAGCCGATTGGCAGGCCACCGGTCTGGACCTCATGATGATGACTCTGCTTTCCTCGCGCGAGAGAACAGAGCAGGACTGGAAGGACATGCTCTCGGCAGCGGGTCTTAAGATCTCCAATATCTGGAGCGTCGCTAACGGTGTGGAAAGCCTCATTGAGTGTGAAGTTGCATAAGCATTAACTAATATGGATGCGATATGATATGTACAAATTCGAGTCAGCATGAGGTCCTATACCAAACTAGAATAGACACGTATTGTTCCCCGCCTGCTTGCTTGTGGCTGGTGAGTGGCTAGTGCAGCATCACAGGGCGACTGGAGTGCTGGGTGCAAGCTGAATTGCTTTTTCTTACGAGTCCCATCTAGTTCAATGTGAGTCTTTAGCTGCCGAACATCCTGTAGCATCCAAACACTGCCATCTTAACCGTAGGATCGAATACAGCTCTCGTCGTTCCAGCAGATTTTGATCTGGACGTGTTTGGAATCGTGTTATCCATGATGCTGGTTGCTACTATCTTTCTAGCATGCACTGTCCTGGGGTCCGAAGTCCCTACGGGAACTGTCTGGCTTGATGATGCAACACTGGGCGACTATCTCACCCGCAGAGATTCCGAACTCGCCTATCGCTTTGCCCCAGTCTGGAGCTTCGGACTGCACAAAGACCATCCAATGTGTTATCCAACGTGGGCATTTGGGGGTAACCCAACCCGGCACAACGGGGACACCTACGAAATAGCGCACCAGACCCCCAGCCAACCTCTCTGCAAGCATCCGGACGTTGGCTGCGGCTGTCGTGACCCCGGGGTCACTGTAGGGAAGGGGCCCCAGTTTCCTGTGTACTATAAGTATCTCAATCTCAGCCGCGAAGAGGTCCGAGTTGGCTATTTTCTTTTCTGGGAGAAGGACGGCTCGGATGGCCGGCCGATACCGCGCGGGCATGCGTAGTAAGTGATACTGCACAGTCTGCATTATTTCAAACTCAAAATGACTGATGTGCTCGGCACAAGTGACTGGGAGAACGTGGTTGTGTCAATCACGCGGCATTCCCAAAGCGACAACTGGACCGCAACCGCTCTATGGTTTGGTGGCCATGGTCAGTGGTTCCGTCGGCCATGGAACGACATCTTTACCATCTCAGATGAAGAGATCGCCAAGGCCAATGCAAACACTGTCCTACCCGAGAGGAAAACTGGCCAGCAGCATCCTTTCGTCTACGTAGGATGGGCAAAGCACTCGAATTTCGACCACCCGCGCCGGCCTTCAATGATGAACGACGATTCCCTTAGCCAGCTATTCTGTAAAGCCATACGCTACCAGAGTGTCTGGGGTTTTGTTCATAAAGAAAACTTTATCCATGCACACATTTCTACCACAGCAGGCCAAGCAATCAGCAGCGTGGACTGGGGGAGAGCCACAGGTACGCCGACGAAGATAAACTTATCTGACCTCGGCGAGGAAACCAGATGTAGTTTGATTACGGAATTGCGGCCTAACAACCCTATTCACGCACACGTGGAGAAGTCCTACATCGTCCAGCTCTCATACCGCTACCCTCGCCTCGGTTTTATCCGGAAGATAGTGAACATGTCATACCCCCTTCTTCTGTTTGTTACTATAATGATGGATGACGAGATCCTCAGATTCGTATTCCTGAGCACCCTGGTTGTTCTCCCATTTGTGGAGAATTCAGTTTTCGACCGGCTTACGAGTCGCTATGCCATCCTCCGTATCATCCGCATCGGGATGGTTATTGGCTTCTATGGCATGTTGGCATCAGCCGCTGTCATAATGGATGACAATGTTCTCAAATTTGTTCTCATGTTCGTTGTCACAGTCATACAATACTTGGAGAACTCAGGCGTCACACGACTTTCGGGTTTTGGCCTAGTCCCTGGCTCTCGTGTTGGTCTTCTTTATATCTCATACCTCATCGATCCTTTCCTTGCTAGATTGATGGAGCACTATATCACCCAAGTGGTAATCGTTGGTTATTTCACTGCTCTTTTCTTCGGGAACACTTGGATCCCCTCATATATCTGGGATCATTTTCAAGCCTTCCTGTACGTTTTGGACGCACTTGTCTTCACAGCGACTTCCGTGACGTTCTTTCTGGAGGACCGAAACCTCCCCACTGTCATAGAGGTTTGCCACTTTATAATGATTCTACTCCCTTACAGCCTCACGACTGTTTTACTTTACACCTTTGGGCCTTTCCCACCAAACCGATACAGCGTTCCAATTCGCAGCCACAACGAGGGCGATCAACGTCATGGGGGCCGCGACAGAAAAGAAAACGACGTAGACAGAAATGCTTCGACTGCTCAACTCGTTGTTCATGCTCAGGAAGCTGCTGACGAAAGTCATGGGCACGAAAACGAAGGCTAGGTATGTAATGCGGCTCATGTTTCGACCCTCCATCTGCATCCTCCTGGTCTCCTCCACTGACATGACCGCGTTGGCTAAGCCCATGATCCTATCGGCTCTTGACTGCAGGCTGTCGACTTTGGTCAGGAGGGAGATGAAGTCTCGCCATATATCAGATTGCCACTTGCCCTTGCCATCAGGCGAGACGACTAGCTGGCTCAAGTCATGACGCCTGGGCGAGTCGGAATAAATGTTCACTCCGAGCGCGTACCGGCCTTCGAAACATGTAACGCCATCCGCGAGGTATGACGCTAAAAAAGGCAGGCGGCACTGCCATTTGTGCAAGCTGTCAAGGGCTCGGTCAAGATTCTCTGGCCGGCGTTTTCGTTGAGCATCGAGTTCCCACTCGATCTGGAAGAGACCAGTGAATGCATATTGCAAAGTAACGAGAGTGTCACCGAAAATGAAGGGATACACCTTGCTGGTTATTGATTCTGGATCCTCGGCTAGCTGCTCCAATTCTTCTGCTGAGTTCGTGGTGACACGGCGCAGTAATGCGTCGAATGGTGACAGCCCTTTCGCGTTATGTACTATAGCCGGCGAAGACATAGAAGGCGGGCTTTCGAGACTGCCGTAGCCGTTCCAGAGCGGGTAGCCCTCGGGCAGATGAGGGTCTAATAGCACCACACCGGTCCAACCCGGACCCTCTGACTTTGTCCAGATGGATATTTTTCTTCTCAATAGACCGACCAGATGCGGCGAAGACTCCCACCAGGCGGTAGTTCCGGACTTGACTTGGCCTTGGAAGTCCAAGCGTCTCAGGACATTCCACGTTGCGGTCTTATCTCTAGCACACTTTGCTTGGTGCTCATGGTCGAAGAAGCGCGGCTCCAGGTACCGAAACGTCATGAAAGAGCGGTTTTGAAAGCGAGACCGGAGTTCCGGCATCTCAACCCAGTCATCTGTAATATTATACCAAGTATGGTCTTCGATATGATCTCGAAAGAACCTCGGATCGATGTCAAAGGCCGAGCCTAGTGCTTCGATCACCGGGCTCGAAAGGTCCTCGACAACGAACAAGCGACGTACTTGACTGTTGGTGCAGCGATCCGTTCCAAGTTGATCCAAGAGCTGGCTGATGCTGCCACAATTCTGGACTGTGATTGCGTGGGGATCCGTGAAGTTGACCACCCCAACTTTCACCACGCTTTGCCGCCTCAGGATGTCACTGAGTGGTACAAGTGACGCCCGCTTAGGAGACGTAGAGCATTGCATGAAATCTATCAAGTAGCGTAGACGCGGCCATTCGTCGGACAACCTCATGACATGTTCGAAGTATGGACCGCGGCTGGCAGACTATCAGCATTGAGCAGTCAACAAGCGCGTGATTTCCCTTACGAAGCGGCAATTCCTTGCAGCGGTGCACCTTTATACCCCTTGTAGATATCGCTTGTGAAGAATGGTTCACCGGGGTGCGGATTAGAGTGGGCGTCGATATGCTGTTCGCCAGTTTTATTGGGATTCGAAGCCTTCCGAGCCATTGAAGTTGGGTCGGGGGAGGCAAGGCTACGTGGGCTGGACTCGGCAGAGTTACCCGACGACTGGTGTGGCCACCGAGTTCTGATACCTGCTTCTCGTAACTGCTGCATCATCACGACTACGTTCGTTCACGAATCGATGGGACACCAGGAGTCGCTGCAAACTAACTATGTCAGAGCTTCGAGAGTGGCGAATTGCAACGGTAGGACAAAAACTACGGTTGATAGCTCTCTGGAGCCACGCACATCCTTCTTATGGGCGGCTGAACCGTGCTGTGTATTCGTTATCGTGTCTCAAACCAAGTGAGCGAAGATGTCAAAGTGAGGCTTTCCATCCGCTAAAACGCTAAGCCTCCGAATGACCATCCAATCGATAGCTTGCAGGTATTGTGGCTGCGGTTCAGCTGACATCTGAACTTGAAAATGACTACCTAGATTCCCAAGCGAAAATCGGTGAGCAAAGGCTTGCAGTAGCGGCTCTAGTAGTCTTCGTTCTGGCTGACTTCCGACTTCATTCCACTATGCTAGACCCGAGCCTCCGCGTTCTATTAAAGGTTTGGGATGCCTAAGCTATGCCATGATTATGTGGCGAGCGGCTTGGCGTACCTTGCCTTTGTCTGGGAATTCTTGTGCTGGACACCAGGCTTGGTAGCGTTGGCAAACTGGCATCTCGAATCAGATACCACAGCTCATCGACGCCTCTAATCATATTCCATTTCCAGCACCGCTCGTTTGGTTAGGTTGGCATCACGGCTATACCACTGCGTCGAAGAAACGGCGCTCACGAAATCGGATAGGCTGGTGCCAAGTGAGGGGCGATGCCGAGGAGCCTTGGAATGATGGCTAAGAATCAGTGTTGATCCTCCGATTCCTGTCAACACCACATGCTATGAGATAAACACACGCAATTCACGCGTAGGAAGGATTTCGACAGAGTAATTGGTCAAATATCTTCATGTTCTCTAACTGAATAAATGAATGGAGAGTATGTCTCCCCTCTGAAAAAGCATGATCTCCACAGAGAAAGCAAACCACGCAGAGTGATGGGGAAAAAGGTATCGATCTTCCATCTAATATAGACGGTCAACCCATGGGAGAGCAAGGGGTTGACCGCATATGCTAAGATGGGGGCAGCAACATATGAGCGTGGTCACGAAGCAAGATAAACAGCACCTGGCACTGCACATACTTACGAATCACCTGCATCAAACACCAGAAACGGTGGAAGCTGGTGACACATACCCTTTTTCAGACGAGTCGCAGCGACTCAAAGTGGTGGTATGATGAATAGTATCAAACATGGAAATACACCTATTCCATCCTGGGCACAGCCAGTGTACGCCCGGACTCCAAACGCCAGTCCATCATATCGTACGTATCAAGTCATGCATTCAATCAAGTCGGTTCTTGGATGAAGTGTGAGCACTTGTACAGAGCGCGCGCGCGCGTGTGGGCTAGCTCTTACTGTCGAGCTGCAGGTAGTCGGCAGCCATGAGGAGCTCGAGGCAGAGCTCGACGGGGATGTCCATGTCTGGAACATCTTCCCGGTTGCGGTTCTTGTACCAGTAGTGGAAGTACTCGACTACCTTTTCGAGCACTTGGCCTCTGTGGGCGGGGAGGTAGGTCAGCGACTGCTGACACGGGCGGTGGGGTGCGAGGGGCAAGAGGACTGCATCGGAACGGTGATTGTTTCTCAGATCAAGTGTAGTTGGCCATCATCCAGACCAGCATGATGAAGCAAGTGGTCTGTCGAACACAGCCAAAGCAAATTCGTTTCATCGTCGAACGAGAGGACATGGGGACGAGACCGAGAAGGAGAGGAGACAGAGAGATTAAACTTACGTGATCTCGGGAAAGGCGCATCGGCCGGTCTGGGCCTCGAGGAGGCTCATGCCGGCAGGACCTGGTAAACGACACAAGAGGCTCAGCGGCGAGTCCACGGAGATCGATGAGCCCAGGCACGGGATGATCAGGTCAGTCCTTACCCCTTCTCTCGAGCATGCTCTTGATCATGGGACTGATCATGGCGGCGTCCCGCAGCACGACGAACTCGAAGTCATCGCTCGAGACGAGCGTGATGTACCTTGAGGGGGCCGAGTCGTCCATGATGGGTGCTGATGAGGGCGAGTGAGTGACAGAGTTTCGGGAATGCAGAGGAGGAATCATGGGTAGAAGATGCTTTTCTGGGAGCAGATTTTTTTCCCCCCCCTCCGTCGGTGCGTGCGTGCTGAGCTGCTCACTAGCCCGCTGTCTGGCGTGTGTTGGCGGGCGCACGGGACATGTTTGCACAAGCGGGCCAAGCGGGTCGGGGAATTTCAGGTACCAAGGTCGCAGTCAGCAGCCGCATGCCCCCAGTGGGCCGCGAGGTTTCAGCGTGGTCCAGGCACGCAAGGCAGCCAATCAGGCCTGCCGTATGACGCCCGGGAAAGGGAGGGGCTGGGGCGCGATCAACTGATAGGCCCGCTGGCCCAAGGTGCCCGCCGATACGATCTGGTTGCCCCGCCAATGGGTGTAAACGTGCTGGTGATGTAACCGGGGTAGGCGGCCAACCAGGAGCCGAGCGCAGAGGTTGGTGATGCTGGGACGGGGGCCCCGGTGTCCACCCAGCCCACACGGTTGCCGTTGCCGGTGCGCTGTGCCTTGGAAAACACAACAATGCCAGAATGCCACCTGCGGCCGGGGCCAGCAGGGCAAGGCCGAGAGGACGAGCGACCAGCATTGGCACACACTAGCGAGCTGCTGAGCTGGCTGACCTCGCCCCAGCGTGCCCACACTCGCTGGACTACGCTATCTGTGTGTGTGCGCGGGATGATGAAGAAGGTGGCTGGTAACTAGGTTGCTATCCCGAGACCTGGCCTGGCCTGTTCCGGCCTTAATCAACATTGCCCACCACCTTCCACCGCTCTTTCCTCTCTGTTGTTGACATTGCCATATCGAAACTCCAGACTCCTGATCCCCGATCCAGATCCAGCTCCAGCTCCAGCTCCATAACCATAACCATAACCAAATATCACCGACCCGGGCAGAGAGACGGGAGGGTCCATCTACTCCGCGCGCGCAGACAACAGAACAGAGTCCAGACAGACTTTACCTCCATCGCATCCATCTCATCCCACCGCGCGCGCTAGGGCCCGGAAACACAATCATCGTGTGGTGCCGCTCCATCGTCAATCGGTCACCGCCCACCGCCCACCGCCCACCAAGCATCCGCTCAGCGGCGCAACAGCGATACCGTCGCATTCACCGCTAGTCTACGTCTTCTCCGGGTCGCATCGCCGCCATGGCGCACTACCAGAATCGCAACTCCTACTACGGCCACGGCAGCCAGCCGTCGGTCGACAGCAACAACTACCACAGCAACAGCTATGACGCCGGCCTCCAGCGCAGGCCGACGACGGGCGCCGACCGCTCCAGATCAGAACGCAACACGCGCTCCAGCGACGGCACCGTCAGCACCGTCATGAGCAACTCGACCGGTAGGGAGTCGTCGGGCACCCATGTCACCGAGGCCCCCGCCTACTCCAAGAAGATTGTCGTCGTCGGCGACGGCGGCTGCGGCAAGACGTGTCTACTGATCAGCTACAGCCAAGGCTACTTCCCAGAGGTAAGCAAAAACACCTCTCCTCTCGTCTCTCCTCTCGTCTCTCCTCTGCGCTCATGTCTGTTGGCCCGGCTGCGACACGACAAGGGACGACACGGGATGACACGAGTGCGGGGGATCTCCGAGTTCCATACGCAAGCACTTGTGCTAACCCTCGCGTAATAGAAATACGTCCCCACCGTCTTCGAGAACTACATCACCTACCCGACACATCCGCCCACCGGTAAGACCGTCGAGCTCGCACTATGGGACACAGCCGGCCAGGAGGAGTATGACCGGCTGCGCCCGCTCTCGTATCCCGAGACGGACCTGATCTTTGTGTGCTTCGCCATCGACTGCCCGAATTCGCTCGAGAACGTCATGGACAAGGTGGGTTTTCCATTTTCCTCTGTCCCTGTCGGAGGGGGGGATGGGCGGACCTCGGCTGGGGCCGCGGCCCCCCGTCAACCTGTACACATTTTGCATGTTGATCAATGGCTAACATACCGATCTAGTGGTACCCCGAGGTCTTGCACTTCTGCCCCTACACGCCTCTCATTCTCGTCGGCCTCAAGTCAGACCTGCGGCACAAGAAGACGTGCATCGAGATGCTCAAGACCCAGGGCCTCACCCCCGTGACGGCCGAGCAGGGCATGGCCGTGGCCCGCAAGATGGGCGCCCAGTACATGGAGTGCAGCAGCAAGGAGATGACGGGCGTCGACGAGATCTTCGACCAGGCCCTCCTCACCGTCGTGGGTAACGACCGCCGCAACCTCGAGGCCGCCATGGCCGCCGCGCCCAGCTCGTCGATGCCGGGTGCTTCCAAAGAAAAGGGAGGTGGCATGCCCGGCCTCCGTACCTTTAAGAAGAAGAAGAGGAACTGCATCCACCTCTAAGTTAACCCGGGGATCCGTATACGACGTAATCTTTTTCAGTTTTTCAAGGGTGGTGGGCCCCCGACGGCGGATTCAGGGTCCCCCCTCTCCACCCCCAATTTCAACAAGCGAAAATGAGACCCGACGGTAGGGGACGAGAGGGTCGAGAGGCATGCATAACACCCGACGATCTCTGACACCCAGAGATACCTTGGGCTCTCTGCTTCATTTACGGGACTGCGCATCCTGCATGGCAAATTCTACTTTCGGCCAACGAATTATTACGACGCGAGCGAGAATGGCGTGCATGAACTTTACTTGGACGCAAAACTGAATCTTTTGTTTTTCTTTGGTCTTTTCCCACCCTTCGTGCATCGTTTGGCGCGAGGATCATTGGCGGCGGGATTAGACACACCCACACGATCTCAAATGTCGCATATAGATCTTCTCCACCGACGGGCGTTTCTCCACACACGCTTCATCCTCTTCCCCCGGTCAACGTCCATTGAGAGGGGAGAGGAGGCGGGTCAGCTTTTAATGATGCATGCATCTTGCTATTCTGGCAGAGCCACTGACCGGCCAGCCGGCCAGCAAAGCGAGCAAAGTCTCATTCTCACTATGTAATGGTTGATGCAGGGACGAGCGAGTTGTACGCGGTGGAAATGAATCTGGAAGGGAAATGGAACGGACGGAAGGCCACCAAGGGGTGGTAAGGGGAAGGGAGGAAGGAAGGGAAGGGGGGGTTTTGCGTGTACTACTTGGAAACAAAAGTGTCACACGATACAAGACACCACCATGTTCTCATTTCGATATGTTTGTATTGATCGGCCATGGCGTTTCCTCATGTTTTCTTTTTATTGTCGACGCACAGCATTCTGGTCTCTGGGATAGGAAATAAAGCACAAATATACTTCATTCATCATGCTCTCCCCTCGGTATTCGTTTGGCCAGTGTCTTCGTGATCTTCGTGGTATTTTCCTCGGCTGTGGCAGTGTAGCTTGGCGACCGATCGTCCTCGCTTCCCAGGCTAGATGCTACCGGCATCCATCCGCTCGAATCCCCAGCGACTCGGTCTGCAGAGGCCGCGTGTGGCCGCATATCCTCCGTAGACTTGAAATCGAAGAAGGGCCCTCAGACTCAGACCACCCCTCTTGAAGACCACGGCAGGCCGAGCCCAGTGAGCTACGAGCCGCCAAAAACTCTTGCTCATTGTAGTGCACCATCCAGAACGATTTCTTCCAGCTTCTGTATATGGACTTCTGCAGCCATGCCATGCCACGACGTGGCGCGCTCGGTCCTTGTTGTCTCTCTCCTCTGATGACGAAGTCGTCTCACCTCCCAGCGCGCTCCTCGTCCTTCGTCGGCGTCCGCTCGCCCTCTTCGTGCTCCTGGTCCTCCGGCTTGTCGTTCTCCCCTTCGCCTTGCTCGTCCTCGGGGTCCTTGGCCATGACGTTCTCGAACTGCGACCACAGCGCCTCGACCGAGGAGAACTCGTTGCCGACCTGGCAGAGGGGGGGTCGACGCGTTAGCGAGCTGGACGAATCATGCTGGCTGGCTGTCTGCTTCGCCGATTTCATGGGCTGAGGGGGAAGGGGCCACAAGCAGGGAGCCCATGGGTTGGTGAGGGAGGGGTGTAGAATACGTACGGCAATCACAGCCTCCAATGACCGGTTCAGCTTGTTGATGTTGGCGAGGACGTGCTCGAAGCTCTGGAGGGCCACGCAAGGCCAATTAGCTCAGATCCATTGCGGCCCTTGTCTATGTTTCCATCATGCAAGCGATCATGGGTAGATGGGCTGCCCCAGGATCATGGACAAGCACGGCCGAGGTAGCAAATAGGCAGGGTATGGTGCAGACGACCCGGCTCGCGAGAGGTGCACATGTTACATACCATAGCAATCTCGCCAATCAGGGCCTCGCGCTGCGTCTCGAAATACGTCTTCTCTCGTCCGCCGCCGACACCGCTGCTGGCGCCGAGGGCGGAGACGGGCCGCTGGTTCGAAGACATGGGCGTAATGGACTTGGTGCTGTGAGTTGGATGTGTAGGCTGCCTCTTTGGTACCAGGGATCGCTAGCTTCTAGACCGGGATGCGGTCTGGCTATAGAAACTCGCTGAACTCGGGATGAGACGCGGGTATGACGGGCGGATCGATGAGGCTCAAAGATCCAGATTGATTGATGTGGATATTTCCCAAGTCGCAGACTGCCGGTGACGCGGTCGAACGCGGTTGAGCGCTGCGGCAAGTGGCAGTGAGTCGCGCGGGGGGCATGAGTTGTCCAGTGCGGGGGGCAGCTTCAGCCAGCTTCAGCCAGCTTTAGCCAGGCCAGCCTCCCTGCCTGGCTTCTCTCAGTTGTGGCTGGGGTTCAGATTACCTAGTGAGTGAAGCCAGGCCTCAAGAGCTACCTACTCCATCGATCTTCAGGGGTTTGCCGACGGTCATTGGCTTGAACTACACACAGAGTGGCACTGCACGACCTCGTCAACTCGTCTGATGATCCCCTTCATCACCTCAAGTTTTCCGACCCGCCGTCCAAGACCAGCCCACATGGCTCGACACCACCGATCCCAACGGCCCGATGCACGCGCCTCTCCCCCCCTTTACGCATGATGCCAGTGGCTAATGACCGTCCTCTGCCTGCCGGGCTGTTGCTGGCGAGCTTGAAATAAGCAGCAGCAGCATCAAGGCACGGAAGATGACGATGTGCGCACAACCCCAGGTCGGAAACCCACAATGGCACCAATCGAGGGCCCCGTACCAATTCTACTTGGCGATATGTGACTGCCGCATCCATGCTATAACTACCAGGTCTGCCAGTCTCGCACCTTGGCGCCTAGCCGTTGCCCGAAAGCTTGGTCATCTCTTGGACTTTGCTTGTTTGTCTTCCGCCGGACTGGGGACTGGGGGCTTGGGACTTGTCGACCCTGGGGCGGGCGTTGGCCGACACGGCGGCCAGCCAGCTAAACGCTCCACGTCATTCGCCCAACGTCGTCGACAATGCACCTCAGAATAATGAAGTCCCCGTCACACGATCGACAGGGCCGCCTTGGCCGTGCTTGGCTGCCCAGGCCTATCAAAGCTTGTCCTCCTGTTTCGCCTGGGCAAACAGCACGGCGTCGGGTATCACAGAGCACAGCAGGCGCGGCTGGTCCATTGGCCCTCGAGCAAAACCCAGATCTATCAACTCGCATCCCCGGTCCCCCCTTAATTGCGTAGCCCGCCCCGAATGTGGCAATCTGGCCCCGGTCGCCTCCCCACACCTTGCCCTCATCCGAAAATCGTTCCTGGCCGGCGCTGCACGTTTTTGGTAATGAAACGCCCCAGGCCGCCTGCTGGTTGGCCAGCAGCTCCCGAGGGCTGGGCGCCTTGAAACGTCCCTAGCGTGGCCCTGCGTACTAGCAGGGGCCGCAGCCCTTCAACTGACGACGCCCGTTTATGTGCGGCCAACGTGAGGCCGTGGGGACGTCGTGTTTGTGAGGCTCATGTGCTTCCTCGCCCGTCCATGACGATCTATCCACCACTCTCGAGGTTTGTAAAATTTGGGGCCCGGAACGATGGGCCTACCTTGTATCCTTGACGACTTGGCCCAGGTCCTTGTCGCGGAGAAATGATCGCCTCGACCTATGCTGATTCGATCATCACGCCCGCCCCCAATCTAACACTAGAAAGGCCTTTGTCTGCCGAAGATGCGATCTGCATATGAGTAGCCGCTGGCCTCCACTGGCCACCTCTAGGTTGGTTCTCTCTCTCTCTCTTCTTCCTCAGTTCTATACTCGAGTATCACGATCTCTTCTTCTTCGGTCCCGGTCTTCCCTCCTTTGCAAGACCTTTTCTCGGCAGCTTCTTTCTGTCCTTCTACTCGACAGTATACCTCAGTTGCCAGGGAGTGCTGGCACTCTAGTTCATTCTCTCTCTTCAAATCTACACACTCTCTCACGCTCCCTCACACATCCTCAAAATGGTCTCAGCCATGCTTCTTACCGCCGGTTTGGCGGCTGGTGCTCTCGCCGCGCCCGCTACCAACGTCCCCGGCCACCGCAAGGCCGGCTTCACAGTCCCCCAGGTCCGTGCCGTCGGCCACGTCCGCCACGGTCCTACCCAGATGGCCAAGACCCTCCTCAAGTTTGGCAAGACGGTCCCCGATGAGCTCACGGCGACCATCAAGGCTTGGAAGATCTCGAGGCGGGAGGAGATGATGAAGCGCTCCCAGGGCAGCGCCATCACCACCCCGGAGCAGTACGACACCGAGTATCTGACCCCCGTGCAGATCGGTACCCCTGCTCAGACCCTCAACCTCGACTTCGACTCCGGTTCGTCGGATCTCTGGGTTTTTTCTTCTGAGACGGAGAGGTCCGATGTTGCTGGCCAGGCCACTTACAACCCTGACTCGAGCAGCACCTCCAAGGAGCTCAGCGGTGCCTCTTGGGACATCTCCTATGGTGACGGCTCGTCCTCGTCTGGAAACGTCTTCACTGACGTCGTCAGCGTCGGCGGAGTCTCGTTCGACTCGCAGGCCGTCGAGACCGCTAAGAACGTCTCAACATCCTTCACCTCAGACGCCAATAATGACGGTCTGCTGGGCCTGGCCTTCAGCACTCTGAACACCGTCACTCCGACCGCCCAGAAGACCTTTTTCGACAACATCAAGGGCTCCCTGGACTCGAGCCTGTGGACCGTCGACTTGAAGTCCGACAAGCCCGGCACCTACAACTTCGGCTTCATCGACGACACCCTGCACACCGGCGACATCGCCTACACGGACGTCGACTCCAGCCAGGGCTTCTGGATGTTCACTGCCGACAGCTACAGCGTCGGCAGCTCCTCCTCGGGTAACTCTACCACCGGCACTGGCTCCAGCACTGGCTCTGGTTCCTCCAGAGCTTCGGCTTCGGCTTCGTCCGCGGCTCCTTCCGCTACTTCGGGATCCGGTGCCGGCCCCGGTGGCTTTGGCCCCGGTAGCGGTAGCAGCAGTGGCAACACCGGCAGCGGCAGAGGCGGCCAGCAATCTGGAGGCTCCGGCTCCGGTTCTGGCGCCGATTCCGACTCGAGCTCTGACTCGCTTCTCGACCTGCTGACTGGCCTCTTTGGCCGCTCGCCTGAGCCCAAGTCTCGCGCCTCGGGTTCCTCTTCCGCAGCTGCCACCACCCTGACCGGTATTGCCGACACCGGCACCACCCTGGCCCTGCTGCCGCAGTCCGTCTGCGAGGAATACTACGCGCAGGTCTCGGGAGCCTCGTACTCCAGCTCCATCGGCGGCTACGTCTTCAGCTGCGATGCCACGACGCCGTCTTTCAGCTACACCGTCGGTGATGTCACCATCGCCATCCCCGGCGACTACATCAACTACTCGCCCGTCGACAGCTCCGGCTCGAAGTGCTACGGCGGCATCCAGCCCGACAGCGACATCGGCTTCAGCATCTTTGGCGACGTCGCCCTGAAGGCCGCGTTCGTCGTCTTCAAGGATGATGGCAACACGCCGCAGATTGGTTTCGCTGCCAAGACTTTGTAAAAGTGGCAGCTGCTTATTTGCTGAAAGGGGAAACTGTTCTTGGTGTTAGGTTACCCTGTGTTTTTCTATTTTCGCTTCGGACTGTATATAGAATTAGATCGTGCATATAAAGATATGAATACCGAACGACGTTCAGCTCAAACTGCTTGTCGGTGTTGGTCGGGTGCATCGACGTCGAGTCTCTCTGGGAAAGACCAAGTTCATCCAACATAACCTCACAGGCCCACTTCTTTTCCATGAGCGCCTGCAGCCCTGCCAGCGCTTCCTCCTTCCGCCGCCTCTCGCCCGGCCAGCTCTACTTTCGGTGCAGGTGGTAGATCCACTTCCTCACGCCATCTTCGGCCAGCGCTGCCATTGCCGCGGCGTCGTACATCTCGCCCGACTTAAGATAGTAGTCCTCCACGGGATCGTCGTCCGGGACGTCGATGTCCTCGACTCTTCGATCTCCCCGCGCTTCCTCGCCCAGTACTCCTCGGCGGGCGCACGGGAGCCGGGCCTGATTCGGATCAGGTACTGGCAATGGAGCCCCCCAGCGTATCAAGCACCAGGGAAAGCCCGTAGCTCTCGTAGCCCGTCGCGACGAGGACGACGTGCTTCGACAGGGGCGGCCGCCTTGCCAAACCAGTGGTTTGCTTCGAACCCGCCCATTTCCCCCGCGCCGCGCACGGAGTAGTTGGCCGTGTTGCAATTGTAGTCGATGTTCAGGCAGTGATCCTGGGGTTTCTCCGCGATCTATGGTGGGTGGCGGAGCACGTCGACGGAGAAATCCGTCTTGCCCAGCCCGGCCATGTTCCGGGCCGTGATCTGAGGCCAACCGGCCGGAGGCGGCTGCTTGACGTCGGATTGGGGCAGACACAGCCGCACGAGTAAAGCATAGTGAGCGTAGAAGAGGCCGATGAGGCGGTCTCGGCGTGCCGCCCTGATCCGCGACTCATGCCTGGTGTAGGTTGTGTGAAGATCGTGGCAGGTGACGCTCAATACGATGGCGCACTGGTCTTTAGACGGCGTGGTCACCCATAACATACAAGACAGAGCCAACTTTCTCAAGAGCGGTCCATGTTGACCTAGGAGCGCTGTCGCACTCAAATATATCACCTTGAGGGCTGGGACTCGTGCGGTATCATTGTGGCATTACGAGCGCAGTGTCCTTATTTCGGGACAGTCGCTATGGCTTGCTCAAATGCCGGAAGCAGGCTTAGGCTCTGAACGAGGCGGTGCCTGTCTTCCTGCGAAGTTGGTAGCGTCGTGATCCCAAGGGTAAGGTATATAAGCAGCTTGCTGCTTCGGTAAGTGTGGAGCACGAGAGGTCTCCCCAAACCTACAGCTTGGCCGCCGGACAGGGGGGGGGCCATTTTGCACAGTTCGGACCCCCCCCCTGTCACTACTTAAACATACACGCTTGGCACTCGATTCAAACCGCAATTTGTTATGCTGGGCTAAGCTAGAAAAGTGTCCTTGATCATGTATGACCGTAGCGTCTTACCGCAACTTTCCTTGTCAGAGACGATCTGGGGCTTTGCAAAGCCACAATTGTTTAGTGTCAATGTGTCGCTCAAGGAGGAATTAGGAAATGTCGAACTTTGGCTACATCTTCCAGGGGTGGCTGGTCCTATTTGCTCTTCACCGTGCGGCATGTTCAGAGTGTCGGGATGGCCTTGAGGAGCATCTTCTTGCTTCAAATGAAACGTCGGTCTTGGTTGAAATTGCTTCCAGATGTCGCCCCGCTCCTCTTTCTTCTCTTCTCCCTTTCCTTCATTATCCACCCACGTTACATGCGTATCTTGTATTGTGCTATGCATTTCTTCCTTGCTCTCCTCCTGACTCCTCCTCTCCTCGTTGCTGGGCTTCGACTTATTCGTCCCCTCCTCGACATTCTTCTTCTGTGGTCGACGCCGGTTTTCGGCCTGGCCGACACCCGGCTGAAAATTTTCTGTCGTGAGGCTCTCCTTGACTGTGTTTGGGCCATCGTTATGGGGTGGCTGTTGGGCATATTGTGGGTATCACCGGTCTTGTTACCAGCATACTAGCGGATTTCCAAGTCGGGGACTATTTTCGAAGCAATTGTCGTCAAGGTGTCACGGCTGATGAAGATGCGCCCAAAGCCTTGCTTGCGGGTGACGCTACCAGTATGAATTTAATCAGGCATCCGTCAAGGAGCACAAGTCCTATCCACTCAACATATGACGAGAAAATATGGTCACTATACAAGTCAGCATAGGCCTCTTTCAACCTGCCTTATCGGCTACCACCTTCGTTCTGGACATGACCGCTGTCACATGCGCACACGTCAAAACACTCGTACTTTGGGTTTTTGGACTCCTTCGCCTATGGTTTATTATCGCGCTGCGGAAATGCCGTCATGATACAGTTCAGGTTAGGAGCTTCCATATTCTTCGAAGAACAACAACTCTGCTCCACAATACTGCTCCGGGGCAGGATTCAAAGTACGGACCGACTGAGGGACAAGTTTTTGGTGGTATTGATCTGGACAGAGAGGCATAACGGAACTACCGCGATCAGTGGCACTGAGCGCAGAATTAAAAGGCTCGGCGATATCTTCAAGGAAAGCAATACACCAAGGTTTCCCATTGATTTTCCTTCAATATACCATCTGAGGTCACGGATACAAGAATTCCTCTCAAGGACACGAGTTGCGATCCGCATAGATCAATTAAAGCTTCTTGAAATGCTACGCAAACCTCAATTCTTGGATGACTCCATGCCTAGCAGACAGCCCTCCCATAAAACAACCTCTATAAGAAGCCTCAAAGCTTACTCTATGTATTTGAACTTTGTTAAGCTACGCCACCCATTTTATGATTCGTCTTCCGTAGACAACAAGTCTACATGTCCCTTGCTCGCCCGAACAGGCAAGACGAAGACGATGATTGTAGAGAAGGCAATCATCGCAGCAGCACATATAAACGGGAGGCCGATCCAATCTCCGCTCAGCTCGAGCCCCAGACGGAAGGACGAGAACAACGCAGGTGCTCCAAGCATCAAGGCGATCATCTCTAGTATACCCAGCAGGGAGTTCATGGTACCCAGATGGCGAGGTTCCACCATGTTGCTCAGTAGACTGCGGAGGACAGCTGTCATGCCTCCGTGGATTGCGAATGTGACGAGACCTAGCCGACAGGTTTAGTTCACTGCTTAGTATTGGTAAAGAGACAACCGGCAACTTACCAAGGATGAGAATATCCGGAGTCGATGCGAAGGCAATCAGCAACGACCCTAGAACGCCAGCGAGACCAGTCACACGGGTGATCCATACATCTCTTCTTATAACGCCGACCTTGTAACGCACGGTAAGCAGCTGGGTAAGCGCTGGCAGTACAACGATAAGCACCACTAGGCTGACTATGCTGCGAATAGTAAGAAGAAACGAGGCCTGCGCATAGGTAATGACATTAGCGCTGAGATTACACCTAGGCAGAGTATGTGTAAGTACGTACTTTGCTCCAGGTCCAGTGGTATCGCTTCGTAGTGTACTGCAGCAGCATGAGTTGTACGACCTTGCTTAGAGCCACAAAGACATAACAGAACATCATGACGATCGCTCGTCCATGGCCTTTCAGGAAGGAGCGAATCTCGTGCACGCCTTCAGAGATGCGGCGAAGTGACTCTTGCAAAGTAGAGGTGCTACTAGCCGTTGCGTCTCCACTTTGGTCTTCTCTACTTCCATCATGTGTCGTAGTAATCTTGCTGATGCTCAGCGTATCAGGCAAAAGGAAAGTGGTTGCGGTGGCCAGAACATAGAACACAGAGGCCAGGCCAATCAAACCCCATGTACTTTTCAATAGAATGAGACCAGCAAGTGGTCCAGAACCTATCTCTGAGAGAATGAACAGAGCAGAGAGCTGTAAGAATATTGGTGCCCTGGTTAGAGTTACTGTCAGCACATTGTGATTGTCTAACAAAAGGTCTATCTGCAGTGGACATACCTTGCGCTAACCGGAGTGATATCGGCTATTGATGTATATAGCATTGCTGTAATGACCGCGGGGCCACCACCGAGAAGCATGAATACAGGTGACACGAGAATGAGATTGGCAGGCAATACATCAAAGTAGACTTCACGGACATGTTAGAAAACCTGTCATTCAGATGGACGAGCGATAACTTACGGACAGTGACTAGGAAGGCAAGTCCCAGAGTGATGCCGGTGAATGCCAAAGAAAGGACGCGATGCCGACCCCATTTATTTGATAAAATGCCAAAAGGGACAGCCACAATAAGGCCTGTGCGATGAAAATTAGCTGAAGAGTCCCACCTCACACCATGGTTCACGATCGGTATCAAGAGATCCAAATGCGACACAATGTTGCAGTCTTCAGATGACTTCTATCTTACTCAACAGTGGGACAGACATGTGAACATACCTGGCACACAGTCTAACATCGTTTGCCAACCTTTAAGAACAGCAAATTGGCCTTGCACATCCGGGGACTTGCAGTCCCGATCAATAGGCGCTATGTTGCTATACCTTTCGTCACAGATTTTCTGCTCCAGGGCGGCTGATGATCCAGGAAGCAGGAGGCCAGCTCCGAACTCCAAAAGAAAAAACATGGTGAAAAGGACAACAATGACCCGGCGCTGGTGTTGAACTACTGTGGAACGTTCCGAATTGCCGTTGAGCAGGGGACTCGTCTCCGTGGAACCGCTGCCATCGCTCCCCGGTGCGGAGTCGGCGCTGTGGCCGTTCATGCTAACGCGATATGAACAGCGGGATCGTACAGGTATAGGCACGAGAAAAAGAGAGGATAGCGCTGATCGGAGGACCAAAGCTGAACGGAAGTCCTGGTCGTAGGAACGGGTGATAAAGATACAACCCAGAAAATGGGGAAAGGAATGCGACGTTGGAAGCAGCCAATGAGGCGAGAGGCAATTACCGCACTTTGGCGGGGCGGACAACCCACCGCCCATAATGGACAGACAGCATCTTCTCCAAGGCTAGTTAGCACAGTTCAATGGGCTCCACTGCGCAGAGGCTACGTTAAACAAAGAAATTGTAACGATACTCGTATTTACGAGGCGAATGATTTTGACCCAACGAGAAATGCTAATGTGAGGTGTCACAAACCGTCACAGCCAATGAGAGTTATCGTCCGCAGAGATCACTACCGCAAGCCACCAACGTCAACCAAATTGGGTACTTCCGCTCAAGTCAACGCGTTGACTGGCGTTGTCGCGGGGTACTCTATACTCACCTTCGGAACAGCACTGCACGGAAATCTTACAAGTTATGCAACCCCACTCAGATTCATGTCGTGTACTTGCTATTGTAGGACGATATCTTCCAAATACATGTGGTCCGTAACGTCCGCCACCTTGTCCCACACCTGGCCTTCCATCATGTCGTAAATCCAACATTCTCCCACTAGAATCATACTGCGACAACCGCTGTCTGAGTCTTTTGCTCCTTTAGTAGAGGCGCTGGAATTGACTTTGTTAAGCTGCGGCATGACTGAATCCCTGAGGATGAAGGGAACGCTGCAACTTTCTAGGACGAAAGCCGAGTCGCCAACAGCTGCATTATCGGGGGCTAGTCCAATATACCCGGTGTCAGTGATGAAGAACCTCCGTCCATCACAAGCTTCGAAGATGTTATGGGCTTGCCGCACATAACTTGGTGCTCCTTGGAAGATATCCCGCATCGGCATCTTTGCAGTAGACTCCTGTTTGACTAGGACGGCCATTCCCCTCCAGGGCGTGTTTCTCGGTTGCCCTGGTTTTCTGTGCTCAACTTCTTCTCCGGTGTAGTGTTTTATACGTTTGACTGCACTTCTTACCACCTCCGGGTACTTGATTGAGTCCGCCGCTAGCGTTCTCAAGAAAGGTGGAAGCGGAGGAGGACCATTGCTCTTGAACCAATAAGAGACGCCTGGTGTATTATGAGGTGTTTCCGGCTCTTCATGCCACCATCTTGAGCTAGATCCAAGCCCTTCCCACTGCGCTATTGGGAATATGTCATTGCGAATGTCGCAGGTGTCACCAATCATAGCAACTGCACCAACCCTCACGGCTCTGACTCGGAGTTGGGCTAGTGGCTGTTGATTGATAGAGTCAGGCTCTATAACAGTCCATGGCCGTGGGACCTCTGGAGGCAGTTCTTTTGATCCCCACTTGTATCTTGGTCTCTCTTTAAATCCCGCGAACGGCCGATCGATCTCTGTCCTGAACGATCGTTGGAATAAGAAGTTACTTTTCGGTACAGCGGTCCAGTCTGTGACCCAAGATGGTAAATTGGCCACGAGGCGTTCGTTTGCCCCAAGTTGAAGTGTATCCAGCCCGAAATCAGGCAGGAGCGCTACCGCAAGCTCTGTATACACTTCATGGACAGAACGATGGTAGTTTGCTCGAATCGGGAGTGTTTTACACAGTAGTGATTCGTCTGGTTTAGTACAGTGGTTGTAACGTGGATGTGCCGGCCAATCTTTGAGTTGCAATATCATTCGCTGATGCTCCCAATCGAGTAAAGGGAGGATGGCGTATAGCTTGTCTCGCGGATCCGTTGCGAGACAAGACCTTGTGGCTTGGAGAAAGTTGAACAGCCGAGTTGTGTACGTGATGAAATTAGAATAATCTGAACGATCAGAAATAGCGTATTCGATAGAGTAAGGGAGAGCCTTTATCCAACGCTCGTTGCGATTCCAATGGCCGAAAGCGCGAAAACTGTCCCAGCTAACCTGCCGGTTTCCGCACACCACAACTGCCTTCCGAGCTAGAGTGATCTCTTGTAACACCCATATACGGCGGAACCTTGGGACATCAAAGGTCAGTATGGCATTTGGAGTATAAAACTCTCAGTGGGAATTGCATACCAGGGACGTCGAAAGAGCGCCTCTACAGATGGTCTGTCGACGGAAGGGAGTTTCGAGCCTCGGCTAAATGTTTCATATTTGCTATAGTCAGTAGGCTGGTCAAGATCTTGGATCCAATCCAAAGCTGTGTCGCTGTTGTCGGCGCTCTCCCCCAAATAGACAATAATGGAGTCTGCGCCATGGTAGATGCGGGTCATGAGCGCCAGTTGGTGGTTGCGCTCGCCCACTAGTGTTTGGTTGATGCATATAGCATCGACCCACAACATGCGTGGCCTGTCTTTCATTCGGAGCGACCGCAGAGTAGCATAGCAATTGGCGGTGACAGATATCTGGAGACTGTTACTACTGCCATCGGAAGGAAGGACGTGTATCTCTGAGGTTAGAGACGTGTCACCCCAGACGTAAGAGACGGCCTCGTACTGCGCATTTCCGATAGAGCAGGTTAGGAGACGAATAGCCAGCGAGTCATCAGACTGGCCCGCCTGAAGTTCAAGCAGGCGAAATGAATCTTCGGCGTCGAGCGGCTCTCCAGGATAAATGTGAGGTCTAAAACAGCTCATCTTCCTTGTTCTGATGCATGGGATATGCTGAGTTGATATGTGCTGAATTGATTCTGAACGAAATCTGTTGCAGTGGAGAAGGATCGGGTCCAAGTTTGTCGCAAGGGGGCTATGTACAGTAAGTGGGGTGTCCCGTGCTAGAGGTGAGCGGCACAGCCATTGTGTGGCAAAACAAATCTCAGTGCGTAGTAGATTGAACTGGATATAACATACAGATGTTTATTCGTTTGATATATTGCGGCACTATAACCGTCCAAATCTTGATAGTTCATAACGCACGCTATCCTGACAGGATCGCAGCGTGAGCAGCCAGTATCAGATGTGTCTATCTAGGATTTGCGAGATGTTTAGCCATCCAGCTTCCTGTATAGACCTGTGACTCATTTGACACGCTTAGTATCTAATTCAGCCCAGGATCGTGGATTTACGGTCCCTTCCCCACGTTCGGGTTCGAGTACGGCATTGTCTTATCATAACGTGTGGCGTTGACTTGGGTGGCAACCTGCTCAAAGCTCTGATCCTCTTCCTCCGCCACAGCCTCCGGCACAACAAAGACAAAAGGGTTATCGAACTGGATGCTCGGTCTCCGCCGGGTTAACTGGGAGAATGATGGCATGTCGCCGTAAAATTCCGGCCACCGGTTGAAAATTTCATCTTTCATAGTCCAGGCGTTGATGTCCTGAATTCGTCTTTCGAAGGGGTCAGAAACCCTGTATTGCCCTAGATCGACGTTGAATGTGTAACAATCACGGAACTCGAACGGCCATAGTATTTTAATAGAAGCTGAAAAGAGCCTCCAGAACAAATTTCCACAGTAGTTGTGCTGAGAAAAGATAAATCGCTCCCGGATTCCTGGCCTAGGTTTGTTGGGTTAGCTTCTTGCCGAGCATTTCTGCTAGCTTACACTTACCATGCAAAGAAGTCAATCGCATAAGAATGAGCAATGGATTGTGATGGCCTGGAGAGAAACCAAGGTGGGACATCCGCACGCCGGTCAGGTGTTGGGGCACTGCTGTACAAATACAATTTGTGCATCATCCGCAGAATTGCAAGTCTCTCGACCTTGCCACACGAATGGAATAGACCCTCATCAATGCGCCGCAATTTTTCCCACAGAGGAGGGAGCCCATTTAGATGATTTTCCACAGCTGGCCAGCCATCTATCAGTGCGCGCACTGGTATGTCGTCCCGCCAGCTTTCATCGGCAAGGATGCCACCGGCCGGGAGGACGACCGGAGTAAGAACTTCATTCGCGAAGTGCCATAGATTGATGTTGCCATAAGAATCAGAAAGTGAACTCTCATAATAGCAATCGCAACCTGGCGTCGCTGCTGGCACCACCGGATCGTTGACTGGCTCGGTGAGGGGGTCTAGGAACATATGGTCCTCAGGCAGTGGTTGCGAGCTTGAGCCAGCTCCCATAGAGATCCCTAGCTCATCAACCATCGACAGGTCATTGTAGGCTCTCATGGGTAGAGCCTCGCCTCCTATTGTATGTGGGTCTTCCAAACGCGCAGCGAGAGATGATGAGTTGTCCGTGAGCTGCACAGGATCGATCAAGCGGGATCCAGTGGCCTTCTCCGAGCAGTGGTTGTGTCGCAATCCAGGACGGTCTGGAGATGCGGCTGTGGAGACCTGTCGCAATTGCTCAATCTGGGAAAGATGATCCTTAATTGACGTTTCAAAGGACTTGAGAAGACCCATGAGCGCATCTCGTTCTGTTGTGACCGCTTGGAGCTGGCCCATTAGCTTGGCCAACTGACCACTAGTGTCTCTCTGTTGGAAACCTTTGACCAGCTCCTCAAGGTGGGCGATTCGAGCCTTTGTCCTCTCTCGCGACAGCCGCTGTGCCTTCCTGTCATGCTCTCGCTTCTTGAGCTGCCGGGACGTTGGAGCTCGCGCTTGGCTTGGTGACTGGCCCTCTTCGGAGCCGCCACTTCGGGGGCTTTCCTGGCCCATCTTTGCCTCCTGCTGAATGATTTGTCCCAACGGCGTGATACACCCTTCAAGGCTTTGATGATGTGAGCTCTGTAAACCTGGCGGCACGCCTTCCCCGGTATTGGTGGGAGGTCAAGAATGGGGCTCATTGAGGAGAACAGGAAATCTGGGGTTGCAAGGAGGATCCGCCCCAGGTCCCACATCTGAAGACAATGGTGTCCTTGGGCTTGCGTTGCCCGCATGTTTCGTGCCTAGGTAATTGGGTCCAGCTGAATGCGCTTAACTCAGTATAGTAAAGTGGCGGGCTCATCACATCTCGCGGGGGTTGGATCGGCCCTGGGGTAGTGAAACCTTAAATTACGACGCGACCGTAGGACTTTTACGAATCGCCGAGAGTTCACTGGGCAGCCTCTCTGCCAGTATCTCTTTGGTTCAAGTGCATGATGCTTCTATCCGATTGACGCATCCCAACTAGCGCGTCACACGAGGTACTTTGCTCCTGCGAACATGCCCGCTCTTGGAGCTGCCACGCCGCCGTGAGCCCTAGCAGCAAAGGCCACCACGATGGTATTCCCCGCCCTCCATATCCCTAAGTTGACAGCTAGCTACCGCAGCCCAGACTTATGGAGCCGCGCAGAAACGGAGGCGGAACGGGGCTATATGATTGGTTGCTAGGGCTGTTGGCATCTCTCCAATCTTAGGTCACCTATGCGCTAGACACCAGATCAACCGGGGGAAATTAGAAGGGCCATTCCTGGTGACTTCAGGGCACAAAATCCTACATAGCACTATTCGCTAGAGTAACTTCTCATGACATGTCTCATGGTTCCTCACCCTTCCCTTCCCAGGTAGATCATCGCTCTGTTTACTCCAGTCCAGCTGCCTTGCTGTCATGTCTTCTGCGAGTAAACACCAAATCGAGTGGCGCAAGTGCCAACGTAAATGTGTCTCGCTTCCCTTCCACGAATGCAGCCGGATCTTGGCCTGGTGCGAACTTGATATCGTACTGGCGGACGATCCGTGCTGTGACGTGACGGACCTCCATTAACCCTAGATATTTCCCGATGCAAGAATAGCGGCCTGGTTCTTGTTAGCCCACGTCAACTGGGGTGACTCTCTTGAACTGACCTGTAGAAAAGGGAACAAAGACCGACTCATTCTTGGTCAACTCCTTCTGTGTAGTCCAACGCTCAGGAATGAATTCATTCGCGCTCGTGAAGTAGCGATCGTCTGCCGAATTCATATTAGTTGGCAATCACTGACAAGACTCATGGACCTACCTCGGAACATGGTATACGACGGGACTTGGACGATTGAGTTGCCAGGGATGAACGTATTATCGATTGTAACTCCCTCAGGTGGGGTCATTCTCTGGACGCCGGACGGAACCGGGGGGTGCAAGCGGAGTGCTTCATTGATGACTGCGTCCAGGTATTTCAATTTCCCCAAGGCTGTTCCGTCAACATTTTCTGATGTTTCGTGGAGCTCGTCAACCTCCCGCTGGAGGGTCCGTAGCGCGTCGGGGTTTCTAGCTAACTCGTAGAAGAGGCAAGTGAGCGAAGCAGCTGTGGTGTCGCTATTGCAAAGTCAGACTCGTATCTCAGTGTCGACTGGGGTGGGACATACCTCCCGGCAACAGCAATTAGGTAAGCGTCACCATGCAGATCAAGTTCTTCCTGGGCCGTAGGCTTCGGCTTACTCTCGTGGTGTTCCAAAAGCCACGAAAACACGTCGGGTCGGTCTGGTTTCATCTATGGAAGACTTAGCATTTTTAAGGCAACAAAATCATTTTCAAGAGGGGTGTTACCTTTCGACGCTCGGCGACCTGCTGCTCGATCCATCTCCAGAATCTCTTGCTCTCAGCGTTCAAGATCGGCGTGGCCTTGAATATGGGGAAAAGCCAGACCAGATGGCTGAATATCCCAACATTGACCATATCAGCGTGGAGCGTCTTCATAAAATAATGTTTGACCCCATCTCGGAGCATGCCAAAAGACTTCCCCCAGGCGAGATCCCCCATGACATCGAAGCTGTAAAAGTTGAACCAGTCAGTAACATTGACGGGCGATCCCTCCCGTTTCAGGAGTTGTGCCATTAATTGCTCGGTGTAATCCACAACCCTCGGCTCGTATTCGCGAAGCGCTTTGTTTATCAGTTTTGATCAAACGTGTATTACTGGAAGGAGACTCTACCTTTGGCACCAAATCCCCGATCCCAAACTTTGCGTCGAGGAATATGGTCGGCCTTGTTGCGTACCATCTGCAATGACACAACGGGATAGAGAATGTTGTACCACGGCCCTTTGACGCAGGTGGATTGAGTTCCAAGAATGGCACTGACGGCTGATTTGCTTGCGACTGAAAGTTCAGAGGGTCCTGAAACGTTGAGCTTCCATATCTCACAATCTTCAGGCAAGGAACTTACCGATGCGGACAACGTCGCCGTACGTCTTGTGTAGTTGTTGGACTTCATTGTAGAGGTGCAGTTTCTTGGCCGAAAGAGTGGTGATATAAAGATTGGAGAGGCGAGCCCGGAATGGTCCAGGGAATCTGTTGAGGCGATGGAAGAAGGCACGGTAAACGAGCATGCTAGACCAGATTCCGAGTAGCATAGACCACGCAAGACCTGATACAGCTGCTGCCGCAGTCAGAGGGGAGGCGTACGTGTCTGGCAGCAGGTGCATAAGCGTCGCAACTGAAAGCAGCTGCAGAGACACAAAGGACCCAATCAACGAAGTAGTCCAAGTATCCCATTCCCCGAAGCGGAAAAGAAACAGGTGCAGGGCAGTCCCAGCCCCAAATGCGAGAATTCGAGCATTCCAGCTGCTCAGATCAAGCAGGCCGGATTCGAGTATCGCCATTTTGCTAGTTACGTAGATAACGAATGATGGATACGTGCCTGGACATTGAGAGATGGAGCAGCACAACCACCTTTGTACCTCAACTCTCGACCGTGGAGCATTGTATCCAGCCCCTGTTACATACTCTATATTGAAGGGTCTGACTCGGAAGTCTAGCCTCTGCTGTGACAGATTCAGGCCGCGTTACGGTAATGATATGCATCTAAAGCCATTCTCAGACGACGTCCTTCCCATCGACTCAGTAGTTTCGAGTCAGACAGAGTGCAGAGCCACCGGCAGTTTTGCATAGACTACAAGTCTAGTGATCTGGGGAGTTGCGGGGTTTGCGGGGGGCGGCTAGGATATGCCATGCGGGGAGAACTCCACTCAGCAAATTACCAATACCCTCGGCATGACTCCCCCTCAAGAGAAGCGACCCGTAACTTGGTATTGGTTGAGACAGATCCTGGTGTAACCACCCCTGCTTGCCCAATTGTCCAGTCAACCAGGTTATGGAGGAGCTTCGTTCGCTTTGAGTCTAACTGTCCGTCGAAATGTATAGCCAACTCCATATCGTTTTAGAACCGAATGAATTCTACCAAATTCTAAGACTGGTGTCATAAGGTATATGTGTATTGTCAAGGTAGAGAGATGTCTGCCCCAGCTCTGCGGTGTGATTTGTATATACAGCATGTGGACGTGAACCACCCTTACAGTGCCCAAGATTTACGTCATTAAGAATTGCATTCACGATAAAATTCAAGAACTGCGCAGCATTTTCTCGGTAAGCAAGTCAGCCGTATATAAGCTCAACAATTATTGTACTCTAGCAGCGTAGACTATCGTTTCTTCTTGAGGAACAAGGTCTGCGTGTTGCAATAGCTTCGGAGACCTTGCAGTCCCCATTCGCAACCAATGCCGCTCTGCTTGTGGCCACCGAAAGGCGCGTTTGGCTGCAGTTCAAGATGTGTGTTGACCCATACGCTACCAGCGTTGAGTCTGCTTGCTAGACTTTCGGCCTTCTCGAGATCCTTCGTCCAGACCGATGCCCCCAGACCCATATCTGTGTCATTGGCTCGCCTTAGAACTTCTTCTTCGGTATCCCACTTCAAAACCGGGAAGACGGGGCCTTGGTGGTGTTAGCATCTCTGAGCCCATGCACTGAGAAAGAATATTGATAGTCTTTACCGAAAGGCTCCTCGACAACTATACAGGAGTCATCTGGAGGATTCTCTATGACCGTTGGCGTGATGAAGTATCCCTTCTTGGTAGGGTCAGAAGCGTCCGAAGCTTTCAACTCGGTGGCAATCTTCAGGTTTTGCGCCTCAATCTTGGCCAACAGGTCCTTGACGCGCTCATACTGCATGGAATTCTGCACCGGGCCAAGCTCGACATCGCCAAGCCCATCCCCTACGCGGAATGCCTGCGTCATTTGGACCAATGCCTGCGTGAACTCAGCGAAAATAGAAGAGTGCACATATATTCGCTTGATGGCAACACATATCTGGAGAGTATTAGTAGTGCGACCTATGCTCATGACTATGAGGCCGACATACTTGACCTGAGTTTAGCAGGGAGAAAAGCGCAATCTGTCATATATCAGCACGCTGGCCTTGTGCATACTATCTCAGACCTACCTTTTGTGCAGTCTCGGTCACGTCAACGTCCGCGCACACGATGGCAGGGTCATTACCCCCACTGGTTTCTGTTAGCACAGAGCCCACACCGTGTATCAGGTAAACCAACAGCTCTAAAGTCACACGTTTCAGTGTGTTGCTGCAGCTCTTCATAACTCGTTTCCCTGTGGCTGTTGATCCCGTAAAGCTGACTTTGTCAATTCCTGGGTGTTCTGTCAACATGGGGCCTAGGTCGTCTCCACCACTCAGCGCCTGGAACACGCCAGGGGGGAAGAATCGTTGAGCCAGTTCGGCCAGTTTTAGTCCACAGTATGGTGTGTATGGCCTACAATATGAGTAAACCTGTCTTATCGCTTCATCTGGAGAGGGAGGACCTACGATGGTTTTAGAATCAGTGTATTCCCAGTGACCAAAGCCGGAGCAATTTTCCCGCACGCTATGTGTGTTAGCAATATAAGCTTAAAGCGCTGGGATAGTCGTTTTCACCAAGCATGACGGGATCTAAGTTTGTTATTATTATGAAATATATCTGTTAAGTCATCTCCGATAACTTACAATTCCATGGGACTATTGCCAGTGCGACACCTAAAGACTGTCAGCTCAACTTCGGGCAACTTATGAAGAAATGCTTACCCAATGGTGTATACCGAGTGACAACGCGCTTCTCGTCCGTCTCTTCGACCACTTCGTTCGGTAGGGTCATTTTCGCCTGAACAGTCAGCCACTGAACGGCCTTATCAATCTCGTCCATGGCGAGAGCAAGCTAGAATCGCCGATGCTCGTTAGTAAGACAACCGTTATCAGGTTTTCTAAGGTTTAGGTCATTACCGGCTTGCCCTGCTCGATGGTCTGCATTCTTGCAAAGGCCAGTTTGGATTCTGAAAGAGCATCTGCAAAGCTCAGAATGGCCTTCTGCCGTTCGGTCCATGGAGTCAGAGCCCATGCATGGGCAGCTGCCCTCGCAGCGTCAACCGCGCGGTTTACATCCTCTACAGTCGAGACCGGTACGTCCGGGTTTTTCTCCAAAGTAGATGGATTTGTTCCATTACGGATTTCTTTGGTTTTAGTTAGTTCGCCATTAATGACGTTGTAAAAGTTTTCAAAATCCAGCTCTTTAGGGTGGCTGCTGCCAATTGTAAGTGTAGCCGACATCGTGACTGACGCCGAGAATTTGAACAGAAATGATTGGTGATTGCATGTCGTATACGTGGCATGTGCCCCTACATATTGATGTTCTTTTGACAACTCATAACTGTCCCGTGGTATTGCAAGGCCCCGACGGGTCCCAATCTGAGTCGGGCTTCCTGACTCGCACCGTCAGGTGCCAAATCTGGGGTACAGCATTAGCCCCGGCTTTTACCCCACTCGAAAGCCAAGAAAGTTTACCGATGACAAAAGGCGATTTATATGACCTTGAGGGATAGAAATGGACTCAGCTTGACGCAGGACCCTGCGCATAGTCAACGAATCAATCGCTTTGCAGAGGTATTTCACAAGCATGGAGGATTTGACTAAGGTTGTGAACCGAGCGGTCGTATACTCGGACCCTCCAACCATTAAGTCAGAGATAGTCGAGCTGCCGATCGAGCAACCTGGTCCGGGCCAGGTTCTTGTTCGTTTGTGAGGATTTTGATGTCCTTTGCTGTCCACAACATGCTAACACAGGGTTCAGACTCTATTCCGGCGTATGCCATACAGACTATGGGATTTGTACCAATGCATTCGATACTCTTCCCATAGGCACTCCAAAGGGTATGAGTCTCATTCACTTGGTGATTATAAAAGGGCACTAGCTAATGAAACTCATGGGCAGGCCAAGTTGGCGGTCACGAGGGTATCCTAAACTCCAAATGAGGAAATACTTCATTATTCGCTTACATGACATAGGTGTAGGGAAGGTAGTCGCCCGAGGTTTGGGCGTCGAATACCCGGCGATCGGCGCTACCGTAGGAATCAAGTGGTCTGCAAGCGCCTGTTTGAGCTGCGGTAAGTTACGGAGTCTTCTATACCGTCAAATTTCGGGCTGCAAACTAATCAGGAAATCCCATCTGCAGACAATTGTCTTGAGGGAGGGGAGACCACCTGCCAGACTGGGACCATCTCTGGTTTCCTGACCCCCGGAACTTTCCAACAGTACTGTCTTAGTCCTGCAAACTATGTCACTCCTATACCAGAAGGCATTGACCTCGCCGCTGCTGCACCACTTATGTGTGGTGGTGTCAGTGTTTACACCGCGCTCAAGCGGGCTCGTGTTCAGCATGGGCAGTGGGTGGTTATCTCTGGGGCAGGAGGCGGATTAGGACACCTCGCTATTCAATACGCCAAAGCACTTGGTGCTCGGGTGTTGGCTTTGGATGCTGGCGAGAAGGAAGAATTCTGCCTAGGCTTGCAAGCTGATGCATTCGTCAACTTTACTCGATACAAAGACGACAAGGACATCGCATCAGAAGTGCAGAGAATCACAGGGAGTCGTGCAAAGGTGGTACTTGTGTGTTCTTCAAACAACCGGGCATATGACCAAGCTATATCCTTTCTAGGATTTCGAGGTACCCTGGCGTGCTTGGGTGCCCCTGAGGGAGCCTCCGTTCCGATTGGTGGAGCCAAGGTTAACGATTTGATCGGGAAGGAGCTGACTATATTTGGTAAGCTGCAACCTTTCCCTAGGAAGAAACGGAATGCACATCAATCAGCACATGCATTCATTCGTCTTCGGAACGAGGCCTCCACTGACTTACTTACCTTAGCAAACAAGTCGGGAAATCGTCTTGATGCCAAAGAAAGCCTCGAGATTGCAGCAGCTGGAAAAGTGAAGACCCAGTATCAGATCAGACCTATGAAAGATCTCACAGCAGTAAGTATTCACCTCTCCAATCTAGAGTCTGTAGGTCTGACACTGCAAAGATATTCGAAGAGATGGAGGCGGGTCGCATTAACGGAAGGATGGTTCTTGATCTCCAATGAATGCCACATGACGATGCAGTGTTGTGCCATGAAAATTAAAAGCACATCGTCGGGCTAGGAGCAGAGAATATGACATGCACCACAACGCTCTAAATCAATTAATTACTTCAAGTGCCCCAAATTGCCAATAATCACTTACTGTGCATGACTGGGTCATAGGGAGACACCGTAACCAAAGAGAAAAAATAATATCGATTCCAGATGCTCTTATATATATTCCAGCCAAGTCTGGAGAAAGCCAGCAGGAATAGTAAAGCTTCAAGTTGTGCTGGGAGCTCGAGTCGTTGTGAAGCGAATGAAGGGAACTGGTTTCGCGCGGAGGGCCGGGGCTATACGGTTACCGTAAACGTGTATTTCGCAACAAAGCGTCGTGTCTATTGGACCCTAGGCAGGGCATCTCAGGTCAATGTTCCAAGTGGGTTTTTGTGTGGTAGCTGAGTCCACCCACAATTCAAGTTGACGATGCAATTGTGGCTTACTTATGCCCAGGAACGTGGGAGGAAACGGGTATCATTAAATTCGTTGTCAAATTCGCTCAGTATGCGCTCCACGATAGGTTGACTTAACGTACGTAAATAAGGTACCGAACAGCTTGGGTGTGAGGGCCCATCCTTTTGCAGCCGAGTCTTTCCGCGTCTCCCAAATGAGCAAATGAGACCGATTGCGCATATGAGGTGGAGCTTTGGCTTGCTAGTGTGCTTAATGCCAGATACGTAAGTGTCAAGACCCGACGGTTGCAACCATGCTGCCACGTGGTAAAATTCACGTGGATCTTCTAGCCCTATCCAAGTGGCATCAGATATGTCAAAAGAGGGATTTATTTTGTCACGATCTCAAGTCCGAGCTGCACATGGAATGACAGGAGGAAATTCTCGGGTCGGAGACGACCGGCGACAGCGAGAGGCCGGATCTCGCCCACGCTGGTGGACCTGGCCAAGAAACCATGGTGGGTTTTTGGATGAACTCTATCTGATCTAATCAATCAGATAATCTGGTCTCACACGACGCTAGAATAGCCACCCGAGGCTAAGCTCGCTTCACAAGAGTTCTAGATGAAAATTTGCCAGATTCCAAGGCCGATCGGGGACCTAATGTGGGCCGGGTAAACGAAACTCAGGAGACATATATTTCAAAGGTCGCGCATCATGTTGGTGGTTCGACAAAGCAATCCACTCGGTACGAGCTTCAGGGCATTGCTCGTGAGATGGCTTCACCGATCCAGATTGGCAGCGAATCCCCAAAAGGGCTGGAAAAGACGGTGAAAGAAGTACCCTCTACGGACCCCGAGTCAACGCCTTCGGCGCATTCAACGGCATCTATAGATGAGAAACCGCCTCCGCCATGGTCATGGAAGCTCACCGCCGTCATTCTCGTGACACTGATTCGTTTCGGCGGATCGTGGAGCTCGGGCATTACTGGCGCCATGAAATCCACCCTCAAGAAGGAACTTTCTATCAACAACACACAATATGCGCTGCTCGAGGCTAGCGAGGACTTCATGGTCACCGTTCTTATCTTGCTAAGCGGCCTGCTTACGGACCGAATCGGTGGTGCTAGCGCCTTGTTCTACGGCAACATTGTGTACTCCATCGGCTCTATTTTGGTCGCCGCTGCCGCGCAGGTCCGCTCCTTCAATTTCATGATTGGAGGACGGGTGATCCTAGCGATTGGAGATATCGCGACCCAGGTCGCACAGTACCAGGTGTTCTCTGCATGGTTTGCACCCAGCAATGGCTTTGGTTCTACTCTGGGCCTCGAACTCATGGTAGCAAAGCTGGGTGCCTTCGCTGGAACCGGTTCTGCGAACGTGATTGCCAAGGTAAGTGTTTCTTAGTGGCATTTCTATCTCGGCTCAACACCCGTAACTAACAAGTCTTAAAGAAAACGGGCAATTTTGCTTGGGTGTTCTGGGTGGCTGTCCTCATCAACTTTTTTACCAATGTGATGTCGGCTCTCTTTTATTGGTTCAACAAGAAGTCCAGCCAGAAGTTCGGTCATAGTGTCGACCCAGTCACAGGAGAGAAGCTGATGAAGAAGGGCAAGCGGCTCGAAGTCCGAAAGGTCCTCGAGCTGCCTTGGGTGTTCTGGATTCTAATGGCTTACTCTCTGTTCTATACTTCAACGGCAATCATCTTCAGCGGAAATGCGACGGAGCTTGCTGAACAGAGGTTTGATATCGACTCTGTCACTGCTGGCTGGTATACTGCCTTGTTGCGTTATGCCGGATTTTTCCTAGTTCCCATTGTTGGCGTATTTATCGACGTCATGGGACAGCGTGTATCTTTGCGTAGGTATCTCAGCCTTCCAGTCAGCTCCACGACTAATCGGATACAGTGGCAATCTCCAGCTTCGGTGTTTTTATCGCCATGGCACTAGTCAATTGGGCTCCGGCAATCAAGGGTACAGCGGCCGCATTTGGTATCTATGCGGTTGCGTCTACCTACAATCCCACGGTGCTTATCGACAGTATGCGCACATCCCTCTGGAAGCAGACCACATTTGGCAGCGCGTATGCCTTGAAGATAATGATGAACAACTCGTACGTAGTTTAAACTGCCTCCGACTGAAATCTGAACTGACGCGGGTTTTAGGGCCAATATCATCGTAAGGATTGTGGCTGGTGTAATTCAAGATGCCGACAATAACTCATATGACCGCGTTGTCATTCTATACATATGCATGGCAGCAGCGTCTGTGGTCCTTTCTTGCACTGCTCTTACATTGGCATGGCGCTCGCCAGACCTTCGGCAACTCCAGTGGAGTCGAAAGAAACGTTTGGCGAAAACAGCCTTCCTGGTGGAAAGAAAGGAGCGTTTCCACGGCGTTCAAGCCCCTTTGAACCGCCAAATATCCAGAACATGTTTTGGGTTGCTGATGTTGTTACTTGTCGGGGGATGGGCGTCCTATATCTGGGGTGCTGTTACTGGGCACAACAATTGAGCGTAGCTGAGCGTCACTTTTCGGCAGTATAATATACGCATGGATCGTTCAAGTGTCCAAGTTTCCCGGTCAAGTCGCTCAAGCTGCCCAAACAGTAGCATGCGACCTTGCATTAGCCGTGCTATATCTTGTAGCGTAAACATACACACGTGTGGCGAAGCGCATATTGGTAAGCTTGGGGCACACTATAGCCGTAGCGCGATTCGCTGCGGTCCAACGCATAGATACAATTGTTCATCATTTCTGAGACGCAGATCGACAGGGTTAAAATGTGCAGTATTCTTATTTACGTGACTAAGAGTTGAGATTATGCGTGAGTTTCTAGGCCATAGTACATGCGTCCCGAACAAGGCTTGTGTAAGGATCAAAAGGGTCATAAGTATCTCTTCATCCGGCGTGCTATGGAATTTTCGCGATAAAAACACTTTATGTGCAATGTTTATGAGAGGGCAGAGGAACAGAGGACAGCATGTAGATCTCAAGGGGCCGTCGGGAGGGATGTAATGCGGAAGTCGCTAAAAATAAATGCATTGGGGGCTAAGCGCTCGGGTGCTTGATGCGCCGTGCTGAAACAGCCTGTCTTCCAGAGGAGTCAATCGATTGGCTGGGTTTACGCCCAGGATCACCTGCAAGGCCGGCATCCCACTGACCATCAATGAAACCAGTCTGTTGCTATTTGCATGAGCTGAACATTGAGAACTATGTTTAAGAGAGGCATGAACCAAACTGTCTATAGAATAACTTCACCCTGTATCGGCTACTACAGCGCTACACTCTTTCGCTACAGGTGCATGTAGAATCATGACGCTGGAATCATGGCTACAAGTCACTATGTCGGATTGGCACATTCCAGTAGTGCCGCACATGATTCTCCTCCGCACATGAAGTGGAAAGACTCGATTTCTACAGTCACTGAGTACGACCGTTGCGACTCGACCTTTGAGAATACCCTGGGGGGTGATACAGTATTCCAGAGAAGCCCCGTCCTATTCATCAAGAACAACCTCATCCATATTATCTCTCTCCTTGTTCTAGCTGTACTTATATGGCTGAATGTAGCTCGAGTCTACATTTTCAGTGCTGACTTCGACGCATTTCAAGGCCAAGGAGCGACCAACCCGGCAGCGTCGTTCTTCAGCGCCAGCAATCTGGTCAGAGCCTTTCTGATACCAGCGAAAGCGCATGATATGATCATTGCAGCTTCTGTGGCTTCCATCATACTTTTTTTCACAAGGAGATACCTTCTCAATGGAGGCATGCCGCTTTGGCTGGTGTCGCAAGGCTACGGGCATCCGTCGGTAGAGATGTTCGCAAACAGGCTTTTCTGGTCTAGCTTGTTCAAGTCGTCTGTCAAGCTCTTCGTGGTCCTCCTGACAGTCTGTGCCATTATCATTCTCACTGCCGAGCCATCATCAGCAATCCTACTAGTACCGTCTCTAGGCTGGTGGCCTGTCTCCCGTCCATTCTCTCTAGAGATCATGCCTATCTACATGGCAAGGAGAGACCCAAGCGAGACTTTCTGGCCAACCGGGGTATCGGATAAGTTCTTAATCTCAGCCTGTGTCACTGAAAGTCAATATTTGGATCGTTTCTGTCCAGCTCAGAATAAACACCAAATAGCCAGCTGGGCCGATGGATTTGCATTGAATCCAATATCAAATATCAGTATTCAAGAGCCATCAGGCTTCGCCGAGCGCCTCTTGGTGGCCGCCCCAAACCCAAACGGGACAGCCTCAGTTGCCACAACATTGAGCAATAACGTCGTCGAACTTTATGGGTTGACTTCAAGACTGATCAACATGATGGATGTCGGCCCCGCATCCAATATTCCATACCGTCGTCTCAGGATCGTCGAGCCTGTACAGGCACCTATTGTCCAAGTATCCTGCGGCGCGTTCGACTATGAAGAAGCAAGGGATGCACCTGCACCAGATATCGATGCAAACAAGTACAACGCCGTCGTACCGTCGATCACGACTCGCAACTTCGTTTCCTTTGGAGGGGAGAAAGAATCGCTGTCGTCCGGTGGAGACTACTACCTCAATGAAACGATGCAGCAGTCCTTATGGAACTTCACCCGCAAACTTTCTGGGCAAAACTTTACATGGATCGACATGAACACCACAGATACTGGAATCTCGTTGGGGGCCCTCACAACATGGCAGTACTCATTATATTCAGGCAATGGTAGTGAAGCATCCATTCTAAGAAGCATGCTGCTCCCTTGTGCCATCGAGGCCCGTTGGACACCGGTGGAAACAACATTCGACCATGGTTCACGATTCTCTTCCCTTGTTTCCTCAAACCTCACGAATCTGGATATTTTTGATAAGGCAAATGATATAACCACAAGCCGACCGCTACCGATCGATATGGACTGGGCCAATTCATTGAATTTGCCGTTCAATCTGCACATGGGGCCACAAGATCCAAGTGCGCCACTAATGCAGCAACTGATCCAACTCTACATGAGCGGACAGACGAACTTTAATGACACCTTCATTCCTAATATGAATACCGATATGCGCAACAGATTCGAGAACATTACGTATGTGCTAGAGACGATTATCGGCTTCGTTATTGCAGACGGCTTAGCCAGTGTCAACTACGACGCAGGTGTCATGATTGCAAACTCGTCACTCAACTACCTCTTAAATACTGACTACCCGGCCAACTACACCGAAGATCCCGATATGGTCTTGAGGAGCCTGCTAACTCCCGATGTCAGGCTTGGGTTCGTCTACTCAGCCAACATGGCGAAGATCGAAAGCGCGCTCCAGCCATTTAGTGTCACTGTAGAGCAATATGGGTACGGTTGGGGCAACCAATCCGTCTTTTGGTGGATTGCTATCTCGATGCTCTTGCTGCATGCTATTCTTGCCGTCAACTTCCTCGGATTTCGGTTATGGTTGTACTTTATTCGGGGGGAAAGGCATGAAGTATCCAGTTGGGAGACAGCTAGAGAATTGCTAGTGCTGGCGCTGCTATCAAACCCTCCAGAGGAACTGCGAGGTGGGAAAACGAGGGTGGCGATCGATGCATGGAACCTTCCTATTCACATTAGAGATATAGGGAAAGACGAAATTGCCATGGTAGTGAATCCAGAGAAGGGCCAGAGTATCGTGGAGACGGACAAGAAGTACACTTGAAGGATACAAAGAAGCCTACCGTATCCGATACACATGCCATGAAGAAGTCATTGTAAAAAAATCGATAGGTCGTAGCCAGCCACACTTAAAGGATCGCTTGAACAAGTGACATGGATGTCTATTACCCGAATGTATCATTGAGAAGCTATGGCGAAACATCCTTCTTCTCGAGCCCCTCCTCGGCTATTATCGCCGCAGTCTTCTCATCTACTTGATGGGCCATACCCTCAATGACCGCAAGGGTTGCTCCGGCTCCTGTAGTTTCATACTTGCCAAACTCAAATACGTTGATATGCTTCTGGAACAGTTCGTCTAACTCCTCGAGGGTTCTGCCTTTGAGCTCAGGGAGAACAAAGAAGGCCCACAGAGCAGCAACGACAGAACCTCCGCCCCAGACGAAGCCGATCTTTCCTTGCAGATTACCGTATCCAGCATCCTGGATAAAGGGGCTGACGAATGTAATCAGTACATTCGTGGAGAACCCACTGAATGTAGCCACGGTAACCGTCTTTTCTCGAACAGCAAGTGTGGGTACTTCAGCGCAGACGATCCAGACACTGTCAATACTGTTAGTAGGGATCTCCACCATAAAACATGAACGCGGTCCACTAACCAAGAAGCCCATGATATAGCCTGAACGAATTGCCAGATAAACAGACAAGCCAATGCTCCCTTCTGGGCACCTGCGTCACCTCCATGGAACCCAGTAAGCCCTGCTAGCACGAACATGCATAAACCGAGAATGCATGCCCCGCCAATCATCAATGGGCGGCGGCCAATGCGGTCCACAAAATGGAAGGCCAGGACGGACGAGATGCAATTGACGAAGTACAAGTAAATCAGAATCTCAAAGCTGTTGGTTACACCAATAGTTTGGAGAAATATGACCGAGTCTGGAGAGAATAATGAGGTTAGTTGTTGGCTCGGGTCAATAGCCGGCTGTAAATGCCAAGCACTTAAAAAAAAAATTTGTTGGAAGCCTTGTGGAAGTACTAACACTGCACGATAAAACCGCTGAGATACTGGAGTTAGTTACTTCCTAATGTAGGTCTATGCTGGAGACAGGACACTCACCTGCCCTGGGCTTGCTGTAGGCATTGAACGCCAGCCGAAATCAATGTACGTCGTAGATTGGTTCCTTTAAAGACATCTGCCCAGGATGTCCGCTGGTACAGCTCGTGGTTCTGCTCTTCAGCCTTGATAAGCAAGTTGGCTTCTTCATCGATCAGGCTCGGAGGGGTGCCACGGCGAAGAAGGTGGAGGACTTTGCGGGCCTCTTCAAAACGTCCTCGACCAGCAAGCCAACGGGGTGATTCGGGCAGGAAGAAGCCGCCCCCGATCAGAACGACCGGAATGATGAACTGGATCAGAAGCGTCACACGATATGCCCATTGGTCCATACGAGCCTGGAAGCCCCAATTGCAAACACAAGCCATGGTAGCCCCAAGAAGTTGCCCTTGCAGCCGTTAGTTGTGCACTTCACCATTCGTATAAGTGATCTTACAGAATTGGTAAATGTTGATCAGCGAACCGCGGATCTTGGCTGGAGATACTTCGCTCTGGTATGTCGGGACAACACTGGCGCAAGCAAGATGTGTTAGTCTACACTGTGGATAAGAAGGCAAAGAGGCTTACTCACTTGCACACCAAGCCCATGGACACACTGTTGATGATACGCCCGGTCATGAGTTGCCAGAAGTTCCCAAATGAGCACACCTGGATCAGAATTCCGACAATGGCAATGATTGAAGCCAGATAAAAGGTCTTGATACGACCGAATCTCTGACCAACGAGACCAGAGAAGAGACAGCCAAGAGCAACACCGGCCAGGGGTGCGCCGCTACCAGCCGACTGCCATGAGGCAGGAATCGAGTAGGTGCCAGTCGCAGCATTGTACACTCCGAAGTCCTGGGCAAACTTTGGCATGCCCAAGAAACCGGCCCAGTAGCAATTGTCCCAGCCGAATCCCGCGCCAGCCAGGCCAGCATAGCCGCAAACTGCGATCAAAGGGCCGGTCAATTCCTGGCCCAGGTCGCTGGCCTTCCATCGGGAGATGAGCCCCATGACTGCAGAGAGATGGGTTGATTATGTGGAAAAAGGAGGATGGCCACGAGGAACAAGAGGCTCTATCATCAGAGCCGGCAAGGCGACGTCGGCATGGTCATTATATGCATACCAAGACCGTGGAAGGGATGCGATCTACATATCAACCAGGGATCCGTTTTCCGAAGATAACGTATCAGGGTGAACGTCTAGCGCCACCGGCCCCCCAGATCACTGGGAATAAAGCTATTACCGTCATTGGACATGCCGGGGCGAGACCACTTTCCCCAGAGATAAGCTGGCACGTGTGGGTAGGGGCCTACCAGCCTGCCGGAGCCTGGCAGCTAGCACGGGTTAAGTGGGCCACCAACGCCCGCCGAGAGCCGCAGCCGTCGGAAGATCGGAGGAGTCCGCCTAAATTGCTGGCTTCGGGGGTCCGCCGTCTCGTCCGTGGCTTCCGTCCACGAGTCAGTTCAGATACGCGTCTCGTTGAAGATAGAGACCATGTTCGTCTTTTACTGCTTATTCTGATGTGTTGACTCATGTTGAGAGACAGCACAACACGGCACGGCGATAGAATCCCGTAGCGCGTGACCGTAGGTGCCATTGCTAGGTGATGGCGGGATGTCCACGACCAAGTCTGCCATATTCACCAGAGCTGGTCAGACGCTCCTAATGAGAGCCATAGAATGACCGCTGCATCATGACTTTAATCCCTGAAATCAGTGTAGGTTGGTGTCTGGCTGGTAGCACGAGCCGACAATGGGTCCAGATACGATCGTCGCGGTCACGTGATATCGCGGGCTGAAGAGACCACCCCAGCATTCTACGCAGGCACCACTTCGCAGTACACCAGCCAGGCCTTGATCAAGACTGGCGCCATGATCATCTCAAAATGGAGGCAGGGCCTTCGCACTGTCCTGACGCTCCTCATACTCTCGGTCGCAGTCGATTGCCAGTCGTCGCCGTCTCCAACTGAGACGCCAGACCGCACTCCCTACACAGGAAAGCTGGTAAAGCAGACTGATGCTCTGAGTGTGGACGCGATATCGCCAGAAACGTCCCCAGCAGCTTCACACGAGGAGGAGACCACGAAGAAGTCAGGAAGCGCAAGGAAACATCAAGGTCTTCCCGTCCTAGGCTATGTAACACCATGGAACTCCCGTGGCAAGCAGCTGGTCGAGGACTATCGGGAAAGATTCGATATTGTGAGCCCCGTATGGTATACGGTCCACACAGACCCGGACTCGAACAAGGTGTACAGAGTCGAAGGTGCGCCACCCGGTGAAGAGGATGAAGCGTGGTACAAACGACTTCAGGAGCCATCGGCATCATCTTCGAAAGCAATCAAAGTGGCACCACGCTTCATTCTGGATGGCTGGAATCAAGCCGACTACAGCAGTCTGGTTTTTAACGAAACGAGATGGGAGATTCTCGCTTCAACTATCTGGAACGTCGTAGATGCCATGTCCTATGACGGTGTGGTCTTCGAGTCCATCGCGACGCACGCTCTAGTCGGGCCATTGAAAGCGTTATCCGAAAGGCTTCACTCGCACAGCAAGGAATTGGTATTGGTGATGCCCCCGATACGAACTACGGGGGGGTTTGACTCGCAAAACACTATGCTTCTTGAGTCGCTACCTTCGCTGGCGAAGATCACCGACTACTTCAGCATAATGACATACGACATGACAGGCCCAGCGGGGCACGAGACTTCGCATACGTTTCCAGAGAGAACGAGGCTCCACGGCGCCAAGAGCCAGGGCCATGTGCGTGAGCCAGGGCCCAATACAGCTCTCGACTGGGTACGGGACAATCTCATATCATTCAGCACGGGATCCACCTCCACGGGCTCGCCAGAGTTCGGCATGGGACAGGAATTCCAGTTCTCGGAAGAGATCTCGGCAAAGTTTCTCATGGGACTTCCCCTCTATGGCTACACCTACCCGGTCATCTTTGCCAGTGTGAAGCAGGGGAGTGTCCTGCAGAAGCCGACATCGGATCCAGATACCATTGCCGTCATGCGAGGAGCCGGGAAAGCTGTGACTGCACTCGAAATCGAAACCTTGCTTGAAGAGCACGGGTCTGAAGTTCGAGAAGGACATGACGGGGAGCATTCCTTCGATTATCGAGAAGAAGATGGATGGTGGAGAGCGTTCATACCTACACAAAAAGGTATGACGAATATTCTCCAGGTCCTCGGGCAGGATCTGGACGTGGCCCAGCAGTCGTCGAGCACCTATCCTGTTCGAGCTGGTGTAGCACTATGGGAGGTTGGGCAAAGCTCTCCAGGTCTGTTGGAAGTATTGTAGTTCTATTTTAGGGAGCTCCATTCCAGGAAGTAAACGTAAACAAGTGCTCCGTCCCGGACGGGACGTTGATGAGCCTGTAGCGTACTGTGACAGAAACAAATGTGTGACTATCGCCTGGTCATGGTCTGTAGTGTGTGGGTCCGGTCCTTGACGCTTTCCCTACGGCATTTGGCTGTCTTCTGGCTCTTTCTTGGTGTACCTCACAGACATAGCGGCCTCCCCTTTGATGGAATCAGCTTTGATGCTTGTCAGGACTTCCTCGCGATCCTGGCCTGGAGTGACGGTCCGCAGCTGAATCTCGGCATCCACTTCAACCCATATCTCCTGGTAGCCTGTCGCGCGGAATCCAAGCTTCTCGAAACTGCGCCGACCCTCCGGCGTTGCAGTCAGCGCTGCAGATGCGAATGTCTTGTCAGCACGACTTTCAAGGTCTCGTTGCCACTGAGTGCAGAATCTTTGCAACCCACCTGAGCATCCCAGAATGTTCCAACCCTTGCTCTGCGCTGCTACCACCGCGTGTTCGAGGGAAGACTTCGCAAACCCCTTTACTCGATCATCGTACCGCTCAACATGGAACACATGCAGCCCTACAGAATGTTCCGCGCCACCCTCGGAGCAGAGCATCTTGGATGCGTTAATATCTGTCTCGCGGATCTTTCCAACGAGTAAGTCCCGCCAGTAAGACTCCATCAGCGGGAGTACGATGCTCGCCCCGGCGGGCTTAGACCGGGCATCGGAGCCGCCATCGGGTTGCGTTGGAGCTTGCGGTGGATAGAAGCACACGGATAGCTCTGGGCAGGCTTGAGTCCAGCCTTGGAGTTGTGGATACGTTAGTGGTGCAGGGTACATGTCTTGGTCTGACGCGAAGATGTCGTGCAGTACATCTTCGGTCATTGGACCATGGACAAGGGGAATAGACTGGCTCATGCTTGGTGACAAACAGGCAGGATTTCAAGTAACTGCATACTATTCAGGCCTGGATTTTGGCCCCTGGCCTTTTACTCCGTTACAGCGCTCATGTCGCGCTATGAATCGCTAAAATGGCGCACCCGGTTGCTACGGGCGGATACCACAGGGGCTTGGTTGGAGTATGTCCACTAAGTAATTTAGTGTAGCCAATGAATACTTCTTGAACGACTGCAGGCCCGGCACAGTACTCTATATATAATCTGTCTTCTTTCTGGTAATGGGTGTCATCGTGTTTCACGTGGCATTTACTACTAATTGGACAAGGCAACATTGTGACCAACTACCTCGAAAGCAGCAAGAAACATGGCAGTAACTCCGTCTGCTAATATCATAGACGAGCCAAGGAGATTGTTTGGTGAACTTCAAGTATTTCACCGTGGCCAGGTCGAGTCGACGACTTGATTTGTTGTGCCACTCCAGAACGACGCAGATGTATGATTTGAGGCGTGACATGCTGGTAACATACTTTGTAAATCCTTTGGTTATCAGCGTTCCCATCGCTTTTTCAGTTGGCGCAGCTTGAGCGACCCGCACGGTTGTCCAATGTCGCCAGCCAGCCCAAAGGCACTCCGAAGCCAGGACTGCTGCAAGACACCAACCAAACGGAAGCCAGCCTTGACCCATCAACCCGCTTAGAGACAAGAATAGAGAGGCGCAGACTTACGTAGGATGATGTGCGATATTTCGATTGAAGTATATCAACTCGAGTACAACTCACACGCAGAGGCGGACCGGTTACGTATGGTGGCGCCCTGGGCGATGCATTTAAGCGGGCGCCAGATCGGCGCTAATTGCACGTAAACACCTCGGCTCTTGTTCGAGGCTAAGTCGACTTAGTGGACCAGGTCATGCTATCGGAACCCAGACGACAACGCTGCCCGTTCCGCACCTCCGGAAGCAGAACCACGCCATCCACAAGAGATCCTCGGTGATGCCAAACACGCGGGCGCTCTTCCACTCCAATGTCTTGATGACCGCACCGACATGCCACCGCCAAACACTCCAGAGGAGGGCGTAGTGGCAACAAACACCTCCAACATCCTGGCCCTCCGGCCCTCCATGTCCCGGGACGGTGGCGGGGACGGCGGCGGAGGCGGAGGCGGCGGCCCCTCGTCCGCTGCCGCCGTCGACCTGCGACTGCTCGAGTACGAGGACGCCGTCGACGAGAACCTCATCTGCCCCATCTGCCGCGTCGCCCTCGTCGGCCCCGTCATCACCAACTGCGACCACGTCTTCTGCCACCGCTGCCTCGTCCAGGCCCACGCCCTCAACCCGGTTTGTCCCGTCGACCGCCTGCCGCTCAAGCTCGTCTCCGAGACCCGGCCCGCCCCCAAGATCGTCCAGAACCAGCTCGACAACCTGAACGTGCGCTGCCCGAACCATGCGAGGGGCTGTCATCTCGTCGTCGCCCGGAGCCTTGTCGAGAACCATGTCACTCGGTACTGCGACAAGACCATGGTGCCCTGTCCGCACCCGTCGTGCGAGCACACTGTCGTCCGGAACGACGTCGGCAAAGGTTGTCTACACTACGATGTGCAATGCGAGTACTGCGAAGGCACCATGCTGAAGGCCGACCTGGAGATTCACCAAGATCAGAAATGCCCGAACCGCAAGAAGGACTGTGAGCTATGCAACGCCGAGTTCGTCAGGAACAAACAAGAAGAACACATGAAAGAATGTCCAGAGGTTGAGGTTTCATGCAAGTATGCGCCGTTCGGGTGCACACAACAGATGAGCCGTAAGACGGCTGAGGGTCATGGGGAGAAGTGCGATTACCGAGTGGTTGGACCTGTCGGCGAGCAGCTAGCTGAACTACGGTCCGAGCTCACCGCCCTGCAGGAAAAGGATCGGATGAAAGACAGGCGCATCAAGTTTCTCGAAAACAGGGGCTATACGTTGCCGGCGTCGAACGCAACGGAGGCCATCTCCGACATCAGCCTGCCAGAGTCGTCCACAAACGCAGACATGGCGCCGTACGAGTCACGCGATCAGTACTTCTTGTCCCTCTTCGAGACCATGGAGTCGAAGGTGGAAAGGCTGTCCTCGGCCCTGGCCGAAGTCGAAGGGCGACACTCAATGATGCTTATCAACGAGACGTTGCAGATCAAGGACCAGTTGACCGAGATCCGGAGCACGCTCGGGGTGCTTGGAATGCATGTCCGTTGGCTGATGAACTTCCGATTACAAGAGCGCGGCAGGGTTGGAGCGGGATCGCCCGCCATGCCGGGATCGCTCGCCGGCAATCAGCAGGGTACCAGTGACCCGAACCTCCCTCGGAGGCTGAGTGACACGATGCGAGAGCATCCCCCGCGACTATGAAGCGATGACTGCTATGGAAAGGGGGTTGATTGGTTTGCAGGAAGCTCTAAAGTTACGCGGTTATCGTCATTAAACTACAATTTCAGCTACGAAAGAGTGACGGTCTGACTGTGTTTGGTTTTGGCGTTGGGTGTTCCTAGAGGAAGGCTGTATCGTGTGATAACATACCCCGTTCGTCAACAGACTTATTATATTCAATAGGAGATCGATATCAAATGTTTCCCATGTACCGATTGCATCGTTTACTTGGTCTTTCGCCAACCGGTCTTGCCATGAAGATAGCTAGTTGCAAGAATCTTCGCAAACGCCAAGGCTAAGCGGGCACGGAAGACAGTCTTTGACATCATATATCATCATTCATCTGAAACTCCTACCGCTACATCAAGATAAAGGGTTGAGAACCCTTTTCACTGAGTGAGACTAGAGTTACTCACACCAAGAATATAAGATACAAGAACCTCCAAGCGAGGAAAGAGGGGCCAGTCTACCGAAAAGAAGATAAGAATTGCAGACGCCGCTCCCCTATTCATGCGCGCCATGCCGCCTCGCTTAGCTCTGCAAGAAGCTCAGCAGCGACTTGATGGTGCTGCTCAGGTCAATAGAGCCACTTGCGCCCCCTTGGGTGCTGCCGCCGGTGCTGCCGCCGATGCTGCCGCTAAGGCCGAGACCGCCGAGCAGCGAGCTTAACTGCGAGAAGATGCCAGTGAGCTGGTCAAGGATGCCCGAGGCCGAGATGCTGCCGCCGCCCGAGATACCGGACAGGAGCGACTGGGCGGTGCCGCAGAGCTGGGTCAGGATGTCGGAGAAGCCGCCGGCCGTGGTGCCACCCGCGACGCTGCCGCTCAGGCTGCCGATGATGGACTCGACCTCGCCCAGCACGTTGCCGACGATGTCGATCGAGCCCGAGGCGGTGGCGTTGCCGCCGAGGAAGGCCTGCGCCAGGCCCTCGATCTGGCCCACGATGTTGATGGCAGAGTCGCAGGCCGAGGTGACGTTGGCGTTGCCCGAGAAGCCGCCGCTGAGCGTGGTCAGCGCCGAGGTCACCCCGTTGGCCAGGCCCGAGATGTCCAGGTTGCCGTCGCCGGAGAAGGCGATGCTCCCGATGGACTCGAGCTCGCCAACGAGCTTGTCGATCACATCGCTGCCACTGCAAGACGGTTAGTCACATGTGCTAATCAAGAAACCGAGATATGGTTGGGCGGCTTACCCCGTGAAGCTGCCAGTAAGCGACGAGATGATGCCTCCGAGGCCGCTACTATACAACTGTGAGCTGGGGGCGTTTCCCATGGTATATCACAACGTGGACTTACGTATCGGCAGAACCAGACGCGCTGCCCGAACCAGTCAGGCCACCCAGAAGCCCTCCGACGAGACTGCCACTACAGGACTATGTCAGTAAGGCCACTCAAGTCCTAGACGCGACTTTACTTACAGTCCTGAGGTGCTGCCACTGGCACTCCCACCTGCACTGCCACCAGTGCTTCCACCGACAGTGCCACCGGTGCTTCCTCCGGCGCTGCCTCCAGTGCTGCCTCCAGTACTCCCTCCGGTGCTTCCACCCGTGCTTCCTCCGGTGCTACCGCCGATAGTGCCGTACGAAGCACTGGTGGTGGCGCTGACCGCACAGGCGCAAGTGTGCGAGATGGTGTCTCTCTGCAGCACCGGAGTGCCGATGACAGAGGCCGAGGAAGTGGCCGAGAAAGCGACTAGCGCCGCGCTCGTGATAGTTGAGAAACGCATTTTGGGAAAAGAGTGTCGTGGACGTTTCAAAACGAAAGACCTGTGTCTATAATATGGAAATGTGGGGAGCTCGAGTGAAACCAGTCACTGAAGAGTCGAGGAAAACGAGAGGGAGTGGCTATTTTCGTCAAAGAAAAGCGAATGTTGTTGGTCAAGGATCGTAAGAAGAGAACGTAGCGAGAAGAGTTGCCAGGGAACTGGTGAACCGAAAGAAGCCAGCTCCATGATATCCATTGCGACGGCTTTGATTTATACTGATCGGCCAGCACATGAGAGCAACCGTGGAACTGGGACCGGGGCCAAGCCCACGTGGGAAATTCGGCAAAGATGCACGAGGCTGCTTTTCGTCCCAATATCGTTTGAGACGCTGGCATGGCGTTGGTGAGAGCGAAGCTGTCGCGCGTTAGCCAGTAGTATACACTAAGGGCCTCCACAGGAGCATCTGGTCAATTTCCCCACCACATTGGGTTCCTGACGTCGGTAGAGACGGGTGATTTGAGTTGGGATCGCCAACTAGACCCGAAGTGCTGTGCTCCCGGTGATCCGCGGTCTGAGCAAAGGTACTCCTACTACACGTAAAGGTCGTCTGGGTGGGGTCTGGCTCTTGACAGTCGCGGCCGTTTCAAACACCTGATGGTAGGACTATCCAATCTCTGTGCCGTTTCGCCACTGCGTCTAGCGCGGGCGCAGGCCAGCCTCATCTACTATAAACCTTGGCATGGCGACGGGCGTTCGATGACAGAAAGGTTAATCAAGCTTAAATTAGCCACTACATCATTTTTCCCATGGGAGATCTGCAGCAGGCTGGCGCCATCCCGGCTTTCCGTCTGATTATACTACGTCCCGCATGAATGTCTGATCACTGCTGATATATCCACTTCCCTGCTAGTGTGAGTCCGTCTCCTCTAGTTTCTGCTTCTTTCGGTAGTGAGGCACTCGGGGTGCCGCCCCACAAGGGGGCATATGCCGCTATGGGAATTTACACACAATGAATGCAATCATTTGCCTCCAAGAAAATCGAAGAGTAACACTGTTTGGTGGGACATGGTCTGATCTGGCATACCAAATTGACGCAAGGGGCGGGCCTAATGCCTCGCGCACAGTGAAGTCATCCATATCACAGTCCGGACCGGTCCCTTCGGGATATGAGATGATAGAGGCCGATCCTTCTTTCCTAGTATGGAGCTTTTCAGTAAACCTCGGTGTCACATTGATAACATTGACAACCTGTTTGTACGCACGCCTGGCTCCTACACAGACCCTTCATAGCTGAGCCAACGCCTTTGTTCGATAGCCAGTACTTCTCCTGCATTTCTTAAATCACCTTGAACAACTCCTGACCACCTCTTCCGACATTACCAAACCTGGCTAAGCCAAATCATCAATCACATGAGCCTCATGGACCAATTCTTAGCGCCGAATAAAATCTTGGGCATCCCGAATCTTCCCTATCAGGCCGTCCATCTCTTGTTTGCACAGATCTCCAGCTTCGGATCGCAACTTTGCTGCCATGAAGCCCGGCTGTGGAAAGGTGGTCTGAGCTATGATTGTCTCGATTGTCATGGATAGTTGTTGCATTTCTGGTGACTTGACGTCACGACGCTCTGTCATCATCTCATGAACCACCTGCGCAATTCCAGGTGACATTAACGCATCCTATTTTCCATCAGTGTTGATATTTCAAGGTGAAGGTGGAACATATTGAACATTGATAAGGTGAGAACACATCGCTGCACAAAATTGCCTAATATCAGAAGAATGGGAAGATCAACACTACGATAGAAGACGTTGCAATATCAATATCTTGAATACTGACCTGAGTCCAGGCGACCTCTGCAGGATGAGGCTTGCCTTTGGAGGTGAGCAGATGGAGATGAAGGATCTGCCGTTGCCACGGGAAAAGATACGTCACAAACTCCTGAATGTCGAGAGTGACGTCGCGGGATGCCTCGAATGTCAGAGAACCGGGCTTCTTGAGGGCGTCGATGATGCTGTCTGCGACGCTGTTGATACGGATGTTACGTTCTTTGACGAGCAGGTCCTTGAGGCAGTCGACATTGGAGGAGTCTAGAGTGCGCAGAGCGTAGTTGGTCATCTCCGTTTTGCTGGGGGAGCCCAGGGGGCGCAGGAAAGCGATGACATGTTCGTATCTGCCGCGCGTCACTCTCTCCAAAGCGGTCAGCTTGGTCTGGAAGTCGCGTTGCAGCGTGTCGAAATCACCCTTGGCGAACTTGCACTCCAGACAGTCGGCGATGGCGTCGCGCTCGTCGCGATTCAGGTCTGTCGAAGGGGACAGATGGATGTAGAATTCAAGCTCCTTGAGCTTTCCCCATACTTCCATCTTGTGCATGGACTCGATGAGCCGCCGGGCAAACTCGGGGGCAGTCACATATCTGCCTCCTTGCTCACCGGCCTTGCGTTTGCCGGCCATGATCGTTGATTCAGGCGGGCGTTTTCAGTGCGCTCATGAGGGATGATCAAAAAAAGGCAGGAGGGATGGAAATCGTGCATACTATCTCTAGAGAGACGCCGGGTTGGAGGGAGTGAAGTTGCTTTGAATGTCCTCCGTTTGTAGGGGCGAGGATAAATTGCTGCGCACCGTTAGCCGGCACAACGCGGGCGGCTGCAGACGGCGAAGACGAAGGTGAAGAACTTGTGCCGAACCGGCAGCAATAAATAGACGATAAGAACCAAATAACGCCACTAATGAGATAGAGTCTGCGCTGGGTACGTGGAGAAAACCAGAGTTGCCTAGGCAAATTTGAAATATATCAGGCCCAGGAAGGCGCGTTTGCATGTTCTTGGGAATTGAGGACCTGCACTTGGGTGCCCGCTGAAACGCACAAGAATAATAGAATTCAACTGCACCGCGTCAATCACGGTCGCTATCAACGGTGGTTTGGGTCATTTCGATTGTTAATAGGTTCTATTTACGAGACCACACCGACTTGATACGACTGGGTGGTCTCAATAGCATCTCTACTCACACCCAATGTCTAAGTCTGCCTATACACTGCATACAAAGGTTTTCTACTAGGTATGAGGTCGTCTTAAAAGCGAGGTGCTAGGAGCCGAAAATGGAGGCACGTATGCTGTGAAATAGTGCGATGGAGGAGGACTAGCCTAGACGCCGTATGCAAGGACATTCCATTGTCGGGGCCATTCAAGGATCGTACCTTGGAAGTAACGAACAAACCAAATAAACCACTCAACATGCGCGTATTTGGGAACCCAATTTTCACTGTCCCACGAGTCGCCAGCTAAGCGCCTCCGACCAGGCATACAAGCGCAGGCAGCCCTCGAGCAATGTTTTCAAAGTGGCAGCGTGCTCGGTGTGGCCCCTACATGTTTGGGGAGGCATCGTAAGACAATGGCCCCGATATGGTGTTCCAAGTGCTTGTTCAGTTATCCTGCGACCGTCTTGCGGACTTTGTGGGCGTTGTCGTTGAATACAACAGCTTGGATGTAGTAGGAGAATGCCACTGTCCCCGTAAGGGAGTCTGGGGCTGCCGTAACCACTGCAGTCGTGAACCTGATCATTAAAACCCACCCTTCAAGCAATGCCTGTAACTTGTCGAGGGAAATGTTCTCAATAATAGTCTGGATATTTTGCTTGGACATTGTCGACCGTTGTGTGGAGTGGACATTAGTTAGGCGTCGACGGTTTCCTTCAGGGTGTTGGATTTTCACAATGAGGTAAGGGCCTGGACTGTACACGGATTTAACGAGACCTTCTTCCAGGATTGACTAAATAACATCGTAGAACTTTTGCTCCATCAGGTACAAGTGCATTCCTATTCGCTGGCGGAGGCGAGTACATAGCGGCTATCTAGATCGTATCAAAGGCTAAAAAGCACCGAGTCGAGGGACCTGAGGATTATGTATCTCAGAGCACGCGACATCTGTCGGAGCATATCCATAATATCCTGTATCATGCCGCAACATTATCGACGCGTTACGATAGACGTCGGGGATGTCTAATTATGTCTCACCCCTGTACTGCAGCACTGGCGTCCAGCTGCAAGCCATGACTTGGACCTAGCAACCTGATAGGTAGCTTTACCAATAGCCTCTCTGCGGCAGTATACATACAACATTAGATGACTTGCAGCAGACAGTCGAGTGTCTCAAAGACACATTTGACGCTGGAAACTCCTACCAATGTCGTGTATATATGTATGCACACCTTTCAGGCGGGCGTTCATGCTGCCCTCTGTTGTGCACGTCGCTCATTCTTGATCAATCTCGTAGTTGCGTTCAATAAGGACCAGGAGCGAAATATGCAGACGTCACTCCTTGCTGCGATGCTCTGGCTCGGTTTCGCCGCCGCCAAGAAGTGCTCGGAAAGCAACAAATTGCCCTATTCCTCGCTATTTACTTCAACCTATGAGGACAAGACAACCACCTCAACGTCTCGAATCACTCTCACCAAAACCCATACAGAACCGCCGTATAAGATCAACACGTCATCTAAGGCGCCAACTTCGACTTCCGTGACAACGCTCTCGCCTACCTCTGGTTTTGGTACGTCGACCACGCTCTCTACGGTCCCCTTCTCTTCGTACGAGTCCATAACCTCGCCCATAGTAACGACGATCACCTCAGTATCTACCTCTTTGTCTACTAGCAGCAGCACAACATCGACTAGTTTGTCCACCATAATCTCGACGTCTACCATAACGACTTCAAGCTCAAGCACGAGTACCACAAGGCGAGATATGAATTCTGTCTTGCCCTACACGCAGCTAATACGAATCCAGCCCTACGCCGACCCCAACAAACTTGGTTCAGAACCCAGGGTTTGAAAATGGTGGTGGATCTCTTCCCCCGTGGGTCGCAGTAGCCACCCCAAACGGTACTGTGGGCAGTAATGATGCTTTCAGCGGCCTCACACAGCCTGGCAACGGTTCGCCAAACGCCGTACGCCTGAATATCACTCTCATCGACAGCGGTCAACAGGCGCCGTTTGCTTCTATCTCTCAGGCGGTCCCGATCAGCCCAAACATAACATATATGATTGCGTACGACCTCGCACTAACGCTTGCGCAGTCAGACGGCAACGGGAATTATGGATGTCTGTTCTCCAGCTCCCTCGGGGGTACTCTTTTTCAGCAATTCTTCATAAGTAGTGTGAGCGGCTATACGACTTATATGAGCACGATCGTACCGTCTACGACTGATCCGCTCCTTGTACAACTGCGATGTTTCTATGCAAGCGCGGCTCAAGTTGAGCTGGATAACTTTTACGTGGCAGAAGCATGAAGAGCATGTTTCAGATGAGAAGAGGAGAGGAGGGTGAGGAACAAGAATTTTGCAATCTATTATATCATTCTCCCGGCTACAAATATTGTTCGTAGGCTTGACACATCGTGAACCATCCCCGCTTTTGCATATGGGGGGGCGCACCCATGGAGCACTTCCAAAACTAGTCCTCTAGAACCTTGGCTTGTTTATCTCGATCGATGGGGTGATATTATGTGCTCTGTGTCTATATCGACAAATCTACTCCGAAACCGGGCGTGCATTATTTTGCTTTTCCCTCGACCGACGTTTCGCTGGAACAATTCTCGGTGGAAGTAAATGTATCGATGGCATCGGTGACTTGGAAGGACTGCTGCTTGCATCTCTCTGCCCATTCGTTGGAGGCTGAGGGGGCCCTTTCCCCAAAGGCACAGGCTGCCCGTTGAACGTCGGCGGCGCTGGCGGGGGACCTGGACGCCCGGGGTTCGGGTTGCCCATAGGCATTTGCTGTTTTATGTTGAAACCAGGCGGCATGGGAGGACGACGAGGAATTGGCTGAAAGCCAGTGCTTGGAGTGGGGGCCGCATTCGGTGAGGCGCTCTTGGGTCCTGTAGGCCGTACGTCTATTGGCCACATGTGCATCGTGATGGCATCACCTGCCCTAGCAAGAACTTCCCAAGTCGAAGGGAGTATAATTACCCCATTGGGGCCGACCAAATCATAGTGGCCGGCCTGCACATGAGGCCCGAGTACATCGACATGTACGAATGCTTCCATTATGTAACCGGTCATGCCCTGCGAGTGTTTACACGCGTGAATGAGTTATCCAAACGATGATCACTTGTGTAGACATCTGGCTCACCTTCCATTTCTTTGCCACCGCCCAAGGAAAACTGAATTTCCTGCCCACCGCATCCTTGAAATGGATAACCTGCACTTCAGACTCATTACCGGGTTGCTCGCTTTCTGACAGTGCGACTTCAATCTCATCTTCGGCTAACGTGGTCCACTCGGCTAGAAGTTCGTTGACCACCGACGATCGTTTTGCAGGCTCCCGAACGTAATGCTGTAACTGGTTGACACGCCTCTGCTGGTGCAAAATAAGCTCAGTAGAATTGCTCAGCACTTCAGGGTCCGGGCTGGTCTCAGTAGCTTCTGGAGTTGAGGCAGCGTTAGGTCTCTGTGCACCGTCGGAAGCATCTGCGTCGGTTGCTGGGGAAAACACCAGATCGTAGAGCCACATAGCTGCGTCTTCGTTTGGTATCTTTCGCAACATTAATTGATTGCTAGAGTTGGTCTCGCCAGACCCTTCGTCATCGTGATCGGAAACGTTGCTGTCGCCATCATCTTGGATATCTGGATCACCCATGGAAGACTGTTGCCCTTGACCACCTTGGTCAAGTAAATCACGGATAGAGCAATATGACATCTGAACAAGATTTTCGGCCTGCTGCCGTGCCAAGAGGACATCGTCCTTGTCGCTTGTCTGTTGCACATCATTGATAGAAGTCCGGGAACTTGTGGCCAGTGTCAGGCTTTGGCCCCCCAGTTATGCTGGTGCACTTACCGAGCGAGTTGCTTCAACTGCACAGCCAAAACCATAGTATGAAGGATCATATTGATCCCGGTCTTGTGGCTCTCGATCTGATAAAGGATGGTCGTGGCCTTGGACCGCCGAAAGCTCCACATGATGCGTGCCGTCTTGCTGGTGACGTCCAGCATCTCCGAGATGACACCATGCAGCCGCTCAATACGTCTCATGGCTGACTGGACACGCCGCAGCAACTTTCTCCTGTAGATTTCGCTCCCATCTTTCAAGACCCGGCGCAACTCGCTAAGGATGATGGATAGGTCTGAAATCGCCCGAGCAATGTCGAAAGCCTCCTTGGGGGCATTTCGAGCCCCAGAGACAATGTCTAAGATCAGCCTTGAGAGAGAAGCGCCAGCTGCCGAAATACCAGCGACACCGGATATGATTGAGAAGGGGTCCATGTTGTGGAACTGGGGCGAGGCGAGTCAAATCAATGGAAATCTCGCAGGTAAGTACGCAGTCGGTCCATTGCAGTTGAAGCACTCTTCATAGGTAAGGCTGAGCGGGGTAGCGTGGCTTGTATTGCTACGGTCCTGTATGTCGAAAGCAGTAGTACGGCTGCTCGTTTGGCGCTGACCATGTTGGGGGCGGAATTTTGTCAGGCCTATAAATGCGACCAGCCTGCCCTGCGACCATTGCCCAGTATTGATCAGTTACATATCAGCAAGGTAACTCCGTAGCGCAAGCTTGCATAAATCATTTCCGAGGACTTCATAATTTCGAGCTCATTGCCTTTTATACACTCTTATCACGCTTCAATCGACTCCATAGCCTCTCTGGGCACCATCGTCTGTGAAGCGCTGGAGAACGGTGGATATCGTCAACTTGAGAAATCCGTTCTTAGCCAATCAAAGGTGTCCATCAGATCGAAACTGAAGTCAACCTGGCCTCCAAAGTCCCAGTCCATCCCCTCCAGAATAGTCGTGTCATTTGGCACAGTATTGAGCGCCTGGTCAAGCACCTGTTGGACGACGGACCCGATCTCCCCGCAAAGTTCCGCATTGGGCGCCGTGGGCCGCACCCAGTTCAAGAATCCCGCAAATATTGAGAGCTTCTGTATTACGGCAGAGCGCGTAATGTGAGGCTGACTTGGGTCCAGCATGCCAGACCGCGATTTGAGCAGGCATTTGCAGAGGATGCCGCCTCCCGGGGCTCCGTAGCCTACCAGCTGTTGAAACCTATTAGGAAATTGTCTCGGTTTGATTTGCGTGGGTCTAGAACTTACCAACCACTCGAAATCCTGCCTCATAGCTTCAAATCTGTCCATGTGAGTCCAGAGGTTTAATACCAAGGAAACGAGTTCGAAACTCGCTGCCAGGAGGGCTCCTCCATCTGTTTGTCCCATTCGCAGAAATAGCCGCTCAAGGAAGAAATTGTTCAAGATAATTTCTAATCTTAACAAAAGTCTCGTGAAGAGGTCGTTGGTCTCTATGTTATAATCCGTGAGATGATCTTGGTGCCACAGTAGAACAGGCGGGAACTCGGAAACAGTAGCCGCGTGCTTTTCCTTCAACGATCTAGATGATACGTAAGTAACAGGCCCCGAAATGTTGACAGGTTATACTGTACTTACTGGAGGTCATCTCTAGTGGTATGCGATCCGGTTCCGAGGGCTATCACGGCTATCTGCTCCGTGATCTTCGCTAGCATGAGGCGGGCTCGAATATATGTAGAAGAGTAAAACCCTCCTTCTGTGTTCCATCCTTTTTCGTCCAATGTTGTGCGCATTTTCTCAAGGCGGGATTCGTGATCGAGAAAGAAGTAATCATCTTTCAGGTCCAGCGGCATTGGTGTCGTGACAAACATCTGTGAAATGAGCGGCGGCCGCCCAGTGAATGCAACGGTAACCTTATCTATGATGAAGCCCATCGCGAAAATCCTCCGACTAAGCTCAGAATACAGGGTCGGTTTATATGAATCGCTATCCGTGGCCTCGGCGTGCATTCCGAGGAAGGTTAAGCTGGATATAGTATCTGCATGATATCGCCAAGTTTGGCGGCCAGCATCGCCAGTTAGCATTGATTCCAAAACCGCTCTTCTATACTTCAGGAACACCAAGAAGAGGTTGCCGCCCGAAAACTCCTGACTAAGCTCCACACAGAGCATGAGACATTCCTGCATGGTCGGAATGCAGTAAGATTTTCGCAGGAGCGGATCTGTAGGTACCATGGCACTCTTTTCAAGGTCCCAGTAGTTGAAAAGCAGACCTTGATCGCATTAGTTAAAGGCAACAACCGCCCTTCAGAGTTGGGTCTTACCTAAGGACTCCCATCTAAGATTGGGGCCACAAAACTGGTCCAACCATGCATCAGTGTCGGTCAAATTCAAGACCGGCTGAGATGAATTGTAACAAATCTTGCGAGCCAACGCTTCATATTTCGCCGCACTTCGGTCTCTCCCTAGATATTGCCCAAAAGCTTCGTAGAGAGAGTGCAAAACTCGCTCTGCGATCATCTTGATAATGGCATGATAGTGGTTCATATCCTTTCGGTAAATTGCAACTCCTTCATCAGTGTAAGGTACGTGGTGTAGAATTGTGACTGCAAGCTGGAGGGTTTTCGGGGATATTCGGATCGGATCCTTGCCCATGGAGCCGCAGGGGGTGTTGTCCTGTCGTTCACTGCTGAGTATGGACAAAGTCTCCTCGATCACAGTGGAATAGCTCGTATATCCCATGTATCCGGTTGCAGTAGCTCTAGCGTTAGGCGGTCTGTCGGTAGGGCTCTTTGCGAGACTGGATCTGGCATCATTGGGACTTGTGGGCAGGCTGGATCTGCTAGAACCAACGTTGTCGTACTGAGCGATTGTAGTAGAAGCTTCATCCGGGGAAGGCTGCGATGGCTGCGCCGCCGCATTCACAGACGTCGACGACAGCGTATAGATGCAGTGGCGATCTTGCTTCCTCTTTCTGCATCTGAGACATACTGGCTGACCATGATCGCAAGCCACCTACTGCTTGTTAGTCTATAGGTCACGAGTGGCGATTGTCGGTGGGGATGAACAACGTTCCTTTCTCCTTCGGCACGGATCACAAGCCTGTAGCCGGCCATTTAACCTCCGTAGTTGGGGCGTATTGGGATTACTCATCGAGAATCAGTCGATTGTGTAGTAAAATCAATACTTATCCACAGCGCATGGTTTGTAATGAGGAAGTTGAGCCGAGTTATTGAGTCTTGTGCAACAGAATGGTGTGATATCTCGGCTTCGGCTTCGGCTTCGGCCTGACTCCGAGCCTAATCTGTAGTGAGCACAGCTTCGGTTAAATCCCTGGCTACCCACCTAAAACAGGGTTAAGTTACAGGGATAGGTCAAATCCGCAACTCCGCCAAAACTTCGTTTTCAAAGGATGGAAGTATAAAGGAAGGCATTCTTCAGTCTAATATTGTCTGCAAAGGAGACAAGCTAAACATTTATCGATCTATGATAGCAGCGAGCTCATACCATGTATTATCACCATTTGTATTCGGATGAGCTAACCTGGCAAGGATATTACGAGGCTCGACACCGTTGTGACAATGTACGACATGGTTTTAAGCTCGTCAAGATCTGCTTGGCTGAATTCAACGCGGCCGATATTTTCGTAGGCTGAGACGATGGCGTTTCCATCATCCGTATTTACAATCTGATATGTTGGACCTGCTGCAGCGAGGAGACACACATGACGACCCCCGAAGACCTCGGCAAGGGGCAAGAGTATCGTGAGACAGGAGCCGAACGCGAACACGATCATGGAAAGGAAGATCCGAGCTCTTTCCTGCTAGTTTTGATCTCATAAGTGGTAGAATTGACCCGTGATTCCCACATGGCTCCAATCATAACTCAAGCAAGACCAGCAATCGGTAGGAAGACGGTGGTTATCCATTTATACAGCTATGACCAGTGAACTTTGGTTCAGGATGATCATTGCCATCCCAAATCACCTAATCAGCAGAGTTACAGTCTTAAATACAAACAAGAATGAATACAGCTTAAGACTGTCCTACGAAGAGTTGTCAGAAAGAAAAGACATCAGACCACAACAGAAGTGGCGTTATGTTTTATCCAGCATCTACCCAATGAAGAAAACTTGAATCAGTACTCTCCAAGCAACTAGATTTACTAATGGTATCCCCCAGAGCCATAGCGACGCTTTCCCTGCCAATGTGGAGGGTACTCCAGTGAACATTAACCTTGTCGAAGGATGTGGTCTGTATCAGAGAACCCAGGGATTATTTACAGGGTCTGAGGATGCCTGGCCGAGCGAATGGCTCGTGCAGCTTTCGGAGGTAACGCAGGTCCAAACTATGAGGGGGCGAAGTTGAAGTTCATTGCGCATAAGGGCGCCTTAAGTGTCATATGAGGAGGCTGCCTAGGCGGCACCCCTGAGTGCCTCGTCAGTTAACTTCTAGGACTAGCGCGGGGACCCATCCCCTTTCAGTGCGGCTGACACGCATGTGCCGGCATCGGCTCATTCTCCATGCGAGACCGGTAGATAGTGTGAATTTAATTGGTAGAGATGATTCAGAGGTGCTACGCTCGGAATTAAATGGTTGAGATGACCTATCAGTACAACGGATGAACCCAACGCCATAGCAGATACCAAGTGCTCTAGTTAGTTGCTTACTCTTGGTTGCGTGCGTCCCTGGGATTGTAATACGGATCAAATCGAAACGTCATGAAGTGAAGAATATATCAGCAGAAAATATACTGAAGCTTTGACCTGTAAAACAAACGATTCTCGGTATGAATTGCTGTAGGTAATAAGGGGGAGGACGGGGCGCTGTTTATACGTTCGTAGTCATACTCGCTGTGATTGATACTCTGGTATCCGACGGAGCTAGGATGTCCAGTCGAAGCTAATGGTCAACAAGCCGCTACGGCACTGTCGTTCTATGACCAGAGAATCACCATGAGCGCTCTGGTCTGCGCATGTGCTTCACAGGGGCCCAAGAAATTGTCGCGACTGGACATCTTGAATCTATAAGCCGCGTGGTGCACCGTGCAGGGGCCCATGGACTTCATTGGTCTGATGGATCCCTGCATCAGGAGCATGCATTTTTCTTGGGTGACTAATACCGAAAGTCGGCTTCGGCGTCGGAATGTCCCCACACGGCTCAGCAAGCGAACCCGTCTTGGGACGCGCATGTCCACCAGGCCCGCCAGTTCTCAGGCAACAGGTCTCCACCGGCGCAAACTGTTGCCAATGAAGTGCTGGTTTGTGAACGAATGTTTGGGACTTTTGTTCAGGCAACGAGGCCCGTCATGGTGTACAGCTTGACAGGGTCACATTGCTTCATGTTGATGCAGTAAAGCCAAGGGCTACAAGCCTACAAGGGACCCCGTATCCGACCCGGCGTGCGAGATCAGCCGTCTGACGACGACCTTAACGTTTACATGGCCTGGACGCCATCGCAACGGCGAGCCGTAACGGGCACTAGCTTGGCACCCGGCCAGCCAACTTAGGAGTCGGAACCTTTGTTCATGCAATTGGACCAACCAAAATGACGGCTCATACCGTGATCGCTTTGACAGCTGCGCCCTACTGGTGGAGTCGACATGATGTGCCTTGTAGGGGCTGAGAATGCTGCAAGGCGCAAAACTAGCACTTGCAAAAGATCCAGGCAATGACTCAGATATGACCTGCATGGATTCATGCCGAAGCCGAAGACGCTGCTGTTCGTAAACAATAGGCAAACAAATATAGTATGTGTGCTTCATTATAAGTAAAACTTGTTCTCCAGGCTTTACTTTTCGTACTTCTGCCTCAGACATCCATTCTACAAGTTGACCCTACGAGTTTGCACTGTGACATCGCCTGTCAGTTCACAACTACATTGAGTCTGTCACCCTTCGCAAAGAATACCTACAAGCCTCAATCATGCCCGCCAGCGAGTTCGCCTACATTACGCAACCCTCCGCGATGGTCGGAACAACAAAGCATCGATCAGCCCATATCAAGGCATCACACAAGTCAATGGCACCATCAGAATATAGTTACGGTGAGCGAGCCTGGTCTCTCTTACCCAGAAACGGGTTTGCCAGTACTTCGTTTCTAACACCTTGGTTGGCTCCACAGATTCGGACGACGAGATAGCGGCCGTCAAGGCGCAGCAATCAGAGAGCCGACCGCCGCAGAAGGCCTCGATACTGTCGAAGATCAAGGCCAAGATCGACGAGAAGGTCCCTAAGCAACCGACACAGTCAAATACATCGTCAGGGAGGAATCAGGCGAGGGCAGATACTGCCTTCGCTTACAAGGTCATTGCAGGTGCGTTGTCGGTTCAAGATGGTGTGTCCTGCCCTACGTTCTAACGTGCTTCCAGAGTCACGCATGTAATTGTATGGTTTGGCGCGTGTCTATTTGAAGACAAGGATTTGATAACTTACGTGAAAGGAGTATCGGCGTTTCTGGATAAAGGGTTATTTCACCATAGGGCTTCACAGATTGCAAGTTCATTAAGAGAAGAAGCATCAGTGCTCGGATAATTCCACAAGTTTAACACTACGTCAGGTTCAACACTCCTACTTTACACCTAATTTCCCCGATGCTCTGTTTGCGTTTCGCTGGATCAACAACCAATCAACCAAAATCTGTGTAGAGTTTGATACCAATTGGCCATGATACCTGATGTCGAGAACCAGGACATTTCCCGATTTGATCTGGCCAAGCAGCAAAGCTTATTACTTGGGCACCCTCCGAATGGCTTCGACACTTCATACATCAGCTCCCGATCATTAGACTCCGAGAGGCAAAGACGATACGTCATGCTCTGTGCCAGAGCCCTATACTGGGAATTTTAAATTTGGATGCGATTGCCCACATGTGAAATACATCTGACAATGCATTTCAAGGTCTTTACAAAAAGGCAATAAACACCTACCTAATTCATTACGTGCTTGAAATACCCATTCTGTCCAATATCGACCATCCAATCGACTATTTTGCTCCTAACCCTGCCATGCTCTTATCCGGTGACCTTGGCAGGCTCATTGGCCATAAGCTATGACCGAGTTTCGATGGTTTAGGTCTCGCGCGATCAACGAGCATTCCTATGTCCAGGGACGAGAGCTTCACGAGCTTGAGCGGACTATTGAATGGGTTAGGCATAGGGGTTTGCTGCAGAGTCTACGCATTTGCAAAAAGCCATTCCTCGGCAAGTATTCACTTAGCTAATTGAGGTTCCAACTTGACAGCTTGTGAATATATTTCGCAGTCACCAATGCTGGAAAGTAGTTTTGGATTCTTGACCCTGGTGCCGTGTGTATGCCTCACGTCTGAAACGGTTGCTAGACTTGGTTGTTGCTCAGTTGTGTGGTTTCTTTTTCGCAGGTTTTTCTTGGTTCCGTCAGTCTGTGAATTTCAGTTGAACTGCTTAGGTGCGGAGTGCTCCCTAAAAGCTTAAGAAGAGAAGGATTTCATATGTAAGAATCTGAAGCTACGTAAGAGAGGTCAACTCCTTAGCTAATTCATAGGTGTTGATTGTGAGGTGTGCAGTTTTAACTAGAGTTTTCAGAGGTGTTTTACATATGGGAGGTGATTAGTGGTCCATGGCGCTTATAGCGCTAGTTATGGGAAGCTTTGCCGCCTGAAGCAATTCATTTCGGCGCTTTTCTGCCAAGCGACCGTCATCCATGGTGGGAAAGGCCAAGAATACCGACAGTATCCTCAATCACCATACCAAGCACTTGGCTTCCAAAAGACTGGTAAGGGCCTAGAGAAGAGGTAATTGGCCAGACTTCGCTTTGGCCAGTTAGGGCTGAACACTTTATGCACCCAGAAAGCCCGCATGACTAAGGCTGAGGACAATGCAGGGCCTGCATTCGCGTTAAAAACATCGTCATGCTGGCCCGCTGGTAGGAGGCCAGTCATGCTATTTAGCGAAGCCTGCTAGAAATGGCTCGCCTCTGGGGCGATCGTTGGACGCGTTAAATCGTGATCAGCAGCATGCGGGGTCCCCAGACAAGTAACTAACTTAGTGTCCATAGGTGCTATCCAGTTCTCCGCCCACAACTTACAAGCATGTCCCTCCCGTTGCAGTGACGAAGTATCAGACAGGAACGAAGTATTGCGGTTTGTACAGCAATTCAGACATTCCACGATCAGTTCTGTTGACCCAGGGAGAATCCTGGAGATCAATTGCCCGCAGTGTTCTTGTTTCAGTCCGATTTGGTTGTCATGTGGTTGGGTACTAACTGGAAGAATACATTATCATTCTGGCCTAACGTGCCTCGCCATGGAGGAGTCAGCGACACACATATCTTGACTATCATCGTCGGCCTTCTAGAAAAGGTGACTAGTAGACTGACTCTCAATGGACGCCTGAACATGTCATTGCTCATGGTTGACCAATCCACCTTCACAGTCCAGGATGCGCTAAATCGAACACATACGCCAAGGCAACGGAACTCGTCCGAGAAACAACAGTTCGACCTCGGAATATGTCCGAGAATGGATTCCCGGGCTCATAGTCAATACCGAACGGGCATTAATCCTGCAGCATCCTGCCAGGAACCAAGAATCTATACATCAGGATTTGCGCCGTTTCTTGGCCTCTGGGTCTTGTTCGACTTGGCAACCCGCCTACGTGCTCCTCTATTTGGCTGGTACTGCACCAATGCTGCACCAGCCAGTCTATACTTGTGGGGACCATCGTTCATAGCTCCAATACTACCTAGCCAGCTAGCTTGGCCGGGTGTTATAAGAGAAAAGCCCTCGCTGATTTTCGGGGCGCTCCTTGAACCCGTCGTACGTCGATTGCCTCCGATTAGCCATGGTCACCACCTCTTTTATTGCCTCTGCCGCTGCGGTCACTGGGTACTGGGTGGTTCATGCCGCAGCCGCCTCATCCGGGGTTTTCGAAGTCCCGTTGGAGTTGCGTAATGTCTATCCGGCCGCCAACTTCAACCGAAATGTGTCGACACGATACTGGCAGACGACTGTTCTGGACGGGCACTCGAACGAGGACTCCTTGGCACTCTCCCAGAACCTAACCGATGCATCTTTCATCGTACTGGACCAAGGCATGTATGAGGTTAGTGAACGAAAAACTTTCTTGTGGCGGTAGTATCAGACGATGTCGAGACTCACATTTCATGTGTAGCTCATTGGAATTGATGGGAAGAATGGGTGTGCGCCTTCCGTGGAACCTATCTTCGACTTCCCCCCTGGACCGTCTTACACCAATCGCCTCACTCATGATGGCATAGCCTACTCTCCAGAGTGTAACTGTATATTCCTGGGAGAGCTATACCCTCCAAACGAAGGTTTCTCCATGATTCCCATCCCGTGGATTTGGCGCATCAACCTCAACAGCAATCCGCCAAAGACGGAGCAGGTTAACCCGTCGCCCCCGCTCACCCTCGCCAACGGGGCAACCTATCACAAGGGAAGCATCTACTTCATCCAGGAGGGAAATAGAACGGTACCTGGAGGAATTGTCAAGATGGACCCCTTGACACTGAAGACTGAGGTGGTTCTCAACAACTGGTTTGGCCACCGGTTCAACAGCCCCAATGATATCGTCATCGACAACGACGACGTTGCTTACTTTACCGACGGCTACTACGGGTATGACACGTTCAAGACAACGCTGAAGCCTGAGCTCGCCAACGGAGTGTGGCGCTTTGAGATGAAGACCGGCAACCTGCGTCAGTTTACTGGCGCCGGAGGCGGCCCATTCACCAATCCCAACGGCGTGGCCCTGAATGCCAAGCAGGACAAGCTGTACATTACGAACCGTGGCTTGACCTCCAATGACCCTGCTGGCGGTCGCACGATTTACGAGTTCAACGTGAATAACAAGGAGGGCATCCCCGTAACTGGACCCACCGTGTTTTCGTACCAAGACTCGGGTTTCCCGGACGGTATCAAGACGGACAGCGCCGGCAGGGTGTATGCAAGCGCCAACGGCGGCGTGAACGTGTGGGACAAGACTGGCAGGCAACTTGGCATAATCAAGGTCCAAACGGGAGATGACTCAGTCCAGATGCAGTTCGTTGGGAATGATCTGTACATTGCTGGCCGAGAGCATCTCTACCGGGTTCACCTGAACGCCACCGGTAGCCAGGTATATTGAAGGGAAACACTATGATCAAGTTAGAATAAACGGCTAAATTCCGAGGGTGTATGCCAAGTTGAAACCGCTTTCTTCTCTCAAGTGCCTAACTAGCTGCAGAACGCATGTCTGGTATTGCTTTCAACGGGTAAGGTCAGATGCAGTCTATATCATATCTCTATATATCGTGGAAGTCATGACTCGAACGCCTGGCCGCATGTCCATGGGCCCCTGTCGCCTATTGCTTCCCAATCAATCAAACACATCAGTTGCATAGCGTACATTACGTAGCTCCTCCCACCACTTCTTGACTTCCTCTTCACTCCACTCCTTACCTCTAGCACGAAGACCAGCATCCTTCATTCTAAGAGCAACATCCTGCACACCGGCGCCCACACGCTTGGAGCCACAGACGAAGAGTTTGGCGTTACTATCCCATAGCTTGGCGACCTCCAATCGGTCTGCCCACAGGGCATCTTGGACATATTTGTTGCCTTCGCTCTTCTCCGGCGTTCTGGAGTAAGCCCGCTTCACCGTTGCTGCTCCGATCTTCTCCCACTCGGCCATCTCGTCGGAGTACAGGTCATCGCGCCCGGGTTCGCGGCACCCGTAGTACAGGACCAGAGGCGCCACCTTGCGTCCGGCCTCGATCAGAGCAGCCCGCTCCTGGATGAAGCCCCTGAAGGGGGCCAGGCCTGTGCCAGCGGCAACGCATATGACGGGCGTTTGCTCCATAGTCTGCGGGAGGTGGAACGAGGCATGCGATTGCCTGACGGAGACGTGTAGTTTGTCTCCTTCCTGGAGATTGTTAAGATACGAAGTTGCGACGCCTACGTGCAAACCTTGGCCTGATTTGGAGGGCGCTTCCAAGAGGGAGAAGGTTAATGTGACGTTGTTGGGCTTCCAGAGAGGCGACGAGGAGATAGAGCTAGATCCAGGGGTCAGTCATATATAATCAGAGGACTGAGACTCCAAACGCTTACTATTGCCGGACTCGCATGGGTGGCAGCATGGCGAGGAAAGAACCTAGTGGCAGTTTCACGGAAGGATACCGCTCCAGGAGATCGAGGATGGAGACGTGCTTCTCCGAAACCTCCTTTTCGTAGGACTCTCCCGCAATATCCCTGAGGGCTGCCTTATCGGCTTCAACTTCAGTTGCCTCGGCCAAGGCAAGAACGTTCTGAGGATAGTCAGCGTGGCTGATAGACATTGATCAGGAAGTCAAGGTACATACCCTCTTAGTCGCAGGCTGGGCCAACTCCACATATGCACCGAAAATATCTGAGGCTGAGATAGAAGTGTTCGTAGGCAAGGGGATTTGGCTATCTGCCTGTATCTCCAGATGAGCGTCCCATGGGAGTTCAAACTTCCTCATGGCCCGCGAAACGGTTTCCTTGGGGTTGATTGGAAGAACAGCAAGGTAGTCACCCGCGCGATACGTGTTGTCTGAGGGGAGCTTGATCTCAATGTGCTTCTTCACGGGTTCACCATTGGCTGTCAGGATCTTGGTCGCGATGACCTCGGCTTGCTGGACATCGGCACGAAGGGCAGACGTGCGGGGGCTGGTAACAGATACCTTCAAGGACGAGCCTTGATTGGCGGCCTGAGTGTCAGTGGAGGTTCCATACTGCTTAACTAATGCCGGCCAGAATACGTTATCCTCCCAGCTCTCGAAAGCCACGAACATATCAGAATCACCAGCGTCAGCGAAGCCGGTTGCCGCGAGTCGGCTAGCACCATTTTCCTCGAGCTTGCTGTCAATGAGTTTCGGAATACGGTAGAATGTCTGTCAAGGAAGTTAGTAGTCATGCAAAAAATCTCTTGCGCCAATCACCACTTACTGAAGCCCAATCGTGGTGACCACAACCGAAAACGGCGTATGACACATCCTTGAGCGCTGACTTGTCCTCAATACTCTCGAGGTACGAGACCAGATGGCGTGCATTATCTGGTGGCTCTCCCTCATAGGATGCGGTGAGAAACACGACAGGTTGATTCTTCGGGATGTTTCCATTGGCAGTGTCCATGCAGTCTACGGTCGAGGCCTTGAATCCATGCTGGGTAGCATCGGCGGCAAGGCGGTGAGCCATAGCCTCGCAGGTACCGCTGTTGGAGCCGTAAAGGATCGTAATGGGCTTTCCTTGGCCCGATGAGTGAGATTTCGATGCATCGGTTTGTCCCCCTTGGGCCGCCTTCTCGTCAGACGGGCCAAAACCAGCCAAGCGACGTTCAAGTGTCGTTGGTGTCAGTCCATCCCTGAGAATGGCACGCATATAGAAGCCGTTAGGCTTGATCGTCAGCGTCTGCTTATGCCGGAGACTGTAGTTAGGGTCGTCCAAGACAAAGTTGAAATTCTGGAGAAGCATAACCATCACAAGAACAGCCTCTTGCCAAGCGAAAGGGCGACCAATGCAGCCCCGAACCCCGTTTCCAAAGGGTTTCCATGCATTCTTGGGGAGCTTCTCAAAGTTCTCGTCCATCATGCGCTCTGGCTTGTATTCAAGAGAATCTTCACCGTACACCAAGGGATCGGTATGTGATTTCTTGATCATCATGACGCAAGGCTCGCCAGTGTGGACGGGATACTTTCCTCCGAGCAAGGTATCTTCGATAGCCTGTACCGATATCATGGGAATGGGTGAGTCCAAGCGGAGTGTTTCGCGGAGGATCTAGTAATTGTAAGCTATTTCTGCACTAAGGCCGCACCCTCTAGTACCTACTGCTGAGATATAAGGCAGTTTTGACATGTGCTCAACCTGTGTGCTGTTAGTTTCTGACAGATACCTACATGCACAATGTATTAACAACTGACCTTGATTGGGCCTTTGCCAACGACCCTGTCAACTTCCTCCTGGGCCTTCCTGTATACTATCGGATTCTTCAAAAGCTCGTAGAAAGTGAAGGACAAGAGTCCAGACGTTGTCTCATGACCAGCACTACAGTTTCGTGGTAAGCCAGATTCTTCATGGTGGCCCATAGCGGTGGTGGCTAGATCTGAGCAGCTCGGAAAGCCGGAGGATAAGCAAGCACGTACATTAAAAAGGTGATGAGGTTGTCAATGATTGACTGATCCGTCATAGAGACCCCGCTCTTTGGATCGACCCCCTTCAACATGGCGGCTAAGAGATCCTTACGGTCACTCTCACCAGACTTCCTCTCTTCGAGGACCTCCTCGGCGGTCTTTCGAAGGGTTGCAATGTCTGATCGGAACTTCTCCTCTTGGTTTCTGTAGAACCAAGCAGGCAGCGGCGGGCGCTGTGTTTTGGCTCCGGATTCTGTCAAGAAATCACCCATGGCGTCGATGAAAGGATGCAGGTCCTGGGTGTAGAAGCTGTTAAAGCGGAAACCCATTGCGCAGAGAGCCAGGGTATCCAGGGTTAGTCGAGTAAAGTCGTCAGTCGCCAAGATCGGGTTTGAGGACCCGTAGCGAGCCCACTTCATGGTCAATTGAGTTGCAATGTCGTGCATCTCATCGAACATGCCTCTTATGCTGATAGGGCCAAAGGCCGGCATCAGCACGCGATGGGCTATGCCCCAATTCGGTTCCTCTAGATAGGCGGTGAAGAGGCCATCATGGACACCGTCTCGGATCTCCTTCAGGGCGCCAGCTGGCACCTTCTTGAAGCGCTTCTCATTGCAGAGCTCGTCAACCAGGGCATGGTTGGAGCAGACGACGACAGTTCTGCCTGGTAATCTGAGTCGATATATGTCGCCGTGCTTCTCTGCGAGGTCCATGAAAGATCCCAAAGGGTAGGTCTGGTCAATGGAGGTTATATGGCCAATGAGGGGCAAGCCCGGCGGCTCTGGGATGGGGACTGGCTCGGTCATTGTGGTCGAATCTTCTGGTGATGCTGGGCAGAAGATGTCCGGGTGACTGTATGTGCGTGTGGGCAGACTAGAGTGAAACACGACGTCGAGCAGTCGTCAAATATTTATACGGCACCCAAGTTACTTGTCAGATGCCCGGTACGTCAGCTCAAGTAGCTTGAGGTGGGTCAACGCACGATTTTCGAACGGGGGCGTGAATTCCGGCGTCCAGTACGTATGACAAGACCAGCTAACTTCAAGCCAGAGTCCGCACATATGCTTATGCTAGCAGGGGGGCAACTCGTAGCCTTCTAGAAGCTGTCTTGGCCAAGGTATCCTGGATGCCACGCGCGGCACCGCAGCCCAGCGGCACGGAGGAACTGAGAAGCTTGCTGGCCACCGCCTGCCACCAACGCCAACGGATCGGCTGCTGCTAGGGACCGACATTGCACTAACGGCCTCGGGATCGTGCTTGAAAAGCGGGTCGATGCGGCGGAACCGAGGCTTGGACATACGGGGCATAGGGTGCATGACGGACATGCGCCTGATTGGGACATTGAGACGGGTCGCATAAGTTGACCCAAGGGGCTGCAATAGGGATATTTGCTGGTTGCCGAGCAGAAGGACCGGAGGACTTCCCTGCCCCTGACCTCCTCACAATATCGCATCGTGCCGCATCTTGGTATGGCGATGCAATGCACTGTGGTAAGTTATGTGGGCAATAAGCTTTGGTGCGGCTCCAGGCTGGTATTCAATGTTGTCATGGTTCAGGGTGATCTCGGGAGGCGCCGAACGAATCATGGGCGGCTGATTTTCGCTACAGGCAGCCCCATTCTCCTGCGTCACAAAAGCTCAGGCTTGTTCACCCAGAGAGAGAGCACACACTTATTGGGGGTTAGATACTACAACACAACATCAGAGAGAGTATAGCTCAGGGACCCATGTTTCTGCATGTGCCGATTGATGCCACCCTAGCGTCAGCCATAACGTTCACAGTGAGATTGACGAGCTCTGGTCCAGTTTGGCATGTGTCTTGCCGTGCGCTAAATCGTTAAGGCCGGGACAGGAGTTTCGGATGGGTTCCCTCAACGGCGTTGCCGCAACGGATCATGGCGGAAACGCCGTCGGGGTTTTAGCATCGAATCCACACCGCCGGGCGAAAACTTTGAAGCAGCGCAGCTGCAACGTCGCATTCGCCTACGCATTGCATATGCACTAATGATTACTTATCTGCAGGTTTGACTTCTGCTGAACTTGTTGACCTTATCAGATCTTCGAAATTGGTTGCCCTCTGGATTCGGCAAGGTTGCGGCGGCAGTTCGGGAAGCGGCACATACCCAAGTACTTTGTGAACTTAACAGCCCACAGTGGGGTCAAGGGAGTGCCCCCTTGTTCGCTTGCTCTGCAGGTCAGTGGTGTTAATGGGGCGTTTCGATCTTCTGTCAAACACCCCTACACAGATATAAAACATTATAGCAGCGAATATAGAATCAGGTTCGGATTCATGCGAAGCTCAGTCTCGTGTGCCTGTGTTTGTCTCCGCTAAAGTGTCCGCCTCCAACGCCGGTCGGTCTGCTCTACCTGCTGTTGTCTGTACGCAAAAATGTAAGTCTAGAGCAAATGCTTGAGAAGATTACGAGTAAAGAGATGGACCTACTCCCCCATCTACAGGCATGATCATGCCCGTAATCCATCTGGCTTCCTTGCTGCACAGGAATAGAATGGCTAAGTTAAGAGATATGTCAGTCTCGAATCCTTGCTCAATCTCGAAACTCGCTTACCATAGCCCACATCCCAACCCGTACCCTCTTGTTTTAGCAGGTTCTGGTTGATGCGCTACTGTATGGTTAGCTAGATGGCTAGCTAGAATCAAGCAAGGTCGGGCTACTCGCAGCTTGCCTCATTTCCTCAGTCATCCCTCGACCGCGGACCATGGGTGTATATACCATGCCAGGGCAGACGCAGTTGACGCGGATATTCTCAGGTCCATGTTGAGCAGCCATGGCTCTCGTCATCTGAATGACAGCCCCCTTGCTGGTGGGATAGAGCAAAGATGGATTTCCACCAAGCACTTCGCCATCGGCGCGTCAGTCTCTGGTGCACCGCCAGGCTTGACATCAGTCTACTCACAGCCGCTCACCGAACTCATGCTGACTATGGAGCCTCTCCCGTTCTTTCGCATCTCGGGTATCGCGTAGCGTGACATCAACATCATACTCGTGACGTTGATACGCATGTCGCGCTCCCACGCGTCAACGTCAAGCTTCGTGGCATCTCCCATGGCGCCACCGACACCAACTATGATTCCGTCAACGAGTTTGCTCACGCAGAGGTATTCCGTCTGGGCCCACCTATGTTGACAAGTATGTGCACAGTCCCATATAGTTGGACTGTCTTTGCGACTGCGGCTTTGCAGCTTTCCTCGACGGTGACATCTGCCTGGACCACTTCGGAAACGCCGCCTTCTTTATCAATCATCCGTTTCGTCTCGTTAGCCCAGGTGGGATTGAAGTCTACAAGAGCTACACGGGCACCTTGTCTCGCTAATAGTATTGCTGTGGCTCGGCCGTTGCCAATCTCACCTGTATTCTCTGATTAGCTACAAGCTCAACCCTACCTGACTGCTAACACAGCCGTACCATCCATACGCGAGCCCGCTCCCGTAACGATGGCAACTTCGCCGGTGAAATTGAATGCTTCTGATGGCGCCATGTCTCCGAGTTGCAGCAGTCAGTAGTGTATCTTCAAGCCGTCCAAAGGCCCAAGATAAATTCTGATGAGGTTTCTGTTATTCTTTGTACTGCGTCATCGCGCGTCTGCTGGTGAACATTTTTCCAGCCGTGCAGCAAGATGTGCCCCATGATTATGTGCACTTCTGTAAGATCTGCATCGCGCATCCGCTCCTCTCAGCTCTCAGCAAGCTTCTAATTACTGTAAGGATGTGCCATTCGGAAACGTTGTTCCGGTGACTAGGTGTACCCGCAAACTGGCCGCGGAGCATCGCCGTAAGCGACGTTCAACATTGATCTCCAATTCTCCAACAAGCTGGACGAAGCCATCCTAGATATGGCTCAGTGTCTAGACCATGTGCAGCAGTAGTCGAATCCTTCTCCGAATCCTTCTCACACTGTGCTTTCGCCGAGATTTACCTAGAGCACAGCGCAATGCATACGTACACAGAGTGGAGCATGACTTTATGCTTGGAAAGAGGAAAGGTGCCAGTGACTCTACCACCAGAAGCCGGTCGTTAATGCCTGTGGCCTTTGAATGATCTCCCACTCTGATCGATATACGTGATGCTTACATTGTAGTAATACATCGCGACGTCCTATGTCGCGGGTATGGATGTGCGCCATGTATTGGCCATTTTTATTCATCTGTTCACGATAACGACCGTCCCACTATAAAGACTATCTTAAGCCTGCTCGTACCTATGACTTTATCTAGCTATTCATCTACATCTATTTGATAGACGTCTAGCTTTGCATCAATCATATTCACTTACTGTGCTAACCAAAAATTAAGCCATTGTGCTATGCTCCGTAGACTCTCTTCCTTTACCCACCCTGGGCAATTATCAGCCTCCGCATATCAATTGGTTCGGGCACAGAGTATGGCACTTACTTTCATACGGCTTGTTCATGTCCCCACGAAGCGCAAACCCGTGCTCCACCCCAGAGAAAAGCTGAAGATTGTATAGCTTCTTGTTCTCATCTAGAACATCTATAGCTCTGTTCCGTGCCTCAGTGGGAAAAGTGTGGTCTACTTGGGCGCAGGAGAGAAAAAGGGGCTCTTCACACTTCCATGTCAGAAAGTTGGCAAAACAAAACATTCAGTGGATACTGACTCATCAGGTTCTCAAAGTGGTGCTCCTTGAGGAAAGCGGGATGTCCAAAGGCACCAACACTGCAGATGCCTCCCTTTGCAAGCTCGTTACAGACGTAAGGGGCACCGAAACAGTACCTGCTTATCTGTTAGTCATCAGTGCTCCACGGGACTTCATCAATGCCCGATATCTCACCCTACGCAGGCGAACTTGGTGCCTGAATCCGCGTACTGGCTTGATACTGCGCTGACCCAACGCGGTACTGCCTCTTCCGCAAACGATGTATGCTTCGCTTTCCAGGCCTCGTAATCAAACTCTGGATCCGTGGTAGTGTCGTGCCTGTTCGTTCTATGCTTCGTCACGGGATCCTTGCTCGTTCAAATGGTCAGTCAAAAATAGACGTTCTGAGATTGCACCCCGGGAACTCACTCCCCGAAAATAGTCTAAGCCAAGCACCATGAATCCGAATTCCGCAAAGGCGTCCATAACTAGTAAGCCATTCTTGAACATCCCCCAAACGTCCGGGAAGTAGAGTAATACATGTCCGTTTGCCTTCGTCTCGGACGGTTTTGATACGTAGGTTTGGATGTTGGAGATCGTCACATATTCACCCCTCGGTTCGCCTTGATGAATAGTTCCTCCAAGGCAGCAAGTATCAGAGGGCCCAGCCAGGTAGCTGTCAGAGACTGTCATGGCGGATTGCACTACCACAGCAGGAGTAAGGGGAATAATGGCAATAAAGATGGATCAATCCGAAAGATAATCCTGATGCATTGCTGGAGATCTCATTGCCTCGATCAGCAGCCGTCATCTTGCAGACATCTTAAATGCTGCTGCTTTGGACTCGCACGAACAGCTTCGATGCACGATTGGCGTAATGGATCGGATGGGCCTTCCCCACACCACCATAAGATTGTATCTCTAGTGTGATGCGGGGAGTGCTGGGGACAAGGGGTGTAATGGCTGGTAGCGAGGACGATACCCCGGCATGAGATTCTGCACTGTGGAGTGTCTATCTGTACGTCACCTGGCTCAGTAGTTCATTTCTCGAGAGCGGATTTAAGTCCGATTCTTCCGCAATCCTTCGTGGCAGAACAGGAGCTCCCGACCTGACCTTTAGTCGTTCCTTTCGACTGTATCGCATTGGTACTTGCCCTGATTGCCCACGATTGAACATTATGGGTGAAGAAACAGATGCTGATGTGGTCGGCCCTGTACTCCCCACAACGTCTACGATATCGGAACATCAATGGAAACTCAACGCGGTCCACGAGGTAAGCATGTTCCGATTATGAACCAGCATCGCCAAGCTAACTAACACTGCCAAAGCATGATGCCGTGGGTTACCGTGAATACGTCGAGGGTCTCGATATTGAGGTCACGGACAAGGAAGCCCGTCGGATCCGCTGGAAGATTGACCTCATCGTTCTTCCAATATTTCTCGTCACACAAGCGCTGCAGTTTATGGATAGAACGGCACTGAACTATGCGAACCTCTTCGGATACCAGACAGCTTTAGGATTGAAAGGCCAGGAGTTCAACTACTTATCTGCCAGTGAGTCAAAAACGGCTTGAATGGGGTAAGGAACACTGACAGACTCTCAGTCGTATACGCCGGCTATTTCTTCGGCCAATATCCGTGTGGTTGGTTGGTTGGCCGATACCCTGCCCAGAGGGTCATCGCGGTCGCGATCTTCCTATGGGGGGCAATGGTGCTAATCTTAACCCAATGCCGTACATTTTCGAGTGCGCTAGCCGTGAGGTTTATTTTAGGAATGTTTGAAGCGGCCGTCACTCCCGGGCTAACTCTGATGACCGGCTTCTGGTGGACAAGGCGTGAGATCCCTCTGCGGCAGTGCATTTGGTACTCCTCATTGGGCTGGGGTGGCATCGTTGGCTCATACATCTCCATGGGCATCTCAACCCTGCCAGCTATCATGACACCTGAGAGATGGGAGCTTATCTTCTATATTCTCGGATCCGCCACATGTCTCTGGGCATTTGTCGTATACTTCGTCTTGCCTGATACCCCATCAAACGCACGCTTCTTCAACCATCGGGAACGGATCGTAGCAGTGAAGCGGGTTGCAGGTAACGAAACCGGAATCAAGAATAAGGCTTTCAACAAGCAGCAAGCCATACTTGCGTTCTACGACCCAAAGACGATCATTCTCTTCATCTCTGTCTTCGCAGCGGCTATTCCTAATGGGGTGGTGAACAGTTTCTCTACGGTCATCATCCGGGATATGGGGTTCTCGACAACCATGACAACGGAACTAAAATCGGTAGGAGATGCCGTCCAAATCATCGCGTTGTTGATTGGCGGCACGATCACTTTGAATGTTCCGAACAGTCGACTTTTGACTTCGACTGGGGCAAATATCCTTTGCACGGTGACAGCAGCACTGACAGCTTATCTTCCACGATCCAATACGTGGGGAAGACTCGTAAGCTTCTGGTTGGTTAATGCTCAGTCTGTGGGCTTCACCGTCTCGCTGACGACAATTTCTTCAAATATGGCCGGCTATACTCACCGATCCTTTGCCAGTGGCTTGATATTGTAAGTGCCCCTCGTACGACTCTGTAAGCCCCCAACTGATCAGTGTTGGCTTTTTAAGCACGGCTTATTGTTGGGGCAACTTTGCAGGCCCATTCGTTGTCAAGGAATCTGAGGCTCCCGATTATAAAGGCGCGACAGTAGGGTTACTTGTCGGATACTCTATAAAACTTGGTTGCCATCTAGCACTATTGGGTTAGGTTCTTCCTTGAAACTCCACGCATCCAAGTACTAATTAAGTTTAGCATACATGTGGCTGGAAAACCGTCGAAGAGACCGAATCTATGGCCCTGCGCACAAAGACAGCTCAGACGAAGCTGGAATGCAAGACAAGACCGAGTTTGAGAACAAGGACTTTCGCTATGTATTGTAATCTGCAAATAGACGATACATGCAGCAAACGTAGGTCGCATTGGCTTACAGCTTGAATGAAGGTTCATGGGAGTCGCTCAATCACAGGAATCATGGTGCGCAAGTTAATTAATAGGCCGATCAGAGCAAGGCTGGTCAGGTGTGAACGCATGTGTCTGGTGCCGACCTGCATGCACGGTTTATCAAGCCGTCAATAAAGTAGTCTTCAGCTCACTGACTGGGCACTGGCCATGCAATAGGGTTGCATTGCAGTCCAGCTGGACGATGTCGGCATCTTTGAGAAACCTCTGAGCGGTTTCCTCTTGACGGGGAGAACTCCTTCCGTGACTTGGGGACCTATTCGCGACTAGTGCGAATGCGCAAAAGTCCCTGATACTCATGAGTTCACGGCTCGTCCTCGCAACAGCTGCATTGTCGGCTGCATGTCTCGTACGATACATTACCTACAGATAACGTCCCGCGCTGTGTAACAAGGCCAAGAGAGTCTGGATTTCTATTGCAATAAAAAAAAATGCACAATTATAAGCGTTGATGTCCGCAGTAAACCCCTACTTGGGTTCTCGCACTTACAAAAATATCAAGCTCAAAACATGTATTCAAGGCGAGTTTTCGTGGTCGTGGGCTTTGTCATTAAAGTAGCCTGCATCAATTTCAACTTCGAGTCAACCCAGCTGCAAGAGGCAGACATCAAAGACTTCCCCGCAATAGCCTTCGGGAACATTTCCAATTTGAATAGCACGTATGATGGGCCACAATGCAAGGTATTCCCCGAGTCTCCAGATTGGCCCTTGGATGACGAGTGGGTGAAACTAAACAACACACTCGGCGGTGCGCTACTCAAACCCGCGCCACCTGGCGCGGTTTGCTACAACAGTTCATCGTACTACAACTCAGACCAGTGTACATATATCGTACGGAACGCTGCGAATAGTCGCTTTTATATCAATGACCCCCTAACCGTTTTGACGGCATGGGCACAAGGAAACACCTGCCCCGCGACGTTAACGACGCAGGGTGTGTGTACCCAAGGAGGATTTCCAACGTACGTGGTCAACGCGACAACAGTCAAACAGGTACAAATTGCCGTGAACTTTGCCCGGAACAGAAACATACGGCTGGTCGTTAAGTAGGTCCTCCCATGCAAACTTGGCAGCACATTTCTAAAGTCTGTATCAGGAATACTGGCCATGATTTCAACGGCCGATCTACAGGCGCGGGCGCTCTAAGCATTTGGACACACAACTTGAAGAGCTTTGAGTATATGCCGCAGTATACTCAAGGTGAGTACTCCGGCAGGGCTGCGCGAGTCGCATCGGGCTTGGAGTCGTGGGAGATGTTCCCTTACATGGCGCTACATAACATGACTGTGGTCGTTCCTAGCGGATACACTGTCGGTCCGTATGGCGGCTGGATGGCTGGTGGAGGACATTCACTTCTAGGTTCTCTATACGGCATGGGAGCCGATCAGCCCCTTTCGCTTCAGGTAGTCACTGCCAACGGACGGTTTATCACTGCGGATCCAGAGACAAATAAGGACTTATACCACGCTCTTAGGGGAGGTGGACCTGGTAAGTATTGGTGCATTATCTGAGCCGACACAGCCGTCATTCTGATTACAATCACAGGGTCTTACGGTGTCGTGACATCAGCCATAGTGAAGGCATACCCACCAATCATAGTCACTGCCGCACCACTGAGCTTCAACCTCTTCTCTGGGCCTTTGTCAGTGAGTAGCATCACTGATGCACATCCATCAGCTGCAGATGACCCAGTAACAGTCAACGACACTGAGGCTTTCTGGAGTGCTCACAATCTCTATTACTACTTCGGTAAAGCTGTTGTCGATGATGCCAACGGAGCGACATATAGCTATGTTTCACGGACCGGCAATGGTAGCTACTCTTTCCGAAGTACGTTTGAGTTTCCAGGCAAAACTATACCACAGGTCAAGGCTTTCATGCAAACTCTTATATCTGCCATCAACGACCTGGGAGTTCCAGTCAAGAATGAAGACCCGACAGTCTCCACAAGCTGGACTTCCATGCGTGACGGGAAGGGGGACACTCCTGGCTCGTCTCGCTTCTCGTCGCGAATCTTTCCACAAAAAAATTGGGGAGATAAGGCACTTTTCAATCAGACAATGTGGGCTATCCGGGAAACTGTGGAAGCGGGCTACCAGTTTCATGGCATACATATGACCCCATCAGAAGCAAAAGCCGGATACCCTGGTAACAACGCGGTTAATCCTGCATTCCGAACAGGCCTCATGCATGCAGACGTGTTCGATCGCACTACTGGTGCAAGCACGTCTCCCGAAGAGGTAAAGAGTAATCACGCTCGTCTTGACTCCTACATGAACAAGATACGGGCGGTCACCCCTGGAGGAGGGGCCTATGTCAATGAGGCCGATGTGCTAGAACCTAATTGGCAGACAAGTTTTTGGGGTAGCAAGTACGAAGGTCTTCTGGAGATCAAGAAGAGACACGATCCGTGGGGGCTTTTCTGGGCTCCCACTACTGTTGGAAGCGAGGAGTGGGCTGTGAGGACATCGGATGGCCTGCCCACACAGAACGGTCGGCTGTGCAGGGTTTGAGTGCTGTGGTCATAACTTTTCTCTGTTGAGCACATTTGGAATGAGGGTCTGGGCTATTTTGGTTGTCTTCTCAGAATAATTTGTACGCAGACTATTGTGACCAACCATCGCCACCGTGGCGAAACTTTCCTTGCCCTTACCCGTAGAATACCCCGTGAACGCCGAAGCCAAGATAAAATGAAACCATACAATTTCGAGCTTGAAAAGATCGAGTCAAAGAAGGCTGCCTCACCAAGGAATGTAAGGGTATCATACGCTGAAGACCTGATCTATGCCACCTGAAATTGGAAGAAAGGAATGGATTGTAGACAGAGTTGAGTTTAACGACACCAGTCGTCGTTACCCGCAATGGACATTTTGATCTCAAGTCGACCAGGTGTAGAGATCTCTTGCGTATGGCCCTGGAGAAAGGATAAGCTCTCTGCCTTGCGGTTCAGTAGCCCGCTAAGACGTGCGAGGTCAAGTGTTTCGATTGCTGGGTAGATGCGCTCTTGACTAGGGACTTGCCCGTGAATGAGCCACCCATTCTCATGCATACACTGCCATAGCTCCTGCTTCATTGCCTCTTTGGTGAGCGTGGAGTGGTAGATCATACTGAGTGCTTGGACGAGCATATGCTGGACATGGTCATCGCCTTTGTTGTCGTGTAAGTGTGGGTTGCGCGTCTTGATCTGGTGAATGTGTACCTGAGGGATCCGCGAATGCTTCTTCTCCTTGTTGTCGAGCATCCCACTCAAGTTTTCAAGCAGATCGATGTATTGATAAGGCTCGATCGCAAACCCACTCGCGAACCTTAGCCTCATGCCCAGAGACATGGTCATTGCATGCTCGCCAGCATTGCCTGTCGTGATGCACTCGGTGCCATAGCCCGAGTAATCCTGGAGCAGCGAATTCAGCCAGTGATTAACAACTTTTGAACTTCGCCCCTTGCATTCAAACACCATCCTTCCGTTCTTTTGCTTCGGCTTGGAGCTCCATGACAGCCGAATCATTGCATTGGGTGTTTTCGCCAGGTGGAAGCCAGCAGCATACGCCTTGCAGTATTCATGCACAGACCCAGGGATGTAGTTGTCGGCGTCGATAAAGCCAATGTATTGCCTCCCTGTCAAGGCGGCTAAGGCCATGCCAAGAAACATGCCCTCACCTTTCCCGTCGTGGATCAGGCCATCCTCCGCAACTAGGTCAGGTGCACCCGCCGAGAGAAAGGCTTTGGCGGCTCCTGGGTCTTTCTGGTGTATTGCAATGGCTGTCCGATCGGCTTCTTTGCAGAAGCTTTCTAGGAACTGCTTTTCAGTCTGAAACCTGTCGACAGGGTTACGATCGCTGTTGGATACAAGTATCACAAGGCAGTCGTGCGGGATGCCGGAGAGCACCCCTTCGATGGTCCTTTTGTGTTCGTTCTTACATAGAACGACTATGACCATCTGAGATTCGATGGCCAGGAGCGCGGTTCTTGATACAACAGAGCTGGATGATGTGCATCGCCCAGACCCGGCATCCAATTCGATGACTCGCTGTAGTTCATGAATTTGAACCGAACCAAATTGGTCAAAGTTGCTAGAGGTACTCAGTCTCATGGTGTGCCTCGGGAGAGTGAAGTGGGTTGTACTACATCAGAACCGAGCAGGGTGGCAAACCTCGCGGTTGATATATACTCTTTCTACGCCGTACTTTCTTCACGTACGTTTGTTTTCATGTACCTTTGTTTGTTGGTTGAAAGTCTGTCAGTCCAGCATTCCTTGGTAATCCGGTGGCACTCTTGCCCGGGCTTAATTATTTTGGTATTATAATCGCCCCAGTTTTGAGGCTCAAATCAGGTAAAGTGTGTTATCAGCTGCCTAAAATAGATAGCTGAGCTGAGTTTGCTGGGTTCCGGACACCTAACCCGACCGTCTGGACTCTTCTCCGCACAATCCAGGCCAAGGCTCAAGCACAGTCGCAAACAACGCAGGCATGGCTCTAAATCGAACCACGAAGCTAGCGGCCAGTCCTAGGACACCTAATGGGAGGCTGTGCTGTATGGAATCCATGACGTTGATTCGTTTCCAGCTGGCTGGGTGAAGGTCCAATAAGCGTTGAAAAGTCCCATACAGCTGGCCGTGACCGCCAACGCCGTTCCGTGCTATTGGTAGCCCTATCAGCCACACTCTTCTCGGAACCCCTGTCAGACGGGGTGGGGGCAAATAATACTCACCATCGGACCTGGTCATGACTAACCTTGGAGCCTGCGACCGGTATCATCGTGACTACGGACCTCAATCAGCTTGGTTCAGCTTCCACTGACTACTTCCCGTTTGGGATCTATGTCACGATTCCACTCGAGACGGAACATCTGGGCTGTAGGAATGACAATGGATCTGAAAGGTTGAACCTAGGCTTTTTGATGCTGTTATCTACCAAGCCCATGGTCCTCAATTCTGATAGGTTACCGCACCTCCGGCAAGCTGTCTGGGATAATTTTAGTTACCCCCAAACGTTTGAAGGCGCGTTCCCATATGCCTGTTCAGTGCCCCTTCCTCCGTTAACCCTGTGTTGTAAGTCTCCGACATGTCATATCGACTGTCGAAGTCGGACTGCATCATCAGGTATATTCGAATCCAGGCGCGATGCAAGGGCTGCCAAACTGACCAAACTGCAAGCCCCAATTCCGTTCCATCTTTTCTCAGGTACCGGATCTCGTCAATGTATGACCGGGTTTCTACCGGATCGATCGTTCTCTGCTATCCTTACCCCCTGTAGCCTTAAGCAGGAGCCTAAGATCGGCCACTTCTTCGCCCATGTAGACGCGGACTGAGTGTCTGTAACGTTGAGTGCTCCTTCCAGACGCTCGCAGCACGGTGGTGTCAACGTTACATGATATGTCTGACGTACAATCAGTTTCCAAGCTGGGCCGGTGGACAATGCGGTCCAATTCCTGCTCCAGCACGGACACGGACGGCTTGCCAACGTCCTATGAAGCGTACTCCCGGCAGAGATTCATTCATATCTTGATTGCTGACCCCATTGCATGGAACTTTTGGTTCGGCAGAATCCAAAGAGGTCTCTTGTCCAGGGTCGATTGGATGATCCTTCCACAAGTCTGGTAGAGAGCAGTGAACTACCTTGACATGATATGGTCGCCCACACATTGGTACAGACTCAAAGGAGAGTACTCGGGTATGATTTATCAAATGATTCTCCAGAACAAGACAACCATATCATTTTGTCCTATCTGATACGACACAGTAGTCCGGTGTCATCGTCGCGCGCTTGAAGGCATTCTCACTCTTGAAGCTTGATCATGCCACAGCATTGATGTAACCATGCCCCTTTGACACTGCAGTACGTCAGGAAACATGATAATGAGGTGAGGTGATTTATCAACTTGCCGAGGTGAATGACTGTGCTGGTCCAAGCCATATATGAAGGTCTTTACAAAACTTTATGTGTTACTTCTCGTAGATTCTCCAGAGGAATGTCGGTGCAATGGAGAATGTATAACAGACAGCTATCTGGCCTGTATGATGCCCACAGGAGAGCAGACGGGTGTCCAAGTTCTTGAACGTTTCCCCGTACTCCGTTCTTTGGGAGTCGTATAGTATCGTTCACAACGGCCCCAGCCGGTGATATCACCAGCATAGGCATTGTGCTGCTTTCCAATATCGTGTAGTACAGGCCAGTAACAGAGCATTATTGGTGATCATGATGGATCATATCGGCAGCAGGCTACTTTGTATTGAGTGGTCAACTTTGTCATCAGGGGCGGGTAACACCCGCGTGGAACAGATAATGAACGCATATCTGGAGCCGTCGCTTGCGGTGTTATGTCCAACGTGCGGGGATATGCGAGGCAAAACAAAGAAGAGCTCGTTGATAATACGTGGACGCGACAGTCTTTGAATGAAGCTGGAAGACGCCGATGCTGTAAACATTAGGTAACCTCGCCGGAGAAGGTGGCTTTTCGTAGTCAAATACCTTTCTTTTTTACTCGCCCGTGATGGAATGGCGTTCAACCTAACGTGTGCAAGTAACGTTAATGAACCTACTAGATTATGTAACTATAAGCAGGTCTGCTTAGATCTTGACGGTACCCACTGACCATCCATCTCGCAAGTATAGCTTAGTAGATTCAACCCTGTTTCCTATGGGGACAAGGATATTATGATCTTCCTACAGCTTGCAGGATGTTGCTCGCTTAGGTAACAGAAATATCCGTGACATGTCATAATTGAATCACTATCGTCTGGATTGGTTCAGCTTCGACTTCGAGAAAGAAATCCGCGTCTCCACAACGCCAACTTTCTACGCCGTGTGCAACTACTTCTAGATATGGATTACACCATTTAAACTACCCGTCGGCCAATGCGATAAATGGCCGACGGGTAGGTTGACAAAGGCAGTGAGTGGATGGTGGAAAATGGCCCGCCCCTGGTCCAGTTCAAGTTGGCCATCTGCCGGTTGAATTATTAGTGTCGCAGGCGTGGCGCCATAACTGGGTGCACCCCTGGCAAGTCTCTTTTCCAGATTTGGGTGCCGATCACACCACCCGCAACATGGAATGCTGAATGGCGCAGTTGGTGGCCGACAAGCCTACTCCAACACCTTTCGCGACACAGGATGCGGAGAACTTTTGGCCATCATGATGATCGACCGCCCCTGCACCATTGTTTAACTAGTACCTACTTAGTCAGATTCCCACACTCTGGCACAGAGGTTGGACCACGCTCATCTATCTGGGGCAACACCGTAGTTGGGTACTCACTTACACGGCTCCTGCGAGACACAATGCTGCGTGTCTTTCGTCATGCTATCTCCTATCTCTTCTCCTCGGGTAGAGAACTTCGTCCCATCATTGGACGGATGTAACGTCGCACGCACTCCATCTGGCTCCACTAGGACGATAGATTCGACTACACAGCACTGCGTAAAGCTTGTCTGTGAAATCCTGCCTTCTGCCAGGTCTGCCTTCTCCACCAGCCCACCCCCAGCAATCTCGAGGCTTGGTGCTGGCAAGCCATTCCTTGCCTTCCCCGCATCTCACCAGCGGCACTAGACCCTCCTCCTCCAGGTCCACCCCCGCCATCCGCTGGGTCTATTAGCTTCGTCGGCATGTCTTGCACCGGGCAACCCGGGGACGGGACTGATTCTGTATCCTTACGACCCTTGCTAGGCCGGGTTTCGCTATGCTCCTCGAAGTCTGATGACACAGGATCTGCATGCGTGCAACAGAATCCCCACTGACAGCCAGGCCGCCGCGCGGTCTTCATAAATGGGCGCGTGCTGCCGTGACGGCCCCAGAAGTCTTCTGGCTCAAGCTCTACTTGCCAAGTCGCAGATTGCTTGGGAACCCGCAAATCGCCAGACCGCATCGCGACGAGCCCCAGAGTACCAAGGCGCCGAGACGCTGCAAAGAGTCAAAAGCAATGGGGTTCAAAGCATTCCTCAAGCGCCGATCGCTCCGCGCCCCCGATGACAAGAGAACCCGGGCGGCCGAGCTTACGCTAAGAGAGTCGCTCTACCCCATTTGCCTGGTGACAGTTTTGTTCTTCCTGTGGGGATTCAGTTACGGCCTGCTGGACACATTGAATAAGTGAGTGTATCTTGGGATTTGACGTAATGGCCATTACGTTCCCGATGTCAATGAAACTGATGCGACTGCACCAGGCATTTCCAGAATACTCTTGGAATTAGCAAGTCGAGATCCAGTGGTTTACAGGCCGCCTACTTCGGGTAAGCTAGCTGCGTGCGTGTGGAGTAGTCGTCAATACCTTATACTCATGCCAGTCCAGCGCATATCCTATAGCTTCTCTTGGGCACGCAAATTGGATACTTCGACACTATGGCTACCGCGCGACTTTCATGTGGGGCCTCTGCCTGTACGGCATCGGAGCCCTGATCGCGTTCCCTTGTATCCAGGCGCGGTCGTTCGCCGGCTTCTGTGTCTCCATCTTCATCGTTGGAAACGGGCTTGGCTCTCTCGAGACAGCTGCCAATCCATACATCACCGTCTGCGGGCCGCCCAAATTTGCCGAGATCCGAATCAATATTTCTCAGGCATTCAATGGCATTGGTACCGTGATTGCTCCAGGTGCGTTTACTTGAACATATCTGGCGATTGACGGAACACTAACGAGTCCCGTCTCGAACAGTCCTTGGATCCTACGTTTTCTTCAAATTCAGCGATGAAGAAGCGCTACGGAACGTGCAGTGGGTGTATGTTGCCATTGCCATCTTCGTCTTTCTCCTGGCTACGGCATTCTTCTTTTCGACCATCCCTGAAATTACGGACGCGGACATGGCGTACCAGGCGAATGAGACCCATGCGAATGCGGATGATAAACCATTCTGGAAACAATACCGACTGTTCCATGCCGCCTTTGCCCAGTTCTGCTATACGGGCGCCCAAATCGCTGTCGCAAGGTAAGCCGCCCCTGTGAATAAGCACAAATGGCCAGTTTGTTGACAGAATCAGTTACTTCATCAATTATGTTACGGAAAATGGAACCACGGACGACTCATCTCTCGGCTCACAGTATCTGTCAGGTGCCCAGGCCGCATTCACAGTCGGTCGATTCTTCGGCGTGTTCGTTATGAACTATGTACGACCTCGTTGGGTTTTCCTGGTTTTCCTTACAGCGTGCATGGTCTTTATCGCACCGTCCATCACACAGCGAGGGGTGACCGGAATGTCGATGCTGTACGTGACATTGTTCTTCGAGTCTATTTGCTTCCCCACCATTGTTGCGTTGGGCATGAGAGGGCTCGGTCGCCACACCAAGAGAGGCTCTGGCTGGATCGTTGGCGGCGTGTTGGGAGGTGCCGTTGTTCCGGCAATCACCGGCGCTACCGCTGACCGCCATGGAACTCCGCTTGCCATGGTCGTCCCCCTCATGTTCTTCGTCGCGGCTTGGACTTATTCCCTGGCTGTCAACTTCATCCCTGCTTATAGAGACCCGGCCGACGCCTTCTCGACGACTGAGGTTGGTCTTACTGGTCACCACGACGCTGCGGATGAAGAGGCCGGCAAAGGTGTTGTCCTAGGGACCGAGAAGGCTGAGGAGGGCGCTACAGGCGTAGAGGACGTCAGGTAGAGCAGGTTGTCATCCTGCGATGAGTGCTTCCAAGTGCCTGCGCCCCAAACGAACGATGACCTAGGGTTAAGGATTGGCATTCACCGTGACAGAGCAATATACATGTCAATAGATATTTTTGCACTCGGTGTGAAAGCCTATGTCATATGTTTCGTCGTATGAAACTCGTGCTACAGGACTATCAGCTCTCCTGTGTGTTGTTCGCATGCCGTTTTGTGTGCTCACTCGTCAACCTGGAACTGTTTTCCTTGGCAGGGTACTATGAGCACCAAATATGGATTGTAAATTTGGCTTTTATATGCATGCAACCTTTGTCAGTCTATCTTTGAGAAACCCGGATAAGACCGTAATGCCCACGTCGATTCACACCCCCTATGCTGTATCCTCCATGATGCCGTTTTTCCCTGCCAATTTTGACGAGTGCTTTGCTATCCTGAAAGCTTTCAAGATGGTATCTCTCTGTGAGTCATCAATCCACCTGAATGTCCTGTCACCGCAAGACCCAGCCAGCAAGTTCTCTTCCGTTGCCCACACGTAGTCCTCGTGTTCTAGAGGGTCGAGGGTTACCGCCGGCTTAGCCGCTGCGCCGTCAGCTGCCTGCTCGACCTGCACCAGGAACGTCACCTTCCCCCAGGATAGATCGTCGCTTGATTTCAATGGCTTCTCGTCCACGAGCTTCAGGATTGCCGTGGCTCGCAGGCCGGCCTCCTCCTCGAGCTCACGGCACGCAGCTCCTAGCACGCTCGTGTCTTGCTCTTCGCACATGCCGCCTGGGATTTCCCAGCAGAGTCCTCCCCAGTCGTGGCGGCTGCGTTGGATGAGCAGCATCTGGTCGTGGTGTACGACCACGGCACCGACTACGAGCCGGTCGAGGTCGGGCCTGCAGTGCTGGATATACGCCGCCGGGGAGACCTGGAAGCGGGCCAGATCCTCGGCTATGATGTGGGTCGGAATCGGCGGGCTAACAGTAGCGCTCGCAGCAGGAGAGACCGTCATGGTAGACATGAACGCTAACTAACGCAAGAAAATGGATCGTGGACGGGAGGACTTCGACCGATCAGCTAGCCTTGCCGAGTTGTCGGGAGTCTCTTAGACGGAGAGGGCTGACCGATGTTTGCCGGATTCTTTTCGCGACTTGGCAAGCGATTCAGTTGTGTATCCCGTGAGTCAGACACCGATGAACAAGATCCACCACGGACGTAGGGGTCGGAGAGCGCTTGCGGTACACACACACACACACACGCAACGCCGAGGATAGTGAATGTCCTATGCTGCGCTGGGCTGACCCCTGAAAGGCGGGCGGCAAACTGGCTTTCTTATGTAGCCCGACACCGAACGTCTGCCTGAGCATCACACGAGCCTATGGCCCAGTTGGCCCCAAACGGCTGCCTCTCTCCAGGTACCAACACAAACATTTAGATCCACGTGGACCAGGGGGGGGGGCCTGGGACCACATCCCGACTGCGCCGTTGGCATGGTATCAAAAGCAAAGAGAGAGAGAGAGAAGGAGAACGCGAACCGAGAGGGTACCAAACAGGTCACGGCGGAGTTGCTGAAAACCATGAGCCCGCGCCCGTGAATGGACACCACTCACCTGGGACAGTGTTGCCCCATTGTCTCTCACTGCAGATTACCCAAAAGCAACAAGCGCAGGAAAATGATCTGTCAGGTTTATTGCGAAGCGTCAGCTGGGTCCGTCGCTTATAAAGACGCCAATCTGATCCAACTAGTTGAGCCTCAATCGGAAAAAGTTGCCTGCAAGATTCGCGGGGATGGAACACGGACGCCCACCGCCGGCCCCGACGGCATGCAGGCCTGCCTTAGTTCCATGGCGCCCAAGACTATCACCACCACCACCACCACCACCACCATTTCGAAATAAAAAAAGAGCGGTCTGAAGATGACTCTATATTGTACCTTCTCATCGACATGGGGAACTAAGCTACGATGAAGTACGATGGACATGAGCTGCAACTGTATATAATCGCTGCCCCCAGAACACCCCGTATCTGACGGACGCGCAATGTCCTGAATATTGCATTCTCGTCTCCGGTGTGGTATCATGACTGAATATGAATATAAACATACATTAAAGAAATAATTTCAATCCTACGATGACGGCGTATTTCTTCTTGGTTGTGCTCATAACGAATCCGGACTCCGGTCTGGTGATAGTGAACAGCACCCAGCCTTTCGCGTGTATTCCACAACGGCAAGTTCAAACTCCAACCAGATGCAGCCCGACCAAGTTCATAATGCCTCCAAAACGAAGGTAACAGGGTTCCCAAGTACCCTACGTGGGAGACAACCTAGGACGCATCCCGTACTCCTTGATTGCACCATGATGAATGCACAACAAGCGTTGTGTAAGGGACTTTATAGCGTAATGTGCACAATGATACTAACAAAATCGACAAGAAGACAACTCCAATGTAGAACGGAGGCTTAGTTTGCTGTTCCAGGCGGAGTGGTTGACGGCCCAGGTTGGACCCGCGCTGCAGTCTGTCCGACTTGACGGTCAGGTGGCCCATAGTAACCATGGAGCTCGTTGGCTTCGGAGACGGTGCCCAGTGGTGCAATCCCAGGAGTTGAACTATCACTGCGTCCGCGCTGGTGAGGATCGCTGCTTCTGCGACCGTGGGCGAGGGACGGTCTTCCCGCACCGCTACTGGAACGCCGCCTGCCTCCAGCTTCGCTGGTATCGAGCTCCGACAGCCCATGGGCACCGTCTAGTTCGCTGGCATTGCTCCAATGCCTGTTTCGAGACTGCGACATCTCGGAGTCATAACTGGACCGCTGTACCGTCCGCTGCGACATTTGTGAAACACGCCCGGCATCGTAGTAACCTCCATTTGCCGAGTCTATGCTTGGGTGACGAGCGCCCTCCTCATTATGTGGCACCGGGTTGTATTGACCGGGCCACGCAGGCGGTGTTGATCGACCAGAACTCAAACCAGGACTCCGGGCCGGCGAGTAATGCCTCCCTCTTCCGTCGACGCTTGGGTCCGACTGTGCTCTGAGGTGAGAAGGTCGGATACTGAGGGGATCTATTTCTTGGGCATCAACCTCGGTGACCGTTGCTGTTGCATAGCCAGGCTTAGCAGACGTCGTAGTCTGATTCGCCGTCGAAGAACCCCGTTTAGACTCCTGTACGATCTGGGCAGTCCTTCTAAGACGCCTGATGATGATAAATGCTGCGACAATGATTACGATGAGAACGACGATTACACCTCCTATGACACCACCAAGCTGTGCTTGTGTGAGAGTTACGGCGCCGCTCGTCGTAGTCTGTATTGCGGGTATTTTCGATATTGTCGTTTCTACCAGTTTCGGTACCGCGGCCGGGGTCGATTTCGAAATCGTAGCAGACGGGGTTTCTACGGTCGTCCAGGTTGTGAAGGGCGTGATCGTGCTCCCTGCCGAGTCCGTCGTCGTAATTGTAGCTGATATTGCGTAGGTACTGGGTGCTGTCGAGAAACAACCATTCAGGGCGCAGCCCATCCCACTTTTGCAACACCCTCCATTCAACGACGCCGGGCAGGAATAATAACCGGCAGAGCAAGTCTCAACAGCTGTGGCTCCTGCTGTGGGATAGCAACCATCGGCGCTGCATATGTAGCCTACTTGACAACACGATCCTATCGACACTTGTCAGTATTCTTCCTATACAACTAAAAGGCTCACATGTATTACCTGGATCAGACGGGCAATTATAGTAGTTCGCCTTGGAGCAAGCCGAAGTCGGGCCAGCGGTCGTCGCGTAACAGTATGTTGCTTCGCAGGCATATCCGTCAGGGCAGCAATCGCCGCCGACGGAAGCAGCGCATAAAGAGTAGCCGGATTGACATGTACTGTCCCGCCCTTGAAGGGCTTTGTGTTCCTTTTCGAGGATATGGATCTGATAATGGCGGTCGTCATGGGATGCTATAGTTCCAGCGCTGAGCATAGTGATGAGCAACGACACACTCCGTTGCCAGCTCTTTGAAGTGCGATGCATTTTGACGTGTGTGCTTCAGATATACGTCCCCGGTGGCTATATCGACAGGCAGCCGACTGCGACTTTCGCGACCTGAGATGGTGACACAATATCTGCAACTTGGAACGGAGAATTATGGCTTCGGTGTTTCCAGATTCATACGCAAAAGGGAGTGTCAGCTTGACCCAGTCTTGGAGTCATGTGAAAATCCTCGAGGATCCTAGTCCGCCGTTTCCAGAGCAGAAAGTCAGCAAGTTCGTAAGTCCAGCGACTCGAGAAGCCTTGTGAAGTGGCGGGGCTGAGCACCGTGTCAGCTAGAGGAGGACAGAGTCTGACGGTCCCGAGGGAATGGGTAACCGGCGCGACAAGGTAAGAAACCAGCCAAAAACGTCTTTGCGCTTCCGATCAGGTGTCGAAGGGAGTAGGCCCTGCACGGCTTTCTGGTCTGATCCGTCCAAATTCACAGATCGACACAATGCATCCTAAGGCATAGAACAGACTGCATTGTCAGCTCGGGAGGGGATTTTGACAGGCAGATCAGCGGGCCCGACATTATGAGAGGGCAATGAGGGCTGCATCCCATGCGAGTTGGGTGGAGAGGCCGAAGGCTGGCCAACAGCAATGAGAAGGCCAACAGGCCAGCATGCAACCATGCAGCCCACGAGCGCCCATGTTCAGCCCCCAAAATGCGATTGTGCAATGTTGCGGCGGGATGGTCGCCAATAGTAAGCACCTCCGAGACAATGTCAGCTTCGGGATCCGCCATGATTGGCCGACACCCTCAACTCTCCCACCTCCATCGCTGGGGATGGGACCATTCAGAGGCCGGGGGCGACGCGGACGTCCCCAGGAATAGCACTGCACGATTGTCTCGTTCGGTGCGTCGCCCGATAACGATGTCCCACAGAGGTCGCACTCGCTGCAGCAGTGTGGCGCGGCAGTATGCTGTTGCTGTGTTCCGGGTGCCAACGAACAACCAACGAACAACCAGGAGGGCGCCTCGCGTTGGTGGCAGCGCTCAGACTCGATCGCCTGCCTGGTCTTTCTTGATTGTGGCTTTGCTGCAGACAAATCGGGATATGCAAGCCATCGTCGACTGCTACATAGTAGCAGCAGAGTACAAAGGCACGGATCTAGCGCGTGCCATTGGTCTGCGACCGGCCATTCGTGCGGTTGCACATTGCTACCTAGCTACACGGTGTGCGAACTGACTTACCTGCCTGGGAGGAGAGGTGGCCCAATTTGTATACCGCCCGGTGAAAGCGGGTAAAAGTAGCTATACAGCCAGAAAACCGTCGCCATGCCTGGCAGTGAAGTTGGTTCTCAACATCACCATCTGGTTTCACATCGCTCGTGCATGCCATCCAAAGGGCTGGCACATGGGTATTGTTCGGTATAGCTGCCAATCTAGGTGCCCGCGAGAAGGACATACGACCCCGGGAGCGGCCTCTACTGCGACGCATCAGCTGCCCGCAGAGGGGCCGACTTGGTTGTTCCACAACCGGTACGACAAGCCGCGGAGGAGGTACAATTGGTAAGTTCGAAGGTGCTAGTCAGCCGCGGGCAACTCCACCCGACAAAGCCTCGAGTCGAATACTGCGACACAGAGTCTGGGGCAAGCATCCATGATAATGTCGAAGGAAATACTGACGGAGTGTTCGCATAATAGAGAATTGGCCTGCCTGCGAAACACCGAACGAGGGTGCTGTATCATGGAGCCGGGGCAGATATGACGACTCTTATTGGAGTGGGTGCCCGACAGTTTGGCACGTCGTACACGAACTTGTGGGGTAGCAGTCGAAAGAAGGACGGCGCCTATATGCATGGTGAAACTGGGCCCGGTTGATCATGGGCCAGGCCCGTAGGAAACATTTCATACGTTACAACTCCAACTCAAGAGTCGACTGATACCAGCCCACTGCGGATTCTTTGCTGCCCGGCAAGGCTGGAATGATTGGCCTTGGCTTGAGCTGTCAGGCAGACTGACAAGACAGAAGTTTGCACTACCGAAAGTCTAATAGACGGCCAGGGCAAGTCGGTCTGATCTTGGAGGAGATTCCAGTGATCATGACCCCCTGGTCTACCCTGGACGGCATCCACGGATGGCGTTTCGATCTCGCAGCTCGTCACCACGCATCGATCCTCTCTGCCGTCTTCTCATGAAGCCACCAGCAACGCCCATTCGCGGAATGAATGATCCTTCCAAGGGGGAGGGCAAACCTGGGGTAGCGGGATATTCTAGAAGGGTTCTAGAGCAGATCGCTTAGGCTCTCTTAACTGTATTCGCAGCGGCGTCTCGAGCAGATCGCCGCAGATTTGGGGATTCCCTCCCTCGTTCCTCGATGTGAATGGCGGGGGTGACGAATCGCAATCTCCTCCGCAATATCGTCGTCTTGGGGATGCAACCCTCACCAGGGCACAGGCCCGACGGCTAGCGCAAACCTGGTCGAACCTACGGCAAAGCTGGGGGACCCTAACAGCCTACACCGTGGATCGCGAGATGTGATAGGCGCTTCCTCCGCCTTCTCCGCCTTGTTACGGATCGCCATCCCACCGGCGCCCCTCGTCCCCTCACCCCAAGCCCCTGCAGCTTATCCCAGAGGGGCCTGGCACACCACACCCACAGTGGTCACGATGTTCAATGAATCGCAATGGCCTTCCCGCTGAGAGTTTTAGCTTGTGGGTTGGGAGGCATAGTGCCCGTCGCGGCCTGTCGCTCTGCGAAGAGACCCTGACCTCAACTCCCCTCCTCTTCCCATTTCTCGTATTCACGTCATTGACCGCTATATGTACGTTGCCTTGTCTCGACCCGTTCCCGAATACACCATCGCGTCTCCTAGACACCGCGCATCCGGATTCCATAGGAATCGCCACTTTCGGTGACCTGGGACCAGCGCTCAACACCACAACGCATCCGACTCCGTCAAGCAGATGCGCTTCTCGGTGGGAGCCGCACGTAATGCACCCTAAAGTCTGCTGGCATCATGTTGCTGTACACTAGAATAGCAGCCCCAAAACCGCCAAAGAGACGGTCTCGGGCAGGTTAGTCCAACATTCCACGTTTCCTCGTCTTGAGGCGTCATGCTAACGATTTCTCCGTGTATCTAGGCTGTACATCATGGTAAGTGGCCCATACAACGGTTTCATTCTCGTTGATCATGTATGCAATACGGGCAGCTATCGCTGACACTGCTCAGCAAGGAGAAGGTGAGTCGTCAGTTTAGACTAGGGAAGCGTGGCGTGTCGCTGACTCTTGCGTTGTACAGAAAAAGAAATGCGACGAACGCCGGCCTGAGTGCGCTCGCTGCGCCGAACGATCCATCGAGTGTACATACGAAGTAGCAAAGCCACGGCAACGGAAAAAGCGCGACTCGAAATCCGGGTTGGCCACAGATGTAGAAGTGGCAAGGCAGGATGAGTTCGAGAACGCAGGGTGGCAGGCATGCGATGCGATAGACGATACAGGCGCAGACGACGGTGCTAGTCTGGTCAGCAGCGTGCAAGACCACTCGTCTTTCGGAACCTCGGAACTGCTCATGTCACCGGCAACATCTGGCGTGTTTGACTTCTCAAATGACTGCATAACTGATGAGGATGATGGAGGTCGCAGCCGTGCCTTGGTGCCGAGGCGGTCTCATTCGAGCATTGCGTCGAACCCCCTGTGTCTACCCCCGGACTTGGCCCTCATCGCGCCTTGTCCTCTGAGCTCACCGACGCTCGACTTCTGTATACCCGCGTTTGCCGAGTTCTCAGATCGCTCCAACCGCCGTGCTCTAGTTGATCACTTCTGCAACGTATTGTCTCACCTCATAGTATTCCGCGAGGAATCGGGCAACCCCTTTCAGCAGTTGGTCCTTCCCCTGTCGTACAACAACCCAACAGTGATGAACGCCATCTACGCACTAGCTAGTGCACATCTGGAGTACCGAGGGGTTGACACCGGCGAGAAGTCGGTACACTTTCATAACGAGGCAATCCAGGGCCTCGCCCAGCTGATAGAGCGCGGGGGCAAAGTCAACCATAAGAACGAGCTTCTTGCCGCCATCATGCTCTTGGTGTATTATGAAGTGGTGAGTCGACTCTAGCGCGCAAAACGGAAAGAGTATTGCTGACCGCTACACTAGTTGGTCCAGAGAGGTCGCTCCAGTATTGTCGATGGCCATCTCCGTGGCGCATTAGCCATCATGGAGTCTTCAGTGGGGAATGAGAGCCCTACCAGCATATTTCTGGAAAGAGTGGGTTATCCTGGATGATACCGAAGTTACGGGACAATACACTGACAGTCCTCAAGGCCTTTCGCTTTTACGACGTAATCACAGCACTGTCCCTTGGAACAGCTCCCATCGGCACAGCGCCCGCTGCCGGTTGCTTGATTCCACTTCCCCCGCTCGACGCACCAGTCGGGTCTCCATTATCTAATGTCGACACCTTGCTGGGGATGGCAACCAGCCTGTGGCCGATAATGCATCGCCTGTCGAACTTATTTGCCCTGAAGGAGGAACTGGACGACGCCATCAAATCACACCAGAACTCGAAAGCGGCTGTTCTCCGGTCGGAGTTCGAGACAACATCCCGCGCCATCGAAGCAGCCTTGCAGCGCTGGGAACCAAGCCTGCCGCCAAACGTCATCCTCAAAGACGGCGTGCTGGAGGCAGCCGATGGCCGAGCTCTCCCCGAGCAAGCCCTCCTCCACTCGATCCTACACAACGCCCTAGCCTATCGCCACAGCGCTTTTGTCTATCTCTACCGCACCGTATACGGGTACTTACCGAATCATATACTGGTTCAGAGGCACGTCCATGCCTCGCTCGTTTACTGTTCACAGACTGTTTCCTCCAAAGGCCCCATGGGAGCGCTGCTGTGGCCGCTGTTTGTAGCCGCATGCGAAGCTATCACGGACGAAGACAGGAGCCTGGCCGAGCAGACCTTTGGCGAGTACGACACACACCAGGGCATGACCAATATCGATAATGCCTGGGGTGTTGTACGAGAGGTCTGGAAGCAGCACGACCTCCTGAGCGTGATCCCTTACGGTTCCAAGGATGCTGACCTCTGGAGGCGGGTCAGCAAGGAGATGGGCCACTGTATTGTGCTTGGATAAAGGGCGTATAGATGGGCGTCTATGGATTGCAACGACCTGATGGATAAATATACCAACGGCTTTCATACATACAAGGAGATGAATTTTACGAATGTTCAAGATGAGATGGGATGGGATAATGGCGTGGGCGAATATAAAACGGGTTGGCACAGTGCCTATGTGGCTTGCTTCAAGTCAACTCAAGGCACGGTCGGGGTGGAGCGTAGCCGACAATAGTTGGAACATGTAAGTTTAAGGGAAATATACATACATACTATCAAGATTTGGGGCCATCATATAACATACAGAGATACCAGTAGGATCTCGAAGGAAACAGGTAACTCGACTGGGCTTACGGCGTAGTAATTCCTCTAGGCATCCTGGTTCCTTCAAGAGGTTACTTCTCGGTCTCGATTGCCTGGTCTATAATATAGATCGACTATCTCTGTTTACGCTATAATCACCGCCCTCAACTCAAAACAACCCCCATGGATCCCCAATGGATCAGCACGTGAGTTGGGCTCCCTGGGGGCAGGTCTCTCTTTAGGCTATTCTCGGGGCACCAGTGACGCATCAAGGGCTTCTGCGTCTGATGGGCACTCCAGTAACCGACGAGCTGATGCAGCACAGCGACGTATTGGCGTCGCACCGCCTCCCAAAACGCAACATGTCCCACTCACGCAACGTCTGCGACCCCGGCTACCGGCATGGGCGACACTCGAGTTTGCTTTCCGATGGCTTGTATCGCGGCGGAAAGGCTCAAGGTGTGGCACATATCCCAACCCACATTCACGGCAATGCAGCAAAAGTCGAGCTCCCAATGCCCAATCTTCGGTGCCAAGGTGTCGTTATCTCGTGGTTCTTTCAAGGCAGCGCCGGAGACCTTTGCCTAGACCTCATATCCAAAACAGCTCTCTACGGAAAAGTGCCGGTAGCGAATGCCCCGGAACGTGGGGAGACTTTTGCCATCGCTTGTGTCATATCACGTCGAACGGTCAGGTAGCAGTGCTTTCCCTCCAGGTCACCATAGACTTAGACGAATTGCATTGCCGCGTACAAATTGAAGTGGGAGAAGGGAGGGGGGTAACGACGGCAGCCGGACACCCCTCACTCTCGCAGGGGAACGATACGACCGTTGTCTCTTGAGCTACGAACCTGGAAGTCAGGTTGGCTGGCTGGCTGGCTGCGTGGGTTGTGTTGATAGCGAGATAAGAGCCTTCCTCCCACAACGACTGTATGGGCGGGCTTACGGGGACGGGCATCGAATCAAAGATGGGGCCTCCCCCGGAATTGACGATGCCCACTTTGCCATCCGTATCCGATTTGACGGGCGGGCGGGCGAGCTGGTGCACTAACTTAGCGCTATCGACTACCTTAGCTCTCCGCGGGTCTTCCCTCCCGAGGCCATCCACACCTTCTCACACCTCCTCGTCCTTGTTATCGTTACTCAGGTATGCAGTCGCAGGTGTAGCATATAGAAGAGTACGTCTTAACTCGACATCGAATGGAAGAAAGCAGAGGTTCTCCTCGGTTCTCCTCAATACAATGGGCAGTCGATAACTACGCGCTTGACGGAGATGAACTGTAGTCACACTGCTGAAAGCTGCACATGGCTCAACCTCAGATTGTTCTGCGTGCTCTCTTGGGCATTTCGGTTGCAGCTGGTGGCAGCGGCGCGTGGGATTGACCAGGGTGGACGTCCGCATGTGGCTCGTGGTCCATCTCGCTATTCGCAGGAACCAGCTTGAGGCAGGCTGGGGAGAGCCGACGATGCCAATGAGACGGCTTCAGCATCTCAAGGCCCTGCATATATTCATCACCCAGCGCGGCCATGTGCTAATCAATGCACCCTTGGGTCGGAACTCTGGGCGGAGGACCCCCGCAGACAGCCCCCTGCCAGGTCTAGGTACCCTGCTGCCCAGGTGGCCCTTCTTGCTTGGTGTCTAAAATGCCCACCACGACGACTGTACATAGTAGCATAACTACGCCCCGACTGGCCCGACCGACAGGACTGAAGACCAAGGGCACCAAGGAGACCAAGAAGCCGTCCCGCACTTCACCTCCACAGGGTCGTTCTCTTGGTGGTCTCAAGCCCAAGGTCTGTGGCCTGCCCGTCCATGCCCTTGCCCATCCCCAAGCTAGGTTGCTAAGGACATTGGATGCCCTTGTGCGCTGGGCGATCGTCCCTCTGCCCACGGCGCACACCCGTCGCGCGCCCGTCGAGCCGGCAAGCCCAAGCTGCCAATTCACGACGATCCCCTTCCGGGTTCAGGCTTCCTCCATATTCATCCTTCGTCTCCCAGGATCCCATCTCTCTCCTCCTGTGATTTGTCTCGTGTGCGCTTTGCTGCTTGGCCGTCACTTGTAGCGGTGCACTAGACCGCCCATCGGTACGCTTACCGCTCGGGCTTATGACGACAAGCCGTACCGCACACTCATACATACACACGTACATACACGGCACACACACATATAGCTCCCCATCTTGGGTAGCCATTAACCGGACGTTCAGTGGCAGAGCTGCTCGCAAGGTCAGGCAAATCAATCGGGCCTGTCTGTCAGCCAGCACCCCCAAGCCGTCTCCCGGCTTGCTTCTTCTCCTTCCACCGGTTCACCGACGAGGCCGCTCATTAAACGTCTCTGTCTTCCTCCGCCTCCTCCTCTCCCAGCGGCAATGACTTCGATGATCACCCGCACAACCATTCGGAGCAGAGCTCTCCCCTCGCCACGCCGGAATCTTTAGCCTCACAGAAGGGCCCTCCGCCGCACCGTACCCCCAGGAGGCTCCAGATCTACACATCCCCATTCACTCTCACCACCTGCGCACCGCGCCCGGCTGCACAAGCCACGGCCTATTGTACGTCCAGCGCACCAACGAGCAACGCCCGCCTAGCGAGGAGACACCAGGGCACAACCACAAGGCCATTCTACACACCCTCCCAGGCGAGCCATCTACCAGACACTTTCACCCGCCGAGAGGATTCAACATCTCACGGAGCCGGATGCGACAGACGCACAGCCCCCACACACCCGCGCTCTCGACTTAGCTATAGCTGCTAGTTTAGGGCCGTTAGCCCAAGCATCATGGTCATTGACTAGGTCCAGGTCCAGTTCCAGTTCCATCAGAAACCGCCGCCTCCGAATCTCCCCCAGCACCATGGCGACCCTCACCAACGGCTCTGGGCCGAACCCGTCCCAGCAGCCCAAGGCCATCCGCTTCGTAAACAACCAGGGACAGCCGCCGCAGAAGCGCAGGAGGATCAATGCAGCGTATGTCTTTTTCTCCACCTTGCCCAATCTTCCCCTACCCGTCCACCTCGATTGCCCCAAATGTCCAGCCGCAAAATAAAATGCGGGATTGAAGGGTCCTGTAGGCAGGCAAGCTCCTGCATGCAGACCCACCATAGAGGGGCGGGCCAAGATCCCGGAATAGCACGCGCTGACCACAGGCCCTTGGGGGTGCGACAGTTGCTTAACCTGCAGGAGACGCAAGACACGCTGCGCTGGCGAGCATCCCGAATGCTCGACCTGCAACAAGAACGGGCACAAGTGTCTTGGATACTCGGACGTGCCGGACAAGAAGAGAGACTCGGTGAGCGGGCCAGGCGGCGACGATGCGTCCTTCGATCGCGATGGTGGCGACTACGCCGAGGACGAGATGCACGATGAGCATCGCCAGTGGAGACCGAATAGGAACGGCATCAAGCGACAGGACACCGACGACAGCGCATCATCGTCGCGTCGCCTATCGGAATCCGCCCACCAGGCCGGCTTCCCTTCCGTACGACTCAAGACCGAGAGCGTAGACTGGGAGGAACAGCAGACACAGAGCCGACAGGCATCGGGTAAGCAGAAAGGAAGACCAACAATCGCCAGAAACTCATCAATTTCTACCCAAGATACGCGCAGCCCGAGCATTCGGTCTCCCGAGCTGCGACACCATCAAAACGACAGCTACAGGACGCCGTACTTTCGCTACTTTGGGCCGACGGCTATTGTCCCCGGCTTCAAGCAGATGGTCGTGAAAGTCCGCGATAGGCGACGAAGCTCCATGTCGGCAACTTCCCCGAGCTCCGGCGTGTCGTATCCCAGCATCTACACGTCGGTCCATTCAGACCATGAAGGTGACCAGTTGGAGGACATACCTGTATATGATCCCCACGATGCCAGCCCGGTCCACCCGGTCATCCTCCAGCTGGTCGACATCTTCTTTACTCACCTCGGCTGCAATTATCCATTCCTCCGCAGAGACAAGTTCCCCAGAATGGTCCAGGAGAAAAGGGTAGAGCCGTTCCTTGTAGACGCCGTCTGTGCTCTCGCAGCCCGGTTTTCCGACTCGCCGACTTTCAATAGGTCTATCGCGGGGAAGCTCTCCAAGGCAGACAATGGCCAGCAGTTTGCAAACCGGGTCAAGCCCTTGATTGTGGAGACCTTCCCGTGTCCCTCCGTAGCAGCTGTACAGACTTGTTTGTTGATGGCATATGAAGGTTTCGGCGCAGACCAGGATAGCGCCTTGTGGATGTACCTGGGATGTGCCATCCGCATGGCGGTCGACCTGGGTCTGCACAAGAAAGCCGGAGTCAAATATCAGGGCGAGCGCGACGCATGGTACACGCGATTCTATAACAGAAAACCCAGTGACCATGACCTGCCTCAGTTTAAGCCTGGCGATGATGAGGTCCCCCTGAGCTTGGAGGAACAGAAGGAGCTGGAGCAGGAGCGTATCGACACCTTCTGGTCCGTCTTTCTCCTTGACCGCATTATCTCATCCGGCACAGGCCGCCCGGTCACGTTCCGCGACGACGACTACGAGCTTGAGATGCCCAGAACATCGGTAGACCCAGTTGCCTACCCAGACCCGTTTCCGGCTCTGGTCCACATCATCTATCTCTACGGGCGAGTGTCGGATGTCTTGAACAAGGTGATCAAGCCTAGCGACCTGACTCAAGCGAGGATCGAGCGACTTGTCGTCATGGAGCACGAGCTCACCAGGCTCCACCAGAAGCAGCACGTAAGATTGCGTTTTGATGCTCAGAATTTTCAGAAATATGTGGAAAGGGGTCAGGGCACCACGTTTATTCTGTTGCACCTTTGGTTCCACGCCTTGATCATTGTGCTGCATCAACCGACCCTTCTCGCACCGCTGATCGAGATTGACCAGGCGCATGAACTGGCGCCGCACAGCCGGGAGTTGTCCATGTCCAGCGCCAAGACCATCGCAGACATACTTGCCTTCAGTAACCTCATCGACGCGAAGAGTTGCATTGGCAACCCGTTCACCTCGCAGCCCATCTACATCGCCGCGTGCGCTTTTCTCGTCGAATCGGAGAAGTCCAACGCATCACAGCCGGTCTCGAGGGATGCCACTCCGGCAAGAGAAAATGGTGGCTTCGCGGTACCACGACCCGTCGGGCCAAAGACCAGTGCTTCGTCGGGCACAAGGCAGTCTAGGAGACACACGCTCTTGGCCTCGGCCGCAACTCAGAACTACCAAGCGTGCTACAAGGCGCTTGAGTATCTGCACGCCTACTGGGGCGGGATCAGATATATATTGACAGCCTTGAATCAGAAATCCGAAGGAATCTGGGACTGCGAGACCTACACACGCGAAGAATACGAGAGCACCAAGCTACCTCGTCGTAGCGGATCAATCCAACGTTTCATCACGAAGGTCGAACAGCACCCGTCGCCAACTCCAGGGCCACCTTTGGCTTGGTCGCTGACCGGAACCACGAATTCCCCAAACTCGAGCTTGACCCTTCTGTTCCAGAACCCGCCCGGTAACCCAGCTAACTCCATGCCATCCGCCCAAGCATGCGGTCCCGCGTCCGCGCCCACGCCGCCTGGCAACATGATCTACGATCCGATACGCCAAAGCCTGCCCGAGACGGCCCAGATGTACCCTCCTGCGTACCCCCAGCCGAACACGTCCGCCTTGCGACATTCCATGAACCAGCCTCAACCTCGTCGGATGTCAGGCACATCTAACCAGAGCAAACCCTTGCTCCGATTCGATGGTATGGCCCCTGATGATGCTCGCACAACTCCGACTACGCCGGACTCCAAGGTCCATCTTGCCCTGCCCTCGCAACCTTGCACTGCCACAGTTGGCCCAAAGTCATATACACCGTCATCGCAGCAATCTTCAGTATATGATACAACATCTAACTACCAAGTAGGAGCCTCGCCGACCAGCACCATGACGGACCTGAACTCGGCACAGTCCCACAACGGGACCGGGGCAAACTCGAGCAACACGCCCACGGGGACATATACGTCGGACAGCGGACCGTCAAACTTTGCTCAGAGCGGGCTAGCATCCAGCGGGTATTCCTATCTTGGTCCAACGGGCCAGAGCATGTCCCTTGTCACGTACGACAACGAGACGGACATTGGCCAGCACTTGACCAGCTTCGAGTCGACAGACATGATGAGTTGGTTCGGGGAGTATTTTCCTGGCGATATGATGGGTCTCTATGATAATGGTGGGCCCTCTCTAGGGCAATGAGCTGCGGCGCGACGTTGAGGCCTTGCCGCGTGAGCCTTGTCGGGGTTCTGGCCTGTCGCATTTATTGCGTCATATTATATTGTTACTGCATTTCCACTGATGACTGATGACCACCTGGAGTTTCGAGGCGCAGTACATGATGGCGGCTTCGCATGCTTGAAAAGCGGTTTTGGTTTGTGCACGATGCCTGAACGCTGTCAGGCCCTGGAAAGTATGGTGTTCTGGGTTTGGCAATGATGCTGAAAATGGTTGGCCACTACTTGCATTCTGCATATTGTTTTATACTATCGCTTTTTCTACGGAAGGCAACTGTAGGGTACTGCATGCGCCTGGCAAGCTCTGCTGGTACCATTGCCCCGAGGAGGAGCCAGGGCTGGAGACTTTGCTCAGGGCGAGTTTCTAATGGCCATCAATTTCAGGTTCAATTTCCATGGTTATTTGTCGGCTGGTCAAGGAACCGCGGGGAAGTGGCCCTTGTTGGCTCTCAGTGTTGTAGGGGGCGCAGACGAATTGGATGGCCGCTGGTGTTTTGGCGAGGCGGGACACGGTACACTTACGAAGATGACGAAAGTATTAACCATGGTTTATGAGAACCATGTAAGAATAGAGTATTTCTATCAGGCGCCTATTGTTGTTGCTCACAACGACGGTTGTGTCTATGTGAGAAGTTGATGACCGGCCAACTGGCTTACTCACTTCCGATGGATACTACGAACCTTGCTCGTGTTTGTAGACCGCCCACTTCAAGTTTGCGTGGACGGAGGCACTTGCATATTGATAGACCACGAAGCATCCAATCCAATGCATATGATATGGTGCACAAAAGACAGGCTCGACTCTGCCTGGGCTATACCAATCGATCGTGCCAATGACTAGTGACTTCCTGCCCTGGGTGCCGACAAATCTCGCAATCCCGTCCCTTCGTCGCTACTCAGCTGTGTGTACCTACTCAGCCTCGAAGGATTGCGAAAGCGGTGACGTCACACCCCTGTGCGTGCCACCGTGCTAGATCACCCAGGTAGCTTAGCCTGTCGTTCTCGACATGACCACGGACGACTGACTGAGCCTTGCTTTGCTTGACGACAACAACTCATCTCCCAAGGACACGAGAATCATTTCAAGCCCGCCCATTTAGGAAAAAGCTTGTTTTTTTTTAACCCATCCAGGCCCACCGCTTCTTCTCATATTCAGAAGTTCCCGTCTGCATCCTGTTTTCCTTGGCTGAGCAGTCGCGCACTCCATCGAGTCTCAATATAGACAAGCACACCAAAGTTCCAATACACCAGCAATCAACGCATCATGGCTCCCGTGCAACCCGAGAACCAACAGTCCGGCAGCGCTGCCGCCGCCCCCCCCCTGAACAATCAGCAGGCCCAGGCGCCGCAGCAGCAGGACGAGATGCAGGAGATCGCGCTGCAGCCCATGGCCTCACAACCGATGGGTACGTAGTCCATTCCCCCAACGCGGCCCGGCACCGCCATCGTCATCATCATCTTGGGGCGAGAGGCTGACACGCGAGGGCAAAGACCCCGAGCGCCCGCACCAGGACTCGCAGCTGGGCCTGCGCGGCGGCGACCGCGGCGGCTTCTGCTTCTGCATCCCGCGCCCGCTCCCCTGCGACTTCTGCATCATCTAGTACGAGCGCATCTTCCACCCGGGCGCCGCCAGCGGGCCCGGGGTGCGGCTGCTGGGCCACTTCTGCGGCGCGCTGGAGATGGACGAGCAGGGCGGGGCTGCTGGCGCCAAGTGAAGGGATGCGACGGGATGGGGTGTGAGTGAGTGACTAAGTGGGTGAGTAAGTGAGTGAGTGGGCGAGTGAGTGGGCGCAGATCAGCATGCGGGAATGGACCGGGGACAAGTATGGGGCGGAAGTATAGGAGTGGGTAACGAGCAATGAATAGGTAACATGCACACGATCAATAGACGTCTCAGACGGTTTCGTTTTCCATCTCCCGACTGTGGATGTGGTACTTGGCTTTCTCGATTCTCTTGTATGCTTTTGTCCGCTGTGTACATCATCATAGCCTATGACGATAAATGCTGAATACACGGGCCAATTCAGAAGAACTTTCGGTTTGCCGCTAGAACATATGGCTGAGGTGTCACGAGCCAGAATGGATACTTGATGATCGATAACGAGTATATTTCAATCGATACTCATTCAATTCTATTCATGTAGAGATATGATAACTCCGGCCCAATGCAATTTCGCTACCCATCTTGATGCACGAAAAACAAAATCCACCTCGTCATTTCGTAGGCCTCTTCCCCGACCAAGAAAGCAAGTCGTAGCCGGCTGGCTTACAGCGACTTGATCTTCAGGACGGCCTTGCCGAAGTTGTCTCCGCGCAGCATGCCAACAAAGCCCTCGGCGGCGTTGTCGATGCCCTCGGTCACGTGCAGCTTGGGCTTGAAGCTGCCCTCGGCCAGCCACTTCTGCATCGTCTCCTGGTGCTCCTTGTAGTAGACGTCGCCGAAGCCGGGCTTGCCGACCAGGAAGCCGATCACCTCCAGGGTCTTGGCGACCAGGTGGAAGGAGTTCTTGATGCCGTGTCTCTTCTCCACGGGGGTGTTGTAGTCACCAATCTGGGAGAATCAGTAAAAGGGGCTTTCACACGAGTTTTTGTGTTGTGCCGGGAGAAATCACCCAGGCGGGGGTCAACTTACCATTCCGCAGACAGGGATACGTCCGTTCTTGTTGATGGCCTCAAGGGCGGCCTCGAGGTGCTCGCCACCGACGTTCTCAAAGTAGATGTCAATACCGTTAGGGGCCAGGCGCTTCAGCGCATCGGCCGGCTTCTCCTTCTTGTAGTTGAAGCCCGAGTCGAAGCCGAGGTCCTTGGTGATGAAGTCGAGCTTCTCGTCCGAGCCGACGGAGCCGATGACCGTCAGGCCCTCGTGCTTGGCGACCTGGCCGACGACCTGGCCGACGGCGCCTGCGGCCGAGCTGATGAAGATGGTCTCGCCCTTCTTGGGCTTGCCGATCTTGTACAGGCCGGACCACGCCGTCAGGCCGGGCATGCCCAGCGGGCCCAGGAACAGGTCCGTGTCCAGGCCGTGCGGGTTCTGGATCTTGCGCACAAAGGCCTTGGCCGGGTCCGGGATCACGGCGTACTGAGCCAGGGGCGTGAAGGCCAGCACGAGGTCGCCGGCCTGGTACTCAGAGTTCTCCGACTTGAGCACGCGGCCCGCGGTGGTGTTGACGATGGGTCCGTTGATCTCAAAGGCCGGGGCGTAGCTCTCGATGTGCGCCGGGCGCATCTTGCCGCGCAGGTACGGGTCGTACGACGCCGACAGGATCTCGACAGTGATGCCGCCCTTGGGGGCGGGGGCGGCCTGGTCGAAGTCGCGGTCCTCGACCGCAAGGTCCTTCCCGGGGACGGGGAAGCCCTCGGGGACGGACTTGAAGATGAGAGTCTTGTTGCCCGGCATGGTGAACTGTATGCAGACTTCCGGTATGGGGTTCTCTTTTATTGGATGGCGCTGTATTTAGAGTGCTGACGCGCTAATACAGTTGAAGAATCGTGATGGCGGGGTTGGTTCAGTGGGAGTAACTGAGAAGTGACAGCATGCACGGCAGACGGGCGATACTTTGCATTTATATAACACCCCGACGAGCCTTTCTATGGTGCAATATATCTCCCCGCCTCTACTACATGACGTACACCCCGCGCATTACTAATTGCAGCGCATTGCGCAGAGATTTCGACATTTCTGCGGATGACCAGCCTCGGTATGCGCGGTGGCTCCACCGGGGGAGCGTGTGCGGAAAGCTGCCGCACCGGGACACGGACGGTTCTGGAAAGCTCCTCCGCGCCGGGGGCACAGTAGCTTGTCTGTTACAGAAGTTCGGGCGTCGACCCGTTGCAGACTACGCATGAGTAGGGCGTTGCCTGGCCGAAATTGCGGTCAGCCTCAGAACCATCGGACCTGCTGCTGCTGCTGCTGCTTTTCCCAGTAGCGGGGTGGTTTTGGTCTGCAACTTCGCCGGACGGTAGTATTGGCTCTTTCTGCATGGCTGCATGGCGTGAAACACGGTCAGTATCTGCCATAATTCATCTCAACGCTGTGTGACGGAAACGCTGAGTACAGCTTGTATATCACCACAGGTGCATCAATTGCGCGGGTTTGACCCACGATCTACAGTACACTCAGGGTCTTGGCTGCGGGGATAGCTGTCAGATCTGGTCGGTCCGCCCGGTGGCGATGTTTCGTTAAGCCCTACGGCGCGTTTTATCCCCGATGAGGGTCCCCATCCATCCGATTCCATCGAGTTTGCTGAATCATGTCCGGTCGTCCATAGCGGGCCCGGTTCCGTTTCATGCGGTGGATCACGGGCGTTCTGGCATGGTGCAAAGCCAACCTGTAGCTTTACCATAACTAATCCTAGTGGCCGTCGAATGCAGTGGTTGTCTAGCCGATAAGAACCATCAATCACACTCTTAGTTAGCTTCACCTTAAGTCGTGCCCGAGGTGCCGAGGAACGATGAGCGTAACGGTTCTGAAGCCTTCCATATCATTTATCATCAAGCCAGGGGAAAAAAAAAGTTTTAGTATAGCATCCGCAAAGCCCCCACATTAGTCAAGTTGCCAATCCCCGTGAAAGCAGCATAAGCCTTCTCTGCCCGTACTTCACCTATCTGTTTGGAGACCTGGTCAACGAACTTCTTCTTCAAGTCGGCTTCGGTCAACGGGTTTTCCAAACTCCCAATAGCATGCTCGATATGCTTCTCGATCGTACTCCCGTCTTCAAACTCAACAGTGACTGTTGCTTGATCTGTGCGAAACTTCTCATCATCTGTGGTTACGTTGACCTTCTTCCGCAAACTGACCACCGTAGCGTTGTTAACCACATCATCAGTGAACTGAGACGGCGTGGCCTCGCCGTATAGGAACCCGACCGCCGCTGCATGGTAAATGCTGAACTTTCCTTCAAGACCCGTGGTAGGAGCTGTCTTTCCGGTGAGAACGAGGACCTCGGAGTTGACCTGCAAGTTGATGTTCTTGACATCAGACATCTTTTTGCCCTGCTCGATCGACGCATTGTGCAGCTGCGTGGCTGCATCTATGGTCGGGTGCATCACAATGCCGCAAGGGAAGGGCTTGAAGGTGTTCTTCTCGATCTCCCATGCTTGGCCCAGCTGGTCGAAGTACGCCGTGGCATTCTCGCGGGTGCTCACAACGTGAAGCCACCCGTACTTGGCCTCCAATGCCTGCAGTGAGCTTGTGTATCCATTCCTCGCCAAGAGGGCAGCGAGCATTCCACCCTGGGCGGCCCGGCCGACATGAAAAGACTTGGTCATGGAACCAAAGAATTCCTGCATGCCCACGACTTGAGTGGCCGCCACGCCAATGGCATGCTGCATCTGGGTCGTATTTAGCCCAAGCAGCTTGCCAACCGCGACCGCAGCGCCGACCGACCCTGTGGTGCTCGTTATGTGCCAGCCAACGTCGTAGTGCTCCGGGGAGACGCTCAATCCCAGCTTGCACTCCGCCTCCACCCCGGCCACGAACGCAGTCAAGAAGTCCTGGCCCGTGACCGGTTGTTGCCACTCGGCCACGGCCAGGAGCGCGCTGGCGACGGGTCCCGCCGGGTGGATGATGGTCTCCAGGTGGGTGTCATCGTAGTCGTCGACGTGGGAGGCGATGCCGTTTATGAGCGCCGCGAGCTGCGCATCCGCGTAGGCGTCGCTGATTGATCCATTGGCACCCAGGATGCTAGACGTGGGTGGCCCGCCGAAGAAGGCTTGGGTCGAGGCCTGGGCAATACGGGGCGCATCCTGGCCATACCCGCCAATCGCGCAGCCAGCCCAGTTGTATACACTTTTGACAGCCGCATCGACCACCGACGGGCTGAGGTCGGTGTAAGTCAAGTTAGTGGCCCAAGATGCCAATGCCAGAGTCGCCATCATATATTCAGCAGCGGCGCATGCAATGATGCGAACAAGTGAATCATCGCGGCGAATTGGTCTTCACGCAACTATTTATAACGCTGCGGAGTCGAGCGGCGCACTAAAGGCATACGCTTTGTTCGCGTTGAATAGCGACTGCCGGCAGGGCCGGTGCTGGATGATCACCATCGGCCCACTTTTCCACACATGAGCCTCCACGTATCTCCGTCTCGGCTTCCGAATAGCATCGGCTTTCTGCCCGTGTAGTTTGGGGGGCTACACCTTCCTAGAGGACTATCTGGAAGACATAGGTACAAGGCAGGACTGTGTTTGATCCCTGTAGTCCCCCACTGGTGTTCTCTGCCATTAAAATGTGGGGTCAGGTCGTTCTGGCCAAGTGCATAGTATTGGCATCAGAGAAAACACTCATAGTTGTCGTCAAGCTTCGACCAGGGGCCACCTGGGAAACGGTGTTGTCTGTCCTATCTTTCAAGTTTCTCTCTTTTAGATTTGATAACATGAGAATGTAGAGATGGTATATAATGTGAATTGTACCTTATATATCAGCTGTAAGCCAAAGTCAAGATATACTGGCAGAAAGTCAAGCGGCTTCAGCGAAGCTGGGGAAATATTGCGCTAAGAAATCTATCCCCACGGAACCCCTTGACAAGAAAAAAATGAAAAGAGTCTCCATTAGTGCCATTGTGATATCCAGAGAAACGCATGGTTGCAACCTTAGTGCAATACACCACAAGCCCCATTCGACACGGATATGTTAGCCGGCGGGGGGTTGACAGCTATGGCAATGTATCCGGCCAATGTTCCAGGGTTGCAAACCGTTGCATTGGAAATGGTGACACACGTGGTTTGCATACTGTCGGTAGAATAGAACTGGCTATACTGGCAGCCGGGTGTGTTCATGCATGCCACACAGCAGTCATACGCGGAGGGAGCAACAAAGAAATCGATGTCAGTGGTGTCAATGGGGTTGCTCCCGACAATATAAGATCCATTCGCGATCCTTGGGCCTAGGATGTTGTTGGTTTGGCAAGCGGCATAGACACTAGATGTGTTGGTAGCGGTAACTGCCCCCGTGGTCGTGATGAAAGATGTGACCGCCGTGGTCAATGAAAGCACTGTTGTAGAGGTCAGTGTGGTCGAGGAAGTCACGGTCGCCTCCGGGGGCACGACAGTTGATGTTAAAGTCGTGGTCGTGAGCGCAACCACCGTCGAGATCTGCGTAGGCCCAGTGACTGTGACTGTCCTCGTCTGGGTGATGGTTTTTGTGACTTTGGTCTGGACAGATACGGTGCCTTGGGGAAGTTGAGCTTGGAACCTGTCTTGCGGACTATGCTTGCAAACGAGTACTTACAAATGACAACTTTTCCGTACTTATAATTGTTGTACGGAACTTTCGGGCTGCGCTCGATGTGCAGTTCGTCGCGCTTCATCGGCATAAAGTTGGTCAGCCCGCTCGAGTCGTAGACATTGGTAAAGCCAGGCGGAGTGGGCACTGTTATTGTTATAGTTGTAGTAGAGGTTATGACTGATGCAGTAATTGCAGATGTCTGGGTGGTCGTGCTGGTAGTGCTCAGAGTTACCACGACGGTCGCCGTTGTTGACACAGTAGCAGTATTAGTAGGGCCCGTGACTGTTGCCGTAGCGGTCCTTGTAGCTGTCGCTGTTATTACACTGGCGATGGGTGTCAGAGTACTTGTTGTAGTTGTAGAAACCGTGAGCGTGATCGTTTTTGGCGGGAGAGTAATGGTCGTCACTTTTGTTGGGGCACAGTTCTTGGAGGCATATTGGTATTTGGTATTGCAAACGGAAACGGTGACGACGTTGGAAGAGCCAGTTGGCGCACTCGGGTTCAAATTTCTGCTGGATGAAGGCAGTGCTGCTACGAGCGTCGGCCAAGCACTTGCAAGCAGCACGGCTGTCGCGTAGATCTTCATGATAACGAGGAAGCGGTGGTCGAACTGACTACCTGGAAATTATAGTAGGGATGAATTTTCCAACGTGTGAGCAGATGTGCATGCTGCTCTTTCTATAATTGAGCAGCTAGTGAAAAAAAAAAGCTCATTAAACACAGCGCATCATTAAAGTATCTCAGAACAGAGAAGTCGGCGATGCGTCTCTGATTGGTACCATGTGATGCGCTAATGAGAGTTTTTGTGTCTTAGCTGAATACGCCAAAGAGATGTATGTCTGAGTCAAGAAAGTTGATCCAAGACTATCGGACGGTGCAGTTGGGTGGTAGCATTGACGCGATTTGGGAAATGAGCTGTGCATGAGTTGACGCCTGTTCGAAACAAGTAACACGTTCCTCACTACGGAAAATTCTTGGCTGGCCTACTCCAAAGATGCGCACTCAATACTATAGTATCAGCTTGTCGTGGAGAAGAACGCGGACTCTAGTGGCAACCATGTCCAGCGACTACCCCCGCGGATCCATAAAGAGTGGCCGGCAATCAGTTTCTACTGAATTGATATACCCATTGGCATTGCTTTTCCATCTCTACTAAAGGCAATCACGGGCGAGGAATTAGGAGGCTCTGTCTTCTGATGTCATATTAGTGTTTTAAATACGCTATCTTAATATGACTCCTCAGTATAACATAAGCCTGAGGCAATCCACGTGCCTCTATTGTTATGCACCTTTTAGCAATCGAGAACAATAGCTAGAAACTGGGTTAGTAAAACAAATGACAACCGCGTTAAGAGTTGCATTACCTTGAGCATATAAGGCGTAGGTGTCGGCGTGGTTCAAGTTCTGCGAAGCTGAAAGGGACCGAACTGCTGAATATCCGTATACGCCGTAGTCCTGTGTGCCTTTGATCTGCGTCAGATGCGTCGTTTCATGAACAGTTGTGCCAGCTTGATCCTGTTCGTGACAGGTGCGTGTTACAGCATCAAGCGCGGTGAAGTACAGGTTGCAATAAGCAATGTAGCTTCCCGAGGGTAGCGTGTATGCGAGGACACCAGACGAGCAAGATTGATACACGTCAGAGCAGTATGTCTTGGAAGCCCCAGAAGTAGTGCTGCCGCACTCCGAGGCCATCTTTTGGAAAACGCCCGAGACGGTACTCTTCACCGAGGACGAGCTGCTCTTGAAGTACTCAGTGAGTCTAGTCCCAGCAGTGGCCGCTGACTGGGCTTGGGTTGCCCACGATTGACAATTGCTGAGTGCCGCCGTGACGGCGCTTTTCTTGGAGCCAGTGCAGTCAGCCTGTACAGCGGTACGCTTCTTCAAGAAAGCACTTCGGACAGCGCGAGCTTGGACACCATCGACTTGCGCCGAGAGCGTGTTGCTCGAAAACGGTACGATGCCGGCAATCTCCGTGCTGCCTGCCTCTGCGTAGGACAGTGCTCCATTCGTGACAACTTCGAAGACACCTCCGGCACTGAGATCATGCATATGAGCGATGTCAAACTCTGCCTCGATGACCTCGCCCGCGGATATCGTTCGGAAGGCATCTTCGTCCAGTGCCGCTGTGGAAACACGGAGGCGAATACCATCAAATGGAATCTTAGAGCCTTGGTTCATTAGCAATCACGCTTCACATGGTCCAAGACGATAGATTCCTCACTGGACTGAAATACTTCGACTTTCTCGGTCGCTGCATCCTCCAAGAATGTACCAGTCTTGAATATCTTGAGGTCTTCAGCCCCGCTGTTGACTATTGTGGCCTTCACTGCCGTGTTGCCAACCATCTCAAGCTTCACATCGAGGGCAGTAGCTTTCCTCGCTAGGTTGATGGATGCCGCATTGGCAAACGCGGCCAACAGGCTAGCACCAATTGCGACCTTCATCCTGTTGGCTATACAGATGTATCTTCGAAGGAGTAATTCTGGTGCGCTAAACTCTCAGACATAGGACAATGAGTCTAGGACTACCCGCAGATCATCCCATGTTCAACATTTGAGTTTGGAAAGGTGGGCTATTTATGTAGGAGAGATGTGCTATGCCCTCGTTTTCCTTCGGAGAACGTCCAACTCGTCAATTTCCAACGTAGTCTCGAACCCTGGGCCTGTTCTGTGCCCAATTGCAAAGTAGAATGAGATGCCAAGAACTCGAAAGTCTGGTACTTCCCGCGGCGGCTTGAAATTGGCACCAGAGTTCGGTACATAAATTAGATTGCTACCCCATGAGAAGAACGTCATCAAACCGAACGCACGAGATCAAATCAATGCGATTGGGGGTAAGAATGCCCATTTATCCATGATAGCGGAAGAATAAGAAACCGACCTTGGATTACCATTGCATGTGGGGGGCGTTATAGATCCGACGGCTTGGCTATAGATAGGATTTGCTTAAAGCCTACGATGTACAGCGAATGATCCAGAGGTTTCGCGCATCGGTCCTTGGCGCATGAGAGCGCGCGGTGGTATTCAAAGGCATAACTTATCCAAGCTTACAAGGTAGCAGCGGGGAAATTCTGGGTCTCCCTGGGGTTGAGGTCGAAATAAAGCAAAGAGAGCAATCATTGTGAAACGTACGCAAAAGGGCAAGGGCCTTTACAACGCTTGGCATTGGTCCGCCCAGATTGACGGGCACCTCGATCAGGAATAGTTCGGAACAAGATCAGCAACTCCCATTTAGCCCAAGGTTGCAGGTCAACGTCCGTGAGTCTCCCTTAAGAGCTCGCATTCAACCCCTGCGAACCACAATAACAGCTGCATTGCTATCATAGAGGCAAACAAGCGTAACCGAGGTGTTTATGAGGCTGTAAAGCCAGGGGTATGTCCAGCGACGATCCCAATTGGGCTGACCACGCGTTCTGCACCATCTGGTTCAGTGTGACACCACCCTCGGATTGGTCTCGACCCCGATAGATATGAACTGGAATAGTAAGAGGTCTAAGTCAACGAAGAGTGGTTCTCGGTAAGAGTCTTGCCTGCCCCCTTTGCTTTGCGATTTTCTTCATTTGCCAGTCGCGTGAAAGGCCATGATATAACCTGCGCGAATGACTCGGTTGGAATGATTTTAGTCGAACATCGAGAAATGAAACATAATGTAACGAGAAGCAGCCAAGATCGTATGGCCCTGTGCACTTCCTCACTACTGCGTATGACAAAGTCTCACTTGAATCGTACCATCACAGCTTATAGGAGCTCGTACACATGCTTTTTAAGATATCCGATTTCCAATGCAGGGCTGTACCGCCATCTTTGCGGGTATCTAGCGGACCATTTTTCGAGGCTCCCTCGCTGACATAAAAACTCCAGGCTCTCAAAATCAAATGATAATATCAATGCGGTAATAACAAGGCCTCGTCTCAAAAAGTGCCATTGCTTATGATAATACTCCTTCAACAGGTATTACACTCCATACAGAAACGTTCAAGCTTCGTTGTCCCGCTCAAAGCAGGTTATGTATGTAGTACGGGAAATAACCTGTTGAGCCACTGAATTGGCTGTTTGTCGCTGTGGCTGAGGCCACGGCCAGACCTACACACTCTGACTGACACCTGGATGTATGGATAGGAGACTTCTGTGTCCCCTTTTTGATATTTGTATAGTAGTAGAAACTAAATAAGACTTAGAACTAAAGCAGCGAGTTCTCTCGATGGCGCCTATTCGAAAAAAGTTGCTTTGAAAATCGGAAGAAAAATAAAACTTACTTACATGAGACCGTGAACTCTAGATCCTATAACATGAATTCGGCTTCATCAAATTAAGGCAAAGGAGTAGTTGTCATATCAATAAAGATTTCATCCGTATAAATCTTTCAAACAACGCTAATGAACTATTCTTTTTGTTTCTTTTTCAACAGCAGAAGGGCTCGAGCGCCCAGACTACCTTGATAGTTAAACTCGTGTTCATGAGTCTAGGTTAACGAACACGATACCGTAAATTTGCATACTGACAGATCTCAAGGGGTGTTCACTGGGAAGAAATCAAGACTTCGGTCCGATGTTCTGAACTCAGAAAACGCTCCCACTGGGGTCAGCGTCTCAAATAAAAACATACCACTAATATTAGCTTCCATGGCGCATCATACCAGCTTCATAACTCTATTAACTCTGTCCAGACTATTGCATATATGTCGGACATGGTTACCCATCAGATCACCCCCTGCCCTTAGGTTGACACTTATGCCCAGTCTTATAGCGGGGTCTTTGAGATCTTCCACAGATGCTACTATCTTTCGGGAAGGTCGTAAGCACTCTAAAAATTACTCAGAAACTAGGACCCAAGCCGTGCAACACGTGTGAAACATCACCGAGATTGAATCAACAGAGCATAATGGCCCTGTTCTCACAGCACGTTCAGGTCAACGCTATTACGTTTCCCAGTTTCACACTCCAATGGAGGTCTCTCATCACCCATTTTTCATACATTGACAGCTTGGGACCAGAAAGCCAAGCAATTGGTTCCTTGAAGCAGGATCGCCAAAGCCCCGCAGCAAGGCAAGCCCTGAATTGAGATCCCAAAGTGGCAGCCAAGAAATCTCATACAGCATGTACCGGGAAGCTTGAGATTTCAATGCGCGCTGCGAGTCCAACTCCAGGACTGACATGGTCACGCTCAAAGAATGAAACGCATTGTAGCTGGATTGTAACAAACCCATTAGACACGCTCGGTAACAACCAAACAAGTCTTTTAAGCGAATGTCATTCGTTTTTGAGCTCCATTGTCCGTCAAAATTAAGAGCGATGGTGAAATTAGCATCTTCATGTCCTGCAATGTATGCCATGATGTCAAGGCTTCGTTGACCAGGTCGTGGGGCCCACGCATATAGGAGTGTGGTATGTAGCTTTGCAGCCAGCACAAGGATTAGATGCCCCGAATATTACATGGATGATACCTACATAAGCTATTGCGGTCCAAGAACCTGAAGTTGAGCGATCTACGAGAAATCTACGTTGCTTCAAAGATGGTGATTCACCGTTCTTGCAACTGCCTCACGAATGCCCTTTTGTCAAGCCTTCCATCAACGCCCGGCGGATTCGTTGAATACCCTTCATCAATAGTAAGGGCTTCAAAGGAAGTACCCGCTTCAACCCGTTTCTGTCATTTCAAATCGAGTTTGGAGAGTTGTGGCAGGCAGATTGCGGATCACATAGGCCATAGTGTCACTCCAACCCAAACCAATGGCACCTTCCCCACCGAATGACACTCGGTAAGACCCCAACTTTTAACCCAAATACTGCCCGACGTGGCTGTCCGTCGTGACCACATGGCCCCGGATCGCCACTGGTTGGTAACAGGTACCACCTTGTAGCCCAGGGTGCGGGGCACGGCATTGTACAAACCAGCAGTTGATAATTGCCGTCCTAGTACCCGAGTTTTTCTAGAGGTTTATTTTACCGAATCCAGGCAACGGAGGCCGTGCGTTGGCCAATAAGATCTCAGGCGGCCTACTAACAAGACGGTCGGTTAATCTGTGATTAATGCTAATGTGACATCAAATCTCATTATAGGGAACGGACCAAAGGCCGTATCTGACTTTGATGGGAAATCATATTCCGCGGCCTCCAGGCCATAGACACATAAGAATGAGCGCTGGTCAACCACAACTCACTTATTTCCTAGGCCACGACGAGATAATATTCCTAAGCTTACTTTCTTCTGCCGCTGGCGCCGTGTCCTCACTAGCTACATTGCCACAGCTTCGTTCAGCCATCGAAAATGATGGCGTGGTCCGTTATCCTGGCCGTTGTGGCCCTCTGCCTGCAACCAATTCTCGCGGCTTCGTCGTCCGGTTGCGGCAAGGCCCCGACCTTGACCTCACCCAATGCATATAGCCTGACAATTAATGGGAAGTCCAGACAGTACTTTGTCAAGTTCCCAGCAAACTACAACCAGACACACCCGTACAAGTTGATATTCACCTTCCACGCCCTCGGCGGCACGGCATCGCAGGTCGTAGCCGGAACCGGTGGCTACTTGCCGTGGTACGGCTTGCCCGCTCTGGACACTGGGAATACTGGCATCTATATTGCCCCCAACGGACTCAACAATGGTTGGGCCAACCCTAATGGCGACGACCTCGCACTCACGGATGCGATCATCAAGACAGTCGAGGCAGACTTGTGTATTGACCAGGCACACAGATACTCGACAGGCTTCAGCTATGGCGCTGGCATGTCGTATAGCATTGCGTGCTCGCGTGCCAAGGACTTCCGCGCCGTCGCCGTTCTGTCAGGCGCAGTGTTGTCTGGTTGCACAGGTGGCAATGACCCTATCGCCTATTATGGCCAGCACGGGGTCTCAGACAACGTGCTGCCAATCGCCGGAGACCGCACAATGCGAGACCGCTTCGTTAAGAACAATGGTTGCACATCACAAAGCCCTCCAGAGCCGGCCGCAGGTAGTGGCACACACATCAAGACGCAATACTCCGGCTGCAAATCCGGATACCCTGTCACGTGGGTTGCATTCGATGGCGACCACACTCCACAACCAAAAGACAAGGGCCAGTCAACCACCTTTGCTGCCAATGAGACTTGGGCTTTCTTCTCTCAGTTTAAACAAGAATGAGATTGATAGAAACCTTGTGTTAGTACGGAATGAAGAGCGTTCAGGCTGGTAGTAGTTATATGTGAGACTACTACGAGCAGCATTGACTATATTTACTTGTGCATTTCCACTTTGTGAAAGAGACGAACCTGGTAGTATAAAGTCTGCCCTGATTGAATATACGGCCAGTCGTGTCTTCCGGTCACTATAGTGCGTATTGAGACGATAAAAAGACTTGGTGACAGATACACAAGCTCCTTTGGCAACGAAGCGGATTATGTGCCAAGCTCTGAGGGGAGCCACTCAGAAATCATGTTGATGCATGAGACCTCGAGACAATCTTTATGTGGGCCAAAATAACCGCCAGTTGCACTACTTCGAATAACTCACTGACATGGGACTCTACGGCCGGGTGCATTGGTGAAGTAGCTTCGAGGCAGAGAGCAGTAATTAGGGCCAAAACCTGACAGATCAGCTTACCTTCCAGTGGCCGGATATAGCGCGCCATGCCGTCTTCTCATAGCGACATTATCAGTTACGCTCTATTTCATCAACACCGTGGAAACTAATCCTTTAGCGCCGAGTATACTTTGCTGCCCTGGGATAAAGAACGATTCTATCTCACATCAGGCTTTCAAAGTAGTATTCCAAGGACCCCTGCTGATGCTGAAAAACTTTTGCTTATAAAGCTTCTCGTTCATTATTGATGTAACTCGTAGTCTATAAGTAGTCTATGATAGACCGGATCCAGAATGGACTAATTCACATGTCAGGGAAAGCGTATCGTAGAGGCCATCTTTAGTGCTCTACCGAAAAGCTATATCGTTTGTCAACACCTTCCTGGGATAGTGGCACCGCTGATCTTCCTTGATAAGGTCCGCAGCTTTCTCCGCAACAGCATAGACGGTTGCTTGTATGTTGCCCAGTGGTTCAAGAGGGAATATACTAGCATCAATAATACGGATATTCCCAGTCCCGTGGACGATAAGCCGCTCGTTTACTACACCTCCTTGACTCTCGGGCAGCATAGCACAACTACCAGCCACGTGGAAAACAGAGATTGTATGACGACGAACAATCTCTTCGGCCTGTTCCAGGGTCTTTCCGATAATGTCCGGCGCGCGTTTGCCGTCGCTCTTCAGCATCGACTTGAACGGCTCCGTTTCGATGATTCGCTCCACAAACTGGACGTTCTGTGCGAGAACGTGCAGGTCAAGTGGGTGAGACATAAAGCGAGGATCGTAAATCGGTTTTGTTTGTACATCAGCGGAGGTGATGTGGACTGATCCTCTCGAAAACGGATGGTTCAGTATCGTCATGATAGAGACGTAGTTGTCCGGCCGAGACGGAGTAATGATTTCTCTCATGGATACCGGATCATCGTTGACGGTGATCTGGCAAGGAAAGAGGAGATACTCGACGGCTGGCTCGTTCGCATCTTCGATTATCGCACGGATTACGCTGAACTGCTCGGCCATCTGTGTCTTGGAGTGTGCGAGATGAGCATCCAGTGCCTCCTTCTTGGCCTCTGCAGATAATGCACCAGCACCATCTGACCATGGACTGTATGCTACACTGATAGAGCTCTGACCAAGGGGGCCATCGCCACCACTGCTCTGATACAGTGAGATCAAGCTATTAAGCACCTCAGGGTCTCTGAGAACATCTCCTGATGGCATACCATCGTTGACCTCAAAACTTTGGGCCACAATAGCATGATCCTGAAGGTTCTCCCCAACATTTGGGTTGTCGATTACAACGGGAATACCATGGCTTTCAAGGAGAACACGGTTGCCGATTCCAGATAATTCTAGGATCTGGGGTGTGTGAAGAGCTCCAGCAGCTAGGATGACCTCGAGTCGTGCGTCAATACGCTGTGTCTTGCCACCAGCAGAGATGACGACTCCTGTAGCAGTCACCTTATCTCCTCGTCGCTCCGTCAAGACCTTCTCGACCACGGAATTGCAGCGAATTTCCAGGTTGGATCTCTGGCGGACTTCAGCAGTCAAATACGCTGGCGAGGCGAAACTTCGAGTCCTCGTCTGCGGATCTATAGTGGCGGGGTTCTGAAACCCACCGAGCGCTTTCCCTGTTCGCGGGTCTGCGGTCATTCGCAGGCCAAGGTTGTTGAACGTTTCCATCCAAGCTCCATTGAATACCTTGCTGTATCCCTCTCCAAATGAAACATGAACAGGCCCGTCTCCAGTAAGAGAATCATCGTGATACTGGTGCAGGCCTGTAAGCTCCGCTGCCGTAGCGGATGGAGCATGAGTGGTGCTTGACTTCCTATAGTAAGGCAGAAGATCTTGGTAAGACCAGCCGGGGTTACCGAGCTTGCCCCAGGAATCAATGTTAACTGCTGATGGATACAGCATCATCATCATGTTCAATGCAGAGGAGCCACCAAGCTGTCTTCCGCGAGGCTGCGCAAGCCGTCTGTTGTTTAGATTGGGCTGATCGTCTGTCAGTACATGTGCAATTCGAGGAGGTGGTGATATGCACGTACTTGGGGCTCTGAGCTGAAATTCCAGTCGTATTTCTCTTCCCCAAATTGCGCAACTACCAGCCCTGGCGTTAGGACAACCGGGTCATTAGAGTTATCAGGGCCAGCCTCGACCACGAGAACGCGGGCCTGTGCATCTTCGCTGAGTCGTGAGGCGACGACAAGTCCAGCCGTCCCACCGCCGACTATAATGTATTCGAACTGCTCGTTGGAACTTGTCATCATGAAATTGGCTCACTGTGAGCGAAGATGAAGTTTCTAATGAGGGAATGACTGAATTTAACTGAGAGAGTCTTTTGAGTTGTTCGACATTTGACAGGACAGGAATTCGGCTCTTGTAGGCTGAGACATGAATGCCCTTTCCCCCTAATGAAAGGGAGCTGCCCCGCTGGTATGGGGCTGACAAAAAGCCCCTCGCATCTTGCAGCAATAGCTTATGAAGGTATATCCACCCAAAGCTAGATTGTGGATACTAGTCGATCCCTTTTCGGTAGAAGATACGCTACTCTTGCACTTAAAACGAACTAGGTAGTTTGATTCTGGCTACGGCTGGTCTACATAGTATATATGGTCAGTCGCACCTCCGTTACACCCTGTCTGCTATCTTTTGGCTCAGTCTGCGCTATTAGCAAAGACCCTGAATGTGATGGGTCTCGATTGTGGAGCCGCAAACCCGGCAAGATCGCCGGCTAGATGAATCCAGACAGACACCCCACGTTTGACTGTTGATATCCTACATAGGGAGAAGGAGGAGAATCGGACCGAGAGGTCGTTTGGGCTACTAGGGAGTGGAGGCGCGGTAGGCGTCAGCCAATGAGTCCTAGCGTACGTCTTCTCAATACCTAGCAACAACATTCCATTATTCCAGCCTCAGTGGATGACTGGATGTTGAGTGGTGCTTGGCTGCGTAAACATGTTACAGCACTGCTAGATTGACAAAATAGTGGTTCGATTCTACGTCCTTCTAGCAATATCCGCACCGCAGGATACCAGCCCCCTTGCTGGCTTTTGGCCAAGATGTATATTGTCGATCAGCGTCGCACTATCCTCGAACACCTTACTACAGTCCACCACCGCCACCACGCCATAGATATATACATCGTTGTAGTCAACCATGGGACCACTGGTGAATTTATCATCGTGTTTCAACACAGAAAAACATGTTGTAAGATGGAAAGGTGTTGGATGAACATGTATAAAGAACACTGTGAGTTTTATGGGTAACAGACTACGGAAAGCAGAAGTCACTATTTACTCTCATACCATGTATTTTACTATGGTGATACGCAGGCCATTGTAGTCCTCGATCACCCATAGAGGGTTGAGTGATAAAGCATGTTGATCACTCGTATACGGTTTGAATAGCGGCAGCAAAAAATCTGGGCCAGCCAATTGCCTCACCGGACGCGGCTAATTTGAATAGTGTCGGCTTGTATGGAGCCTTCCGTCACAACGAAACCGCAACCACCACATCCATAGTCTGCATCCGTAGCCCGAACAATCTGCCCATTGACTTTACCCAAGATGCTTGTACCATTCGCCTCGATTTCCATTTGGTACGGCGTATCGAGACTCCATTCCAACTCCTCGCTCGCAAGTTCCGTCCTATCCCCATCGACCGCCTTGACAATCGCGACCCGTCCACCATCAACAAAAGCCAGCGCATAGAATCTATTCAAGCCCTGTGCTCTGATAATGACACCCGAAGGGCCTCCAATATTGACTGTGAAGCTATTGATGGTAATGCGGTAGTCTGTCCACTCCCGCGTGCCGTATGTCACGAGGCCTTCCCCCCTGTTCTGGGCGACGGTGAATTTTGACCAGCGATAGCGGAAGTCGTCTGCGCTGTTGACGAAGGATCGGTGCCAAAACTCGTTCGAAGCCTTCGTCGTAGCTGCGACGGTGGTCTCAGGAATACCATCCCATCGAAGATAGTCCAGCATAACTGCACCATCGACGCGCTTCCTTGGGCTTGATAGCACGACGCCGACTGACTGTATAGGCTGGCTCCCAAAATCATCGGGGATGGTCCACTGAAGAGTGGTTGATTCGCCGGGCCCCAATGTTACGGGATCTCCATCCACGTTGATCAGCTCGTCTTTGGGGGTGTACACTTTCAACCTCAGCCGAACCACGACCTCGCTCGTCGTTTTCGCGTCGCAATGCAATCGAGCTTTGACTTCCTGGCCTGGATATAACAGCGGAGAGCCAGCAATTTCGTAGATGGGCATTTTCTTCACTTCTAATGGAAGAAAAGTATCGGTGAGCACTTCTGCCGGTCCCGCGCCTTGAGTAAGCCCATGAAGTCGAATAGCTAGACCTGGACTATTTGTGGCGTCATTCGCTTGCTCGACTCTGACAAGACCAGGTGCAGTACTGTTGTTTCCATAGGCCTGGAAGCCCTGAACACTCCCCGGGAGAGTGAAATGGAACTGCGCGCCGCTCTTCGGACCATCCAACCTTGGCTCGCCAGCTAGCTGTTTCCCCAGATTGAAGAGGTCATAAGCGATGAGTGATGCATTGTTGACCGTATACCCTCCGTCTGCACTAGAGATCAACGCTCGGTCTGCCAGAGGTCCTCGCCAGTCCGGCCCGCCTTCAAACGCACTCAAGCCGTGCATGATGGCAACGAGGCACCCGACGTTTCCCGAATTGCAGTCCGTGTCCCAGCCGCAGGTGTTGATGATGTGCATGGCTTCGTGGAAGTCATGACCACCGTACAGAAGCGCCATGATCATAATACCGTGGTTGGGGACGACGTGGCACATGCCGCAGAACTTGTCGTACCCGTACTTATCCTCAATCTTCTGTCTGGCTTTCATCCAATCTTCGTCTTCCTTAGCCCAACCTCGGACATCTTTGATTAGGGTTGCAATCAAGGAATCCCCCGGTATGAATTGGAGACCTGTGTCTAGAAGATGATCTACGTCGTTGGACACGAATGCCTCAGCCTCCATCGCAGCCCAAAGCACAGCCGCATAGACCGACTCTCCATCGTGACTAACAGAACCGGCAGCCTTCGCAAGCTTGGCGGCGAGCGCTGGGTTTCCGGGCGCCACCAATGCCCAGCCGTCGATGAAAATCTGGGCTCCTATCTGCTCGGCGACCGTCTTTCCATTGGTCTGTATCGAGCCGCTCTGCGGTGCCATGATGCCCCTTTTCAGGTTCAAGAAGGCCGTGTGCTCGGTTGAGATGCCCCGGCCTCCCCACCAGAAGATGGTGCGCTTCTCGATGACATTGTTGAGCCACGTCCTGCCAATGGCTTCTGCTGAGAGGTCCGCGGAGACGCCGTGTTCCTCGAGCGCGCGCACGAAGGTGAAAGTTCCCGAGACGTCGTCGTCGGTCACGACTAAGGGTGCGCCAACCTTCTCGTGCACATAGTGGTGGATAGGGCCGAGCTCGTCCAGAATACGCTGGTGTGTCCAGCCTTCGAATGGGCGTCCAACATAGACCCCGATGAGCTTTCCGAGAACTCCGGCGTATACTTGTTCAAGGTAATCCTCTGGGGTCGGCGGCATCTTGGGGTTGATACTGTATCCTGATCACAGGAACGCAGATTGTCTCAGCTGAGCTCACTAACAATGCGAAGAACAAAAACAATAGTGTCGGGCAGGCCAAGCAGATGTGAGCTAAATCACCAAAAGATCAATATGTAGACTTGCTGAAACTTTTTGCAAAATGGAAATGATGACATGTTCAGGTAAACAAGGTGCTCAGTAGTGCGGGGAGCTAGAATCACCTTGCCCAATCGTGCGAGAGGTTGGGCAGATCCCATTGGCTAGAGCCTATCACATATATAGCTGCGTGTGACACTGAATGGTGCAAGACCGGGTGGCTGAGTGGAGGTACAGATGATATTGTTTCAAGACCGAATCCTGGCCTTTCCAGATAGCAAAATATTTCCGCGCATCAGAACAGATAATATACTCCTTCGGCAACGTCTCAACACCGCGCTTCATTTCAGTCTGTTACAGTTAACATAAAATTCCACCTCGAGATGCTTCTGCCATCCGTGCAGCACGTGCCTCGGCGGCATATCTCTCCAGCATAGCACTGCGCACCGCCAGTGGTGCATACATATCCATGCTGCACCGAGCGCGGCCAAAGGGCTCGTCTGAGATCCAGTCGGCACGTCCGTACATCTGCTCGTTGTACTGGGCTCTGAGGTCTAGTGGCAGCCAGGTAGATGACTCTTGCTGGGACGAAAGCCCGCTCCCCACGGAGCGTAGGCGTTTCTTCAGGGCTGAGAAGCCTCTCTTTATGCTTAGGCACCTGAGGAGGCGTCGGATCGGATGAGTTTTGGTGCTCGCAATAGACCCATTGGGGGAGCTGGGAGGATCAGCTCGCATTGAGTTTTCCATTCCGTGACTGATGGCTTAACGGCCGATCTGAGAGTTTGGTGGTATCGGAAAAGGTCCACGTTGCTGAGATTTGTATGCTTGGTTTTTGTTATTCAAGATAGAACAAACACCAGTCTGACCTTGCCTCAAACGCCAATTTGTACGCTCAGTGTACGGTATCTCCGACAATCAGGATCCCGTAGTACTATAGTTGCCATGTAATAGAGTTTTGGCTGCGACAGTATCCTCTGACAGGGAAAGCAAAAGACGGAAACTCTATTACTCAACCATACCCTCGGTAACTTAGATTTGTCCTCTAGCCTTGCCGTATCTCAGTCACAGTGTAGCCTTCACTGTCGTATTTCCCTCGATGGAGACGCAAACAGGATACTAGTTTTGCTATTTGCCAAGCAACTCATCCGGCCCATTCTGTGCCAATAACTGTTGATTCTCTTGCCACTTGACCCAGGCCAAGCCTTGCAGGAGACTATCAGCAAGGTCATCGAGCTTATTGAAATGCTCGGCAACATCTTCCGCAGCAGCGACTGTTTTGTTCCTTCGGCCGCCTTTCCAGCGGTGGAGATATGACTTGGCTGTGGTCTCAGCTTCACCTGTAGTCTCGATCCGGTCTTCGACCAGCCACTTTCCAACGAGGTCAATCTTAGCTTTCTTGTTCCTCGCCTTGGCGCTCTTTGCAGACTTGGACTCTTTGACTTTAGGGTCAGCGACACCATCAGCATCACTGACTGTTTCTAGCTTCCGTGCTCTGGGGGAAGTTGCTTTGGACGTCTTGGTCTCAGCTGCGTCGTCTTCCAAGCCCTCAAGCCAGAAGGGACCGACGCGAGCCGGGGCGATGGAGTGTATGGTCCCTCTCCAGTGGTGGAGCCTCCCAAGGGTGCCCAAGGTGGCATAGATCATGGCCTCGAGCGTGTTTACTCTCAGCGTCCATTCTTGCACAGCAGCACGGCCTCCACTCCTAAACCTCTGCCTCTCGATCAAGATGTGGGTAGGCGAGAGAGCGAGAAACTCGTCATGTACAAGCCTGGCTGTCAGGTCCGCCATGCTCGACGGACCCCAAATATCCTTGTCCGCGTCTGGCAGTGCATCCTGTCCGGAGCTTGCCAGCGCCACGCGTTTCCAAACCTCTACCCCGACCCGCGGTGGACTGCGGGCACCTCGACCAGGTTGGGCTGCTGCACCAGGAGTGAGGAGAGAGAAGGCCAGGTTGCGAATGCCGAGATCGACAGACAGAATGCGTTGCTTGTTCACCGGTATGGCGTCACGCTGATGACCCCAGGCGGCGGACTCGACGCGACTGGCCAAGACATCCTTTGTACCGGCGGACGGCAAGCCGCAGGCAACGGCAAGATTCTTGAGTTCGGCTAGCTTGAGGGTTGCAGGTAGCCTAGGGGCCATTGGGCCATCGCGTACCGGGGGAGATGTTGACCGTAGACTGAACAGCACCTCTGTGGCGTCGCTGACACGCCTCTTGTGATGGCGAGGTCGTGGTGCAAGGTCAGTTGCTGCACGTATGATGTGACACTACTCGAAGGAGTCCGCTGCGTATTTCAAGCTACCTAGGTAGCGGCAACGTGCGTGAACAACAGAAGTGTATCTAGCAAGTCAGATATCCAAACGGAGGTGCCAATGAGATGTTCCCTCTGGAACGTTGGAACCCCTGTTGCGTGCTTGCACTGATGTCCACTACTCCGGTACTGCTGTACTGCTACACACGCTATCCAAGCCTCGGCAGACACGGCTAATCGCAGATAAGACAATGGACCCTTGCTACACAGCACAGAAGAGGCCTGTGTTACGACTAAACGTGTAGCTGCTGCATGGCTGTGGTATTTTGAGCCAGTATTTGGAATACCTAGCCGTACTATCCAAGTCTGTCATACTGAACAGGAGCAATATGATTGATCATGTTGATTGATACCCGGCCCTGTGCACTGTAACTCCTGTCGGGTGGCACCCAGCACGCGGCTTAGGCTGCTGGCTCACTAATGCAACACCCTGGGGAAAAAAAGATTCCAGAGGCTCGGCGACCCCTCCACAAGCTCCGGCGTCTCGGTGCGGCGTCGTGCGGCCTTGCTGACAAAAACTTTCTGGGGCGCCGGCCGAAGGAGAAAAAAAGAGAGAAAAGAAGGGTCTGCCTCCTGTAGGTTGTCCCGTCCGTTGATGAATAATCTACGCAATTCCACCACGTCGTGAGTAAGCCCCAGCAGCTGTCTTGCGTCCCAGCCTGGCCAATCCACTAATCCCCCAGAGCGGCAGCAGACTCTCGTTTACCTATCCAGGGTAGTTGAATTCCCCGGCGCATCCCCCAAGCCGCACCAGGCCGCATCTCGGATTCCTAAGCCAGAGCCTGTCATCCCCGTCGCCCGTCGCCCGTCGCCCGTCGCCCGTCGCGATCCTGCAGCTCTATAAGACGTCATCCCACCGTTGCCCCACCAAAGCACCGAGCATAACCACTACCACCACCACTACCACCACCACTACCACCACCGCCGCCGCCGCCGCCGCAGCCTCCTCCCCTCCCCTCCCCTCCCTATAAACATAGCCGTGATCCTCCCGAGAGCTCCGTGTCGTCCCATCCTTCCCACATGCAAGCGTTTGGACTTCTTGGTCGCATTACTGTAGCCAGTACGTCCAAGTCCAGAGCAGCCACCTCGCGCGTCTCCTCCATCTCCCGCCACTTCTCCTCCACCCCAGCCAACATGGTGCCCATCTCCAAGGAGACCGACTACCTCGTCATCGGCGGCGGCAGCGGCGGCCTCGCCTCGGCGCGCATGGCCGCCGGCAAGTTCGGTGCCAAGGCCATGATCATTGAGGGCAGCCGGCTGGGCGGCACCTGTGTCAACGTCGGGTAGGTCCAAGACTTCCCTCACACCGGGTCTCGCACGGGGATCGTGCGCGCGGATGAGATGGGCTGACAGTACAATAACTTGCCAGCTGCGTGCCCAAGAAGGTGACCTTCAACGCCGCCGCCATCGCCGAGGCGATACACGACGCCAAGGCCTACGGCTTCTCGGTCGAGGAGAAGAAGCCCTTCGACTTCACCTCGTTCAAGCACAAGCGAGACGCCTACATCAAGCGCCTCAACGGCATCTACGAGCGGAACCTCACCAACGACAAGGTCGAGTACATCCACGGCTGGGCCAAGGTCGTCGGCAAGAACGAGGTCGAGGTCACGGCCGACGACGGCACCAAGCAGACGGTCCGCGCCAAGAAGATCCTGATCGCCGTCGGCGGCAACCCCACCCCGCCGCCCGCCAACATCCCCGGCGCCGAGCTGGGCACCAACAGCGACGGCTTCTTCGACATCGACACCCTGCCCAAGAAGGTCGCCCTCATCGGCGGCGGCTACATCGCCGTCGAGTTCGCCGGCATGTTCAACGCCCTCGGCACCGAGACCCACCTGTTCATCCGCCACAAGACCTTCCTGCGCACCTTCGACCCCATGATCCAGGAGGGCGTCACCAACGAGTACGAGCGCCTGGGCGTCCACCTGCACAAGGACTCGGTCCAGACCAGGATCGACAAGGCCGCCGACGGCAAGCTCACCATCCACTACAAGGACGCCGGCGGCGAGGGCACGCTCGAGGGCGTCGACCACCTGATCTGGGCCATCGGCCGCACCCCGGCCACCAAGGACCTCGGCCTGGACAAGGCCGGCGTCGAGGTCGACCACAAGGGCCACGTCGTCGCCGACGACTACCAGAACACCAACGTCGACAACATCTACGCCCTCGGCGACGTCTGCGGCAAGGCCGAGCTGACCCCCGTCGCCATCGCCGCCGGCCGCCGCCTGGCCGAGCGCCTGTTCGGGCCCGAGCAGTTCCGCACCGCCCACCTCAACTACGACAACATCCCGTCGGTCGTCTTCGCGCACCCGGAGGTGGGCTCGATCGGGCTGACGGAGCCGCAGGCCGTCGAGCGCTTCGGCCGCGAGAACCTGACCGTCTACAGCACCAGCTTCACCGCCATGTACTACGCCATGATGGAGCAGGAGGCCAAGGGCCCGACCAAGTACAAGCTGATCTGCGCCGGGCCCGAGCAGAAGGTCGTCGGCCTGCACATCATGGGCCTCGGCTCGGGCGAGATGCTGCAGGGCTTCGGCGTCGCCATGAAGATGGGCGCCACCAAGAAGGACTTTGACTCGTGCGTCGCCATCCACCCGACCAGCGCCGAGGAGCTGGTCACGTTGAAATAGAGACAGAGAGAGGCAGAGGGAGAAAGACGGCGAACGGGAAAGAGATAAAGACAGGGAGGGGACCCCAATGTGATAGAAAGCATTCATACGGTAGATATATCACGGGTTGTATCTAGAACCCACTTGGATAATCTGCAATTTTGATACCACTTTACTTTACTTTTCCTACATGACTTCGACCATCAGTGCTCGAGAGCCGCGGCATAGAGGGGACTACGGTTGCTGTTGAAAATTTGAATCACTTGTCGAATCTGATATCTGGTATGTAGTATTACGCTGTCTATAGTGTGCAGAAACAGGGGGTACCTGCTGGCATTCTATTTAGAGAGACATTGTGCATGGCAGTTTTGGGAAGCTCATCCGTCTCTGACTGAGCCTGCACAACAGATTGTAGGCAATGATTAAATCGAGAGCTCGCCGGCTCAAAGGCATATGGGTATAATGTTCCGGGTCTTCATTCTCCGGGAATGCCACGCACCACGTTCCAAACCTCCCAAGATGCAGCGTCCCTCGCGGTGCCACATCCGTGAGGGTATCCTCAATCGTCCCAGTCCACATTGTACATGCCCTCTTCTCTGTGCGTGCTGACGAAATCCTCGCTCGCCAGCCCCCTGAGCCAGCGGCGCTGGAGGCCCGCGGCGTCCTTGTGCCAGTCGCAGGCGTAGTCGCAGGCGGGGACGGCCCGCTCGCCAAAGTAGTCGCAGATCATGTGGTGGCGGCAGCGGCTGGTGGTCTCGCAGTAGCTGGCCAGCTTCTGCAGGCTGACGGCGCGGGCCTGGAAGTTGTTGGCGTTGCCGCTCTGCTGGCCGTCGCGGATGACGAGGCTCGACACGCGGTCGCGGTCCTCGCGGCTGTAGTACAGGAAGCAGTAGGCGGCGTTGCCGTCGCGGCCCGCCCGCCCGGCCTCCTGGTAGTAGCCCTCGAAGCTCTTGGGCAGGCGCCAGTGCACGACGAACCGCACGTTCAGCTTGTCGATGCCCATCCCGAAGGCCGTGGTGGCGACGATGATGTCGTAGCCCGGTTCGTTGGCCACCCACTTCGCGAGAGTCTGTTCCTTGGTCTCCTTGGACAGCTTGGCGTGGAATGGCTGCGCACCGATGCCCTCGGATCGCAGGGCAGCCGCCAGGGACTCGCATTCGTCGCGAGAGATGGTGTAGATGATGCCTGGGACGTTGTCGAGCCGCTCGCCCTTGGCAAGCTCCGCTTTGCGCGGTTCTGAAGCACGTCGCGCATAGACACCACGGATCCATTGGATAAAGTCTTCGAGGCGCTGATCATCCTGGTCTTGTGTGAAGCGGATCTCAAGATGCAGGTTGGGGCGGTACGCCGTCATGGTGAAGACCTTCAGTCTATCCGAGCCGTCAGAGCCCAGACCAAGCGTGGAGAGCACGTCTTGCCGGACTTCAGTATTGGCTGTAGCTGTGAGGCACATGATGGGCACGTCGGGGAACGTCTCGCGAAACCAGGACAGACGCTTGAAGTCCCGCCGGAAGTCGTGGCCCCATTCTGAAATACAATGCGCCTCGTCCACGGCGATGCGGGCGAGCTCTTTCTGCTTATAGACTATCTTGAGTTTATCTCGAAAGCGGTCAAGGGCGCATAGTTCCGGTGTGACGTATAGCAGCCGTGTGCGCGGGTGGCCCGTCTGCAGGTCTTTATAGATGGCATCCTTCTCGGCGCCAGGCGTGTTACTGTTCAAGGAGCTGGCGTTGATATCAGCAGCCCGCAGCGCTTCCACCTGGTTCATCATGAGACTAAGCAGTGGCGATATAACAATGGTGACTGGGGGCCCTCATCAGCAACTAGGCAGTCATCTACGGGTAAAGCCATGTCTTACTCCCTTGGTCGACAACGGCAGGAAGCTGGTAGCATAGACTCTTGCCGAAGGAGGTGGCGGCCTGCACGAACACATCGTTCCCATCAAGGGCAGCCTGGATGATCTCCCGCTGCTGAGGCCGGAAGTTGAGCTTCTTGAACTGACGTCTCAGCGTGAAATCCAGGTCGGGGAGGATGTACGAGTTGGATCTTCTGAGAGGCGCCATCTTTCTGGCAGTGCCGTTCTGAGAAGTGACCCGAGCTGGCAAAATGGCATGTCATTGGTCAAGGCCGAAGTCCCCGCGATCAATGCTGTAAGTGGGCAAATACCCAACCGGGGGGCTAAGACACCGATTCCTATTGTCAAGTCCGAAGTTACTGTACTGTGTATCTTGATAATTCACAGCTAATATCAAATCTCGGCTGCAAGATTGATGGAGACCAATCGGCTGCCGGAAGAGTTGGCTCTGCAACTATTCGTGTACGGACAGTCAGACTCGGTTCCGTGTAGGGAAAAACGAGACGTCAGATTATTCAGGGTCCTTTGCTGGCGGCTTGGCTGTGCAACATGACGTTGGGTACACCAAAATGGACGGTCGACGTTTGTGCGCTCCTCTGCGCAGCAAAGTCAAATTATTGGATCCAGCTGATCGACACTAGATCTGCCAAGCGAATCTACGACTCGTCAATTTTGACATGTCGAGATTGACTTCAGTTCGTTGCTCCTGGTGCTGCCAGACCCCACCCCTGCAGAGGTTGAGGTAGAAACTCTGGGTAGGGGAGGCGCAGCCCGACGGAATGGTAAAGGGCTCTGGCCTGTCTGGCCTTCTTGGAAATATTTTTTCGAAGCCTGGTGCAGGGAAGAGCAACGCCCGGTCGATGAGACAGGTTGACGGGTGGCTGGTGGCTGAAGCTGAAGCTGAAGCTGAGGCAGCGCTACACGGGCGAAAACACCGGGAGTGCGTTGGTCAGTGGGCACAATTGAGAGAGGTCACTCTGCCCGTCTGGCGGTGGCTTGACAATGTCATGTGTAGTTATGGTGTAGGTAGGTAATGTGATGCACTGGAGCGAGCGAGCAGCCTTGTGCCTTTGGCAACTCAGCAGCTTAGCTTGCTCAGCTTAGCACAGCACATGGGACGAAAGTGATCATGATCGACCGGCCGTCTTGTGGCTTTGGCTGCGGCTCTGTGTGCATGGTCCTCAGTTTTGCTGAGGTCCCTCGCCACGCAGCCATGACTCCGCTGCCGCGTGGGAAGAAGGGTGCACTGGGCCCGCTGGGCCCGCTGAGCCCGCTGGGGTGCCTTGCAGCATTCTAGAGGCAGCGCTAGGCCCGATGGGGGACGGCGTCGCGAAGGGCGGGTGGTGTGGGTTGGTGGATGGCAGACGAGCAGATGGGCAGAGACAACATTCTCGAGCCTTGAGCAGCAGGCCGGCAGGGATGATCCAGTGTGGGCAGGCTCCACACCCTGTCAGGAACACGGCGCACACGAATCAAGCGCGAGAGAGCTGAGAGGCGACAGCACAGGACAGCACAGGATAGGACTGACCAACAGCCGCTGTTGTGCAGGTGTGACGGCATGCAGAGCTGCCCATCGTGAGCTACCTAGGTACCGAGACGAGCAGTCACACACAGGGGGAACAGGCCGTAGCGGGCATTCTGGGCCACTCAGCGCGCTCAGCTCAAACGCCGTCAGCGTGACGGCCAGGAACAAAATCCGGCTGCGGCTGGGGCAGACGAGACGCAAAGCAAAGCGAGGCAAAGCAAAGCACATGCCAACCACTGCCAGAGGCGCAAAAGAGCGGAGGTCGTCCCCCTTTCCTACCTAGTACGCGACGTTGCCATCGTCAGGTTCTGGTAGACTAACAACGTCAACCAACCCAGTCAACCCAGCCGCGCCAGGCCCCCCAAAGCTGCGCTACCGCTTCCCGCCAGCCCGCCTACCGCCCTTCGGACCCCCATCTCTGGTCATTCTGGCCATTGACCCCTGTGACCCTTGACCCTTTTGCCCTTTTTTTCCCACCCCAAGCATACAAGAACCCCAAGCCTGACTTAGGTAGCCAGCCCCAGGCTTGGACAGGGGTGGCCCAGGATTGAAGACAGTGAACCTAGGATCCAAGACCCAAGACCCTTGTCCAGAGCCGCCCGACCACCTCGCTGTCACGCACTCACCCGCCGAAGAGGCCAGCCAACCAGTCAGTAACTGCGGTCGCTAACCAGTGAACCTGAAGCGACTGGCTCGGCTGGAGGGTCCGCCCTGACGCTCGCTGCGCTCGCTGGGGGGAAACGTGGGAAACGTGGGAGCGTTGGACCTACTGGCACACCCGCAGAACCGACCCTAGGCCCGAGGGCACCTGAAGAAAGATCTATCAACCCAACCCAACCCGTCCTGCTGCCACTCACCACCCGTTTGTTCGCCAGACACACGCACGCGCAACGACCCAGCAGATAGATGCCTGCAGCAGCAACCCCTCCGAATTGATTGACGGCCGGTGTGGTTCTTGTTTCCACTGCGACTCCAGGCCAAGAAACACCCGGGGTCATCAGTGTTTTGTCTCGTCTGCCCACCGCTGCAGCTGCCAGCCCAGTCCGAGTCCGACACCATACAGATCCAGACTGACCAACCCACTGCCCGCCTGCCCTCCCCCGGGGCCATTGGCATTGAAACCTGAAACACTACGACCACACACGAGCGTCCTGAGAAGCCCGGCACCACAGCACCCAGCACCCAGCACCCAGCACTCCTACTACGTACCAGCTCCTGGCCCGCCGCGCATCCCGTCAATCAACTCAGAACACGGCGGCGACAGGTTTCGCTCCTCTCTCTCCAGTATCCAATCCGCGACAGACAATCGACCCTACGCTGCCATGCCGTGCGAGGAAGCGCAAGCATGAGTCGATGGGGCCGACGTGCACGAGCAGAGAGCTGCTGTCAACCATCATCGCCAATTCCGTTTTCGAACTCCCTTCCGGAGAGCTCGCAGGGGGAGTCGGACAATCACTAGAATCCGCCGTCGTGCTGGCCCGAGAGCCTTTGCCGAGGACGGTATCGGAATCGACTGTCGTTCACCTAACTACTACTTACATACACCTACTGCGCATCTCGTGTCTGTCCACCTACTGCAGTACATTCACTGTATCCACCTCGGCATAATCGCTTGCTTGCACTCGAGCCAGCTGCCCAGCTGCCCACCCTGACTGAAACCGAGGATCGCCCTCGACCTTCCCTTGTTCCCGTGTCAGACCTCCCGTCGAACCACTTCCTCACGCCCACCACCGCGACCGAGACAAAGGGGCCAGCCAGCGAGTGGCCGGCTCATTCACCATGTCGTCGATGATGCCTTTAGGCGGGAACGGTGCTACCGTCATCCCTTCACAATCCGCCACATCGCGAGGCCTGCCTTCCAATCCAGCCCAGGGCGTCCGACGACTGCAGACGTCCATATCCAACATGCCTCCCCCCCCGCCGCCGCCTCCCATCCCCGAGAAGTTCCAGGCCGCCATGAACTCGGCCAACTCGACCCTCTCGGCGTCCGGCCCCATCTCCGCCGGCCAGGTCATCGCCGTTGCCCGCGAGGCCATGAAGAGTGCTCTGCAGGACAACGAGTCCCAGGCAACGGGTCCAAACGGAGTCTCCTCCGAGCTCAAACCGGGCGTTACTATCGACCTGAGCCGGAGGAACATCCAGGAGTTGCCCGAGGAAGTTGTCGACATCATCAAGAACGAGCTGGAAAGGTGCGTTGTCCATACCTGGAAGAGATGCTGCTCCATTTGTAGTCAAAGCACCTCTGCTGACATGATTGTTGTCGTACAGGCTCGCGCTATCACACAATAAGCTTTCCTCCTTCCCTGCAAGGTTCGCCGAATGCACGTCGCTGCGGTATCTCAACGTGAGGAACAATTACATCAAGGAGTTCCCGCTACCGGTAAATAGCCTTCATACTACTTCCCCCCCATAAATTTTGCCTCCCGAAGCGATTGCCTTTCTAACCTTGCCTGATTAGTTGTGTGACCTCCGATCTTTGGAAATTTTAGATCTCGGCAGGAACAAAATCAGGGTCCTGCCCCCGGACATTGCGAAGCTGGCATCGCTTAAAGTGCTTGCCGTTCAGAAGAACCGGATCGAGGAATTGCCCCTTTGCTTGGGCGATATGGGCTCGTTGCAGGTGTTGAAGCTGGATGGGAACAACATCAGCTTTCCGCCGCGCGAGGTCCTCCAGGTACAGGCGAGCAGTCCTCCCAATGAGGGGTTCCTGAAGGAAAGCGAAGTAACCGATGTGACGGTGACGGTCCACATCAAGAGGTTCTTGAAGCAGAAGATCGTGGAGAAGGCCGAGGCCGAAAAGACATTCGAGGTAGAGAATGGTGGCGACGATGGTGCTGATGGGTTCGAAACACCCCGGTACCCGCTGAAGCGTGTGATGAGTGGCCGGTTTCCTATCAAGGTGAACGGCGTGGACGCCCCCGACGTTCGATCGCCGAACATGCCTCGACCGCCGCCGATTCCCTCTCGCTCGCACGCCCGCGGCTTGTCACAACAGAACACAGCCGTCCGCAAACCTGGCGTCATGCCATTGACGATTGGCAATCCAAATGAACGACTGCGCTCCAATAGCGAAACCCTGCTGCAGGTATCGCGGTCGGACCGTCCTCTCGAACGCCCCAGAAGGCTCATGTCGAAACGGGCCAACGAGCTGGGCACACTTGATGAGACGCAAGCGAACAACCGATTCAGTCACTATCGTGGCCTCAGCCACGGCTCATCCATGACCGGAAACGTCCACCCGGGTATGGGATCTGTCATGAGCCCCAATAGCCCGGCAGAGCCTCTCCTACAACGACCGAATTACGTCCGCCGGCTGTCCGTTCTCCCCGAGCAGCGGCGCGAGTCCAAAATGGTTGACCCCATAGTTGAGACCGCCAAGGGCATCCTCTATGCTGTCTTCCAAGTCCATCCCATGATCCAGCTGGTCACAAGGCTGACCAATGACGGCACCGCCAAGCGCTCCAGTCTTGAAATCGTCTTTTTCAATACTAATGTACACGTCGAGGAACTGGAGCAGGAGATCATGAAACACGAAGCAGCCGACTCGGATGGGTATGCTCCAAGGGAGAACGAAAACGTGCAGAGAGCTGTCCTGACGCTCATCAATGCGTATGGCCACATTTGCTCCATCATGATGAACAACATGGATACCATTGTTAGCAACGGGGACCCCCGCTATGTCCGCACCTTGATGTTGTGTCTATACAACAGCATTACGGAGCTCAGGGTTACGGCCAACGAAATGTTCATGGGCATGCCCGGATACAGTGCAGCAGCGCCTACGGCTCGAAAGCTAGGCCCCGGAGGCACCATCAAACCCCACTCACGCGATAGTTCTGCAACGCCGACGATCGATCGACCAGGTCTCGGACCTCGGCCTCGATCTCGCAATGGCAACTTCCACAGCCATAATCCGAGCAACCTTCGGGTATCTACCGACGTGGGAATGCCCTTCATTAACGGAACTGGTCGGACTGCAACTATCAGCTCCGCGACCCCGCGCTCGGGCGAGTCCTTCGCATCCAGCGATGGCGGCCGGTACGCGGGCGACTTCTCCAACGATGAGCGCCATTTCGAGAAGATCTTCCTATCTTTGTCCAAATCGTCCGACATCTTGATGCGGACACTGCCCACGTTCAACACCCAGTTCAACGCTTTCTTGCGCGAAGCCAGAGCGCAACGGGCTCCGGAACATATTATGCAGTGTTGGAAGGCTCTGATCGGGAGGTGTAGCCATGCCATCAACCAGACCGACCTACTCAAGGGCCGCCTATCCGCCATCAAATTCAAAGAACCCGGCATTCGAACAGATCCGGGATTTTGGGCCCTCTGCAAAACCTTTGTTGATGCGTGGGCAGACTTTGGAAGCATGCTCAAGTATGCGATGGACCAGATCGCCCTTCCTATGGATATCAGAGCCCGGTTACGTCCGGTGCAACTGAGCATCAAGGAGACGACCCAGCTCATCATCGCCTCTCCATGGGTCAATATCTTCCGCAATGCTGGGCAGACGATGGACGGGAACACATACTACTCGCCAGGCCACTACACGTCTAATTCTAATGTCACCCAAGCGCAACTGCCGGTGACGCCGCAAAGCGCTGCTTTGGGGCCTGCTGTACAGGCTACTGTGCCCTCGACGCCGCAAAGCGCATCTTTTGCTAACGCGTTTTCGGGCAATGTATTCGAACGCGCCGACACCCTGTTATCCACCATGGGAGGCATGTCCATGTCACGAACCGGGACGATGGACAGCAGGACACACTCATCGTTCAATTCGATCTCCTCGATGACATCGGCTCAGGACGATCGATCCGGGCCGGGTTCGGTTCTCAGCCCGCACAATGACATGGGTCCTGCTACATACAGACGTAACGGCAACAGCGGTGGCAAGCCTGCGTTTTAGGCGATCCGCGCATCTTTGTCCCGGGTGAAATTGAGGCGCCTGTGGTTTTATCGACTCGACCCTGGTCATAGAACAGCGTTACCACGAGCCATATGGGGCTAGAACCTCGGACACATAGTCCAGAGTATCATTAGGGGCTCGATATTAACGACGGTCACAGAATCGCGACAGTAGAAAGGATGCCTCTGACAATTGAGCGCCTCTCGCGAGAGGCGCTTCTGGCCTTGCCGACCGACCTTTTGTCTAATTTTGCATACGCGAGCCCCAGACAAGATTTTGGACATGGCGGGTCAAGGTTTTCGAGATCTTTTTTTGCATTGAGGGCCGTTGCGAATGGGCGGACGGTGTCTTGACGGCGTTTTCATTCTTATTTTTTTTTTTCTCACTTTTTTGCATGGTTTGGCGGGATTTGTACACAAGACAAGCGCATAATGTTTGAGTCACGAAGCGTAGTTATCGAGAGATACCCGCTGAAATTTGGTGTATTATATAGTATAGTACGATGGGCTGAAACCCAGCGTCTTGGTAGCCAGGTATAGAGGCCATCAGCACAAGCTAGCAATGAAGATGAATCTGCTGCGGCTCTTTGCTTGCTCTCCGAGCGTGAACCAGGGTTTTCTGCAGCTAAGGTCGCTGGGTCAGTTATCACTTGCAGGAGAAGCTTGCGTCGCTTCCCAATCGCATCCAATCACCCCGCAGATCAGCCTCACGACGGCAAAGCTGCAGCCTACATAAGTTACCTAGCGCCTCTTGATTTTGGATAGGGTTCGAGCATCAACAGTCCGCCGCCTTATCTGGAAGGGCTCGCAAGCATAGTATAAATATATACACATAGCATAGGACCAGGCCCACAAGAATGTCGTTCGCGAGTGCTTCGACAGGCGCCGGCCCGGGCCTGATCTCCTCCACGCCCGCCTCCTCCGCCTCCGGTCCGGCAAGCGCCACCCCTTCCGCCTCGACGTCGCCGTCCGTGAACGCTGCCGGTGCCGGTACCGGTGCCGGCGCCCTGGCCGGTGCGGCAGGCGGCAGCAGTATTGACGACAACCGCAATGCCTCCAACACATCGCTGACCTCGTCATCCTCCCCCTCCTTCCCGACACCCGCCACGGCCACCACCCCGTCTGCGGCCACGGCCAGCCCCGCCATCCCGTCCTCCTCCACCTCGTCCTCCTTGTTCCGCACGCAGGCGGCGCCGGGGCCGGGGCCCGCATCCCAGCAGTACCACCAGCAGCAGCAGCAGCATGCGCACGCGGCGCAGCAGCTGACACCGCGCACGCCGACGACGGCGTCGACGTCGCTGACAACGAACCCCGTGCTGCACCCCAACCTGCCGTCGCCGTCGTCGCCGCAGCACACGGCGCAGGCGCGCGCCGCCCTCGTCGGCACCATCGAGAACCTGCTCGACTCGGAGCTGCAGAGCCGCGCGGGCCTGCTGCACCAGAACGCCCGGGCGCTCGAGGCGCAGGAGAGGGATGTGGCCAAGGTACGTCTTCGTGTGTGTCTCTGATGTGTTTTTCTCGGTAATTTTCTCGGCAAATTTCTGGGTTTCTATCGCTTCGTGCTACTGCGTCTTGGGGCCAGATAGTGTTCACCCGATTTCCTCGACTGACGCTGATACTTCTACCCAACAGGCGACCGAGGCGCTGCGGCGCGAGAACGACAAGCTGGTCAAGGTGGTTAAGGAGGGCAGCCGCCGCGTCCTGGAGACGGGCAACGTGCAGAACTGGGCCGAGGTGCTGGAGCGCGACTTCCTGGTGCTCGAGGACACGCTGCGCCAGGTCCGCAGGGGCGACAGCAGCGCCGCCGGCTGCAGCGACCCGGACTGCAGCGGCTGCTCGTGCGGTAGCGCCAGCGCCAGCGCGAGCTGGTCCGGCAGCGAGGCGGGTGGGAGCCGCCGCGCCAGTCTGGATCAGGGGCCGGGGCCCGGGACTGCCGCCGGCGGAGGGGACACTGTCGAAGATGTCATAGTCGGGGGCGCTGCTGCTGCTGGTACCTCGGAAGCCATGGACGTGGATACGGAAGACACCGGGAAGAAGACCCCTGAGCCGGGCGAGCGCGATGGCACGTTTGCGAGCGTGGGCAATGCGATCGCGGCCAGCATCAGCGAGGCCATGGCGACGGCTATGGGCGACGTGGCAACGCCGCCGGAATCACGGTTGCCGTCCGCGTCTCCAGGCTTGGAGCCTGAGGCCCGAGACAAGGGGAAGCAAGCAGAGAGGGTTGGCGATAGCGATGTTCCGGAGCTGAGCCAGATGCAGGTCGACTCTGAGGATGGGCACAATGGTCAAGAGGCGCGTACGCTGGGCGACACGGACGTGAAGGCGTTGGAGGCTATTGATCTCGGCCTTGAGCCAGCCCTTGGAGGGACTTCGGCGATGAAAACTATTCCAGATTCGACCGCCCATCATCAAGAGCCGGGGCCGAACATTACTCCCGGTGCCGAGGCCGACACCCTGGGTGAGGATAGCATGGACGTCGACGACCGAGGAGGCGCTGAGCAGCCAGGACAGGAGCCCAGCAGACTAGACGAGACGGCCGGAAGACAGGAACTGTCGGCTCGCGAAGCAACAGTGGCCGTCTGAGTATACCAGGTACCGTCGAGGCATCGATTTTATTGTTCTTCTCGTTGGGCTACAAGCTAAACGAGGGTTATGAGATACCAAGACGTATAAAGCACGCATCTGTTTTATGAGTATTAATTCGTTTCATTGGATTAGTATAGCTCTATATGTTATAATTGGGCAAAGCCTATGTTCGCGGCGAGCGGCGTCTTTTTCCCCCAGCGTCGTGGCCCTCTTCTACTTCAAATGCTCTATAATAGCAGGTACATTTATTCTCACTCATCACCTTGTCCCACCCCACCCTCATAAATCTTGCGTTACCGTCATCATCAACAGTTCCTCTCTTACAAGAGACCGGGGAGCATGACGAAGCGCTTCTTCTTGTACTTGTCGCCGAACTCCTTGCGGTAGGCACGCTCCTTGCCCTTGCCCCAGGTGAACATGTACATGGAGCCAATGCTGATGAACAAGGCCACGGACGGGCTGCGGCTGATGAGAATCATGCCGATCCAGGCAATGATCTCGTACATGTAGTTGGGGCAGGTGACGACGCCGAATCCCAGACCCTTGGGGATCTTCCTCTCGGTGCCGCCGGGGCTGCGCAGGGTCGACAGGTAGCGGTGGACCAGGAAGTTGGCCGTCTCGCCGAAGAGGAACAGGGCGAACCCGAGAGCATCAATCAGGTGGTCGTTGGCCTTGGCGGTGGGCGAGAAGGGCGCGTAGACCTCGGCGGCGGCCTGGACGCCGGCGACGGCCCAGTAGAAGAAGGAGTTGCGGAAGACGTTCCAGACGGGCATGGTGTTGGCGCTGAACCTGTGCACAAAGGCCGTCTCGTACTCGCGCTTGAGGAAGTGGGCCATGACGCAGGCAAAGGTGAGCTGCTGGTTGAAGGACAGGGCGGCGCTCGGGTTGGGCTCGGGCACGAAGTCCTTGAGGTAGGGGTAGACGGCCGGGTAGACGTGGGAACGCAGGCCGATGGCGAGCGGGTGGAAGAGCAGGGGGCCGAAGTACTCGATCATGAAGACGGTGCGCCAGCCCAGCTGGGGGCCCAGGTCCTTGACCAGCAGCTCGGCGTGGCCCAGGTCGGCCAGCACGGCGCGGCGGTCCTTCAGCGTCTTCTTGGTGGCCGGGTCGAACAGGCCGATGCGGTTGTGGTCCGACAGGCCGACCTTGCGGGCCAGCACGACCTTGGCATCCTCGACCGTGGCCGTCGCCGGCAGCTCGAGGGACGGCGGGAGGCGCTTGATGGGCTGCTTGGGGGCTGCGGCGCGCGTGGCATGTTAGCAATTGTATCTTTTCCCCATTGGCACAGCGGCTGGTATGACGGGTAATTGGGCTCTCACAGCGATTGGACAGCTTCAGGGTGATGTCGGCCATCTTGAAGTCTTGGTTGGTGTCGGGCTCTAACGTGACGTCTCGACAGCAAAGCTCAGAAATCTCCGTTGAAGAATTTCGTACCTCGTCAGGAGTAAACTTTCCCAGGGTCGACCTAAACCGAGGTACCTAGCGCTTGGTACAGTTAGGCCTGTGACAGGGGGGTTCAACAGTTGGGGTGGGTCCCTACCAGCTCCACGCAAGACCAATAATTCACGTCACAGAGAACAGGTGCCGTAGAACAGCGAAAACAAAGACATAAAAAACCAGGCCAGATGTTATTTCAAGCCAGTAAAAACATAGTGTTTTTTTTTTTTTTTTGGCCCAAATACCATATTCTTGTACGCTTGGACATAGGTAGGCTCGGCAAGCAGGCAGACTGACACCGGGCAGAGGCTGCTGTCGTTACCTCTGGCGACATGCAGCCTTAGGTGCTTACCTCAGGTAGACATCGAGCTATACCTCACCTTGCTCTGTCGTCAGAGGTCAAGGGTTGCTCTGGTTCCAATGCGACCGTGGTGTCATTATGGCTTCGATCGAGATAGCGCCAGCTTCGCCCGACGGCCATCTCTGCGATAGATGTGCAAAACTACGATTCAATTTAGGACCCTTTGGTCCGGGAGAGAGGCTAGACCGAAGGGTAGCTGGACTCGACACATGGCTGGCTTTGAGACTAGCTATTTCACACAACCTTATCTATCTGGGGTCTCTAGCCCCTCTCCTTTCTTATACTGCCGAAGCCCCTGGCCTTTCTATAGAACACATTGATCCCTTCCAAGGCGAATACTGGGAGAGCTAAAGCATGGCTGGACCATTTGCACAATGTCATATATGAAAACTTGTCGATAAATAAACACTACACCTGTGCGCAACCTTCGAGTGATCGATTGAAAAAGTTGCCTACTCGTTGACGCGATGCCGCATTGCCGCTACTGTGCATTATCTTACGTCTGGGGCGCGGACTCCGAAGGCCGAACAAGCACTTTGTCCGGCAGTCTGCCACAGTACTTGCCGGAAACGATTGACAATGCCACGGTGGTAACTACGGTGTTAGGGCTACAGTATCTCTGGGTTGATCGATATTGTATGCCGCAGAATGATTCGGCCCGTCGGGCTGAACAAATCAGACAAATGCATCAGATATATCACGCTGCAGAAATAACAATTATCGCAGCGGCTGGTGAGTTCCCTCATTATGGTCTTCCTGGTGTTAACCAGCAGCAGCGTCGCAAGCAACAGGTCGAGATCAATTCAGGAACAACATCTTGCTTCATACGGGCCATGGATTGAAACATGCTTTGAGGCGGTCTAAGTGGGCGACTCGAGCGTGGACGCTCCAGGAAGTAGTGTGCTCTCGACGCAGCTTGATATTCACGGATGAACAACTCTTCCTTGAGTGCAACCGCTTGCAGTGTAGCTAGAATATCCGTGGGGATTTGGATGAGTTTGATGCGCTCGACAATCAGGACTATCTTGAAAGTACGTTACTTCGCCTCGAATGGGGCACTGCGCCAAGCGCCTGTAACGTGAATGATGTCTGGAGTTATATATTCGATTATACGGAGCGTCGATTTACTTTCGACGCCGATGCACTTAATGCCATTTCCGGCATCTTGGGCCATTATCAAGACATGCACCCGATCAAGACATGCACCCGGACGAATTCTGGCACATATGGGGCCTTCCTATCTTATTACAACCAGACAAAAGCCTCGGCGAGATGATCTTCATAACACTCTTGTGGGATCTCAAGACGCCCAGTCACCGGCGTACACAATTTCCCAGCTGGTCCTGGGCCGGACGGAAAGCGACAGTGTCACGAGGCCTTCCGCACGGAACTTCTACACCGAGATTCTCACCATCTATAAAGCTAGAGTTGAAGGATGCAACTCTGGTGTGCGATGAGAAGGATCTGTGCAGCCATGAGAACTTCGACCGCATATCGCAAACTATCAGTCCATTTATCAGGGTTGAGGCAGACACGGTCAGCTAAAAATCAGATATTACTCGGATCGCTGGCGCTAATGGGAAGCAGAACTTCTATTACAAACAGCTTTCCAAGCGATTTTCCATCAACGGTCTTTGCCGCACGCAACTCTTGAGGACAATGGTCCCTTGCTTGTATCTGGCATGAACAGTACTTCCCCAAGAAGGCAATCCTTCAAAAGCAGAATCGGATAAGTTGACCTAGTTTCGCAGCCAGTTGGGGAGCAAGATCCATGTACCATCAGGCTAACCCGGCAACGGTGTCTATATAGAGTTCCCGGCCCTTCTCTGTTGCTAACGCCTTGTATATATATTAATACGTACTAAAACCTTGCGCTGGACATCAGTTTCGATGCACCGCAGCCCACTACTCGGGGTCTGGGAGGCGACAGATACGACGAGCGTGCAAAACGTGCTGAGGTACTGACTGGACACGAACTCGCTTCACTGAAGCCGCAGAGGTGTATGGCAGCACTCCACAAGGTCAAGTGGGGACTGATTTGTCTTTTTTAACCTATGTCAGGTAGTAATGGGATTCTACATCAGACTCTTACCAGTTTCAAGATGGATTGTACTTCATAGCCCGTCGTCTGACTGCCTGACAATGAGGCTGTATTGGTGTTACTGTGCGGCTGCCAGGCTAGGGGAGCTGTCTGCCTGGCGAACGCCCAGCTGAGACACGCCGACGTAAATTAGGGTTTGAGCGGACTGGTCTGAGTGGGTAGTGTCAGGACCCGCTTCAGCCCTGGCTATTTATACAAACGTACCGGACTAGCGCCACGGTCCCACCAGACAGGCTGACAGCGACGGGACGCAGCAGCGTGACACCAGTTGCCCTGTTTCACGAAACAACTCAATGTTTGCCTGATTGCCTGGCACATAGTTCGCGGCTCGGTGACAGAATGCGTACATTCAGCTGACAAGTAGACTTTTTGCTCATACAGAGAACTAGGTAATGAAACATGGTATCATAACGCCAATGCAGCCCTCACCTCGCAGGGGCCTTGGCCGACCCCCCTCTCTTTGTATTAATGTACCTCGCTTTGCACAAGGTCCTTCACATAGCCGAGTCGGTCGCGGTTCGGGTCGACGACTCGGGCGTACTCCAACAGCACCCTCCAGGTATACAGCATCATGTCCTCTCTCCTCAGTACCTTCTGGGCCCACTCCGCGCCTTCTTGCGCTATCCTCTGCGCCTGCGCGTCGTGTCCATTGAGAAAGTATTCCATGATGGCATAGATGTCCATGTAGGAATTATCAAACGGGACAAAATGCAGCCAGGGTATGAGCCGATCGTCGTGCCACTCCGTGTAAATTGTCGACTTCAGCGGGCAGCTGCTGCTGAGCAGAAAGCCCCTCCATCTCGCCGAGAAGGAATTGCCGTCAACGTCCGGCAGGTACTTGTAGTTGTATTGCTCCGACATCGTCTTCGACTCCACCTTGTGCATGTATGGCTCGATGTAGGGACAAACGAGCTTCTTGCCAAAGAGCCCAATCACTTCGGGGAAGCAATCTAGACGGCTGAACCCGACGTCGCTAATCTTATCGAGCCATGGGCCCAGCTTTCCTTCCTCTTGCGCCGACACGTTGTACATGCTGTTCTGCAGCAACTCGAAACTTGGGCCGGCCTCGGTTTCGCCCGCTTCCACCTGCGCGACGGTCGTGCCATTCATCATTTGGATGAAGCGGTGGCGTTGGAAGTGGAACCAGTCGTCCTTGTTGTTCTTTCCGCCGCTCGCGGCTCCGCGCCAGACAATGCTGTCGGTCTTCTCGCTCCACGGGCCGCCATGGCCGCTACCTCCAGAGTAGAACTCTTTGTCAGTGAGGTACATGGCGCCTGGGATCAGGATCTCGTTGTTTTGCGGAAGCTTCGAACCGCCAAACATGGGGAAGAGCTGTGTGAGCGTTCTCATATCTCCACTCTCGACGAAAGAGCCGTGCATGCCACGGAGGTGTGGCTGTATGCAAGCATCTTGGGACGCTGTGAAGTTTTCTATGAAACCGCGGTGGGTATAGTGCAGTGGTTCTGTCGGATACAGGTCGGTAACATTTTCGCCGTAATCGCTTAGGCTTTTGAACTGGCGAGCTGGACTGTCGGGCGGGCAGGTTGGTGTGAAGTAATCCCAATACTTCTTCACGTCGTAAATCCATTCTGGCTTGTAAGCAACGGGGTTTTCGTCCAGATCAGAATAGTCGGCGTATTCTACCAGCGCCTCGTGGGCTGGGAAGAGCCCGCGTGAGCGTCTCTCCGTTGCGACATAGTCGGTGATATTCTCCCAGGGCACGAGGATCCGTGACTCGTCCAAGATGTTGATCGCCATATCCAAGTCGGGTAGGTGTGGCACCATCTCCTCAAGCAGCTTCGACCACAGCTGGGGCCATCGGACGCGACCTGGGTCGTGCCTCAGGACGCTGACTTTCCCATCCCGCACACGAATCAGCTCAGGCTGCTCGTGCGCCTGTCGTCGCATTTCAAGCGGATCCATGGCCCAGAACGGATTGATGTCGTGATACACGCGGTCGAAGAACTCCTCGACGACGATTGCGTTTTTCTCCTTGGCTGCCTCGAACCAGGCGTCGAACCCGGGCGGCGGGTGACGACCTCGTCGCTCGCGATAGCGCCGAGCAGCATTCTCAACGCTCCATGACCGCTTCTTCAGAGTTTCGGCAACGTGTGTTTGAGCGGCATCAATCAGCTCAGATATCGGATGGTTATCCGGTTTCTGCCAAGGAGGTAGTGTCACTTTGGGCGTCTCCTCTCCCGAGCTGAAACTGTTCTTCAGCCATTTCGGGAGCGAAGGCAGCATCTTGGCCCCGTATACTGCATCTTGCTGTTGGTAAATGATGAAGTATATGATGAAGCCGAGTAAAGTTGCTGCAATTGCGAGGTACTTGATCCTAAGCCTCGATGCTATGATGATGCCCATTGTGATTTTGTATCCAGACCATAGGGTGTCATTGACTGATAGTCTGTGTCCTCGCCATTCACTGCGTTACCTACTGGTGTCGGTCGACCAGCGAGGTACCAAACTCTAAATAGACTTCACCGCCGATGTATTAGTCCCAATGTCAGGGAGGACTATAGTATAGCAAATGGAGGCCATAGAAAATAACAGGAGTATAGTGCTCTTTCTACTCACAATATTCTGGTTTCCAAATTCCATACCAGCTCCTACTCTAAGATGTGAGTTGGAAAGGCACAGTATCCACGCTCAGCTGTAGGTGGACAGGCTCCGAAGAAGAAACTTGTGCATGCAAGTGAGATTGTGAACGCAGCTCGTATGGCACCTGGTCAGGAGCTCAAATTGTACTCAAGATGTTCTTGGTCAACGATGAATTGTTGCTTCCCTTTTTCCTTGAAGGGGAAGACGGTGGAAAAAGGGCCATGATGGGCCATAATGCAAGGGAGATTTTACTTGGCCTCTACCGTGCCGTAGGATCCTTCAGCAGCTCCACTGACCGGCAACAGGATTTGGGGTTCTTTCTATGGATGCCAAGTGAGGAACAGACCAACATTTCGCGGATCTTTCCTTTCATATCCAATGGGGCCGAATGCTGCGCCCCCATTTGTTATTCGAGGCGTGCATGTCTGCTCGAGCCGGGGAATGAGCCGCACGGCTGTGGATCTCCAGCTGACACGCAGACATGCCAAGGATGTTGGAAACCCCCTGTCGGCACGGTTCTTGTAGCACAGACTTGGCCCAAACGTCATTCGTTAATCTCCCTTTCTCTTAGGTAAAAGAGCCCTACTGAGCTGATAAATTTGTAGTCTGCGCGCACGGATTTGGCCATTGGATTGTCACATTGTCTTGGAGCAATCACAATGGCCTTGTGGTGCGGAGTACGGAGTACAGACCCACCTCCCGAAATGACTGTGCAACCAACAGCATAAATTGGGTCGCATCCTTTCTTTGCATCCCACAAGTCAAGGATTCCTGGTAAGTTAGGAGCTTCCGGTCTGGACCCAGGCACCACTAAAACGGGACTGAGAAAATCAAGGCCACTTGACACGGACCAAGTAGTGTATATTATCCAATGAAATGAAAGAGAGAAACTAATTACTATCTAAAGTGATTCCTAATTCCTCGCTATTGCCTGACATACCAAACCAATTTAGTACTAGTTAGTGCTTTCTTTTCCTTCATGAAAGAAGGGCTGTGTTAGCTCGTCGCAGTCAGCTTTAGTGGTGATTTTTGTGTGACGCTTGAGGCAGGCTGAACAAGGGCCTTGGATGTTTTATGTTCAGCCCACGGAGTAACGTAGTATGAGCCCGCAATTGCTGCTAGCCTTGTTGTCACTGGCACTCATTGCGTGACTTGCGTGACAGCAGTGTAGCTACAAGCTAGTGAATATGCCAGGCTGAAATTGTAGATTTCGGCTCATGGCTAATTTAAAAAGCCTTTGGGTACCACTTCCAAGAGAGAACCACGCCGCATACTCTCACCAACTAAGACTATAAACATAACCTGCCAACCGGATAAAACCACACTAGGCCCAACGAGTTGAAAGCTTGATAGGATAATTGCCAAGTAACAACAATGATTGAAACAAAACGTGAAATCTAGTAACTACTTAAACCCCTTGAACTGCATCTTCCATGCGCCTAATACTATGCAAGAAAACTCTGATGAATTTAGGGTGCGATGTTGATTATCCCTGAGTAACCCGCTCCAACATCGCCCTTTTACGCGGAGGGGACTGGGTCAGGGTACGACATGTCGGTGCACAACGCCGCACAACCGACACGCGTTTCCTTGATGGGAGCGCGAGCCTCGTAGTCATGCATCCAGACCGTGTGGTCGCCGCCCTTGTCGCAGCGGCGGCGGATATATCCTTCATGAACCAAGGTCAGGTCAGAGCGCCAGGCCGTGTGGCAGAGCTTGTCGTCCCAGTTGCAGCCCACCTGACTCTCGCTCGTGAGGCACGTCTCGGCGCCGCCGCCAGCCTCAAACCCGATCTCCCCGGTGTAACCAAGGAACTTGGCCATGATGTCGGTCCCAAATCCGCCGCTAATGGAGCCGTGCAGATCCCAAGACGTACACCGTTCCCCGCTCTTGACGTTCTGGATGAAGCAGTTGCTGGTCTTTCCACAGTCGACTGATGACTCATCGCGCTGCCAGTTGGCCGCATCTATGCGGTGCTTAACCCAGAACTTGAAGTTTTCAGGATTAGTAAATCGCTGTTGTTATTTTCTCGGGTGACCATGTTGGTTACAACTTACCAGGTCAGTCCAGCAGTGTTCGCCTGTCCCCAGAAAGCCGTAGCGGGCCTCGTCCCCTGACTCGACATACGTCCCTTGGCCATCCTGAAACTTTTGCGACCACCCGCTGAACTCGCCAAACTTGTCCCAGTTTGCCCAGCGCTTGACGAGTGCCGGGTTGTGTTCATCAAACGGAACAAAGTCACGTTGGGTTGTGCTAACAACTTCTGAGGCCGGGCCACTGGCTGGTGCAGCAACGGCTAGGGCGGCAAGAAACGCCGTTGCGATAGCAGATGAGCGGAAGGAGGACATGCTGTTCAGACGCGGAGTAGTACGCAAGATATCTTTAAGCTGATATATAAATAGGCAGGTGGAAGAATACTGTGACGACAGTGCTTGCGAATTGAGTCCAGAGCCTGGGTGATAGCAGTTAGGTTTGTGATAAGAAAATGGTGTTATTGGAAACGACTAATAGAGTACCTCTGAGGGTACAGCAGCGTCTTATTTATGTACGAAGAATGATGCGACTCAAGAATCTCGAGAGAGACAATTCGGCTTTCATCAGCATCAGCATCATCATCATCCTACTCCTCATCATCAGGTCCAGTATTCATGCGCACGTATATTGAGAATTCCTCAAGCAGGCCCATAGTAGCGCCCGATTATTTTGGTCTTGGCTGTGTAGTCTATTGAAGAGCCGCTTTGAGATCCGGGGCGTGAAGCTGAAATGATTTGTGGAGGCTTGTACGGAGTGGACTAACTTAGAACCCCAGTGTCTGGGATTGAAATAGCCTCTCCGCCCATGATGATTGGGAATTGAAGTCTTGGCGAGCTCGGGACAAGAGTTTGATTTTCAGCTTCAGGATTGAATCTGACAACTCGTTGTGCCACTGGTGTTATGGTGTTAGTCAGCACGATTTTGGCTTAGACGCCAAGACACATAATAGTTGATTGGTAGCAAGGTCTTCAGTTTTTGTATCCAATCACGTGGGACTTTCATAATCTAAAGCTAACTCATATAAATTTTTAAGCGACTGAAATAGTTTCTAGGTCAGCAGACATAATTCTTGCTGGCGTCAGCACACGCCCGTTGCGAAACTTCTATTTTTGTTTCGAACTCTCCATGGGCCAAACACAACTAGACATGGCTAGGATCCCCTGTCCCATACATCAGCAAGGAGGCCTAGCTGAATAAAAGGCAAAGTCTTTGCATGTCTTTTGGGGGTTGCTCGCAGCTCAACGTCTGTTGCAACATACCCCTGCATTGCAGCACTTGCCAGTTTTAAAATCACTTGATCGTGTTGCGCCTACATAATCGAACCCTGACAGGACTTTGGAATGACGCACAATGAAAGAAATGAAGGTACTTTGTGCTTTCTAGGCCAATTATCGTGGCTTTCGAGCTTCCATCTACTGAAAAAGCTGGCTCATCATGAGCTCGTCCTTAAGGCGACTTCTGAACAAACCGCTCTCAAGGCTTTCCGTTATTGTGTGCGTGTTGTTGTATTATTTGAGTAGCTCTATGAATTGGTGCATACATGTGGATGGCGATTTAATAATTGAATCTCTCTGTTATAAACCCGAAGACGACAAAGAATTGACAATTAATGGCTCCGATTGCAAGAAAATGATTCCACTAGCATCAATATTGTACCACATGTTTGAATTTGATGCACCTCAAAGAAGACTGCTACGAACTGTAAATTGATGTTTCTATCCATCAGCACACCGAAGCCCACAGGTCCAAAACAGGCTATTACTGGTGGTTGCGCCTACAGGAAACCTTTACGACCAAACAATTGAAAGATGAAATAACCATATTTTAACACTTTGAAACCCCACAACCAAGATGTGGTTGATGGTTCTGTGCAAGACTGGCTCTTAACAAACTCATAACCGAATACCAGCGGCCAAAATCTCAAGCGACATAGGGCGGAATACTACAGGGCCGCATGCATGAACTCTCTAAATCAAAACCGAGACTTGTTCAATGTGAAGGTCAACCCTATGCCACATGCCCCGTATCGGTTGAAGAATTGGTCGAGGCATCAGAGCGCCCCTCGTTGCATTTGGCGCCTTGATGGCAAGAGGGGCCTAGGCCTAGCTTTTGTGGCAGGTCCTTATATGCTTTAATTGGCATCATCTTGATATCAATGATTCAATTTCTCTGCGGACCTTAACTCCAAATCGTGGGAAGGGAATTGTCAACTTTATCGTCCTGCGAAGCTCTCGCAGCTGACTCCGTAGTACATGAGGTATTATAGCTTTTCAAGGACTCGCGCTTACCAAAGCCGTCGGCTGGACAGCATTATAAGGGAGCTGATCCACGCTGAGAAGACGAAGCTGGTCAGACGATTGGTCGTACTCGTACGAGGTGACCTGAGCGCCGGCGAAGTTATAGAATGCGTGCAGATCCCAGGCCTAACCAAGAAGAGGAAATGGTGTGTAATTTTGGGGAGTTGTGATTGGCTGTTATGGCAACCCATGCGGCCGCTGGTGTAACTCAACGATCCTGCACTGATAGAGCAGGCTTCCTGCCTACGTGCAAAAATGTGGACAGCCGTTCGGATCTCCCGTACCTTTGATCAAGACAGTGACTTTCAACCGTTGACGATCATCCCCGCAGATAGTCATAAACTTGCTCAGTAGCCGAAGTGTTCATGTTTATTTCCATTGCCACGTGCCAGCGTGCATATAGCATCATGTTCTGCATCATTCGGAGCTTATCTGATGTAAGCCTGGGAGCGACAAACGTGCCAAGGACCACAACTTGTGTAATGGTGCTCCACTTCGGAGCCAATATTGGTTGATCATTCCACTTTGTCCATTGGCGGAAAGCGTCTTACCTGCATATCTCGATCCTTGGCTAATGAATGAAGTTATCATCTGCTCAGCAGTCATCCTGGTAATACACTCCACTGTAGACCGCGTGTGGAGCCCGTTTAAACCATATAATAGTCTCGGTAAGTCTTGCCTCAACCATCTCTTCAAGCCCTCCCTCCTCGTCTGAACTCATTTTCCTGGTTTTCATCTAACAACTGCTTCCAGCAGTGATAACTCACAATGACTTCTGTTTCAGCCTCTCATGAGGATTGGAGAGTACTCTCATCAATAGAGCAAGCAAGCCCCAGAGGTTACCCTCGCTACGTAAGTGCGACAACTCTACGACAGTTAGACCCTTGTGAAAAGAGATCCCCATGCTAATAGCAAGCATAGCTATTTCCATTCGAACTCCAGGATAATTACAATCTCGAAGAGATTGTACACGTGCTGAAAACAGGGTGGGACGCTACTTGTCAGCGCTTTCCCACCCTACGCGCTGAGGTCATACCGGATCACGACGCGAAACAAGCTGGCAACCTGAAGTTAAAGGAGCTGGATGAAGAGAGCTTGAGGGATATCAAGCCAATTGTAGTGAAAGACCTCCGAAAACCAGGGGAATTTCCTTCCTTTGCCGATTTGAAGTCTAGGCATTTTCCCGTTTCGGCGTTGGACGAGAATCTCCTAACACGCCGATATACATGGCCAGCGCCAGGTGAGCGTATTCCGATCATCTTGATACAGCTCAACTTCATACAAGGAGGGCTTATCCTCAATTGGAATCCGTTCCATGTGGCTGGCGATGGCAAGACCTTTTACACGTGGACCGAAGTCTGGGCGCAGGAATGTCGTCGCGCTCAGAACATCGCGATCGAGAATCCCGTCCGGCTCCCGGACGGCATATTTGCAGATAGAGCACACGTCATGAATCCTAAAGCCCCCGGTTCAAGCAAAAAAGGGAGGCTTGAGGACCATCCTCAGTACAATGTAATGACTGACCCGGTGAATCAGTTGCAAAAGCTGTTAAAGCCCGATGGCCATGTTGGCCAAATATTCTACTTCTCCGAAGAATCTCTGAAAAGGCTCAAGGAAGATGCATATCCGTATGGCTTAACTGACGGTGAGCCGTCCTACATATCGACCAACGACGCCTTGTCGGTTCTTGCGTGGAGGTCGGTCATGGCGGCGCAATTTCCCATCCAGGATATTGAAGGGGATCCTATAACAGCTTTCACCCTTTCGGTCGATGGACGCTACCGTTTGGAGCCGCCCATAAACGCTGGAACACTCGGCTGCTTTCTGGTGTTCCTCGAGGTGAAAACGTCCCTGCAGAAAATGCTGGAAACTGAGGATGTCGGCCACCTCGCAGTTTTGCTGCGCAAAGCAATACTGAATGCCAATAACTACCCGGGAGGCTTCACTAATGATATGATTACATTGGTGGACCGCTTAGAGAATCCTGCTCTACTCGTGCCTGGTGCATTTCTGGACTCCCCTGGTCTCTGTTGCTCTCAGACAACCTGGGCTAAATTTGAGCTTTTCGGCCTAGAATGGGGGCCTCTTCTGGGCAACCAGATCAAGGCAGTTCGGAGTCCAAGATGTGGTATAATCAATGGCTTGCAGGTTGTATTGCCAACATTACCTGACGGTGGTCGTGAGGTTTTATTCGGCATTGAGGAGAGATGTCTCGAGCGCCTCCTCAATGATCCATTGCTGAGGAAGTATGCTGAGCCAAGATAATGTTTTGGGGCTGGTCTTTGGTCTGCTTCTAAGCTGTATCATGGGGGCTGTAAGTGATATGATCCAAGAGAGTGACAAACACAAATCGTTCTGCGCTTCCAGATATATCTCAACTTTAACTTTTCTTCACAGTCAAATTCATTTAGAGCTTGCCTCCAGCACCACGCCTGCTCAGTGAACTTTCTCGCATGTACCATCCTATTATCAAGGCTGTGCCCGGCCCTAGACAGATCGTCCCGACTGGAAGAGTTGCAACACAGACTATCCAGTGACCTGCCAACACCCCCGCGTTGTGGAGCTCGAAGAAACTAAACGAGAGCCATACGAACGATGCAACGAAAGTAGAAACCTCGTCCGCTTGAAAAGCCGTCCTTGTGTGCAAGATAAAATCTGATTGCGCATCTACTGGGGGGATAAAGAGTGTCGACATGGGGTACGGGGAGAACACGAGCGTGTAAACCCAAACGGTACTTGAAATAACACCCAGCATCAAAAGCAAGACTCTGGGTGACATAAAAAACAATTTTTCGTGGCGCCTTTGCTGGAGCACTCGTCGCAGGATGAGGAGCTTGGCAATCCCGATCCATAAAGGCGCCATTTGCCAATGCCACGTCCAGTAATGTCGCGTGGGCAGATCTGGTGCCAGGAACATCTGGAACACTTCCAACGTATGCAGAACAAAGATGATAGCAAGCAAGGGCAGACTATTCTCGGCCCACACAGTCCGAGATGAAACCGGCAATCGGACCAGATCGAAAGCGCTAGGACCGAAGATAATGCATAGGAGATAGTATATGTGAGCGACAATACCTATACCAGAAAACTGTGCTAAAACGTAAAAATCGTTGGGCTAGTCTAAGGTTTGGATGAGTATTTATCCCGTTGGCAGCGTAGAACTTATTGGCAGACTTACGAGTATGCTGGCGTGAATGCATTCGCAGAGCGGGTAGACTCAAGAAGCCAGATTGCATACAATGGGCCGAGGTCAATGAGAAACGAGAATAATTGCCAGGAACCGATATCGTCGAACCCCAAGGAAGATGGGCCAAAGGTGACTGTGGCCCCTCGCCACAATTGGTTAAGAATTTCGATCGGATAGGCGTTGTCGATAATAAGGATGCTCCCACTATTCCATTCGATGATACTAGATTGGAGGAACGGGAGCTGTTGTGCGATTATCTTCCCTAAATCCATGGACTTAATGCACCAAGCTGACAAATATGCAAACACCACTACAACCAGAACGAGTGGCCCGTAAGCTCTTGAAGTTGACATTTTTCAAGTGGTCAGCCGCGAAGCGTTCCGGTATAGTCGCCGCGTAAGTGTGAGGAGAAGAGCAAGATGACGTGGGTATAAAGTCTCCGCAGCATTTTGAGGTTATTTCAACAACAGCGCAAAACGATTATGATGCGGCACGGTTGGCAAAGAGCCTTGGCGGTCTGCTCATTGGTCGCATCGCCAAGTTGCATCAGGTCCATATTGGACAAGGGCTTGACCTAGGTCTCCACTTGCTGTGCCGGACATATCACGGGCGTACTAGCTTGTATGTACTTCAACAGTCGATGGGCTCTCCATCAAATACCCCTGATGGATTATGTGCATGAACGTTATTGGAAATGTGATGTTCCAACCCAGTCGATTCCGCCGTCCACTACAGAACAATATTGAGCAATTAGACATTTACTACTCCATGATCTTCCGAAATACTCAGAATTGAATCCTCGCAGACAGGAGGTGGCTAGACGAGAAACTTGTTCTGCTATGGTCCTGCATTCTAATGGTCCAAGATGACACCGCGCCTTTCAATGTAGTTGAGGTGAAGATATAGTATCCACTTGCATCGATCGACATGGTCTTCCACATAACGAGGCTTGCCGCTATAGATGTTGCCAAGCCATGGTAATTGTTATGGTACACTGGCCAGTTACTCACACCTGATAACGAACCGAGCAGTCGAACCCAGTAAATAAAATAAGTTGAGCTTTCGTCCTATTCTATGCGGTGGAAATGTCTACCTCGAATTCATGGGTACTTTCCACTCCATTCTTATTCTTTTAGTAGCCATGCAATTTATCATAAGTGGAGCAAGTTTGTGCCATCACTCAGCCGGACCTTTCAGAAGAAAACACCGCCGTGCCTACATTGACCACATTGACCATACTAGACAGTTTTGGAAAGTATTCTCGCACAAAGCACAGGCACTCCGTTTCCTAGAGCTGGGGGTTAACGAGTATAGCCAGAAGTCACTATTTGTGTAGTCTGAAGTTGGTAAGGCTTTGGTTCCCAATAGGGTTAACGGCAAGGGGATGCTATTATAAAGGGAATAGAAACTTTTTTTACCCATAGACAGCCTCCAAGGGAATAGCGCAGGCTGCTCTATGAAAGTCATAACCAGGGCGCCCTCTTCAAGTAATGAGCCTGCACAGCCATAGTGCGGCTGAATCTACCCTTAGCCCATTGCGTGGAACGCAAGTTTTACTTCCATACCGCCTGACCACAATCGGAAGTGGCAGTGCAAGCCTCATTGCGCCAGGCTGAAACCAGCTGAGCGATAAAGTGTGAGTGCCGTGTCAAGTTTCCGATATGCCTACAGACGTGATAACCCATCTCTTTTCCACGCGTTGAAAATTGTCGAAAAAAGCAGACGTGCCTTATTGGATTAATATCGAATTCAACTCCATCGTCGAGTCACTACAGTGTCATCATGTCTACTCAGGCGGAGACAGCTCAGCACTTCGATGACGGCAAATTGAAACTGGCCGCCAACTTCACCTCGCAGATGGCTGCCATCACGGTGTCAACAATCACCTGTGACCTGCATGAGCACTGCGACGGGAGTTGTAGCGGGGGCGAACCTATTCTATTCCAACCACTACAGATTGGAGCTTTTCCATACCGGTCCACCGTCCGAGACCGACCAGTCTCCAACCTCCCTCTTGTCCAGCCGGAATCCCCGCCTTTGCCATCAGAAGAGTTTCAGTACACCCCCATTGACTCTGCTTCAGGTCAAATACGCCTGATACATCTTCACAATGGGGTTTTCAGATCAGATACTATAGTTCTCGACTTGGTGACTGTCAACGTTTTTGATCCTGCCTGTCCTAACTTTGGCGCCTTATCGTATAATTGGGGTGAGCCCAAATTTGATCAAGGGATCGTGTGCGACGGCAAGCGACTCAACATTAATGCATCCCTCCACGAGTGTCTCAAACGACATCGCCAGGACTGGCTAGAGAAACCCGAGTTCCTTTGGGTAGATGCCATATGCATCAATCAACAAGATACAACGGAGCTTAACCAGCAGGTACTCCTCATGGGAGACATATATCGCGGCGCGGCAATTGTGCTTGTGGATTTTGGTGATGTAGCGAAGGAATGGTATGTTGCCTACGATTTGATGCTTCGAATTCGGGTGATTAGGCAAATGCTCGATGAGCGCGTGGAGGATTTGGTCAGTGATCTTCTGTTCGAAAGAGTCGGCCTGCCAACATTCAGCCATGTCGCGTGGCACAATTTCGGCGTTTTGTTCACTTCTCCATGGCTTGAGAGAACATGGACTATCCAAGAAGTGGTCCTGGCCAAGGATGTACGATGCCGTTACGGACGATTCAACTTTGAGTGGGACGTACTTGTGTCGGCATCACATTTGATGGGGTTGCAACGAACATCCGCTATCTCCAGTCTAACGACCAAACAGATGATTGGGTTACTCAACCTCGACCGAATTGTTCGAATACGTCTCGAGTTTCGTGCCCGTCGTCTTCGACCAATGCAGCTGCTATGGCGCACCCGAGACTGCATGGTTTCGAACCCACGAGACAAGATTATCGGGCTATTGGGCATGTTGTTACCTTCAGGGACTAAGACCAAGTTCGAACCGGACTATGGTTGGCCGCTCGAGAAATTGTTTTATGAGTTCGCGAGATACGTCCTTCGGGAGTATCCTTTTTCTGAGAGAGCAGCATTGCTCTCTTTCGCTGGATTACAAAGAAGGCGCGTAGGGAAGGTTGATCAACCTCAGGCAGATATGCCCTTACCATCATGGGTACCAGACTGGCTGGCGAACGATTCCGCAAGCGCTGCAGTCTACTCCATCATCCGTGAGGCCCCCTTCAGAGCAGCTAAGGGAACAACCCCAATCATGTATGTCATGGGCGAGTACGGGACTGATGAATGTTACATCACCCAAATGGGATTTCGTCTCGGCCGTATTAGCCACCTCGGTCTTTCTGCAGACGAGCTGAACAAAGAGGACGAACAGGAAACCACGACAGACGCTACACAGATTACAATTGAGACCAAAGGTAAAATTTCAAGTATTGGAGACGCCAATATTGCTGCGATGCGAACCTTGGACATCAAGTGGCTTCAGTGGCACAATGAAGCTGCTCGTACAGTGGAGGCGGCAACTGCTGAAGGGAAATTGCACCGCTATGAGGATACCCAAAGCGCGTTTGCGATTACCCTCTTGGCCGGCGATCAGTACACTGACACCAACGCTACTGCCACGACCGTGCCGATAGAAAATCCTGTCAAATCACTCGCCGCAGTGGTGGCCGATATCTCCTCGACTGAACCCACCCTAGGTCAGATTGCGAGAAACGCTGAAAGTTTGTACAAAACTCAGACTCAAGTCGCATGTCGTGATCGAAAGATAGCCGTTACCGATGAGGGTTATATGGGGCTCGTGCCGATGTGCAGCCAAGTCGGGGACGAAGTTTTTCTACTCGGCGGAGCTTCTGTTCCTTTCGTTCTGCGCCGGCGTGATCCAGCCTGGAACAAGTTCATCCTAGTGGGCGATTGCTACATTCATGGTGTAATGGAAGGTGAAGTCATGGAGGGCAACTCCTTGGACAACTGGACCCCTATGCTTATATACTAGGTGGTAGTGAAATATTCCCAAAACGAAACAAGTGAGCAAAAAGAAGATTCACACGAGATTCGGTGTACAGTTGTCCAGACCGCTCATATATCACACGAGAGATCTAATTGATTGGTTGACCTTAGCAATAATCCAGATCATTACTCTAGCACAAGTTTCTGCAGTAGCGAACAACAGAATACCCAAGACTAATGAACAAGCATGAGAACGGTAACACCAAGTAGAGGAAAGTACACGAATAGGCAGTTCTAGCCACGACATGGAACGTATCCCCCACGAGGACAACAAGGTTACGCATATTCGCCATGTATAGTACCTATGTAGTTACACAGGTATGTATGAATTTATGCACGTAAATGGCACGGGTATCAGGTGAGTATCGCTCCTGAGGCCCGATAGGTAGGTAGATACGACCTAAATGGCTATAGGTACACGCCCAGAGGAGGAGGGGAAGTGGAAGATTTGACCTAGCTGCCTCGGATAATCGGGTTGCTACTCAAAATGCAAGGCCAATTCCAACAGCGCCTTATTGACGCGACATGTACCCTGCAGGTCTACTGGCTATATCACCCAGCCTTGCTCGGGAAGCTGCAGATGACAGGCACCAATCATGGGCCGACGTCGCTCGATGGTCGGCCGGTCCGTCCCCACCAGCATCTTTTCCAGCGCATCTGGGCGTCGCGGTCCAGGGCATGGCTATCACCCCGGCAAGCCGGCGATCGCCCTGCGCGGCTCTATCCGACGCTTGGCCGTCTAGGGTGGTCCAGTGCACCAGTTCGAGATCAAAGTCGGTGATAACGATGGCGATTGCAATCATGATCTCCTGTTTTGCCAAGTTGCGGCCTGGACAGGTGACATGACCTCCACCTGCACAGCACACGCACAAAGTGTCAGCTCCGTGGGCAGCACAGCATCGTCGTTGGTGGCGAGATGGAAGGGTGCATGCAGAGATGGATGAAGGGACGCATGGATGGATGAGCCGACGCATGGGTCAAGAGAATGAGGATAGAGTCTTACCATAGGGGGAGAAGGAGCTTGGTCTGCACCACCGCCCATTGCAAACAGCGCCATTATTGTGTGTTCGCATGCATGGTTGGATTGTGCAGGCAGCCGATTTGCCTTATAAACTCCCGTAGGACCGTAGGAATTGAGGTCTTTGAACCCGGAACAATATATAGTACCTGTAGCCACTTCTAGTCCGCAAGGCAATACATGCAATAATGCTAGCTTCTAAGGATGGGCTACTAGGGCCAGGCTGCAATTTCCTAACCTGCAGCTATCACCTTTTGATAACGTTAGACAGTAGAAAGCACGTGGCTGAGGAGGTACAGTACAAGAACTTTACGATGGATAACGTAGAGGGACGATGTGCCTAAGATCCAGTTTGAGCACGGGGTACTCATTTGGGCAGTACTATGTAAGTTAAGGCCGGTCAAGACTCAAGCTGTCCTGAGCGAGGCTGAACCGAAGTTGAGCCTAGTTACGTTTCTTGAGAAGGGGTGAGGAATTGAGGTAGCCGGAACGGGTTGTAGTGGGACTTTTCAATGGCAGACTTGCTTAGTTTTTGGCCAGTCCGTAACAGGTCGCATCGCATAATGTGTACGACTGGGTTGAGTTAACAAGAATGAAGAGGTTTGGCTATCGTCCACAGGCTCAACAACTGTCCAGCTTGGCAATGTAGTTGAGAATGGCGTTGCCGGGTTAAGCAGCGATCCTTGGCAAGTGCGGCTGAGTCCCCGTAGCCGATTGCGGACCTTTGCGCAGCGCGCGATGGCATCGATTCCTGGGAGGGGACAGCGACCATTTGGCCAGTAGCGCATAGTCATCACTCTGGTTATCGTTGGCTTAAAGCGCGGTTCCACCACCACCAACTCATCATAGCGTATTGCCTGCCCCTGCTCTATAACTCGTTGATTAGGACTAGTATCGTTGTCCCTTTCACCACTTCGCCATGAGCATCGCTGCGACTTCAGCCTCGGCACACCTACACGAGACTACAGACGTATCTGAACTCACAGTCGACGGCGTAACTCAAGATGATATTCTTGCTAGACATATACCCGGACAGGCCGCGGGGCGCTTGTACGAGCGCCATCTGTTGCCCTCAACAGCGACACACATTCGTCTACTCGAGCTTCGTGTGGCCGATTCGGCAGCAGCTTCTGAACCTGGCGCACCACCACTTCCCGAGACTATTGTCTGTAGCCTCTTGACCACCCCCATAGAATCGCCACAGCCGTTCAAGGCGCTCTCGTATCATTGGGGCACAGATGACAAGACATGCTCACTTGAAGTATCAGGGAGTTGCGTTCGCATCACCCCATCTCTTGACACAGCTCTCAGATACGTCGCAACTCAACAGGAGACACTCTACCTGTGGGTTGACCAGATCTGCATCAACCAGGAAGACAGCGCCGAGAAGTCGGACCAGGTCCTGCTCATGACAGACATATATAGCAAAGCAGAGCAAGTCCTTGTCTGGCTTGGGGAGACAGCGGACAGATCGGACGAGTTAATGGACCTCTGGCGGGATATTGGCCAACAGGCTCAGAGCATCGGCTTGGAGGATTACTTCACCAAGGAGAAAGTGTCTCGAATGCTGGAAATCATGAATAGCAGATCTGTGGACGATCCCTTGACTGAACCGTACCATCAGATCGTCGACACCGCACGGCCTCAGTTTGAGAAATTGTTGCAAGCGATCATCGACTTTGATCAGAGGCCCTGGTTCCACCGTGTCTGGATCGTTCAGGAGGTCAGCTTGTGCCCGAACACGGTGTTTGTTTGTGGTCACAAAACTGTCCCCGTCGACTATGTAGTACATACAAATCACATCTTCTCGACAGCCATAAAACAATCTCTCAAGTCCGGCCCAGACATGGGGTTCCAGCAGCTTGCTCTGCAGGCTCTGTCGCCCCGTACGGTTCCGCTGCTCAGTACTCGACGTCGCCGACAGAGGTTCCAGAATGGGGTTGGGGACGGGGATGAGCTTTTCCATCTACTCAGAAAGCTCTTCGTCGAGAGCGACACGAAAGCTACACAGAGCCGAGATCGCATCTATGGGCTCTTGGGACTGGCTGTCGACTCTAAGGACCTGGCGATCAAGCCAGACTATTCTACAGCAGACCCTGCATTGGCCTTCACATCTGTGGCTCGAGCTATGATCCGGAATGGTCGAGTAGAGCTCCTGAGCTTCTCTCAGTTCCCCAAAGAACCTGGGCTGGAGAACCTGCCAACCTGGGTACCGGACTGGCGGTCTAACCTCTTGCCATCCTACTACGTCATCTTCGAAAGCGCAGAGGATCATCTTCTTGGTGCATCTGGCAATACCAAGGTTTCTCTGGCGCCGACCAATGAGCAGAATATTCTCGGCATCCGTGGGTACATCGTCGACTCAATAGATGAGGTAGGATCTGCATGGGATGCATCAGGTGGCAACGCGTCCTGTTTGGCGTTATTCAAAACACTCGAGGAACTCTGCCGCAAGTCTGCCGCCGTAGGCGAACCCATTTACCCATCTGCATCGAGACGTGCCGAAGCGGTCTGGCGCGTTCCAGTAGGAGACCTCTACTGGACCCCCGAGACAGACTATATTCGCGCCAGGAAACCGCTTGTGGAAGATCAATATCGCGACTGCCTAGCTGTTTCCGAGATCGTTGTGAACTGGGGAAGCATGTCGGCAGAAGAACAGAAGCCGGCCATGCAGGAGATAACTTCTCGGCGATTTACATCCGGACGATACAAAGAGAACATGAGCGGAATGAACGGAAAGAAGCCATATGTCACTTGCCGAGGGTATCTGGGCATGTGTCCTGGATCAGCAGTTGCAGGTGATGTGGTCGTCATACTGTGTGGCGCCCGACTTCCTTATGTCTTGCGTCGCCAAGATCAAGGAGACAGATGGACTTTCTTAGGTGAGGCGTATTGCGATGGGGTGATGGATGGGGAGATAATGGGACATCGAGAAGAAAGACTGTTCAACATCGAATAGCTTGATGTGTTACATTCCATACTACAGGAAATCACTACGCTGAATGCCTTGAGGTTTTGATGGGGATGTATGATTTCGATTGGGAAATCATCCGCAGAGAGTATTAGTACTTCTTTTCCTCTATAGTAGCTTTCTATGTGGCTAATTAGTCAAGTATCTTCCATTGAGGTCCAAATCTCTTCTTGTAATCATTGTAAAACCACAAACTCCAGAGGAGCCCATCACCTTCGTCCTGCACGGCTCCGGCGCCAATTTCAAGGTTGCCATAGTATTCGGAGTCAACGTGAATGGTGTATGCATCTTCGAAAAACTCAACATCGCAATCAGGATAAGTCTTCCGTAACAGCTCGTCGTTGTCTAGTGCTCCGTGTTTTCCTGGTCTGTCGCCGCTGGCTCTCCTAGTTGGGATACCTTTGATTTGTATTCCCCTAAGGGCAAGGTGCTGGAGCTTCGAGAAACGGTTGCTCTGCTCCAGAAGAAGTCGTAGTATAGATCTGCAAAAGAGCACATCCCCACGGTCAGGGGCGCTCGACAGGTTTTCGTTTTGTAGCTGGCGTCGTGAACCCTTGTACTCTGGAAATGGGTCACCGTCGCCGACACTGTCCCCTATATCTATGGGAATGCGGTGCTCAAGAATAAGCTCTTTCAGCGTGGCCCCAACACCTTCGAGGAGGAAGCGCCATTCCATACAGAGGACCTGTTCGTATTGGTGGGGAATTTGCCTGAAGCTATCATGCGCATCTCGGGCGGTTTCGCCGGTATACGGCTTGACCAGGTGTAAATGTGTGAGGGCTGTTAGCTTCGATGGTAACGACCTGGGCAGCCAAATCGCCCCATGCATGACCAAGGGTAGTTCGTCGTCGTCAAATTCTTCGTCATCACTACCTGCACCATCCACTCCACTGTCCGTCTCTTGCGAAGCAGATTCCGCCCTGTCCAACTGTGTTGACATTGCTGTAGCCTCGGCTCCATTGCGTTGATAGTGCTCAGCCTGCTTCTCTGTGATGGGCACTGAGCTCTTGTTGGCGAATAGCGTTTCCTCGTAAGCCGCGTCATCTGTCGGTGTTGCCAGTATACCTAGATCAAGGTACTTGATACGCGCAGCGTTGTTGCAAATCTTTCTGACCCAAGCTGCTGAGAAGTACCCACGTAGCTTGAGATTTTCAAGCTCAGGCAATTCCGCGTCTGGTGCTGTCGGTGCATGCGCTTCCCTCTTGCAAAGCCCAACAACTTCGAGAGATCTCAAGCTCTTTAAACTCGAAATCATATCCATTACTTCGGCATCGACACCAATTGACATGCACAGCGACCGTACGTGTTGTGCTAACTGACTCCAACGCTCCTCAGAAACGAGCTTCCGGACACGCATCAGCTTTTCCTCCCTCGTGAATTGATTATTATTCCCACTGAAAGATGCCGCCCTGCTTTTGGGAACAGTATATCTGCGGTCCGTCCTACGCTCATATGAATGCTTCCATCTAGGCGGATTGAAGCTACACTCAGAGTACTTGCGCTCCGAAGGCCCAAATATCAGCTGTTTGTAGGGATATGCGGGATCATCAGCTAGCTCTCTTGCCATACGTTTGGCAGAATCTCCGCTTGTGAAGTCGCTGATCTCTCCTTCAATATCGATGCCCTCGTGTGTACCGCTGTGGTGCAGTTCGATCTCACTCCAAACGACAGGCGTTAGGAGATGATTGAGGGCCTTACAGGTACGGGCGAGTGCTGCTTGGTCCGGAAGCAGCAGCAAGGAGACGACCTCCCGGAACAACTCATGGGGAATTGATGCTAGATTTTGGACCATGATAGACTACCCAAAACAAAATAGCTGGTACAGAAGAAAAAGAGAATCGAAATTTGCATTCAACACCAAGTAAATAGACAGACCCATCGTCTGTTCCTGCGCAAAGGCTAGGGCGTTGCTTGATCCGTGCACGGAATACCCGGCGGTTGCATGACTTCAATCTAACCGTTTCAGGTCAGCTTGAGCTTGAGGTTTTAGTGACCGTGTTACTGTTAGCTCCCTCTAGCATTGGAGCAACCCAGCGTAAGCATGCTCCTTCAAATATGCAAGCGAAGCCCCGAGAAGGATCACTCGCGAGGAGATCGCCGAGATTCTCTGCGCCAGATCAAGTCACGTCAATCAGCGTGAAAGCGGCGGACCATTTTGCTGTTCTGATTGACATGTGCCAACAATGGCTGATAGCCTCCTGCGCAATGCGGCCACTACGACTTAAAGTAAGCCGTGAATGGCCACACAATCGGTGTTCATCGTTTTATGGAACATTATATTGGGTAATGTGTCTGTGTCTTCCGCGAGTGTGCGCCGCACCGATGGCTTCGGCTTCGGCCCGGCACGGCCCCGGCCCCGGCCCACTTTAACGGCCGTGATCAAGCCGCACCCGCGCCGCCATCCCGCTGAAGTGTTGGAATCATGATTTCCCAAAACGGACACAATCAAGCAAGTACCTGCATGCCACCAAGCCAGTCTCATCCACATGTCTGGACAGTCCTACGACCAGTTGGCACAACAACGGCAAGCTGATTTGCTGCGATCCAATGGTCGCTCCAATCAATGATGCCATTCCCGAGGGACCCCTGCGTTGATCCCGAGCTTCGCGAGTGGATGACGTTGAGTGACGCTTACTGAGATCCGGGCGCGACGCGACCACGAATAATGTAAGAGAAGCAATATAGTAGGAGAGGAGGTGTAACATCAAACGATATATCGTTCGTAATCATACCACGTTCGTCATAAATCCTTGAAATCCCTGGCCTGACTAGGAATCCCACACGCGCGCCAACCTATAAAACGCCCAACTAACTCACTCCGATGTCTTGGAGAACTCCCATCTTAATCCATCAATCCAGCAAATCTCTAGCTAGAAGCGCAAGAAACACATTCCACCACCCAGCATCCAGAGCCGCCGCGCGAGCACTCAGCACGACCAAGATGGCGCAGTTCCCGCCGCCGTCCAGCGATCCGCCCAAGAAGGAGATGGTGTACTTCCCGGGGATGCTGACGGCGCTGCCGTCGCAGTCGGCCGAGTTCCGGCGCGTGCTGCACACGGGGCTGTACTCGCAGCTGGTGCTGATGACGATCCCCGTGGGCGGCGACATCGGCGACGAGACGCACACGGTGGACCAGATCCTGACCTTCACGTCGGGCACGGCGCTGGCGCAGGTCGGCGGGCGCGAGCAGCACGTCAAGGCCGGCGACCTCGTCGTCGTGCCCGCCGGCACCCGCCACCAGTTCATCAACACCGGGCCCACCCCGCTGCTGCTGTACACCGTCTACAGCCCCGCCGAGCACAAGCCGACCACGGTCCACAGGACCAAGGAGGAAGGCGACAAGGAGGAGGAGGAGGGCATCGACGAGGCGCCTGAGTGGGCGCACAGGAGCAAGCAGCAGAATGAGAAGGAAGGCTGGGTCAAGGCGGAAGAGTGAGCTGCCAATGGCAGAGGCGCAGCTGGTATGCCACCTTGGGCACTTATGCGGTTATTAGCATTTCAATTTTTAATTTCAATAGAATTTTCAGCATATACAGCCTGAACTCACGGTTGATGCCACATCGAAAATCGCCGGCAGCCTGAGTGTCTCAAATCACCTACACTGATAGTGACCCTCGCCATTCATCCCTCATGAGTTGACGCACACAACGGCTAGGGCCGGAGCAAAGGAAGACAACCAGGCTGATGAGCCTGCAGAGCTAAGAATGAAGGCGGAAGAGTAATCAGAAGTCGAAGGCAATATTCAGAGTGTTTTGCAGCGCGAGTCACAAGTGGCAGCACAAAGGAGTCAAATTATTGTTCAGAGAAAGTGTTTGTATTCTCAAAAAAGGGCTTGATTTTCGCCCAATCTATCGGTCTAATCGCGAGCAAGTCCGAAAAAAAGGAGTGCTGCTACCGAGATGGTATCTTTCCCTCCTTGTCATGAATAAGAAACGCCCTTCGTAAATGCAAATGCCAATGTGTGTGTGTTCATGAATTTTCTCATCTCGTTTCCCCTGTCCTATTTTCCTGCTGCCCTTTCGTCGTGTAGAAGTACAAAAATGTGGTGGATGAAGAAGTAGAAGTGAATGTGTGGTATAATATGTACAAATGGAGCTCCGGGCTCAAGGGTGCACAAAGAATGGTGCGTAAAGAATGTGTTCTTGTTCAGATCCTCCTCAAGATTGATTTCCACTCGCCCGGGTGGGCGCTTAGATAGCGCGGCGGACGCGGCTGACCTGGCGGCGCTGCATGGAGAGGGTGTCGGAAACACCAGGAGTGCAGGAGGTGCCAGCAGCCAAGGGGATGGCGGCGGACCACTGACCAGAGGCGCAGCGCTGGAAGCTGCTGCCGGAACACGAATAGGCCCCTTCTTGGCTGCAAGGTCCGCTCTGCGCACCTGAAGCACCTCCAGTGGGTCCACTAGCCGGAGCACTTGAAGGCTTGCTAGCAACTACCGATGAAGTTTGCGTCTGGAGAGTGCTTGGGACCTGCGTGGGGACAGAGCTTGAAGCACCACCGGCAGGGACAGTCAGGAAGACGCCACCGGGAGCCGAAGCACTGGAAGCCGGGGCAGTCTTTGAAGGGGCAGCCGTCGTTGAAGCAGCAGCCGTGGTCGAAGCACCTGAGCCGGAGCCTGATCCCGATCCCGATCCCGATCCCGATCCGGAGCCGGCAGCGACGTCCTGGCCGGTCTGGCAGTTGCTGGCAGCACCACCGCTGGTGGTGACCTTGTCGACCTGTGCGCCGGGGTCGGGGTACAGGACGTCGATGCCCTCCTTGACACAGAACTCGGACTTGCCCTCGAGGTTGGCGACGAACATGGCAGGCTGGGACTTGAAGGAGACGGCGCGCTTGGAGGTCTTGGGCTTCTCCTCGCGCTTGGCGCTGCCGCCACCGATGGTAATGGAGGCGCAGTTCATGTAGAACTCGCGGTTGCCAGTGTGGTTGATCCAAGTCCAGCCCATCAGGACCTTGTCGGCCGTGGGGGTGTCCTCGGGCACGGTGAACTTGAGGCTCTTGTCGGTGGGGCAGTCGCCCTCCTTGGAGTAGATGACGGTCCAAGTGCTGCCGGAGTCGTAGCTCAGAGAAATCTGGCACGAGCCACCGTTGTGGGCGGCGCCGCCCTCAAGGGTGACGGTCTGCTGGGAGCCGGGGGCCCAGGTAGCGACGGGAGCACCCTCTGCGGTGTCGAACACGCTCAGCGCGCCCTTGCAGGGGAAGGTGTCCGGGGTGTTGGGCGAGGTGATACCGTAGTCGATGTCCTTGGCGTTAGGGTTGCCCTTGTACCTCAACGGAGGGGGGTCGGCAACGTTCATGTGAGCCGAGGTGGTGGCCGCGAGGGCGGCGACCATGAGCGAAGCAGTGGTGAAATGCATCTTGGCGAGTTTGTACTTTGTGTATGGAGATCTCGTTTGATCAATGATAGTAGTCAGATAGCTAAACCAGTAGCTGAATTTGGGACAGATGTCTCGGGGTGAAGCAAAGTCTTTTTGACTGCGTTGACCGGACAAAGAGTCGTGGAATGAAGGTGTTGGTGAACAAGTCGATTGTTCAGAAAACTCCTGAGTGAAGGATTGTGGTGAGGTAAAACCTCAAAGAATGGAAAAAGAGGAAGAAAGGGTGGTGAAACGAGCAACCCAAAGAATGGATGTGTGTGTGAGTGATGAAGAAAGGAAAGTCGATTGTCGAGGTTGGACAAGGTGATATTTGTATTCGAGACCCATCTCCGTGAATCTGGCGCTGGACGCGGGCAAAGACAGCCGCTGCCAGTAGCTTAGACAGGAACAACGCCCTTGCCCCCCCTTGTGATTGACTCGTCCCCTGCCATGGCCGCCCTCGTAGCCCCGGCCTGGATCGCCGTGAACCTGACCTGCCTGACAGCTTCATGTGGGCTTCCAAGCCGTCGACTCAGGACTGTGAGTTGTCGACGACGTCGGGTCCCTCTTTGTCTGGTGGGGCGGTCGGAACTTGGGAGGGGCTAGAGGGATGCATGTCTCTACTATGACCGCGGCAGGGCCAGGCACGGCGCTGGGATTGGTTGGACGGCAGACAAGCATAGATCTGGAGTCAGGGGTGCACACACCAGTGATCTTCGCAGCAGGGACGGAGCAGAAGACTTGTAGCCTGACTCCTGACCAGACGGCGCGGCGGGTCCACGGGTGCGGCGAATGGGTGGCCAGCATTGACGACGTCGCAGTCACCCGGCGCGCTGCAGAGCCTGAGGGCCTTCCATGAGAGGTCGCAGCGGGCGATGGAGCCCTGGAGCCGTGGAGCCCTGGAGCCGGGGGGAGGGGGGCAGCAAGGGGGAGGGATTCCACCGGCTGCTAGAGCCCCAAGGGGGAAAGGGGGCGCTGCAGCCGAGCGCCGCAGAGCCTCCGCCACCCAATCAAGGGGCCCCGGCAGCGCATCGTACCTGACAGAGAGGCGACCGCCAAGCTTTGCGCCAATCCGCATCGGGGCGGGCGACCAGCCGACCAGGGACAGGCATTCCCCAGCGCAGCAGGGGGGCAGGCAGACATGGGAGCTTTCGCCTTTGCCCTTTTTTTTTTTTTCTTCTTCTCTGCAGTCTGGTGTCGGCATGGGGCGCGACGCTGACGCTGACTAGTCGCAGGCCGGCTCACGATGAAACGCCCACGAACCCCTATGCGGGAGCGCCCAGCACACCGTCTGGAGGCCGTCCGCGCCCGCCATTGGCCGGCCGCCTGAAACGTCGAAACACGACCAATTTGCCGCGCTGCTATACGATCGCCCGCTAACCACCCTTCCCCTACTTGGCATAATAGTATGCAGATGCACACCCAGCAAACGACCACCTCCCCCCGTACGTGCCATGATATGCCCCCTCCGTCTGAAGATATGCGATGAAAGAAGAAGGTGGCCCCTGGCTTGCTTGGGCTTGGGCTTGGGCTCTGCTTGGATTTGCTTGCGCCCGTCGATCAATGGATCGTCCCGACTGGAAATTCTCCTAAACTCTGCCAAAGTGGGCTGTTTCTGCTCCGGCGCCTGCAATCCCTATCATTGTCGCCCGCTGCCGCCCTCACGATGCACCCGCAGGCCATATGAAGAAACAACAATAGCCGTAAAGTGGGTGCACACCCAATGGCCTATCGGCCGCAATGCGACGGTGACGCAGAGTGCTGGACCGCCATCCATCCATCATGCCCTCCGAGGTCTAGGTCTGTCCGAGTCGTTGCTCACGTTTCTTGTGAGTCGCTCACGTCGTCGGCCGTTTGCCATGCGGACGCTACTGTACCGTTTGTACCGCATGCAAGTGCATGAATTGCTTAATCCCCCAGGTGCGAATGCCATCTCCAAGCAGAAAATCTCCTCGTCCTAAACTCTATCTCACCCTCCCTCACGGCTCCAGCTTCCAGAATCCGGCAACGCTACCAACGCCCGAGCCAGGTCATCCCCGCTGGCCGCCGCACCGCAAGCTCCTACGAGCTCCAGGAGAGCTCCAGGACCCCCCGGGATCTGGCCGAGTCGGCCGAACACGCGGGATCCACCTCCTGCTCAGCCCGACCAGGGCTTTCCCGGGCTGCCTCTTGCTGGGGGCATAATTCATGCACCACACCTAGGGCCCCTGTCTCGGCTACAGTACGAACCATTCTCTTTACGAGTGGCAAACCGCGAGGCACTCTCTCCCTCTTTGTCGACTTTGGGAAACTAGTTTTGACTTCTGTCAACAGGCCTTCGGTCCTTTGCTTTCCTGTTTGGTACGCAGCCATCTCCAGGGTTGTCCCAGTCTCTGTAGCCCCAGCCAACGAGTAAGTCGGCTCGACGCCTTTGATGGGGCTTGATGCAGGAACAGAAGTCAGTCTCGCGTGGCATCACCCAAGGCACATGGACGCACTTCTGCCACAGTAGGCGACTTCTACGTGCCTTCTAGCTTCTGTTGCGACTGATTCAGGTCTATCGTGTGGATTCCTGCTTTACTTCAGCACTCGTCATCAGCCTCCCAACCACCAAACCGAGACGCTCTAACATGGAAGATATGCAAATAGAGTTTGTGGTCAAAAAGCGGCTGACCTAGCTGTCCAGATCCTGCTCAATTGACTCGACGTCCTGGCTACCGTCATACCTGGTCCCAGGGCTCGGGCAGTGTCACTGTACCATAACCCGTTGGGTCTCGTCCCTTGGGTCACTTCACGCAAACAAAAGACGCCGTGACATCAGTATAGATCTGAGTTACTACGCTAAAGAGCTATCGAAAAAAAGGACAGCTCAATGGCGCTGAGGCGTGACTGCTCGCCGATCCACGCTATTCTCAACGTCCCCCCTCATCCCCATAGCAGTAGTCCAGACGGGCCGCATGACTAAGTGCAGCGGCCATGTGATGGGCAGCTTTAGCCCCCGGACCTTCTAGACCTCCCTCCTTATGCTCCATTGCCAGTCCAGGACCTCGACAAGATCCTGCCTGCTCCGTGAAAGACGTGTGCTGTCAACCCTCTCTTGTTCTCATGTCTTCCATTAGCGCGCAGTGGGGTATTGACTTGTCTGCCCCTCAAGTCAAGTATCTCAGTACGTGCGGAGCTTGTGACGAATCTGTACGAAAATATCCTGCCCCAACTGATAGGTCACTTCAGCACATAGACTAGACCGAGGATATGTTGACCCGCGGACACTGCCGTTTTGGGCAGTCTCGCTACCAGAGGTGGCTACCACGTGTGCCGCCGGATGAAGTAGATATGCATCAGACGATGTCATAATGCCGAGAGACGATGTATGGCCCCGTCAATAACCGACGTGGTGACGGATGTGTGCGGCTCAGTTGAGGACCGAGGTCGAGGGCAGGAGACACGGGCTGACGCCTGTATCGACAAGAGGTCTTTGCAAACTATGTTGAACTAGTGAAGAAATCAGGTGCGCGAGGCGCGGCGCCGGCGAGATGGGACAACACAAGTTGTTGCCCACTCACTTGGTCTCCTCCGTTGCATCAGGAGTACGGCCTTGGGGACCGGAAGGTATCTGGTGCCCGCCTTGTGGGCCTTGGTGTGGGCCACCGTGACCTTGGAAGTTCTTGAAGTTATTGCTATTGTTGCGATGCTGTGGGTGTTGATGCATCTGCTGCGGGCTGGTTCCGAACTGCTGGGGTCCGGGGTTGTTGTATCCACGCATGTTGTTCACTTCAAACAGACGAGTCAGTATTGTCTCGGTTTGGTGGGTTGCGTTCTGGAGAACTTACGCTGTCCAGGCTGCTGGGGAAACACTGGTTGCTGATATTGCATCCCCGGACTCATGCCATACATAGGCTGTCCTTGCTGGGAGCCTTGGTGGACCATCATTGGCGCCGCGGGCCGACCCGGACTGGGATAACCGTTCGCACCCGGCATTGGTTGCGGTGCACTGGCGCCAGGAGGCATGAAGTGCGGGCCGCCGGGGTACATCTGCATCTGCGCCGCAGGCATGCCCTGGGGGGTCATGAACTGAGGCTGCATCATCATAGGGGTCCCCATAGGCATCTGCTGCTGGGGCATGTACTGTGCGTTGTTGGAGAAGCTTCTGTTGAAGTGGCCACCCATCTGCTGAGGCGTACCGGGCATGAAAGGCATGCCATTCTGGTAGGGCATCTGGCCGGGATTGTTCATATTAGGGGGGTATGCGACGGGAATTGCGTTGATGCGCGGGGAGGAGAAGGACTGGGACGAGGCTGAGTGCATCATTCGGTGGTCATCTGCTCCGTTGAAGGGTCCGTGAGGCATGGGGCCATGCTGACCAGGATGCATAGGAGCAGGAGGAGCATGCGGTGACACTCGGGGCGTATTCTGGGCACCCTGTTGCAGGTGGAATGGGAGTTGATGTTGATGGGCCAGCTGTGGCATGACATGAGTAGGGTTAGGCGTGGGTTGAGTCGCGAAAGGCTGTCGCTCAAAGTACTCCATGTATGACAGGCGCATGGTTGACTCGGGCTTCTCGTCGTCCTGAGCCTGACGCCAAGTAGGCGGGGTGTCGAATGAAGGCTTGATCCCATCGTTGTCCGCCCAGTTCTTGCCCTCAGGCTTGGGCTGTGACTTGATGTGGACAAGAATCGAACACTTCTTCGTGTCGACGGCATTCTTCTTCTTCTTGATGACGACGACTGCTGCGGCAATGGTGCTACCAGGACCGGAGTGGGCGTCGGCTGTCTGGTTCAAGGCGGAACGAGGGCTGGAGCCAGCACTTGGGTGGCCGTTGGGAGTGAAGCTCGACGCGAAAGGGCTCGGTCGGAATTCGTGGCTGTTGGGGTTCAGCTTGTTGGCCATGTGACCAGGCATCGGTCCTCGGCGCATGTATGATGGGTCAACATTGGCCGGACCCGTCGGAGGCTGACGCATGTCACCCATTTTCTGGTTCTCGGCGTTGCGGTGGATACGCGCCGCGAGACCTTGAGTCTGCCGACCTGCGGGTCCCATGTGCGGACCGCCGTTGCGGAACTGCTGGTAGGGCTGCGGGACGAAATTCTGGCGACCTCCGGGATGGCGCGAAGCAGCCGGAGCAGGCTGAACGGGGGCTGGAGCGCCGGCTGGGCGAGCTCGATCGGTGGGTGCGCCCTGCGCGGTGGTAGCAGCCGGGCCATCTTTGGAAGCCACAGGCTTCTTCTCTTGAACGACCTTCTCCTCCGCCTTGCGACGCAGACATTCAGCAGCATCCCGAGAGGCCTTCTCCTGGATTGCCTTCTGCTTCGCCGGATCCTTGGCAATGATTCCAATGAGATCAACAGGGACGGGGGTCGGCAGCTTGAAGTTATCGGCGAACTTCTTCAACTCGATCAACTTGACTTCCTTGTCCGCCTTGGCCTTGGTGCTGCGGGCCTTCTCAGCATTGGTCCTCTGTTGGCTGGCAAATGCCTTGAATTCCTTCAGTACATCTTTTTCGACTGTAGACGTAGCGCTAGGAGCGGCAGCCGCTTCCTTTCCTTGAGGCGAGATGGTACGGCTCGTGGCGGCAGAAGGTCGCAGCGGGGTCGACGACTGCCCCGAGGCCTTTGCATCGGCGGGCTTCTGCGCAGCTTCCACCTTCGGCTCGGATTTATCCTCGGATGCCTTAGCTGTTGCTCCCGCTGCTGCAGGAGTAGCGCCCGTCACTTCAGTGGCAGGCGCCTGGCGGGGCTTTGCGTCATCAGCTTTCGCAGCCGGCTGGTTCTTCTGCGGCTTCAGCTGAGACGAGATGATGGCAGGATCGATAGGAGCGCCTTTGACAGTCGAGGCGCCGGTCGGAGCTCTACGGGCCGGGGGTGTGTATTTGTTGTCTCTGTTGCCGCCAGGAAGGGGTGGGAAGTCATTCTGCTGTTGACGCTTGACACCACTGTATCTGTGAGGCGGATTCAGCATTAGCATCCGGCGTGCAAGGCGCACAGTAGAGATACTTGGTAAGGTTGACTTACTTGTCTTCTTCATCACCACCATCATCTCCGCCGACGAAGTCCATGACTCTCTCTTCAGCCACGTGTGAAGTGCTGGCCACACTACGCTCGATCTCACGAGCCTTCTTCTCGGCGGCAGCTATTCTTTGATGATATTGGGGGTGGCTCTTGTTGATCTGTGTCGTGTACATGTTCTCATCGTAATCGGTCTTCAGCCCGAAAAGCTTCTCGTTGGCGGAGAATTGGTCCCAAGATGGCTTGGTGCCGGACTTCTCCAAGCTGTGATCGAATGTGTCATCCGTGTCGGGCTGCCATCGTTGCAGCACACGTTCTCCGCCGGCGCGGTTCGCCGAGATGGCGCTGTCAGTACGGAAGCCGCCTTGGGGCACCAGAGTCAGTTTTCCTTCCACGTGACACGTGCTCATGGCTGGGAAGCGATCTCACCATTCTGAGCCTTGCCAGACATGGCATCCTTCTTCTGGTACGCCATGTTTGGTATATCCTTCTTATTAGTTCCGTTCGAGAGGGCAGCGGCTGTCTTTTTCGGCTGTACCATCCTCAGATGGCAGTCGTCGTAGGGGAGGATCCGATGGGGTTGGCCTCCAGGACTTGCGCCGGTGAGGACGTGATCCGAGCCTAATTAACCCTGATTGACTGGCACGTTAGCTCACGCCGGCGACCTAGGACCAATGTGAAGGGATGAAGACGGCCGCTGCAGCAATTGACGAATGCGGATGTAGAACAACGGGATGGCACAGGTGGGCAGCCGTTGGGAAGGTGGAATCCATCCCAAGGGGGTTGGAGACGGGATGAATGAGAGCTGTGGGGAGATGCTTACCTCGTGGTTGAAATTATGCCACCTGCTTGTCTCTCTCAAGAGGACAAGCTGTTGACGGCGTGCGAAGTCGGGCGAGGTGAGGGTGAAATTTGTGGCCGATGACCAGGCCCGGGTGCTGCTCGGTGGCAGGAAGGAAGTCTTTCGGAGAGGAGCTAGCCGTCAGCACATGGGAAAAAGAAAGCAACAAGATGCGCTCAGGCGCGCAATGAGCGTGTGAAGGGCAAAATAGAAGAGCAGCAAGCTGCTACAAGAGGCGAGGTTCGCGAATTACCAGAAAGCGAAAGGGGGAATGGGCGGCGATGAGGTCGGGGTCGGGTCGAGGTTAGGTGAGGTGAGGTTAGGGATGGGATGGGGGATGGGGGATGGGGATGGGATGGACGGGAAACCTGGGTAGGGTGTACAGTGTGGTGTGTGTGTAGGTAGGTAGGTAGGTAGGTAGGTAGGTAGGTAGGTAGGTAGGTAGGTAGGTAGGTAGTGTGTAGCGTGTCGTGCAAGGTATGGAGGTATGGAGTGCAGTGTGGTGGTGCGGCTTGGGTCTGGTAGAAGCTGGTGCTGGACCGGAGCCAGTTGCTTGCTGGTCTGGTAGTCTGTGTTCCGTCTCTGTCTGTCTGTCTTTCTGTCTTGTCTGGTCTGGTCTCGGGTGGCTTTGTTGACACGACCAACCCCGACTTGCAAAAGTGCGAGCGACGGGATTGGATTGGAAGGCGGCGCCGGGGGAAAAGTGGTCGAGGTTGACGGGCCCTTTTCGACGGGATGGCAGTGCCAGCCAGACAAGAACAGGACGACCCCAACCCGAAGCAAGACGCAACAGCGACCCGGACAGCAGCAGCGCAGGCCAGGGTTCGATTGCGGTGCGGCGGCAGCAGCAGCTGGGGACAGCGGACCAGCAGACCAGACACACCGGCCACTATGCTTCTATTCTTACTGTGACGAAGGGGGGGGCCAAGCCGCAGCGTGAGAGAAGGAGATGGGGGCACTGGGGCGCTTGGGCACCTGGATAGGCTAGGGGGGAAGATGGGAAGAGGTACCTTGGCCGGCTTGGGGGAGTCGTGGATGGGGGATCAACGTGCTCAAGTGGTGGTGTCTCACCTCGGGAGAAGGACGACAAGACGGGACCCTCTGATGTTCGGAAGCTGGTGTCTGTCCTCCTGTTGTCTCTTTCTCTGTCTCTTTATCCCCTCGGCGAAGTCTGATTGCCCTGGCGCAAACAACTCGGGGTCGGCGAGCTCTCCTGTCGTCTTCCAGCAACCGTGTCGTTAGGAGGTGGTGTCAGAGCTCCTTGCGCCAGCGGATCAGGAAAGGCACGGTGCGTGAGTGGATGGTGTGTGTGGGAAGTGGAGAGAGGCGGACGAGGTGAGGTGAGGTCGAAATCCAAAAGTGAGGGTTCACGCCTTCCCATGCGCAGACCAGCCGGCGCCTTGCCCAAAACGACCGGCTAGCGAGGAATGGGGGGACTGGTCTGGTTGACCCCGTACGTGACCAGGCCGGGGTGCGGATCTGACTGATCGTGTGCGCAGAGGAAACAGCTGGAGCAGCCAAACACCCAACGGCGTAACAGAGCAGGTGTAGACTCGAGGTCCACGGGCGTGTCCACGGGCGTGTCCACGGATGGCCTCCAGCGTGCAGCACCTCTACAGTTGTCCAGTTGCGGGCGACAGATGGGGTGGTGCTGGATCCATGCTACTGGCCCGTCTCGATGGGAAAAAAGCTTGGCCTGTGGTTGGAGGGCTGCGGCACGTCTCAGTGGACACTGCAGCTGTGCCCTCCAATTCCGCAGGGCCCATGTCGCCCGGGGTAGCTGGAGGTAACTAAGGTAGCGGGTGCGAGAAAGCTTGCCGGCGACACTGTGTCGGGAAAGCACCACTCCTGGCATTGTAGGCTGGTGAATAGACTCGTGAGCTGACGAAACTGATGATATCACGGTGTATACCAAGATGCTACTGCCATGCTCGGCTCCCTCCGCCGGCTGGGCATTGAGCCCCGTATGGACTGGCTAGTATTCCATGTTTCTTACGCCTTGCCCGACCAGACGCCCGGTCACGACGAGACCAAGCCCACACTGAAATACATCAACACCTGCCCCACCCGTGCTGTGGTAACATCTGGTCACGTCGATCAGTTGAGCATCTACAGTATTCTCCCTGTTGCATGCACGACTATGCGAGTCGTCTGTTACCAGCATCTGCAGAGCACGTCCGTCTTCCCAAACTCTCGTCCCCGTGCACGGTATCAAGATATTGCCGACTGTGTGCTCCGCGCCCAGGGCAGTGCTCTCATGTTTCGGTCAACATGAGGCACCGGGTCGCCCAGGCCAGCGGGCGGAGCCTTTCCTGCAGAAGTCATCCCTTGGCATTTGATAACTTACTTTGGGCCTTGCATCTTCCAGCAACACGGCAGATTCCTCTCCGTACACAAGGTCACAGGAACGGGAGGAAAGGACGCTCTGGGTGAGTTGGGGGTCTGCTGTTCGGCCTCCAACCTGGAAGACCTGCTGCTGCCGCCGCCGCCGCCCCCTCGAAACGTTTGTTAAAGATTCCCCCAGAACATCAGCCGCTTGTGTCCCCGAAACCTCCATTGGGGGCCCTTGGCCCTTACAGAAAGTGTCAAACGGGGCAGCAGAGATGTATGCATGTTTCTGATTTGCGTATGTGTAGCTGAGAGGACACTAGTCACATCGCCCGAGGCATTGAATGTCATTTGATTGACCCAAGCTTTGGTTCCTGGACCCAGATTTACGCCTCCACTGTAGCTCCAAGGCTAGGAACGCAGCAGGAAACGTCAACGACTTTGGCGCCAGGGACAGGTTGACGATATGGTACTACTTCGTTCTACCGATAGAGAAAACAAACAATTGCGTCAAGCCAGCGCACCCCTATCACACGCATCATTCAATTCGGATCTCTCGGCCTGCTCAACCATAGTCACCTACATACCAACTTATGTAGCTGCTCTTCCCAATCCTCGGGAGATGTGCTAGGGTCGCACAGTATGTGACACATTGTACGGCCGGCCAGGAGACCGTGTCGAGCACACAAAGTTGGATGGGTGGAATGGCATTTCTAGAGTCCAATCTCATCCATTGCTGGTGCGCCTCCAAACGGCATGTCATCCAGTCATCCAGTTACGAAAGCAGACCAACCACATGTTGCTGCGAGATTGTTGGCCGTCTATAGCGTGCTGGCCAAGCTGGGCTCTGTATTCATCAGTTGTCTCCATCCAACCTGACCCTGATTTTCGGGGCACCCTCTAGACGGCCTAGGGTGACTGGATCCCGCATCCCTGCTCTCTTTGATTGAAACTGTGGTTGTCGGAGTCTGCAATCGAGCGTGCTCATACCACGTCACATGCGGAACTGTCAGCAGACGGCTGTGCCATGGTTCTTTTTTTTTTTTTTTTAGATCTGCCACTTCTTTCTAGTCTGTGGCCTCGAAAGTCTCGAGCCTGAGCCATGTGCGAGCAGTTCTGTGCTCTGCAGCTTGGATGCTTGTCAAAAAAGGAGAGATCCCTGTCGGATCTGCAAAACCCTAGCCCCTCCATCCCACTCCCCGCAAACGACGTGTACACCCACTGACATTTTGGCATCACGAACGTTGAGGTAGAGGAGGTGTCCTTTAGCTCTTGCCTTCGAGCTGCAGTCTTAGTGACTGAACGGGTGTTGATAATGCGAGATGTGACTTCGAAACCCGCCATTCCCTTTCAGATATATTCTAAATGCTTGGTAGCCCTCTGGGCAAGACTAGGCGAGGCTATAATTACACGAACCAGCCAGTATTGGGGCATAGAAATCGACGCAAGCAGCGAGGCCTAGATATTTGTCACTCGAGGCGATGGAGTCCGGTCGCAAGTGGCCCTGGTCGAAAAGCTCGCTATTGAGCGTGCCTGAGATTGTCTTCGTGAATAGTCACCGTGGCTAGATCCTCTGCTAGCCAATATTTCGCCCGAGCCTCCTTTTCATGAGTAATAATAGCCTTTGGCAGGCACCGCGTATTTTAGGGCATACGTATACGCATCGGCAGCAGGGTATATTGGCGCCAGCACATCCGTCAACTCGATGGTGGCTGTCCATGCAGAAGATCGGCGGCGGCTGTCAGCAAACCCCGGACTTGTCCAAATGGGACTTCCCGTCCATCGCCGATCAGCGTTCATCAACTGTCGGAGGGTGTGGATTATATGCCGACTTGGAGCGCCGACGGCGACCCCCAGTTTGTGATATGCTTTTCCAACATCTATTGCCGTCCACAAACTGTTCGAGTTTCAGGCAATCTGGTCTTATTGAATTCGACCTGTTGTCCCTTTTGTCAGTCCGATCCAACGGGCACTCAATCAAACAATATGCCGTACTGCTGAATGCCGGTATAATCGACGTATAGTGCTTCAGGACGAGTATCAACCAATGGTTAGGCCGGAAAGAAGCCATATACAGATCTAATGATTTGAAACCCCGTTGTCTGAATAAGGATCACCGGCGGGATCACCGGTGTCGGTAGGAAAAATTAGGCATCTTCATATTGGGTGATTGATGTTTGTAATGGATAACTGATGTCTCTTTGGAAGCACATTGCTATCACCAAGACTACATCATTCAATCTCTAATAAGTGCTTTGGGAATGCTAAAAGGAAGAGTTATATCGGACTCATGCGTTACCAGAAACCCACCATACGCCTAGACACCAGCTCACGCTACTACAACACAAACCGTCCCCTTTCAACCCCAGATCAGGCTCCTCGCTTTCCACCAGCCATGTACAGCCAGCCAAGCCAGCGGGTGAAGCAGCACCGGCGTTTCTGGCTTGAGGTGCTCCATTATAAAGTCAGGTATGATGCTGTGGATATCGTCGCTGAACATCCACAGCTGTGTGACATTGTCCGTGAGCCGCTGGTACTTCTCCATGCGAACCCACATGTCCTCCTCGAAGTCCGCGACGGCCTTATCCAGCAGCTGCTCCCGGCCGCTGGGTTGCGCGCCACCGCGCGATGCTGCCCCGACGACGGCCCGCGCCAGCTTCCTCGCATCGTCGAAGGCGAGGTTGACCCCCTCGCCGGCGAACGGCGTCATCAGGTGCGCCGCGTCGCCGATGACGGTCACGCCGGGCCGGTGCGCCCAGCGCCAGCCCACGGGGAGCATGTACAGGTTCTTGGGATCGCACTTGCCCCAGGCGCGCTCGACGGCGGCGCGGAGCCGCGGGTCCCAGCCGTCCATCTCGCGCAGGATGCCGGCCCGCGACGCCTCGAGGTCCCGCGGGTCGTACCCGACGCTGTCGCCGTGCGACGGGTCCATCCAGTTCTCCGGGCGCTGCGCCGACCAGCCGACGTGGAGCGACCCGCTGCCCAGCTGCTGGACCGAGAGCCTTTGGTGCCGGTTGCTGCTGAACAGGTTGCCGCCGCGGACCAGCTTGTGGAGCTCCGGCGCGGTGGTGGCTGCGTCCGGGATCTCGAGGAGCGTGTATCCAACACCCGTATGCTGTGGTCTGATGTCTGTCAAGTAGTTCCGGACTTTGCTCCATGCGCCCTCAGCTCCTACGATCAGTGAGAAGCCCGTAGCTGTGCTGCCGTCGGCGAAGACCAATGTTTTACTGTTTTCCTCGTCTGGAGAACCCTCAATACGCAAGAGGCGGCGGCCCCATTTGATGGTCCCCTCTGGCAGAGACTCTGTAAGAAGTTTTCGCAGGTCTGACCTGTCAATCTCGGGGCGTTCCATGTTGCTGCCCTTGCTAGGCCCAAAGGTAAGCAGGGTCTTGAAGTTCTTGTCGGTCAAGTTGTAGTAGTCGCCATCGTAGCGAGCATGCTTGGTGAACTCGTCGAAGAGCCGGGCTTCCCTGATGGCGGCCAGCCCGGTCTTGACGTGCAAATCTAGTGTGCCTCCCTGGGCTCGGTAGTCAGGTGAGATGTCGCTTTCGTAGATGGTCACCGGGACATTGGACAGTGTCAATAACCTGGCGAGCATGCAGCCTGCTGGACCGGCCCCTATGATAGCAATTGTGGGAGACGTCATGACTCCAGGTAATCAAATGCTCAGAAGTTAAAGACTGTGCATATGTCATGGAGTAAATGGCACCACGGTGGAGGTCGAGATGCGGCTGAGGCCAGGCAGCAAGTCAGATGCAGCCAGTAGATTCTTAAGCTATCCACTGGAACAGATTATTTCCTCAGTAGGGACTATTCGGATTTGTACTATTTTTCTTTCATGCTGGCGGCGAAAAGCCTTCATATAGAAACTCCGGCTACACAGTCAACGTCAGTTGTATAACTACACCCGTAGCCTGATTAGGAAAGGTAGCACTAGCGGGCCGGCATGTTGAGGCTGGCGATATTCTCCGGTCACTTCGGACTCGGATCCGGGTAGTACGGGTAAGCTGCGCCTAGCAGCCAGCTGCCTGTTGTTCAGTCCCGGTATCACCGCAATTAGTTGTGTGAACGACATAGCCAGCCATGTCTACCAGCAACCTTACACACGTGGCCACTGCTGGGTTGCCAGGTCGAAAGTCTACAAGATACCTTCTATGAAGAGACCGTCCATTGAGGGACGGCAATCCTATTCTCATGAAGCCGGACTTTGCGTCTCGGATTACGATCGAGATCCGTAGTGTGTGGCTTCAACAGCAACAATAACGTCAAGCGCCACATTCAGCGAATGGAGAATGCCAACCGAAAGTCTTTCATGCCAGGTTTTCAGACTATGAGAGGAAGATTGATGTGCAGAAGTATTGGTTTGCCATTGAATTCAGCCATAGCAGTTTTGGTGTGTCAGATGGTGGGACATTTAGGCCATTGCTGACAACGCCCATCGTCAGAGCTAGATGAGCAGCATAAGACAGCGCAAAGCACGGTCGACGACGACACGGGCCTCGTGAAGATGAGATCGACCGGAAGCTCTGCTTATAGCACCTCAGCGTGTATACACCATTCACCAGATCCGTTAGCATACTATGTGTAAGCAGCCAGGCCAGAATAGATGCTGTGTAGATATATGTATATATATATATATTCACAGGCGACACGACATGATGCAGTCAGAGCAGGGTTGGCGCTTTCCACGCAGCAGCAGATGAGGTAAGACCAACCCGAACGAACGGCTCGCGATGGCTACATGATACGAGGAAGGCGTTTTAGTGACCTCAGTCTGAGAGCGGGCACAAAAAGTAAGCAATGCGCCTAAAGTTGAGCGTGGCACCCATGGCGGCAGGGCAGGTGGGCAGCAGGGGTCAGCACAAAGCCAGCCCAGCGAAACAGACGGCCGCTTGGAAGCATTGGATACACAGCAGCTCGAAACATTGTTTGAGAGCACTGTTGAATGCGACTCTCTAAGTTAAAGCTGGAGGAATGCACGTGCTTTCCCGGCCGTTTGGGGTTAAGCGGAGGAGAGACAGACATGCCCACCAGGCCCACGATTCTGTTTTTGGCCTTGAGCAAGCGTGCATGCACCCCTGGAACGTGGAACTCGGACCCCCTACCGACCCTCGACCCTGTCCGGGTGGGAGTGGCTGCATGGCTTGAGGTTCCAAGTGTTCCCAGTGGAGACAGACGGAGAGAGAGAGCAAAGAGGAGAGCCCTGGAGCGTGCAGAGAAGAGCAAACCAGAGCAAAGAGGGCCGTTCGTCCACGGTCCACGTTCACACCCTCTGGAACCTGGATGTAAGCCACGCATTAAAGCCGAATACTGCTTGGTATCTGGGGCGGCGACCTGTTTTTTTTTCTATGTCGCGGCGGCAGAACTGGACGGCAACCGAACAGGACAGGACAGGACAGGACAGGACAGGAACAGGACCCGAGGACTGGTCCGACTGAACTGACCCGCTAATCCTTCTCTACACGAACTAGCCTCACCTTACGTCCACTAGCAGCTGCTGGAACCTCGACCTCAACCCCATAACTTACCATCCGTACCTATCCGCAATCCCTCGAGCCACCCGAGCCACCAGTGAACCCGACTGCTGCCCTGGGTCTTCATCGTCCCGAGCGCCCTCTCCCTTTGATTCCCGCCGTCCATCCCCTCGTCGACACGCTGCGGCCAGCTGCAATATCTCCAGGCGAAGCGAACACTCGGTGCGCGTATATATGACGGGCTGGGGTTGGGCCGCACCAAGGCATTGACACGACTCGCACGCTACAGCGACACGACCAAGGACCTTAGCATCATTTCGCGAGAGGTGAAACTGTAGCGCCCGCAGTCACAGGAGCAGGACGGAAAGGAGAAACGCGTCGAATCAACCGGCGACGATGCAGGCCCCGAATCCATCCCAGCGCTCGATACAACGGCGGTCTCCCGCAGCAGAACCCCCGGGGCCGCCTCCACCGTCCGGTGTGCCCCAACGACCAATGTCTCCAGCAAACGTCCAGCCCAGATCGTCCACGGCCTCGAGCAGGTCCGCGGGCTCTAGGCGGAATGTAAGTGCTTCCTGCTCATTTCCTGGCCTCCTCGCGCCTCATCCACGCTCCCCATCGTCTGTACAAACACCAAAGAACCCCCTCCCAAACCCCGAGGCCCCGTCACTCGTTCATCGCGCTCGCCCTCACCATCCCAACGTCTCTGGCAGACCAAGATGCGTGCAGACGTCGAGAAACTGGTCGCTCGTGCGCACCACCGTGAGAAGTCCTTGTCGCTAAAAGTAAATTTCGACCAGCAATCCAATGGCTCCGGCTCCAACATGCCGCTGTCGCAGATCGAGAAGAGCGTCACCCACCTGCTCGTTGCAACGAAACAGCTCCTCGAAACCCTCACACAATGGTCCCGAGGCCAGGCCACCGACACCCAGGTGTCCGATGTCTACGTGAGGCTGGGCTACGAGTTCAACATGGCCTGCCGGGCATTCACTGCTATCAACGTGGATACCTCAGACCTAGGGAACGTGCCCGAGTCTCTGAGGCATATTCTCGAGGCTACTCTGAGCCAGGAGGCTAGTTCTGAGAGCCTAGACAAGTACCTGCCGAGGATACGTGATATCATCATCAATCTTCTCCACGGTCTGAAGCGGAAGCAGCAGAAACTACGGCAGAAGCAAGGCCGCGAGAAAGAGGGCGGCGGCTCGCCCGAGGGTTCTAGCATCGCGAGCCGCACCATGAGCAGCAGTACAGCCGGAAGCAACACCACTGGCCTCACGAACCTGCTGAACGAAGGCATCGACAATACCTTTAATGGCGCGCGGGAAAGCTCCGGCTCAAGCTCTGGGACCGGCGCCCCGTCCGGCGTGAACACCTCCCCGAGTCGCCGAGCCCAACACAGGGACCAAACCCAGGCCTCTCTGACATCGGACCAGTCGTCACTCTCGAGCAACACCATGCAGAACATACCTGTGCTGCCGCCATATCCAGGCGATGGATCCACCATGCCCACGGGGCCGACGAACGGAAGCATCGACATTGACGCTTTTCCACCGCCTCCACCGCCGCCAAAGTCGCAACAAAGTGCCCTGGCTGCCCTGCAGAGGGGAGGTGACCTGGAAAGAAGGGCCTCGAGGAGATACTCGGCGTACCAGATCTCCAAGCACCTTGGTGCCCCTACCAATGGCGTGCCTATGCTACCCTCCCAGAACACTCCGCTACCCAACCGGGGACGCGGCGAGGTGAGGGAATCAATGCGGGCGGTTCAGGTCCGAGAGGCTGCCAAGCACAACAGAAATACTTCTCAGCAGTCGAAGAGTGGGTTTGAGTCGTCGCCTGTTAGGGTACCTAGCAAAGTTTCCGAGGAAAGCTTGGCAACTAGCGAGCAACAAACACCTCGCCCCCAGTCCCCTCCCGCCACATCTCCAGAGGACAGATATAAACCCAGTGCGACTATATCTGGACCTCTCACAGATGCTTACCCTCTCATCGGTGGTCCAGACTCGCCCGAGAAGACCCGCCCGCCGCAGATCAGCTCCCCGGCCGACGCGAAGCCGCAACAACAACCCCCGAAGACGCCGCCGCCACCCGAGAAGCAGACTAATGGTTTTGTTGAACGTTCCCCGCCACTCGATAAAGAGCTCACTCTATTCCTCCAATACAAGTCCAAAGTCAAGAAGTTTGTCTTGCCTGAGGGGTACAGCGGTCTGACCATCGGCAAGTTGCAATTGGCTTTTATTGAGAAGTTTTCGTGGAACACTGCGCTGAACGGCTCTGACCTTCCGGAAATATACATCCAAGACCCAGTCTCTGGGGTTCGTCACGAGCTGGAGGATCTCTCCGACATCAAGGATCGCACTGTCTTGGCCCTCAACATTGAGCCTCTGGATGAGGTGAAACGCCACATTGATGACGGCCTCGGCTCTTTGAAGAAGGCTGTCGAGGAGGTGAGGCAGAATATCGGCGACCAGGGCGCTGCTCTGCAGAGAGTCTCTGACCGGCAATTGGAAACTGCAAAGGAGATGGCGCGCCTGGCATCTGCGCCACCAGCGGTTATTGAGACTTCTGGAGCCAAAGCCTCGACTTTGGGATCCGCCAAGCTCAGCCCTAGCCAGCTCAGGGAGCTGCAGAGTCTTAAACGTGATCTGGCTGTCATGCGCCAGACCTACTCGAACTTCCAGACTGAGATACAGAATTCCATGTCTTCACTACGGAGCAAGGCTGCCAATGTCAAGGTTGCCGCCGCAAAATCGTCTGTTGGCGGCGCGGACGGTGGTGCAGGTCCCGTTTACGTTACCAAGGGCCGGAAACAGCTCAACACGGATTCGGACCGCCTGGTCACAAAGGTTGATGACCTTCAGGATCTTGTGGAAGACCTCCGCAAAGATGTTGTGCACCGCGGCGTCCGCCCGCTACCACGTCAGCTAGAGGACGTTTCGAAGGACATCCAAACCCTCATGAAGGAACTTGGCAAGGTCCGTGAATATATGAAGCGTGAAAAGCCCATCTGGACCAAGATCTGGGAGAAGGAGCTGGAGGACGTATGCCAGGGCAGAGATGAACTCAAGGTCATGGAGGATCTGATGGTCGATCTGCAGGACGACCTTGAGAAGGCTTCCGAGACCTTTGCCCTCGTGGAGCAGGCTACCAAGGAGCAGATGAAAGACAACACCGCTCCGACGAACCGGCAATTCTCCAAAGGGCTTCATAATCTGGGCAACAGTGCAGACCCTTCTGCTGCCAAGGAAGGCGTCTTGGGCGAGGTCCGCGCACTGCAGCCCAATCACGAGGATCGACTAGAGGCCATCGAGCGTGCCGAGAAGTTGAGGCAAAAGGAGCTCGAGGGTCGGTCGGACAATCCACTTAAGAAGGAGCTGGCCAACTTTGTCGAGGAGGGCAAGCTCAAGAAGAGCGGTGGCTTCGAGGAGGTGGAGCGTGCTCGAAAGGCAAAGGACGACCGAATTCGCAAGGAGGTCTGGGAGCGGATGAACGGAATCGTGTCCGAAGATCCGATTGAAGGCGAGTTCGAGGAGGAAGACGAAATCATTGAGGAAGAGGAGGAGCCACCCGCCGAAGAGACACCGGCGGCGTGATAGACTACCACGGTTGGCTGGTGGACGATGGTATACCCACCAGTATTTGTGACAGCTGTGGCGCTGCTCTACTAACTTGGCTCTTTTTATTGATTTTTGACATCACCGGACGTTCAGGGGTTTAACCTGCCTTTAGCGATGAAATTGGCGCTCCTTGAGTGAAAGACATTTTCGATCTTTCGAATTCGCCCTGTCCTGGTCGAGGCCTGGTAGGAGGGTTCAATAGTTGGATGGATGGCATGTATATTTTCGAAGTGGTTGCGAAATACAATTATATTTTATGAAGTAAGAGGTTTGCACTGCCCAATGTGTCCACAATCGCGCTCACTTGGCGAGAGATATGAGTCGAGATGCTGAGTCCTTCCACATATGTGACTGGCTTTGTATTCCGTGCCCTAGTGAAATGGTAACTCTCCTGTCGTTGCAATACACCGCTGGCCTCTTCCATATTTCCCGCGGGGATGAAGCATAGTTATAAGTCCTTGCCTAATCAGGACATAATCCAGTCTAACACAACGTAGATGGCCCTTTCACTTGCATGATTAGGCAATTTGCTAACTGCATGAACCAGAAGACAGGGAGACGGGCGCAGCAGAATTAAACTACTTGTCATTTTCACTGAAACTGGGCATTCAATAAGGGCAAACCAGATTGGCCAAGGGGCGCCTTATTAGTGCCGTTCCCAGAGACGTGGCTTCGGGGATAGTTTGAGGTTATCGGACCAAGGCCTGCAAGGCCTAGAAGCCGCCTAGATCTGGGCTAAGCCGGATCAATGTACGCTAAGAAAACGTTACTTCTGATGTCATTGAGGAGGTCATGATCAGCCGCGGATGATTTGCTGATTCCCTCCACATCAGCATGCTATTGTCATGAATTAGGCAGTGCCCCATACGTGCCATGGTGATCGCTAAGTCAGCAGCTATCTCCGAATCTGCTCGCGAGCGGGAAACCTTCAAGTAAGACGGGCAACGCATTACCATACCCTCCCCCGCCCAACCCCTCCACCAGTGGATTGACACAACCCATCCGTGCTTGTAACTGACGTTGTCGTGCGGCGCAGATATGACGCTCTCATCATCTCAACTGCCGGGCTCAACGGACCCGACCCACCGAAGCCAATCCCGTCCTCGTTCCTGTCATCAACACCTGACCCGGGCCTCACGGCCTTTGCCCAGCTGGGGTTGTACAGATTGAACGCCGCCCGCGCCCTGATCTCGCTCTTCGACCGCAAATTTCAGCACATCGTTGCCGAGGCGCTCCGGCCCCTACCGCCAACGACCGACCCAGAGGCTCAACAAGACCGGAATTGGTTCAACGGGCTTGCCTTCGAGCGTGCGACCAGTGTCTGCGAACATGTTGTCACCGGCGCGGCCTCGGGTCAGTCTGTTCCCGGCACAGATCACGGTCTGGCTGCGGGGGACATACCAGTGTCAGTCATCGAGCATATCGACCAGGATGCACGATTCTGTCAGCTAGAAGATCCGGGCCGACAGTTCTATGCCGGAGTGCCGATTCGCTCGCCTACGGGAATCAACATTGGGGTCTACTGCGTGTTTGACGACAAGCCTCGGCCGGGAGGACTCAGCGCCGACGAGGTGCGGTTTATCCGCGAGATGTCCCGGGTGGTGATGGACTATCTAGAGAGCAAGCGGAGCCACGAATGGTATCGACGCGACCAGCGCATGCTACGTGGGCTTGGTAGTTTCGTGAAGGGGCAAGGCACACTGTGGAACTCCACCGAGGCTTTAGAGGATCCGGCATCATTCCAAGACTTACCTGGTATGGGCGAGGGCTTACTCAATGCACGATTGCAGCCACAGCCACAATCAGAGAAGGCAACTATTCAGCAGGAGCAGCGGCAGACGATGGCGGCCGATCTGAAGGCATCAGTGGCAGATCACCATGTCCCGTCAACTTGGAGCGGCCATGATCGTGGGGTTGCCGATGGGGGCCGAACATCGAAGGCGCAGCCCAGCTCCTCAGAAAACCCTGCGATGACGCCCGCACCAGACCCCCAAGGGACACCGGCCAAACCAGACTCGTTACAGGCCAGTATAAGCCGTGTCTTCTCCAAGGCAGCGAACGTGAGCCGGGAGTCCGTCGAAGTAGAAGGTGTTGTCTTCTTAGACGCTAGTGTGCGCTCCCCAGCTGGATTGGTCACGAACTCTTTGGAATTGCCGACCTTGTCCGAGGTGCGACATACCTCCTCTGGGGTGAGTAGTAGCGATGAGGGTTTTCAGGGCACAAGCCACGATTCTGGCGCAGCCGGCACTGGTATCTGCGATGTGTTGGGTTTTGCAACCTCTCACCGCTCCTCGATTGCCGGTGACGCGGCGCCAAAATCGTTTGCAGTTTGTAAAGAGCGGTTTCTGCTGCGGCTATTGCGGAAATATCCTCTGGGGCACGTCTGGAACTTTGAAGCCGACGGGACGGTGTCAGACAACTCGACAAGCTCAGAGACTGACATCCCCCCGGCCAACACTCCCGAGGCACTGCTTCCACAGCTGGCCCGCCGCCACACGGCGGAGCCACATGACCGCCCCAAACGACGGCTGACTACATCAGCGCGCATCGTAAAGATGTTCCCTGGAGCCAGGAGCGTCCTGCTTGTGCCGCTATGGGATGCACAGACCGGACGCATTTCCGCGGGAGGCTTCATGTGGACGTGCACACCAACACGAACATTTAGTGAAGAGAACGAGTTGGCCTATATGCGGGTGTTCGCACTTACTATTATGGCCGAGGCGGCACGACTGAAGATGCGAGTGGCGGACAAGGCCAAAACGGACCTCCTCGGATCTTTCAGTCACGAGTTGCGATCACCTCTACACGGGCTGGTTGGCGCAGTCGAGTTGTTGAGGCACACGACCTTAGATACGATGCAGGACGGAATATTACGGGCCATTGAAGCTTCAGGAAGGACATTACTGGATACTATCGAACACGTGAGTCCTCTAGCCGGCCTCATCCGTGCCGACCTCTTCTCCTTGATATCAGACGCTAATTTCACACGCCCGTCACACAGCTACTAGACTATGTCAAAATAACCTCCCAACAGTCGTCAAAATCCAGGCGGAGACATACTACTACCGCAGGTGTGCGGCAACGCTCCAGCCTGCCCACTTCAGACCTGTCCGCTTTACCGGAGTCCCCTGTCCGGCTCGATCTGCTCGTAGAAGAGGTTGTCGAGAGCGTGCTGGCAGGTTCTAGCTACCTGACCAAGTCGGAGACGCCTCCATCGATGCTGACCTCCACGCAAACTGCGAATTCACCAAAACACACGCACTTTGTCACCACTGACCCGACACGAGTCCGGTTTTCCGGCTCAACCGGTCTTGTCCAAACGTATCTTGACGTCGACCCTTCTGCAAAATGGACCTTCTGCATGCATCCGGGTGCCTTTCGACGAATCATCATGAATTTGTTTGGCAACTCCCTCAAGTTCACCCGCTCTGGTTTCATTCGAGTCTCCTTACGGCAGGAGACCAAGCCAAAGCGGGCTGGTGTACCTAGTGCGACTCATGTCGTGCTTACTGTCTCAGACTCGGGTAAGGGCATAAGCGAGGAATATCTTCGCAACCACCTCTTCACACCGTTCTCCCAAGAAGACCAATTCGCGTCAGGGACGGGTCTGGGGCTTAGTCTCGTACGGCATATGACGGTCACGCAAGGTGGCATGATTGATGTCTCGAGCAAAGTCGGGCAGGGGTCGACTGTGACCGTGACTCTACCGCTCTCGCAAGTAGTGCAGGAGACGATAGATGAAGAGGGGCCAACCTTCTTGCAAAGCCTTGATACACTAGCGGGGCGGCGGGTGCGGCTTTACGGTTTTGATAGTAAAACAAGGGCCCCCGAAGATTTCTCTGCCATTGACAGCAAGAAAAGCTCTCAATATCAGCTAATGGAAGCGATATGTAGAGAAAATCTGCATCTGAATGTCGTCGCGGAGGACAGCGCCGAGTCAGAGCCGCCAGACTTTGTCGTATGCGCTGCTGGTGATGGCCTCACTTGTGCAGATGTTGAGGCTTTGAACCATGTGTCCTCGTGCCCCTACATATTTGTGTGCCAAGAGTTGGCCTCGACGCACAGGCTAACTGACGTTGAATATGGCGTATTACCCACAGTTTACGAGGTCTGCTCGCAACCGTACGTATCTCGCCTTATGAATACACCTGAGTTGGTTTCCTAACATCATGGCAGCATTGGCCTGAAGAAACTCGCAACGGCGTTTCTGGCTTGCCAGCGAAGATGGCACGGCCTTGCGAGGTCGGATTCTGTGTCGACACCAGGGGTAACGGGTTCGAACGGACGAGCAGATGTACAGCGTCTTTCTCAACTACCTAGACCACAGCTCGAAGCTCGGGATCTAACCATACAGCTTGCACAAAACAGGAAGCATTCCATTGCTAAGGAATCTGGCCCTCATGTATTTGCGGATTTTAGAGACACCACTTCTCCACCCCAACCGCTATTAGCGAGAGAGTCTATTGACGCGATTCAAGCAAAATCAATCGCCACAGATATGACTGATATACCCCCGGAGCCACGAAGGCCGATCTTGATCGTGGATGACAACAACATCAATCTTAAGGTATGCGAGCTCATTGTGGACCTCTACCATATCGTTCGAAAAAGAGATGCTGACCATTACTTCCAGATCATGGCTGCCTTCTTAACCAAGCTCAAGTATACATATACGATGGCGGTCAACGGCCTCGAAGCCTTGGACATTTACACCAAGGCCCCGGCTGAGTACAGTTGCGTACTGACGGACATATCGATGCCGATCATGGATGGCTTGGAGTCAACGCGCCGCATCCGTGAATTCGAGCGCTCGGGGGGCCACAAGCCAGTTGTGGTCATTGCTCTTACGGGGCTGAGCGGGCCGGAAGTCCGCGAGAATGCGGTGGCGAGCGGTGTAGATCTATTCCTCACCCGACCGCTGGCACTGAAAGGCTTGGAGAAGGCACTCATTGCAACAGGGCTCCTGTAAAAGTTTTGGCGCGTTGTTCTTTTCCTTCATTCGTACGACATGGGTGTGTCTACTCTGTGGTATATTACGAGTCTCACGAAAGCATATGAGGAGTTGTAATGGGCATGGCATGCATATACGGCTATATAGTAAATGACGTCATTTAGGGTAGATGTTATAGAAAGTAACATTTTGTCAAAAGTGTGTTGAAACCTGTATAACCCGATGCACAAGTCGGCGTAGAAAACAGCTGGCACAAAGCAAAGCGTGCATCTCCACAGACTCCATTCTAGCCAGTACGCAGAATCCTCCTACCTGTGTATAGGGCTCAGGTTATACTATGTAGAGTTCATATGCTAGCGCTGTGTAACACGGTCCTGTGGTGCAGGCCACGAAGGTCTGCCGCCCTTCCGTGAGGCATCGGCTTTTCGCAAGTATAAATAACTAATCATGGCAATGCGGTACTTCTCCCGGATTGTACAAGCAATGGCTCCAAGAAGACAAGCCGGAGGAGGGCGAGCGGGATAAACGCCCAATCTCATGCAAACTAACGAGGTCCATCGCACGAGTATGGCAACCAGAGACCAGAATTCTCAAGACATCATTAATGGACGTTTCAAGTAATATTAAGATCGTGTACTAGTGGTGCAGATCTCTACCTATATATCTGGTCGTCCCGTCCCCTCAATTCAAACTTAGCCTCCGCGGCACCTGGCGCAAATTATGGTCGCCAAAGCGTTGGCTAGGGTCTGGTGAACAGCAACCATCTGTGTCAGCACAGACAGAACGCGTCACTACTTTGTTAGATTGAGCATAAGCTGGGTGTCATTACGTGGTCTTTCAGTGTTGCATGGAGACTGCTACGTGTTGTGCGTAGATGTCGAAGTGAGCATGTACCGTTCCTTCTCTGACCTCCATTGTAGCCGACACTTCACGCTCAATAATACTCCTGGCCGGCGCGGCTGGCGCGGATGGCAGCTCGATAATAAGTTGGGCGCTGGAGACATGTATGGCGTTCCAACCAAAACAACATTCATTCATACGACCTTACGGTCAAATCCTTGGGCCGCGGCAATCCAATCAAATCGCCACCAACCTCATAGAGCCACGATAGCCACTCTTATATCCGCCACTATTTCCTTAGGCGACATAAAGAGTCCGTGTGGGGTGGTCCGAGAGGTCTACTAAGTGTATTTCTTAAGACAAATCCGGTAGATGTTCTGAACTCCCCAATTTGAAAGGCTGCGCATCTGAGGCTAGCCGAGATGGGCTTGGAGTTGTTCTTTCGCTTGTTTCGGCAGACCTTCCAGTGCGAGGAGGGTGACAATCGAGTTAGCAACTTCCTAAAACGCACGGCCTCTAGGCGAAGAACCCAGGTGCTACCCTCTCCCTGTGCTCTGCTTCGCGTGACAGCTTTGACAGAAAGTCAAAGTAGACTCGTCCGATCTTTATGCACGCTTTTTACTGTATTCGGACTGTCGACTTTTTCTTTTTCTTTTTCTGTTGAGCCTCTCCCGTCTTAATCTTAGATCTCGCCGCAATGCATGTCGGGGACTGAGACAACCAACCCTTGCTTGGGTAATGCTCGAAGACTCGCTTTACCCACCCGAGAGTTGGGCTGGCAGCACTTACCGAGATTGATAAACGGTGAATCAGCGTCCAGACATCATGTAACTCCAGCCAGCACCAAACGGGATATTTGTCCGTGGTGAGCATTCCGCGCCAGGCGCCCTTGTCCCTGATTCTCGCGTGGCCGAGAAGCTTGTCGGCCAATGGACCGGTATCTCGCCGGCGCACGGACGGCCATGATCCACCCCCGAACCCCACGACGACTGATTATGCATAGCAGTCCCCCGAATCTCAAGCGGACCCTGTACAGAAACTCTTGGTAGGGCCCCGTCTTCATGCGTGGGCGGGGGGCATTTGCCGAACACAGATCGTCGACAGGCCTTCTCATTCTCGGATTAGAAGACGTTGATACCTGGCGTGAAGCAGGCTGCCACGGATGCCCGCTGCATCCCTGAAATCGCCCAGGAGTTCTCGGAGGAGTCGCTCGGACTGCCAAGATGCGCCGTTACAGGGGCGTTCCAGCTGAATGGGCGCGCACTGACGTCCGGCCGAGAACGTGGACGTGATATTACAGACGAGTCCGCTCGTAATCACATCACAAGCGAATGGAGGGGTTTGGCGAACGGATGCTGTCCTGGGGACCATCTATCGAGACGCTCATTCTCGTCATTGCGTCGTGATTGATCTGAACTCAACCTCATGTTGTTTCCATGCCCACAACATCTGTTTCAGCATGGCAGTGCTCAAGAGCGTTGCACCCATTGTGGTGATGGTCTGGATGATGGCCATGGTCCACGTGGCACGGGCTGCCACGGTATCGGATGTTATCGGATCGATCCCAAAATGCGCTGTACGTCGGGCCTGGAGTCTACGATGCAATGATGCACCAACTCCTCGGGGAACCGCCAAAGAAGCAGAGAACTGATGATTGCGTCCAGCTGCCATGCGTCGTCTCGAATCTCCAAAGCGCGGCGTGTCCATTGACGGATATCACCCTGCTGAGCGATTGTGTATGCAGAAACACGACCTTGTTATCCGGCGTTTCTGTATGCACGCAGACCTCGTGCCCATTTAGTGATCAAATTCGTAAGTCGACCGCCACGCCGACCCTTGTGACTTGTCTGACCCGGCCTGCAGTTGCAAGTCAAGCCGCCAATAACCTCTGCGAAGCCTATCCCAAGGAATCGAGAACACGCGATGTACAAATCGCCTCCATCGTGACGTTAGCTTTGGCGCTGCCTACAGTTCTGGCCAGGTGCGCTGCAAGGCTGCAGTTCACAAAGAAGTTGTGGCTCGATGACTGGACTGCACTGCTTGGGATGCTCCTCCTCACAGCCTTGGCAGTGATCGAATACATCAGTGAGTCTAGCTCTCGAGTCTGATGATAGTCGTCAACTGATCCCGCCCCTCAAGGTTCTCGAATGGGCTTTGGGCTCCACTACTGGAATATACGAGTTGGCGATGGCGAGGAGCTACTTCGCCTCTTTTACGTCGCACAGCTACTATACATATCGATTCAAGTGTCAGCCAAAGTCTCTATCGCCTGTCTATTCATGCGTCTCTTTCCGGCCCGCTGGATGCAACTGACAGTCAAGATATTCATGGCGTTCATGATAGGTCATGGCCTTATCTTCATGGCCGTGATCATCTTCCAATGCTGGCCAATCTACTCTATCTGGGACAAGACTGTCACTGGCCACTGTGTCAATGTGACCGTCGTGGGTTTCGTTGGCGCTGTGATCAGTATCGTTGAGGATATTGTCCTTATCTTGCTACCCATTGCAGAACTACGAAAGCTTCAGATCACCACGCGGCAGCGCATGGTTGTGTTTTTCCTCTTCGCCATAGCGTCGTTTGCAGCAGTCACCAGTATGATTAGGTTGAAATACCTCGTCATGTTTGCAAATACTTTCGATGCAACGTGGGATAATGTGGATGTCATCGTCTGGTCTTTGATCGAACTCCTCACGGCGGTATTCCTCGGCAGCTTACCCCCGCTGCGGCCATGGGTCAATAAAATCATTCCCAAAGTTACCGGCAGCTGGAGCAGAACCCGCAGCAGCAAGTCTGGGAGCCGGTTCCCTCCAAGTGGGAACGGTGCAAGCATCGATCAAGATTTCAAATCGAGCCACATCCGTTCCGGGACTACAACTACCATCACCTCGCCTACGTCTACGTCCACGCACTTCAGTGACCACAAGACCCCATCGGCCTCCTACGCGTTGTCTGCGCTCTCGTCACTGCGTCCTGCTGACCGCTGGAAGGCGTTACCGGAAACGCCTCTAGCGATGCCAGCCTCAGTCTTTCGAAAATCCGGTGGTGGATCCTCATAGCTGAATCTGTCAACCGCCTCATTTGTACTGGCAAAATGCACGACTCCTCAGATGATTAAGATACCCTGTATGACCTCAAAGCCTAGCTGACTTTTCCGGATTCAAGCCATGAAATTGGGGCTTTATGATTTTGAAACTTTTCACTTCCCTGTACTCCATACTTTACATAGGAAGGGTGATAGATGGCATTATCGTCGATCTTTGACGGAGGACTGCGAAGTTCATTATAAGTATATAGGCGGTCATTTAAATATGTAATGTTCCCAAGTAATCATGTTCAAAACGCTTGTTGCCTCATGTTTCCTTTTCCAGGCGTGTTCAGCTCTCCACCAATCTCTCAACTCGCGAGGCTCGCGTCTCGTGCCGTCGTCCAATCTCACGAGGATCGTTGCTCAAGTCCTTGCCGTTCGGTGGCGGTTGGTACAGATCGTAGTCCATATGCCCAACATCACCTTCAGCGTATGTGTCGGCAGCTGGCTGTGGCGCTGTTGTCGGTTTGATCTGTACCGGAGGCCCGTGTTCGTCGCGGTCTTCACCGTCGTTGAAGTACAGCCGATCGCTATCATGCAGCGACGACACCTCGCCCCACGTTGCAACCTGCCGCGTTTGCATGTCGCCAGGCTGCTGGTGGACGGGTAGCATGTCAGGATCCATGGGCGGGCCGGCGGTTCCGCGGCGTCGGAACGCACCGAGGATGCCCCTTTTGCCCTCTCGACGCTGAGGGGGCGCCCCGTAATGGTCTGACTTGTTGATATACTCGCCGTCAGCATCGCGGATGGGCCTCTGTGCCCTATGGCGGCTGCGATTCATATGAATCTCCAGGAATACGGAGAGGATGAAAAAGAGGCTGTGAGTGTCAGCCTAATGTCATGATTGGCGAAAACGCGTGATTAGTTCTCACTCACATAGCAATACACGAAGCGATCAAGCACACCGTTTGTAGGCGGCAGGCCATCTGGAATGTCGGCAGCCCCACGTCGCCGATGATGTTGCCGCCAGCACCGCTGGGAGAAGCCGCCGTATCTCCGGAGCCATAGACGGTGTTGACCGTGCCGCTGTTACACGAGCTGGCGCCGTCGCGGTTGGCAACGGCGACGTAGATGTAGGCGCCACTAAGACCGACATCAAGGACCAGGGCGATGAACGAGGTCCCCGCGTGGCCGGCACAGCAGCAGACTAGCAGCAGCCCAACAAGCGTGTACACTGTTCCGACGGCCGTAATCCCTTCCACGGCCTTCACGTACGTCGGCACGGTCATATTTCCTTTCATCATCGTGGCTAGGTAGTAGGAGTAGATGCCCAGCATCACGACCGAACAGACAAATTGAATGCCGCGGAACACCCATTGTAGGCATTTGAGGCCGGCGATCCCCGATGAGGAGCCCATTTTTGGTGTTTTGCGATTCCCACTATCTTTGTTGGGTTTTACTCAGTGTCAGAGGCACTGTCGGGGGCACCATGAATCTGAGTGCAAGATACCCAGGTGTGGTCTTGAAGCGTATATGCCGTTTTCGTGAAAGACCATCGCAGTGGCAGTTGCCGTTGGCTAACTATACACCCTTTATTGAAGATGCGCGGAGGCGATGACGTCGATGGGAGACACTCAGAGCAAGTTTGGAGACGCCATGTCATCGTCAGGGATTCTTGTTATAATGGTCCGTGTTATTGATGGCCTTGGCGGCTGCGATTTGTTCCCCACGCAACTACCGTGTTTCAGATCTGAGGACCCCTGCTATCACCTATGCCATGTGCCATGATTTAGCAACGTCATCCAAAAACTGGAGTCAACCTACATAATAGGTGGTGGTGTGTTTGAATATTAGGGAGTGTTGCTCTTGATGGATTGCGCCTTAGAACGGCCCTGTCCTTCCGTGAACCCGGTAAGGATGAAGACGAAGAGGTTCGGTCGGATCATCTGAATTGAACGTGATCCCCATGCAGTGCAAGGTGACGAACCTTTGCGTGGATTGCGAGCCGCTTTGCTTTTGGAAGGGATATCCTATTGCAACAACTAGCTTTATGGGTTGGTCAAACATTGCTCAATAGGGTGATTTCCCCAATCGCCACCTTGAGCTCGCAGAATTGTCGTGTCGAGAAACGTGCGAGGGTTGATAGTTGCGGTAGCTGTCCTGGTTCCCACAAGCTTTGTATCGAACTGTCACTTATACACAGGGAGAGTTCCGAGAACAAGTAATGATCCTTTGTTTAGACGGAGTGCGTTCATGAATTGTAGGGGGGATTTTAATTCGTCCTCCTCGTGGAAAGTCAGCCCACCTCCAGGCTGGAGTGCCTTCAATTTGAGCATGAAGGCTTTGGCATCAGTCAACGACCAGACGGTACAAGTCGGGTTTGAGGGGTTAGCAGTGAACAATACACAGAACCAAGGATGGGCGCTACTCCGAAACATGGCGGCACCCATGCTCAGAGGCCCCTCCACCTTGATCAGCGACTCTCCTTCCCACATGCCCCAAGTCTCGTCGAGGGTATAGGTATACTTTGCATCCACGTTTTGAATGATAGCTTTTACATGAACAGTCCATCTTCCGGAAATATCAGGACCAGGATCGCGTACGTCGGTGAACAACCGTAGTTTGTCCAGGCTGATATTTTCAGTGTCCAGTTGTAACGTGATAAGTTAGTAACGAAGGGCTCAATTGGTGGTATCACATACCAAAACCAAAACCATCGTTTCTTGTTGGTTTGACAGGCCTCAAATAACCAGTTGTGTCCAACTTGTACAGGGGTCAATATGACACATCTTCCTCTCGCAATTTCTCTCGCTGTGAAGCCCAGGACATACGTTGCGCAACGCTGGTCGATCGGAGCTCGTCATTTCTCAACGAAGAACCACATGTTGTGCATAGAGATCTATCCTGAGGCGAAGGATTGTGAAGCTCTCATGAAAGAGAGTGCGGTTTGTGGTCTTGCCTCAGAGCCTTTTCGCTTATGCCTGTGATACTAGTCAGGGATGCTGAGAGGGCACACCGATCACCAAGTTATTCCCAATCTTTGCTGACGAACTTGATGTCTTTGGGTGCAAATAGTTCTTGCAGCGTCCAACCGCGGCTGAACCACCGTGACGTAGACAGACCAACAAGCGATCTAGTGTCTTCGAGGTAGGCGTAACAGACCGTCGACCCTTGGTACCACTTTTTCATAGAATTGATGGCTTCGCTCAGTTCGGCACTGCTCTGTTTGTCAATGCAGCACGTATCGATCCATACGTATGCACAGTTTTGTCCTTCGGAAGCGTAGTAGCAGGCCTTGAAAAGCTCGTTGGCTGCTGCCTTCTATCGCCAGGAGTTCCAAAAGCGACTCAGCCAACGGCCAACTCCTTCCACTCCATAAGCCCGCTCATACACCGCTCTACTGCTCCGCGGTATATTACGGCCGTTCCACCTTTTCGCTCGTAAATGTCGTCAGAGCCCCCGGGATGTGGCGTGATGAGCCAACAACTGTAGAACGAGAAGTTTACGTCATCCCGCCCTTCAGTAAGATAATCACCGGGGTCTTGCACTTCTGGTAACGGCTCGTTCTGGAAGATCCGATCGGAGACGGCCTGTGGTAACTGCCCTTTGGCATTAGGTAAAGCCTTCGGCGCGCCTGTGGAGTCTAGGGTCTCCTGGTAATGATATTTGTTGAACAGCGACTTCAGGACGCGTTCTAACGGCGTACCTCTGGCTAGGTTTGTACCCGAGATCAGCGCGAACTCCTGAGTCGTTTCATTCTCAAATTCAGCACCGGAGTGCATCCGTACAGTGCCACAGAGAACTCCATCGTTGTCATAGACGCCGGTCAGTGGAAACTGACGCTGCTTTTCCAGGAACCAAGACGTCAAATCAGAACCCGCCCATTCGGTGCTTGTTCGTACTTTGAACTTTCCACATAGGGTCCAGAACCTCAACAAAGGAGCGGTGTTCCCGTCAGTACTGCCACCTCCAACCGGTATAGCCAGTCGAGCTACTGGCTCCACACTCAAGTTGGTGGAACTCTGCTGATGAATGGTATGTTCAGCCTGGAAGAAATGGGTGGTCTCGAGCCTCTGCACACCTTTCCCATCGTTCATATCCAGATACCACTGTATCCAATACCTTTGGATCCATTTGGACATTGCTACGTCCATCTTGTACAGTCTTAGATCAACGCTTCCAACCCAACCACACCACGACCAGCTGGGAAAGCCACCCTTGCGCCGCGACAACCCGTCCCCGGATGGTCTCCAGTGTATGGCACAATCCCAGTTGCTCAGTGGAATGCCATAAATGATCCTGGTTCGCAATGCAGCTTCGTAGCGGTTGGCTAATCCCAGAAATGTGTCGAGTATATCAGTGTCAACAGTCAAGTGGCGCGAGCTGATGTTGCCAACAATACGCGAGTATCCGTCAAGGAGGGACATCGGGCCATATTCCTCAAATTGCAGGTGTCGATTCGACCAGTACTTGTGCTTCACTTGAGGGTTCTCCCAGCAGACGCTCTCGCGAAACATAGCCTCTCCACATTCGAACGTGACCTCGTCTTCATAAAAGTATATCCGCCTCGAAGCCAGTTCTTCCTCCTGATAACTAGACAACGTCAGTATTCTTGCAACACTGGTGTGCTGAGGGTGCAGCCGCAGTACTGACGTCCATGCTCTGGTAGAATATGTGCTACTCTTTCTCTGCTGGTTTTCGTTGCGCAGAATTGTTAAGCTAAGTAGGTCGTCAATCTTCGCAACTGCCTGCTTTGACTTGCGTCGGCGTGTAACTCCGGCCAACCCAGCCTCACCATTGGATCCGTGCATCGCAATGATGACTGCCTCTGCTCTCGCATAGATTCTCGCCATTTGCCGGAGGAAGAAGGCCTTTGAAGTATCGTCATCCTGGACGATGCAGAGCCGATCTACCCACAAATATCGCATTCTCATTTTCCTCACCAGCCGTATGGCATCCGTAACCGTGTCACCAAAGTTCCATGAATACTTTAAGAGACCACCGGTCTGCCCAAGTCTCGCCAGCGTAGCCATGGTTGTACAGAATCCCTTGCGCCTACCCCAGACGTAGCTCAATGCCAAGTAGGAGGTCGTTATTGGCAGCTTCACCAGGCACGCCTCATGACAATCGACGAGCCATATTTCAAGCTCACCCTCAGGCACAGAAATGGGGGTTTTGCATTTGTCGCCATGCCAGGACTGACACCAGTGAAGCCAGCGACGCAGAAGCATACCATCAACCAGAGGAGGTGTGGATCTTCCCTCAAGGAAGCGTCCAAGAAGCCCAGTCCCCGGATTGTGCGTGATTATTGTATCCATCGTCGTGAAGTCGATCGCAGGAGAGAATGTGGTAACATGAAGGTCTATCCACCTAGATTGCAAGTTCAGCGGCTCGTGGCTTCCCGGACCATACTTGAGAGTGAGCGTGGTCGGATACCCCAATGGAGATTTGGGTAGCTGAGAGCGACTTTTCATTCCCACCGTCAGACAAACGAGTCGACAGAAAGCGCATTTGCTTCGCCTTTTGAAGATGTCTCGGAGATTTCCAAGATCCAAATTCTCTCCATCGTACATCCACATCTCCTCGGTGGTCGGAGGCCGCTCACGCTTAATGAACTGAAACCAGTTCAGATTGAGAGCCTTGCATGCATCACAAAGACGATCTTGACGAGGAGTTCCAGCAACAAAGGGTAAGTAAACAGCAACCACATCATAGACGCGCTGTAAGTGATCCATTTTATCTTCGAATCGCGTGCAGCCAATTCTACCTCATACTTGTATTTGGTGCACCAAAATCTGAGAAGTTACCGAACTGAGTTGCCACTGTCTACAAAAACATGTACTCGCAAGCTGTAAGTCTGGCATGCCGGTGCGGCTGAAACTGGCCAGACCATTTTCCGTATCTGGTGGGGTCAGCTGAGCCAGCGTCGTGGCAAATCACAACCTAGAAAGTCAGCCAATGGCAATGCAGAAAGCAGGGAGGGGCGCGCCTGGAGTTATGGTCAATTACTTCGAAGCCCAACAGCTGCTGATAATGACAGAACAAGGCCGGCCTTTGTTTCCCCCTTCTTCTCGTAGGTTTTGCGAGCCTTGGATTTTGCAACCAAGGTGTCTTCATCTCCAAAACACGAAAGAGCCCGATACTGACTGTGGGTTGTGCAACATCTGGTGCAGGTTAGCACAATGCCCGCCAGTTCAACATTCAATTGCCATAATCATTGTCAAAGGGCCCCAAAATTTTTTTGGTTTGATTGACACTCGGGTTCACGTAATACACTATCGCTATATTGGAAATGCTCTTTTGCTAAGCGATATGCGTATCCGCAGGTATCCCCTCCAGCGGAGGCAAGTTTCAGTTGCTTATGTGCAACAAAAACGGAGAGGTTTTTACTTTTCTCGACAAAGAGCCTATGAGGTGTAATGGATTGTTGACTCAACATATACAAAGATAAATTTCTCGAGAAACAATGGTGTGGAACGAGCATAGAGACTTAACGCAGTACCAAACAGACCCATTCTTATTACAGTTGCGCACAAACCCTTGTCCAACTATGAGGATCATGTGCTTATATACGACGCACACGGAGCTCTCCACACCCTTACTCACCAGCTTCTCTGCTCATCTCGTAGATCCAATTGATTTCCATTGCTCCCTTGATAAGACTTCCATTCCTGCAGCTAATATCCATTGAGACACTGTCAACATGCCTCCAATCACCAGGGCTATGGCGAAGGGGACTAAAGCCAATAGCCTACCAGATCCCAAGAAATCAAGAGATAGCAAGGTGACCAAGCCGAAGAAGTCGAAAGGAAAATGGCGGCACGCGTCACTGAAGCCACGCAAAGGCAAGCCCAATCCTTACCATGTAGAGATGCTCGAAGAGATGCTCGAAGAAACGCTGCACAACACGATCAGAGCTTCTCCGCCGGCGCACCACGTTGGAGGTTTGCCGCAACCCGCTGCCTTCCGGCGAGCCAAGAATCCCGGCTCAAGCCCTCCACAAAAACACACCAAAGCCAAGAAGCCGTGGTTTACGCAGTTCGAGTTTGGAGGCTCTGCGCCATCCGCCGCCTCTTGGCGAGACGGGTTCCGGGGTTTCAGCCCTCCACGAGTAGGCCGGAACACGCCACAGAAGCCGCTACCTTCGGAGTTCGATTTTGGAGCTCCTCCGCCCATGCCGGCCTCAGAGCTGTACGGTCACCTGCGATTCAGCCCTTTACTAGGCCACAAGAAACCGCAAAAGTCGCAACCCACGGAGTTCGGCTTCAGCCAATCCGAATATGTCCCCGCGCCTGCTGCTGACAAGGAAGAAGTCTCTGGCCTCCGTAAAGAAATGAACAAAATATTTGATTGTGCTAAGGCAGCCATGGCGGATGTGCTGACCACGCTTGAGTCACAGGCCTGTAACTGTGGAGATGAGCACATCAGCTTCGATGACCTGGAGCGTCTCATCCGCCGCTGTGACAAACGGTACGCCGGTGTCGAAAGACTGGCGCGTCTGGAGGCTCGTCAGCTCACAGCCACTGCTCTGCAGCGCCGCCACAGGCAAACCCACCGGCGATTTGTCCTGACTATGCGCCGGGAGGCGGATCACCAGAAGCACGTGAATAAGACCTTATGTGAGTTGGCGGGTAGAAGTCTTTGGGTCGAGGAACAACTCAAGGCTGCCTCCGCGGGATTCGACGAGGTGCGAGGCAGCCAACAGGTCATGGGTCAGTACCTGGAGCAGTTCGCAATTCGCATCGCGGATATCGAAGCATATATCAAGGGACACACGCAATGGGGACTTTGATTTGAATCCAGCAAAGTGGCCATTGGTGAGCACTCCTTGGGGGAATATAATGTCGCTGCACCACTACAAAGAGCAGCTGCTAGACGGTTAGTATTCGAGACCGGAAGGTGTGTATACAGTGCTACATGTTTTCTTGTTTCCTAATTTCTTGTAGCTTAATGCATTGTAAGTACTTATCCTGCCAACCATGTGTTGTAAAACGAATTTTGGCCGGTGATTTTGATCCATGAATGTTGACATCACTCGGTCTTCTTCAATTCGAAAATATAACTTTCAAACTTTAAAAGCTAGCTAGAGAACTTGAGAAAGGAGAGGACACCTCTGAACTCTGAATCAGAAGCAAGATAATCGAACTTTTCAAACCAATTTGCGCCGAAACGAATGCTTCTCTAGGGTAAGTAATCCACTTTCAGCGAAAAGACAAAAAGAAAACCCGGATTGCCCAACCATGTCCGGAAACCTCTTACATCCCGTAGCTGATACTACAAGTCGCCTGGCCGCTCCGTAGAAGCGTCTTCCGCATTCTCCACAACAACCTGCTGGTTCTTCCTAGCTTCCACCGCCTTGTACACGAGAGAAAGCATTTCTGGCTCATAGTTGTTCAAGGAAAGCACAACATCATTGGCTGCAGCGACGGAATTTGCACATTGGCCAGACCTGGCGGTGCCATAGCGGGACGCGACATAAAAACTGGTTATACCCGACAGCAAGCTGAAGAAGAAAATGAAGAGCTTCCATTCTTGCTTCCAGCGGATCTTGTTATGCTTGACGTCCGTGTCCTGCAGCTCCTTCATATCCTCAGTGAGCGTTGATAAGAGCTCCGTCAGGCGTTCCGTCAAGTCGTGCCGCATCCTCGTCTCCTCATCTGCCTCGACGGGTTCCGTACGATCACGATTCAAGGTGTCGAGTTCTTCCTTCATCTGCTTGAGAGAAATCGAGAATTTGTCCAATAGGAGCTTGACTTCCTTGGGACCAATTTTCCGCTGTCCTCTCATGTTGAGCTGCGTGGTGCTTCGGTGGAAGAATCTCGGGTTGGTCTTTCTCCATTTCTCGATCAGAAGCTCGCCGTAGGCCTTGGCTATTCGAACATGATCGCGAAGCAAGGGCTGGTGGTCTTTGTCACATGCCTTGATGACCTGTTCAAGATCCTCTTCTTTTAGTGCGACAAGATCTTTGGCTTTCAGCTCTTGGAGTTTTATCGAGGTTTTCGGACGCCCTTTAACCTTGGGCCCAGGTTCTGGTTGATTTTCAGGTTGTTTGCTTTTCGAGTAGCCAGTGATATCATCCCGGATATCCGGATTAGATGATGCAGCCTCAGGGTCAGACATCCTGATTGAACGCCCCCGAATCACGGATAGTCTGCAAGTTAGAATATGTATTTCCCGTTGCTGTGGTGTAGCTTCAGCACCAATGCACACCGAAGGAATGTTTTATAGCAGTTACCAGTTAGACTTGGCACTATTGCACTTTCTTTGATAATGTCGGTCATAGAGACAATTGCACCAACAATCACGCCTTTTGGATGCCGTTGGCCAATCTAACGGTCTTCCATGCGCCGTTGGAAGTTGATCTAGTGTTGTGCTGCAGACTATCTTTGGGGTGAGCCGAAAATGGGGATTTTTCGATGTCTAAGTTGGTTGGATCTGTTAAACAAGGAGAGGTTGAATGCATGACAGCACATCCGGTATCCCGTCGGTAGACAGCTGATGAGTTTCGCCTCCGTGTTATGGACCATCGCTGATCATATATTTAGATGAACCCAATGACAGATGCATATGTGTTGTTGGCTGTTTCACTCGCCATATTGGATGCAGGTACACGTATTCTCGTTGCAAAAAGCTTATGCTCAACATCAGTACCACGGCGAAGGAAAAAGGGGGGCTCTCTTTGTTCACTACCGTCGCTGTTAGTAGCTTTCGACGACCGAGAGGCGAGTGGGTGACTCCGTTCCAAGTGAAATACGAGTTTGAGCCCATCATATAATATATAATCTAAGGGGAAGTTCCCTGTGGCGTAGTAGTGTACGCTTAGCTACGGATGTTGATTTCGAAATGCCCATCTGCTGGTCATAGATATTGCTCAGTAGCCAAGCTTTCCAAGTCGCAGAGAAGAAAACAGCTGCAAAAGGAAGAAGAGCTCTGATGTCGGACGCACGAGATAACCGCCAGTGTCTAGCCACTTTCGGGTAAAGTATATGTTGCACGAGGAGTGACAGTTGGTCCCAAGCGTCCGCAAGCAAACATCAGAAAAGAGCCTGTCCTTGACCATGGTGGCTTTCCGCATACGGCATGATCGGTTGTCCTCTTGAACAGTGGGAGGTATGTCTTTATCTATCTTCCTGGTGACTACAGCCCTAATCTACGCAAGCAAAAGGCAGACCATGCATTCCTCTGGAGCCCATGGCTCTCAGGCTACGTTCGCAGCTGGGCTTGCCAATGAGCCAACCAGTCGTTGTATCCGGGTGTTCCAGTATCTCGAAGGCCCTCGGCGTACAGTTGGTTACAATGCTTTGGCACATCGTTGGACCAGCCCGCCGGAAAGAGCAAAGGGCATAGGCTCAGGTGGCCCATTGCTCGCCGTCCACGATCTCCTTCGAGACCACAACCCAAGGGGTCACTTGATTCCAAGTATCCGATCTCCAAATAGCTGCAGACCAGTTACCCCCTCTCATCGTCTCCACCTCGTCGCTTCTCAGCCAGAACGAAGCCATCCTCGTTTTGGTAGCCCACCTGTAGGTCATCAATACCCGAACTCCAGATTCGCGAACTGCCTTCGCTTTCTCCGAGCCGTCACCGTTCTCGTCGTCGAGGAGGGTATCACGAAGATTAGAGCCCGGATGGCTTCCCGAGTCTTCGTTCCAGAACACGAGCATGAAGTGGGGTCGGTTCTGAGATTGTACAAGACTTGGAGGGAAGCTGATATGATACTCGCGGATCGAGCTCAGGGCTGGCAGCAAGGACTTCTCGAATAAGAGACCAAACGGCAGCAAGCCTTGCCAGAGAGCACTTAGCGTTGTCATCTCTGCCAGCCACGGCTTGAGGCTAACGTTGAGCGACGGGTACGACTGGCTCACCGAACCCGGGTCCTCAACTGCTTGGCGCGGGGCCCTCACCGTCGTGGCAACTGTCCCCTGGAGTATCCTCTCGAGGATATCAGACAACCAGTGAGCAGGATAGCCAACATAATGCAAGTGAGCGACAAGCCTGAATATGATGGTCGGGTTCAGCGGTGTGTATACACAATCGATGTCATCCGGGTCTCTTGGGTAAGGGAGCAGGACTTTGAGCAGATGGCGATGTATGAAGCTCTCGAGCTCAGACCGTGACATTCGGTTCGCTGGAGATAGAGTCGCAGGGGCTACCTTGGTCCAGTTCGTGTAGTCGCTCATTTCCATTTCCTCCCAGTCCATGAATGATGGCGAATCATCGCGCAGCTGCACCCGGAAGTTGTCCTCAATGGACTTTGTGTCGCCCAGTAAGGTGTACTCGGCGAGGAACTGCTGGTAATCCTCGAATGCCGAATTGTTTAGCAGCACACTGGAGCTGAGGCTTGACTTTGGTTTCAAGGCAGGGGTTGCATATATGAAAGAGCTCAGGGCGCCTCCCACGTAGTCCCTAATAATTAGTAAGTTAGTGAACACACCGGTCAAATAATTATTGACTTAGGAAAGTTTACGTACGGAATATTGCTGAGGTGGATGCGGTCGTAGGCCTTAGGGAATGTACTGGGATCTAACGTGCCTTGTTTTCCCCCCTGACGCGACGGAAGGACATCATAGCGAAGCCGTTCAAGATAGTCGTTCATTTCGCTCACGGCTACCTCAACCGTAAGCCGCGATTTGAGTGCATCGAGCGAGAAGGCAACGCATCTGAAGAAAACCTCGAAACACGCCATAAAGCCCTTGCCCTCTGCGGCACGTGCGGTATCTTCGACCTCGCCTGGATGAAGCATGTGGAATACCAGGGTAGGATGCGCGGGCATATCTGGGCCCCCAGCGCCTTGACGGTCCTTGAACTCATCGAAGTCTAGGTCGACCAAGGTGACGTTGAGTTTCCAATGCTGGTCAACGTAATCCTCAATCTGTTCCGACGTGCCCTTGCCAGAAGAATAGTCCTCGAGCAGCTGCTTGAGCTCGCTTTCATGTTCGCGCAGGAAACGGTCATTCGGCATCATAATGCCAAACTCATCAAACTTGTCATCATCTTCTTGGCACCCAGGGGGCACAGAGAACTCGCCGTCCTTCTCGAGTTTCTGCCTCAGGGCCTGCTCCTGAGCCCACAAACGAAATTGCTTGGTGGTATACTTGCCGCGCAGGTTCTGCTGCCACAAGCGAAGATGGTGGCAGATTGCTGGGCGTTGAGATTCAGGGACATAGACCCAAGCGTTCACGGGGTTCCCATCCTCAAGCTTCTGTAGTAGGCTACTTATGGCCTCCTGGAGCTTGGTGTATGCGAAGGGCGGCATAACCTGGGAGACGAAGACGTAGATCAAGCATGTCAGTGCTTCGTTGCACTCTAGCATGGAGTCTAGATCTGAGAGCAACTCAAGACTGATCAAGTTCCGGGCGAAGACGGCCGGGTTCAGGTCGACCAGTGTGAAATGGTATTGTCTTTCCCGCCCGGTCCGAGCCTCCCCGTTGGGAAGTGCGATGAGGGTGCGATAGAAGTTGCGCGCATCTCCAACACCGGCGAACATCCATGATAGCCGTTCAGCGGTTGACAATGCAATATCATCGTCATATGCAGCTTCGGCGTTGTCAAGCCCAATGGCGCAGTACTCTGGTTCATTCTGGCTTGGGTACTGTCAGTGATAACTCCCAGATCGCAAGTGGGGTGTCTCACTATGCTGGCTTGGTCCTTGGTACCTCGTCTAGAACTTTTGTTCTCAGTTGGGTAGCAGCCATAGCCGGAGATTGCAATGCAACGGAGGACTCCAGGGCCTCGCGCTCAGCGCTAGCTGCCAGCTTAGCCACAGCATTCCTTGCATTGTCAAGACTCCGACTGAGCGCATAGGATTTGGCGAGCCTCAGATGCAGTTCTTCTCTCCTGGAGTCGGCCTCTTGGTCGTTTCCGAGGAGTCGCAAAGCCTTTTCAGAGTACAAGGCAGAGCCGGTGTAGTTGCCCAGCTCATACTGCACGGCGGCGAGACTGGCGAGGGGTGCATGATCCGCCGGGGCAAGCTTCAATGCCTCGAAATAGGCTCTCGTCGCTTGATCGAATAGGCCTTTTTGATGGAGCTCCTGGCCGCGGTTGAGCACCTCTGCAGATTTTTCTGCTGGTGTCGACATATTGTGATCAAGGCGCTGTTGTGGAGATGGAGTCGTCAGGTTCTGGCCAGGTTAGACACGCCAACTTGGCTCCATTGAGATCGGGCTTCAAGGCCGAGGTATCGCAATTTACAGAATTTTCCGCGATCTATTTCATGGAAGCGAGTATCTGATGCGTGGGAGCAGCTTTCGCATAGTAGATAGTCTCAGTCACGACAAATTCTGACAAGTCGACGCAAGTAAGACACCAGCACCGGGTCCCACCTGTCGGACATTCGACGGCCATCGCGACCACACGAAATGCCTATAATGAAACGACGGCATATATAGATTTTTAGTATATCTACGACTTGCTGTTTTGTACATAGCACGACACATGATTCAGTCAATTGGTGTATTGTTTGAGGAGAACCCTTGGGCTGGGAAGCCTGTGGACAGCCCTTGGTCACTGGTGACAGCTAACTCGGATTACCAACATTGGGCTGCGATAACAGCAGGGAACACCCATCCCAACTGCAGGTCGCAATCTTGGAAATTGGCGCAGTAGCCAGGGACAAGACGTTAGGTGCTTGTGGAAACTCGTGTAGTAGAGTTGCTGTGCTCTGGTGTTTCCATTTTGGTGTAATGTGAAGCCGAAGAAGGACGGATTAGCTATGCGGTTGCTCTGTTTGGCTGGTTGATTGGGGACTGGGACGGATTGGAGCCCTCTCTGAACTGATCCATTATCTCTCTGGGATTTGGGGGCGGGAATGGCTCGTTACATAGCTGACGCCACGCTGTGGCGGCCGCGTAACTTGCTTCCAGGTTGGACTTGGGAGGTCGATCCACCGTCAGGACCGTCCCAGCAAGCGGAAAGCCAAAAGGTTTGGGCGGGCGGAGGGCACCTTTGGGCTCTGGCACTGGCGCTGGCCTGGGCCTGATGGCCTGACTGGGTCCCAGCCGGTCGAGTGAGGCGGTGCACCGGCCTGCGTTTTCCCAGGGTAAGGGTCCTCAGAGCGACTGGAAACTGGGTGTGTGTTCAGTTACGACATCCATGGTGTTGTTTCCCAAGGGCCACCTGCAGACTCGCAGCTCGCCCGCGCGCGTGTGTGGGTTCTCTTTCATCGCCTTCTTTCAACTCGCCAAAAGAGTGGCTAGGCAAGCGCACACTGGCCGCGCTTCGCTCTCCCAACGTCCAGAGGGTTTCTTTCATTGTTGCGAGACCCTGCTAACAGACTCTCCCCGTCTGCTTTCCCTTTTCCCTTTCTCCTTGCCAATCCCTCCCCCATCTCTCTTGCTCGCACGCGAACATCCAGCTCGCGATAAGACCCCTCCTCAGTCGCAATGGCTGGCCCCGCCTCCCCGGCCACCGAAGGCCCCACGTACGAGCCGCCCACGCTGCCTCCTGGATGGATTGCCCAGTGGGATGGCACGAGCAAGAAGTATTACTTTGTCTCGATATCGACCGGCGTCTCGCAGTGGGAGACCCCGACCTCGGCCGCCCCCGGCGGCACCCCCGCCCACGGCAACGAGCACCCCTTCGGCGTCCCGGGCCAGAGGGAGCTGATCACGCATCCCGACGGCACCCAGACCGTCAGGTACCCCGATGGCCGCATGGAGCCGGTTATGCCCCCGGGCGAGAGCTCGCGCGGGCCTGGAGGAGAGACGAGCGATCGAGGTCTGGGTGTAAGCAAGCCCAATTGCTGCTGACTACTGCTACTGCTAGTACTACGCCCGTGCAACACCGACTAACACTCACCGCCGCAGAGCTTCGCGGCCAACGCGTTAATGAACCAGATCTCGGGCGGCCATGGGAAGCAATCGCATGGCAGCGGCCACGGCTCGAGCCCCCTCGGCGGCATCGCTGGCCAACTCATCGGCGGCCTCAGCGGCGGCGGTAGCCACGGCAACTCGCACAACAGTTCTCATGGGAGCAGCAGCGGCGGTGGTGCTGGCAAGCTTGTGGGGGCACTGGCCTCGAGTCTCTTCTCCAGCGGCGGGAAGCAGGACCACCAAGCTCCGCCCCAGAACTACCACGGAGGTCAGACGGCTACGCCCCAGCACTCTGGCGGATTTGCCGGGTCGGTGATGGGAGGAGTAGCGAACATGTTTGGCGGGAACCAGGGTCACTCGGTATGTCTGACAGCAGGGCATGTGCTTGGTGATGCCGGTACTGACAGCAGCAAAAGAACCAGAACTACGGCTATTCAAACTCGGGCCAGTCCGGGGGCTACAGCGGATCGGCCCCTCCAACCTCATACCAACCAGGCGGTCAATCTACGGCTGCCTACAGCTCGCCGGGCCCGAACAACCAGCACAGCCAGCACGGCACGCCCTCGTACGGCGCGCAGGCAAGCCAGCAGCATGGCACCCCATCCTACCCGCCTCCGCCTGGTCAACAAGGCTCTTATAGCAGCCCGCCTCCTACCCAGCAACACCAGAGCTACGGCCAACACAGCCCAGCACCGCAGGGCCAGCATTACTGTAAGCAATGGCACAGCAATTGTGTGTGATGCATCGTCCTGACAGCAAATAGCACACCAACCGTCCTACGCACCTCCAGCCGCCGGCCATCAACCACCCTACGGTGGCCAGCAGTCGCAGTACCCGTCTTCTCAACCTGGCTACAACCCGCAGTACGGGCAGATGCCTCCTCCTCCGCCCGTGGGACAACACTCGTATTCCGCACAGCCATCGTACGGAGGCGGCCCCAGTCACCAGGCCCCGCCAGTGCCCTCGGGCTCGCACCCGCACTACGGCCAGCAAGGGAATCAGCAGGGAGGGTACCCAGGCAACTGGTAGCATACGTGAGATGGGTCTTTTTGGATGATGGGGAGCACACGAACGCCCGACGGGGCAAATGCGACGAAGTTTCGATGGATCACTCTCTGGGCCGTCTCTCTTGGCCTGATATACTGTCCAACCCCGGATCGTGCAATGGGGGTCCATTGCGGCCCCGTCTCAGATGGATAGAGTTGGGACGGACTGCATAAAACGCGTGCAGCATGTCTGGGGAGGTCTTTTGTTTATACTGATGATGAGTGACGAAATCCGAATGCCACCTGTATATTCCGCTGGGCTTAGAAGGCATTATAGGTCGTTTTCCTGGTAATTGAAGAAAATGCTTCCACCGTGGGGCCTGTGAGGTGACTGTGACTGGCGATGATGGAAGTTGCGGGTAGGATCATGTGTAAATCCGGCCGGGGAAAAATACAAACGAAGCCTGGATCCGTTTCCCACGGGACCTCATTGGCCTTTCTTGTCCTCATCTACCGTAGCCACCGCACGAACCCAAGTTGAGATCCGCCGTGCCAAGAACCACGACAGAGCGGTTACCACGATGATGTAGCCCACCGTGGGTACCAGTGATCGGGGGAGCACGTTGAATACAAATGGGTCGAGAATGATATCCACAAGCACTGGAGGGACATCATTCATGAGCGTCTTGTTGGTCGTATAATAGTCCGCGGCAGCTAGAATCCGCAGATAGAGAACCGAAGTCTCTTGGCCAGGTTTGCGGCCCGACGGTTGTGTACTCCCTGGGCGCTCCTCTGCGCGCGAGCCCACATACTCCCGAGCGCTAGAGTGGAACTCGTCTCGTAGTTCCAGGTCGCCATATACGGCGTCAGTCTCATAAGTATCAAGACGAAACTCGGTGGGTTGCTGGGTCTGTGTTAGTCATACGACTCTGCTATCAAGCTCATCTCCAATCCCCATCGCCAAAACTTACAGTAGCTGCCCAGCAGACCCGGACCTCATACCGCTGGCCCTCGGCCAGGTCTTCAAGGCCGATCCAGGTGACCTTGCCGAAGGGGGCCGCGTCGCTCGGAAACCGAGCCTCCAGGTGCGTCCGTATGGCCCCGTGCTCCGGGGTGAGAACGGGCACGGCCAGATCCTCGCTGCCGCCAAGCAGCGGCGTCGCGTGGGCCGCCGCCCGGGGCCCGAGGAAGATGGCCTTCTCCGTGTTTGCCAGTGCCGGGGTGGCGGCGGCCAGCAGGCTCGCCAGGCAGGCGGATTTCAACATGCCGGGGCTACGGTCCTAGTGGGCGCGGATGGGCGGGTGCGACACAAGCAGCCCCTGGAGGCGCGTCTAGGGAATGCGGGTGCCTAATTGACGGGATCTACTGTGTGTGTGCTGTGGTCGGGGTGGGATGGAATGTGTTGGCTGGTCGAACCTCGACTCGTGATATGTATTCACTTCGAGCCTCGGGGGTTTTGTTCAAGTTATGGACGTGCTGTGCTGTCTGTCACAGTGACTAAACTTGGTGGGTAGCTGCGATCCCTGGGACACATCCAATGGTTGGTTGCGTTCGCAAGTTGCCGAGTTGGCGACCGGGATGAGGAGGGACAGTTGGGGTTTTGGGACACCACACCGCTATCGACCAGACCCGACCAACACCGACCGTGTTAAGGGTCTGAACCCAATAGCAGGCGGCCCACGGTATCTATTCTGCATGAGAGGTCTCAAGTGTTTCAGTGATAGAGTTCTCATGCAGCCGACACCATCAAGCAAACGCCCTGGACTAAGTTAGTGGAAAGGTGTGCTGTCCAGCGGTCGTCCAGCAGTCGTCCACCTTGACGATATGAAGAGGGCAAACTTGGTAAATTAGCAGTAAATAGTCTACCAAGGTGAGTTAGGTGCAGGTACCTAGGGAGCACGACCAGGTGTCCAATTTCTCACTAATCCCAATGGAAGTGTCCCCTACCGTTCCTCCTGTACCATAGTAAGGTCCCCTGAAATTGAGCACTGGGCGCTGGGCGCTGGGCACTGGGCAGATGGCAGCCGGGCCCCTGCTTTTCCCCCCTGCTTTCCGTCCAATCCCTCTGCATCCCCCCTCCCAAACAGGCACGGCTTCGGGGACGCGCTTGCCCGGACTGGGCATGGGCTATTGAATTGTCAACAAATGCCCATCTCCATCTGAGGTGCCCGCCGTCCAATCCCGTCCGCCCACCGTCCATCACCCCCCGTTTCCCCCCCCACTAAAGCCCATCTTCGCCTGTTGACCTCCTCTCCCCGATATCTTTCGACAATTTCCACCACACCCCGACCAGACCATCCCGACGAGAGACACAGGCTGCTGACCGGGCTGCTTGTTGATACTTTCTCAACCTCGCGAACAATCGTCCCCCTCTCTCTCCGCCCTCTTCCTACCATCTCCCGCTGCTTCTTGCATCACCGCCAACATGCGTGAGATCATCAGCATCAACGGTACGTGGGCTTTATTTTGCTTGGGCCCGGGCTTGGGCTCGCAGCCCGCCCCGGCACGCGTTCTGCTCCCTCACCGCATCCTCGTGCGCTGCCCTCACCACCGACACATGCTGACTTTTGTGCCTCTCTAGTCGGCCAGGCCGGTTGCCAGATTGCCAACTCGTGCTGGGAGGTGAGTTTCCATCCCGCACATCCCACAGATTTCCGTATATCACGAGGGGATGTCGCCCCTGTTGGCTTCGCGGTGCCAATCCTGCCGCCCCGACTCCCGGCAGATCCTTGCGCTACTACCGACACCAACACCGACCCCGACAGGGACTGGGACTGGGACTGGACACTCGGACTGACATTTGTTTTCTTCGTAGCTTTACTGCCTTGAGCACGGCATCCAGGTATGTTGACCAGCTCCCCACACGTCGTCTGCCATTGCTAACGCGTCTCGTCCAGCCCGACGGTTACCTGACCGAGGAGCGCAAAGCCGCCGACCCCGACCATGGCTTCAGCACTTTCTTCTCCGAGACTGGTACGCTTGCTGTTTCCATCATGTCCGCGCCGCGACTGGCCACGGCAGTCTTCTAACACAGTCACGTTCTACAGGCCAGGGCAAGTACGTCCCCCGTACCATCTACTGCGATCTCGAGCCCAACGTCGTCGACGAGGTCCGCACCGGTACCTACCGCAGCCTGTTCCACCCCGAGCAGATGATCACCGGCAAGGAGGATGCCTCCAACAACTACGCCCGTGGCCACTACACCGTGGGCAAGGAGCTGATCGACTCGGTCATGGACAAGGTGCGCCGCGTTGCCGACAGCTGTGCCGGTCTCCAGGGTTTCCTCGTCTTCCACTCGTTCGGTGGTGGTACCGGTTCTGGTTTCGGTGCCCTCCTCATGGAGCGCCTGTCCGTCGACTACGGCAAGAAGAGCAAGCTGGAGTTCTGCGTCTATCCCGCCCCTCAGACCGCCACCTCGGTCGTTGAGCCCTACAACTCCATCCTCACCACCCACACCACCCTCGAGCACTCCGACTGCTCCTTCATGGTCGACAACGAGGCCATCTACGACATCTGCCGCCGCAACCTCGGTGTCGAGCGTCCCAACTTTGAGAACCTGAACCGCTTGATCGCTCAAGGTAAATGCTAACCCCCTTGCGATTCGTGCAGGCAAGAGGAACGAAGGATGCTAACATATGGCGCAGTTGTCTCCTCCATCACCGCCTCGCTCCGCTTTGACGGTTCGCTGAACGTCGATCTCAACGAGTTCCAGACCAACTTGGTCCCCTACCCCCGTATCCACTTCCCTCTGGTCGCCTACGCCCCCGTCGTCTCGGCTGCCAAGGCTTCCCACGAGGCCAACTCGGTCCAGGAGATGACCATGTCCTGCTTCGAGCCCTACAACCAGATGGTCAAGTGTGACCCCCGCCACGGCAAGTACATGGCCACCTGCCTGCTGTACCGTGGTGATGTCGTCCCCAAGGACGCCCACGCCGCCGTCGCCACCCTCAAGACCAAGCGTACCATCCAGTTCGTCGACTGGTGCCCTACCGGTTTCAAGCTTGGTATCTGCTTCCAGCCTCCTCAATACGTCCCCAACGGCGACTTGGCCAAGGTTGACCGTGCTGTGTAAGTGGCCCCCTCTCGAAATTTTTTTTTTTCAGGCAGACAGTATAGCTAATATGACCAACAGCTGCATGCTCTCCAACACCACCGCCATTGCCGAGGCCTGGTCCGCCCTGTCCACCAAGTTCGACCTCATGTACTCCAAGCGTGCCTTTGTCCACTGGTATGTTGGTGAGGGTATGGAGGAGGGTGAATTCTCCGAGGCCCGTGAGGATCTGGCTGCTCTGGAGCGCGATTACGAGGAGGTTGCCACCGACTCTCTGGAGGCTGAGGGTGACCTTGAGGCTGAGTACTAAGGCGTTGACGCCCGAGAAGCCGTACACCGCGGGAAGGCTGGTGCCGGGGGGTGTTGAGTAAATTTCTCTCGCAATGAACGCCGAGCCTGTTGCGATGATAAAAGACGCGTTCGCCCTCTATCTACTTATAGGAAACGTCTCTACTTTTGATACTTTGATGCACGGGTATAGAGGCGGCTCAATGCTTTTGTGAGAGCAGTAGAGGGGTAGGCAAAAGAGGCTTGGCTGGCTGTCTAATTTGATTTCTGTACAGAGCCGGGCGATTCGGAGTAGTATACACTTTGTAAATCCGTTCCACCACTTTTAATAGTACGAATGCATCGGTGGTATGTATCGATTAACCGTTCTTGAACTTGGCTCTTCTATAATGATGATCAAGGTAGTATCTTTTTGGCCTTATTTGGTATCTGCAATGTAACAAGGATGCAGCGCAGTCGGTCGCGCCCAATGGAGACTGCATATGCACCCAACGGCAGCCTTCTCAACGGCCGTTCCAATAGAGTAGACCACCAAAATTTATTATGTAGCAGTGGCTTGCATTAAGCTGCATGCGGGATGGAACTCATATGACATGACTTCTTCCAATCAGGCACAGTTCTTCCTGGGGGGTGATGAAGCCCTGAGTTAGTCATTGTATCCCGTTGGTAAGTGATGTTCGTCGTGGGTTTCTGCCGAGAAAGTCAAGGGTCAAAGCACAACAATGGTCAAAATAATCTATCAAGTCCACCCCCCGGCGCCAAGAGCGAGATGCACTGCTCTCTGAGCTGGGCGAGATTGGCTGTGGAAGCGACCAAGTCGGGCAGCACACGGAGTTAGTGAGCGAGGGTCTCTCTCTCTTGCTCGCTCCGTACAAGCAAACCGTGACGGTCTCCCCTGGGGGCGCGTCACTGAATAGTTTCGTGATGGCAGATTACCGAGACATGGACCTAAGTTAGGTATTGAACCTGACGTCAAGCCGTCTCCAGGAGTCCATAAGCCCACCTTGCGAAGTACTTGCTACGTGGGCAATATTTCCATGGGTTGACCAGGTTGAGAGAGTCAGTCTGGGGGTCGGGCTGCTCGGGTTCTTCCGACTGATTGGCTACGGGCGGTGCAACCCCCCTGTCGATTTCTGGGCCACACGCCCCTACGATGGTGCTAAGGCCTACCTGAACTCCACAAGGAGCAACAGCAAGCAACACACATCAATGTCCAGCCTCCCGCCTAGACGCCCGCCCCCAGAGACCGCCAGGCGTGTCGTCACCTTTGAATCCGACGACGGGCTACGCAGTGTAAGCCCCATCTGCTACAGCCAGGCTTCGATTGAAAGGAACAGCCATCCATCGAGTGCGACCGCTCTCTACTACTACTTGACTACCACCGCCGCCAGCCGAACCTGGTGCCCCTAGCGACCACCCGCCCGCATTGGCTTTCTTGCCTCAACCACAGCTCGCGAGCTCCATCTTCAGCCGGGGAGCTCGGCCACAACAGTCATGTCCGCTGAATCCAGCGTCGAGGCCGGTGAGTTCAGTCAGGCGCCTATGCCATCGAGTCGCCCTTCCATTTCGCGCCGGATAGGATATACTGCCTACCCTCGGGATGGACCGCAGAGCTGACGGTGCTCCAAAACTACAGCTGCGCCGAATCTAAACCTCACCCCCGAGGAGAAGCGGGTGTTTGGCCAATTATTCCGCCAGGCCGACACCGATAATGTGGGCGTCGTCACCGGAGAGACGGCCGTCAAGTTCTTCGACAAGACAAGACTAGACTCGCGTGTACTCGGAGAGGTGTGTTGGAACCCTGGCCCTTTGTCACTTATGATCTGCCTATATCAGTCTTGGGGAGACGCCGCTGACTTTCCGCCCGATCACCACTAGATCTGGCAGCTGGCCGACCAAGAGAACCGCGGCTTCCTCACCCCCGCCGGCTTCAGCATCGTTCTCCGCCTCATCGGCCATGCGCAAGCTGGTCGCGAGCCCTCCCAAGAACTTGCCCTACAACCGGGACCGATCCCGCGCTTCGAGGGCTTCGCGCCAGCCGGGCCCCCGCCGCCTCCCGCCGCCCAGCCGTTGCAGGCCCAGGGGACTGGAGGCGTGCCCCTCCGCATCCCTCCCCTGACCCCCGAGAAGGTCTCGCAGTATGCCGGTCTCTTCGAGAGGCAGAACCTGCAGGGTGGGAACATGCTGCCTGGCGACCAGGCCAAGAACATCTTTGAGAAGTCAGGTCTGCCGAACGAGATCCTGGGCAGAATATGGCAGCTCGCCGATACGGAACAGAGGGGCGCGCTCGTCCAGACCGAGTTTGTCATCGCGATGCACCTCTTGACCTCCCTGAAGACGGGCCAGCTCAGGGGACTGCCGAACGTCCTGCCCGCAGCCTTGTACGAGGCGGCCACGCGACGAGGTCCGGCCCCGAGGCAGAGCCCGACGACTACTGGGCCGCAGTTGTCTGCCATCCCGCGCCAGTTGAGTGGGCAGGCCCAGATGCGCCAGGGCAGTCCTCTGGCCCGCTCAGCCCTGCACCCTCAAGGCTCCGGGCTCTCGCAACAGGCGACCGGCTCAGACTGGGCCGTCTCACCAGCAGACAAGGCACGATTTGACGAATTCTACGCGACATTGGACCCGACCAACAAGGGCTTCATCACTGGAGAGGAGGCCGTGCCGTTCCTGAGCCAGTCGAATCTGTCGGAAGATGCGCTGGCTCAGGTCTGGGATCTTTCGGATATCAACTCGGAGGGACGCCTGACGAGGGATACGTTTGCTGTAGCTATGTACCTGATCCGACAGCAGAGGAGCAAGCGTGATGGCTCAAGCGCTCTGCCCACCACTCTGCCTCCAAACCTCATCCCTCCTTCTCTGCGTCAAGCACGGCCCCCTACCGCTGGTGCTTCGCCTTTCGATGCGCCAGAACCGCCCAAACCCCAGCCGCCTCCTGCTCCTAAATCAGCCATGGATGACCTCTTTGATCTCGATTCACCCGCTCCCGTCGCTCCCGCTCAAGCCCCGATGGCCACCGGTGGCTCCGCCGCCAAGGATCCATTCGCCAGTGCGCCGTTGGCACCAGCTTCCCCGATGCGTCCATCACCAACTGGAACCCAATTCAAGCCGTTCATGCCGTCTTCGTCGTTCGGCAGGACCTTGCAGTCGCATGACACTGGTGGCTCCAGCGGTTCAAAACCTTCATCGGCCGTCGATGATCTGCTTGGTGACAACGACCCCGAGATCAGCAAGAAGCTCACGAACGAGACTGCCGAGCTTGCCAACTTATCCAACCAGATTGGGTCATTGTCAAACCAGATGCAGCAGGTGCAGGGTCAGCGTACTACTACCCAGAAGGAGATCAACCAGACCAGCCAGCAGAAGAAAAACTTCGAGGACCGGCTAGCCCAGCTGCGGGCTTTGTACGAAAAGGAGGCCAAGGAGGTCGCCGATCTCAAGGATCAGCTGCAGAAGTCGCGGGATGAGACGAGAAAACTGATGACTGAGATGGCAACTATTGACGGAAACTATCGAGATATCCAAACTCAACATCAGCAGCTGTCAGCCGCCCTGCAAGCTGACCAGCAAGAGAACCAAAGCTTGAAGCAGAAGATCAGTGCGGTCAACGCCGAGGTCGCTCAACTCAAGCCGCAAATCGAGAAGCTCAAGTCGGACGCCAGGCAACACAAGGGCCTGGTGGCCATCAACAAGAAGCAGCTTTCCACCGTCGAGGGCGAGCGTGACAAGCTCAAGACCGAGGCAGAGGATCTGACAAGGAGCAACGAGGAGCTTTCTCGCCAAACCAGCACCAGTTCGCCGGTTGCAGAGCGTGCTCAAGTGGCAAGCCCTGCACCTTCAACTGCTAGTGGCAACAACCCCTTCTTTAAGCGAACTGGAAGTACGGACATTATGGGGGCATTTGCTTCACCACCGCCACCCAAGGGCTACGGTGACAAGTCGTTTGATGACATCTTTGGCGGCTTTGCTACCGGCAGCGCGTCTAGCACACCGCCTCCTGTCTCGTTCAAGCAACAGCACACGGGCACTTCGACGGCAAGTGTAGGATCTTTTGCCACCCCAGCTGCTTCTACCCCTACTGTCAGTGGACCAGCCACCCTTGCTGCCGCGGAACCGCCGCCCCCACCTGTTTCTAGACAAATCACTTCGAGCTTTCTGCCCTTCGGCGAGATGAGCGAATCGCTGACGTCTTCTCGCCAGGCCTCTCCTCCTCTGAGTCGGGTGGGCGATGGCAGCACGCCTGCCGCTGTGAACACCGCTAACCCCCTGGAGCCCTCCGCGACCGGTAGCAGCTTCACATCTGCACAGGATGCTACCAAGAGTCCTGTCGGTGGCGTTGACGAAGAGGCTCGCCCCACGAGCAACGGTAGCATTCCTGGGGCTTTCCCAGAAGACACCCCCAAGGCCGCCTCGGAAACCACTGAGGCCGCCCCCTCCTTCGCCGGCAATCGGGACAGTGAGGTCTTTGCGAGCATGAAGAAGGACCCTGCCAATACGAAGGATGACTTTGACTCTGCTTTTGCCAGCTTCGGCTCCTCGAGTAAACCTCAGGATACGTCGAAGGAGACCGACAATGTTTTCGACACCGAGTTCCCTCCCATCTCGGAACTTGAACGGGATGACGATTCCGAGTCCGATAGCGATGGAAATGGCTTTGACGACGACTTTGCTCCGGCCTCACCATCGGCTGCAGCGGGAAAGGCGACGCCGAAGGGTCCAGCCTCGCCGGTAGCTACCACCAAGGTTCCTGATGTACCAGCTGCGGAGGGCGCCAGCTCCTTTACTCAACCCTCAAAGTACGACATCCTCAGTTTCAATGCGTTCATTCCTCAATCGTCCATAAGTACTAACCATCTGCTAAGTGCTTCCTTCCCACAACCCTCGGCGACGTCTCCTAACCCGGCATCTGGCTCGAAGGCTGATGACCCATTCGCGCCCGCTTCGGACTTCGCCCCGGGACCTAGCACTGTGACTAACACTGCCCCGGTAGCTTCTAAGGGCGCGTTCGACGACCTCGATGATGAGTTCGAAGGCCTTGAAGACGCGAAGGAGGGCTCGGCCGATGATGAGTTCGCCAACATTTCGCGGTCGAACCTCGATGACTTCAACCCCGTCTTCGATAGCAGCCCGCCGCCATCTCAACCAAAGAGCGAGTCCACTAACGTCTCCAACGCGTTCGGCATCGACAGCAGCTACGACTTTGGCAATGTGTCGGCCCCTCCATCCCAATCTGCCAGCACCGCTGCACCCACGGCTGCCTCTGGTACCAGCGCTGCCAAGGCACCCGAGAACCATGACTGGGACGCGCTCTTTGCCGATTTGGATGAGCCCAACGCTGCTGCAAAGGAGGGTGGTGGTGAGAAGGCCGCCAGCCCAGAGCAGAGCTTGAGCTCAGGAAGGCCGAGTCTGCAGAACGCGGGCAGGCTTCTCACGGAGGATGGCGTGCATGACGATCCCATCCTGAAGAACCTTACCGGCATGGGGTACTCAAGGCAGGACTCCCTCGCCGCACTAGAGAAATATGACTACAACCTTGAAAGGGTGAGTCCTCGTCATTCCTGAATAGCAGAGTTTGAAGCTGACTGGACCATTGTATTGTAGGCTGCAAACTACCTTGCCAGCCAGTCTTAAAAATCGTCCGTAACCCTTTTCGGGGAGATGGAGACCCCCGTATACTCATTTCACATCACTCGTCACGCACGCCGTCTAGGCAGTAGCGGAGGCTTCTTGTCGTGAAATTCAAAACTCAAAGACAGACCAGACCCTAAGATACCTTTGCATTGGCGGCGAGATTTTTCCTGTTTCCTGTTTCTTACTCAGGCTTCTTTGTTCTTCGTTCGTTCCATCCACGCCTAATTTTCTTTTGTTTCGGCATTTGCGAGACGTTCTTGTACGGGAGGAGGGGAGGCGAGAACGCGAGGGGGAGAGAGGGGGGAAGAGGAGGCGGAAGGCGGGTTGAACTAGTTTAATGTATAAGTTCTTGTGTATTCTCTGTTTCCCGCTCCAACGGCGGGGTTTGGAAACTTGTATGAGCCCGAAGTGGAAGAAGCAGAAGAAAGTGGTGGTAGTGCTCGTGGGTGACACTCAGACGAGATGGGATGAGATGAAACGTCGAGACTTAATATATCATGATGGTTTCTTCCCAGCGTCGTTTTCTCGTCTATAGGTTTCATCTTTTGGCCGCTCCTTGGGACCAGAGGATGCGAAATCACTAATTAACTATGTCGCTCAGTTCGGGGTACGAGGCCGTGGCGGATGGGGTGGGACAGCGAACATGATCTGGCGAGGGCGAAGTTTTCTACAATACGTACTCTTTGCTCCTGGCTTGGACGATGCGGTAAGATCTCTACCTCTCCTACAGACAAGGGTGGAAACTCCCGGTGCCGTCGTGGGCGGTATCTATCAAACGTACGTGATGGTGCTTTGCCGCTCATGCCAATTGGCAAGTACGCAGTTCTACGCAAGGTACACAAGCAGCTCGGCGCTTTCATTTTGCACTTTGTCAGAGGAGAAAAGCTCAGCATTCGCACATGCTTTCATTTTCTTCGCTGGGGTGGTAAAGTCCAGAATTCTCGCGTCCCTAGAGACGACGCATTCGGGCATTCAGCTCCGAGGCTGAGCTCAGAAGATTCGCACAATGGCTCACGGACCAGCTCCCATAACGTTACACAGAAGCAGAAAGCACTGACCAGTCCTTATTTGTACATAGTATGGGAAGGCCAGTAATCGCGAGGTAAAAAAGAAACCATTTTAGGGATGGCGAGAAGTTCTCTTCATTTGATTGGACATCTTGTGGTACATGGTCCGTGATCCATTGTGCGAATCTTCTGAGTCCCAACGGTAATGCAGAAAGCTTGGCATCTCACCTTCCAGATCGCCGTATGTACGTAGCTTGAATTGAATTTAACTCTATTCCACCCACGGAGATTTGAAATTCCTCAAGGCCCTGAGTGGTCGCCTCGGACTCGGAGCGGGCCCGCGTCAGCATTTACAGCCAGGAGTCCGCTCACCACGAAATTGAGCGAGCCGCGGTGAAAATTCTCTCGGCCAGGATTCTCAGCTGAGTTTTATCAAAAGTACTCCCGTCTATACGGAGTGTGCATGACTGTAGTGCCTGTTCTCATAGGCAGCGTGTACAAAGGCTGAGGGCGGCCCAATCATCGACATGAGAAAAGGCCAAGACATTGACGTGCTTACATAATAGCTGATAAGGGGTTTCAACGAATCTCCCTTCGCTGTAGCTTATGTATAGATCCAGGGTTCAACAGGTACCCTGCGTGATCTGCACCATGGGTCGCAAGCGATTGCGAGTGCCGATAAGCAGCAGTAAACGGTCCATGCAGATGGAGAACCCCAAGTCTGGGGGCATGGAAGTCTCAAACTGTCTGGTCGGCAACGCCCACCACAGCAGGGCCGTCACTAGTGGGTGCGCCATCGATCTGGTCGCGCATCCATTTCACGTAGGCCCTTTCCGACTCGCAGGGCTTCCGGATGAGGAGGAAGCGGTTCATGACCATGTGCACGTGCAGCTCGCCGGGGAATGCTAGCGCCGTCGTCTCGGCGTGGTGTTCTCGAAGTATCTCGCAGAGCTTCCCTGCATCGTCGCGTAGCAGCTCCTTATCTCCGTACGTGACTAGGATACGCTTCACTGGCAAGTCGTCCCACCATTCCAGGGGTGCGGTCAGGGGGCTATTCCAAGCATCGGGGGCCGCATCACCCAGAAAGTTCTTCGCCCAATAGGCGAGTGAGGGAGTGCTGAGGATATCCTCCTGTTTGTTTGTTTCCAGGGATGTTGCTGACGATTGAAGCTGTACCCACGGCGAAACCAGAACCGCGCCACCTAGAGGAGTGTTCATTTCCACCTGCGGGACTTGAGGGTTGGGATGCTTCAAATGCAACAGCAGACTGAGCAATAGGTGAGCGCCCGCAGAATCTCCCACCAGGGTGATGGACCCAGGTGGGATCTGCTTCGATGAGGTCAAGTGATTCAACAGAGAGACTGCTTGCTGGAGCTGTCGAGGGTAGTGGTTGGCATGTTCCGATGCAAGATCTAATGTGTCTTGATCAGACTAGTCCAGCGATTGCAGTAAGCGGGATGAACTCACCATATTGTAGGAAATATACGGCAACATCTCTTGTAGAGTATTCACCATAGCCGAATGCAAAAGACGCGTGCTCGCTCAGTGCTGGTGCCATGTAGCCGCCGCCATGGAAGAACATAACAACATTCTTCGCACTTGGCGGCCCAAGTCGATTTGCAATGGTTGCATCTGGTAGCTGGATTACTTCAAATGGAATTCCATGTTTGTTGGCGAATCTCGAACACGTCTTGGATGTTGATGGTAGTAGATTCTGTATAGCAACTGCTGATAACCCAGATTGGTAGTCGCGCATACCAACATAGGCGATGTATTCGTGGAGCGACAGGCCATGGGTCCCGCGCGTCAGAAGCGCTCGACCAGCCTTGAATACAAGGCGGAAAGCTAGTGAATTACAGTCAGCGAGTCTAGAAGGCAATCAACCCGGCGCCTCACGGATGAAAACCGTGACAACCTACTGATGCCGGTAGCTTGACCGAGGACGGACAGCCATCCCCAGGGACTCAGAGACTCCGCATACTCCATCATCAAGACAGATACACTTGCAGACTCCTTCTCGGGCCCGCAACGTGGTTTTACTCGATGTAGCTCGTAAGGGGAAGCACCCATCATCGAGGAAAAAGAGTTCACTTTCGGCTAAGACGACGCGCCCCGGCCGTGACCTGATTGGGTCCAAAGTACGAACCAAGCATGGACTAGCTGCAATCTCTTGCACCGTTCTCGCAAAGTGCGAACCAGGCCGGCAGGAGGCTAGCCCTGCTGATATGTGCTATATTTATGCGCAGCGTTGAATGACCGGCAGGGTTCATGGGTGCCACCTCATCGACTAGGTTTCCTAGCTCAACTTTGATTCCAGCGGTCTCTGGCCATTCTCGTCTTCAGGTCTCTCTAGCGCTGATGCTTCTCACAAAGTTCCAGGAAGGAAGGATTCGAAATCTTTTGAAATGAGAAGTTCCCATTTTTCCTGGCAGCGCGGCTGCAGTGCGCTTTACCTGCGGCCAAAGCTGTCAGGTTCATGCTATCTCAACATTGTATATACAGAGCAAGCAGCAGTGCCTCGATGCTGCCTCGACCTTATTCTGTCCATGTTCAATTTCTGACCTGCTTTTTGCTACAGCATAATTTCGATCTCTCTAGCTGCCTCTAAGACAATTTCGCAATGGACGTTATTCAAATTCCATTCGAGAATCAAATAAAACCACTCCACAACATTCGCACGCGCACATTCTTTGTATTGAACGATGGCCTTGACGAAGGGTTACTGAAGGACGGACTCGACCGTCTCATCCGGGAGCACTGGCGAAAGTTAGGCTCGCGAATCGTCCCCAGACCAAAAGATGGGCGCCTAGAGTATCATCTACCCTTGGCTTTCGACCACAAACATGAACTCTACCGGTGGTCCTCCAGAAACGATCACCGGTCCCTCAGCGAAGCCACTCCTTCCTTACAAGGACTCGCAACGGAGAAGACGATCTCCATACTTCCATCGATCAGCTCCGTCGACGAACTCTTCCGGCCCGCCGATTGGCCTCTCGAACGTAAAGACGAGCCGCCCAATGCTCCCCTCCTTTTCGTTCACCTTACATTCTTCGCCGATGCCACCGTGGTTGCTATCAGCTGTCCACATGTGTTGGCGGATCAGTTCGGGTTGGCAAATATCGTGAAAGCGTGGCTAGGTGCAATTGAGGGCAAGACACCTCCACCCATGGTCGGACATGACGAGGATGTCTTGGCCAAGAGACCTTACTCCGACTACCCAAAGCGCGAAGTTTTCCGAAAGGGCAAGATGCGAGTCAGGAGGCGCGGCGAATACATGTTCGTGCTTCTAGGTTTCATGTCTGAATTTGTTTTCCACCGGCGGGAGGAATCTCATATGGTTTTCTTTCCCCTCCCGCTGGTGAACTTCCTGCGCGCGCGGCACTCGAAGTCGCTTGAGGAGAAATATGGAACATCTCCTGGTTTGAGCAGCGGGGACATAATCAGCGCCATCCTTTTGAAAGTATGTTATCCGCCAAAAGTCATTCTGCGCAAGACACTTATTTGACCATCAAGTTCTCACGCATGCACGACAAGAAATCGAGAGTGATGTCGCTCAGTCAGTCCGCCAACTGTAAGTTGACACCTAACACCCCGATTCTGCAACACTGAAACCAACATTTCAAGTGCGTAATCGAGTTCCGGCACTATCAGGTGACCCGGCGTCAGCCTTTGTGCATAATGCCTTGATTTTCCCCAATGCGCGATTCCCCATCAATGCTTCCACATCCATCGGCGAGATAGCATATCAGAATCGAAAAAACGTCCAGGAGGCACTTGAGCAGAAGAACATTGAAATCGATCTAGCCGTCATTCAGGAGACGACACGCCGGGGCCAGGCCATACATACCTGCGAACCCTTCGATCGCTCGTATTCGGTCACCAATTGGTGCGCAGCATGGAGAGGGCTGGACTTTAGTGCGGCCACCCCGAGGCACGAAGCGAAGGAACAGGCCAAATCAAGTCTTTTCGTGCTTGGCCACAGCAACGAGACCAAAACCCCGGCAAGATGTAAGTCACCTTTATATCCTAGTAGTAGACGAAGAAAGGTTCGTGAACTAATACGCCACGCAGTCAGCTCGGTAATCATGTGCAGGACCGACGAAGGGTTCTTGTGCAGTTTCGCGGCTTCGACGGCAGCCATGAAGCTGATCCACGAATATCTGGAGAAGGACCCCATGTTAGAGAAGTTTTGATAATGTATGGCTGGATTGTGGTACGAAATGCCACATATTTCAGTTGCTGCTTCAGAGCCTTTGAAAGCCGCAACTTCCGAACCGTGCACCTCTCTGCAAGACCTTGGCGCCACATCTCTAAGGGGAATATGGGCGAGATCCGATTAGCGCTCAGGGAAAGATATGAAACATCAGATCTTTTTGATAGATACAAGAATACTAGATTAGAGTATACCTCGGGTAATGTCAGGTTAGACTACATAGAACAAAGACAAGAGCCGATAACTTCCAGACAAACATGTAAGATCGTGATGGGTAAGCCGTTCAGGCCGCCTGGGGTGCCATTTGGCAGATCTATAATTTCCAGAAACTCTCATATGGCCTGGCTTGAACGAAACGAATGCCCCTCTCATCTGTGCCGTTGTTTCTTTGTTTTGTTTGGACGTATAGTCGTTTCCGTATGTCTCACCCGCACGGGCCCCATGACCGACCCACACGATGGAATGGAGCAACACCAGCACACCAACCGTTGTCGAAGGCCCGTTGACTGGCTTTGTCATATATCAGCTGCTTTCGGTGCATCGCACGTGGCATAAGTGCTGCTGGTGGATTGATGACTGGGTACAGGGCAATTGAGATATCATCTTCCATGCAGAGATGGCTTCCCTGAATCTCCGTGCAAGAGCGTAGTATATAGTGACGCCGGCAGCTTCATCAGTCGAATACCCCACAGACAGATTGCTGTTCATGATGGCGGGATCAAGCGCACACCAGGCACACATCCAGAGGATGATGGAGGGTGCCACCGCCGGTCTTTATGCTTATCAGTCTCCATATTCCCGACTTGACGGCCATGAACAGACGGGATGGGGCGACGAAATAGACCTGGGTGAAGTGGACGACTCCCATTCTTCTCTTCCTTCCCTTCGACCATCCATGGACGAGAGCGACTACCGCAATCCCGCCCTATCGTCAATCCCCGTTCCGCTCATACCCGGGGCCGGCGCTTGCCGGGAAAGCAAATTTAAAGAGATATTCAGGAGTGTATCAACGTCATTGGGACGAAACAATGTATCAAGCTCTCCCCGCGGTCGGCGGAGACCCTCCGAGGCTGCGAACCCTGAGAGTACCGTGGATGTAGATGAGCTGGCCCAGAAGTATGGTGTGTTCAACGCCTGTTTTCTGCATCTGCATTCAACGCTAACATAGAGTTTCACAGGTTATGTACCGCGGGAATGCCATGCAAGGCATGACGTTTCCATCGAAGCTTGGGACTGGCTCTACATCTGTCAAATTATCATGTCTATACTCGCTACTGTCGGTAGTGCAGTGGCCCTCTTTTTGGCAATCCACCGGAAGCAATGGGGCCAGGTAATATCACCGAGCAGTGAGGCGCGCATGTCACACGCAACGTCACAATCCGTCTTCAACGGTCTCTATAAGTTAGTTGAAGTCATGTTTGCGGCTGTCTTTGTCACATTCATCGGCCAAATCTTGACGAGGAGGGCCTTCGCCAAGAATTCCAAGGCGATTAACGTTGCAGAGGTCACGATGCGTAACTGGGTCAATCAGCCAGGGTCCCTTCTGACTCAATACCAAGGACTCCCCTATGCCGGTTTGAACATGCTGGGTGCCTTGACGATCCTGGCAACTATCGGTGCACTACTATATTCCACTGCATGCACGGCTTTGATTTCTCCAAAACCAATGTGGGGTCAGTGGAACTACGATGTCAACATTCACGGGTATGCCTGGGCATCCTGGGCCAACATATACTACATCAAGTCTACCTGCCCCGCTATCGGCAGCGCCTTCGGTGATGATTATGAGTATCCGTGGGCCTGTTTGCAGATAAAATTCAATGGCGACTCGTATCGAAATCTCATGGCTTTCCTTGAAACATGGCAGAACGGTACCAAGGCGACTGCGGTCTTGAGCGACAGACCGCCCGCACGGGCAATCATCTACGGCAACACAACACTGACATCTACCTGGCTTGATGTTTATGAGCCAGCCGAAATAGTCGATGGGCGTCTAATTAATAACGTCACGCTTGCAATGCCTCACGCTGGAGTCTCGTCTCTATACTCGGAGAAGACCTCTGCCCTAACTAGACTCTTTCAACCAACCAGGAATGAGGACTTTGGCGGCTATCAGGTGCAAGCTGCGGTCGTTTCCCCGGTGATAAATGTCATGTGCGTAAATACGTTCAAGAAAGAGCTTGAGCCTTTGGTAGATGACTCGAGAAAAATCGAGCAAACCACGGATGCTACTTCACTTGATGAACTTTTCCAATGGGGTAAGAAGTACAGTCGATACAGACCAGCTTTTACTAAAGTAAGTAGACAAGTCCCTTCTTTCGAAGATTATTATGTTTGACTTTTCAAGCTTCCTATGGCGCATAACTTGGTTACGGACCGACAATGGAAAATCGAAGGTGCTGATGCGACGTACCTGATGGCCAAGTCGACCTCAACGTCCAACTATACACTTTGTCGGCTGAGGTCCTTCATAATGCCTAACTGTTCAACACTCTTCAATGTCTCCGCGTTCTCAGGGGAGATGGGAGTTTCATGCCGTCATCCTGACGCCCCTTGGGAGGCGAACAACCCAGACTTTGCCATCCAGTATTATGACCCTACGCGGAATATGACACCCACGATGAAGTCACCAGACTGGCGTAACCTGACAGTCGAGTGGAGCAAAAGTAGTAAGTCCGCTGTGAACTCATCACTCGATCTCTCCAAACATCCCGGCAATAATTATGATTCGCTATGGAACTATGTGCTGATGAGTCGCAAGTGGGATTAAACGGTGGTGCTCAAGACAACAACGCCTCCCATGCGCGGCTACTGACCGATCTTATCCTCAACAAACCGGAGCTCCCACCCAACATGCCCTCTTTAGCCGAAGCACTCGCTGTGTATGCTAGCTCGGTGCTCGTAACAGGCTCAATTGGCGCATCATTCGGTCATAATTGGTATACAGGGGACTACGAAACAAAAGTGGCAAGAGATCCTGTGCTTGAGGTCTTTGAGGCCCGCTGGCGAACGAGGCAATTCATCTCGTCCTATGAGGCTGAGAATGCTGATCAAGGCTATGAATCACGACCGTCTGCGCTTGCTGTTTTCTACTACATCGTACTGGCGGTGGTCTTGTTGGCGAATTTGGTTTGCTTAGGGTATCTGGTCAAGCACAGGGGGCTAGTGGCCGACTTCACGGAACCCCAGAATCTATTTACTTTGGCGATCAACTCGCCGCCGAGTCGTGTCTTGCAGGTGAGTACTTCTCACAAAGAGCATTCTTCCCTCACACCTCTTCTTCTCCTTTGTGGTGACACCAGTAACTAACACCTATACACAGGGAGCATGTGGCCAAGGGCCAGAGTACAGAGACCTCGGGACAGCCTTCCGGGTGGCTTATGCCCCAGCGTCGAACCACTACTTTTTCGAGGACGCGCGAGACGCCCCAATGCGCAAGGCTGCGAAGCGCTTGTCTAGGCTCTCAATGGCTACCGGCGGCGATCAGAGTTACCTCCACGTTGTGGACGGAGCATACGCCGACAGCTACAAGCGACTGAGCTCACACAAGCCTCTGCTATAGTAAGGACGCGACAAGCAGTCTATATCGGGCACGGATATGCACAACAGTTGAAGAAAATGAAACCAGGTTGCTTGGTAAAGAGTCCGCAAGCCAAATATTATCAGGTAGATTCAATGTCAAATGTCGAACGGGAGATTGCTCGAGTGCACGAGAGCGCAATGGAGGGAGCTTGCCTGAAACTGATCCAGGCACTTTAGCAGTGCGATGGAAGCCAGCGATAAATTTTCTTCTTACAACGCAAGCATGACATAATGCTGTCTATGTGCGTAATTTCGCTGATATCTAGTATTCCTTCCCGCTCGTTCTATCCGGGGTATCGAGTCCATATGTAAATCGAGCAAAACGCCATTGAGAGTCCTAGTAATGTACAGATCGGCACGCTGACGATTATATCTTCGCCCGTATGCCCTCAAGCAATTCGACCAATGTACCGGTGGTCCCGGCCAGAGTAGCCAGCTCGCTCGTCCCAAACTTCCCTAGCACATATGCCGAGACCTCCTCTCTGTCTCTCGATCCACCCGCGGGACGGCCGATGCCGACGCCGATCTTGATGAACTTGCCGCCGTTCCCGGTGTCGTCGGTCAGCCTAGTCAGCAGGCCTGCCGACTGCAAGCTTTGCTGCACTGACTTTATCCCGTTATGGCCTCTCGCGCTCAAGTGCCCACTCCGCGCTCGGAGCTGTCCCGGCGCCGTTTCCATCTCATCGTGGAGAACCACCAGTCCGGGCAGGCCTCCGTCTGTGGACGAGCCCGCCGAGTCCGCGATGAACTGCTTGTATGCCTTCAGAAGCCCTGGACCCGACACGTTCATGAGGCTGGGCGACTGCCATAACGTGTACTCTGGCCGGCCGACATCTGATCCGCTGGATACAAGGCCACCGGCGTGCAGTTTCGACTTCTTCAACGCCGGAAAGTTGAGATGTGACTGCAACGCTTTGAGCAGAACATGTCCAGCTGAGTGCCTCGTGTTCTGGTAAGGTGCTGGGTTCCCCAGAGAGGCCACGAAGAGGCGAGCCGTGTTCATCGCGGTCTTGAACTGCCGTCCTGACGATGATCGACCGCCCTCCGAAATGGGGCGATTGCTCGGGCTGATATTCAACGAAGTGAGATCTGGCAAGTGACTCTGGCGCAAATCTGAAATTGATATTTCCGTGCCCCCCTCTCTAGGAATGGTTGGTGTCTCAATGGGATCCCTGACTTCCAGCTCTTCGTGTGATAAGTCAGAGGTAGCAGAACCGACAAACTGCCGGGATGGCCTCTGGCGCCTAGCGTTTGCGTTAGCCATCCTGTACTCGAGGGTGTGGCGCCAGTTCTAGCTGGAAATACTGAGGATACTCACAAACTTGGGTGCCGGCTCGTATTTGACTTGCAACGTCGTGTATGGGAATTGCGCCAGCTGACCGCGACGACTGCACCGCCTCCTTTGTCGCCGTTGAGTCAACGCCGACACGATGACAAAGCCCACTTTTAGAGTTTTGCTGCTATGCCAAGAAGGTGAATGGAGCTAATCTTAATCGGGATTAGCACAGAAGTGCATCTGTCCCAGTCCAGAGGAACCTGGTAGCACATTGTTACACAGTCGAAAATGGCGGGCATGATTTGCGCAAATGATATACGCCGTCGTCTATTCCCTGATGTCTAGTCTAGGTGTACAACCGTTTTTAAGCCAGTCTATGAGCCATGCTATAGCACCCTTGTGTTACCGTTTCCATCAAGCCGGCTTGTGGAAAAGACTAAACGCCCATCTCAATGGTTGTCGCGGAGAGGAGTCGAACTCTGTGAGGTATTCTGGAACTTCACTGCGCGCCTCATTACCATACCCTCACTGAGCGGTCCCACTTCGCGACGATGTAGGTCCTGCCAATAAGTCTGGCTACGTGGCACACGGTAACCGCCCTGTTCGTCCAGCTCCTTTCTGCGTGCTTCCAAGACTGCTCCTGTGACCATCAGATCTACTCTTCGCTTGTTCAGGTCGACCCGGACTTTATCGCCATCGCGTACTAGTGCGAGGTTGCCCCCGTCTGCGGCTTCGGGGCTCGCATTCAGGATCGATGGAGACCCGGAGGTGCCGGATTGGCGGCCGTCGCCGATGCAGGGAAGGTCTCGGATGCCTTGCTTCAGTAAGGCAGAGGGGGCATGCACTGCAGTATTTGGAGTTAGCGAGGACTCTGATACTCAATCAATGGGACGGGCTTTTCTGTCGGGGCCGCCTGTAGACATGGCAAACTCTCGCGTGGGGTAAAACTCACTGTTCACTACTTCTGCTGCTCCTGGATATCCCAGCGGGCCGACGCCTCGCATAATCAGAATAGTACGAGCGTGGATGTCGGCCTTGTCAAGGCGTGCCTTGTAGTCCTCGGGACCATCGAAAACGGCAACGTCGCACGTGAAGGCATTCGGGTCTCGGGGGTCCTCGAGAAATTCTTTCCGAAACTCTCCCGACGCGACTGACATCTTCATGATGGCCGAGTCAAATAGGTTACCATGCAGATGTAGGAAGCCAGCGTCCTTTTTCAAAGGATTGCGCACAGTTTTGATCGTTCGGCGGTCCCAGGTTGTCTTTCCCTGCGCATTCTCACCAAGGGTCTTTCCATTGACCGTCATCGCTTCGGGATGTGGAAGTATGTCGGCGGCGACAAGTTCGGCAATGACAGCGGGCAGGCCACCAGCATGATAGTAATCCTCGCTCAACATCTCCCCAGCAGGTTGCATGTTGACGATAAGCGGAACATGGAAGCCAAGCTCGTCCCAATCTTCCATGTCAATGGGAACCCCAAGGTGTGCGGCTACAGCTAGCAGGTGGATAGGAGCATTTGTACTCCCACCAATGGCTGTGTTCACTACGATCGCGTTCTCGAAGGCTTCTCGTGTCAAGATGTCTCGGGGTCGGATATTCTTCCGGACCAAGTCGACGATGCGTAGTCCGGTCTCGTAGGCAGCATGAGATCGCTGACGATACGGGGCAGGGATCGCCGCTGAGCCGGGCAAGGCCATACCCAAGGCCTCCGTTAGTGTGTTCATTGTAAGTGCTGTTCCCATCGTGTTGCAGTGGCCTGGCGAGGGTGTACCGTCAGCAACCATGTCGACGAATTGGTCGTCGTTGATCTCCCCTGCAGCGTGGAGCTCGCGGGCCTTCCAGATCACACTGCCGGAGCCAACGCGTGATCCTCTAGACCATCCGTTGAGCATTGGTCCGACATTGAGACAGATGGCCGGGATGTTCACCTGCGCTGCTGCCATCAAGAAGGCCGGTGTGGTCTTGTCGCAGCCTGTCAGGAGGACCACACCGTCGAGAGGGTATCCCATGAGGACCTCAGCCAAAGCCATAGCCGCCAGATTGCGGTCCAGAGCTGCAGTAGGCCGTCTTCCGGTTTCCTGGATTGGGTGAGTCGGGAACTCGAATGCGATGGCGCCCGCCGAGCGAATGCCCTCTCTCACTCGCTTAGCAAGCTCAATGTGATGTCGGTTGCATGGTGCGAGATCAGATCCTGATTGTGCAATACCAATGATGGGCTTGCCTGAGCAGAGCTCCTCCCTAGTGTATCCCCAGTTAAGATAGCGCTCAACGTATAGAGCTTTCATTCCTGGGTCATCCGTGCGACCAAACCAGTCGGCAGACCTGAGGGAGTTCTCACATTCCGCATGGTGAGAATCCAGGGACAGCTCTGCGACCTGGCCCTGTACAGTTCTGAGAGCAGTTCTGACGTTCTTTAAATCGGTATCTTTCTTCTTCAGGAGCTCAAGAAGCTGGGATTTGTCCATATCCTCGATATCGTCCAGGCGACGGGTACTACATCCATGGCGGCAGCCGCCGCACGTCGCGTCGCAGGCCATGGCTGTAGAGGTCACGTTGCGGGTTGGGGGATCTGATTGACAGCCACCGCTAGCTATGTAGCTTGATGGGTCTGGAGATGTTCCTGAATGATCTTTCGGTGAAAAGTGAGAAAGCAGTTAGGAATTTGCCACCTGCAAGACACAGCGTTGCTCAACGGGCAAAGCAGTGTGATTATTGGCATTGCTCCGAGGAGTGGGCTGATGGTTCAAGGTTGCTGCTGCTTGTGACTGCGGGCTAGGATTGAGTATGAACCAGGGCCCAAGGCAGTAGGTGTACGTATACAACCGGTGAACCTTGGAGGTCAAAGTAAGGCCAACAGTATATTCACTCACATTTGTGGAGCCGGCAGGGTGGCAGTGGACAGTGCTCCCGGACTAGCGTTTTTGAGTTCATACAGACGAGTCAGAGCCTTAGTACTGGCAATGAGTGGTTCTGCCGGATATCGTGGTTGGACTTGTCGGCCCTCGGCTCTCCACTAATTCATTCACGATAATGACCGGTGTCGGTGTCGGTCATCAACGGCACGCCATCTTCGGTGAAGCCATGGCCAAATACATCGCAACCCCTTTGATAAGGCTTGATACCGAGTAGCGTGGTGTCCAATTGCAGCACACTTCTTAGACACGTCGCCTTAATGACAGGGATTGTACGTCCTGGCTGCCGAATCTCAAACTTCCTGGTCTCCCGTTTGCCAGTGTCATGGTAGCTTCATGTAGGCCGAAAATTCACCGGAATTCCAACCACCTGTCCATGCGCAGCAGTGAGAAAACAGCGAGAGGTCCTATCCGACTGCACAAGCTTGCTCAAGACATCTCGCGCAGGATCTCGATGCATTCCCAAGATATTTGATGCAAAATGGCGACCGCCATGTATATTGATGGGCATGTCGTTACATGAACCAGCCCCTCCTTGGCATTTACTTTTTTGGGAGGCTCAAACCACAATTGGACCTATAGGCAACAGGCGACGATCATTGGCACGCAGTGAACAAGGGCCCCTGTAATGGTATAATACCCCGCCTATCCGGTCTCGCTAAATACTAGAAGTCCAGTGAGCTTTAGAAAAGCAATGCTCATCGCCATGATATAAGGCCCTCATGATGCTATCGGCGTTACAGATGGAATTTGGTGAACTTTACATTTGGTGCAACGTAGATTGAGAGTCTCATGTTGTCACCTAGGGAACATATTCCAGGTCTATGACGGCTGGGCCAACGCAGCCAACGCAGTTCTTATGGATAAACGTCCCTGATGGTTAGCCAAAGTCATACTAGAGGATTAGCAATGCAAGAGAAACACCATACACCTAAACCAAGGCTACAGGACAGCGTGCCTATGCATTGTTACTGTAACACTTTTGGTCGAGGTCAGTACACAGAAATGTAAAAGTTCGGATCAGCATCGCCGAGTCTCTCTGTCTTCGTTCATCTGAGAAGTCAACCCATCGTTACTAACAGCCTATCCCATGTATGTGCTTCCCCATAAAGGTGTCACCTGGAGTGACATCTTACGTGCAACCTCTTATCTGATGCCGACATAAAGTAGGACGCGTCGGCCCATTTCAATAAGGCTGATAAGGTGCATTTCTTTGCCGAGCGCCTCCATCCAAAGTTTTTGGTCGTGAGTCGTTCACCCAGCAGCAGCTCGCGCCGCTTCAGTCGCGTTATTTGGAAGTAATAGCAGCCTTGCATAAACAAAACGGAGCGCGTGCTACCTCTCTGTTCCAGGCCTTAAATCAGGGCTACAAGGAAACCATTAACGCAAGCACTACTACTTCGCGTTGCTTCTTTCTGTCCTTTTCAAACCCACAAAGATTTCACAGTCGCGTGTCGATCCTTTCCAACGCATGCTGCCAGGTTTAACGCTATCACAGCCACCCTCTGGAACCATCGTCTGATCGGACGAAAATCCTACCGCACCATCATGGCTCACAAAGAGGCCAAACAGTCCTCATTCCGTGCAACGCGCACTCCCTATGATCTGGGCATGGCACAACCTTCGTCACTTCTCGCCGGATCTCGGTCCTTCGAGATGAGAAGTGAACCCCAGGTAGTCGGCCAGCATACCATCAGACGGGCTTTCGGCTTGGAGGTCACCATTGCTCGATTGGAGGAGAACATCGCACACTTGCAAGCTGAGAACTCTGCTCTTCGAGCTGAAAATAGTGAGCTGAAGGAGCTGTTCCCAATTGATCCCATCTCCTTCAACATCAACCCACAGCCCCCCATTGCCAAGCCCGTGCTTTCCACGACCGATCTCTTATTTGATCGCTCCGAGAACGCTCTTACAACCTACAACTCCGTTGTTCCCCCCCGAGAGCGCCTCGATATTATACGCGACATCGGTGAGACCTTGACAAGCTCAGCTTCCTCGACGTGCGCGGCGTCATCAGAACCAAACCCCGCCAGATATCAGAAGGTCTCAGACTTCATGGCTGGTAAACTAGTGGAATCTTACTCACCTCCGGATACTGATCCTTCCAGCACTTGCTGTCTAGAGTCTAGTATCATATTTGACCACGCCTCTGAAAACTCCTATGCTGAGAAACGCCACAGCTGGCTCAAGTCCTATGACCCCACGGCGCGGAATCCACTCCATCAACCCCAGACAGGTTCGACGTATCTGGCTCGACTTCGAGAGAAGCCCTGGGTCAGCGAATGGAAATTCTTCGGCTTTCCTGGAATAGTTGGTTTTGTGGACACTAACAGCGAGGCAAGCACATTCGACGAATACGAACAAGAGCCGGAACAAAGAGCACAGGATATCCGAGACAATTACAGCGGCTTTGAAGACAACGTGGACCTTCGTGGTGGACTTCTTGAAGATTGGGAAGCCGCCGTTATGCTCGGTTTCGCCTCTGAAGCCCAATGGGATGGCTTGAGTGATATGAACCAGCGTTCTTCTCCTTCCTACGCCGACGCTCCTTCCGCGTCCAGCTCAGACAATAGCTATGAGAAAACCTTCAGCGATGCGAGAGTTGACACTGAGGGAAGTGCCAGTACCACGCCGGGTCAGTTGTGGGTCCCGTACGGCAATTTCACACAGACCAAGACCTGGGTTAGCGAGGAGGAGATGGCCCGAGTCCAATACGAGAAGTGCATGGCTAACCTCCGCTACATGGGCTTCGACCGGTTCCCCTTGTATCCCATGACGTTTCAAGAGTGGGTGGCTTGTAAGGCCGAGTGCGCCTACTCTAAGGTGATGCTGGCGAAACGAAAGCTTGACGATATGCAAACTGCTCTCAACAAAGAGCGCGCGAGTGTTGCATCTGGCGATCACTCTAACATCACTTCCCTTGGATCTGATACGCAGCTCGCCGAAAAGCTTCAGCACATTTCTCAGATGGATGAGCACTCCCCTGTACTTGCGCGCCGCACCATTTGGCATCCCGGTTTCACCAGTCAGCCAATTGCTGACTGGCCCAGCTACAAAGAGTTCAAAGCTGAGGGCGACGATCGACAGAAGGGACAGCGAAATTACCGCCGCATGTTGCCATTGCCTAAACCGAGAGAGCCTCACGGTGCTCGTCTTCTCCGCCAGCTCCCCGGTTCCGAGACTCCCACAGATATCCACACACAATACCTTATTCGGCTGTTCGAGCCCGCCTACGGTCTCATGTGTGACGTCTCCCACGCTGCGATGCTCCAGATCAAGGAGCCGAGGCTCTATTCTAAGCTGGACAGGAATACCGAGCAAGAGCTCAATGATGACAGCCTGGACTCATTCACTGGTGGCTTGCTGCAAGAAATTGAGCGCGAGGAACAGATCTCTGACCGCTTTGCAAGTCTGGATATCGGTTTGCATTGAAGTCCTAAACGATGACATCTGAACGCTCATCTTTTCTGAAGCAGTTCAAACAGCACAGTTTGACAATCATTCCATTGGGGAGTCAACGGTTCATTTCGATCCCTACCCTCGCAAAGCGTGGCGACAGAGCATAACACTGGCCTTGCCACTTTCTTTCCACATTCATTCAGGATTTTCCTGAATTCTGGAAATTTCTGACGTTTCGCAATATCGGAACCATGGTTGATAATGACGACGTGCACATCGCAAGAGTGGTCTTTGAGGCGGAACCATATCCTACAATGCCGTATTAGGCAACAGAGACATGGTCTTTCTCATTTAAGGACAAGAAGTGTAGTTTCACTGGAAAATGAGAGAGAAGATGGGGGAAGGGTGATTGAGTTTGATTCTCTTTCGATCATTCTCCATGCATCTGAAGGATGACTGGTGTCTTTCAGCGACAGCTCTGGTCTTGGAAAGGCATTGGAACTTTCTTGAGGCGCCTAGATATACACAGTGACACCACCCTAGGATGAGAACAATGATTCATGATTTCAGGTCACCAACTTCCCGACGTAGGTTGAAACGTCTAACCCCGTTGGCGTCCCTGACACCGTTGGCTTCCTTGACCGAACATGTCTTCCTACCGGCCTCAATCATCTGTCACGTTATAAGATGGTCACCGACGGGGTCTTGACTTGACCAGCAGTCAGAACTGGGGTCTTGACGCTCTATCCGATTCTCTAAGGCTGCTCAGCACATACGACCACAGGTACTAGAGAACCTGTCGTCCCTCTCCCCTTCTCCGATGGATAATGTAGTAACTAAACTCTACTTAGAAGGAAGGGGATCACCACGGCTTGTGGACGTTTAATGTAGTCACTAGCAATACTACGCCAATCAAGCCCTGCGACATCTCCCCACAGCCCACGAACCCACTACGCCCTGCGCTATTTTAGCGATGCATAGCGCTAACACACTGTACATAGTAGAAAGGCCAACGGACCGCCGAACGCCACATTCGCTCTCAGCGGTGCCACTTGTAAAAGTGATTGGAATGCTGGGCTTGGACCAAAGGCACGTACAAAGCGAGTTCGCAACATACCCACCAAAAACTATACTCCCACATCATGCTGGAGTGGCACGACAAGTCATGCCGTCGACTCGACCTAGTGGATTTTGGCGGCGGCAGGACTTGCCTGAGCTGTGGTGCAACGGAAACCACCAATGCGAAATCGACTGTCGACATACTTGGGCGAATATCTCACAGAACTCAGATACGACTGCTTGAGCTCCAGCCAGGCAAATGGGACGACAACCTGATCGGCCGCATCGAGACCAGAACTCTCCCCCTAGCATCTGACTACCTTGCCGTATCATATACATGGGCGGATGAATCAGGAGACGCTACCAAGAGTCATTCGATTGCGGTCAATGGATACGAGCTGCCCATCACCAGAACCTGCCATGGTGCTCTGAGGCGCACTCGCGAGGTGAATTCACCAGTGCTAGTCTGGATCGACGCCGTGTGCATCAACCAAGACGACCCTATAGAGCGCTCTGAGCAGGTTTACTTGATGTCGGACATCTATTCTGCAGCGCAGACCGTCTATATCTGCCTTGGAGAACCCGACGACGTGACCGACGCGCTCTTTGAGGCTGCAGAGACGGGTCGCCTGCTCGATGACCCATTGTTGGATGAAGCATGGAGCATGACGGTCCGAGAGGGCTGGAACCAGCTTTTCTCCAGGCGTTACTTCAGCCGTGTATGGGTGCTTCAGGAAGTCGCTCTGGCGAAGGCCGCGGTTGTAATCTGCGGGAAACATCGAGTGTCTTGGGGCAAGTTTCTGGGTTTCGCTATGAGCGCTGAAGGCTGTTCATACCCTCCCGTCTTGGAGTCAATGGGCGATAGATTCTCCTCTCCCGAGATGGAGTTGTTGCTGTTGGATTGGGCACGTCCGTCGCAAGCTGCGGACCCTCGTGACAAGGTCTACGCCCTGCTTGGCTTTTTGCCCAGGAGGCGCATCGGCACCGTCCATGCAGATTATACCTTGACGACCCCAGAACTCTACATCAAGCTGGCATGGTACCTGGTATCGTCATATGGGTGGTGCGCTGTGCTCCAAAGGGCCGGCAGAAACCAACAAAAGTTGCAGCGCCTACCATCCTGGGTGCCCGACTGGAGTTCGCCTAGCGTTGGACCCTTGACAGGTGTAGCTTGGTGCAGCCACGCTAGGAACGAGGCTCCACAGGGCTGTGAGACCGAGAGAACGATCAATATCAGTGGCATTGTACCGTCCAGATGGCTCCAGCCATTGCCATCTCTAGATTTCTTTGACGGCACGCCCATTTCTGGAGCTCCTGTCCAGTTCAAATGCTTTCTGAGTCCAGGAAATGCCCCAACAGGTTCGTATCTATGTTTGCCCAAGGAGTGGGTCCTCAACAAGCTGAACTTGAGAGCGAGCGCAATAGACCCCTCTTACCTCCAAACGAACCATTTCATAGTAAGTCTTGATTCAACAGCAGTTGCCAACAGCTATAGTTTGAGGAGTTGTACGCCATATGAAGAGTCACGTCTGGTGTTTATACCGATACGGGTTGCAGCTCAGCTACTGACCCAGAGAGCTTCGCGTCTTCGGACAGTCACCTCCTCTGCGCGCGTTGACAGAGGCAACTTCTTGGTTCAAGTTGCGATGGCTGGTGAAAGGATGGGTACGGACCATGTGAATAACCCAGAGTTCTCGTATCTTGTGAGTTTGGCGAATCGCACATCATTCCGCCAAACCTTCGCCGAGGAGGGCATTTGGAAGAGTTTATACGAAGCGGGTGAACTGAAGTTCACTGAGAGATTCCCAGAAGTTTTAGAAGACCCGGATTTCATTCTTCTGAATGATGCCTGGTGGCGGCTTATGGTCAAATGCTTCCTGGTAGATGAGATGAAAGTCACTATTTGCTGACATGAGAAGCTATTGAGGGTAGCCATGGCTATCTCTCAAATTTACAAGATACCTCTGCTCCCCTTTTCTTCACATGTGGTAGCTACGAGAATGTAGAAAAGAAAGGTCACAATCACTAGAGTATTAGTACCTCGGCGAGGTGCATACGGTGCGATGCAAGTGATATGTTAACGCCTTACTCCGATGCTTGGCAGTGTATTTCCTAGGTATTCAAAATGTAGGTCTCCGATCACGGCTAAACTCCTGACAATTCTCACTTGCTCCGCAGAAGTACGGTGGCCTTTCAAAAACCCTTGTATCTCGTCCCAATTGCAAACTGGTCGCTGTCATATTCAAAGTCCTCTGCTCGAGCCTGGAATGAAGCTGGTGTTGTCGATGCACATGTGAACCGGACCTTGGTGAGTAAAGCCTGTCGTAGTCCGGCTCTTGCTCCCTCCATTTCGGTGTCGAGTACGCTTGCCAGCCCTAGCCGGCCACAGTCTGAGGTCATGTGTTTATAGCCGCGACGGATGACCAAGCCATATCCCACAGTCCCATTTCTTACTCTAGAACCATCTGAGAATGCAATGTGGCTTGCCGGTCCTGTCTCGAGCCACACTTTGAAAGCTTCTACTATTACTTGTTTTCTTTGTAACAGGATCTTCTCCTGGGACCATGGCAGGTACTGTGGTTGCAGGGAAGAAAGCCTCGCACATTAGATGTCGGTTTGGGAGAGGAGCAACGGTCACGAAGTTCGATTGCACTCCAAGTTCATATCTTAGACAAAAGATTTGGGTGTTCATCAAAGTCCACAAGACATCATTCACTCACGAACAGATTCGCACTTAAGTCCTAAGAGCGGGTAGCTGCTCGGTTGCTTGGCGCAAGGTGTATTGTTGCTCCATAGCCAAATCATGATGTATCTAGCAACTCTCGCGTTTCCGAATGCGTCCAACCCTCAAGATGCTTATGCGAAGGACCACAACTCATCTTATTCCATTTCCGAATGGTGGCTGTCCTCGCCAACGACCCAAATGCTTCGTGGCCCAGTTCGGTGCACCTCGATGATACATTAGGTCTAGAGTTCAGTCCGACTCATAGTCCGAGTCGAGGTCTGCGTATGACCTAGATGTTTTTGTATTAATATTTGCGTGTTCAACAAAATGAATGAGTTAGGTGGGAGTCAGCCATGATCCTGGTTGATGAGGTACTTACTTCTCAAGACGGTTGGTCGTATGGAAAAGGTCGCCAGCCGCGTCTTTGATAGAGGTTCTGAGGAAGATCGGCGGCTTATCGATAATCTCGACGGTGTTGATCTCGCCTTTTCCGAAATTGCCGATCCAGAAAATCCCACCGTCCGATACCACCCGACGGTATGCATCCTCATCGAGGCATCGTGGGTAGTATCGAGGGTAAGGATTCTCAGGAATTGGCTCCATCCAGGTACGTCGACAGCTGTTACTGTACCTGATCTCCAGGGCCTCGGCCAGCATGGTTCTGAGCTTGAATTGCTCGGCGATCATTAGGATAAGACCTTTCCAGGTCAGTGGCTTCTCGATCACAATGGCGCGGGCCTCGTAAACGATGGCTACTACCACAGCCATGGCAATGAACTCGGGTTGACCTGACGTGGGGCGCAATCCGGTAAGGAAATGTGTGATGTTAAGGTGAAGAGATGCGGCTCTATGCAGAAAGTGTCGGTGATGGGCAGGAGGTGTACGATGATACCGATGAGAGAGGCTTGTGGTAGCCTGATCTGCGTCTGATCGATTTACCGCGGTGCTATCTGATCTCGCAAGTAGCGGGTGGACGAAAGAAAAAGAAAAGAAGATCAAGTTTGGGTCCAACAGGGGAGGGTTTTATAGTGCCCTGAGTGCTAGAGGAAGTGAAGTGAATGGTTGCCCGGTTAATGTGAATGGTGTCAGGTCAGTGGGTCGAGGTGAATGACAACGGGTGAATGATAAAAAGTGAATACACAGAAGTGAATCGGTACAGGTAAATGGTAACTGGTAAGTCGATGGCTGGCATTGTTAAACGCCCTCACTGGATATCCAGTATTGATGGTTGTAACAGGTCGCCAGCATAATCTCAGCTTCACAGGGGTATTATTGACCACTGGCCGAAAGGGTCCAACCCGCTCAATTCATTCAAATTCAATCATGGAACCAGGCGGAGAAATTTGTGTGAATCTAAATGATTAGATTCTATCTGGTCACGCTAGGATCGATCCAGCACCTATAAGATTTACCAAAGTACTCTGCAAAAACCATAATTATGTGCAAAAGCGCACCCTGAAACTCCGTAACACAACACGTGACTAAACGATGCCTTCGCTTCAAAGTCCGGAAACGACGTTTTTCTTCGTTCATGAGGGCAGCCTCAGGTCTGACGGGGTTGAAGATTTGCATGTGTGTGCCTAGCGAGACGAACGGGGCAAGATAGTTATGAGCTGGCATAGGAGGTACTTGCCGTTCAAGTCCATCGTTAGGCTCGAAGTCAACTCTTCCAGCCGCCTCTTCGATCGAAGTGCTAAGAAACTTAGGTCGGTCGGTAGATATCTGCACGTTATCAATCTCTCCTTGGCCGAAGTTGCCGACCCAGGAGACTCCGCCCTCGCGGAGCCAATCTTTGTAAAACTCGCTGCTGAAGGCCTTCGGGTAGTTCCTATTCGAAACGTGGACAGTCGGCTGCTCGGGCCAACTGATGCGGCAGTCCTGAGTGTATCGGACTCCGAGCAACTCAACTTGCTCGGTTGTCAGACCAAAGAGGTCCTCAATCTTCATAATGAGTCCCTTCAAAAGCAAGGATTTCTCGATCACTACGGCTCTGCTGATGAACACGATAGCTATGACGAAAGTCATAGTGATGATAGACGGCTTGAGTAAGTATTCGCGGTCGTATTGTGAGATGAGACGTGAAGTGCGGCAAACCGCTTGCAAGAACGGGTGATATGAGGTGAGGGTGGAACAAGGCGATAGACAGCTGAATAGAATTGCGGTTGGCGACGCTTTTGATGACGTGGCAAAGAGTGGCGAATTGCAATGGTGCATTTAAGGCTCGAGTTGGTGATACTGATACGACCTTCAAAGCAGGGTGCAGGGCAAGAAAGAAGAGGAATTCAAGTTCAGCCCCAGAGTGTATAACCTTGTAGTAGTCAAACGTGATTCCTTGGTATGGCCTGGTCCGCTAATATTAATGGTCGCTCCAGGCAACCGCGAAAGATTCACCTACCTGGGTGAATATATAGCGGTTATAGAAAAGAACATCCCATCGCCAGTAACTATACAACAAGTCCCACAAATGGCTTCACCTTGGCTCATCTCCTCATGTTAATATTCAAATTCTCCTTTATAACGCAGCGGACAGGCTGAAGTTCTCTAGACTTATAGTGGTTGGATACTCGACGTCTTTGGCCCAGGACAAGCGGTAGTCCACTCCGAAAAAGAAAATAAACTTACACCAAGGGCCTCAGTGACGACGCCTAGACTGAACCGACTGGTTATCTTTCGGCTGAAGGCTTTGGTAGGCTACGGTATGGCATTTCTAGACGGTGGCTATGGAGTCAACCATGCTGAACTGAGATGATCTACTGAGCCGAGGGTCTCGTAGAACTCGGAGAACGTGGGACTATAGCGGTAAATGGGATGAACAGGTGATGGAGGCGCTTAAGAGGAGTGTGAGCAGAGTAGCTAGGAACTCAGAACAATGGGGCATTTTCAACGTGAATAAGTACCTGGCTGTTACGCCAGTTTGCATGTACAAAATAGAAAGATTTCCCCAAGATATCTATCTCTATTTGTCACCAGTATTATTTGTGTGATTTGCAACGATCCGCAATCATCCAACGTCTCTAAGCAAGGACAAAACCCTATACAAAAGTGGCGATATGTGCAAAATGACTCACCACAAAGGTCTGAGCAATCTAACAAATGACAGATGCCGATGGCTGAAATGAGCAATCTGGATTGTTCTACCTTTTTAGGGTGCTACGAATTTAAATTCAAACTGGACCCTCAGTTGAGACAGGACATCCCCGTATCTCAGATTCAAGCCGCTGTTTATTCTTACCGACTTTGATAAAGCATTTATATTGTTATGAGGTTTCAGGTTCGTTCTCCTTTACTATCTGCATGTAGCTGATTATTGGCAATGACAAGTCTATAGAGGCTAATTCTGGGCGCATCAGTTTCCGGAATTTGCGCAATGCAGCTGATATTACCAGTATCTGGCTGCAGCTTATTACATGTGCACACTCTAGTCGCACATGCGGTTATGACTACATGCACTCGTTTACGGTTCTTTCTTTTAGCAACCTCATGAATGTCTTTGACTTCTATCATACGCGTAATCTGAAGGTCTACTGCCTTGCTCTACAAAGATTATGGTATACTACACCTTTGCTTTCCGTAACGCCAAAAGGGGCAGAGAATGAAAGACAAGAGTCGCCCTGGAAGGTCCTCATCAAACTGGCCACTTGTTTTGTATGACGAAACGAGACTGACTCTTCCTTCGCGACACCGCACTTGTTGCCGTGTCTGAATCGTCGCTTACAACCAACAGCTTTTGCAAGCCAATGAGAGGTTTTTTTTCTCGTGACACGTGATTAGTTTGATTTAGCAATACCAAAAAGCGCCATTTCCCCGCAGCCTCTGGCTTGGAGATTTACTGCACCTGCGCACCCGCTAAATGGAGACCTTCATCAATGCCGCCATGAGAAGGTGGCCCACGGCTCTTACACGGGAATTGGAGGGGTTCAAATATACATTTATCAAGCTTGCTTTCAAACCAAACTTCCGACTAAGCGACGCTGGCCCACAAGGTGAAGATGCGATTAAAGCATGGAAAACCACCCTCCACGAAATCTTTTTCCTAGGGGGTGGTCCGCCTTGTTGGGATGGATTGCGTTCCGAGACGCATTGGGGCAGAATATCAGGAACACAGAACGAAATACTGATTGCAACAGGTGAGCACCAACGTTGATTAATTGTTTCGTCGTTCAGCTTATTCGTTACAACTTAGGCCGCGCTGGGCCTGATATGGCTACCCTCTACCCACCACCACTTATATCAGCGAATGGCGAGCCAAATGTATTTCTGCCTCTTGCACGATTTCTCATTACTGCTCCCAAAATCATCAACGTGTGTTGGCAGTTCCCGTTGTTCTCTCCAACGGTTGAGAGGTGGAATTTTGCATGTGATTTAAATCTGTTCCACTTGCCTGTCACGGATGGTGGAAAAGAAACGGACCTTGTTCGTTGGCTAGACCAGGCTACAATCATTCCTGTTGGTCACGAATCTGGCACAGATATGGAGTCCTTCAATCGTGGTGTACTTTATTCACGCGAGGGTGTTGCACGAAGTCTTGAAAGGGACAAAGATCACGATGGGCTCGAAAACAAGGAGACGTATGTGCATTGGACACACTGGAAAAACAGAGAGGTGAGTGAAAGTTACAAGAATCATGCTCAGAAGAATATGGGCCTGGGTACGTCATTGCCTGATGACGCGTACGAAATCTTCATTAGTCAAAAATTTGCGCTCGTGGAAAGACAAGATGGCGTCATTCGTGAAGAGATTCAAGTTGATTTCAAAAGATGGATGGAAATCTGGGCAGGAGACGTTGAGTTTGCAGCAGAATATCCGGGGAGCGTCCCGACACATGAACCCCACGGCAAGGATTGCCACCAATGTGCACCCTGGGCGGGATATTTGGAGAATTCTTGGAGCAGAGCTTCCACCTGGCCGGATTTTAACAACGATCCACCTTAAGAATTATAGGACTAAACCCGCATTGAATGCGATTGATGCAGAGATGATGAGGTTGTTCAAATTAACACCAAAATGTAAGGAGCATCGCTGCAATCTGGTCTGATCTGGGGCATAGCCTCAGGAAGGAAAAAGGACGGGCCGAGGAATATATGCTGACGTTGTACGTATTCTTTCCATATCAACTCGAAGATGCCAAGTGACCAGACCCCACATGGCCTATTGCATGAGTACACAAATCTTTCACACTCTGTGCAAGCTCTCTGTATGCCTAGGTTTTGAGTGGAGCAGCTCGTCCGTTAGACCAGTCAAAATTATCGTAAAACATGGCATTGGCAAATAATTCATATGCGTCAGGGGTTCTCCGGGCACGGTCGGGTGTGAACCTGGCAAGGTTCACAATGTTATCCCAACCGTACGATTTCTCAGGGTCACCGTTTGGGAGCGTCTTAGGTCGCCCTTGAGCATCGATGGCGTCAAAGTCTTGTCCTACATACTATTTAGCGATAGAAGCGACTGTATCAAGCTTTGTGAAGGACTCGCCATCTAGTAGTAAGTGAACCCACTGCAATATTAGTGGTTAGATTTCTTCTAGGAGATGAATCGAAATATTACGTACCTCGTGGACCCACATTTCAGCAATAGTGCGATGGTTTCCAATTGGATCACCTGTTTGTATATGATCTTTCTCATCAGTAATGGTTGCCTTTACATCAGTCTTAGATTCTAGGGTGTCAAGACAGAATGTAATCGCGGAGAAGCCAAAAATGGTGAAGGCAAGATTGTCTGGTCCACATGGGTCGTTGAAATTCGCATTTTTAGAATCTCCGAGTTTGTTGTCAGGAATCGAGTATAACCAGGCTGGCGCATCTAGAAATTTGAATACATTTTTAGTGACTCATCGTATCTCATGGCCTGGTTTGCTGTATTACCTTCGTGGGGGTGGGTAATGGAAATTGATCTTTTCGGATCTTCGGTGTCAGTCGGGTCCTCGTCCGTTGGATGCAACATTTTTCGCCAGCCTGAAGAGCAATATACGCTTGAAGGGGGGCCAAGTACCCCGTTGAGATGAGGTAAGGCGCGGATATCCTTTTGCAGTGACTCAAAGTTATCTTTCTAAGTGATTAGCTGAATACCATCAGGTAACGAGTACATTGGGCATAGAGGACCTTTACAAAGATAACTCTTCCATGCAAGTTGATACTGACCTCGAATTCTCCTTATAGCCTGCCCCGTGGACCTGTCTTATGCGGCGCAAACAGGGCTTCGAGTGTTCGACCAATTCGATTCCATCTCAAGACGCCTAAACGGTCTTGTTTTGGTTCTGGCTTTGGTGCAATGAAAAAGTTGAGGCTAGTTTTTGCTGCCTCTACAGCCATGAAAGCCTCACTGTATGAAGTCTTCAGGAGATCCTCAAAGCCTTGGCATGCACCGTTGTCTCTGGTGTCAAAATTGACCCGGTATTGCTTCGGCAAATCGTCTGGAACACCGGGAGTACCTGTATCAATGGCGTGACTGATAGGGAGCAGTATTGCGAAAACGAGGGTGAAATGCATCTTGAATCTTGTGAATAAATGCGGTAATGATGCGGTAAGAATATTGAAGTGGGAGATGAGAAGTTTTAGGAGTGATGAGGCACGCCGCAATGAGACCACCAAGGGTCAAGAGACAAACTCTTCATTTATATACTTAGTTATTGTTGGCTTCATAATTAGGAGTACAGTGATGGCCATATCAGGGGTATTTTAAGCATCGTTGCCGTCCTCCAGGAGCCCGGTGTCTTTGACTGTCAGATGCAAGGACGAGGGCTGCAAGGACATAACCAACAAATCGTGGCGCAGAGCCAACTCTCACATAGAAAATACACTCATTCGGTAAAGATCTCTCAAAATGTATTCCTAACATCTATGTTGGCGGTTAATCCTTACTTTACATAGATGCACCGGAATAGCTGTGAACTATATTTAGGGCGCTGACATCGCGCCCTCGACAAGCAGACCAACTAGCCCCGTGCCACATCGGCCAATCCCCAACCCAGAAGGATTCAACATATCATACTTAATATTTCCGGGACGGAAGGAATGGAACCAACAAGTCCGCAAGCTCGTCATTGCCCCGAGTTATTGCTTCAAATATTAAAACAATCTACCATCCTCCGCTGTCCTCCTCTCCATTCTCTTTCCCGAAAACCAAGTAGAAAGGCTTCCAGGACTTATTTTCTCCAATTATGGCATTTCATCTGATGCGCCATTCCTACGGCACTCTTCTCTTCGTTGTTTCGGTGATTAATGCCAAGCCACAGGCTGATAATGGACCACCGACTTGCAAAATAGAGTTCGTTTCCTCTGCACAATGTCGATGATATCGCAACTAAACTCTTCAGCTTCTTTGAGAACAGCCTTCGCCCAGCCTGCCATTGCTTAGGCTTCGACATGCCGTTTCCACTTCTAGATAGTCCCTCTTCTCCCAAAGCATGTTCATATACTGCTTTGCCTGACAACCCGTCTTCCACCGCTTCCTTGGAAGGTGAAAGTAGTTTTACTGCCTCACTGACTACTTTTACCAATGCCGAAGGTAGTCCAATGACAGGGTTCATTCAAACCACAAAAGATTCTGTCGGGATCGTATCAACCTTGACTGCAACAGCAGACGGTGCTACTGGAGGAGAACCTGTGGAAACGCGAACCCAAACCCAACCCATGCCTTCTTCTTTGCCTTCCACGACAGCGACTGCTTCCTTGCCTGCCGTTATCACAACAGTGATAGGTGGGAAGACTGAGAAATTCTCGCACACTGTGTTCCCTGATATGTCCACAATCACGGCTCCCGTCACCGTAACTACTCTACTCTTCAAGACAAATTCCGACAGCACGACTACTACTTCTATCCCAATTGGTAAGTGAACTTCGCTACCCTCTTGCTGGCAGAATCAACAGGGCTATCAAGCCTCAGCTAGCCCAAAGTACCATCATGGGGGTTTGCAATTATTTCCTTTCTTGCCAAGGTTTTTTTTTTTTCTTTTCCCGGTTTTTGAAACAACATAGCTTACTGGATAACTCGTTAGTAATCGGACCTGGAGGTCTTGGTTATATTGGACCAGAAGGCCCACTGCCTTTTGAGGTCCCTTTTCCCACTGTGGGTCCTGGGCCTCCTCCCGGAGGTCCCCCGAATGGTAAGATATCTTTCCGTTCTACACCTTTCTTGAGTCATGAGGCATGCTTCATGTCGAATTTGAAGTCAAAACTCTTGGGAGTGTCCCATAGGCACCATACCCCTTAAAGGCCTTTTCTCTTTGGCAATTGCTCACTCTAAGATTCATAAGGTGGCTCGGGCGGCGGACAACCAGACCCTACTGGCCCGCCTCCTGGAGGTTCCCCAGGTGGCGGTGGCTCAGGCGGTGGTGACCCGGACCCTACTGGCCCGCCTCCCGGTGGTTCTCCAGGTGGTGGCGGTTCAGGAAGTGGTGATCCGGACCCTACTGGTCCCCCGCCTGGGGGGTCTCCCGGTGGTGGTGATTCAGGCGGCGGCAATCCAGACCCGGCGCCGACTCGGGAGCCAGACCCGACAGCTTCAACAACATCATCATGTACTGCCAACGAAGCATCATATTGTACCGCCAGTTGCATTGATACAGGGAACACCAGAACTTGCACGACGACGGTATGCGAAACGATCACGGCATGTAGCGTAACTGCCACCACCACCAGCGTCACCACAACGAGCATTCCTGGGGGCGCTCCCAACCGTTACCCAAGACGTTGAGACGACCAGGCCAACGAATGATGTTGTAGATGCTGCTGTGCAACTTTACCTCACCTCCTTGTATAGTAGTCTGGGATACCTTGACGCTACAGAAGGTTCTCCATCACAATCAAGTGGAACAGGTGTGGGTCCACAGCCAACTACAACTAATACGAATCAACCGCCATCGGGGCCACCCTCATGTAAACAGCCATCCGACTGCCCCAAAGACAGTTGCGCCTCGGACAAAATCCCAGCATGCCCTTCGGGAACATGTTCGTGCGGGCCCAAACCTGCGCCAACGCCAACGACTACAGGTGTCTCGCCGCCAACCTCTGCTGAGCCACCTGTAGAGTCTTGCGTGGACCAAAGTCTATCACTTGGGATTGTGGTCTGTGAAAACTACCCATGCCCCGAAGGCAGGAGGGCGGGTTGCGTGGACGGTTTCTGTAAGTGCAATTGGCCTTCTTGTAGGTCAGGAGGTTGTGTGGTGAGCAGAAGAGGGAAACTCGGTACGACATTGAGTAAGGTATATATTACCTCGTCAATGGGATAAGCCTGTTTGTGATCAAAGACTGAGTCGGTATACGAAACAGGAAAACTTTAATGGTCTGGACAATGGGAAATATATCATCCCTCGTTTACTGAGTTATGACGTTTTCGTTATGCAAGTCGTAAAACTGCAAATAATGGCGCGTCTTATACACCCTTCACTACCTTAAGTCCAAGCCCTAAGTCCGGGCGAATTACTGTTACCCTATTAACTATATGCCGCAAGTCCTTTTGCTACATTGGCATATGTCATTACGATTTAATGGATACAGGGACTAAGGCAGATGTCACGAGAGGTATGTCTCAGCTACGCCAAATCCTTCACGCTCAATGAGAGTTTACACTTGAAGTTAGAAAGTTGGGTGCACACTCTATTTAGTTTCGTGGAGCCCGCCGGGAATTCTATGCTGTGGAACACTCACGCAATGGGATTAGATCGGCTCGTACTTGCTGTCTTCAATCACCGGCTTCGTAACTCTAAACGTGTAGGAGCTTTCCGGTTGCGGTAGAATGGTCATAATTTGAGTGACTGCTCACGAGGTGAGAGTTGGAAAACTCAGTCTGAGACGAGGGTATGTAGGAACAGTCATGGGTCTTAAATGAGCCTGCGCAATTGAATTTGCCGCCTGTGCGAGGGAAGATGAGATCGTGGCCAATCGAATCGTTAGAGATCATCACTCAGGTACCCGGCGACGGCTATGTTGCCAGACTTAGCTGACGTGGGATGAATATGTGATTGGTCACCTGATGGTTCGTCAGCAGAGCCGCGGGCTGAGGTAAGACAGGTCAAGAGCTGCACATAGAGGGCGATGCTGACGCCTGTCCACACAATGACCGTAGCAAGCACGTGAGTTTCACGAAAAGGATCTCTAAGAGGCTGCACATGATCATTAGCACCTCAAAATCCAGAAGTAGCAGCTACTGATGTAAGCAATTCCCTATCAGGATTGTGAGCTGACTATTGCCTTCAATTCGGTTTGGCGGCGGTAATTCTTTTGAGTTTACCTAATAGTGGCGGTGGTGATGTAGGGGTTAGACGGCACTGGCCTCACCGGAATACTGCCTTACGGCGCTTGCTCTAGTACCGGGCTGAGCTCATCACACGCACAACCATACGTCTCATACGTGTCCGGAGAGTCACAAAAAGTCCAGAAGGATGTCATTCTCTAGGGTTGCGACGTTGGATGCCGAGGACTGCCAAGTTCTATAAGAAGCCCCCCTTTTCCGCTCAAAAGGTTGTCTATCATCTACAGACAGCACAATCACACACAGACACACACAAATACATATAGAGCCATCTCTAGAGCTCTTCTTTTATCAATCTTCTATCATCGTCATCGACTACTTCAAGAATTTAATAATCACGATGGGTAACTTCACCTGGTACCACGGCCCTTCCTCGGCCTTCCCCCCTATGTCCCAGTGGAAGTCGTTCGAGCAGATCTTCAACGCCAACAAGCCTGAGATGGGCAAGACTGGAGACACCGGTGAGGATATCGGCCGCATTTGGAATGCCGTGAAGGAGTGCGCCAAGATCGGTGTTGAAGAGCGCGTGATCTTTGCCATCATCATGCAGGTAAGTGGCTCTCAGTTTTCGGCTTCGTTTTCGCTAGTAGTCTGTCGCTGACGAGAAATGTGGTTTAGGAGAGCACTGGCAACGTTGGAGTCCGTACCACGACCAACGCCGATGGGCACTTCACTGCCGGGCTCATGCAGTGTGATGGTTCTCCCGGATTCCCTGGCAAGCACGGCCTGACCCAGGTATGTCATGATGTCGCTTGATGATCAGACCCTTCGACAGTGTGCTGATATAAACATTAGGAGCAAATCACCTCCATGGTCCGTGCCGGAACCAACCACTTCAAGGCCAACTTGAAGGAGTTCGGCGACCATGATAATGCCGACACCATCTACAAGGCGCTCCGTGCCTACAACTCTGGCTCTATCAACCCAAACGACCTGAGTGACGGTCGTGGTGCCACTGCTGCCTATGTCAGCGATGTTGCCAACCGTCTCCTCGGGCGCGTCAACTAGACTGACGTTGTAGGGGAGAAGATTCCATCAGAGATCGGGTAGACGTAGCTAGCTTATAGACCACCAATACACTCATTTACTAATTCGCTAAACACTCATCTTGCCGTGAATAGTCGACGTGACGAGAAATGTTGGGCCCATGCCCAGGGTCAATAGCACATCTTGTTCATTTGACAAATGTAATTCGAGGAAGAAGTTACCCAGAGCACGAACGAATCGTGTTCCGCCTCACTTCCCTCCCTTCCCTCCCTTCCATGTTGGTCAGAGGGGGCCCACTGGCAAATTACCATACAAGTGGCGCCGTTGTGGCGGGAAAGTGTTGTTGCACAACATCATGGTGCAGAACGAGTTGTGCAACATGCACAACGTGTACTGCCCCTCCCGTCCTCAGTAGCAGCTCAGACACGTTGGCGCTTTTGATCGCGGTCCTACCAAAGGCACGTGCCATGCGTGTTCCAGTTTTTGGCGCCCCGGCAGACGACGTGCAGGTGACCCGACGCCCTAGCACGCACTAGCAGCAATGGCATGCCTTTAAGGCGAGTTTGCTGAGACGCCCTGAACGCCATCACGGCCTACGGCCAGCGGGTGCCGTCACGTATACTGATCAGATTTAGAGGAATGCATAATTGCGACAACAATGTGCGCGAGCGACTGCCAGCCTTGGCACACTTCCGAGTCTGATGCGATCCTGAAGGATATCTGGACTACAGTGACAATGTCTTCGCATGTTGACAACAGAGAGAAATCCTGGAGCCTCTCAGAGCATTGTTTTAGGGATGTGACGTCCAGCGTTTGCTTTTCTTCGGGTCGGGATGGATTGTCTCACTTGAGGTTCTTCGTGCTTGTGTGGCGTGAACAACTAAGGGAGGGACAACCTTGATTTCTCCCGAATGCAGGACCAAAGGGATGCGAGGGTCGACCGAGCGGCAGCTACTCAAGTTAAAGTGAGAAAGTGAGACTCCAGGGACACTGGATGGCTACTAAGAGAGCAGAATGAGTTCCAGAGGCCACATTTGGTTTTGCGAAAACATGCTGTATCCTCTCACTCCATACTTACCACCATCCTACCCCTCGCACATTCGTTTATGTGCATTTTTCTTCTGGTCCTACTGAGTGAGGCCGGTGTTTTCTGGATATTTCTCATGGCTTTCGGAGCGCTACGGATCACCCGCCCTCCTATCGCGCCAATATCCCTACCCGACCATGCAAAGCCACTTATCATGTCTGCTCCTATCATCCGCTCTCGTCGCACCCTACATGGTTTACTCCTTGCGCTTGTGTTCATCTATGTTTTGTTTCTCACCTCAAAACATGTCGGCCAATCGCAGGGTGAAGTCAGGCACGAAACAGTCAATGACAAGCTACCCGTCGAATCCGACGCACCGAGCCGTTCTGAGCCTGACCGAGTTCCCGAAGACCCTTATATCAAGGACCCGGCCTGCTCATGGATGCCAGATTCTTCAAAAATATTGGTCATAATGAAGACTGGAGCCAGCGAGGCCTTCAACAAAGTCCCGACGCAGCTGATGACCAACCTACGGTGCCTCTCCGACTTCTTGATATTCTCAGACATGAAGCAAACCATCGCTGGGTTGGATATTCTGGATAGTCTCGATACTGTGCTGCCAGAAGCCATGAAAGACAATGAGGATTTCGAGCTTTACCATCGACAGAAGTCCTGCCTAGTGGGCCAAGAACATTGCAACAGTGCCGCCGACAACTCGGCCAGCGGAGCTGGCTGGGAACTCGATAAATACAAGAACGTCCACATAGCGGAGAAGGCCTTTTCCATGCGTCCAGACTATGACTGGTATGTTACTATCGATGCCGACACGTACCTCCTGATACCGAACCTGGTACAATGGCTCAGCACACTGGATTCAAAGAAGAAATGGTATCTTGGAAGCGCCGCCTCATACCAAGGGTTTCCATTCGCACACGGTGGTAGTGGTTACATACTTTCACATGCAGCTTTGCAGGACTTTGCGGGCAACCATCCCGGTATCGCAAATCAATACGACACGAAAATAAAAGAGGTCTGCTGCGGTGACTACATGCTTGCACAGGCACTCAAGGATACTATAGATCTTGGAATCAAGAACGTCGTAAGTACGCTGGGCCATGGATCGCCGATGACAGACTGACGTGAGCAGTGGCCGACGATCAATGGCGAGAAGCCATTCACGATGCCGATCGGACCCCGGCAGTTTTGTGAACCTCTAGTTACCATGCACCACCTCAGCTCCGAGGAAATGTCTTCGTTCTGGGAGTTCGAGCAGCGATTTTACGAATCACAGAAACCCGGACCGGACCGTACTCTACGGGTGAAGGACGTATTTCACGAGTTTGTCAAGCCCCGCCTTCAAGAAAAGCGCGAAGACTGGGATAATCTGAGCGAAGACTGGTTCTACTTCGACCCTGAGGAGAGAAACGACCATACAACCCGCCAGAAAAACCGCCGTAAAAAGGACAGGCTCACGGACCTCGAGAAGGTCGCACACAAGAGCTATGAAGACTGCAGCAAGATGTGCGACTCCAAAGAAGAATGTTTCCAGTTCCGTTTCGAGTATGGCGTCTGTTCCTACGGGAAGGATGTCGTTATTGGAAACCCGAGGAAGAAGAGCAAGGACGAGAAGAGGAGATGGATGAGTGGCTGGAAAGTGGAAAGGGTAGAGGCTTGGTTGGAGAAAAATGATAATTGCGAACATGGCCTCTGGGCAGAACCGCATTGATTCTTCGGCATTGCATGTTACGAGTCACTGGATAGGGAAGGGAAAACCGCATGACACGAAGGCGTTGCATGGGGCCAGAGGATACTAACAGACCCGTGTAGAAGCATTCTCACGAACAGACTTAGACCATAAAGGAAACTCGGAGACTCTATTTCTGCCTTCCGGCTATAATGTATTACAGTTTAGCTCTAGAGTTGACTGGCTCAAACTCAAATCTTTCCCTGTCTTCATGCCTTTACTGCAAGACTGGTGGTAGCTGAGGCTTATTGGTACGGGTCAGCTGATAGAGAACTCCTATGACATGATCAAGAGGAAATGCTTCAAATATGACAGGTTACTTCCTTTCGAAGCCTCTACTAACCCTTCCTACTGCAGAGCGCTTGTTTCCGGACGAGAAGCTGAGATACAGAGCTTCCAAACAATGATGAGTCCATTAGCTCTTGTTGAGATCCTTATCTATGATGCGCATGGCTGCCAAGCACTCTTCATCGCGAAAGCGAGGAGCGATTATCTGGATCGCGCAAGGCGCTCCATCCCATGCATCGGGGTTATCTAGAGATTTGTGAGCACAAAGTATATCAAAGAAGTATCGCACAGCCTTACAGTCTGCTTCAAACTGCCCCTCAGCTTGCCGTGGGTTTGGATCCACAGCTTTCGAAGATTTGCCGAAGGGGATAATGCCAGCTGGGTACTATCGATGACCCTAAGTCAGCAGAGACCTGAAATAGAAGAATAAGATACTCACGTCGAGAAGGTTCCACATCATGGTATACACCGGCACTCCGTACGTATCATAAGGCACTGCTGTGGTGTTGCACCCTGGCGCAACGACCACGTCAAGATCACGGTCGCACCAGTGATGCTGCCAAGCTCGCGCAAAATCGTCACGGGCTATAGCAAGTGAATCGACTCTATGAGCGAGATCAAGTTCAGGGTCGACAGGGAACCCAGCTTTGCCGTAAGGATGAACGCCCAGTGCAACTGATTTCACTTTTGGCTCGCCGGTCACTTCCTCCTTTGACTCGTATCCAGAAGGTGCCAGACCATAAAACTGGCCGGCAAGTCTCCCTCCTAACCCAGGACTGCTAGCTTCATCTGCAGGTAAGAAGACGATATTATGGCCTGCCTGTACGAGTAGTGCAACTGCTTCATCCAAAGCTCGCTTCACCGGCGGCATCAACGGGTACTCTGGGTCTTCAGCAAGTACGCCCACTGTCAGCTTCTTGGTGTGGCCGAAGTCAATCTTCCTCCAATCAATATCTAGAGCAGTGGGGTCATATTTCCAGGGTCGTTTCCCAATAACCGTGCTCATGAATAGATCCAGATCTTCCATTGAGTTGGCCAAAGGGCCAGCGCAGGGGGTAATACCACCGGGAAATCTCATCTTAGTAAAAGGAGCAGGCACCTGGTTGCCGTACGGAACTCGACTGGAAGTCGGCTTGAATCCATATGTACCGCAGCACAGGGATGGGATCCGAATTGAGCCTGCAATATCGGTACCTACGCCGAGAGGCGAACCCCTGGAAGCCACCAAGGCTCCTTCGCCGCCGCTAGAACCACCAGCTGTGAGGCTTGTTTTGTGAGGATTGAGTGTCCTGCCAAAGATGTTGTTCTCCGAGTCAGCAGTCTGAGTAGATTAAGTCAGTATCTGTTACTTTGGGACAAGCTTTGATAAAGTGGCTGGTCTTGGGAAGGCCCACCATCAACGTCTGAGGAATGTTGGTCTTGCAGTAAAGAACAGCGCCCGCGTCCAACAACAACTGAACCAAAGCTGAGTTCTCCACTGACGGCTGGCGCGACACGCTCGCTGTATATCCAAGAGTAGCGTGATGTCCTTTCACTTGGAAAGAATCCTACACTTGTCAGTAAGTCATGTGATTTATCACTATGTAAGTGAACACTCGCCTTGAGACTGATCGGGAGCCCATGCAGCGGGCCGACGACCGTCTTATTATCCTGAAGATACTGGTCCAGCCATTTGGCTCTGTCTATTGCCTCCTGGAAGAAAACCTCGGTTAAGCAGGAGGTCTGTTCGTTAGTCAGTACCCCGCGATCCCCTCAGACACAGCTTAGAGCGCTTACTAGCTGCTGGGCCAAGGCCGCTCGCTTGCAGAACGCGACGGTCACAGCTTCAGAGGATAGGACATTTCCAGAAATCTTGCGAAGCAAGCTCGTCGCATTGTGGTGTTCTGTGATTGCGAATTCCTCGTCGGTTAACAACCCGGATCTCCGAATAGATTCAAGCAGAATCAGACGCCCTTCGCCATCAGTTCCAGCGCCGGACAGCTGAGAAAGGCGGTCTTGTGGCAATACCCATTCCCGCGGGATGGCTGCATCTCGTTTGTTGCGATGGCTCGCTGCTAGCTCTTGCCACGATGCCATGATAAAACAATGTATAGCAGAGTTGGATGGAAAGTGCGCACTGGAAGAGCAGGTATCATAAAATGGATGTCAGTGACAGCACCAACGGGACGGTGCCCGATTATATGGTTGGGAAGTCTGCCCAGGTTCTCTTCAAGCGGACTTCCGGCCCAAGTGCCGCAGTCGTTATCAATACTCCGACCCTTTCCCCACGCCTGTGGAGTGATCCAGCCGTCCATGAACCCCCCGAGGCGCAATTAGTGCCTTATTACAGTTAGTCTCTCAGCTGGTTACCGCCTCTAGCCACCTAACGTGGGCACCTCCCTAGGGTGCTTAGCCGGTGTGAACTACCCCACACGACTACAGACGCGTTATATATGATCACGGGCTCCTGTTTGCTAATGGAGGCCGTTATACAGCATTTGGCCAACTGTTTCATTCGCACTACCGACAGCTATTTTCTTCGGCGAGGACAATCAAGCATGGTTCCGAACATGGCTCTTGACAGTGCTTCTGGCGCGGTTTCTCCGGGCAATGCCTATTCGCCGACTGATGTGGCCGTTCCTCCCATGAGGCTTCCAAACCTTGAATTCGTCTATCGCATCGTCGCCAACATGGATCCTCAGAGTTGGCCTATCCCAAATGTTCAAAACACTAGCGTGTCCCGTGTTATACTCCCCATTCGAGGGGGCGTCGTGAACGGCCCAAGGATTAGAGGGAATATAATACCCAACAGCGGAGCTGATTGGCTAGAAAGAATTCATCCTGATAAAGTTCGTGCATCTTATCAACCGCGAAAAGGGCTTCACTGCTGATCTAAGTCTAATAAGGTCTTCTCGCGGCTTCATGCAATGTACACCCTTCAGACGGATGATGAATTCAATATTCTTGTCCAAGCTCACGGCATATTTCGCGATGGGCCCAATAAGAACTTCGCCCCAGCGCAGACAGAGATGACAGCCACACAGGATCAAGTTGAATACTTCACACATATTACCTTCGAGGCTCCTGGGGATAGCCCTTACGGGTGGATGAACGGCATCGTGGCAATAGGGGCAATGACAATGTTTGAAGGGAGACCAATTATCGACTGCTACCGTTTGACCAATTTCCCAGGTGTTGAAGCCAAGGAATTATAGCACTATCATTGCTTCAAGTATGAGTTAGTTGGAAGGGCCGGGAGAAAGGTCGTACGCTGCATCGAGACCAGAAGACATCGTCGTCGTGAACTTATTTTAAATACAGCGCAGCACGCTCGATCTTACACATTACTCTGCTTGAATCTGATCATTGTCATGGGATGGTGCTCCTGCGCGCTACGGAAGTGCACCGGCAGGGGGTTCTCAAGATTACAGTAGGTGGATTATGCAAAGATACACCAGCCCTAAGGTACCTGCTTGCAGCATAGCTCGGATGAAATGCCCCTGTCTAGTAGCATTAGTGCGATGCTCTAGGGTAGAAGAATTGTTCTTCTGTGAACCTAGAGAATCAATTCAAATGTCAGCACTAGGCTAGGCCCACTTTGCTATTTTTGGGTCACTGCCCCTTGTGATATACCCCCTGTTACTGTGCTTTGCCACGGCTGAGCCTGGCATCAAAACATAGCAAATTTCTCCAAGATGATCGATGAACAACTTGGAAATTCTATTCCTAGTCGAACAGACTAGGCAACGGCAAGATGGTGATGCGACTCCTCGACACGGCCACCTTTGAGATGGTCTCGGGCGAGCAGTCGACTTTCAAAGAGGAAGGATACGCGATACTATCGCACCGCTGGGTGGGTCGGGAGATCACCTTCGAGCAAATCCAGAGCCTCGCATCCCAGCTCAGAAGCGCACCGGTACAGCCCACGGCCCAGCTCGCGAAGATTCGCGGTGCCTGCGACAGGGCGCGCGAGCAGGGCCTGCAATGGATGTGGATCGACTCGTGCTGCATTAACAAAGCAAGCACGGTCGAGGAGTCCGAGTCGATCAATTCCATGTTTAAATGGTATCGCGATGCGAAACTATGCATCACGTATCTCAGCGACGTACGGTTTTCTACCGGCAACCCAAAGGGCGAGGTATTTAGAAGTGTCGATGGAACTACTGCATCCGTATGGTTTAGTCGTGGCTGGACACTGCAAGAGCTCCTTGCTCCCAAGGCGATGCAATTCTTCGACATGGACTGGCAGTACATGGGCACGAAGGCGGAACTGGCGGATATCCTAGCGCACATCACCCAGATCGATGTGAGATATCTTACGGGCGAGAAACACTTCGGCAACGCGTGCATTGCCAGCAAGATGAGCTGGATAGCATCGCGCACAACTGCGCGAGTGGAAGATCTCGCTTACAGCATGCTCGGAATCTTCAACGTCGTTATGACTCCGCGCTACGGCGAGGGGATGCGGGCCTTCATGAGACTGCAACAACTTCTCTTGTCGACACTCACGGACGAGTCCTTATTTGCTTGGAAGCTGCCCCAGTATCAGCCTCCTCAAGTCTTCACCGTACCAGCAGGCTGGGAAGCGGATGAATGGGGGCTGCTTGCCCCCACGCCTTCATGCTTCAAGGACTCCAATCGACTTACAACCATTGGCAAGCCGGTGCCTCGGGTCCATGGTGGGTTTTCAATGACGCAGCAAGGCCTTCAGGTTAGTATGAAAAGGCTTTCACAAGTATATCAAAGACTAAAACCCTTTAGGTCCCCATTTTCGACCCAGGCAAAGCCCGAACGTTGGGATGGCTAGTTTGTCCCCTGTGGATATTAGCCCCTTTGGTTCACTGGATTCTTGTCAGATCAGCGAGGGCAGAAGACATACTCTTTCCGCTAAATTGCTGGCGTGAAGACGCACAAGGAGGGCGAGCAGCCGTGCAACTCCGTTTACGAAGAACAGTGAAGAGGGGGGTTATCCTGAAGAGGATACATTGTCGCGACATTGAGTATACATATGAGACGCCCTCAACCTCGAGGGCCCAGAGAGCGGAACCACATATTGTCCTTCAGCCGCAACAAGGATATCTTGATTGAAGCCCTGAACTATGTCCCATTGCAGCAGTGGGGACCGTAACAGATTCAAGAAAGAAGTGGATCACATCCTTCACGAGGAGTAACCCTACAGAGAGAGAAATGCAAAATGATTGTGGCTTATGACCTTGTATTTTTGTTTTGAACAATTGATACCATTTTGCTCAAAGTTCGGCACATACCAGGATCTTGGAAACAGCTATGGGATACAATATAACGGCGTATACCGGGACACAATGACTGTCTATCTTCTCTGGGATGTCGACTCCTGGTTTTACTTCTGATGCAAGCATCTGCCAGGAGCTTGATCTCGGTAATAATAGAAATACCATCGCGTCATGATATTGTGAATCTCATTTCGAATACAGACTTACTCGATATAAGAGGCAATCTCAATGTAAGATCAAGCTGGTCTTCCTCTGAATGCTGATATGTTCTCAGCTACTGCTTGAATAATGAAAATCATTTGATAGTTTTATTCTAGTCGATTCTGGCGTCTAAGATAAGTGGCATCATCCCCGTACTGCCGCAGCTTTTCTGAGAGAGTTGAATCTCTCGAGACAGAGGCAAACCCAAAGCGACGCCAGAACGGGCCGGTGCCGTAAACGGAGACAAGATAGGTCGCCGGATAGCATTCAGCAACCACGAGGAGCTTGGCGATGCACGCCGACGCATATCCACCTCCACGAAACTTGTCTAGGATAGCGAGGTCATGAATGTAGTAGGAATCTGCATCTGGAGCGATGTCTCCAAGTATGCTGTTCAGTGCAGGGGGTTGATTGTGACGGATGGGGTGAGAGATGGCGTAACCACAGATCTCAGTGCTGTTCACAAGCGCCAAGCAGCCCTCCGGGAAGAGCTGGATGCGCTCCGCAAAGACACACTCGCGTTCGGGCAAACCTGGATGGACGTCGCTAGCCACACGCATCACGTCCTTGAGGTCGCTTAGGCGCAATTGGCGCCAGGTACACATTGTTTGGCTGCTGTGACAGAATAGCGGAAGGGTGATTGATCATTGATCTGGGAACAGTTCACGTTGTCCCCTGATGTTTTGACTGGGCATACCAAGTCTTGAGATATACCGCATAGGGGAGTTCCGCGAAGTCAAATTGTGTAACCGACTGTTGAGCTATGGCCCAGGTCAGCGCTTTGCGGTGGACGTAGCTACGCAGGTGTGTAGTCTATTACCAGGTGACGTTGTGGCTGGCTTGGCCTCGACTTTCCGATCGACGCTCTTGATTGGTTGATTAGATTCTGCCTGCTTTCCGAGTGACCCATAGTTAAATGCCAGAACCAGAATTGGTGGCGTTTGGTAGTGGGGGAAGGCGGCTTCCTTTGGTGGAGCCTCGGCTTACTATATATGAATCTGACATTATCGCATGATTTCCCGCATTCTTTCCAACGACTTCGCAAAAGGAGCAAACCGAGAACAATTTGAGTACGACTCACCATTGTCGCCACCATTAGTCCATTATGCCTCCGTCAGCCGATTTCATTCCTCCTTCGTTTACATGGAGTCTATGGCAGAGCCTGAAAGGCACGTATACGCCGAAGGTAACAGTGCCGGACGCCGATCTACGCGGCAAATGGGTCCTGATAACGGGGTCGAACAATGGAATTGGACGTGAGGCTGCGATCCGTTTTGCACGATCAGGCGCCAACCTGGTGCTGGCTTGTCGACAACCGCCATCACACGAAACCCACCCTGAACAAGTTGTCGAGGAGTGCAGGGCGGCAGGAGGAGGACACGCAGAGGATCAGATTGTCGAATGGTGGGAATGCGATATGGCGGACCTCTCCTCCGTCCAGACTCTGGCCCAAAGATGGAACGATACTGGCAGACCGCTGGATATTCTGGCCAATAACGCCGGCATTCCCTCGACGAACCGGCATACTGCCACTTCAAAGGATGGATTCGAGCTTTGCCATCAAGTCAACTTTCTTTCACATACGCTGCTGACGCTGAGTGTACTGCCCTCTATCGCGAAGGCGCCTAGCCCGCGTATCGTATGTACCACATCTTGCTTGCACTACTTAGGGGTGTACAACCTGTCCAACGCCAACACCGGGGTCGATGCCTACGCCAACAACAAGTTGTACTTCCAGATTTGGCTTACTGAACTGCAAGTTCGTCTCCTTCAACATCCCGACTACGCGCACATTGTTGTCCATGGCGTTCATCCAGGATATGTGAACAGCGGTATCTGGGCGCGGGCCCAAGGGCTCAGCCTGGCTGCTTTCATGTCCGATCCTATTTTTTGGATATCGAAGATTCTGGTGGCGTGGGTAGGCATTGACCCCCACCAAGGGTCATTGGCCATATACAATGCTGCTACCAGTCATGAGTGCGGCATGCAATCAGATGGTGCGGACGAGTTCAGGGGCGGGGCCAAGTACTTCAATCTCACGTCTGAGAATGAACCAAGCCCTTACACAAGGGATGCCGCTTCTCGAAAAGATGTTTGGGAGTTCATCGTGGGGGAGTTGGGATTGGGTAAGAAGTTTCATATTACCCCAGAACTTGAAAGAATGGTTCTGGATTGAGACAGATCGCAGAGTATGGAGATCGTGCTACGATTCTCGTGTCATAATTATGGCATTCTGGATGGATAGTCAAAGCTTGTCTCATGATTTAAACCTAACAAAAGTATTGATATGAGGACATGGCGAAATTAGGTTGGCTACAATCTCAATAGAGGGTTTCGTGTTATTTTCACGAGATCCGGTACTGAAGCGCTTCAAGCATTAGGTGCGTAAGCAACTGGACGAAGTCTCACATTTCGCGCTGCATCCCCCAATTGTCCACCTTCAGCGGATGCAGTGTGAAATACGGTGCTAGAACTAGCAGAAACGCTTTGTTGTATGGCCCCAGATGTGTGTGCGGTTTCATCTCTTGATCTGATGGTTCCCTGATGAGCCTGAAGGAGCCCTATCTTCTGGATAAGCCACGGCCAGAGGTTGACTATTACAGTTAGCTTCATACAGCCTTAAGAAGAATGAAACTCGAACTTTACTCACAGTAGCCGCCGCATGCAAGTATACCCAGCCATAATGCGAGCTCAGAGCCATAGATGACCATCCCCAATATGTCCAGTTCAGACTCAAAGAAGATAGATATCAGCGACGTCAGGTCGCCCAGTGCATCGATGGCAACGAAGATGAACGAAATGCCCCTGACGGTCCTTTCCTTGTATATGTCCCAATAATGCCTCAAGACTCCAGCCGAGAGGAGACATGCAGACAGAACAGCCATGAGTGTGACTGGCCACTGAAGTTGTTGCTTCTTTGCGATGAACAGCGCGAAAACAAGTCCGAGCTCAATACCACCCATGGTCAAAGCCACTGGTACAATGACCGCTGTGCACTTTACCCACGACCACTTTCTCCCATAGTACTGACACTGAAGCCAGGTAAGTAGACTTAGCACGGTCAAGATCTGAGGCTGAATTTTCAATGCAATGTGAAAGTTTTGCACTATGTTGTAGACGCCTAGGGGTATTCCTGCACTGGCCCAGAGCAGCATCATGGTTGGTTGGAGACCGGTTGTGTCATGCTTGCGGTAATTGATGATAATTTGGGGGATCAGCTGTTCTGGAGTGAATAAATAGGTTTCAGATTTGGCGAACACTGGCATACCTGCACTGACCAACATATTGCACCTGCTATACCCAGCGTGGCGGCTGCAGCAGGGACATCCATTATTGTCACAGCGACCGGCAGCGGCACTCGAAAGCAGCGTCTACTAGAGCTTGTATCTGGCCAGAGTGCGTATCGTGCCTCACGATTGTTGATTCCCCAAAGAATTGCGTTAAAGACAGCAGCGGTGTTTGGAGATGGGCTGTCATTGTTTGAAGGTTTGTAGGGCTATCCGTATTTGAGAGGATTAAGCGATCTTCGTCGAAATTTCAAGCGATTGTGTCATTCCCTCGGCATGATTGGTCAATTAGTTCCAGCGACCCACTCACTTCGACACTAGGGCCAAGCTTTCACATTTCTACGAATCGAAGGTCAAGCGCAATGTGTATAAACCATTTTATTCAAACTCCTAGCTAAAAGATTCCTCCAATGCTCAAAACCAAGTACCGATGCCAACCCAAATGAGAGAGATAGGAGAAGTAAATGCTGCAGACCCCTGACCGTAACCAAACGCCCTTCTAGACCTCTCCAGATGACGAAGCTCCATTTTAACAGGCGAAGTTGCAGACAATCTCACGGTTGCGGGACTCGCCAGTGCCGTCGACCCAGTTGCCGACCTTGCATCGGTCGTCGCTCGACTGCCAGAAGACACCGAGGAACCAGAAAGAAACCTTGTTGTCGTTGGGAATGACGACGAGTCCGCTGGAGAACAGGTTGCCACCGAGCCAGCTGAAGGGGGTCCAGTCACCGACAGAGACTCTGGTCTGGTGGCCAATGACGTTTCCGGCAGCGTTCTTGACGTCGAACTCGAGGGCGAAGCGGTTGCGGTCGCTGTTCGTGGTCTTGTCCTGATCCCACTGAGTCAGGCTGATGCTGCACTGCTCATTGGCGCGCTTGGTGCCGGGCTGCTTGTAGATGGTCTCCTTGTGGCTGGCGTCGTTCGCGTTCAAGCGGATGACCTCAGTCACTCCGGCGCCCTTAGGAAGACCGGGCCACTCCTGCTGGTCCCAGATGGTACCAGCGTCCCAGTTGAGGCCATCTCCCTCAGGCAGAAACACGTAGACAACACCCGAGCAGGACTGTGCCAGTGCAAGGGAGGCCTGAGCGAAGAACTGCTTGGGAGTTCCGTTGAAACGCTTCAGGTTCTTGATGAAGTTTCTGTCCGTCCAGCGCTCGTCCAGAATCTTGTAGCCCCTAAGGTAGTCCCGCTCGTCGCGCAGCTTCTTGACCTTGCCCTCACTGCCAGCGCCTAGGCCGGAGTAGAACACACAAGTGTTCTCATCGATGTGCTCCATTTGGGCCTTGAACTCTCCAAGGCCAGGCATAGGCTGCTTGGGCTTGGGCGGTGCGCGAACCTCCAACACATCCTCGTGGCCGTCGACCGTGGTTGCGCCTCCCAGAGAAGAGAAGAGGAGGGCAGCGTTGAGAAGAACTGTCGAAAGCTGCATGATGGCGAATGTAATAGAGATTGGTATGTTATTGTTGGTTGAAGTGGTAATGAAGATTTAATGTTGAGGCAACGCTTGGAAAGGCGCGGAAGGAGAAGAGTGCTAGCTGAGGAAGGCTGTTGTAGTGCTGATTGTGATGCTGATGATGGTTTTTTTCAGAAGATAATGTCGATTGGATGTTGCCTCTTTATATCAATTGCCTGGACGATGATCGTACATTGATGCCCATGTCAAAAGTCTGAGCACATTTGCACGTTCAGGGCGATGCCATGTTTGTATTACTATTCCTATATCACGGCGCCTGGGGTTAAGCGAAGGATGATTACTATAGCCCGCCCCACAGAAATGCTGACACTTGGCACAGTCACACAACGCAGGCTTTATGGCAGTATCAACACCTCTCCCGACTCTCTATATCACCAATCAGGTTCAATTTAAAGTATTTTTTTCATTGTGGACTCATTTTCCAAAACAAAAATGTTGCGCGCATATCTGCAATACCTCAAGCAATTGCAGAGTTCGTCCTGTCGGCTTCTATTTTTAGCGTCAGCCCGCCGTGGAGCCCGTCGTGGAGCCCACGGCGTCTGGGCTGGGCCCACTGCGACACCGCCCATGTACAGCCCCCGCATCCTTGTGTGTCGCCCCAAATTGAATGCGACCTTAAGTATTCAACGCCGCGCCATCAGGCTTTTCCAAAAGCGCAAGACCACTATTCAACATACTCCTAAGAATCCAAACACCACGCGTACGTCTTCAAGTCACTTGCACCTATTCTATCTTCCATCGGGTCTTCACTATCTTTGTACACTCGTTGGAAAGCCAAACTCCCACCACGGCCCAATGGCGACGACCGACGCGCTCTTGTCAGCCGTCGAGGCGAACAACCTGGACGAGCTGAAGAGCCTTCTAGAACAACTAGATGGTCCGCTGAGCAACAACGTTACCCTACATGAAGTGCTTGACAAGGCCGTGGAGTTGGGTCGATTCGAGATTGCTGAAGAGCTTTTCAAACGTGGGGTGACTTGGGGAGATGCCACAATAGAATCCGTGGTGGCAGGAGGCAATGAGGCCAACGGCTGGAACACCAAAGCCATTGACTTGGCCCTAGCCTACGGCTGGGATATCAACACTCATTATGACCATGTCGGAAGTCCTCTCGTGTAAGTCTGTCACATGCACTTTGATTCTTTGACGCGCTGGTGTATATGCACCTATCTTTAGTCCTGACTTGAAAATCCAGCCATTGCGCTTCGATGGGCGAGAACAGCGCTGCCATCATCTCACATCTCCTTTCTAAAGGTGCTGATCCCAATGGAACAACTCAAATGAGTTTGAATCCGCTGGAATGGGCTTGCCAGCATGGTGATCTTGACGTGGTCAAAGTTCTGCTTGCGCACGGTGCAAGAGCGCAAGACACATGGGCACTTCGAGAGGCTTCGGAGGCTGGAAAGCTTGAGATCATGAAGCTGTTAGTCTCTCGCGGGGCTGACATCAATGGTCGCCCGGACGACACTTATGTAACACCTTGCTATCTAGAGGATGATAGCTGGGGCTGGCCCCTTCATGGTGCAGTTGGGTCCGGCAGTGCGGAATGTGTCAAGTTCCTCCTAGACAACGGAGCGTTAACCGATGGAAAGAATCCAAAAGGGTTAACACCGTTGGATCTTGCGAGGAAAAGGGGAAACGAGGAGATTATTAGGTTGTTAGAGAAGAAATCATAGTTTGTCAACCATGAGGTGCTACCTTTAATCGTAATTGCTATAGCATTATCAACTTGTCAACCCGAAAATAACAGTGCAAGGGAATTAGAATGATGAGTAAAAAAGTTTAGACCAATGACTCGTGTGTGTAATAGGAATAGATGATGTTGGTATCGACGAGAGGTCTGAGCCCGATTTGTGCTCACCGAAGCTCAGAATATGGAGAAGGGCGGCGATGAGCATGTAAGCCGATTTTGGCAAGTGTCATTTTGCAATAAACTCCAATCACGTTTCTATTCTCTTAAGAAGTGATCCATCAGTACGTGTTTCTTTGAGTTTTGTGTTTGTTGTTGATTGGACACTGGAGCCACTCTATGCGGATGTCCAGCAAAAGTGGAAGCTGGCCAACGTACGAAAACTCGAATGCAAAATCACTCTACCGAATATTGAGGACGCAAATGACTTCGCCTATCTGAAATTCACAAACGACTTTACCTAATTGGCCTTGATGGCAGGAATTTTGACTACGGCCAGGTGTCCGAGGATTTACCCAGGGGCATGTACATATAATTGCCTTCGTAGCTGCCCAACACTTAGGGAGGCAAGATTCAGTCTTCACAATATTTACTCCATATTGTGTGCTCTTGATTGCACCTGGCCTACGGTGAGCACGACTTTTGGCCAGTCTAAGTCTGTCGATTGCATGGCTTGACTTTGACTTGCGCCGGGAGATGTTGACTCTCAGTGGCGAGAGAATCCTGCATCGGCAGGCGCATCATTGATGTAGCTGATATACGCCGTCCGAAAGCCTGGCTCTACGCCTTTCTTGGGTCGCTTCATCGTAAACTTCGAATCTACAATCCTTGCCTCGACTCCATCCGCGTCCCAGCCATCCTCCTCGTCCTCGTCCTCCTCCCCCAAGGCTGAATTTTCCAATGGAATCATTGCTTTAGAACTCGAGTTGCCATGAAGCTTCTCTTCTTCGTTGGACACGATGGTGAAGTCGATATCAATCTTTGTCGGCTTATTCTTGCCTTTCTTCTCCTTCTTATTCGGCCGAGATGACTCTGATGTATTAGATTCGTGGCTCAGCGTTTCCTCGCTAGCCTGGTTGGCCAAGTGATCATTAAGAGGTATGCTTTGTCCTTTACCATATCTTTCACTATCTTCGCAACGTGCAGTCGGAAGAAAAGGCTTCTTAGTGCCAGCTGGCGGCTGGAAAGATATCCCTGGTGTCATGGGAGCTGCGGCAGGGTTTTGTGCTTGGCGGATCTTCACGGCCGTGGTGAATCAGTAGGTGATTCCGCAAAGGTCGGGTGATCGAAGCACCGTCCAAAAATGGTTGCGCTCTCACTCGGAAGCCCTCTTATAGTTCTTTAGTAGGCACTGCATTCTCGAGGAAATTGAAGCAAGCCCCAAACAGTTCATTGTGTTCTAGTGGTGTTTATCCACACAGGCCCAATCAGCTTTGTGCATAGCTTTCTCTGTCTTTGTCACCAATCACTATAGGTCATGTAACAAGTAGCTGCATGGAACCGCGCGGCCTTGCGTTGTTTGGCTTAGGTAAAGGCGTAGGTCACCAAAGTACTAGGTACTACAACTTGGTTCACCGTGCCTCGCAGAATCTTGTCGTTGGTAGCAAACAACCAGAGCCTAAAGGCATGTCTCACAAACCCCCCAAATTGTTATTGTAGAATGCAGGCCTATCCTCACATTCATGCCTGCCTTTGAATCTGCTAAATATCTCACCTCTGCAAAAACATGGTTCTTACACCCCAATGCTATGCATCACTGCGGTCGAATACTTGGACCCCAAGAGAGCCCACTCCAGATGTCTGGAGGCGACTCATCGCCTCAGTGGGTCTGTAGCGATAATGTGTTGGTCCTGAGGCAAAAGGTCAAGTGTTTGGACGCTCTTGTTGTGAGTGCAAAGGATCGATGTAACGCCTGCATACCTGATGTCCCCGGGGAATCAGGTACCTGTGTCCTCGCGTCTCGCTTTTTGATTCAAGTTCAGCGGAGCAATTCAATCCGCCGAGGCGGCGCAGCTTGGTGCATGTGCGCTATGCCTTTGCTTCTTCACGCTCAATCACAGCCGTCCTTAGCGCATTCCGCCAACTCGGATATAAGGCGAATTATGCCCGCGTTCAAACAGCGCTCTCCCCCAGCTTCAGTAGATCCCGCTCATTCCGCCATCAATAAACACCGACTACCGAAAAGACGCGATCAGCAACATGAAGCTCATAGTCACAGGTGCGACCGGATTCGTGGGCTCGGAGGTCATTCGCCAGGCTCTGCGAAATGCGAGAGTCAGCTCCATGGTGGCTGTAGCGCGGAAACCGGTCAGCCTCGACGGCGCCGTTGACACATCAAAGTTGAAGACCATCGTCATCAAGGACTATGCAGAGTACTCGGATGAGGCGAAAGACGATTTCGCTGATGCAGATGCTTGTATCTGGTAGAGTTTGCCAGGAGAATTCGTTGTAGTATGGCCGTTGACTGACCTGCTTCGCCTGTTAGGACCGTCGCTATCACACCTTCAAAGTCCAAGAAGCAAGATCCTCTTGAGGTGAAGCGCGTGTGCCAAGAAAGTACTATTGCAGGTTTGAAGGCCATGCACGATGCTGGTCCTGCCAATCCATTCCGCTTCCTCTACATGAGTGGTGTAGCCGCAGAACGCGATCAAAGCAAGACCCCGACCTTTATGCCCGAGTACACCAAGATGCGGGTGAGTCTTCATCTTTTTACTGGCCATCATTGGAATCAGTACAGATTCCACCAGTAAACTCGGATTCTAACTCAAGATTAGGGCGAGACCGAAAACCAAGTTCTCGCCTTTGCTGCTAGGCACAAGGATGAAGGCTTCGAGGCTTCGGTCGCCAAACCGGGTCTAATCACTGATGGCTCCTGGTACAAAGCGGCCGTCAGTTTCGCGCTCAAGTACACAAACATCGTACCAAGTGTTAGCGTCGAGGAAGTCGCGGCCGCGATGTTACAACAAGTCGTGGATGGGTTCGAGAAGGATCCCTTGGAAAACGCAGATTTGATCCGGCTTGGGAAGGCTGCGATGCAACAGCAAGTGAAATCATAACTGTAGCGACTTAATTCGCACTATCATAACAGAGACTCCGCCCCTAAGATAGCCGTAGGAAGCAGCGTTCTGAATCGGGTTGATACAGATCGTTCAGCAATACGGGATATGAGGTGTTTGAATGTTCATTATCCCCTCTCAACTCCTTTCAATATAACAAGATGCAACACTTATGGGCGCTCCCCCCTGATGAAGAGATCCCTCCAAAACCAACCCCGCCGAGCGATATTTTGCAGGAATGGGGGACCCTGGTCGTAGACTGGCGCGTCTGGATGGTGTTGCAAACGCCGGGCTGCACCTCTAACTTGTTCTAAGTGTCGGAAACCTGCCAGGATTCCAGACCTCCGTCTCGGCCCTGAGGCATTCCCATTCGGCGGCAGCCAAACCCGGCCGCGATTCAGCTCGATGATACGGTTTGGGTAAAAGTCCTCGGGACGGTGCTGGTAGAACCATGGCATGAATCGTGTCTCATGCTCTGGTAGTGGATTGTGGAGCTTGCAGCCAGCCGAGACATATTTCCTGCTCATATCAAACCAGTCTTCTGGTGTGCACGGGTCTCCACCGGGCTCCTGGCTAGCATGGAGACACCAATCGATATGCTTGATTGTCTCTGAGAGACCGCACGTAGGACAGGTCCAGCGAATACGAGTTGTGTGACACATGTTGCCGCTAACTTGTCGACGTTCGCTTTAGGTATTTGCACTTTCCAATGCATTCCTGGAGTTCAAAAATAGATTGCGGTAGTGATCTTGGTTGATGAATTGGCATATTCGCAGAGGATCTTCAAATGAGGAACATTAACAGGAGCCATGTGGACTTGAGTTAGTGAATAGAGAATGGAGACAGTCGTTGCAACACAAGAGTCACATTATGAGCACGGGTTTCTCTTATGGCAATTCATATTTTTCCAGCAGTCTACATTGACGGACATCAGGTCCCCTGATCCTCAATTCTGAGATTATCATTTTGACGTGCGAGTTGATGTGCTCGAGCCTATTTATACAGCATGCTTATCAGAGATCAAGCATACTCGCGAAACGTAGCACCTAAGTTACCGTCTATAGTCTTTTGACCAATGAGTTCCATCGCACACCATCGCGAAACTCGTCAGCAGCAGCCTATGCTCCCTTTCTCGATTAGATTCAATAAGGCATCGGATCACCTTCGTCGGGGCACTCAAAGCCACCGCGTCCATAGCAGCTAAGGAAGCCAAAGTCGGAGTCCAGCACACCTACCAAGTGTCCCCGCATTAGCTAAAACACAAACGGTCTCCTAAGTCAGCAGCCAGGAATTTCCATAGCTCACGAGTAAAGTAGGCATGGTGTCTTGAGAACTGTGTAACTGTTTCAACTTACCATCTAGGTCAAATTTGGCCCACGTATCCGTGGCATTGGGCTGTGCAGGGTGTTTACAGCCATAGCATTTTCCAACCGTGCTGGTGTCCATGACACAATTCTTAGCATCACATGACTCGAAGGCCCGTCCTAGTTGTCTCTTGACGATCTGCGTGTCGCCTGTCAACGTGAAGCACCTATATGATCGTTGACTGTCATTAGTAGTATATCCCAGGTGTTCGGCCTTCTATAGTGACACCGAATCTGGCTACGCCAACACAATGGCGGTTGCGTGAAGCCTTCTCAGACTGCGGCGCCGGCTATCCAGAAGTAAATGTGCTCGACATACAGGCTCAGGTCAATGTAGGAACAGCGGAAGCCGTTAGGTGCTCCGTACAAACCCTTGCACTCGGCACGGGCGAACAGACGGTTGATCGTCTTTTTGGCGTCGTTCGGGTCTCCTTTCTTGGACGCCTCAAGATTGAAGTTCTTGCAGCGCTGAATGACATTCTTCTGGTGGTAGTTGGGGTGGGTGCCATTTTTAGCCTCGCCAGCTCCGTTACGTTGGCTACGCCCCAAATCTCGAGCTGCGCGGCGATGTCTTGGTTGGCCGTCGGCATATTTGCCGTGGCGCAACTCACACCTGTCAAGGCCAACAGGAAGAGACGGAGAACCTTGAATGGCTGCATTGTGATGCACGGATGTTGCTGGTCTCAAAGACAGCAATTTGTTTGATGGGAACAATCAACAACTTCTCAAACTGCAGCAGCGGACGGTTATTCGGTGATGCAAAGTCTAAGAGTGGTTCAAAGGCCTGAATGTGACCTACGAGAAGAAATAGAAATTGTGAACGTCGTAACCTACAGGAAATGGCTCGCAAATTCACTGTTCTCAAAGTCAAGTTGGCCGCGCAATCTCATAGCTGGTAAATTTAGCAAGTGAATGCTTGTTGATGGTACCACGCAGTTGATCGAGTTCAGATGACCCGGTTCGCTGTTTAGTTCTATCGGTTGTTGAGCACTCGCAGTTACACATAGCTTTCTTCAAGAACAATAAAGATAGCCTGCGTTGGACCAAGGATACATGTCATCGACATTTTGCTTCAGGTTCACCCGATCTAGCTCTACCCTAGACAATGGACGTGGTCAACACGAGCCCTTTTGATCGTGCCCTGTGATTGATCCAGAGCGGCAAGTTTCTGGTCCCGGAGCCTGGATCGTTCATAATTCTCCAACGGACCTAGAGGCCGTATTGGATAGCGGGCTGCCATGGTCGAGCTTTGCGCCTCGCTCGCCATCATACTAAGGAGTCACACTGTTGAGCTTGTGGTGAATGGTGACGGCGAGTGAAACTTGACGATAGATGAGAAGAACTGCAAGTGGGAAGCGGCGATGGTTCAGGCTATTGGTCTTCTCTCTGGTGGTATCGGGTACAACACAACATGACACTGGGTATAGGAGAGAAGGTTCCTGTCGACATAGACGCAGATGAGCGCGGTGGCATCGCTTACGTTTCATAAGAAAACAGACATTTTGTCATATTCAAGTCTCCTTTACAGTACACGATGGTCAATTGCAGTTCCCGGAGTGTAGATTTGAGCTGAATGGGCGAACAGGAGGCCATGTGCCTCCAGCGTCCCCAGCGATGAGCCACGTGACTATGATCTGACTCGGTCACGTGCTGTTAAGTATTCGTCGTTTTAGGCCCATTTGGGTACTAGCCGCAGCGCACGTGCCTTCTCTTTGCAGCATAACATCAATCTTCGACCCCTCAGACAGACTTGGCTTACTATGGTAGGCACGACATGCGATAAACCTATCAAGGTGTGGAATGCCGGTTTCAAGAAGCCTCGTGCTAGCCACTAGTGATATGGACGGATGTGGGCACGCCACTGCCGGAAATCTGGCCAAGAGGCAGGGATTATTAGATGCTGTAACTTGGTGCGTAACTTAGTGTATGGCACAGGATTCTCTGCCTCGCCCGTGGAACTGGACCTGACGTCGTACGACTCTGTCTAGTCTGTAGTGAATAGTTATGAGGATAAACATGAGAAGCTTCATCAATAAATCAACAACGCCGGACTGCTTCTTGAGCTGGGCTGAATCAATTTGCAACGCCAAGATCTCATGAATCGAGACGTTCCAAGTCAACATCCACGGAGCAGTTCTTACCGAAGTGTGTATCCCGCCGCTTGGGGACGCCAGTGAGCTTCGTGTAATAAGATGACTCGTGGTCCGTACTCCGTACGTCTACAAGTCCTAAAAATGTGGGAAGGTCCGGGATTGCTGACTCTAGAACCTAGTCCCCGGCTCTGAGGACCAGGGTCGGGGTCCGCCTAATTAACGTTTCTGGGGTATGATAATCGCAGCCAAGAAAACTCGGAAATTCGTGCTTGGGATATATTACGAAATTTGACACCCCACCACAGGAATCCTGCTATTTCGTCATTTGAAATTCGAAACATGGGCTGCTTGTTTCGAGGACCAGACGGCATCAAGGCCCACTCCCCAGAGGATGGAGAGAGTATATCATAGAAGCAGCCCGGCTCAGCACTGAGCTGAGCGACGATCCGAACCTCACACTCCAACACGACGTCTGTCATTCCTTTACAGCCCTGGGGCTCTATATCCGACGTCTTTTACGGTTACTTTGTACACATTGTGCCTTGTGCATACCATTTCGCTCGTTAACAAGACTGTCCCGGAGACAAATTTTCAAGAAAAGACCGAAAGCATGCGTTTCTCAACTGCTTTGACTCTTGCGGCGGCCCTGATGGGCGTCGACGCGTCCTGCGGGCGCGGCAGGCGGATCTCCACTTATCCCGTCGCTGGCGGACCTCCTGCAACTACCGCTCCGGCCACCACCGTTGCGGCACCGGTCCCGACTACGTCCCTGGTTCCCACCACATTCGCGACGCTGACCAAGACCACCGAGGAGGCCCCGTCTCCCACCAGCGCCGCGCCCCCGGCGGCAACCACCAGTGCGCCTCCGTCCACCGGCCTCACCCAGGACCAGCAGAACGCACTCGATGCGCACAACAGCGCCCGCAGCGAGATCGGCTCCGCCGCCCTCGTCTGGGACTCGAGCCTTGCCGCCGATGCCCAGGCATGGGCCGAGCACCTTGTCTCCGTGGGCTCTCTCACCCACTCCGATGTCTCGGGCCAGGGCGAGAACCTTTACATGGGCTACGACAGCACGCCCCTCGTCAGCGCCGCCAACGGCTGGATCGCTGAGAAGTCTAGCTACAACGGAGAGGCCATCTCGTCGACCAACTACATGAGCTTCGGCCACTACACCCAGGTTGTTTGGGGCTCGACGACCCACGTCGGTATGGCCTCAGCCTCCGACTCTAGCGGTGCCGTCTACGTCGTCGCTCGCTACTCGCCCCCGGGTAACATGTAAGTTATATCCTCTGAGATGGATGTGAGTAACGTGAAGTTAACATTATGACTAGGATTGGTGAGACCCCGTAAAGCCTCAGGCTATGAGACGTGGATGAGAGTACGATGTGTACTATGTGTATGATGCACGAGATTCATACGGAAGTTCTCTTCGGTCGGCAGACATTCTTGTTGCCTACGCTCAACAGTGAGCATTTTGGGATGGATTTACTTCAAAACACAACTAGAAATAAACACTCCAATGGGGAGATTATCAGTTGAATCGCCGTTCTGTGATTTTGCTGGGATTGGGTAGCTGTCTTGCAGACCAAGTTTCCCATTGCTTCTTTGTTGGCGACTCCCAAAACAGGTCGTTGCGTGCCCGGTGGTATTACTGTGATCCATGATTTTCTTAGCGTTAGACCGTACGCCATAACCCACGCCGCTGGAATAGCACGCTTGGATGTTTGAACGACGCTCACTTTAGCAAGAGATCGCAATTGGTGCAGCACAATGGGAACATGAGAAGGAAGTGTTGGTGGGTATGGTTGCGATACAAAGCAGGATCTGAAGAGGCCTTGCGTAGCTGGCACCGCGTTGTCTTCCCTGATCAGGAAATAACATTCCCGCCGGATAAGCTGTTCGGATTACAGAACGCGGGCGAAATCTGATTGGAAATTGTATCGCAACCGACTGAAGGGCTTAGAAGTCTAAAACATTGAACAAACCTGTAGAAAAGTGCTTCGCAGCAGGTATATGGTCTGGTTAATGCTGTTTATGGGGAGTTCCACCCCTATATGTGCTCTCTGTCTATACTTGTACGCAGTTGGCACCGAACCACTCCCTGGAGTCTCATCGTTTGGCTCTCACATTTTATGTGTCGCTTGCACCCACGGCCATACACCCATGGCAGTTTCGCTATTTCACTTGATCGCGGATGCTTACCATCTAGTTGGCCGGCGGATTCTTATCCACCCAGTTTTGTAATATCTCCGCCATTGAGTCCAGGCCCTCCTTCCTCGCCTTGTCAATGTCGGGCCCCTTTATCCAGTGCCAGTAATCGTCCGAGGGAAAGTCCGCCTTCTGGAGTAGAAGGCGAACAATGCCTTCGTTCTCGACGTTAACGGCGTTGCAGACGGCTTGCAATGCTGTGGTATTGTTAAGGGGGGTCCCGTGATCGATCAACTTCTGGACAAGAGCCAAGCTCCCCGCAGCCGCTGCGGCCGGGAGGGAATTGTCTCTGTCCGTATCGCTGTCCAGTATAGCACCGTGCTCTACGAGAAAATCGACGATGTCTTCATGGCACCTGCGGCATGCGTTAGACAGCGGGTTCATGATGCGGCCTTCCCAGTTGTATCCCCCGTTGATATCAACACCCTTGTCGATTAGATGGCGGACCATATCCAGCCTACCAAACTCGGCATACCTTGCCAAAGCATACCTTGTCATGCTATGACCGTGTCTCGCCAGCTCAGAGTCCCGAAGCCAGCTCTCTAGGAGATCGAATACTTGCGGGTTTCCGGCGTTCCACCGGGCACTCCGGACAGCCAACTCGATCCGGCCGCACTGTGTGACAAGTTCCTCGGGATTGTCACTCACTGAGTGGTAAGGGCGCATCGCAAGACTCAGCATCCCAATGTCGCCACAGGCTGCAGCTCCCTGGATTGATTCTTCCCCGATACACTGTCTCCAATCTGTAGCATCGGGAAAGTACGTGATCTCGGACAGCACCACTGGTTCTGCGTGCCTCTGGAGTATTTCGAGCATGTGTTCGTTCCCCGCTGAGGCCGCAAGCCTGGCTGGCGACGGGAGCAGCTCATTGCTCGCGGCTGCATCAATATCTTTAGCCAGCAGGCGCTCCGCTAGAGGCACCATGTTAAAGTAAGCAGCTGCCGAAAGCAAGTCGAGGCCATGGCCTTGCCTCTCCTTCGGCCGAGCATACGCCCAACCCTCGTGGAAGCCGGTTTTCATTCTCCCATGCTCCAGCACTAGCCCACAAAGGCCACCGATGATGAAATCGAGCTCCATTCCAGACCTGCATTCTTCGTGGACAATGACGGCAATGCTATGTATCTCAGCCAGACGGCCAACCGCCGGATCCGTCTCATTCTTTACTCTGTATGTGAGATATGAATGCCAAAGCCGCCAACCATAGGACTCGGGTTTCAGGTGCCAGTGCCTGTTCACCACCGGGGCATTGAATCCGTCCAATAACTTGGATTTGAAAAGCGCGGGTTTCACGGCATCCGAGAAAAGCTCTGTCAAATCGCACGTTTAGGACGAGCTTGCTCTTCTGCGCAAAGAGCGACCGACTTACTACAGACGAGGCGTAGTCGTAGACCCCTTTTCACGCCACGGCATATAATTGCCTGCAATAGTACATTGTCGACAAGTTCGGCGGGCAAATCCAGGAAGACAGCCATTGCTCCCCACAAGTCGGCTCTGTCTCTATTCAAAGACTTCGCGATGTAATAATTCGCAAAATGCCCACACGGTGCTTTTACCATGCGGTGCGAGACTGGCCGGGTGCCTATATATCTGCTTGCTGCAGTTTCGCTGAAGTGTGCCCACAGCAGTTGGCCTGCAGCGGCTCAGCCACTAAGGTATCCTCTGAAAAGCCTGCTGTGCCATGCTGGCGCGTTGCCTTCAACCCCAGTAAGATTGGAGACCGAGAGTCTCAAAGTAGGCCAATGAGCGGGTGAGGAAACCCTTGAAGGCATCATTTTCACAGTTTGAACGATGATTTGTCAATGCCTTACGTGGTAAAGTTACTCAGTGCGTGTGTTCTGTTGAGCTATTGAGCGGCCAGGAGAGATAAAGCAACGAGTGCTGATCCGCATGGGCCAAGGCCTACTACAGCACCACAGTATTTTAAAGCTGGCCTGTGATGAGCGGACTGCCTTACCAGGCAGGACAGGGACAGCAGCAAAGCTCGCCGGGATGGAGTTGGCAAACTCTGGTCTCCTATGCAACGTCTCGAGCTTAATCTGGTGACAAGCGATCGTGGCGGTACGAAATGCCCCTGACTTGCGACTCATGCCGGACTGCACATTCAGGGTTACCGATGCGAGATCTGGCAGTGCGCACACAGCGCAGTTGAGGTGAACATCGAAGCCTTTGGGGAACTGCTTGCGCTTCGGACATGGACCACAGGTGTTTCTTTTGGACAGCCCTTAGGACTTGGGTAGGAGAGATCAAGACCGTGTTCTTGTACCTTTCGTGCGATGCCCATCTCCAGCCAGAAAGAAAGCCCCGAGAGCCAATGACGTCGGCAACGTGGGTCCGTTCTGGATGCTGAATCGTCTCTCGACGCTAGGATTGCGCGAGAAATAAAAACACTCTCACCGTCCTGACACACGCTCGACGTCGGGGTTAGAGGGAGATAAGCGAACAGTGGACGAGGCAAGGTACCCGGCAAATTCCCGCAGGCGCTGATTGGCCCGGTGGCGATCCTTGTAGGGTGGTTGGCTGGTGGACTACAGTGGGTGTGCAGCGAGAGTTAGCGGGTGCAGCGGGTCCCCCTGGCGCTGGTTTGACTTGGATTTTCCCGCCTTCTCCCGAGCGGCCGTGCCCAGAAAAAATATCTGAGCCGAGACAAGAGGCCAACTTCCTGCCTCCTTCAAAAAGCCGCAACGCAGCATCGCGACGTTTAGAGATTTGCCCATTGAGCATCCTCTGGTCTCCTTGATACCCTTTGCACGACAGCATCAGCTCGTCCTCTCTCCACTCAGCCCTTCCGTCGTTTGTTCTTTTTTATTTCCCCTAATCCACCCGCCACACATTCACCATGTCGGGCAAGATTGATGCTGCCGTCAAGGAGGTCAAGGCCAACGCGCCTGGCCAGATGTCCGGCTTCCAGCTCTACTCCAGATTCGCCCTTGCCGGTGCCATCTGCTGCTCGGTGACCCACGGTGGTCTCACCCCCGTCGATGTGTATGTCTGCTCAACCGTCCCTGTGTGATGCCGCCGTCCAGCTCTGCGTCTGATCTACCCGTGCGGCCGAATCGACGATGCTCCGACTGTTCCGAGACTTGGCCATCTTCCAATGGCGGGCTCCGACTCTCGTCGACATCCGCAGATCAGCCCACGGGCGACGATGCGCCGGCAGACTTCAAAACTCGGACAACCATGCTAACCTGACTGCCCCGACAGCGTCAAGACCAGAATCCAGCTCGACCCCCAGACCTACAACCGTGGCATGATCGGTGGCTTCCGCCAGGTCATCGCCAAGGAGGGTGCTGGTGCTCTCCTGACTGGTGCTGGTCCCACCTTCGCCGGTTACTTCCTCCAGGGAGCTTTCAAGTTCGGAGGTTACGAGTTCTTCAAGCAGCAGGCTATCAACACCGTTGGTATTGAGTCTGCCACCAACAACCGCACCGTTGTCTACCTTGCCTCGTCCGCTTGCGCCGAGTTCTTCGCCGACATCGCCCTGTGCCCCCTTGAGGCCACCCGTATCCGTCTCGTCTCCGAGCCCACCTACGCCAGCGGTCTCGTCTCTGGTTTCAGCAAGATGCTGAAGAATGAGGGATTCGGTGCCTTCTACGCCGGATTCGGCCCCATCCTGTTCAAGCAGTATGTTGAAAACTACGTGTGATTTGCCTGCCGTCTCGATACTGACCCACTACCCAGGATCCCCTATACCATGGCCAAGTTCGTCGTGTACGAGAAGGTCGCCGAGGCTGTCTTCCGCAAGTTCCCCAAGGAGTCCCTCTCCGACGGCCAGCAGACCCTTGCCAACTTGGGCTCCGGTCTGATCGCCGGTTTCGCCGCCGCCATCGTTTCCCAGCCCGCCGACACCATGCTGTCCAAGATCAACAAGTCCAAGGGTCTGCCCGGTGAGAGCACCACCAGCCGTCTGATCAAGATCGCCAAGGAGCTTGGTCTTAAGGGCTCGTACGGTGGTATCGGTGCCCGTCTTGTCATGGTTGGTACCTTGACTGCCGGTCAGTTCGCCATCTACGGTGACATCAAGAAGGTTAGTTTCAACTCCACCCGTAGGACTAAGCAGGGACTAAAATTTTCATAGGCTCTTGGTGCCACTGGCGGTGTAGAAATCGGCAAATAAATGTGTCTCGGCACGTAACGAGAACCAGGGGACGAAGAAGGGGATGTAATGAACGACAAGCGAAATGACAACTTCCCTCTTGGGTATCTGGAAGCGGATATCGGGGGATGCCTCCGTCATGAACATGGCATTTTGGGCAATAGCAGCATGGAAGCCAGCTGTTATCATGCTCGTACTTGTTTTTTTGTCACGCATTTAGACTGGGCGCCGGACGGATTTGCAGGCTTCTCCTGCAAGTGTCGCATGCGTCTCTTGCACAGTGGTGGACGTCTAGAGAGAAGGCTGAGCTCCCTGCTTGGTTTCGATGCATAGAGCATAGACCACCTACCTAGAAGTAGAAGCCGACACTTTCACTAGGAGGTTGTACAATAGATCTGGGTTTTCCGAAGACTTGTTATAGTCCTGGTCTATGTGATGTTACAAGCCCCTAATCACTAGCCACATTACCCCTAATAGCCACCTGTGGCGCATTACAAGACGTTTTGAGGCTAATTCAGGCAGATCAGACTCGTGGAAGAATCGCAGGTCAGCACGACACTCGTGTCGAGTTCGTACACTTGGACGCCGTTTTGAAAGGTCATCTTCGAAGTCAAAAGCTCTGAGGGAAGACTTAAGCATTATAATCCATTCAACTACAGCAACAACCGCCTCTAGTATTGTCTGAAATCATTCAAGCAGCGCAAGATGCAGCCTTAAGACGGCCACCTGATGCGCGAGAGGTCATCCACGCAACTTATAGATCTAATCCCCCTTTCGGCCGTATTGAACTTCGTGTCCGCCGGGTAGTTCCTTGAGCCCTAAATAATGGACGAGGTGAGTATGGGACAGCTGATGCAATTAAGTGAGCAACAATGGGTACGACTTACAGCCATCAACATTCTCGTTCACCACCGCCTTCTGCGTACAGGCGTTCATGGCGGCTGTGGACTGGGTCTTGGCCCCAGCGCAATTGACGACACACGGCGTGTCGAGGATCTTCTGCAGCGCATCGCCTTTCCAGCCAAAGACATAGTCCGCATGGTTTGCATACCCTGTGGCGTCACCAAACGACCACACGAACGGTTGGGTGCCATCGGTCGGCCAGTCGGCCTTATTGTTGAACTGCCGCGTGTCCCAGACGACCTCGAACAGCACCTGCGCCGTGCGCACGGGGTGCGTCGCCGGGCACGGCCCGCCGCTCTCGAAGGTGCCGTTGGCCGGGTACGCCATGTGGGCCATGTGGTCAGGCGAGTCGAGGTTGACGCCGTCCCAGCAGGTCGGGAAGCGCGCGTTGACCATGATGCCGGCCGGGCACGGGCGAGTTGGGAAGGCCAGCGTCTCGGGGGCCCGCGTGCCGGCGTTGTCCATGCACGTGTACGTCAGCTGGCGGAAACGCGTGACCTCGTCGCGCGTCCGAGCGTTGACGTCGCCCACGAACATGCGGAATCCGGGCTGGAACGCCTTGACCTTGGACTTCTGCGCCGTGTCGTACAGCGCGTCCTGCATGTAGTACACGGTGATGCCCGCCTTCGCTCCCGTGATCTGCGAGCTCTGCGGCACGCGTTTGAACGTCCCGTTGCGCGCCCGGAAGTACAGCACCGCCGTCCAGTAGTTGGAAAAGTCCTCGCTGAAGGAGCACGTCGTGCAGGTCGATTCTTTGGGCACTGGACGACGCATCAGCCAACGATCAAATGAAAAAGGGGCATCCTCTAGTTCACTTACTGTCCTTCTTGGGGTCCATCGTGGCGTTGAAGGAATTCTGGCACGAATTGGTCAGTGGGTTATTCTTTCACAGAAGCTGAGTTGGCTGTACGTACTCCGCCAACGATCTGATGCACGTGAGTTGAAGGTGTCATTCCTGGGTTCACGAGAGGGTCAAGCCTCTGGACCACAAGCTGCGAGCATTGGAAGCGGATTAGAGCGCTGCTCAGTGTAGCCAGTGCTACGCACACGAGTATGAGTCGATTCATCTTGATAGCCGTCTTCAAGTGTACTCTAGTTGGGTTTCTGAATTTATTGATCAGCAAACAACGTCAGGGTACCTCAAGTCGCAGGAGGCTGGGCGCGTCCTTTTACACTGCTTGGTTGCCGGAACAGCAATATGCCATATTGTTATCACGTGGAGTACTTAATACCCGAAGCTTGTAGAAAGTGCCGCCATTCAAGGATGGCAGCTCATATTCGAGCGCCTGCGGGTCCCCTCTATTGGGCAGCACTGGGGACCAGCGGGAGCAAGCCAGGGCCTGGTATTTGCCGGGACGATCCTATCAATGACAACAAGGGTAATATGGATATCAGTAACACTATATACATGACCGTTCATTGGTGAGGTTCTGCCAGTGGCAGACAGGTCATTGTGAGCCTTCGTGGCAGGGGCGTTGATCAAGGAAACACCACAGTACTGGATAAGACGCTGAGGTACCATTGCACCAACTGACCCAAGCTCGCAACGCAAGAACAGGACCATAGCGACGATTCGATCCAAGTTCCGGCTATGACGCTGGTAAATTGCGGGGACACTATCATCCGCACCGCTCGCTGAATTTATCCAACGTATACGATTAATAGACGTATTAAGCGATCCCAAGATAGCAAGCACATGGCCAGGGTGTGCATTGGCAACCTTAAATGAACTTCAGTGGTGGCCCTCCCGCTCCATCAGCTGCATTCATTGCAGAAAACGGCTCATTGCTTCACTTCAACGTGTCGCACACCAAGGCGTAATCGATCTCGTGGTTGTACTTGCTTACGAGAATATGCGGGTCTTCATCGGCCTCCTCTCCCTCCTGGCCTGCTCTGTGCTGGCTGACGGGCCCTGCGACGTCATGAGCGACTCCTGCCGGGCCGTCATCAACGCGAGCGCCTGCTTCAACGAGTTCATGGCCGGCGGCAACAAGAACTCAATGCTCAACTGTCTCGCGGGCACAGAGGGCTCGGCCACGCCGCAACAAAAGGTGAGTGAAGAGTGAAAAGATACTGGTCTTCTAGGTAAACTCCGTAACTAATCACGAATACGCTGGTAGATGTGTGCGTGCACCGGCTGCCTTGGACCGGCGATGCTGACTTGGATATCGAGGAACAAGGTGTGCTGATGGAACTCAACTTCGCGTCGACGTTAGCAGCACATTGGTCAAAATTCACTTGCAATGTCTTACTTTTGCAACTCGACGAGAGTGCGGCTACCTGCCATCATGTATTGGCTTCCATGTGTTGTTCCGCTGTTAGCAGATATAGTTCACCAGAGTGTATACCCTGTATTTGTTCATTCTGCGGTTCTGATACCTTCAAAACCCCAGGCCAATGCCTGGTGAACTATCACAAAATACCACCGGAGTATTCATCAGACACATTGGACACTCCGTTGGCCGTGAATCTATAAAAAGAGTTATAAGCAAGTTTGTTGCGTAAGATTGGTCTTGGTGTAACGCAGGCCAGCCTCGTGAGGGGCAAATGGGTTGTTTGCTATGCAGCTTACGTGGGTAGCTAGCAATCGAGTGATCCAAGGATCATAGCAAACCCAAGTCATTTTCTCAAATTGAGGAGAATTCGTGACACGTTTTTCACTTCACAATCAATTAAATCTTCTACTGCATAGCTCTCACGTTCATCCTTTACTTCAAAAAGGTTGTGCCGAAGTGACAGCTTCGCTCAACATTAATCATGTTTCCCAAATTCTTTCCGCTCATTTGCTTGTCATTGACCTTTAAAGCCCTCGCGGAAACGCGGAACCCGTCTGGTGGGATCGTTCAGGGCATATGTACATCCGGTGAGAACCGTACTGCACAAGATGTCATCGACCAGCTAGGACTAGTGCCAAGCGTGGAGAAGGGGTACTATTTAGAGACGTTTCGCGACCCAGCGCTGTATGGCAACCGGTCCGTTAGCACCGCAATTTACTACTTGTTGGAGGGGACTGTTGGTAAATCGTACTGGCACCGGGTCGACGCGGCTGAAGTTTGGCACTACTACGCTGGGTCGCCGTTAACACTCTACCTGTCTCTGGACGACGGCCGGCCGGTGAGGGAGAATCTTCTGGGTCCAGATATCTTTCACAATCAAACGCCACAGGTGATAATTGCTGCGCATGAGTGGCAGCAGGCACTAAGCCACGGGGAGTGGACACTGGTAGGAACGACAAGCAAGTCTTCCGCCCCCCTTTTTGTTTTTGTTTTTGTCTTTGTTAGTTGTTCTTCTTGGGTTCCCTTAATCCATCAGCGGACCTATTCGTCTAACTTGCTTTTTAGTGGCTCCCGCATTCATAGATATTGGTTTTGAGTTAGCACCCTTTGGTTGGCAACCGAGCTGTGCCTAACTACCTCTGCCACACACCTACTTGTACCTAGCATCTACCATCGAGCTGGAAAGGAGTCGCATAGATCTTCAGGCAATGGGAGTTATAATTATGACCCTAGCCTCGCAGGTGTCTAGATAGGTGGCTCGCTCAATAGCGTCGTCGAAGAACATTTCCATCAGACAATTCGTCTGCCATCAAATTTGAAATCAGTAGTCCTCTTTCAACAAGCGCGTCACTAATTGACCAGTTGCTGGGCAATCGCAGCCCTTTTGCAAATTGCATCGGTTACCTGCTCAGCTGACCAGACCCCGGCTTTCAGCTGTTCGAGAAGTGCCGTCGCATCGTAATCAGAAGTGATTTTGAATTCTGCCTCGTTCAGCAGCCCGCAGGCAAGCGGTGCATCCATGACACTGGTTGCATTCTAAAACCTCTCTGGAACGATTTGCCAAGCTTTTGGAATGCTGTTCTCTTGCTGAACATTCTTCTTTGCTGGAATGGACTGGTAGTGTTGTATTTGTGATACCATTTTGATCTCGTGGTTGTGGTGATAATAGGATGTTATGATCAGTCAGGTTTCCACTGCATGCACGGCTTTCGAATCTGAAGTCTTCTACAATTTGACAGCTTTCAGTTATTTATCGTCATGGCAAATGCTAGACGCCGCCAAGAGAACTTGTAAGTGGCCACAGATATCATAGAAAACCTCCGCTCCGGCTCCGGCTAGTCCGGCTCTAAGTAAGACATCTAGCATTAGCTAAATATGCTTCTTATGAGGTATTCCTAGTCATCGTTGAACACAGTAAAGAACCTCAATGTCCGCAGTATGTTCGGTAATGGCATGAAATGCCATCAGGAGTCCAAATCGCCCCCGTTAATTGGTCGAGTGGGCTAGTGGGGAAGAGTTACCTCCGGTTGATCTTCCGGTCAACCTTCCGGTTAACCTACCGGCCCCATTCTAACATATGAACGTGAGGGTTATTGGGGCTACTATAGTGGGGTACGAGAGGGGAGCGGCGATCTGCATGCACCCCACGCGTAAAATAGCAATGACGACGGCCACTGGGCAAGCCTTCCTTCCTTGGCTAGAGATTATCACAATGTACAGGATTTGCTGCAGAACCTCAATGCACCTGTAGTGCCATGACAGGTATCCTGACCTGAGGGACATGAGAGCAAGGGTGGGCTTTCGAAGTTTGCAACATTTAAACTAATTTATAATTTAAGCGCTCGTTGAGCGAAATTATCGCTATTCTGAATTAGAAGGGACGTGGCCCCTGGTCATCAAGCCAGAATGCTATCTGAAACTCTGGAGAGACGCAGCATCACCGTTGCGTCGGCAAAGTAGCCCTGTGATGCCTCAGGCATGCCCCTATCTGGTCTGGTACAGGTCCTATCTTCGTATCGCGCAAGCAACTGCTGTGCAGCTCATACCGAGCGATGTAACATGGGAGCATCTTTCCACCTCCGGGCTTATTTGGCCTCAATCAGCGGTGGCGGCGTCTCATCTCACCAGAAATGCAACGATGGCCTTGGTTGTCTATATGCTCGTTACTCTCCTCCCACATAATGGGCTCCTAACCTGTGACTGAGTCTGGTTTACCTTATTATGGAAGTTTTAAGGCGGCTTATGATTCATTTCTGCTCTTGCAGCCAAGCATCTTGGAAGAGCTCTCCAGCAGTACTGCGTCGTTCTGGAGCCCACTGGAGCATCTTCCGCATGAACTCTAGAAATAGTGTCTTTTCATGGCTTGTAAGTTGCGTCTCTATCTCTTCCAGCGACGTCGCGGCTGGCAAATCGATACCAGCAGTAAATGTGCCTGGTAGGTTAAACTGTCAGCTTGATAAACCGAGAGTTAATGGCCATAGTTAGTATGGATGTACCATACCTTCATCAGAGAAGAATTTGCTAGCCAGGTGGCTGCGCGCAAGGAGATCCTTTGGCGGAGGTCCTAGCAGGGCGATGATTTCAGCAAGATGAGCCCTCCTTCGATAAGCATGATGTTCCGGGTCAATGCCGTGGAACAATTGGTTTCCCTCGTACATATCCCAAGCCTTGTTTTGTTTTCATTAGCCTAACTGTGCAGCATTCCTCTTCTATAGGGAGCAATGTGCTTTGCCAAAGGGGAGGGCGCTTACCATGCATCCGACATTCCAGATGTCAATCTTGTAGTCCCAGCTCGCTCTTAATGTCACCTCGGGGGCCCGGTAGACGTTGGGCTGAACGCACTCGAGGTGATCGCTGTCTCCAAACACGGCAGAGCCGAAGTCGCATAAGACCGGCGGGCCAATTTGGCCCGGTGATTTGATTGCCCGGGAAGTGTAGATGGTTCTCCCTTCTACCTCCTTGCGGGGACAGGGCTTTTGTATCTCTTCCTCCTCAAGTTCGGCGAAGACGGAAACATCCGTGACGCCAAACATGATGTTGTCCGCCTTGATGTCTACCAGGAATGGTCAGCTAACAAGTAGTACAAGGGAGCCGATAAGAGCGTCTAAGAAATGGAAGTCCCCCTTACCGGTGTGAATGATTTGGCATTCATCATGCAGGTACTCCAAGGCAAGGAACAGGTCTTTCAGGACGAAGCGCAGACCTGAGCCGGGTAGCCTCCGGGGCGAACTGCGACAGATGGCTCCCTCGACACTTTGCCATAGCGGCGGGTGTGCGAGAACCAAATGATCCCCTTGCGGTCCGGCGACTCGGAAAGAGTCGAGCAGAGTCCTGACGGCGCTCCGGCCCGGATGGCTAAACGCGCGCTGCTCCATACGCTTGAACATGGCAATTTCATTCTCGACGCGATCTCCAAGCGCCTGGGAACGTATGAAGACCTTCAGGGCGACATGGCGATGTTGCCTATAGTCCTGGGTAAGGATTGGTGCAACGGATGCTTGCATGAGCGCAGGGTTCAAAATACCTCAGGTCGTGCGCCAGCCAGACTGTCGAGCTGGCACCGAAGCCAAGCTTTCCGACCACCTGATACCGATCGATAAACACTTCACCGATACGCACGGGGTAGTAGCGCACCGGGAGATAGTCCGGCAGTGTCTCCTCCTCGACTTTATGGTCGGGGGGGATTCGCATGAAATTGGGGTTAGCAAATGTACGCGGCCGCAGCAGTGCTCGATGGCCTAGTCGAGACCATGCCCGTGAGAGGAAAGACATAGTCTATGGGGCTGGGGATGCGATTCCAGAAGGCCGATTCCAGAAGGCCGGATGGCAAAAGATTAGAACTCAGTGTCAAGATAAGGTTGGTTGGCAGACGGCAGCATTGCCCCAGGTATCCATCACATATTTGACGATGGTAATGGCACCCTAAAATGGCGAAGAGCCTGAGTAGTGACGCGCAACGGTGGCGGAAGTCATGGAATTCGCAGTGCCAATGCTAGCATATCGTGACCAAAGTGGATGACTGTAGCTGTCACAGCGCGCCGCTCCAGATGTGGTCCGTACTGTGGTTCGGAGGACGCACGGGCCCGTTCACACTCATATATTGGAGTTTTGTCAGATGCTGATTTGTAGGTCCTGGACACGCGTAATGGAAGCGGGAAAGGCGTAAACAATGGCTCAGGAAGAAAACGGCGGAGGAAATGATACGTAATCACTAGATGGCAGAATAACTTAACACTGCGACCTGGCACGGACTTTGGCACCAAGCAATCGCTGAAGAAGCAAGCGGCCGACGCGCAAACCGTCCACAGCACCCAGGTACCGATGTACACTAGACCGCGAGACGGAAACAGGAAATTGAGTTGGCACGTGGACCATACGCAACGAGCAGCCTATCGCCACTAAATGATAAAAAAGAAGAAAAGAATTGCCACAGGACAGCTCGGGACGAAGCTCTCATCCTAAAGCAATCAGGGGACCCTAGTTGTGCATCACGTTCCTGCAAACACAAGGCGGGCTGCTGGCTAGCGCGGACTTCGGTCTGAGTGTCGCGGCTGTCGAGCCTACACAATAGATTAGACTACTGACTTTTCAATGTAACCGTTAACTAGATAGGATGGCATTACAATGCCCGTTGAATTGAGGGCAACGCTAGAGCCAGCACTGAGAGCCAATTGGCTAACTCCGTGACCAATGGATTTGAATACCTAGACCAGGCCCACGCCAAGCCGCCAGCTGGGTTCTGTGGGCTCGGCGGGCACCGAAAGATGGAGCAATGATAGGCAGTAGAGAATGTAAGATAAGGGAGCCCTTCATTTGCGTGTATAATTGGTTTTAGACCGTGTGTTTCAACGCACTAGTACTATACTGTTGGTTTCCAATCTACGTCCCATTGCAGTGCCAGAGATATGTATGTAGTAGTCCTAATATGGAATATCCCAATCTATCAATTGATCTGTCGAGTCTAAGCTGGCATGAATTCAGCAAATCATTGCCCAGATTCTATGGTTGAGATGAGATATGCCCTTATGCTTCTTTGGAAGTTGAGGGAATATCCTCTGTCGAGATTTCCATGGGCTTTCCGGGTTCTGAGAAAATTATATGCCACTTTCTGCAATCCCTCAGAAAAAGCTCCACATCAATATCGTGATTGGGGATGCGAAATGCGGCATTTGTTTCTTTATACAGCTTAGTGTCCCATGGACCTTTGACGGGTTTGATATCGAATCGCAAGAGAATGATACTTGCAAATGCGAGAATCTCAGTGGTAGCAAAATGACGGCCGGGACACAGTGTTGATCCGCCTCCAAAAGCACGAAATGCCACTGGGTTATGCTTGGTTTTGGGCTTTTTCAGGAATCGCTTGTGGTAGAAATCGTTCGCGTTCTTTCCCCAAGCGGTAGACGAGTTGTGCTGCACAGTGCTCGGTATTAGGACGGTAGATCCCCTACGCATTGGAGATATTAGCGCCAATATCCAGCTCATACCTTTGACGGAGAAGGGTGTATAGGGGATACGGAGCATAGGTGAAGGATAACATGTCAAAGTCGCCATAACGTACTTTTTCAGAAGATATTCCCCGCCCAGGAGGTGATCCTCTACGACTGCCCTGACCGACATGCCTATGCTGTGGACACGGAAGGCTTCTTGCATTGTCGAGACCAGGAGAGGACAGCAGCTTTTAACATAAGCTAGATCGAGATAGTTTTCACCACCCCTCTCTCGAACGGCCTTTTTCACCTCTTCGTGGCAGTCTTCGAGTACGGCTGGGTCCGAGAAAATATGATATAGAGTCCAAAAAGTTGCTGGCATCGTGTTGCTGATTAAACCGATTGAGCCTCCTGTTTCCATCTTTGCGATATCTTCCACAGGAACACCAAGCGAAGAAGGGTATTGGTATCTATTTCGTGCATATACTGATGCTTCTTCAAGGCTGTTTTCAGCAAAGTACTTGACGAAAGCCTCGGTTATTATTCTACGAGCTTTCAGGGCCTCTCTGGCAACCAGTGACGGCAGAAACCCAGTGACTAGAGTCAAAAGGCCACCATCCAGCTTGCTAAAATGTGTTTGAAGTCAGAACATAATGGCCCAGAGGGGGGTTCAATACCAAATATTGAATACACTAACTAGTAGGCTGCTCGTACAGCAGGGTCCTTAAATGGGTTTCGAGGACCGTAGACAGCATTTGTCGTGGCCATCATTATCTCATGGGATGCCCATTGAAACATCTTGACCCTGGTTGGGGTGTGCTCCAGGGATGCGTTGAGAATATTCACGGCCTTGGCATTGAGGTCATCAAGGTTAGGTCCCGGGGCCAGACCTTTGGTAGTCCCTATAGTCATTTGATGCACAAATCCAGAATCCTCGATGGGATCTCGACCCATAATATCAAGGGCCGGTTCACTGATACCCATAAAATGAGAAAAGATTCTGACGATGATTGGAGAAATTGATAAAGTTCGGATTTGTCTCTGCAAAACAGGAATGAGACCTGTGTCGTTGATGACGTAGAGACGTGAACCCGGAAGTCGTAGCGTGTAGATGGGCAACTTGTACTTGTCTCTGAACAGGTTGACTCTGTTAGCGTAATCATCCATTCGTGACTGCTGCAACTGAATCTATTTGTAGGACACACGCTTGGCGACCATTGTGAGGAAACCTCACCTCATTTTCTCATGAAATTTAGCGCCCATAATCGTCATAGAAATGGCTGGACTGAGGAATGGGACCCAGCCCTCCACAGAGGGTGGCTCTTTCACGTCTTGAGTGAAATATAGCAATGCCCGCAAGAAGGCATATGTGCTGACTAGGCCTACAGCTGCGACCGCAAGATTGAGATTCATCATAAAAGGAACTTTAATCGGTTGAAAGTTAAGTCTCGCGAATGAAAGCGGTGAGGTAAAACATTCCATAAGTAGAGAAACGCGTCTCAGACCAACATGTTAAGAATGTTGCGAAAGATAGAAAGCAGTGCCAATAGCCAGTTGGAGGATGCGATGCAAGGGGCGCCTGCATCCAGCAGCCGGCCTGTCATGAAACGTTTATTGGAGCGCTTCAAATCGGTAAGCACGCAAGGGGAAAGCCTGCTACAAGATCTCCACACTTCCTATGCCGTATTCGTCCTGCGCAGGACTTTTCGTCGGAGACACCAAGCACTACGTACCAACACATATCATGAGTGATGTGCAGGGGCTATGGCATGTCATACGGTTGTGACGGCACAGTGCCGATTCAGATACTTGTGCGGGGCAGTGGAGGCGGTGATGGTATTCCAGACCCCAGAACCACGCAGTCGGCTATGCCAGTACTTGGCGAGGCGTTGGTAGCCTTTGGTGACACCCACTAAGCGTACAGATTGACGGTAAGTTTCAGCCGGATATTGAAGCAGCAGCTGATCCCACGGGCAAGTGTCTTCAAGCCCTCGGGACAGTTGATTTCGGTAGGCAGGCGACCTGGCGGTCTATTGCTGTTGGCTCTGTTCTTGCAAGAAGGCGGCTAACTACCGTCGTGTAACGAACGAAACTTTTGGGTTCGCCCTGTTAAAAAACCCCGGACGTTTCTCTTCCGCCCCAGCCAACAATCTGGTTGTTTGGTCTTAGCGCGCCTTTGATGAAGAGTCTCCAACTTTCAGCCGTGTAATCTCGTGAATTATTAGCCTTGCACATTTGTGAGGCGTAAGGGTGCTGGACCCATACACAAGTTTGCGGACCTCCTCTGCCGTGAGTGGCTACATCAATACAAAGGTTCGGCGAGACTCGCGAAACATCCTGGTCATGTAGGATCGAGCTACAGGGCTAATAAAGGGGCACCCATGGAGACTTGATTTACCTAATATTGACGATGATTTACCTCCATAGTATATTTATTTCAGGTGCGCAACTTACTAGCATGAATGAGAAGGATTCGCTAGAGTATTGACTCGAGGAATGGCTACAGCGTGCAGGACTGTGCTGCATGGATATGTAACGAAGGCATCTTCTGAATTCAGGAAAGGCAGCCTCGGCCTTCTAATGGAGCTTTTCCAGCGGCAATACTTTCCAGAATTCACTCAAAACCACTTTGGTTTTGTCCCTCATTATTATTTTTAATTAAATGGTTGTGAATGAACCTGAAGAGGTCCTCAGCTTTTCTGATGGACGCCTTTCTTGGTGAATACTGCCAGTGTGCGAATTTGGCCTCTTTGCATAGCCACCTCTCGAAAAGTGCACATAGGGAAACGCCCCCCATCTCTCGGCCGCTCCCCTTCGCTGACATGCATCTCGCTATTGACTAACAAGAACTTGAGGCTATCGGATACTTCTGATGAATCATTTCTGCTTCGTCTGATGTAGTTGATCCGTATAATTTGACAAGACATCGTGTCAAACATGGACTAGTCCTCTTTAGACCCATTGTCAATGTCATCTTCGATAACATTTTCTCCAGGTAGCATAATAGCACGATCCAAAGCGTACGGAAGACCACGGTGACGACCCCGAATCATCATAGCGCAGATGACTAGTTTGCTGAAAGTTGTGAATTGACCGCTTAAGGACGTGTTAACAGCTGGATGACCCAAACTCAGACCCACATTTCCACTGTACAATTTGTTAGAGTAACTCCAGAGATGCTATGACATGAGCTTACTAAGCTGAGACCACCTCAAAGAGGGCTGAGAATACTGAAAATTCCTAGTGCGCAGGCACCGATAAGATAAGTCAAGGTTCGCTCATATAAGAGGTAGCATGAACTCACAGGCTGGCTATTGTCTGCGATTCTGGAAGATTCGGATATGCATATGCAAAACGTTCCCAGGAATATATACCACAGGTCGAAACTGAGCTGATTTTTAACATGATTCATAATATATGACTTCCCATGAATTTCATCCAAAGTCTGCTCAGAGCTGTAAAGACCAAGAGATCTTTCCTCGTATGTATTAGACGCACGGATACTGACAGATATCGGAAATATAGCGATATACATCATAACAACCAAACTGAGTTGGACAGCTGGGTTGACCTTGCTTAAGTTCAACGTCGCAGTCCCTGTGTGTCTGGCAGATGCGGCTTGGAATATTGCTGAAAGAATCCGGGGACCCATTGGAAGGTCGTTCACTGCTGGATTACTCAAATCTAGCACGATGATTAGGAGAACGTCGACGAAATTCAGGGCCATTATGATAGCGAAAAGTATCCAGGTTGGTTTGCTCGGGAAAAGCAGAGTATAGCAACGGCGCGGATGATCCAAAAGAAATCGTAGTGGCTCCCGCATAGGTGATTGGCGTGGGACCAATTTTGACATTATCCAAATGACCAATCTTAGAAAGACCGGGTATAGCGTGTTCCCGGCAAATGCCAGGAAAGTCATTACTAGCAGTGGCCAAGTTGCGTCTCGGAAACTGATCATAGAATCAGGAGTAAGCGTGAAGCCGAGATTGTCTACCATGGTCTGCGCCGAATAAAATGCCCTATCAAACGTCAACTATGTCACTCAAGACCACGCGCTTGTGCATAAAGACTGACCACCAGGTCTTATCTTGCCCGATCGAATCGAGATACTCAGTGTACTTGCTATCTGCTCGATGGATCCACGGGACAAGACATATGGCTCCAAAAATGTGTACTCCAAAAAAGTAAACTATTCGCATAAGTCAACACATTTCGGAATGTTGAGGAATGGCGTTGGCATATACCAGAAACAATCCTCAGCAATAATCGCAGGCTTCGGTACTCGATACCACCAAGTAGCTGTCGATCGTGAATGGTGAGGTTGCGGAAGCGAGAGTTGCGTCCGATGGTTGCTTGCTTGGAGAGTTGAGGAAGTTGTTTTACAACATTTGGTGTGGATCCAGTCCCTGCTGTGGTTCTGTCGTGACTGCGATCCGGTCGCAATACAAACATGCTTGAAACAGCACGCTCTAAAGATCTAGCGTTTGAGAGTCGATGGCCTGCGTCTATAGACCGGCGGCGGAAGCTGGACATCCGATTTGAGCCCTGAGGGATCGGTTGAATGGCATTGTCGTCGGTGCTTAGGATGTCGCGTTCTACCACAGGATACCCTAGATATGGTTAGAAAATGTTGACCGGATGGAGAACGACGACCCACCATTATCCCTTTCTCGAGGTGGTGGGATGTGAAGTGCTTTGCTTTCACTACTAGGCGCCGCCAGGTCTGCAACGAATGTAATTCTTGCTGCAGTGCGTTGTTCTAGAGGTTTTGGCTCGGTCTCAACCTCTAACTTTTCATTGGCCTCTGAGGTTTGGGGCTGCTGATCGGTAGGTCCTTGCTCAAGATCCATTTGCGAGCCAGGCATTCTGTCTCGATGGGCTAGCGAGGATGCTGCAAAGAGACAGAAAATGAGTAAAAGACAAAAAGGGCAGGACGAGCGACCAACCCTTTTTTTGAATGGATTGATGGAAACGATGAAGTCGTACAATAACGACCACGATGTTGATGAAACCTAGATTGGTGAAGATGGGGATGAAGTATAGGTAAAGCTGCTGGTAAGTTTGTAAATCCTTGAGATCGACACTTGAAAGATGAGCTGGGGGTTAGCATGGAACACTTGTAGTGACTGGGGTGCACTGACGTGTTCAAGCCAGACTCAGTAGAGGCACTCGCACCGAAACTTTTGAATTTGTGAGTGATGGTTCCAACGAGCTTTGGGCAGTTTTGTGTTGACGTACAAGTATGCGTCAATAGCCGCAACATTGCCCATCGGGTAGATTACAACGAGACTCAGCAGCCCCATAAAAATGATCCAAATATCTGTGGAATGGTCAGCTTCCATGAGGTTGACAAGAGTATCGCGGACTCACAATGCAGAGTGATGAAGTCAAATTTCACGTGAGGCTTCATCTTGACGATTCTGGGACTTTGCTACCGCGAGAACAAGCATTTACGTTGTGTGTGACCTGTGAGAAGCCAAATGTGGGAGTAAAGGTGGTATGTATCCGTATGATGGTCACTAGGATCAAGTTGCGTACTAAAAGCCTCAACGCGGTCCGTTCGAGGTTGGTGGTTCACAAGTCACTGTTGAGAAAACACGGATGATACCAAGGTATTAAAATGAGCGGGGACTACTGTGTGCGGGAGCCTGGCTATGACTTAGCCCCCTATCGGATGGTAGGACCGGTGGCGATTGCGTAATTTCTTTCTTCGACGGCCTGCACCCTGGCCAAAAGTTTTGCCCAGATACCTGCCCATCGCCAAGATTCAGAGCCTGACGGACAAAACCGTGACTGAGGCCGAGGAACAGATCCACTTCTACACCTCAGAGATGTTTGAACTGCCAACGTGATGATTGGAAATATATTAGCACACCAATTGCTGCCTGGCGAGCGCCTCGTCGACAGCGAACTGGAGAGATGCACTAAGATGTTCTGCGACATCAGTCACTACAACTATCGACTTTTCTACATATATGGATACAGTCGGAATATTGTTATGCACCCCAATCTCGAGCCATTTTGGTCTGTGTTTAATGCTAGCTATGACCAATACTGCAGACTTCAATAGCGCGACCCCACTCTGCCCTGAGAAACTGCGAGGCTGTAAGCCTGCGAGCAGGTACAGGATCTAGCATGCAATATACAACGTTACGGGTCTCAATCTAGCATTTCATCAGCTCAAGTGACTGTACGCTGAGTTTGATATGTTCCGGGTCTTACTTACATGGTCTAGTGACTCTATCGGAGCATAACCTTTCTCTACTCGACGATCCTCAACGTAAGTAAGGTAGCATTCATCTCTTTGTTGAGCAGAGTGCCAAAGGTGACGACCTAAACGCATGAACATGTATATCACTCCGCAAGCCCATACATCGGCAAAGCGGCCATCGAACTCGACTTCCGTATATTCCTCGGGCGCGATGTACGGCGCAGACCCACGGACTCCAGACAGCAGCTTGATTCCATCGCTCGTCGATGTGAGAACATGTTGGCAAAAGCCGAAGTCGGTGATCTTGAGGCCTCCTGCCGTGGTCAACAGCAAGTTTTCGGGCTTCAGATCGCAGTGTGCCACGTTGATTTCGTGCAAATACTTCACGCCACGCATGAGCTGCTTGATGAAGCAGTCAGCCTCCTCGGGCTCTAACCATCCAGCTGTTTGCACGAGGGAAAACAAGTCACCGCCGGCACAGTACTCCATCACCTCGTAAATCGTATCCTCAACGTGAAAGAGGTCAAGGATGCGGATTACATTCGCGTGCCGTATATTGCTCGCAATAGAATATTCGGCCAAAATCTGATCTCGGTACGGGATACCATGCCGGCTGGGTTGCCGGTGGAACTCCTTTACGGCAAACAGCTCTTCGTTTTGGCTGTTCTTATCGATCTTGCGTAGTACCCTAACAGTACCATATGCGCCACAACCGATCGTTTGCCGTGTTCTGCCATATTTTGTCTCCAATTCCGCGTATGTGCCTTTTGTATCGTCAGAAGCTTCCGACCCGTCCTCCGTGTCTTTCGGGGGTTCGGCGTGAGGTACGGGTAGAGAGCATTTGTTGCGTACTTGCTTGTATTTTCTACCCAATGCCGTTATCCAATGACTCGGCGTTTGTTCGCAGGATGCTGCTCTCAAGGAGTGTTGGTGTCCGCCAGGTAGTTCCGCAGCTCGAGTAAACCGTGGCGTACCTGAGTATCTTGAGATTCTCCCTATCAGTAATGTTATTCAACAAATTCGATATCCATTGCATTGAAATCCTCGTAATGAACCGAACCTGTTCGACTACCCAAGTATTCGAATGCTTACCAGTAGATGTCATCGGAGCTCCTTGTCGAGCGCACGGATCGGTGAAGAAGCCAGATGACTCCCAGCGTAGAGACGTTGATGGTGAAGAAGCGTGGCATTCCCTACCCCGTTCATGGAGCGCCATATGGTGAAATCCAAATTAGGTATAGCAGGGTACTTACATGTTAGTCCACGGCAGTGGCTTTTGCTGCACTTAGTGACCGTCTCCGAATTGCCGCTCACAAAAGCTCTGATTGGCTTTCTTCGGATCTTCGGGTGTATTGTCAGCTCCGAATATCCGGCGGTACGCGCTTTAATTGGCTTGATTCGGAACTACTTTTCTACAGGGGGCGGGCTTGGCAACAACACGAAACTCCGCCATTTGACTATGTCAACTTCTGTGCACGTACCAGAACAGCAAAAGTCTTTGGCAAACAGGTGGGATCGTACTTTCAAGCTCCCACGTGGGCAAATGTAGATATTTCTGTAGCACAGCGACACAAAAGTGAAGCTTCTGGGACTCCGTCATTCTCAAGCTTCTATATCTCAGTACCTCCGTGTAGGGACAGCCACGTAATGGCTGGGGCACCAGCCAATCCTCCGAAGAGCAGCAACAGCCCTACAATGGTTTCAACTGGTCTTTGCATCGCTCTCGCGGTCTTGATACTAATCGGCTGCTGCATTGCCAAACGCAGTGGTAGATTGGCGTCAATTGGTGAATCGACTCGATCTAGTGCGCTGCGCTCTCGATCCCGGGGCCTTCAGCCGGGCATTATCAGCTCTATTCCGGTTATCACGTACGTCGCCGAAAGTCAGGAGCCCAACAGCAAAGGTCACAATGTTTCTGTTTCAACCCTGGAGCAAGGGCACTTACACCATAAAAGCCAACACGGGCGAAATGTTGGAAGCAAGCTACGGTCGCCATTGCACCGACAACTCCATCACTGGTTTCTGGATTTTCGACAACGGAGGTCTTTGCAACACGTTAGCCCCATCAATGTTGAGCGGAGCCAGATCTGTGCTGTCTGCGTGGAAGACTTCGTCGACGGCATCTCCCTGCGTAGTTTGCCTTGCGGGCACATTTACCATATTCACTGCCTCGATCTGTGGTTGGCCAGCGCAGTTACATGTCCATTATGGCAGGTGTCTACATCCAAATACAGGTGGCTTGAGCTGATACCAGTTATACCAATTAGTCGTAAAGACCTTAATATCCCAATTATCTCGCGGCCGGAGGCCGCAATAACCTCTTCGAGCACGTTTGGCAGACTTTGACTCCTATTTTGGTGTTGAGGGACCGGTAGATGGTCTCTGAACTGTCTACGTGGTGAACCGCCCGCCTTTCCAAATCCACAGTTGTGCATCCATGAAAAACCCCAAGAATCTCCCCCACCCAACGAATTGAGAATACACCAAGTAGTTTCTAGTTGGAATGAGGGAATTCTAGTAAAGCTTGAATTATGAGAGCAGCCCGTGATCGCGGGACCTACAAGGATCTAGTTAGCGCTCCCTGGCTGGCTAGACCACGTTCGGTGCTACCCGACGGGTACATACTAAATTGGCCTCAGTTGCTCGGCTCAAATGGACTGATAAGAACAAGACGATGAACGTAGTGCTTAGTGTGCAACAGGATGTGCATGATTGGTGGCTGTCCACCCTTGACTGGAAAGCAGTTTGATGGTGCAATGAGCCAGGGTGGCACACAACTTGTAAGCTACTGAAATTTCGCCGGTTTCTTTTGGCCGCCCCCACCAAGTGTTGAGGTTCCTCAGGGCTTGGTGCCGCCTATAACAACCATATAAGACGCGCACTGCCCTTCTACACATCCCACTCTTCTCCAACCCACGTTTATCAGACAAGTGAATCCGTCGGTGAATAAAACCCAGCAATCCTCACTACTTGAGTGAACAGCCGAAATGGCCGAGCCTCACATTGCGGGCCAGTGTCCTCCCACAGGGCTGCAGCCGAAGAGCGAGGCCCACGTCACTTGTCTTGCGCCAGAGGACTGGGACGCGGACAACGAAGAAAAGGCTAGACGCATTACGGAAGAAGACCTTCAACGTTCCCACAAGCAGGTGAATAGAAGACATCCCCTAATCTCAGAGAAGGCCTCAGCAACTCACATTGATCATTTAATAGAACCACCGAGGGATCATCCTACTATGGCTTGCCTGGCAGAGCACCGGTGTCATCTACGGCGACATTGGTACCAGCCCACTTTATGTGTACAGCTCTACGTTCTCATCTCAGCCATCGTGGGACGATCTAGTCGGCGCCTTGTCAATCATTATCTGGTCTCTGACTCTTATTGTCACCGTCAAATACTGTTTCATCGTTCTTGCAGCGGACGATGATGGCCAAGGAGGCACATTCGCATTGTACTCACTGTTGGCACGTTATGCCAACATTGTCCCCCGGGATCCGAACAAATCCGGCATGGTTCATCTGTCTCGTCATAAAACCAGTGACCTGCGATTTGATGGAAGGACGTTTCGATCTTTCATCGAAGGCAGCCGCGCCTCGAAGGCTCTTCTCAAACTATTCGGGGTCCTGGGAGTGTCAATGGTCATGGCTGATGGCATGTTGACGCCCGCTCAGTCAGTCCTAGGCGCCATCCAAGGCATCAAAGTTGTCGATCCGGATCTTGGCACAAATACCATCGTTGGAGTGTCTTGTGCTATCCTCGTCTGCCTCTTCATGATACAGCCCTTTGGAACCTCAAAAGTCGGTACTGCCTTTGCCCCGATCGTCATTGTATGGCTCCTTTTCAACTTGTGCAGCGGAATTTACAATCTGGCGATTCATGACTACACTGTGCTTAAGGCATTCAGTCCATACTTTGCTTTTCAGTACTTGGTACGAAATGGAGAGGATGGTTGGAAGTCACTAGGGGGCCTGCTCCTAGCTTTTACTGGTGTCGAGGCCCTATTTGCCGACATAGGAGCCTTTGGCGCCCGGGCAGTCAAGCTCTCCTGGTTCTGCCTTGCGTATCCATGCCTACTCATCGCCTATGCTGGACAGGCAGCTTACATCTCTACCGATTCGACCGAGACCGCCTTCACTAATCCGTTCTTTTATACCGTTCCACCAGGAAGCTTTTACTTTTCCATGGTTATTGCGGTACTGGCAGCTATCGTTGCTAGTCAGGCCATGATCACGAGCTCGTTCCAGCTGCTTTCGCAAATCATGAGGCTCAGCTATTTTCCTCATATCAAGACAGTTCACACAAGCCGAAAGTTCCACGAGCAGGTATACATGCCCATCGCGAATTGGTTGCTCATGATTGGCACCGTGATAGTCACGGCTGTTTATAACAACGTAAGCGACTATAACTATTCAACAACGTTCCCTAGCTCATATCAAAACAGACTACCAGTTTAGGAAATGCTTATGGCGTTTGTGTCATAATCACTACTTTCATAACGACGTGTATGGTCTCATTCGTTGCCATCATCGTTTGGAAGCTTCCTTCACCAGTCGTGCTCTTCTTCTTCCTGGTATTTGGCGCCCTAGACGGCGCTTATATCTCATCTGTACTACTGAAAGTTCCCGATGGAGCGTGGTTCAGCCTGGTCTTGGCTGTGATCCTAGGATCAGTCTTCGTGCTGTGGCGGTGGGGCAAGGAGAGACAGTGGGCTGCCGAGGGGATGGAAAACGTCACCGCGTCACGGCTTTTCAGAGTATCCTCGCCGCCGTCTTCTGTCTCTGAAGCTTTGACCACATCCTTATCAGCGGACTTTGGTGGTGGCAATGTGACGACGGCGCCTGGCCTCGGTATATTCTTCGACAAAATTGGCGCAGGGTTTGACGTGGTCCCCAAGGTATTCACACAATTTGTTCGAAAATTCCACTCACGTCCCGAGGTCGTTGTGTTCTTTCATCTGCGCACCCTCCCCATTCCTACGGTGCCAATGGGTGAGCGGTTCATACTCACGCGAGTTCACCAACTTAAGTTTTGCTATCACATCACGCTTCGACACGGGTATACCGACGAAGTTCTTACTTCCGATCTACGCCAGGTCATTGTGGAGCAACTGAACGATTTTGTTGCACGGACAGGCAAGCAAGCCGGAACTCCTCCAGACCAGTCCAATTCAATACAACAAGAGCTTCGCCAACTAAGCTCTGCTGGGCAATCTGAGTTGATATACGTGCTCGGGAAACAAATGATGCGTCCAGGCCAGAGCCAGAGCAATCTAGTAAGGAGAACATGCCGCAAGATCTTCCTAGAGATCTTCTTGTGGCTCCGCGAGAATACAAGGTCCAAGCTTGCAGATCTCAAAATCGACCCTGACAACCTCGTCGAAGTGGGCTGGGTCAAACACATTTGATCTCAGCAATTTCCTTAGATTAGGTTGCCTGCACAGGCAAGAGGGAATGGCTTGGTATCTTAAGCTTCTGGTCAATTAGCGCTACGTAGTTTACCGAACGAGGTCTGATATCCTTCTCCAGACAGCTAGTAATAGACGCTCTTCACAGAAACCCACAGATTAGAGCGAAACAATCTTAGATTCAACGGACAGAACGATAAATTCCACGTATACTGTGCTTCGTGTTCATGTTATGCAGAATGATGTAGCAGTTGCTTCCCGGTTTCTCCTCTCTAGCGATCTTAGTTGTTTTAGGCACACAGATGTAGAGTGTTCTGTGGCAAACATAACGGTTTCACCACGGAGGGAATAGTGTGCATCGCCTCATGGATGAAAGCCGGATTCTTTTCATGGCGACGTTCAGTACAAATTAGACATTCAATCGTGTACATCGACCGGGATATCGGGCCCGAATGCATGACTTCAGTAGACTCTGCGGCTGTTGCTAGGGATCATGAAGGTGCGGAAATTGTTCCTCCAAACTCATGTTGGCGTCGAAGACAGGGAGTTGCAAAACATCTTCAGGTAAGATCCCGAAACTGTTGTCACCAAGGCTGACACCAGGGAGTAAGGGGTATGCAAACGGATCCTCCATGGGGAAGCCCATAACGTTCGAAGGAATATGATACGGGGCATGCCCCGGCATGTAAGCAGGGGGGGCATCAGAGATGCTGTTTCCGGATAATGCGCTACCTGGCATTGAAAGTGCATTAATGGACCATTCTGGTTGAGTGTCTGTAGAACTCGGCATATGCTGTTGAGGGGGATTCAACATTTGAGATTTGAGTTGTGAATGTCCGGGATTTGACGCAAATACCGAGTGAGCGTCCTGGCTTTGGCGGTCTTTCGACTTGAAATAGTCAGGGAGGTGATCAAAGAGAGACTGTGAATGATTAACCTATTATTTTCCAATTCCAATTTACATGTCAATATACTTCACTTACGTTGAGAGCTGCAGTTACCCTATCCGCAGCGAGACTTTTCTGAGTCAGGCTGGAAATGCAGTCCTTGCCCAGTTTGGCATCAGCAAATATATCCAGGGCTCCTGGCTGGTTCGGATTGTTAAACGCGTATAACAGCAGGCTCAGAACTGCGAAGAACTGCGTGTATGTGATGAACCAGTATGGACCGATCAGTACAGCCTGTTTGCGAATCTCCAAGCCAATATGGACAATATTCCGGCATACATTAATGCCGGCGGTCGCGAGAGCGAAGCAGCCCTCATTGGCTGTCTCCACTGTTGACCCCTGTTGAGAATAGTACTGAAGAAATGGCCTGTACAACATCATCTGAACATGGGCATAGGCAAATCGAAGAAGAATCTTGATGCTAAGTGGCGTACGCACGTTAGGACAGTGCAAAACGAGCAGAGGAGGGTTTGGGTTGCCTACCGGGTGATTTGCAGATCTTTTTCCGGGCCCGGGAGCCATGCGGACGAGAGATTCTCGTGCCACGTATGAAGGTCTTTTTCTAATTCTCTGATCTTGGCAACAGCGATTTTATATGTCACGTTCGCAGCCCCCTTATCAGCCCCAGTCGGCGGATAAAGGTAGTCCATAACTTTGGCAAGTATTTGCATTAGGCTGGCGTGAGCATTGAATGCTTCCAGAAAAGAAGGTCTTTCATCGAGTGAAGACCGATGAATGCCACTTTCGGTGATAAACTCGTCATCTACTTCTGTTGGCCAGGCTTGGTCAATGTCCTTATCCTGAAGAAGGAGCGGAAGCCCTAGGGTGGCAGCCAGGTAGATATCCATCTGTCGAATGGTATAGAAGACTCTTCTCCGCGTCTCATCTATAATCGGTGTTCTAGCGGTATGTGGTAGGTGCCGATGAAGTCCCATGCGCAAAGCTGATCGGAGAGCGATGCCGATAAAAGTGTGGCATCCGTTCAAATTGCCGGTAGCCTGGAGAAATTGGATAACGAACACTAAGGCTTGTAGAGTGGTTATATCGCAACACTCAGTAATGTCCTGGAGATAATGCCTAGCTAATACATAATAATTATGGCTAGGGGCGATTCACAAGTCAGCGGGAATGCGGCAATGCTACATCAAAGCTACGAAGACTCGGAAGGGGCAATCTTACCCTCGTTGAGTAGCAACATCATAATGGTCAGGATTAGTCCGGTCATTCTCGTCGACGTCATACATTGAGCCAAGAGCCATAACCGAAAAGAGAAGCCCGACGAACCTACGTTCTTCTAGTGTGAACTTCTGTGGGCGTTCATGGTAAAGCGTCTCAAACAGTCTCCAGAACGATGGCGCGTGAACAACTCTGAGAATACAAGAAGCTCGAGTAAATGCATAGTCGCACAGATCTCGCGCGAGCTGTCGCTGTGGTAATGCGTAGAAACCATGGTCTGTTTGCCATGGTGAGATCGCCAAGTCAAGTGGCAGCTCTACTGATCTGGGAGGGGAAGATTGATGATGCTGGGGTAGGAATGGCAGTCTGGAGTCGTATCGAAAGAGCCCTGGGAGATGCTGAGTGATCCGGCGCAAGAACGCTGCCCCTGACGATAATCCATGAAAGTCGTATTCACCAGTGTTCGTAAAATCTAGATGGTTAGCGGCATCGGTCAAGGTGATGAATCTTGCTGGTTCCTCCGAGGGCTCGACAGAAGCAGCATTGGAAGATGTTCCGTGCCGTTCAGCCGGTGGGACAGCAGCCTGCAATCTTGAGGATGATCGAGGGGAAGAAGCCGCGGTGTTGGAGGTGCCGAAATCAATGCTCTGCGAGATTTTCTGGAGGAGCGATTCGGCGGCATGCAGGTTCTTGCGCAGTTCCTCTAGGTCGCTTGGTCTTGCATCTGTGCCATTCAACCTAGGGCGTCTCCCTTGCCGAGGCAATCTGGCATATGAACATCCTAACAAAGCAAAGGTCAGCTGTGGCAGGCACAGATGGTAGTTTCCAAGATTCTCACCAGAGTTGAAATCTGCACAGCTCGAACACGGCTGCCTTCCATCGCATTTGATCTTCCGCCTCCGACAGTCATCACAGGCCTTGGTGGTTTTCCGGCGTTTACGGGCTGAGTGCTTGCCGGGGTCGTTCTGTGATTCGAGCCTCGGAGACGGATCATCCGACAGATCCTCCGATAACTCGACTTGTTTTAGAAGAGAGGAAGCTGAGGGCAGTGCGTGTGGCGCAACCGCCGTAGCGTTCGACGTCGACCCGTAGGTCCCTACCTGCGTCATCAAACTAATGAACGAAGCAGAAGACGTGCGACCATATACGGGAATCCCAAATAGTCCTTTGATCCAAGTTGTACCGCTTGCCAAAGGATGCAAATTCCTAGAGCATTGGGATTGAAGGAAAGTAGTTGGCTGCGAAATCCGTGCCAGAGTCCAAGATCATCTAAATGTAGTTAGCATTGAGAGCAAGCATTGGCTGTCCGACAAAGTGGCGGGTGGATCTGGAAGAGACATGATCACGTGATCTTGGGGGAGCTATATACGCGGGGACGGGCCTGGTAAGACGAAAAATCAACAGCATACAGGCAATACACATGGGGAATATTAGTCTGCAACCTAGCTGTGTATGTTCTACAACCTTACTGTCAGACCTTTGTAGGCTACCAGAATCATTCATTTATCCTATGTTTCTACCAAATTTTGTGCCCGCCGTCTCAGCACCGTCATATGCACTGGCTACGCCTAGGTCGGGGGTCTCATAGAGCCCTAGTCTGGAAACCAAAGCACAGTCACTGCGCCATAGCGGACCATGATGAACGAGAAGAGATGCGCTTTACTTGGCGATCTATACGATGATGCCGCGCCATTAGTTTGGTGCGGGGCCAAATAAGGGCAGTGCGCCGTCTCAATGGATTCTATCGTGATTGGTTGGCTAGCTAGTAAACCAAGTAATAATTATAACTTGAGAGCATACCTCTCTTCTCATGTTTATGGGGGTTTGATTTGACTGTTTTCCTAATAGCTTCGTCCTGCCGGGACTCCATACCTAAGGTATCAGCAACACAAGACAATGAAGCCTGGTGAGTGGCATATGCCACTGATGCAGCGAGAATGCAAGTGGACTTCGCTCGTGAATCAACATAATTTTTCTTGTAAGGAAATATTCCGCCCCTATGGAGCTGCAGTTTGCTCTTTAGCCCACGGGAGTTCAAGGAGCAATTATGTATGGAATCCAGGGGGCACGTCACTCGAGGACAAGCGACGCTTTACCTTGAGCAGCCCAAACGGTCTGGTACGAAATAGTTGAGCTGTCGACTCGAAGTCAGTGGACTTATACGGTGACACCTCCCCACTTCGCGGTGCCCGCAGGCAACGAATCGCACAACTAGGAAGAACGACTCTTGTTGATACAAACCTGTAGACCGATGTCGCGGATACAGGCAAATGACGCCAATTCCGGTAGACGGTTTGTACAGGAATCTGTCCTGCCGACTGGTGGTCTCGGCGTCCTGGCATGTCATGGTCACAGAGGGAAGGGGCCAAGGTTCAAATTGCGAATGGCACGCGATCTCGATACGTTGTCCACGCTGACGTTCAAGAAGTTGCTGTATGCAACGGGCATCTTGTCGTTATTTCCTTTTGATAAATTGCTCCCATGGTCTTGTCACATTTTCAATCAATACATGCGCTTTCATCAGTAGTTGGCTTGCTTGTTTCTGTCTCTAGTCCACACATGAAATAATCAATCGCCCAGACAAGATAGGGGTTAAGAGGATGTCGTCAAGTCCATCACGTGAGACATGTCTGCCCCACTAGCTTTCTAGTAGCCACAATTGCCGCCAAGTGTCTCGCCCTTTGGGCAAGTGCAGCGCTGGCGTTTTCCTCTCGAGGGTGCAGCTACCAGGGACATACTTTCGGTTCCTGCAGCTCTCGGGCTTGGGCTAGGTACTGCATGAGTCCTCCTAGCAGGGTTTCAAAGCATGCCACTGGTGGCTGGTTGGCTATCGAGGAATGTCTCTTAGGTTACCCGGCCACCGGCTCCAGCCTCTGGAAGGTTTCGACGAGGAGGAGCCGCTGGCTCCAGCACCGAGCCTTGAAGACTGGTGATGGCTGTGATCCTAGCGACGGAGGAAGGGGGGAAGGATGAGGATTCTGGTAGGTATCTTGAGGGAAATGACGTCGGGTGACGCTGGTGCACTGCAATCTCCTCCTGTGTCACCGTATGACAGTGCAAGATTGATGGGAGGATTCGCAGTTTTACTCACAGCATGCTGTCGTTGGCTTCCGTATGTGTATGCAGATTGACTGGCAAAGCTAACTTGGAGAACTGTTGCCCTGTACTACCTAATCACAGTTCAGGATGAATCGTAACATGATGAATGGTCCATTGTTTCGAAACCAGCCCGGCATACTTTCCAACTTTTTCACAGTACGAAACCATCGTCACAGACCTATCCCGCCCGCCGTTTGTCCCGAGGTCATCTCTGGGAGAAGAAGAAGCGGCTGAAGTGTTTCGGCGTCTAATAAGACGACAGACAAGCCCCCTAAACCTAGGCTGGGCTTCGCTCATGTTGAGCTGAACCCCTGAAAAAGGGCGGTGGGGTTTTCGGGGACCCAAGCGCTACCACCACCCACCCGCGACTCTTCGCAGTGCAAGTCGGCGTGGGTAGTGGGCGGATAGCAGGCGAGTTAGTGGGCTGCCAGGGGTGGCTAGGTGGGATTAGGGAAGGCCGACAGGGCGGCGCTGGCGGCCAGGGGGCCCGGGCGCCAATCTTTTTGCATTCGTGGTCGATCTCCCCATGCTCGTCTGCAGGCCTGGCCCAGCAAACCAAACGGTTCGCAGACAAGGAGTGAGCCAACCGCAGCCAGACGGCCAATTCTACTTCTTTCATGCCCTGCCGTGCATTGTTTGATTGATTGATGAATAAATGAGATCATAGCTTTTTTTTCTCCTACCTCCTGGAGCCCGCCCACAGACAATAGGCCATCTGCATCACGTCCAACACCGCCATTCATTCCCCCCTTCAGTCGCTGCCCCCAGCCAGCAACCAGAACCAGAGCCAGACAAAGGAGCCAACCACACGACTCGACCGACGAGTACAGGACACCAACCAGCAGCCACTCGGTGCAGTCGTCGACAAAGTCAACCCCTGACTGCACTTGCCGAGCCCCCGCCGCCGCCGCCGTCTGTTTCCTTCCGAATGCACTCCTGAACAACTACAACCCTCAAGTGTCACGACCCGCTTCACCTCGACGCTCGCTAGCCACTACCGACTCCAAGCCGTGGTGACAATGGCGGAACAGGCCGAGCCGCAGTCCCCTCCGCCTCCGGCTGTTCAGAGGCGGGAAGAGTCGCCAGCCGCCTCGGATAAGGAGACGGTATGTACATTCAACTTCCCATATTCTGGTCGTCTGCACTGGAGGCCTCCCCAGCTCGTTGGGACGTTGCTGACCTGCCCCCTGAAAGGACACCTTTGAGGATGCTGTCGACACCAGCTCTGTCCGGTCCCTCACGGCTCGCAAGTCGTCCTTGACGGCCAAACGGACCAACAGATCATCGAGCGCGGCTTCGGATCTCACCACGCCTCAGGATGAGCCTGCCGACCATGCTGAACCCGAACGAGCGCCGGGTTCTGACTCCGAGATCGAGGCCGAGGAGCTCCCGGTCGAGACAAAAGATGTGGAGACAAGCTCCGAGGTTCAGTCAAAGCGAGCATCGAGTCGACTGTCTGATGTCCCCATGGACACTGTCAACCTCGATGATGAGGCCGCATCAGTGGAGAAGGGTATGCGATCCCAAGAGAGCTCGGCCTACGTTCTGTCAATGGCTAACAAGCAAGGTGTTGTAGAAGAACCGCCCGCCGTTCCCCCGAAGCAGCCGTCCAAGAAGATCTCGTTAAGTAACATCGCGAGCTCCCTCCCATCCATGCCCTGGTCACCTCCGGCAACCGAGTCGCCGCCCAAGACTAGCCCCAACTCCTCGAGTACCACAATCCCGGCACCGACTACCGAAAAGCCCCTTCCCCCGGATCGGACCTCGACTTCGCGGAGCAAGCTCACTAGCCCCTTTTCCTGGCTGTCGCGGAACTCTACGACCAAGGAGAGTGTCACTTCACCTCCTGTTGCACCTCTGCGCTCCCCGAGGAGGGATACGGCTAGCTCCATCGCCACGCTGACTAGCAACCCGGAGATGATGCTTAGCAAACTTGAGGAGGGCGATGAAGGCGCCGCACATGGCCGCCCGGCAAGGAACAGCCTAAAGGATAGATTCAAGTTGGTACGCATGCGGGAAGAAGCCGGGATCACACTGCCCGGTGCAGAAGGCGAGGAGGACAAAGCTCAGCCCGGTGCGATTGGAGGTCTTACCAGGTCAGCGACTCTGGGGATCATGAGCCCCACCAATGAGAACGGCTCTGACGCTCCGTTATCCCCCATGCCTGCCAGTCCGAACCCTAGCCTGGCACCCGGAACCGCCTCAGGAGTCTCTGCTGGCCCTTCGGCAATGTCTGATGCTCAAGTTGACTGGGATCTCTGGCAGTCAGTCGTTTACGAGGGACCATCTGCAGTCGCGAAGACTAGTGCCGAAGAGCTCAACAGGGCGATCGCCACTGGCATTCCCAACGTCATCCGAGGCGTCGTCTGGCAGGTACTTGCGCAGAGCAAGAACGAAGATCTTGAGGCTGTATATAGAGAGCTCTCGGTCCGGGGAACCGAAAAGGACACTTCCAGAAACAGCAACGGGACCTCGATCAGCTCTGGAAGCAATGGATTGAGCGTTGACAAGGAGACCGTGGCATCGTCAGCATCATCGATCCATTCTGAAGTCTCTGGCGCCAATGGGACAAAGTCGCCCCCCATGTCCGAGAAAGACAGCGAAGCTATGCTCAAAGCCCAAGCTTTGGCTGCGGCTGAGCGGAAGAAGAAGGACAAGGAAGACGCCGCCATGCTCCAGAAGCTTGAGAAGACCATCAAGCGAGACCTGGGCGCGAGAACGAGCTTCTCAAAGCATGCCCAAGCAGCTGGCCTGCAAGACGGCCTCTTCGGCGTTTGCAAAGCCTATGCGCTTTTCGATGAGGGAGTTGGCTACGCACAAGGCATGAACTTCCTCATCATGCCTTTGCTATTCAACATGCCCGAGGAGGAGGCTTTCTGTCTCCTTGTCCGCCTCATGAACCAATACAAGTTGCGGGACCTGTTCATTCAGGATATGCCTGGACTACACATGCACCTCTACCAATTCGAAAGGCTGCTGGAAGATCTCGAGCCAGCCGTATACTGCCACCTTAACCGACGTGGCGTCTCGCCACACCTCTACGCCACTCAATGGTTCCTCACATTATTCGCCTACCGGTTTCCTCTGCAGCTCGTTCTCAGAATATACGACCTCATTCTGTCGGAGGGCTTGTCTGCCATCCTCAAGTTCGGTCTCGTGTTGATGCAAAAGAACGCCTCGGCGCTTCTCGGCATGAACGACATGGGACAGCTTACAAACTTCCTGAGAGATAAGCTTTTCGACGTCTACATTGATCATGCGCCAAGCACTGGCAGTATTCTCGAGAACGGCTTCTTTGGCAGTACATCTGCAAGTGTAGACAAGGAGGTATATCGAGCAGACCAGCTGGTCCGCGATGCATGCGAGGTCAAGGTTACCCCTGAACTCCTCAAAGCTTACACGGCTGAGTGGGAAGAGAAGACTCGCACTGAGAAGGAGAGGGAGCAGCTGCTAGAAGAGCTGAAGCAATCAAACGCAAGCTACGCCATCAAGGTACGGAAACTGGAGGAACGGCTACAGGCTGCCGACACGGAGCAAACCGACATGGCAAATGAGTTGGTGCACACCAAGATCGAGAACGAAGAGCTTAAGGACGAGAACGAGAGCCTCAAGGGCCAGGTCAAGGAGCTCCGCATCGTCATTGAGAAGCAGCCGCAGGAGATCGAAGACGCCTGGAAGCTGGAGCGGGATAGCCTCATGGAGCGCAACCAGAAGGTGCACGAGGAGAACCAGAAGGTTGAGAAGGAGATGAGCGAGCTGGAGGAAGAGTTGGTGCAGACCAAGATGCGCTACGCCGAGGTATGTCGTTCTCCTCCCTTTGCTTGTCGATGGAACCTGGTCACTAACAAACTACCGCAGATCAACTCCCAGCACGAAACCCTTCAGAGGAAATGGACAGACCTCAAGCGGCAATTTGCTTGAGTTCACCTCAACGCGACTTGTTTCTGTCTTGGGCTGTCCGCCTCGACTCTTTGTATATTCCCACACAACCTAGCATGTCATTATTGCCGCATTCGGAGACGGAGTTTGAGCACTGGAGAGGCCCTCTTGCCATGAAACGCGTTGCCGCGAGTTAGACCGCGCCCCCGATGGATCATGCGAAGCCCGCACAAGGAGCGACTGGGGCTCTCGTGCCTGGCGTCTTGGTCATTCTTAGCCGAGCTGGCCTGGCCAGCAAAAGGGCGAAAGAGAAGAAAACAGAAGTTATCAAGGAGTTCCGTGCTTGTCTAATTGTCTCCCCCCGTGTGTGGTTTGATATCAATTCTTGTATCTGGTCTGACGGACGGCGCTCCATTGTAAACGGCGATAGACGGAGGGGACCCAGGAGGGCCCCGGGAGCACATCAGCGGTGACTGCAACCCAGTCGTTTTCTTTCTGCTTCAGCTGTAAGCGGCGAGTAGGAGTTTAGGAACCCAGGGGGAAGGGCAAGATACGCAGTATTGTATAGATCGTAGTTCCCAGGCATCGGGTCTGAGACAGGGTCGAGCAGGCCCAGAAAACGGACGAAGGGGAGCAGGGTGCGAGATACCAATTCATGTCTTCATGACTCCCCACGATTTGTGGCATAGCAAAACGTTCGTGAGTGCAGCATGGCCGTGAATGGATGCTGCTGTTGTTTCGGTGTTGAGAGAGGGAATACATCACATGATACCTTAATTCCTCCACTTAGTGTGGTACAAGCGCCGAAGCGAGCAAGTACATGTTGGTGTAAAAGATTGCGCTCTCCTACGCTGGCGCCGTAGTTCGACCTACATTGGATTAACTAAGGGGCATCGCGCGAGCCCAAGCAACGACCTGGCCTACCATGGTCCGTAAGCCAAAGTGACAGCGCAACGTGTTAAGTCTAGATACACAGGGCTCCAACGGTTTGGCTCAAGGTCCCGATCAAGCTGAGGATTCTCGGCGCGCCATCGAGAGATCAGAGGTTGCGTCCACACCCCAGCCAGCAAACGTCGTTAGTGGATGGGGAATGGCAAGGAGGCAAAGCGGCAGCGACACAGAATGAGATGCAGCGTGGAGTCTAGTTAGCGAGCAATATCTCATCAAGACCTCTCTTCCACCTCTCCTACGAAGGATCAATGTCACAAGATTCAACATGAAGGCTGAGAAAAGGTGATGGGTGGTTCCGAATAGCAGCACTTTTGGTTTGATCTTTTATTGATCCGATCCTAGTCTCAATGAACCCATTCCGTGCCGAAGACAGAGAGCATAATCCATGAACACCGATACCAAAAGCGCAATGACGTGACTATCGTCTCCCTTCGTTACCCACCAGTAGCACCCGCTCAGCCTAGGCGAGGCGTCTACTTGTGCAGCTTGCGCTGGTAGAAAGCCAGCTCCTCACCCTCGAGGATGTAACCGTCGCAGCGACCGCTCTGGCCGGGGCGCGAGGCGATGACGGCGAACACACGACCGGCCTCGAACTGCTTCTCCAGGGCGGGGTCGACCTTGCCCTGGGCCTGGAAGCGGGCAGCCTGCTTCTTCTCGACGGAGCTGCTCTTCTTGACCTGCTCCTCCTCCTTGCCCTGCTTCTGCTGGCGACGACGGCCGATGGGCTGGCCGTAGTGGGCCTCATACCACTGACGGAAGGGGGCGGCATCGATCTGGACGACGGCGGACTTGGTCAGGGTGTTGGTGCGGACCAGCTCGTTGTTGGAAGGGTGGTAGGCGACAACGATGATACGGGTCTTGCGGGTGCAGCCCTCGGAGGCCCAGGCAAAGTTACCGCTGTCGAGACGCAGGGCACGGTACTTGTGGTTGCCGCCACGGGTGCGGACGGTGTGGACACGCTTGGGGCCGATACGGGTGTTGGCCTCCTGGCGGCCGGACTCGAAAACGCGCTTCTTCCCTGTTGACGGAGGTCAGAACGTATGATCTATGCGAAAATGCCAGATGCATACGGGTTTTCGAGCGATCGAGCAAGTGTTACCTTGCCGATCGACGAGGGGGGGAAACATGTGAGGGCACATGTGTGGGAATGTGTGTATGTCTGGTCTTTTTTTCTTCTTCGCTTCTTCTTCAAGGTAACGTACGGTAGTAGGCGCGCTTCGCACCGGAGGCGGATCGCTTGTGACGAGAGTCGCGTGAGATACCCATGATTGCTGTGTGCTGCGTGGGAGACGGTGGTTAGCGGACTGGCTCTCGGAAGACCAAGGTGCTTGGTGAAAAGAGTTTTGAAGGCTTTGGGGCGATCGCAGCAGCAGCAGCAGCAGACGGTACTCCTCCCGGGTTTGCGCAACCGGTGTCGAAACCAAAGCTGCCACTGCAACCTCCCTGCCATGAGGCACTCACCTGATGATGTGACTATTCACCAGTGCAATCGAGAAGGGGACTTGTTGTCGGCGTTGGGCGTTGGTCGTGGGAATAGCAAAGAGAGGGACCAGAAAAGTTCACGGCCAATTTTTGGGAATTGTGTGGGTTTGCCGGCCGCACTGATTTTCCGGGTGTGCGGCGCCTGCCCCAGCTGTGCGCGAGCTGGTGGTTTTCGGTCTTAGGGCAAGCAGGACCAAGGCCAAAAAAAAGTCCAAGTGGGGCAGTGCGATAAACCCGATAAGCCAGCACTCGACCCCTGGATTTTTGTTATCCATCTTGGCCGCGGCCCAGGTTCTCAGACTGACTGGCGGGGCTGCTGCCACTGGCAACTGACTGCCTCGCAATTCGACATTCGTCTGCTTGCATTCCACGATGATCATGTTTTCATGGCGTACAGAGGCTCCTGTAGAATGATGAGTGGCTAGTAGTTCAATCTGAGTTGATGTCATACAATACTCAATCAATCATAACTACCACCAGTCAAGTGATATGCACAATGCTCCGTTTTCTGGTCTGCGGCTTTGTACATAATATTGCACGCTCAACACTAAAGACAGTCTCAAAGCACTCTTTTCTTCTTGCACAGGCGCAATGGCCGGGCGATCGTGATACAGACTGAATTTGCATGCAAAGTTCTAGAATGATTCGTGCTGTCGCTTATGCGCAACACACAGCATTACAGCCCATCTCGAACCAACCCATACCATTTTACCTGCAACTGTCCGTGACTTACACGCCAACGCAATCCCATGCCCCGCCACCAGCGCATCGCCCAAACAAGGAAAAAAAAAAAAAAAAGATCGCGTTCAACCCCGCGTCGCTGTGTCTCCCTTGAGTGCGATACATACTTTAATGACCACCAAAGAAACATTGACACCACCAGCTCCGTAGGAGAAGGAGGCAAAAGATTGTGGAGAAGCTGGGAATCGAACCCAGAACCTTTTCCATGCTTCACATCATGCTAAGGAAACGTCATACCACTAGACCACATCCCCTTATCTTGTGATGTCGACTTGCAGGCTTACAACCCTATATGTTGTATTCGGAAGAAAAATTTCCTGTGTGGGTTCGCTCGGGGCTCCAGTACGTAAACGTAGGGTTGACGGGCTTTGGGGTTGGGGCTTTGCTGGTCGAGTTTTCGCTTTGGTCGGCGTAGACTTAAAAAGTCCAAGCGCAACAAGTCAAAAGGCTTGGCGGGATGGCTGGCTTGAATCAGTCAATTTTGGACCGTTACACACGGACTAGTGACTAGTTACAGCGCAAATCCAAGAGGCAACTTGCCACTTGACAGTATAGTATTCGGCCATTTTAATAGTGTTCCGTTTACCCATAAGTCATGGAGCTTGACTTCTTCTACGTCGATTCGTGGCTCTTGTCTCGTGTGTGCCCACGCTGCCTGTCAGTCTGCAATTATTCCGCAAGTCCCAGCTGTTAGTCTGCCGTACGCCGCGGACTGCTACGCCCCGCCCCCCTGAAAGCAGCATGCTGCTCCCGCGTGTCGACCCATCTGTCGAGGCCAGGGTTCCCCACGATTGGTTGCTGCCGGTAGAGCCTCCGTGGGTGCAACTCTAAATTCAAAGCTTGGCTCGGCCATCCACTGGCCTAGCCAGAATACTGTTCTTTACGAGTGAGATTGTGACATGTTCCTGGGAGGACATTTAGTACGTTCTTCAGACCCTAGTTACACCAGGAATGATAGACATGTCTTGGAAAATCACTGTAGCAATGACGGAGTCACTTCCTCCGCCCACGTCACGGTCTTAGTTGGCATTTAGGAGTAGACTTAGGGTACAAAAGAAGGGCGATAGCGTCAGTAGACAGATGGCGATTCTCTAAGCCGCCCCTCCCCAATTTTGAAACGGCCTACTAGTGTTGCGGCAACAATGAGGTTCGTAGATCTGCTGGTCGGCGCTGCGGCGTTTGCTAGCGTCATCGCTGCTCCTACGGACGGTTCAACGTCTGCGATGAAGAAACGCAAGAGCAAGTTCCAGTTTACCGGCGTCAACGAATCTGGGGCCGAGTTCGGCAACACTGCCTTGCCTGGCCAGCTTGGAAAAGACTACACCTGGCCTGTCCACTCAACCATCGATGTAAGCTAGTACCGAATGTCAATGAGACCATATATAAAACTCTGCTAATACATCCGAAGACGTTGGTCGGCAAGGGGATGAACATTTTCCGAGTTCCCATTATGATGTTTGTATTTGGTCCGGCCATCTGGCCATTGGTTCAGGTCACTCGGCTGATACCAGTGTTAGGGAGCGTATCATTCCAAGCAAGTTGACAGGATCCATCAACTCTACGTACGCTGCAGGACTTGACGATGTACGTACTCTAGCCCACGGTTTAGCCACGAATCGAAGCTAACGATAAGCCAGATTCTTAACTACATCACGTCAAAGTGAGTACACCGTATCTATGTTGGAAGCCCTGAAGGCTGATCAATCAGGGGGGCCTATGCTATTCTCGACCCCCACAACTTTGGTCGATACTACAGTAATGTACGCCTTTGATCCAATCGTTTCGAAAGCGAGTCATGAAGCTGATAATCTACAAGGTCATAACCGACACTGCCGGCTTCAAGGCTTGGTGGACTACGGTTGCCAAGCGATATGCCGGTAACTCAAAGGTCATATTTGATACCAACAATGAGTACCACGACATGGACAACAACCTCGTCGCCCAGCTCAACCAGGCGGCTATCGACGGGATCCGGGCTGCGGGCGCAACATCGCAGTACATCTTTGTTGAAGGCAATTCTTGGTCGGGTGCCTGGCATTGGGTCCGTTTGTTGGTGATCAATGGTTCAAGATCGACTTACTGACACGTTGGCAGGTCTCGAGTGGTACCGCAACCGGTATGGCAAGTCTCACCGACCCCTCCAACAAGATCATCTACGAGATGCACCAGTATCTTGACAGCGACGGTTCCGGCACTTCGACGAGCTGTGTGTCCACCACGATCGGCAAGGAGCGCGTGACCGAGGCGACAGCCTGGCTCAAGGCGAACAAGAAAAAGGGCATCATTGGTGAGACGGCCGGGGGCGCCAACTCGCAATGCATTTCGGCGGTGGACGGTATGCTGTCTTACATGGAGGCCAACTCGGACGTGTGGACGGGCTGGCTCTGGTGGGGCGGCGGCCCATGGTGGGGCGACTACATCTATAGCATGGAGCCCCCCTCTGGAGTTGCCTATACCGGCGTACTGCCGTCCATAACAAAGTACATATAGGTTGGGCCGAAACGCTGTTGCTCACTGGGTCACTGGGTCACTCTTGGTCAGGTGAGTTTGGGTTGTGGTGAGAGCAGCCGAAATGGTGGGGAATGTGATGTATCGTGCTTCCATATTGTGGATAGTCTTCTGTCTATGCTTTGGATGAGGCATCTCTCGGATGTCAGAACAATTGTATATATGAATTTATTGGAAACCTGTCAAACAGCTCCGCAAGCTTAAGTTGACCTTCAACCTTCGAATCAAGTGCCACACTACAGACCAAGTTCCACCTCGGAAAGAGATTCTCGTAAATACCGTACCTGGCGCCGATCACCATTCTTATTCCCGCGAAGGCTTGTGTTTGGCCTGTTCTTTGATACGCGCGATCTGAACGCCTCGCCGTTTCACGAGGCGACACTCACAGCGGGAATGTCACGATCGAGCAACTGTTGAGCAGATTATTGGATATCGTTTCTGGAAGTCCAAGATCTCGTCCGATCTCCAAAACAGCCCCGGGAGGCCTTCCGTGGCGCAGTTGAAGAGCTCGCCCTGTCATAGTAGAAAGATCCCTTGCATGCGCTTCTCGGAGTCCTAATCCTTTGAGAGTCATTTACACACACACACACTTGTGCACAACTGCCCGGCCCCTGTTTCCAGTCGCGTTTGAGGGCCGGGGTCCACCCTCTGCGGTTACCGAATCAGGAAATCAGACGGTGGGGAAGTGCCCGGATCCGGAGGACGTGCGGGCGAGTTGGACCCCCATCCCGGCGCGGTCTCACCTGCAACGTCCAAGGATTTCGTGAACTCTGAACTCCTTCTGGCTTGCAGCCCACACACACATCCGGGGGCCCAGCGTAACCCACCTTCCAGAACCATGGCTCCTCACCGCGCGGACCGGCAAAGAACGTGGTGTCAGTCCCGAGACTTGCCAAGCCTGGACTCGATCTGGCGTGCGCCGGCATGTGATCTGGGCAATATGATTGGTTAGACTCAGAACGAGCGTTGGGGGTTTGAGGCGGACAGCGAGCGCACAATAGGTTGCGAGGTATCTGTCGTATGGGGTACCATCGACCTTGTTCTACAGACATCATGAACGCCTGTCAGCGGCATGGCAGAAACACATGCGTGTGGCTATGAGCCGTTTTGCGACAAGACACCCTTGTCTCTTGCCTACTGCAGCTTCCACGAGCGCAGAAGCTGACATCGCTCTCTACCAGTTTGCCATGCTGTGTTCTAGTGGTAATCTCTGTTTCGCATTGCTGAGCCCGAGCTGGGGTAAGCAAGAGACAGGAGACAGCCTTCCCCGGGACGCGATCAATCACACAGTCTGGCTTGTCCTTCCATCCATCTAGCTGTTGCAACACGGGGATCTCGTCGGGTGTGATCCGAAAACTCGGTCTTTCTCTTGCAGGTCATGACTGAGTACTAAGTGGATAGAGTAGAGTTGGGCGGAATTACTTACATATCCACACTCTCGGACGCTTTCCTGTCTTGCTCGTTTCCTCCACTCTTCCTTCCGAGCCTTGCTTGCTCTCCAGCATGGTGCAATCTTAGAAGCAGGTGGCAGCCGGGAAGGGACCTCAATACGACGTGATCGAAGCGGACAACATGGTTCAAGATGGTCAATCTCGCCGTCTTATTAACAGTGCTCCAGCTGCTGCTGGGCTCCATGGTGGCCACGTCAGAACTTTACGCAGGAGTTTATGAGCAACATGACCACGAAAGGAGATTGTCAGACAATGCGATGGGGCAGCGGGAAACTCGAAAGTCCCTCGACTTGGGAGGAAATAAGAGGATACCCCAGCAGCAATGGGCAACATACGTCGAAGTACAACTGAAAGCTGCTCCAAGCACTAGAGGGCCGAAAGATCTCCCGGCAACAGAGAACCAACTGCCCGCGGTGGTTGATCGTCCTGCGGTCCGTCGCCGACAGGAAGGTAAAACCAAGAAGAACACTCAGCCGGTAGCAGCAGAACCACCGCGTCCGCCTCCAGCCGGTCCAGCCAAAGAGACAAAACAGGCCTCTGCTGGCCCTGCTGAGGAAACGATTGCGGCTCCCGCTGATCCAGCTCAGCAACCTAAGGCTCCTCCTCCTGACCCAGCCCAGCCGACGACTGCAGCTCCGCCTGATCCAGGTCAACAGACTGTACCTCCAGCCGCACCGGCAGAAACCGTCGGGCCCAATCTAGCCTCAATGAGCTCCTCACTGACTAGCAGTGCATCATCGGCGCTGGCATCCGTGTCGTCGAGTTTCCAGGGTGAGATTGCCTCGCTCTCCTCGCGCTCCTCAGCCGACGTTGCAGCGGCGTCGTCCTCAGGGGCCTCGGCGATCTCCAGCCTCAGTGTCAGCGCGTCATCTGCGAGCGGTGCTATAGCTTCGTCCGCAAGCCTTGCCGGAGCCAGGGCAGCTGGGGCCAGTGCAGATATCGAGGCAGCGGTGAGCAACAGTATAGCCGCAAGCGCAAGCAGTGCCGGTTTTGCAGCTGCGACTGCCAGCGCGGCCGCCAGTGCAAGTAGTGCGATTGCTGCCGCTAGAGGGTCAACGCAGTCGACCCCCTCTACTACTTCTGTACGTCTGAGATGCACTACCCTTCCTATTCCGCAGGGATCTAGAATATATATATATATATGTCTATGCTTGAATCGTGATGGCTAACAAACGCGCAGACTTCCAACTATGAGTTGGCCCAACCCAGCTCCCCGGGTTCAACTTCTGAAAATGGCATTATTCATGTTACACCAGGCCAAATCGCAGCCATTGTCATTGGTACCATGATAGGATCTGCTATACTCACGCTGATAATCGTATACTTCATCGGTATGCTGAGGAAAAGGCGGTCGAGGAGCAGCGATGAAAGCTATGGTGATGGCGAAGAGTCCGAGTACAACGATCAAATGGCTCTGAACCCCTTGGGTCAGGACGATGGCACAGGACGCGCAGACGGCTACATGTCACGCGGCTTGAATGAGAAGGGCGCAACGAGCTGGTCACCTACTGCGGCTACTACCACCAACAGAGCCCACGGCGGCCCCAAGCATATCCCTCTGATACCACAGGCGTCGCAGAAACTGCAACCAATCTCACACCGGCCCAGTCTGCCTCCTCTTCCAGAGGACAGAGGCGTATATCACTCCGGAAATCATTCCTCAATAGGTTTTGGAAGCACCAATGGGCTCGACTTTTCATTGACAGACCCAAGGTTAGGGCCTCAGGGAAGCATGCCAGAGCAGCCCGAGCCGGTCAAGCTTACCTTAGCGAAGCGCCTGAGCCGGGGAGGAAGCCAGAGGATGGCCGTCGTGCGAACGCCAAGTCAGGGTGGAAACGACGCTTCGGACACACTCTCTTCTCCCGGCCATGCGAGGTCTCCCAGCGGGCCTGACAACCTCTACTTCACGATCTCGTCGTCCGTTTATTCCCCCGGAGCCGGTACACGCCCCGATCATGTCCGCACGCTCTCCTCAGACATATTCCCACGCCGGAAGAGCGGGATCATCTCCCCCCTGAGCCTCAACCCGCCAACGAGCGCCTCCTCCGTGCCGCGGGTCTCGGCCCTGGCGTCCTGGGGCTCCTGGGGGCCAATCTCGCCCTCGAACCCGCCGCCCATGATCCCCTATCAGTACCAAAACCTCGCCTCGACAGCCGCCCCTGGACCACCGGCAAGCAGAAACGGAAACACCGACCCCAATCCCACCATGCCCGCGCCCCTGACTCCTGTGAACCAACAACGGATCCCCGACCGTACCCAAAACCACATTGCCTTCCTTCTGTCGCAGAATTCCCAGCATTCTCCACAGCCCTCGACACAGCTACCACAACAGCCCGGCGCGTACCCCGGCACCACCACCAGTCCCGAGCCCATGGTCGGGACAGCAGCGACTAGCCACCTCTCGCCGCGGCCGCTGCGGCCCATCAAGCCGCTGTCCATCAGCCCGTCGAGCCCGTACAGCTCGACGTTCGAGCGGCCGGCCCAGCAGCCGGCGCCACCCTCGCCCGCCTTCATGTCGCCGCTGTCGCCGCCGCCCCGGAGCCCGCTGCGCGCCGCGCGGTCCGAGCAGTCGCTCCGCACGCCCACGACCGTCTCGCCGCTGACGACGGCCCCGCCCTCGCAGCGCAGCAGCCCCAGTGCCGACGACAAGGCCATGCCGCCGCTGCCGCTGGACCAGAGTCGTCGCCGCAGTCGCAGCAACAGCTCGGGCGAGCTCGAGGTCCGTGTCGGGCTGGCCCAGGCCGTCGCCGGCCTCGATATGCTCGGAGGCGGCGGGTTCGGGTCGTCGGCCGCCAGCAACGGAGGCGGGAGCGACCTGACCAAGGCGTCTTCTTCTGGGGTCGGGGACACGGAAGCGGGGCCGAACAGGGCTCGCTTCACATCGTGGCTGGCGTCCAACGACCCGTCGTCCGAGAGCGGATCCGGGTCGCCGACGAACACGGACGACCCGTGGGGCCGGCCGCTGCCGGTGCCGCGGATCCGGCGAAAGCGGAGCAGCAGCACCCCTGGCCCCGTCGATTACGTGCCGGAGCAGCCCAGGACGCCCGGGGCCGTGCCCAAGTTCAGCCTGTTCCCGCGGACGGGTGTGTCGGAGGTGGGCGCGAGCCAGCCCTCTTACGCGGACGATGGCCAGAGGAGGCGGAGCAGCCTAGGCGCCATTGCGTACAGGTAGGGCGGCGTTGCCTTCCTGTTTATCTCGAGTTCTCTGTCGATCGTTATCAGGAAAGAGAAGAAACAGAAGAGACGGCGTCGGGGCAGAAGAGCTCCGTCGATGTTTGCCCACAATGATGGGCCATTCCTCCTGTAGCTATAGAAGTGCGAGGAACAAGGATTGAAAGATGATATATATCTTTGTATACTACATGAGCATATAGTATCGATACCCAAACACTCACGATCATTACGAAGACAATGTTGAAAATCTTTCGGGTATGCTTGCCGTTCACTATGTACAACTGTCCGAAGTGAAGTCTAATAAACTGGAGTCAATATCGCATTCAATATCGCCCATCTTTTCAATTTTCCTTGCCTCGTCGTCCCCGCATGCTGCTGCTGCCATCGAGCAGCCCTGTTTGGGCGGTACGAGTAACAAAAACGAACCGCGCCGGCTCCCTATCCCAACGCCAGCAAATGCACACCCCGTCCGGTGCAGGCGGCAGTCGCCAGGCCCGCCTGTTATCGTTGAGAAGAAACACCTTGGTGCCATGCTGCAGAATGCATGGACACATAAACGTGGCTTCGAGTCGCATCCGTTCGGGCGCACGCGCAAAAGTAATAACATCTCTAGTCTCGTAAAAATTTTGGTGACGAAACGTGGGATGCAGAACGGGATCGCCTGACTTTGCGCTTGCAGTTCCGCTGTCCGTGGTGCCATGCCCCGGATATGGCCCAAGCTAATAAGTCAATAAATCCTCTGCATCCGCACGTACCTCCACCATTTCTCCCTAGTCCATTTCGTGCTGTTCTTCTAATACACAGGGCCAAAAAGAAGATCCCTGGATGTGCGGAAATTTCCGTCGTCTTAGACGGGGAGCTTGAACTTCTTGCCCTTCATGACCTTGTTGTAGTAGATCCAGAAGAAGTCCGAGTACAGGACGGTCTGGATGAGGCCGGCGACGACAGCGATCCAATCGACCTTATGCTTGGGCTCGGTGAAGTAGCGCCAGATCCAGTTGGGGATGTAGAGAGCGCGGTAGGCGCCGAGGGCGAACAGGTAGTGGGTGGTGATGGTCTCGGCCTCGCCGGTGCGCTGCAGCATGAAGAGCTGGGGCAGGATGGCGACGGACTCGAGCCAGATGGAAAAGGCCCACAGGATCTCGTTGAAGGTGTACTTGTAGGGGATCACGACGGCGAGCACGGCGGCGGCACCCAGCAGGTACTGCACGCGGAAGGTGTCGAGGTTCTGGTCGATGGTGGGCTTGTACTTGGCGATCATCAGGTAGACGATGTAGCCCTGTGAGCCGATGAAGAGGATCTTGAAGACGATGTTGTAGATGGACTCGGTGCTGAAGAGGTCGAGGTAGCGCGTCACGTAGACGAGGAGGTAGAGGACCTGGGACTTGAACGAGATGCCGGCGCAACCCTGAGGCGAGATGGTCAGCTCTGGGTCTAGTGGGACGGGAAGGGATACGGGCCGCCTCAGTAACGTACATTCAGCTCCGTCATCTTCATCAGCAATATCAGGATGGAGGCCAGGTGGGAGAGGTCTCCCAGGACGCGGAAGAGGTTCAGCATGGTGGCGGCTGTTGCCCGAAGCTAGGCTTCTTCGTCGTCTCCCTTTCGATTCCTGGTCTGCGTTGCCAGATCTAGCTGGAGGCGAAAGAGAAGGGTGGGAGTGATTGAGTGTGTACGGTCAATCGCAGTCGCCAGTGCAATATGGCGGCTCGTGGTTGAGCAGTGGGTGACGGTGTTGCATCGAAGGACGAACGGACAGACAGACAGACAGATTGGCGGACAGCTGTTTCTCGTCGCCTCCTAGTTGGACTGGCGCCCCAGCTAAAAACAGAGCATTGAAAGGACACGAACGCGATTCACCTTTGATTGGGTGATCCCTGCCTGTTCTCTGCTGGCCGCCTGTGGCTGTCTGCGGCATCCATGGATTGGGGGGCTAAGCCACAGCGAGCCTGGTCTTGGTGGTTTTGGGTGACGATCACCGCGGAGCTGCCAGGGCGCCCAGCAAGCCCAGGGCCTGTAGGGCTTCTTAGCAAAGGCTTGCAGGGACTGACAGGGGGGTAGACTCGATGCGATGCACGCCTACCTAGGGGAGCTACCTGGGGCTGTTGCTATGCTGCTAGGGGCATTGGCCGCTAAAGAGCTGGACTGCTTTGGGCGGCTGGTCTGGCCGGGTGTGCATCTGACGTATTACAAAGCTGCCTTAGAAGCTTCGAGTGGTGATGGCGGCAAAGATGCCATTGCGATAAGTGACTTGGGCGTACAAGCGTCCACGGTGAATACACTCGCCTCTCCTTCCACTCGATCCTTGATCAATGCGCGCAACCGTGGCCATTTGCATTGTCCCTCTGTTTCTTCCAAGTGCCTGAATAATCTTTCCTGCAATTCTTGTCTCACCCTACACCCTGTGCACACTCCCCCGGTGCCGCCGGCGTCGTCACCACTGCAAGCCATCGCAGTCTCGATCACAGTCACTATGGCAGACCCCCCAGCCCAAGTCGCGCCGGCAGACGACGCCATCACCATTACTCTCAACCATCAGGGAACCACGCACACCCTGTCCTTCCCCAGCGATGCAACCATCACCGACCTATCCACAGCTGTCGAGGCGACCATCAGCATTCCCTCCAGCAACCAGAAGTTCCTCGCTCCTAAGCTCGGGCTCCTCAAGCCCCCGTTCAAAGACCCGTCTCTTCCACTTGGCTCCCTCGACGCCAGCAAGCCCATCAAGCTGATGGGCACCACCGCGACCGAGCTCGCCTCCCTAGCCTCGGCCTCGCAGGCCGTCTCCGCCCGCGAAGCCGCCTACGCCGCCCAGCGCCGCGCGCAACCCAAGGCCTTCACCTCGCGGCGGAGCGCGACCGCGGCCCAGGAGGACAGCACCTACACCTTCATGGCGATCCGGCCGCTGCCGAACCTGCCGGCGCCGGAGCGGTCGCGGGCGTTCCTGGAGCGGCTGGCGCGCGACCCGGGCATCGTGGCCGCCATGCGCAAGCACCAGTTCAGCGTCGGCCTGCTGACCGAGATGGACCCGCTGTCGTACACCGAGTCGAGCCACGAGGGCACCACGCGCATTCTCGGGCTCAACCGCAACCGCGGCGAGGTCGTCGAGCTGCGCCTGCGCACCGACGCCTACGACGGCTACCGCGACTACAAGACCATCCGCAACACCCTGTGCCACGAGCTGGCCCACAACGTCCACTCGGACCACGACCGCCAGTTCTGGGACCTCTGCCACCAGATCGAGCGCGAGGTCGCCCGCGCCGATTGGAAGAGCGGCGGCCATCGCGTGGGCGAGGACGACTTCTACGAGCCCGAACTCAGTGAAGAGGTTGCCTATGATCACGGAGGATGGACCGGGGGCGAGTTCGTCCTGGGCGGCGGCGGAGGCAGCGGAGGCAGTACGACGACCGCTTCGGCTGGCACGGGCTCTTTGAGCCGGAGAGAAATCATGGCCAAGGCCGCAGAGGAAAGAATGAAGAAACTGGACGAAGAGCGGCGGCGGCAGAGTGGACAAGGCGGAGGATCTACATAAGGCCCATTTTGATGATTTCGCGAACGGTATGGTACGACGTATGACTAGAGATAATAGTGTTCATGGCGATGGCGTTCTGGATATCTTTTGAAAGGCGCAAGCGGTTTTCCTTGCGCCAACGGCATAGGCGATAGCGAAACAAGCGCTTGTTCCTAAATCATCTTCAAGTACATCAGGTGCAAGACTCCAAAGTGAAACTGTATCGATCCATTCGGGGGTATCTAATGCGCTCCTCCGCTCAATGCAATCGGTATGTACAGCAGTGATGGCCTGTTCCGTCCCATGATATGCTCTTCCTTCCAGCGCCGCGACTTGTATATGCAAAACGCAGTACTATAAACAGTTCCAACACCGAGTGTCCCCCAGAAACCCAAATGCCCGTGAGATAAACGCCTTGCCAAATGCTGACGTATAGTCGAGAGTAATTAAAACATAATAGGAGAGGCAGGAAGCAGAGACAACCGTGGTCTCTGATTGCCCGGTAGTCGGGCGCATATAATTCGTTTAGCGGAGTGTTGTGCAATGATGATGGTGGTAGTTGTGGATCGACATGAGATTCTCCTTTGAAAGTCAGACCTGTGAGACTTGACGTCGGCTCGACACCGTTGCTGCCTCATTCTGGCCCCGGAGCCGAACCTGCATGAACCGGTGCGACGCCAGAGGGCTCAGGGATTCATGGCGACTCGGGAATAGCGTCATATCCTATTCCCTGGCTTTGCCAAGCAATGTGCTGTGCCGCCGTCGCACTGTCGATCGTGGGATCGCCTTCGCGCCATTGGTGGCACGATGCGGCTCTGCCCGGGGGGCTCTCCTTTGGCCCTCCCCAATACTAGTGAATAAATTCGATCCTCCTGTCCGTTGCCTGAAGCCATTTCTGCCGCTTCATGAGTTGCTAGTCGCCTGTATCAGTATCACGAAGCCACAGTCATCTAATGACACCCCTCATCATGTGACGCGACGCGCTGGCCGATCTGACGAGGTCTTGCGGTGCTCATGCTGAGTGCCAAGTGCTGTGCCGTTTGCTGGGGCTTCCCGCACCGGATAAAAGAACGTCGCTCGGTATCCGTTCCCTTTTAATGGTTCTTGCTGTCCACGAACGGACTGGTCTTCTGCACAGTCTTCTGGTCCTTCGGCGTCTTGACCCATTCCTTCAGTTCCGGTTCCCAGCGGTGACTATGCGATCTGTTAGCATCTAGCTCTCATTTCCTCCCTCGGGCTCAGGAATATCGTCATTCTGAACCGCGGGGCTGCGCATAACCATGGTGTGTGGCACTCACCCTTCCCATTCAGTCGTCACCAGACTTTTGGTGCCGTACTCGTCAGTCAAGATGCGGTCAAACGCATACGGAATCGTCGCCGGGACTCCCTCGAATTCGGTCTGGCGCATGGGGTACAACTCCGTCGTGCGGTACCGGTGGAAGTTCTTACAGCTCCAGACGCCGGGGCTCCCGCTCGGCTGGCGCTCGGCCAGTCCCGTGATATCGATGAACATGCCGTTGCTGATGTCGATCCAGCGGGCGTCGATGACGTTCTGGCCGTCGCCGCGGCCGACGTCGCTGTGGTGAGGGTTGATGTCGAGCAGGTACTCCTTGGTCTTCTTGGCGCCCTTCTCGTCGAAGTACTCGTACTCGTGTATCGTCCGGTTCAGGTTCTTGCCCAGGTAGTGCAGCGTCGCCGCCGACACTTGCACGTCCAGGTCGTAGTCCCACGGCATGATACGCCCGTTCCACCACCAGCCCAGCAGCGTGCCGTGCGCCAGCCACGTCTCGACTCCTAGAGACCGGAAGGTCGTCAGGTACGACCTGATTAAATGTTGGAGCGCCGGCCTATGTTGTTCGTACGGCACCTTTTGCTTGAAGTACCGGATGTCATAGTGGCCGAGCTCCAGATCACCGCCGGGCTCGTGGAAGTATTTGACGTCGTGAGACTTCTGTTTCGATTGCAGCGGCGGCACCTTTTGCAACTCTTTCCGGAAGGGCTTTAACGCGGAAACTGTGACGGGTGTTACGGCTAGGACGGCAACCAATATCGATCGAAATAAGTGCATCTTCGGCGACGATCTGCCGGACTAGGGCAGCAAAGAGACGGACGGAAATCTCGTTCTACTATGCGATCATAAATAAATCCTTTGCGAGGTTCGACAAGTCGAGAGAGGTAGTAAAGAAGTCCTGGCCAGGACTTGTCGGCTTGTCCTTGGGATTGTACGGCAATTTGTCCCAAAGCCAAGGGTGATTTCGTCCTGAATACCAAGAAATTCCAAGGGGTCGTCCTCGCGAAGGTTTTCCTGCCTACGGCGATCCTTGTATCACAACTGTCAAGGCGCAATGTGGTCGTGGTGTGGCGGCGTCAAGATAAGGATTGGAGGAATGTCAATTAGACTTGGTTGCGCTCGGGTATGTCAAGTTCTCTAAAACACTGATAGGCCGTCGTCAAAGCAGCAGCGAGTATATTCGTAACAAGACTAACAAGATGGCAGTGAACGTTTGGATCAAGAAGCACCGAAAAGAGAGTTGCAGACGAGCCCCAGGCGGTAGAGTGTAGGGAGGATCAGCAATTGGTTTTATTACTTCAACAGGTTCTCTGGGCAAGACATCCAACCCCGGTGGATAGCACTCCATTATCACCCATAGCCCGCGTGGGCGAGCCTAACAGGCGGGCGACGTATGCTGTCGTTGGAGACGACGGGCAACGCATGCCAGAAACAATGGGGCTATGGTCAAATGAGGGAACTGAGATGAACCAAGGAACATGTCATTGGTCCCGAAACCCCGTCGGGGTGCTGGATAAGCACGCGAGCATACGTAAACACGGGCACACTGTGACAAGGAGCTGCGGGTACTAGTTGACCAGGTGGGAGTAAAGCATCCCTGCCATGAGTATGCCAAGTTAATCAAGACCCATAGCGGCAAGAGTGCGCGTGAGGCTTGCACGCCCGCCGCTAGATTTAATGCAAACCCGCCGGGCCACATCGTTTTTATGACAGTGTTTTATGATGTCAACGCTCAGAACTGACATGAGAGGTCTCGCAACTCTATCCCGAGAGGGCTGCGAGAGAGATCCTAAAGCCATGTTCTGCATGCTTTCCCCAAGAATCCGATAAATCCAGTGGGGGCTCTATTCAGGGCGTCGGGCCTAATGAGGGAGGTTCACTGGAGGCCAATGTAAGTCACAGGGTAGATCTTCGTTTTGCCAGATCCTGCACAGACAATAGCACAGCAATAGTCGTTTCGGCATCCCAAAAAGTTCCAATGGCTACATGAGGGTCGATGAGAGTCCAAGATAGTTTCCTTGTTTCGACGTTTTCTGTGTTTGTCATCCATCAGAGCGGATTCAGATTCAGCTCATCAGAGTTCGACGGTTGACATGGTTCCCAGTCGCTCGGGCTCGCACTTTAACGTTCATGTCGGGGGGTCGTCTTTGCTGCTGCTGCTTCAAACTCTGCTAATGGCGCTCCATAAAAGCAATAGCAGGGCTGGGCGGGGCTAGCGCCGTGAAGGATCGTCGACTCAACGCCCTTCCCGTAATTAATTTAGACGGCTTGGCAGACGGCCGGCCCGAAGAATCACGGCGTCGAACCACCGGGCGTGGCATGCATGACTTGGCAGGAACCTGGCGTTACAGCAAATCTGGGCGTCTCCTGGCTGCTCTTCTTCAGCCCCAGAATGCATCGCAATGAGTTACGAGGACGCTGCGGATCTTCGACTTGCGTCCCTGCATGCCAGGCCGGGTAACTCTACACTATCTTGTGTCTGATCTGCCGCCCTCACCCCTCATTGCAGGACCAATGATGTGTACGTACGCGCGGCCGACAGGTCGGGTCGTCCGCACCATGGATCTAACTAGTGACAGCTAGTCAAGAGGAAAGCAGTTCCTTTGCGTACCGCTCTGGCACCTGTCTTGAGGCTGTGCGCCCGTCGGTTTGGGCTTTGGAGGAATGTAGTACCGCAGCTGTCGTGGGGAGACAGACAAGACAAGGTTGCAGATTCGTACACCCATCCGTGGCTGCTCGGACTTTGAATCTTCAAGCATTGGTGTCCACGCGATCGATTTCCGAACTTCGACAAGCGCCGCTCGAGCAAGACCATGGAGCTGCCGCCTTAGCGCGCCAGCTACCTACCTCAATAGGTATACAAGCAAGTGTTATCTCCCAACGTTGTCACCTTGCTGTCGATTCCGAGTCAGCTATTGGAACTCTGGAGTCTTCTACAACGGTCATTTTCCGGCCTTGGGCATAAGCTTGGAGGCAGTGTTTCGTGGTGGCTCTTCCTCAACATTGCTTCGCTGCAACATACGTCAGCGTCCAGCGAGGTGGATCTTTCAATGATTGCGACCGACCCCATCTGCGCGTCTTTCACCGCAAATTGCAAGCCCGGCACACTCCACATTATGCACCATGTAGGTATACACGTTGTTTTGACTCCGCCCTACTTGTGCGTGGTGTGCACCGAGAAACGAAGCTTAAAACGCTGCTGCGTATACGCATCCCAATCCTGGATGTTAGGAACCAGGCTGGGCTTGTCCTACAGGGGGCGGGTTCCTGGAAGCGTATGCAAAAAATAGTCCTGAAACATGACTGCCGAATACCCGGTATATGTCGTCAGATCTCATCCAAGCTTTATCGTCCGAATTGCAGATGAAATCAGAATAGTGTCTATATATCGGGGCTTCCATCGAATACTTGAAGGAACATAATTGTCCTGCATCCCGTCGTCCATGATTTCGGCCCCAGCCCGCTCCTGGTGTCGTGTGCTCACTTGCTGCTTGCGAGGTCTGGCGAACGTAACCCGAGCTGGCCGAGTTTAGTAAGCTCTAGCTTAACAGTGGAGCGACACTTGTTAAAAATCTTCGATTCGTCCGTCAAGAAATTTGGTCAACCAGCGCAAGTTGATGCCAAGATGCCAAGAGACGCAGGTTCGTGATAACTGTGGGGAATTGGAAGATTCTATCCGGGTTCCAAGGACGGCTACGCGGCAGTGGAGACCGTGCCAGTAGATGCCACGCACACAGTTCCACTAAGTCGTCGTGAGAAACCCGCCTGTCAATGTCAAACGGTCAACTGCACATTGTACGGTCATCTTACGATAGACACTAATTGACCTAATGATTGGTCGAGTTGCGGATAACGGAGAGTACTTTTCGCAACGTGAACAACTAGCCAGCCAACTTGTCAGCCACCAAGGCAAGACAAAGCTCTGCGCCAAGAAGCCCAACGAGACAGTATCACCTGAAATAATTGTTTCCAACGACCCCACATTATACTGTTGTTCCTTGTTGCTTAGGTAGAGCCAAGAACTGAAGGATTGGCTCCTTTACCTCTTCACTGCGTTCAAGCGCGAGCCGGTCGCCAGGGGAGTACAAAGATGCACATTCATTCTCAAGTCCGATCCCCTTAATGGGGGTTGACACCATGTCGAGGGACCTGCTTCTGTATTCATTGGCTGAAAGAGCAATACCGACTTTACTGGACATGAGTCTCTGGCTTTAAAAATAAGCATAAGAGACGAGCTTCCAGCTCTATGCCGTGTTACCCGAGTTCGGCTGGCGCTCAGGCTGCGTCCAGGACCCAGCCCTATGCAATATGTGCTTGGCACGTATTATCGATGAATCAGTCGGAATACGAGCAGGAATGCCTTCCTTTCTGCTATCGCCTTTTTGTGCAATCCAGTCGACCACTCATCATTGTGACTTATCACCCCGGCGTTCTGAGACTGGGGAATTGAGGAGCCGGGTGGAGATAGCTTCAACTGGGGTTCAGACATAGGAAAAAGCATTCCTCACCCCTGATTCCATGGGCTCCAGGCTCGCACATCTCAGCCGTGTTGGCTGAGCTTGGCGCGCGGAGTTTCTTATAGAGAAGCGTACGGTAACGGCCCAATAGGAGGAGAGAAATCGGTGCGGTTGCGAACGCATGTCTCACCGTCGTCGGCTCGCGGCACCCTCACGGTCAGCGCCGTGTGTGCCGGTTGCCGCGAAGTTGCATCTCATAAGCGCAGCCAAATGAAATGTGGTGTCTTGGCTTGAATAAGTGTCTTGGAGGCCGCACACTTTGGCATCAGCAGCCATGCGGAGGCTGTCGGGCTGAAAGAGACAGTCCGAGCCTAGCTCTTTGGACCCATGTACTCATGACATGAGAAGTTCGGCTGTAGAACCACCCATCTTGCGAAGACCGGAACATGCAATGGAACTCGGTGATCGGTGTACTGTCCTGTGCCGCATCGGTGGGTAACGGGGCTCGCGGCGCCGGAAATATGGGGCTCTCCGGCGACCCGGAACAATGGTAATTCCGCCTCTTGCAATTGTTCGAATTGAGTGCATCCATGTATCGAGCTCGCGACTTTGCGACGAGCTTGCCGGCGTTGATCTCATTGGAAAACAGCCACACAGTCAGTCAAGATGAGGCCGACAGGGAGCCTTTTCAAAGGCCGTTCAGTATGGAAGGGTAAGCTCATTCGCGCTCCAAATGCATCCCTACCTCTCCGTTCAGTACTGACAAGAACCTTTCTACAGGACCGCACATTGTCCCGTAAGACCCCTTTGCGACTCGGCGACCCGCGAAACGAAGATGTCCGAATCGCTAACGAGCCGCGCTCTACAGTCTCCCCATCGTCCGCCCCAAACCCGGTGAATGGGTCAAGCCCATCAAGACCCAAGCGCGGTCTGCCACCATTTTGCCCAACTTCGTCGGGCTGAAGTTCGCGGTGCACAACGGCAAGGTCTACAACGAGGTTACCATCACGGAAGACATGGTCGGGCACAAGCTGGGCGAATTCTCCACGTAGGTTTCGAACTCGTCGCAAGGACCATGGGATGATTATGGTGTAAGACTGACATCTGCGCCACACAGCACAAGGAAGCCTTTCATTTGGGGACGCGGCAAGTAGAGGAGGGATTGTGTGCATTTTCTGGCGTTTGGAAGCATTGAGAAGAATCGTTGCGCTGTACGATATGTATTTGTACCATCTATGGACATACAGGAACACGGTGGAGCAGCCTCGGCCCGGATCACATTCCCCGAAAGAGATCCAGCCCGGGAATGGCATGTCTCGAGATGTACTCAAGCTCGGATATCCTCTTTGATTGGTATCATTTTACGTTTCATGTCTATCAGTGAGAACTACCAACTCCTGAGACCACTTGGTTGTATGGCCGCATGCACAGCGCTGTCGTCGTTGGACGGGCTGTCGTAGAGGGAGACACCACATCAAATGGCTCTCGAAATCGACCCGATATGTACTCCTGTAACGCCTTTCCATGATCCATGTACATCCCCTTCCAAACCCAACCAATTTCCACGTAGTTATCGCTACGTCACCTGTAGAACTCGCTTCTCTTGACGTTGACACCGTACTCGCCCACAGCCATGCCTAGGTCCTCCATCGTAAGCACGGTGCGGTTCTGGCTGCCGCCCTGTCCACCACCGCCGTATCCCGCACGCTGGACGCCCAGAGGTCCACCACGGCCCTGATCCTTGGCGTTTGGTTGCGACTGCCCGGCCACGGGGAGACCAGCGGCCGCGCCCAGGTTGCCCATCGGGTTGTTGGCGCTGGTGTTGGAGGCCCGAATGCGGCTGTACTGGTAGGCATCGGCAGCGATGTCGGCGATGAACTTCTGCGTCGTCAGGGCGAGCAGGCGCGCCAGGCGCGGGTCGGTCTGAGGCGGCGGGGGGAGACCAGCCTTGGCCAGGTAGAAGTTGGTGACTGCGTCGGGGATCTGGGACGGAACGTTAGTCAAAGTCGATCAGTGTCGCAGAAGGCGACAAGGCAGCGGGCGCGTGCGACTCACGATGGGCGCGTAGTCATCCATCTTGTTCAGGAAGTCCTTCAGCGACACGTCCTTGCGCGTCGGCATCTTGGCCTCCTCGGGCGCCGGCACGACTTCCTCGCCCTCGGGCTGCTGGCCATCCTGGGTCGCCGGGGGCGCCTCGGCGTTCTCAAGAGGTGCGCTGGCCATTTTTGGGTTGCTCGAATGGCTGATCTGATGGATCTCTCGATGGGGCGAGCGTCCGGTGTGATGGTGAGGCTCAGTTGAGGTGATCGAATGGTTAGGTAAGCACGGGTCACGTGGTCTCGAATTCCGCGAACCGCTGCTCACGAAGCCGTACTTAAAAAGCCTTGTTCGAGAAAGTGAGGAGGAAACGACTATGTAGGTGAAAATAATTCAGGCGCGTTGATTTTTTTTTTACCTCGAATGGACGTGAATCTGGCCCAGTTGGTGATGGTCTTTGTTGTACGAGCCTGTCAAACTGGCTGGTCTTGCCCAGGTGAGGAGAAGCCGTGTGGGGGATTAGCGCCCGCCTTTAGCGGTGGTTCGCTGCCATGGCATGGACTGCGGCTGGTGCTATAGCCAACACCGAGGTGTTGATTTCAGGTAGATAGTGAGGTCAGCTCAGTCACATGAAGTGGCCTGGAGATTGTTCTGCACATAAGACCGATCGACGTATGATATATACAAATTAGTATAGTTGGGCATACACGCAGCAAATTGCCCGCCTTATGGCGCCAACAGATGATCAATGTCTCTCTGCCTTCCATACTCGGCTATCAAGTACAGTACCAACGCTGAAGATGACGGGCGGTCACTTTTCCAAATACTCAGCACTTGACGTTGTGATGTCCACGTCGTCTTTGTGCAATGCTAGGAGCCATGGTACAGAGAAGGGGCCGTTCTCACGCCGTCTACAATTTGGGCATAGGGCGCTTTGTTGTCGACGGGTCGTCTGGCTGAATCATCTGTAGCCTTGCTATATGATTGGTAGCCTCACCGCAGCAATCCCCCCGGTACCTTCTCAGCCCCAATGCAAGCCTCCCATCCGTCATCTCTGCTGCCTACCTTCGCCTCATACATAGATAGCTGCATCACCGGGGTCCTCCAGCTCTCTGTGGAAGGAGCACCGCGCACCCGTATGTATATTATGTCTCACGTCTTTGGTCGACCTCGACGATGGGAGAGCTGTGAAGCCTCTAGCACGCGATTGCGCCCTGCCCGACTTGCCGCATCATGTCTTCTAAGTCAATCGCCACGTTTGCTGCGGTCGAAGACAATGGCGCTGGCCATGGTGATGGTGCAAGTGAAATACGCGGATCGCCACTCGCCACAGGCCGAAACCAAGTAGAGCAATCTGCTGCAACACAGAGTCAGGAGGATGAAGTTGAAGCAGACGAAGGCACTAGCCTCCTGGCAGAAAGTGGTGCACATATCTCGTACCTAAACTTTTCTTAAACCAAAGTCGTGGAACACCACTGATGGATTCAAGGCATGGCCGCTTCGCGAGCAAGGATATGCTGAAGCAGTATATCCCGGAACTCGACCCAGAGCACCCGAGAGCAGTGACACTGCGCGTGAAAATGGCCAAGAGATCCACCATGTTGAACTTGCAGCTGTCGATAGCTCTGCTGGTGGTCGTTATCAATATCGTCCTGATCATAGCCCTGATCCATAACTATCCACTGGACTTTCGTGGAGTCGGCACTTTTTCTTACGGTAACTGCAGCACCCTAAGCACCATCAACAGCGCAGTACACGTGGCACTGAACATAATCTCGTCTCTATTCTTGGGCGCGGGCAACTATTGCATGCAGATTCTCGTGGCGCCATCCCGAGCAGAAATCGACAAGGCACATGCCGAAGGCCGCTACTTGGAAATTGGAGTTCCAAGCATCAAGAATCTGCGATACATCCAACGCAGAAGAGTACTCATCTGGATATTAATAGGGTTCTTTTCGACTCTGCTGCATTTTTTGTGAGTAGAAACAGTTGTCGCGCTTTTGTATCTGCGGTCGGAGTTGAACTGAGACGAGCCTCATGCAGTTGGAACTCTGCAATCTTTACCTCACTCCCCGTAGCCGCGATTCCACGCGCCGTTGTCACGAATGACTTCTTGCGTGTCGATGATCCTTGGAATGTCACCGACCCTTTAGGACACCGGGAATGGTGGAAGTTCGCCCCAGGATATGGAGAAGCATCCCATAACAAATCTCTGATCTATTCTCTACAGCAGCAGGTCCCGACCATGTCTTATCTTGGTGCGAGAGAATGTGCAGAGCACTATGTGAACCCGCTCACTGCAAGTAGTGGTGTTATCGTCGTTGCTCGCAACATGACTTATCAGCAATACAATAGATCTTCGCTGCTGGACGGGTGGGTCTCAGCATGGGAGCCGTGGTCAGACTCGACAGGCTGGATATGCTCAGCATACCAGGACGCCGATATACTGAAATGGAGGTTCTGCACTAAAGCATGGGTCGAACAGTTCCCGGAGCCATGGGTCCTCCTCTGGCCTGGCCAGTGGGAAGTCGAGGTCGACTACTGTCTAGCCGGCGAAGATGGAGACAACGAACAGAGATGTGGACTCCATTATAGCGCGCATATACTTGGTATTGTTTGCGCTTGTACTTTCGCCGAGGCTTGCCTGGTGTTCACAGTTTGGTTTCGCCACAGGTACAATCGGGGAGCCGAGAGTGATGTGGGCGAGCAGAGGACGATGGTTACTATTGGAGACGCCATCCACAGTTACTTGAAAGGGCCTTGCCGCTCAAAAGAAGACACCGGTCATGACGAAGCGATCTCAGCGAAACTCAGACCAGGTTATGTTATTGCCTGTAAAGGCAGTTGGAACATTGAAGCGCGTGTCTCTTGGCTTCGAGCTGTCAGTAATTCTATCTGGATCATATCTTATGCCTTGTGAGTCACAGTCGACTGCTTTTCGCTAACCTAGACTCGTATCTAACCGAAAAGTCCAGCTTTGCAATCGGAATCGCGATCCCAAGCGCCGCTGTAGCATCATCCCTGATGCATCTAAGTAGGGTTGGCGTGGATATAAGCCCTTCAGCAATTTGGCAGCAGGGGTTCAAACCGCACCCAGCCGCAGTCTCCCGAGATTTGAGATCCTTTGGGGCCGCTGGGACTGGGACGACATCGACCTTACTTGGCCACGTGCTCGTGTCCAACAGTCCGCAAATGCTCATGAGTTTTCTCTATCTGTTCTATAACAATATCCTCACCCGACAGGTGGTGGCCGACGAGTGGCTACGTTTCCTCCGCAAGGACGGAAAGAAGCCCTTGCGCGTATCCTCTCCGGTCGGGATGCAGCGGTCTTCGTACTTCCTCTCGCTGCCTTTCAAGTACTCGATACCGCTGCTCGGCCTCTCCACCGTGTTGCATTGGCTCATCTCTCAGAGCCTGTTCCTGGTGCAGTCGAGCGCTTTCGGCCCCGGGGCCCAAGGCGAGCGCCTGCCCGTCTATGATATGTCTGCAAGGGGTTATTCACCGCTTGGGTGCCTTATGGCTCTTGCTCTGGCGTTCCTTATGATCTTACTCCTCCCGCTCAATGGCGTCTTGAGGAATTACGAAAACATACCGCTCGGGTTTCAACGCATCGGCCACAACAGCAGTGCCATCAAAGCCTTGTGCCAGCAGCCCGAGGAAGATCGCGACGCGCACCTATTCCCAATCAGCATAGGGAAAGTTGAAAATGACCAGGATATGGTTCTTCGCTGTGAAGGAAGGCTGACGTTCTCAACCGACATAAAGCTCAATCAAAGCATTCAGCCCGGGAAATTGTACCTACTGCCGATTATTGTCACTCGCAGTGCTGGGAGGTGGCGGCGCGTGAAGATAGCCTTCGACGTTGTCTTCAGACCTCGCCGCTTTGTTACTTCATCACTCATTCAACTGAGTCAGCTCCGCCGCGAAAAAGGTAATCTTGATAGTATATAGAAGTCCTCCCATCTCATCGCGGTGAAAATCTGGAAGTGACGGTCTAGAGTCGTTCCCGTTGTTTCTTGGTCTACTGTAGCGCGAGCTCTAGGTGAGTGGCACATAGCTAGAAGATTCTCGATTTATTAGGTCATTGCAAAACTCATAATCATTCCCTTATCATCTATTTGGTCGGCATTGGCCCAAACGGTGAGATAGTAGTACAGGCAAGATTTCATTCGAATTACTCAGTTGTTTTCCCTTTCACTGCATTAAGAATATCTTGAGGCCGGGCGAATTCAAGCTCGTGGAGAGTCTCGTCCCAGACCTTATCAATCAATGATCTTCCTTCAGATTGGTACATCGACGCAGGAAACCTAGGCCAAACATGTTAGTACTAGAAACATCATAGGGAACGAGCTCTAAGTCTTGCGACTGGAAGGGAATCACTTACGGGGCAATCTTCCAGTTATACAGAAAACTACCATGGCTTTCCTTGCCTTTCACCACCGTGGCGTCGACGAAAGTCATGGCGCCATCCTCAGCGCTACGGCCAATTGCGACACGCAGAAGCCAGACAAAGAATCGTGCTATCAAAGGCATGTGTTGATCCAGCCCAACAGCTCGCATGAAGCCCGGGTCAGTCACATTGACCACAACCTCATCAGGGTTTGCATAGTCCTTGACCTTTACCAGGAACATCAGCAACATCAACTTCGCGGTCGAGTATCTATCGCCACCGAAGGACGTGCTCCAGTTCTTGGGGTCATCGAATGCTGCGAACAAGCTTGGGGCCTTTTGCTCCGGGAATGCGGCCACATAGGCTAAACCGGAGCTCACCATCGTCAAGATGGATGGTTTCTTTGGAGAATGTCTTTCCCTGAGGACAGGAAGGAGTAGCAAAGCCAAGTACACAGTTGATAGGTAGTTGACCTGGAAGACAACCTCGTGCCTAGTGGCTTCGTTAATGGTGAAGTTGGGTAGGATAATGCCTGCGCTGATGTTTACGAAGTCGATCCGATCGAGGGTCTTACACCGGTCCACAAAGGCTTCAATGGACGAGTAAGACTGTAGATCTAGGGCCCAGACATCTATAGCGGAGGAGGGATAGGACTTCCGAAGAGACGCAATCGTAGGCTCGAACTTCTGCGGGTTCCGTACTGTAAGGATAAGCCGAGAAATCCCGTATCGGAGAAGAATGTGAACTGAATCCAGTGCCACACCCCCATTTCCACCAATGATGATACCGGTTTGACCACCCACGTCTGTTGTCATCCGGGGTGCTCTCAGTCGTTGCGACCTCAGGAGTTGCTTGAAGTAGGGCCCTTGGAAAGGAGCCAGATCGTTCGATGAAGCCATCTTAGACAAGAGACTTTAATTCAATAAACAAGTCCAGGATGATAGATGTTGCTTTGGGAGAGATAATGTAGTGGGGTTAATATGCAAGCCTCGCGGCATTGATATGACCGAGATGTCTACTTAATGATCGAAACTTGGTGAGTGGAAAGCTCCTGTAGACGGGCGGTTTCTTCTGCATATTTATTCTCGACATATAGAGACACATCTCTCTATGCAGAAGTAACTTACCGTATAAAACTTTACCTGCCAAAACATTCCGGACTCAGGAGTAAACACCGGGAGTTTCTCCGTGACCAGACCCGCACGCCGCGGCCCTCTGAGGGACGCCATCCCCCATTAGGAAAACAATCGGGTGGGTCCTGCCGGCAAAGTGGCCTCTGTCAGACCCACCCAATCCTCCGGCCCAAGCGGCCGGCTTAATGCTCCGCCGTGGGCTGCTTTGACCATTTACTCTTTTAGAGCATGGCCCAAATGTTATTCTCAACCTCGCTTCTGACCATGCATCATCTCTCAACTTGTCCCCGGAACGCTCTCATATTGCCGGTAGTATTGAGAGGAGATTTCGTTCGGACCTACGTGGCCGGACTTTACAGGTTTTCTCCGTTGTCTCCAGGATCGGAGTTTTGTACGACAGAACATGGATGATATGATGTCGGTCAAGACTCAACAAAGCTTCGCTTTCGTTTCTGTCAACGACTCTGGGCGGCCCAAACCGGCGGATCGGAAACTGATTCGGAAGCATGTCATGCAAGGCAAGAACAGGAGGATAGGGGTCCGGCCAGTTCCCAGCGACATATCGCTAAGTAGCCTGGCAGCATGTGGAGCGGAGCGAGCGACCTTGTTCCTGGGACTCCCGTCAAACCAGCACGTCTCTGCTCGGCCCAATATTCCCAAGAAGTTCTACGCGCAGGAGGATGATGAACAGGAGAAACCAGAAACACGACACCCAGCTGAAGCCCACCATACGATCCCACCACCGTGCCCCCCTGATCTATCCCTCGTAAGGCTGGCAGGCGAGGTCGACAGATACTCTCAAAAGTTGATATTCAAATGTTCGTCTTCGTACAGTTCCTAGTCTTCTGCTGAAACGGGTGCTAACTGTCTTCTCAGATATGAACGCAGCCAGAGATTCGATGTATCCAGTGGAACTTTGCGTTGACTTTGATCTGAGTCGAAGCCTCTGGTTCCAGTGGGTCTTCAGTGACTTGGCTTACCTATACTGTGTCCTGTTCGGGGCTTCAGCCATGGAAGACTACATGATGAACGAGTCTTCGTCGAGCTTGACGTTGTCTCATCTGAGAAGCACAATCAAGAACCTCAACGCGAATCTTTCCGATACCGTGCTGTCCCAATGTGACTCTACCGTCGCTGTAATCATTACTCTGGCGATGGTGGCTGGGATGTTTGATGATCAAGCTAGTGCTCTAGCCCATGTCGCTGGGCTCAAGCGTATAGTCCAACTCCGAGGTGGGCTTGATGGGTTTCGCCACAATGCCAAGCTGCATATCAAAATCGGGCGGTGAGCGCAACTCTCTCTTCACAAATCTAAGAACTAAGCTGAAGATCATGCAGCGTGGATCTTGCTTACTCACTCACCACTGGGGAGAATCCATTGTTCTTCAATAGCCCTATTTCATTGAATCCAATATTTGACACGACTGGGGTATCCAATGGAGCTCCAGAATACAGCCCTGCAGCCGTCGGCATCCGAGATCAACGACTCGCCAACGTATTTCAAGACCTCCAGTACTACAGTCGGGTTATGAACGAAGCAAGCATGACCAAGCATAAGAGGCGGGAGGCGGAGTTCCAGAGCGTAATCTGCTCCATACAGTACCGTCTCATCCAGCTCCAGGGCGCAATTGAAAACATACTGGATGAGTGCCTGCGCTTAGCAATGCTAGCTTTCCTGAGCACGACGTTCCAAGTTTCAGGAAAGAGCTTTCAGTACCCCTATCTGGCCAAGAGATTTTGCGAATGCTGCCTTGCTATTGAAGCCGCCAGACAACCTGCTCGAGACCTGATGCTCTGGCTATTAACTGTTGGGGCAATTGCTCTCTATGGAACCAACGAACTATGGTTGCAGCAACGCTGGATAGACGACGTACCAGAAATTGACTGGGGTGAGGCCAGAAGACGACTCAAGAACGTTATCTGGCTAGATGCATTTCATGACAAGCCTGGACAGCGCGTGTTCGAAACTATGAGTTGTTTCAAAAGGCAGAAGAATCCCCCTGAAGCACCAGCAAACGTGGCAACAGATAAACTGCATGTCAAGAGATCAATGTGATTGGTATGAATGCCTTTCAATTCAACTAGGATGCTTTTCCGCGCTGCAGGTTCTGTATTTCAATCTCCCAAGAACTTGCATGCAGCACTGACGTGTGGACTATGGAACTGTAACAACAAGCGCATGCGAGAACATGGATGTGGTCTGGTCATCGTCCTTCACCCAGTATTGCACATGGGTGATGCTCTTCTGATACTTCTTGTCCCGTGTGCCTACATGAGCACCATCGACGTATACCTCGTACTTATCCTGCATATCGCGGACCTCAATCCTTGGGGATGGCGTTTTGAACCAGCTTGTATGGAGCCGCAAGTCATCTTGGCGATCCCACGACCCATGAGCCGCCTTACTGTTGAGACGGAAGACGTTCTCCTTACGGCGGAAAGAGACACTCAGCAGCACGTCATAGTTGGACTCATCGTATCTGTCAGCCGAACCGCTTTCGTCAAAGTGCATGAATGATATGCCGGTACTGTCTTCGCGCACGTTTGCAGGATCCAGGGTCACTGACGCAGACTGGACGATTATAGTGCCACCGGCCGGGACTGCCTTTTCAAGTCTGATGGTCTTATCGAGGGCAAGATACTGAGCGTTAGACACCCTACATCTCATTAGTAAAGATGCTGCAAGGGGATTCTAGGTGAGTAGGTACGTTTGGCTTTGATCGGCACCGGCGCCAGCGTCGGGCTTTGGTCGCTGTGAAGAGGAAGCATTGGCATTGGCATTACTGGTCCCCGCCCCTTGAGCTGTTTTGAGTTGGACGGTAGTATTGTCTGTGAAGGGAGTTGTCTGGAAAGAGTCGGTGCTGTATGTCGCAATGTGCCTTGAGAGAGTCACATTCAGATCAAGGCCCGCCAACTCAGTATCTGTAATCTTTCGCCCATACTAGTAGTTCAGAGTTAGCGGATTCTACAAGTCCTTGTTGAAATGTTATGCTCACAGACCTTTCGGACTTCCCAGTGTAGTCGATTGAGCACATCTTTAACGACACCCTCCGAGAGGTCTCTGAGTGCGTCTTGCTCAATCAGCCTGTGTAGGAAGAGGTTTATTGGCAAACACGCTGACATCTTAGCGTTCTGGGCTTGAACATCGGTGCAACTGCTGCAAACCTCTTCACCGTCCTGTATCGCAGGCTGACTAAAGTTGTAGACGCTGCCAATAAAATCCTTCTTCCCATCTTGAGCTTGTAATTGATCTTCTGGTTTGAGGAATATCTCCACGTTGAACGGGTGACCTCCCAATCCAAAACGGGAAAAACTGACGCTTAAGATATAGTAGTTGGACTTGATGGATTCGCCATCAAGACCGACTCTCATACCTGGCATGGCTCCAACGACTGGCTCAGTTGAATTTGCATATTGAGCGGCTCGAGAAGGATGAAGAGGCTGATCAGGAGAGACTTTTCCACCAGCACGGGCATACGCAAATGCAGGTCGCCCTTCCTCAGCGATGGCGACTGCAATAGCCATGGCAGGCAATGAGCCTTCAGGTGTCCCTGAGACTCCAGCCATCTTAGGAAGTTCAGGAACTCCACGGTCCGGGTTGTTAGTCAGCTGATCTAGTATCATTAATGCCTTCTTTCGAGCTTTGCCGTACTTTTCGTTGATCACGTCGGTGATGTACTTGATATACTTCTCACGGTCAAATCGACCTTGGGACTGGAACTCTGGCTTCCATGGCTGGATCTCCGGGTAGGTATACCCAAGCGGAATGTGGTCTCTGACCTCATCTGGAGTATACACTGTCCCTTTGGAATCTTTGTGAAACGGACGAAGGGGAGTCTTGTTTGTGACTTTGTCCGTCTCCTTGATACCAATGACTTTTTGGTCAAATGGACCTTGGTCCCCTGAGGTGAACCACTTATCTGGGTTCAGCTGCTGCCAGATACCGAAGAGACGGTCAATGTTACTTCTCACGTGTTAGAACTTTGGAACCCTTGTTCGGAAATTTATAGGGTGGACTAAGTGGGTAGGCCATGGAAAAGAGGGGATAGTATCGGACTGTTGAATCACCTACCAATGATGAAGCCAGAAGATTGGATCAAACGTGGCGACCGGAATTTGGGACATGTGCCCACCGTCTCCACCAACCCAGTAATGAATGTTGTTGTGAATGAACTCAAGGTTGATCATCTTGTCAACACCTCGAATCTCTCCAGGGACTGGCGGACCTGTCGTTGCGAACTCTTCGTAACTCAGAGAATGATTGAGAAGGTAGTATACCATCTCGGCCGCTGAACCATGTTGAGGCTTCTTTGGGTCAATGCTGATATGGTCCATTATGGCCTTCTCCACCAGCTCATTGTTGACGACGCCCTCGCGCCATTCCTTGCTGTCCTTACGTGTTTGAATCTCTGTGGGAGACCTACTAGAAGCGTGGCATGCTCCATACTGGTCCTTGAGTCAGTGATCTATGCTCGAAACAGCCCAATTTGAGGGTCAGAAAAGGAGTTAGTGATTGCACCTACGAAGTACTGCACTGGATTTTCCGGATCGGTCCGATCAGGGATAGTTCTGACTCCTTCAGACTCCATAGGTTTGTCGTTAGGCATTCGGAACTTATGCAGGGGGTTTTCTATTGAAGTTTTGCCCCGTGGCGGGATGGTTATAAGCGCTAATGCATCATGTGCGAGCTTTGGCACCTTGCCCGTGACTGCCCAGTCCCAGAACGGTAGTCGCCAGGTATCTGCGGCATGCCTCCAAGCTTTCCGTTCACCTTCGGGAAAGGTTGGAACGATGTCTCTGATCATGATTTCGTAAATTTGTTGCTAGAGAAAAGAGTGAGCTCATGAAAGCCGACAAGTTAAGAACAGTCCCAGATTACCTCGTAGAGAAGCAGATAAGGACGATGCCATGGGGGGAAAAGAGCGTTCATGTGGGTACAATAGGCCTTCCCCTTGGTATCTTCATCAGATGTATCTGGCTCGTCCCATGCTTTGTACGGCATTCCATGAATACCTAGACGAGTTGTAAGTTTTGAGACAAATTCTTTGTTTGCTCAAAGTGTGACCCACCAGCAACTTGGAAATATGAGTCCCGCTGACCAGGAGGCACATCTTGAAAGCGGCGGAGTGCATGTAAAAACAGGTCGACCTGCTTGGCATTTGCCGGATCTTCGGACCATTCATCAATTTCTTGTCGGACAGGCACCGCACCCCCCTCTCCCCAGCCGGCTTTGATTCCAGTAATGGGATAGTATTGATAAACCATGGCGGTTGATGACCATGCGGTTCAGAAATGTAGGAGTAACTTGTTCTACTTATACTTTTTCCAATAATATCCTGCGTTCATACTATGATGAAAACCGTGCCCTGTTCCACTGTTGAAAGGCTCGACATATGGCGGCTACGTAACCCACTTGCCAATCACTGTCTTACGATTGTGACGGCCACAAGTTTGGGGACATGAGTAACTTTGCAGTTGCCAATACAGGGAATATTAACGCCAGATCTGTACTCTTGCTTTACTCGAACCAGAAGTGTGACGTGAAACATATAGTGACTCGAGACATTCGTTCCTCCCGCGTTGCTACACGGAAGGCTCCCAACTGTTGTTGTGCAAGTGTGACCCCCGCTAGGCGGGAAAGTGCTTTGCGTACATAATTGGGCTTGTTTCTGTGTTCAGACTGCCAGTACACAGCGACTGGATGGTAACTGTCATCTGAAATTTGTGATAGTGTGGACAGTCCGACCCTCATGATTTCCGTTTCCGTTTCGCAGTTCCCATTGGTTCGGTGTTACACGTGCGTTAGTAAAACTATCGACCTCATTGCACCCGGAGTCACAATGGAAAAGTCATGATTCTTAGAAATCACGTCTTCATCAAAGCCACAGTGCGCAACGATAACCCCTTAGTTGACACAAGCGGCTTCATGTTTGCTCGTTCGACCGGGTAACCAAGTCTGAGCATAAGTGAACAAGTGATACAACCGCATGTTAAATTGGTGGCCCTAAACCTGTGGTCTTACAAGACGATCTCCACATTGGAGAGTGCAACCTTTACTCGGCTACCTATGCGCATACAAACGTAGAGCAATACCGTTTCTCCTCATAGGAGATGAAGCGAATAGTTATGTGCCTTCATCCACCAATATTAGCTATGCATTGCAACCCAACAGCGGCGATGGAGTCCTTCGGCAGTTGTGAGTACCACAAATATGTCAGAAGTTGCAATAGGCGTCGGCCATGGCCTCGGCGCCGTTGCACTGTTCTAGGACTACCCTGAGGCACTGGCTCACACCAGCGCAACTAACCCACAGACAGCGAAAGTTACTCACAGAGACCCTAGCCCAAATAGACCAGCAAACCAAGCTAGACGTGCGACAGTGTCGTGGGTAATTCGGCTAAGGAGCCATTTAGAGGGATTCAGAGTGAAGGGTAGTATGCAGATGCGATCTTCTTTTTGACATGTTTCATTCTACCCTCTGATACATACAAGCCATAGAAATCGATTTTTAGTTCGTATTTTTGCGCCAAGTATCTCCAATGAAAGGCTCAGATTTAGAGCAGAAGGACTACGGCTATCGTAATGAGGTTCAAAGCTCCTGTTCGACGGCGTCAGTGACAACCAATTTTCAGAAGATTCCAGTGGGTTGATTACTTACCCAAGCCCAAAGTCATGGACGCCCACGAAAACTGCGTCTTTAACCATCCCGCTGCAAACCCATCAGCGCTGGCCATAGAGGAAAGGAGCAGATTAGTAAAGCAATACCCACCTAACACTGGACCCAAAAGTGACCCAGCAGCATAGAAAAGCTCGAACAAGCCATACTGTGCGCAGGAACCGTCAGCACACGGATGATGCTACAGGTGGAGGAGACTTACGGCCTGCGCAAAGGCGCCGTACGCACCAAAACGACCCGGCTTCTCGCGCTCTAGGTCTTCGACGGCGGCGAAGACCTCACTCAGCACGGGGGTCATAACCATACACATAGCGAGGCCGATGAAGGCGAGGGCCACGTGTAGACCCATGTCGTGGACGGTATCGCTGGACGTATGCAGGCGTAGAAGAATCAGCATAGTACCGCAGACCAGGTAGCCGGTCAATACGACGGGGCGGTTGCCGAGTCGAGTACAGATGTGGCCTATGCCCGGGCGAAATTGAGCTGTCATCGATCTTTTCCACGAATCGCTACAGAATGGAGGGGTATGGTGGGATGGAGTGGAATAAACCTTCCATGGACTTACCGATGACAGGCGACAGCAGAGCTGGCACCATGATCGGGATGAATACGAGCCCCGTGTCAAGCATGGTGTATCCTGGGGTCTCGTATAGATGAAGCGGCAGCGTAACTTCGAACGCTGTCATGGTGATGGCCTGAACTAGTGTGCATCCTAGGCTGACCAACAGTCTACGAGACTGAATCAGAATGCGGAGTGCGATCTCTGGTACAGCCGACGTAATGTTATCCTCTCCGCCAGACCCGTTGCACACTGCAGGTCTCTCGGCACAGGTGGTATACGAAGGCACCGACTCACGGAGCAGAGGAGATGATGCTTCCTGGTCGAAGAGAGAGCCTTTGACAGCTGCAGTGCTGAGAAACGACGGCAGGTCCTTCTTCTCGATAATGAGGATCCTGAGCAAGATGTCTAGGCACAGCAAGCCGACAGCTAACCCCATGACAGCATCGAAACCGCCAAGGGAGTAGAGAAGACCACCAGCGATGGGACCCAGCACTGTACCTCCACTGAACCCGACATTGACATAGCCCATGGCCACGGGAACCTCGTCGCGGCCAACGGTATCTGCTAGCAACGCCAGACCGACGACCCAGACAGCTGCTGAGGCCAAACCCTGCAGCAGCCGGCCGATCGAAAGAATAGCAAAGTGTCTTGCGGCCCATATCATGGCTGTTCCGGCGATAAAGACGGTGAGCCCGAGAAGGAGCGAGGTCCGGCGGTTACGGATATGATCTGGGTGAGTATCAGCAACATGCTTCAGACATAGAAGTCTACGCACCTGACAGATACCCAAATAGGTCTTGTTTGTTAGTCGCGCATGTTTATTGATTTTGGAACCCGGTAACTGACATGATCCGACCAAGTTACCCGCCCCAGATAGCCCTACGGCTACTGCTGTGAGTATCTGTACTTTTTGGAATTTTCAGTCGGGATTGTCCCACCAGAGGATGACCACGAGAACCGCACCTGAATATTCCGGAACAGGGCATCGATCGTGTATGACTCTGGGTAGCACCGGTATGAGAAGCCTGTTTGCTCTATTAGTATCTGGCTAATACCACTTGGCTGTGAGGGGCATGCCCGTAGAGAAAGGTGTCCTATTGCGTTGATTGTCAGCAACGTGGCGTATGTATCCAGCGACTCCTCTGCAGCTCTATGATGCACTCACGGTGAAGACAGCGATAGCAACTGATGCTATCGTAAACCACCGACTTGAGCGGACCCGAATATGCAAGGGCAAGTAGTCAATGCTTTCTGCTGCCATGACAACGAATGCTTCTTCTTGGAGGTGGTCAAGAAAACGATGGGAGGGTAATCAGATGTTAGAAGCAGGGTTGCGTATCAAGAGGTTGGGCAATCGACTTGATTGCGAGATCTTCCTATCTGGCATGTCCTCAAAGTCACACAATTGGCCGTCGCTAATGACGTATCACGCTGCAAAATGACCAGTTGGGTTACGGGAGTGATTCAATGATGTGACCCTCGATTTCGTAAAGGGATTGGCCAATTGACCAAGCACGGGGCCGTTGACAAATCTGCTGGGATTTCGAGACCGCATATGACCCTTTACACAACATGATTTGGAGTTGTAGTACTGTACCAGTCGGGTTCACTTTCTGCACTACCTGGAAAGCAGCCTAACGGAATGACTGTAGAACCAAGTCCTACATCGGTGTAGGTACTGGGGCTCGGAGTGACCTTGTCTCTCAGTGACTGGTTCACTCAGATGCATGGAGGATTGCGGCGCCTAGAAATTGGACTGCAACACGCAAGCACACGTTTAATAGCAGGATGTGATGCTTGCGACGTTGACGACTCTTTGATTGGGCTAAAATGACAACCCCAAGTTTGTCAACTGCTGATTTAATTAATACTACAACTCTGCAATTCTGTAGTTGGCGACTGTGATGTCGATGAACTCGGTAATTGGCGTTCAACGGGAAACTAACACGGACAAATTCCTCATCCTCACAAGCTGCCTTGAAGTAGGTGACATGCTGTCTCTTCTCAGCAGCATCCACAGACGAGGATACTTAAGGGGTGCAATGATTCATGAGGCATCCCCAGACAAGTTGTACACCTCCACTGGGATCAATTAAGCAGACATGCCTGGAAAACTGCTCAGCGATGGCCATCAGGCTGTGTATCCACCATGTCTTTTCCCACTATCATCCGACAAGAGCGAGAACCCAATTACTCAGAATGTTATCAGCGATTCATTGAATGGACGATGGGATGGCATTGAGGCGTCGTTCAAAAAGCAAGGGATCAGTATGGCTTCGATCCTCAAAGCCTCTTGGGGGTTGTCGTTGCAGTGCTATGTATCGCCAGATGTTGTCTCCTTTGAATACTATGCGAAACGACGCGCCAGCTGCTATCACAAAACAGGAAACGGCACCAACGGTATTACGGAACAGTCATCTTCGTCCCTGTGCATGTTCCACCTGGCAAGGGATGAGGAGCTGCTGAATCTGCTTATGCGCTTGGAGAGCGCTCAAGAATCGTCCTTCCCAATATCGACCAACGCAGAACAAGCCGTCTCTGTGTCTCCAATACCCGCTTCAAAGTTTTGGAACACAGCGCTGGCATTCGGAGGTCATGTCTACAACCAAGAGCCTCGAAGCATCGGTGCCAATGTTCGTTTTGCTATATTTCAGAGACGAAGCGTTGCTAACCTGGATCCAGGTTCATCTTGTAGTGTCGGTGAAAAACACACCGGGCGGCAGGATATCAACTAGCATTCACTACGACTCCTCGCGCATCAACGAACAAGTAGCCCAGAGTGTGCACAGCACTTTCAACCGTGTGTTGTTCGATGTCTTAACCTTCCCGCAGTCCAGAGTCGGTCAGGTCGAGGCATGCTCATATGCAGACCAATTCCTGATTCGCAAGATCACTAGCAGGATCTCTCAGGTCGAAAATACATGTGTGCATGACCTAGTTCTTCGGCAATGTCGTCTGCATCCATCGCGCATCGCAGTATCCGGTTGGGACGGGGATCTCACATATGGCGAGCTTGACGATCTCTCGCTACGCTTGGCACACTATCTTGCGTCACTAGGCATCGGGCCCGAGACATTCGTCTTCAGCTGCTTCCCCAGATCGATATGGCCTATTGTCACACGGCTCGGAATTATGCGCGCAGGAGGTGCTTACGTTTCTATTCTCTCGACTGATCCGCCTGCGTACATTGATTCAGCAGTCCAAAGAACAAGGGCCCGGGTGCTCCTTAGTGATCCCGAAAACGCCAGCAAGTTCCGGCCACTGATCGAGACAGTTCTGGAGGTGACACCGGATTGGTTGCGTCAACTCCCTCACAAAAGTAGTCTTCTCAACGTAATCGTAAGGCCGAACAACGCGTGTTTGATCGTGTTCACATCCGGGTCCACAGGAAGGCCGAAAGGCATTGTCCAAAAGCACCAATCGTACAGCACTGCTCTTCTGGACTACGTCAAGAATCTTGGGCTCAAAGCTCATACACGATTCTTAGGGTTTGACGACTATGCTTTTGACATATGTAACCTTGAGTTCCTCGTTCCCCTTATCATCGGCGGATGCTGCGTCGTCCCATGCCCAACAAAGATGAACAGCGACCTTCATGAGGTGATCACTGGACTGCAAGCCAATATAGCCTTCTTGTCCCCGACAGCTGCAATGAGTCTTGATCCTAAGAAGGTGCCATGCCTGGAAACCTTATGTATTGGTGGAGAGCCCATGCCAAGAGACTTTGCACAGAAGTGGCAAACTAGCAGTACGAAGCTCATAAACCAGTATGGAATGGGAGAGGCAGCCATTTGTTGTGCCTATAATGAGGACGTACAACCTGAGCAGAACGACATGATCGGAAAAGCAGCGACTGGGGCTATCTGGATTGTTGATGCAACATCTCCAGAGCGGTTAATGCCGGTGGGTGCAGTTGGAGAGCTCCTAATCGAGGGGCCTCACCTATCGCAGAAGTACTTGGACGAGGTCGGCCAAAACCAGCAAGCTGTGTTTCTCGATGACGCGCCGTCTTGGATGGACGAGATGCATCCTGAAAGAGTGCACACTTCCCGGTTCTATCGTTCCGGTGATCTGGGTCGTTTGCGCCACGACGGCACGATACAATACATCGGGCGCAAGGACCATATCCTCAAGTTTGATGGCCGCCGTGTGGATGCGCTCGAAGTCGAGTTTCAGGCACGACGATGCCTAACACAGAAGGACGCCATAGTGGTTGATATGCTTCATGCGGACGACGACGTGACAGAGCCGGAACTGGCAGCGTACGTATATCTCGATGACCACCCGGAGAGCTCAGCTGCGTTGGTCAAGGGAGAGCCGATCCTGTCAGATGCAGTCGAGGACAGTCTTGCGGCGCAGAAGGTGGAAGAGATCAAACAGGTCATCTCTAACAAACTGCCACTGCACATGGTGCCGACACGCTTTATCCTGACGAGCTGGATGCCAAGGACCGCGTCCAAGAAAACGGACCGGAAGAGGTTGCGCGTAGCGGGTGACAGTTATCAGAATGGCCGATCCAAGAGGCAGAGGGCCATGAGCATGGACAATGGTGTTTCCAATAATGTAATGGAATGCTAGACGGCATACGTGGGGTAGAGCCGGCGGGAGGGGGGATGCGGCAGGCAAGGTATCCTGTTCAGCTTTGGCGCGGTCCTCAACTAGTACCGACAGGCTCGGGTCGTTGAGAGAAAATCAGCTTATACTTGACGATCTCTACAATCTCGAGGTCCGCAACCTTGTCTTCAGCTTCGACATCTTGCATTGTGACATCTTTGCTGGGGTCCTGGCGTCTGCGGATAACGGCCATGGCCTTGGGCAGCTTCTTGACCTCTCCCGTGAGTCTCTGATGCTGGCCGACGTATAAATGGACGCGCTTCATCCATGAAGTGCTAGATGGATCTAGAGCATTGGAATTGAAGTCCGGGAAGGTGATCCTGCCGATTGGTACCTCGGGCGCCAGACCTTCTGCGTCAGGATCTGGCTGGGGAAGGTTGATGGTGCCTTGTAGCTCAAGCAGTGCCATGCCCGAAGGCGTTTGTATGAGTTGAGGCAGCGGGTTGGCCGCGAGGTCAGTCGCGCCCAAAGTCCGAGGGTACAGCTTGACAGAGGATGCCATGATTGTGCCAGTCAGGGGCCAAGATAACTATGCGTAGGAATAGATCACTGCATTTGCACGTAGTTGTATGTGTCCGTGAAAGTGTATGTCGTCTTTCGTTGCAGCCGACGCGCCCCAGCTCCTGTGGTCCCAAGCTGCACACCAATGAGCGTCCGTTGTGACCTCGAGGTGCTCTCTCTACGGTAGCGCGTGTTTTCCCTGGTTGGAGGCTCTCTTGGGTTGCCAGTTTGCTGACGAGGGCCAGGATGCCGATCGGCGAAAGTCCGGATCTGAGGAGTACGTACCGGCGTGATGGTGGGAAAAAAGTGGGCGCTGCACAGACCATTGGGCACCCTAGCGCTCTCGCACCAAAAAACCCTACTGCCAGCAGAGGCCAACGACCCCGCTATCCCAAATCGGGCCTAGCGAGAAGCAGCCCGCCCACACGAAATTCAGAAACTCACTCGACTTTCATTTTTTCGAGCCGCCGCTGTTTTTCACGACCTCCCCTCGACCTCAGCAACCAACCACTAACCCAACAGCTCGACAAGCACAACTTCGCCCACCATGAAGTTGAACATCTCCTACCCTGCCAATGGCAGCCAGAAGCTGATCGAGATCGAGGATGAGCGTAAGCTCCGCGACTTCATGGACAAGCGCGTACGTTTTTGCCTGCCACCAGATCAAACCGAACAATCCATCCATCACTGCGGTCTCCGGGCCTGCGAACCGCCTGCCTCCGTTTCGACCTCGGAATTCCTCATACGTCTATCGCTGAAGTAGAACGAAGAAGAGGGAAGGAACAGAGACGGGACGGCATCGCAGAATCCCACGGCTCGCCCAGCTCTTGATCTCTGATCTCGAGATGGGAGACCGCACCACCAACCATCACAAACATACCCACACTCAGACGACGACGGCCTGCTGACTGCTCATTTCTACAGATGGGCGCTGAAGTTGCCGGTGACAACCTCGGCGACGAGTTCAAGGGCTACATCTTCCGCATCACTGGCGGTAACGACAAGCAGGGTTTCCCCATGAAGCAGGGTGTCATGCACCCTACCCGTGTCCGCCTCCTGCTCTCCGACGGCCACTCCTGCTACCGCCCCCGCCGCACCGGTGAGCGCAAGAGAAAGTCCGTCCGTGGCTGCATCGTCGCCATGGACCTTTCCGTCCTCGCTCTCGCCATTGTCAAGCAGGGCGAGCAGGACCTCCCCGGCCTGACCGATGTCGTCCACCCCAAGCGCCTCGGCCCCAAGCGTGCCACCAAGATCCGCCGATTCTTCAGCCTCAGCAAGGATGACGATGTGAGTGACCGCCCACCACACTGCCAACTCGTCATCGCCTGCCCGGTCGTTGCTGCTGCGGGATGAGAGAGACGAATCCTTCGCAAAGACACCACCGGGCAGAGTCTGAGATGAGAGGGAAACACCGGTCCAAAGACTGGTTCGTACACACATAAGAGCATGGCTAATATGGAAGCAAATAGGTCCGCAAGTACGTCATCCGCCGTGAGGTCCAGCCCAAGGGCGAGGGCAAGAAGCCTTACACCAAGGCCCCCAAGATCCAGAGACTGGTCACCCCCCAGCGTCTGCAGCACAAGCGCCACCGCATCGCCCTCAAGCGCCGCCAGTCCGAGAAGGTCAAGGACGAGGCCGTACGTTCTCCACCCTCTCTGTCGATGTTGAATTGTCACAGTACTGACTCGTTATCTCCAGGCCGAGTACGCCTCCCTCCTTGCCAAGCGTGTCTCCGAGGCCCGTGCCCAGAAGGCCGAGTCCCGCAAGAGAAGAGCCTCTTCCATGCGCAAGTAAGATGGGTGTCTGTCTTCAGGCGTTGGGTTTGGTGTCTCGCATCCTTGTGGTTCTCTTGCATTGAGGAATGGGAAACGACAACAATCATGGCAAAATGGGTATCGTTTTGCCGGCGTGAACTAGTGGTCCCGCCATCGCGGAATGAATGGTTTGTATTGGCCCCGAGCTAGATCATGAGATGTAATTTCTCGGCATAAAATAAAAGGACTTGATGATTCCCATGATGTACAATTTGCTCGCGGAACAACCCAAATGTGAGCACTGCTTCAGTGACTTGACTATCTTCGTGAGAGCTGTCTTCCCAACCTCGTCTCCGTCAATATGATTACCCTTGTCATCTCCGCCCGGCGAATTTCACTAACCAATGACAGCTTGAGCCGGTCCATCTGAACGCCTCGGAAAAGTCACCTGCAATGCCCTCACCTTGAGCTTGCTCGATGCAAGTGATTGTTTCGCGACGAACGGGATGAGTGGCGACTGACGAGACATGACCTTCAGAATGCCCTGCTGTGTCCACTGATTCTCAACAGGACTTCGGCGATCGATAAAACAGCCTCATGCGTACAGTGGTTTGGAACATAAAATGTTCCTGAGTATCTCATGTCTACTACGGCGAGCCTTGTCGGAATTCCTTATAGCAATCGATGTCTTCTCTCACTTGCGTAGCCATAGCCCACGCGGGCCATTATATCCCCTTCGGCCCCTTGCTCCTTATCTAGGAATGTGAACTTGCTCGGCTCAGTTGGCATGTGCATTCTTAGTGACAATAATAATACTCAAAACAGCAGCCTCGACGTGGTCTATCGCGGTTGTCTCTTGATCAATAAAGGAAACCAGATATTCGATTAGTCGACAACCTGCCTATCATCCAGTCTCGTCTGAACCCGTCCAGCCTGTAAAGATGCTGAAGAGGCTGACGTCAAGGCCCTCGCATTTTACTACCAAATCAACCCCAGGGCCCTGGTTCGGACACAACGTGGCGGTATGCACTACAAATTAACTCCCCCGAGGGGGATATGAGATGGCCTGTGAGCAGTCCTGGCACCATTGCATTCTAATCCGTCGGCCAGTTAGATGCATCTGAACAGTAGCCTCGCTTTTAAAACCCGAACGAATAGTTAAGGGAAAGCACGACATGTGATTTCTATCTCCATGATATGCACTCATCAGTCCTGGCTCAAGTGATGAAATGCGGTAGTTTACTGCTCCTCACCACCAAACGAAGACCTGAAGCAGAACCGGTCAGCCCAAGATAAATGTAATGACTTCTTATATCTGCAATACTGAAAAATGTTCGATCGCCTACAGTTTTCCTCCCACCTTCCCTTGTCGAACGCGTTGTCTGAGGCTGACCTTAAGAGACTCTCGGACTTCATTGCCCCCTGAAAGCCATGATGCGGTTTGTGTCTACAATAAGGAAGGCTCCCATGTCGCAAAGAATGGAATCCGTCCAACTCCCGATAGTGCATACAGCGACCACTTGAGTTAAGTAGTGCTGTCGATCCTAGCACTTGATGGCACTTATACTAAGAGTTCGGAGCACAACCCCGGCCGCAAGTCTGCAACTCAGTTAACACCAAAACAACCTCGGTGCTTCGGCCATAGTGGACGGCTAAGAGCAGCAGCACGCTATGCATTCTATGTAAGCAGTAGGCTTGAGATCGTAATGGATTGAATTCACGGTGCGAAACGTGATTTTCTTGCAGCTCGGGTAGAATACGATTCAAGACTGCTGGAATTCCTTCCTAGACCCGCCAAGCCTCCCTCAATAGGCCTCTTCCTTTGAGGGGTGTCGTGAGCAATCGGCAGATAGCTTGCCAGTCCTGATATATTCCATACCATCACACGACAGTCCGTCGCCACTTGGAAACAATGCCCGGCCCCGAACAGTGTTATGCCGTTGCTGGAGGCGCAAAATCTCCTATTAAGTGGCCGGAAAGTCTGCGTCCAACCTGTTTACTTGTCCAGAGCAGTGAGCAGAAATTGTGGATCCATTCTACATACGTCAGGGTGGCTGCGTTACAGGGGGACAGGATGCGTATATCCAGCCATAAAAGAGTTGAGCCTAAAGCGTTTCACTGCAACTTTAACCCTCACAGGGCACATGAGGTGAGCTGTGATCATTCCTGGGCGCATCGGATTGGCCCGTACAATCATGGAAGTGGCCGCTCGGGATAGGACTTGTTAAGACTACCCCTGGAAAAAGGAAGCGAAGGGAAAGGAAGGGAAGGGGGGTGTGGAAGAACCCTGACTTATGAGGCTCTGTGAGGCTCGGTGAGGCTCTATGAATTTCACTGCGATTTTAACCCTCACGAGGGAGATGAGGTGAGCTGTGATCATTCCTGGGCACATCGGATTGGCCCGTACAATCATGGAAGTGGCCACTCGGGATAGGACTTGTTAAGACTACCCCTGGAAAAAGGAAGGGGAGGGAAGGGAAGGAGGGGGGGAAGAACCCCGACTTTGCTCTGGGACCCCAAAAATTCACTGCAATTTTAACCCTCACGAGGGAGATGAGCTGGGCTGTGATCATTCCTGATAGTTGGATCCGATTGGCCAGCCAGCCAGCCAGAAGCAGCTGAACTGCGGCTGTCCCGCAACCTGGACGAACAGCGGATGAGGGAAAGGAGGACAGTCTCGTCTGCGATATGTGCAATGCACTCAGCCTTGTTACAAGTTATTAGACAGCGTAAGCTACATCTCACTACCAGGAGAAGACCCAGAGCAGAACCGGCCAACCCCGAGATGGATGGATGCAATGCTTTCTTATTCCGCAGTATCAAAACCTCTACCCACACACAAGCAGGCCACATTTATCCCTCCCTCTCTCTTTCTCTTTCTTCCTTTCTATGTTGGAGACTTTGCAATGTGATGAAAATGACCGGCCCAAAAACAGCAGCAGGGAAGAGGAAAAAAACAAAACATTATCCCGTCCTTCCCAATCAGCCGCCAGCCTCCCCCAATGAAAACTCCGATTTTTTTATGATTCTGAATGTGAATGCATCGATGCTGAAATCCGACTGGATGAGTTACAATGTGGCCGGTGCCGCCGCCCCCCAATGCTGCTTTCCTTCTTCCACGTGCCTGTTCCCGGTCCCTAGACGGGCGCGTGCGTGAACAAGAAACTACATGACCAGGTTAGCAAATAATGTTCGTTACTTGTATAACAGAGGCAGATGACACGAAGAAGCGGGTAAAAGTAAAAAAGAGGCACGTACCTAACACTCTCGCCGTTGTGCGTCCTTCGGATGGCCTCGGCGATGGTGGGCGAGACGTCGATGACGCGCAGCTTCTTGCACTGGTCCTGCTTGTCGCCGAGGGGCACCGTGTTGGTGACGACGATGCGGCTGAGGCAGCTGTTGTTGAGGATGTTGATGGCGTCGCCGCTGAGGATGCCGTGCGTGACGATGGCCACGACCTCCTTGGCGCCGTTGTCCTGCAGCACCTGGGCCGCCTTGGCCAGCGTGCCGCACGTGTCGGCCATGTCGTCCACCAGGATGGCCACCTTGTCCTTCACGTCGCCCACCAGCACCATGCGGCCCACGACGTTGGGGCGCGGGCGCTCCTTGTGGATCAGGGCGAAGCCGCGGTCCAGACGGTCGGCTATCGAGGTTGCTCTGATCAGGGGTCAGTACAGTCACTCATGGCGTATGATGAGAATCCTTTCGCAGCCGTGATATGGCTACGAGCCATCCATGTCAACTCACCTCTTGGCACCACCTGCGTCGGGACTGACAATGACGATGTCCTCATCGGTAAAGTTCTCTCTGATCCACCTCAGCACGCTGGGCTCGGCGTACAGGTTGTCGACGGGGACGTTGAAGAAGCCCTGGATCTGGCTGGCGTGCAGGTCCATGGTGATGACGTGGTTGCAGCCGGCCGTGACCAGCATGTTGGCCATGAGCTTGGCCGAGATGGGGGCTCTGCTCTTGTCCTTCTTGTCCTGGCGGGCGTAGGGGAAGTTGGGGATGACGGCCGTGATGCGGCGGGCGCTGGCGGTGCGGCAGGCGTGGATCATGATCAGCAGCTCCATGACGCCGTCGTTGATGTTGTTGGGCGCCGTGGACTGCAGGATGAAGACGTCCTCGTCTCGCACTGATTCACCGACGGTAACTGACGTCTCCTGGTTCGAGTAGTTCAAGGACATGGTCTTTGCGATCTCGATCCCGAGCCTAGAACAGAAGTGTTAACGCCATCTGCTCGCAATAGAACTGCCAGGACGGTGTCATTTTGTCCCATCCCTTCTCTGACTAGATTTCGATTTTGGCTCCTTGTGTGACCGAGCAGACCGAAGCCAGAGAGGCGGCTCTGCCTGTTGCACGTCCACCACAGGACCCCTTCCAGCCACCCTCGCAGCCATGCTTGCGTCGCGCATAAAGACATATGTGTCCAGGGCAGATAGATAGATGGGTAGACCTACCGATCGGCCACGGCCTTGGCCAGGCTCGGATGGCTGTTGCCCGAGAGCAGCTTGATCTCATTTGCCATGTCGCCCATGTTGACCACACAAGAAGGAGCCGCGAGACTCGTTTGAGGGGATCCTGTGCTCGAGCAGAATTCTCCTGCCTCCTGTCACACTGCAGCAACGCCTGAGTCTTGTGTCTCCGCGGTCGTGCGGAGGCGAGAGCGGTGCGATGCGATTCGGTAAGACGGGGGACGGATGGCTGTCCTGTCCAATCGGCGCGGCGGCTTATCGGGGCCTTCGTAGGAGGGTTGTATGGGTGGTATGGCAAGGGCGAGAAGAGATCGGCCTGGTCTGCTTCTCAGTGTATCTTTGGTGTGACTGAGTCGATGTATGCCAGGCAGGTCGTCAGGCAGGTCGTCAGGCCTTCTCTGGAGGGGCAGATATACAGCGCAATGACCAAGAGGGTGGATATTGTCGGGACTGCCTGGGGCAAGCGGCGTCGTTTCGTTCTCGGTTTGCACCTGTTCCGTTCCTGCTCGCTCGGGAAATCTCTCGTAGACGTAGAGTCACGGACGGGGACAAACTCAATCTGCGTCCAGCATGTGACGAGACCAAAGACCCTGGGTTTCGCGGAGCTGCAAGCTTTGCCTTGCCTTGCCTTGCCTTGCCTTGTCTTGGGTGCTGGCTGGCCGCGCGAAGAAAACCGTTCAGTTTCTGCTGCAAACCTTCTTTGGCTGTGGAGAAAGTGGGCCCAATGGCACTTTTTTGCTGCCGATTCGGAGCAATTCCGCCCTAGCTGACCCTTTGCCTGCAGGGGATTCGCGGGGTATTGGCATCCATGACCCTGAGCAGCTGGGTACAGCACCACCTCAGCCCGCATATTGAAACTCGAGCAGAGACATATGCGACCTGAGCCCATTGGTCGATTGATTGATTGATTGATCGATCACTCTTCGGCAGATACACATACTCAAGGCACCTCGTAGCGGAAAACACAACATGTCCGTGTGAACTCATCGGCCTTTATTGACTGACCATCGTACATCTATCTGCACGCTCGAGTTCCTAATCTACAACTGCAGACTTGAGGGGGTTCCAGCGACGCGGGCCCCAGACGACGGGACTTGCACCGGACGGCCTGCACTCCGCCAATGCAGCCACCGACGCCGAGGCAGCCTTGTGCTGTGGGAAGACAGCCAGGTGCCACCCACCCCTTCTTCCAAGCCTCGAATTACAAACCAAGAATGCCAATTCCTAAATCAAGTACCATAATGTGGCAAAACGCGTGAAGCAGAAAATACCATGCCATGCCATGCCATGCCATGCCACGCCAAGTTATGTCTGCCTCCTTTCGCCTCTGTATCGTATCCCCTTTCCCGGTGCTATGTTGGTACAAAGAACCAATACATCGTCATCGTCGTAAGAGTGGATCTGCTTAAGCAAAACCAAAGTAGTCGCTTCCGGCAGTGATGGCCTTCAGGAGCTGCGCACGTAGGATATCATAGCTCTCATACTCGGGGAGGTCGAGCTCTGCGGCAGGGGTTAGTTCCATGCGGTGCAACAATGAAAAACAGACAGAGGTTGACTTACGGTTGAAGCATGTGTGCGAGCTGGGCAGACGATCCTTGTTGCCGTAGTCCCGATGGATATTGAAGCGGTTGATGCCGTTCATACCCTCCAGCTCCTTGAACCCGTTGAGGGGAACCTTGCTGGTGCCAGTGACAAACTGAAGAAGCTTGGCGAGCTCTTCCTTGTCAAACGAGCGCAGGGCTCGCCAGAACCACTGGATCTGTTGGCTCGAAGGCGTGTAGTTCTGGTACTCGGTGTTGCTCTTCCAGTCATCGACGTCAATGTCCGGCAGACCCGAGATGAGCAACTCGAGCTCCTGCTCGTTAAAGATCGAGACCAGTTCGGCGGGAATGATCTCGTGGAAACCTGTGCATCTGTTAGCATTTGCGTTGTACCTAGTAGCGCGGCAGAACAACTTACCCTTCAAGAAGTGCTCCATCTGCTCCTTGACCGACGACAGCAGCTTGTGCTCCACAACCAGACGAACGTAGTCCTGCTTGTTCTCCTCAGTGACTGGGATGTTGCGGCCGTTCTCGCAAAGATCCTCGATCTTGGTCACGCCGAACTCGTCAGTCTCAACCGAGAATGTTTCAGTGATAATATCAGTGATGTCGTTCTCCAGCATCCAGACGAGGGACTTGTAGTAGTCGGGGTCGAATGATTCCATGTCCTTCACCGAGACTTGCTTGCCAAGGATGCGCTTGTACACTGCACGGCTGAAGTAACAGTCCAGGACACGCCCTTCATACAAAGCCTTGCCAATGACTCGGCCGATGAACTTGAAGAACATCAAGTGCTCATCGTTGATACCGCTAAGCTTGTTGGGGTGGAAGGTTGTGCGGTCACTAGACACTGGAACGAACAACGCGTAGTTGGGGTCGAACATCTGGCGAGAGAGAACTTGGAACCACTCTCGCGTTACACCACCGGCGTCGACGCCTTCCTCGCCATGGAATCGGATGTTGAGCTTGCCAAATTTCATCTCATCGCCGCTCTTGAAGTACAGCGACTTGAAAGAGTCGTGGAAGACCTGGTCGCGACGCACAGACAGCTGCAGCGAGGGGAAAGTACGTCCATCTCGGATTTGGTTTCTGTTGTGGACGCTGCGGTTGAACCAGTTGCGCTTGTTGTCAAACTCAAGTACCTTGGGGTTCTTGACAAGATTCTGGAAGGTGCCCTTCATGAGAGATGGGTTATTTCGCACGAGTTCGTTGAGGATACGACGGTGCTCTTCCGTGAATGAGAGGAATCGGTTAGTCATGGGCGACTCTGGTGCCGGGCTAGAAAGAACCGTTTCCTTGAGTTGAGACGATGAGAGATCCGGGTTTGCACTGTCCTTGCACACCACCATGAGGGCTTCGATGAGAGGCAGCAAGATCGTGGCCACATTGATGAGACTCTCGCGCTGCCGGATAGCGCTGAGGCACGAGCTGAGTCTGTCCCACATGGCGTGGAACGTGGTGTTGCGATAAAGCGTAGCCAACAGGTCTGCTTTCTTAGCCTCGTTGCTGGACTCGGACTCTTGTGTAGACAAGGGCTTCTTTTGCGTGAAGAGGTGGTCCAATGCTGTCAGCACACGCAGAAGCTTGTTCTGATCCGCGGCACCGGGAGAAAACTTGGCCAATGCGACTCCCTGGATTTCAGTGCCAGTGGAAGCCTTCTCGATGTGCGGCAGAAGTTCATCAAGGTGGTGGACAATCTTCTCGCTCAAGAGACGAGACTGGCGGGCCAGCTCTTCGCCAAACGTATCCATGGCGTTGGGGATGACCGAGAGATTCTTGATGGCAGACAGCGTCTCCTTGAATGTCTTGGAACTGCATTCGCGTGCGACGAAGATATTGATAATCTTGGTCAAGTTGTGAGTAGGGATCTGCGGAGGCACATATGTCTTAACCCGCTTCTGGATGAACTCTCTCCTGTCCTTTGCTTTTGCGAGCGCCTCAGCTGGATTTGCCTTGGATGAGCCTTCTGTAGTGTTGGCGGCATCGCTGGTGATACTGGGGTCTTGCTGTGTTTCCGCGGCAGCAATGGCTTCAGTGGCGGCACCTTGCTCATTGGATGGACCCTCAGAGGCCGCACTATTCGCAACCGCCGTCTCAAGCTCTTCGATCTCCTTGTCGAGTTTCTTGATCGTCTCGTCCGCCTCCTTGAGCTTGCGATCTAGTGCAAGGAGAGGCAATGTAACTCGGCTCAGCAGCTGAGAAAGGCTGTCCATGATAGTCGAGCTTTCAATGACCAGATCGCGGTCCAGCAGCGCCAATAAGGAGTTGATGGCGTACTTGTGTGTCTTCAAGTCGGGACCCTTGCCTTTGCCCTTGCGGCTTAGACTGCGTTTCAGGGTTGAGCCAACAATATCGTGCTCAGTCAAGAAAAGTCCAGGTACGTGGACATCCTCGTCAGCAAGGAAGCATAGCAGATCCAAGCATTGTTGAACAATAAGGACAGGTGACGTCTCGGCACTGGTGTGGACATGACTGCTGTGGCCGATGTTCGTGAGAGAGCGCTTCATCGACTGCGGAGTTTTGCCGTCCTTCTCCCTTTGTTGCTTGGCCTTGATGGAAAGAGAAGCAAAGCTGCGCTCAACAGCCTCGACGTCTGTCGTGCCATCCTGCAGGATCTGGAGGAGAGTGCTGATAACCTCGAGCCTTGTTTGCTTGTTCTCGCAAACATCTTTAATGACGTGCTTCAGCGGGTTCTCCATCGATCCGCTCTTGACGTTGATGAACATAAGTCGAAGCAACGTGGCAACACCTGATTTATCCAGCATCTGGACAATGGTCCTCCGTTGAGGTTTATCCGCGACATTGCCGCTGCCGCCAGGTTGGGCAGGATCTGGAACGCGGCCGGCGCCAAGGTCGTCTCTGACGCGATGGACGACAGCCGGGTGGTTGCGGACTAGGCGTCTGGCTTCAGCAGCCATCTCCGGGGGTAGTGAGTCCATGAGGTCTGCTCCTTGATCCATAAGTACCTGTTCACGAAGCGCAGGTGGAAAGGTCATCAATATACTGGCAGTGTCCATTTCCTGAGCCTCAGCCTCTTGGCCTGCTGTGGCGGCTTGGCGACGTTGCTCCTCTCGGTCACGCCGACGCTGTTCTGCCCGCTCCTGCTGGACGATTTCTTGTCGGATGTCATCTGGGAGAGCGTCTAGGAACTCCTGGAAAACCTCGGTCTGCTCACCAGTGCGACGAGGCGCCTCACGGGCCTGTGACCGGCGCTGAGTTACGGCCTGGGCAATGACTTCCTCTCGGAATTCTTCAGGCAATGCCTCAAGGTATTCGGCATCAATACCGAGATCTGTAACGTCAACTTCTTCGCCTCTGATGATAGTCATGACGCGGGGTTGGTTGGAAGCCGGCTCTTCTGTGTCATCTTCTTCGTCGTGCGTTTCAATGCCCTCCATGGCATCACTGTCTTCAAAGTCGATGTGACTCGACTCTTCGGTTGTCTGCGGAGACTCGGCAGCAGCTTGGGCAGCAGCTTCGGCGGCAACGGCTTCAGCACGTTCTCTCTCCTCAGCCTCAGCCTTCTCCCGAGCAGCCTTTTCTTCAGCCTCCTTTGCCTCTCTAGCCTTTCGCTCTTCCTCCTCGCGCTTCCTGCGTTCTTCTTCCTGCCTGCGCTTGAATTCTGCTTCCCTGGCCTTCTGCTCCTTCTCGCGTTGAATAGCGGGCGGGACAAGATGAGCAATAATTGCAGGCACAAGTCTCAAGGATTTCTCTCCATGAGTAGGGCCAAACACCATCTTGGTCTCTTCAAGCCATCGGATCATGGTCGATTCTGTCGAGAAAGCAGATGCCTGCGACGGATCTTGATTCTCCCTGCGGCTTTCAGGTGCGTGCTCCCGTGAGTGGGGAACCGGCAGAGAGATCTCCTGCATTTCACCGGTGGGACCGGGCGCACTAATATGGAACTGTAAAGCGTGACGACCCATTGTCGTAGGCAAAGATGTGATGAGGTCATTGAGGAGTGATAAGGGGCTACCTCCGTGGCCACCCAGCAGTCGAGCAAGGTTGTGATGTGGGCGTGGGGAAGAGTCCCTCCCTGTATCATTGGTACGTCGAAGGAGAGGGTTGAGCCCATCATCATTGTTACTAGGCCGGTCGCGTTGGCTGGGCCGCATGAAGTTTCGCATTTCTAGAGTTCTCAAGTTAGTTGGGACTGGTTCATGAGTTTGCGAGGTGAATTGCCTAGAAGGGGAGAGAAAATAATTCGATCTTTGCCGGTTGCGCGAGAATCTAGAGACGCGAGTTGGCGGTTGCGGAATGGAACGCCTAGGAGCCTCAAAGACCGGCTCCATGTTGCTGTTGCTGGTGCCATCGGCAACTGCGTCCGCTAGAAGGTCGCCCAACACCCGGGGATCGTCGGGGGTTCGTCGAACTGTTGCCGGTGGCAAATACATACCACCAAGGTGCGAGAGAGGGTCTCGTGGGCCACCCATCATGAAAGGAACGGGAGGGAAGGGCCCTCTAAAGCCGTGTCGATGTCGGTGATGGTGTTGATGACCTCCAAGAACGTTACCACCATGATCGAATACAAGGGTATCCCAGCCCATACTAGGAAGACTGGCATGAGGGGGAGGGGCGTCGTCTTCAACGAGTGAGCCTGGGTTCCGAGCTGGAAAGCTAAAGGACATGGCATCCGCAAGTAACTCACCAAGGAAGCTATCAAAGGCGAAGTCATCCTCATCCATATCATCCTCGTCTTCCTCGTCATCTGAATCAGTTAGCAACGGACCAGACCATCAGTAGACAACACAGAAGAGACATACCGTCCTCATCATCATCCTCTGGGAAAGGGTTGACGTTGTTGATGTCGTCTCCGCCTTCGTAATCTTCATCTTCTTCAATAGCGCGCATGAGATTACCGAAGCGGCCAATATCTGGCACGTCGTCCAAACCATGCATATGGGCTTCCTCGAGGTCCTGTGCTTCAGCTTCATAGTCAATCTCTTCATCATCTTCATCATCTTCTTCACCTTCGTCTTCATCAGTTTCAGATTCCCATCCGGAAGCGCCATCATCCTCGACGGGGTTACCCTCATCGTCGATGATCTCGATGCGGTCTTCGATGTCGTCCATTTCGTCGGAACCGATGTCGTCGTCATCATCACTGATGTCTTCATCGTCTTCGTCCATGTCGTCGTCATCGTCGTCGTCGTCTTCCATCGTTACTTCAACAACTCCGAGATCTCCGGGCAAGCCTTCAATGTGACCCATGCCCTCGACTTCTTCATCGTCCTCATCGCTGACGTCCTCTTCCCCATCATGGGAAACTTCTTCTTCGTACTCCATTTCATCGCCATACTCTTCGTCGTACATCTCTGCGTCGTCTGAATAACTTGTTAGCAACGGGATAGTGACCGAGGGAGGAAACGTACCGTCTTCGGACCCATCGGAGTAGTCATCCTCAGGGTCGCGACCTGGTTCGAGCATGCCGAGTGCAGAATTGCGATATAGATCTGGAGTTTCTTCTCTGTCGTCTTCCATGTCTGAAAGCGATGTGGCGGAAGCTATGTCATCTTCCACTTGCTCCAGGGTTGAAGCAGCTGGGAGAATATTGGCGTTGCTCAGATGAATCGCAGTGCTAGTTAGAACGCGTAGCACTTTGAGGATCTGTTTGATGGTCTTCTTGACTGGCGGGAAGGCCAAATCGATATCGGCAATTGAGGAGGTGAGCGCTCCCAAGTAACCTTTCTCGTACATGAGACGCCTGATCTGTGCGTAAGAACGCTCCGGCGACGAGTCTTGCGGCCTTGTCGATGGCATGTCTTTGTTCATATCGGCGCCCATGATCTGATGCATAGCTTCAGATAGGGCAAGCATTCTGCCATAACGAACATCAAAAGCCTCATGTGAAGTAGAAGCATCCTTGTAGGCTTTCAGAATCGTATCCAGGACGAATCTTCGCACGAAGAGAAGATCAGGCTCTTCGTCATAGTCATATTTCTCGCGGGTACGGTCAGTAGGCCGCTCGTTGGTCTTTCCCATCAAGGCAATCAAGACAGCTTGGGCTTGCGATGCTGTAGCAGCCCTCTTCTTGTCAACAAGAGAATCTGAAGGCCCGTCAAGGGGACGGCCACACAAGAGATCCGTCAGCAGATAGTTCAGCACGCTGGCCCGGGGTTTGATTGGTGTGTTTGTCTGCAGCGGCGCGCTTCTCTTGAAGTTGATAAATTCAACTTTGGTCTGATTGTAACTTTGGAGAAGCTCAACCAGGCAACGAAGGATGAAGCAGCGATATATGAATATCGGGTGCTCCTCGGACTTGAAAACCGGCTTGACTTTCTTATCTTTGTCTGAAGGACGGTTCTCAGCGGTATCGCCCTGACCGCCAGAGTTGGCCGAGCCAGACTCAGATGTGTCTTTGACATCTTTCTGCCCCTGCGTCTGTTCCTTATCATCCACTTCTCTGTAGTTCAGTAGCTCGCACAACAGGAAGTGGATGACGCCGTCCGGGTTCTCAAGAATAGGTCGCTTGGTATCTTGCAAGAGTAACTTTGATGCGTCAGTCGAGTGCTTGTCCTCACCCTCGGTTGATGGCTTGATGTCTTGAATGGACAAGTCCTCAGTCGCTCGGACGGTTGGTGCCACGTCGTCTTTTGGAGCTTCGATTCTCTGCTCCTTGATAACCACGGTTTGTCTATGTGAAGACCCGTTCTCTCCAGCAGTCCAACGAGAAAGGCGAATCATTTCGTTGGACACGTCGACAAATAGACGCGAATCCCGCAGTGCCAGATGGGAGAGCTGTCTAGTATAGCCAGCTAGATCGATAGGACGCTGGTTACGAGTGTTATCAAACAGGAAGCGGATCTCGCTTCTCATCAACTGCTTGATGATGCCTTCGTCCTCAATGATATGGCGCAAAATGGTCAACACGTATGAAGATATACGAGTCTCACTCAGACGCGCAGAGCCACTCCCAGAGAGCTGCTTGGTCATCACGAAAAGGCGCTGCAGGTTCTTCTTGTCCCCAATCACGCGTGCCGTGGGCCTATCTCGCGTCAAAATGACGATTATTCGGAGCACAGATACGGCGAGAGACTCCGCCTTTCCAACCTTGGGCAGTATCTCCAGGATGGACTCCATGAGCACTTGTCTGTCATCTGCCTTCACACTTAAGTCTTTGGGTGCCCATTGCAGCGGCTCAATTGGGTCGTCCTCAGAGCTTGGAGCCTTCCATTTGACATCCGTAGGTTGTTCATCATCGCTCAAGAGAATCTCGAAGATGAGAAGAATATACGGTATCCATGAGGGAAGCTCGTCAGCCGGAGGTGAAGAAGGCTTCAAGAAATGCAAGAAGCCGGCGACATTCTCTTTCAGCGAGCTCAGTGTGGCGGAATAAAAGCCTCGGTTCTGAAGTAGAAGTGAGAGAAGGTGAGCATAAGCGGCGATGCTCTGCCCGTTAGGCCGGAGATCATCGTTGAAAGATAGAGAGATCAGTGCGTTCACGAGTGTCTCCCCAATCTCCTGCTTTGCGGAGTCATCCGTGGATGAACGTATGACGGCGGCATCGATCAGTTCCGAGATTGCGTAGCAAGTACTGGGATGTGCCCGAATCACGTCGATGCACCTATCAATGATATTGGTACGGAGCTGTTCACGAGCGACATCCAAGTCTTCCTTGGTCACGGCCAGCTGGTTCTGAGAAGTTGAGTCTCCTGTGGACGACGTGGCTTGAGGCAAGCTTGTCGAGGAAGCTGTGGCACCATTGGCATCGTGAGGTGCAGCAGGTAAGCCCGCGGCACTCAACTCTGCACCTGAGACAAAGCCGGCCGCCTCTCTGAACTCGCCAAGGATCTCTTCCTCCAAAAGCCCAGCAGGAATATCGGCTGGCAAGTCAACGTCCATCATTGGTTGGTCACCCGAAGGTGCGAGATCAGGCAAGGCATTGCCAGAATCGGTAGATGCACTGGGTGGTTCCTCGAGGTCATCACTTGGCGCGTCGAACTCAGGAATTGGGTTTGAACTGCCAGCAATCCCTGTTCTGTGCGCTCTGCAGTAGTCGCCGGCTGGTGCGGGAGATCCATTGGCTCTGTAAACTGCTTCTCTCGCCAAAGCTTCATCGAACCCGTTTTCTTTCAGTTGTGCTACGGTTGAGGAGACGATCAACCAGCTAAACTTCACTGGTTCTTGCTTCAACAGCCCTGGCGGAGGGTTCTTATCAGATCGCTTGTACGCGCCGGACTCCTGATCGGCAGCGGATATCAGTTTGAGAATATCGATAATTTTAGTCATGGCCTCAGCCGAGACTTTCTCGGCCAGGGGAGATTCCCAAAGTTCACGCACTACCGGGAGCATGCTCATGCGAAGCTCTACGATCAAATTGGCCGCAATGTGAGTTTCTCCTGCACGAGACGTATTCCTGCTGAGGAAGCTGGTCTGTGCTACGGAATCGCTGATGACCTTCGCATTTGCGAGCAACGCGTAGAGGTCAAGAATTTTCTTCATGCCAATGAATGCCAGTTTTGACAGCGACTCGCCATCACCATCCTTGGGCTCTTTGCAACATTCATCGGAGAAAATTCGCAGCATCGAGTTGAGCTTGTCAAATCCACCCTTTTGCTTAAAGGCAACAAGAACAGAAGCGATGACATGGGAACCTTGCCGTTCGGATCGCCCACCATCAAATTTGCGGTCACACAATATCTCATACAAGGCATGTGTCATGGTGATGCAATGATAGAATTGCTTCACAGACCTTGGCTCAACCGGAACATCCAGCTGGTTGAATAACGTATCGGCCAGAGTATGAGCGAGCTTGACATGATGTGCTTTGACGTAAGCATCACGCTCGGGACTGTTGCCGCGCTCGCTACGACGAGAGAGCAAGGCTCTGCCGATCGTTGAGAGCAGAGGGAAGATCACTGGCAAGACACCGCGAAGGACAGTGCTGATGGTCTCGAAGTTCCGATACCGAGAGGTTTTCCGCTCCGATGACGATGCCGATCCCGACCTGACGGGCAGGGAAAGGCCTGATGGGGAAAGAATAGCTGCAAGAATTGTCTCGTCGTCATTGCCAAGGTTTGGAGGTTCCACTGTTGGCCCGTTGGCAGCTTGTCCAGGTTGCTCAGCAGGTCCAGACTGCCTCTTCGAGTGGTACCAGTTCTGAGGCACACTGTGCAAACTCATTTGTTCCTGGCATATGGCAGAGCGCAGTAAGGGACCGAGGGACGCGGTGAGCTGATTGAAGTAGTCGTAGATGTTGACTGGCGGGAAGGTCAAGGTTTGAGCTCTACTGGAGTACGGAAAGCAGGGAATTAGAGCCTTGCCCAAGGACTGGACGTTCAAAAGTGCTTTCACAATAGGCGTCCCATCTGCCAGTGTGCGTAGCTTGTCTGACGGCGTTTGGCTGATCACGACAGAATCACTACCAAGGAAAGGTGCGAAGTAGGCTTCCAAGTCAGAAGTCTTGGTCAACGACTCCAGAGCATCGATTGACTCTTGAGTTCTTCTGAGAAGAGATGGCATTCCAATAACTGGTGAGTACTCAACCAGTTGCGCGATAACATTATGCAGCACGCTCGCGGAGACTGATTCGCCGAAACGATGGGGTAGACTTGGCGACGTGCAAAGGTCTAGGAGGAGTTCGGTAAGACCTTTGTGGACTAAGGGCTGCTTCAGCTGCGCATTACCAAGATAATGGAACAAGAAGCTGCTAGCTGCAAAGATATACGGGAGAATTGACTTGTGCGGCGAAGCCGACTCGGGGTCAAGGCTGTCCTCTTGGATTGTGTGAGCATCCGCGTCAACAGCATCAACGTCCATCTCCTCAGAGGCATTTAGTGACTTCTCTTTGCCCTTGCCCGCAGTATCACCGCCGTCGCCGAGTAGATTGGAGTCTGCTGGGATCTCAGACCCCGACGAAGTCTTTACAACAAGCTTCGTACCCCAGTTGGCCTCCGCCGCCTTTACCTTGCCGAGATGGACGAGCCTAGCAACCATGTCAAGCACAGCGTTGGTTATGGCAGGGCGGAGGGCCGGATGATGACGGGCGAGCTCGTCAAAGTGAGTGCCCAAGTTGACTGCGAGCTCAGTATCTATCGATGCCATGACCCGCACGTGATCAGGGCTCTCGAAGATCTCGAAGAAACTCTCGAAGGCTCGCGAAGAGGCAACCATCGTCATGCCCTGGTTGTTGAGCGAGATCGCATTGAGCACGGTGGGAACGACATTGATAGCTTCAGGAGACGGGCGGATACCGCAGGCTAACTGGCCAGGGCGAGGGGTTTCAAGCATCTCCTGAGTGGGTGGGTGCGGCCGGTCATCAGCTTCGATAGGTGAAATCGGGGAGCTGTCGCCATTCTCGTTACCGCCAGAATTGCTGGCTGATGTGGGGTGCTGCTCCGTCTTGATCTGGCGGCCTGTTATAGACTCGAGGAAACTCTGTACTAGGCCAGCTTCCGAGATGGCAGCGAAACTAGTAGGGTCATTGTTGAGGAAATCGCTGAGGATTGATACAGTGCTAGTCCACACGAGAGATCCGAAGAGGTTGCCGTTCACAGTGATTTCTCGCAGACTACGCAAAAGCGCAGACTTGTCAACCAGGTTTCTCAGTAGGCGGTCCGTATTGCCTCCATAGGCAAAGGCGTTGGTCATCAAGTGATGGATGAACTTGAGAAGCCACTTAAGATTCTGCTGTTGGTAGAAGGGGATCTCGTAGTCTACCACAAGCGAGCGATAACTAGGTGGAGTGCCCTGCTGGTCGGCGACGAGTTTACGGGCCAAGTCGACCTCGTGTGTGATGAGATCTGTTATGGCATCGAGACCCTCGGCGCTGACGATTGTCATTGATGACGAGTGAACGCTGTAGATGAGGTTGTCCAGGAATGACAGCAATGTTGCATGTGTGCGCTCCGCAACGTTTGAACGGATGGTTAGAATCTCAACCATGATGTCCAGCAGGCCTGCAGAAATGATCTCAGGGGTGGTGCGAGCGGAGTTGTTGGTCATTGCCATTGTGATGTGCAGAGTGAGAGAGAAAAGATTATCCCGCCACTCGTCGGCTTCTGTGTACTGCTCCCCAGAATCATCTTGCTTCATCTCGGCCACTGCCTTCCGGATGACATAGAGCAGGACACCATGGTTCACCGTGGCATTGAGGGCTGAGAAAATATCGGGAAGTCGCGTATGGAAACTTGTCATGGCTTCCAGCAACGAGAGTGCTATCGATTGTAAATCCATTGGAGCATCGCTAGAACCATCCGCAGAAGGGTGGATGAGCTCAGCGAGCTGGTAGATCAGCTGGAACCGACGGGGCTCGTCATTATCCTGCTTCAGTACCCTCTCGATGAAGGCACTCTCGGTATGAATGTAAGCCAGGTTCTCAATGGCCAGCAGCCGGGCTTTTAGGGCGTCTTGGCGAGACTCGGCGGATCCCGTCAGTGCCTTCGCTATACGCAACCGGTTCAGGAAATCGTAAGTGGCTGCTTTGGGGAGGTCAGAAGGTGCCCGCTCCAGCAGTTTATTGACAGGTGTGCCGAGGATTGTTGATTGAGGGACTTCTACTGATCGCTGGCCAGCCGTCACCGTGTCGCCATTCCCGAAGGCTGGAGACCGAAAACTAGGGGAGGGGCTATCTTCCGAAGCGGCCTGTCTCGAGGAGCGTGGTGTCGACTGTGGGATGTTGGCAGTATTGCTACGGCGCAAGGGTGTAGGGGTGGACGGCGTCGAGGACTGGGCAGGGCGCTCCGGGGGCGGCTGCTTTTCGGACGGCTCTGGGGCGCCCGAGGTGGGATAGTATGACAAACGCACGTCACCCCAACCACTCCAGCGAGCGTCGGACTCATCCGGGGAAGATGGCTTCGCGATAGCACAGAGGTCATTGGCGTACATGGAGGCCGCGTTCTTGTTGGCGTGAGACTTGCCTTTGCTGGCAGATGCCGTGGGAGTGGACAACGGCAGCGGCTCTGAGGGTCTGACAATGGGAGTCTTGGCGAACGGTTGCGCGAGCTGCTGGACTCTGTCGAGATCGATGTTGTAGTGGTTTGACAGAAGAGCAGCCGAGATTGGGCGGCTGGTGCCACTCATACGCTTGACGGAAGCCTGATAGCGCTTTGCCAGCTCAACTCCGACTCGCAGCGTAGCGCAGATGACAGCAAAATCGGTGCTGTTGAGTAGGTCATTCAAATGCGAGCTGCTGGCATAGATGCTGCGGTTTCCACAGTGATTCAGCAGCATCTTGGTGAAGTTGAGAATGGCCACCACAAGCGCTACGTCACCATCCTCTCCATAGCCCAGCTCCGAGAGCCTCGCCTTGTCCCATTGTTGGTTGCCGCCTGCGCTCGTCGAATCGGTGCTGAGCAAGACGTCGCAGCCGAACTGTCGCATTTGGGGGCCATCACTGAGTTTGTAGGTCGAACAGAAATTCTCCAATACGGAGTCGAATCTGTTGAGCAGCGAAATCCAGTGATAGAGGTCGCCTCTCGGGAAGGGCCATCGGGTAGGGAAGGTGGCGAGAAACTTGGGAAGAAGAGGTAAAGGCGTCGAGGACGCAGTCTGGACAAACTCTTGGAGCCAAGGTGTCTGTTGAGGAGCAGGTCAGCAACGTGGGTTTCACGGTAGAGAGGTTAGGCTGCATCTTTGATGAACAAGCTTACCAGAGACTCCTTGTGCTTGGTCTGAAGCGTCTTCGTTATCTTCCCCATGGTGAAGGTCGGGGCGGCAGGGCCGCGAAGAAATGAACGAGCTCCCCCTCCACTGCCAACGGTCGAACCGCTGTTGTTGGCGACAACTTGACCCCTCGCGATGGAGCGTCCCGGTTAGGTGGACAGCTCCTCTGCAGAAAGGAAGACGCAACGCGGGGTGTGTGGGATGTGGCCGAGGTCGCAGTCTGTCGGAAGACTCTGGAGCCTCGTCGTCGGGGGTCAGCCTCGTGGGGATGGGCTGATGTAGGAAAGATGGCGGTCGCAGTCACGCCAAGGGTCGGCCGGGAATTATCTCGCGGGCAAGCAGGGTGTGGTGAAAAAAAGGACCCAGCGTGAGTGAGGATGAGAAAATCCCGGATGACGGAAGGATGGGTCGGAGGTTGGGTGGTTGAGAAACCGGTTCCGGTGCGGCCAGTATGTACAGCAGCAGGTCGAAGCTTCAGAGGTCCTGAGGAAGGCAGGTGTGCAGGTTGCCAGTCCTCCGGAGTCCCAAGATGCTACGCCGCAGCGGTGAGAGCCCGGAAAAAGAGAGAGAAAACAAACTCGAGGCTCGAGGCTCGGATGGGCCTGAGGATGGTCAGGCGAGCCGGGCGGTACGGAATCGGGGGGCAGGGTGGTGGTTTGCTGATGGGGGTGGTGGACGGGATCAGTGACGAGAAGGAGCTTCAAAAGTTCAAATCGCGGGATCTGAGGTCACAGTTCTTCGGAAGCGCAGGCGTAGCGTAGCGTCCCACTGGTAGCGTCAGTGCGGGACTGGCTGGCCTGGCGGCAGGTAACTAGGTAACTAGGTCACTAGGTCGCTAGGTCACTAGGTCACTATTAAGCCAGCCCAGCCAAGGCAAGGCAAGGCAAGGCAAGGGTGCGACGACCGTGACTGACTCCAGCCTGCGTAATGGAGCTTTGGCCGACCCAGGCCCAGTGCAGTCTACTATTGCTCCATAAAGGTAACCCAGGGTGTCTGTGGCGCCAAAACGACGTCAAATAAGAGGAAAATGGGCAGTTCGGCGACCCCACATCAGGCAATCAACCTGGAAACTGCCAACTGCCTGCGCAACCTGAATACTTAGAGAATTGGCCTAGGTGAATCTATGTAGGCCGGGGGAGCAGCCCGTTTGGAGCAGAAATCAGTTTACAAACGCCAACTATGGGCTTCAATCACGAAATCCGCCTCGTCATGAATCTGAAGGACTCAGGTAGGGCTGTGGTGGTCGTGTACCTACAACCAACCAGTCAGCACTTCCCAGGCCCCGGGCCCGGCAGTTTAGCACCTGGTCGCCAATCAACCAAACGCGCGCTTGCTTGCCTTGCGCCGTGAATGAATTAGGTTGCAAGGTGAATGGCAGACACAAACTATGTCAACCCCACCAACGATGAACTGTCCACCACCACCCTCGCAACACTTCATCACAGTCAGGTTGAAACGAGCACATGGGGCTCCCCGAAGAAAAGGAAGTTCAGGTCAAGCAGCCCAAATAGTACCCTTTCCGCCAGAGACTTCCAAAAGACATATCGTTATTGGTACTGGTCTTAGGTAGCACCAGACGCGTGGCATACAATACTTCCACTACTGCGAGTAGCTCTGCCCGACATCTACCTTGGCATCTCAGCCCAAGAGAACCTCACAGTCAAACGTGTTCACCTGCATGGAATCGGTCTTGAGCGGGTACTGGTAGCAAAAGAAGGGAAATCGTGCAATACTCGTCATAGAACATTTGGAGCCTGTGCTTAGAGAGACAAACACATGCCATTAGGCTTCCGCAAACCCGCCATATGTTCCTATTTCGATCTACCCGTCGTGAAACGATTACAATGTGCGGGAAGTCCATTTTATACATGTAGCATCTACAGTTGCTTTCTTATGTAACTACGTGTTGCCAAATCAATAGACCTGATCGAACCATAAAACCACAAGAGCCAGCACAGCAGGGGAATGGCTAGTGTTCAGTAACAGGGGGGTATCAAGTCTCGTAATCCGTCTGCATACATCTATAGATCTCTGATCAGAACTCCATCTCCTCGACCTCCATGCCGCAGCTGGTGCAGCTCTTGATAGTCATGCCCTCCTCGTTCTCGATCGCGCGGCCCCATTCGTGGACATGTCTGGCCCCGGTTGGCACGACGTCGCCGAACTTTGCCTTCCCTCCGTTCTGGTTCCTGCCGAGGCCCGCTCCGCTGCCGAGCTTACCGTGCTCCCGGCGGTAGGCGTCGGTGCGGGTGCGTTTCTTGAGGTCCAGGAGCTTGGATTTGAACTTGGCCTCCTTCCGCTGCTTCTTGTCGGCCTCGCGGCGCTCAAACTCCTCGTCCAGGGCCTCGGCCGACCCCCACTTCTTGTCCGAGAAGGCATACTCCTCGACCTGGAACCGCAAGAACAGCATCATGTCATGCCAGTGCGACTTGTGGGGGTTCGGCCTGGACAGGTGCGGCAGCAATTCCTCGTCCCGCAGCTCCGGGTCCGTGAGGAGATAGTCCTCCTTCGCCTCGGTCTTGGTGAGAAGACTGTATTTCTCCGGAGCGGCTTCCTTGCACTTGTTGCAAACGGTACAGTGGAACACCTCTTCCCATACAAAATCGATCTCGAGACTCCCGCACTCACGGCACTTCTTTCGTTGTGCCTCATCTTTCAACACACTAATGCCAGGTTCAAATGGGCCTGCTTTTTGCCGTCGTAGTTTCCGCAGGAGCTGCAGCCGTTCCCATTCGGCCTCCGTCATGCCCTTGGGTTTCTCCTCCGGCCCTTCAGGAGGCTGGCCCGGCTTGTTCCCAGATGATGCAGAGCCACTCATAGCCTTGTTCCACGGGTCGTCCTCAGCGCTCAGGAAACCACCCTTGGTGTCCGTGATCTTGTCAAAGTCGTAGTCGACGAACTTGGTAAACTTGCGCGCCGGCCGAATGGCCCCGGTATCTGCATTTGCACTTGCACCGGCCGCAGTGGTAGACGCCCCATTAATACGTCCATCGCGGCTGGTGGATGGTGTATTTCGCACCGTCGCTATTTCGTCGTGCGTCCGCTTCCGCGTGTTGGGGATGTGTATCTCGTCGGTTGCGACAAACCCAGATGACGTCCTGCCCAGCGACGGCACGCCGGCCTCTCGTTGCTTGGCTTCATGCGCCTCTCGTAGGGCCTTTGCCTTCAATCTGTTCTCCTCCTGTACGCTGTTAGGCGAGAACGCGCTTGTCGGATCGCGAGTCAACCTACGATGCGACGAGTCACCTCAGGTGTTGGTGGGGAGGCGGCTGCCTTGGAGGGGTCTGTGGCTCGCGGAGGAGTTGACGGCCGCGGCATCTTGAAAACCAATGATGGGCGCTTTGGGTCTGAAAGGGGTTCGGCAGGTCGACTAGGAATTCTATTGACTAGGAGTATGGGGCGACAGGAAGACAGCGTTGTATGTGAACGCCGAGAGAGTGGTTGCGACAAAGAAGCTGAGAGCAGGGTGTAAGTGGCGTGAAACCAGTGGTGACGTCGGAGCTTAGGGCGAGTAAACTCCGACTGAGACCGTCGAAAAAAAGTCCCCGAAACGCCACGCGACAGCAAGGCAGCCTTCCGAGGTCGAATGCTGGGCCACGTGGAATAGAAGCAGAAGCACTCAAACACAGAGGCATGTCCAATGTGCCGTGCTGTGCTTCTCTCACGCTCAATACTTCCCGGTGACTTCCAAGTGGGTCAACTGTGTCAATGTGTCAATGTGTCAATGTGTCAATGTGTCAATGTGTCAATGTGTCAATGTGTCAATGTGTCAATGTGTCAATGTGTCAATGTGTCAATGTGTCAATGTGTCAATGTGTCAATGTGTCACTGTAATGGAATTCCGCTTTCTTATCAGGCAGAGACACATGTAGGTCTAGTATTAATGGGCGCATAGAATTGCCATGCGCGATCCGTTCTATATTGCTGCGGAAACCGCATTCCTTGAGGGCCCAGCTATGTAGAAACCCCGTTCCCAGTCTAACGTACTGCCCGGATTTTGAACATGGAGCTTCTTACTCCTCCTTGGCACCGCCACGGCCGGCCCTCTCGGCAGCCTCAACGGCCTTCTTGTCGCTCTGGGCAGGGCCGCTCTGGAGGCCGCTCATGAGTCCGCCACCCTGCTTAAAGGGGCGCTTGAGGTCGCCACTGGCCGGCTGTCCGTACAGGTGGATCTTGACAAGGTTGGACTCGAGAGCGCCCTTGAGGGGGATGATGGACTGGATGCAGAGCGGGTTGGTGTACTTCATGTACAAGTGCATGAAGGCCATCATGCCTACACCCATCAACTGCGAGCGGAACAACTGCTTAATCTGCTGGGAGTCGTAGGCGTGGACGGTGGTGGTAACCAGCTTGCCCTCCTCGGTGGAACCCATGGGGGCGGGCTCGACATACTTCAGGGTCGTCAGGTCTGTGTCATTCTGTTAGCACGTCTGCGGATTGTAACGAACGCAGGGCTCGCGCGCCACGCTCGGGGCCACGTTGGCGCATACCCTTCTTCTTGTTGATCTGGAGCTGCGTGTACAGGTAGATGGCGGCGATGATCAGGTTGCTGGCAATGTAGATGGCACGGACGATGTTCAGGACGTTGGGGTCATCGAAGGGGATCTTCTTGGACACCTGCATCATTCCAAGAATGATGACGAGGTTGGTGCTGCGAAGACGGTGTCAGCTTCCGCGTTTGCGCGCACGCGACAGAGGCGGTAGGGATCACTTACATTTGGGGACTGAGGCCGGCCATGACTGCGGTTGGGCTGTTATTGCGATAGTAACAAGAGGAGAAAGCGACCGGATGTCAACCGGATGTAGCGCACGGAGGACCAAGGTGGGAGGGCGGGCGGAATGGCGCCTTTTAAGGGGTCTGCTGGCGATAGGAAGGCGATGGAGAAAGATGGAATCCAGAAGCCAGGTGGATTAATTTTGCTGCTGAGCTGGAACTTTGGCCCGCAGCGCAGTGGGCAGCCCAACACCCCCGGCCTCTGGGCCTCTCTCCAGGACTGGCAGCTGGCGGCTGAGCCGCTAACCGGTCGGCCGGCAACGGGCGACTAACTAGAAACAGGGGACCGCGGCGTCTAGCCCTCTTGGCACTCGCTAACTTATCTCGCGAGTCGGACACGGTGACCCCCAAGTCATTGTGATTCTCCCTGGTCCAGCCTGGCCATCTTTGCTGCTTGTCAAGCAGGGGCTGGTGGCTGTCGCCAGGTGGTTTTGAGCGATTCATCCATTCTTTCAGAGATGCAGGGATGGCACTCCCGCAACAGGACAGACGGCCATGAGAGGCCCTGTCCTTGACCTTGTTTGTACATCTATGGTGCTTCACAATGGGAAGCAACTGCACTCTGTCTTCAATCGAAAATCTTCCATCTGATAATGGGCAGTGTTCATCCCACAGCTCAAAGGTCCTTCGGACTTCTTGGTTCGAGTTGAATGTTTGGCTGTGGGTTGCCATGTGTTAGGTATTCATGATAACAAACATTGATCAGAGGCCTCTAACTTGCCCGTATACGCTTTCTCTCTGTGCATAAGGACAAGCACACTTGGCTCCTGGGACATCAATGAACGCCCCATCTTGAACGGCGGCTTTCACAGCCGGTTCGATTAAGTAGCAGTTTATCGAGGTCTCGTGCTTTCTTCCTCAGTCAGGATACCAAATATGTGCTTCTCTTGGTTATGCCTCAGGCAACGCCAGGGCAAGGCGAAGCGGGTGTCTCGATCTCGTAGACGGTTCACACAGATAAAAATAGAGACCAACTCCAAGTCCCAGAAGACGGTTAGACATCGCCGCGCGGGTAAGCTCAACTCAAAACCGGGCGAAGCAGAGCGGCAAACAAGATCTCCGTTAGCCCTCGCAGAGACATCAGCGAAAATGGACCAGGGCTTCAACTTCCAAACTTTCTCTCCGTCTTGGAAACTCCAAACTCCTCCTGCCGAACGCCACATTTCCAATGAGTGCGACTGTCCAAAATGTCGTCAACCGAGAACGACATACATGTTCCATGATGATTCTACCGATGACGACCGGCTTGCTCCTGAACCAATGCGGACAGAACACTCAGCAGCTCATCCTCAATCCCGTCCTGTTCCCTCTCCTTCAAATTCTCGAGGTCTCTCCAGTGGATCATCAACCATGGCATTACCCGCCAGAAGCACTTCGCCTACGCCAGCTTCCGGCCTTCATCCCTCGCCTATGACCTACCCTCAAATCTACGTGTCACCACGATCTTTGCCTCATCTCAGCTTTCCCGTGGTGGACTACAGTACCAAAAGTTGGGATTCAGGCACTCAATGGCCGCATTTCTATATGGCTCTTGCACCAAAGTGTGCCACACTAGGTGATCTGAGAACAGCCCTGACGCCAAAGGGGTCGGGCACTCGTCTCACAGCACGCTCACATGCTGATGCAAGTCCTGTGGAGATCTCGACTTTCCACGACCTCAATGAATTAAGATGCAGCATCATCCAGTTGGAGATTTTGGATGATATCAATACCACCAAACCACTGGACAAATCGGGCAAGTCGGACAGACGAGCGGAAGAGGGAAAGGAAGAGACAGTGCGATTTGGGCTTGCACATCCCCATGGCTACGGATATTCAGGGGATTCGAGACGCAAGGTGTCACACAAGAAGAGATAAGGGGCGTTACACGATGTTGCCAGTTTAAGGATATGCGCACCTAGGCTTTTCTCTTCCCAACACTGATACCAACACCGGTATCACATACAGGAAATAGCAGAGCCACGGGCCCGATCGTAGATCTAGGAGTTTTCGTATGAACAGAGGTGAACCCCCAAGGCAAGCTCCCAAATGTCCCATTTCTGATTGCCGTCTGCATATAAATTATCTAATGTCCATCCGTTTGCGGCTCCTTTGGCGAGTCCCATGCCTTACCTCGATGGGGATTCAAGTCAATGAGCTCTTGGACTCCATACTTCAGGACGTCCAACCAAGGATTGTATGTACTCTCGCCACAGCATGCCTTCTCATACGCCCCAACCATGCGATACGGTGCTTCTTTCTCAAGTCTCTTATCCGGCCTCTTTGCGAATGGCCGCTCCTTTTTTCCACCCGCAAGCCGCAGTCCTCGCTGAGCCGAGCCGAATATCTTTCCAAACGCGCCGTCAGGCTCAATCTGGAAGCAAGACGTATTCCCACACCTTTCATAGCGCCACGCCTTCGAACTCCTCTCATAGTCCTGACGGAGAATTTCGGCCTGCAAAGCTTGCCTCCGCCGACCCGCTTGCTCCTTGGCCGCCAGAGACATCGCCAATATACCTTTCCAACTCGCCCAAAATTCGGCTTCGCCATTCACCCAAATCAGCCTGTCCTTACTCGTCTCCGGTATATTTGTCGTTGACCGCCGGTATTCATATGCGACCTCAGCGTCAAATCTCTCTTTCAGCCACAACATCCTTGCCTCTAAAGATATCAGCTTGCCCTGCAATTCCTTGAGTCTTACTGCCAGTCGTCCTAGTGCTCCCTTATGCCGGCCAATATCCCATAATCCTGCGGCTGGCGAGTGGGCTAATAGATACTTCATCACCTTCTTCTCAGCTTCCTCAGCCATCATTATATCCGTCAGCGCATGCAACACCCTCGCTTCGAGGTCCTCGGGCCGAGCCTTCCAGTCTGGTAAACCAGGCCACGTAATATTCATCGTATCCAACTCTGACAGCGCCGCCGGCTGTTCGCGTGTAACGTAGAGAGGGCGATGAGCCTCAACCATCTTGCCAAGCAAGGCCCTGGCTGCATGGTTGAGTAGGTGCCCCGTTTCATTTCGCGGAGTATATGATACATCCATGTAATCATCCATCTTTGGCTTGAAGATGGACTTTTCCATTAATTCCACCGTTGAAGTCTTTCGTCCAGGGGCCAAAATGGTGCCTTGCGCATACTCTGCGAAAGCACCTCCCAAATCCAGCATTCGAGCCACGACATCAATCCTTGCCCGGAGGAAGTTCTCAAAACTCGCCTCGGCACGTTTTCTCAGCCCAGCGCGTAGGTCTAGTGTATTCTTGAGCTTCAAGGTGGACCGTGTCGTGTTCTTACCCACTTGCGTTTGGACTGATGGCAGGGTGTTGTAAAGGGCGCTGATCACATCGTCCGCGTCCCTCGCATCTAAGAACCACGTTTCATAATCCATGTTCTTTAGTATGTTATTGTACTCAGCCCAAATCGGTTCAAGGCTCTCCGTGAAATTGAGATATAGTGGCGTATCGAAAACCGGCCTGTTCTGTGACATATTGTCCTGGCCTTCCTGAGGCACCGTGCGGAAGAGGCGCATGATGCCAACAGAGGACATGAGTAGTATCAAAATCAGAACTCCGTAGTTGAGTTGGAACCATGTCAACGCTTTAGCTGGTACAGCAGCCCGTTCAGTAGAAATATCAACGGCATGGCGAACAGCCTCAGAGGCTTGCCGGATCGTCGAAGCAACACTGCTGGCACTGTCACGTCTTGGGGACTCATAAAATTGGGAGTCGGTCCGTGGGCTCGCGTTCTCGTGGGATGAACCCTCGTCAAACCCTTCGCCCTCTTCTAAGTCGTCGGCGAATCTAACAGATTTGGGTGCGCTCACAGACGCGTTGCTGTGTTGGCTCGTTCGAAGAGCATTGTTGCGCTGGCTGCTGCGCTGTGGTGGATAAGGCTGGGATGGAGGACTAGCAAATAGTGCAGGTGGGTCATGAGGGTAAGCAGACGCGTCAATTGGAGGCCAGATGCCCTGTGCAGGCGCTGGAGATTCGGGTGAGCTTAGCGGGGATGCGATGGACCATTGAAACTGCTGCGCATCTTCAGATGAAGAGGCCCCTGGAAATCCATAAGTGTTTGGCGACCCCTGAGAACCTCCATACGAACGTAAGGGGGATTCTGGAGCGTATTCTGGAGTTCTGACGTCGGGAGAAGGCAGGCTTAGCCCGAGGTCATCATATGCTCCGCGCTGAGTTGAGGCTCTAGGTTCAAACTCAGGGGTCTTGGGCCAAGAACTCACGCTTTCTCGTCTCGACATAATTGAGATCAGCCAATGTGCTTGATTTATCAATCATCGGCTGTCCAAGTCACATTAGGATTAGTTCTAAGTGGCTGGGCGATCTGGATTGGCGTTCTGTCACGTTGCTCGAGGTCATTGGCATTCCAGCCCCTTGTCTACAACCAGCGGGCATGATTTCCGCATGCGGTTCGATTTCACCATCCCTTACAGAACAAAGGAGTAGATGGAACGATCATCTCAGTTCTACAACCTAGCCCATGTTTTTGAAATATCCCAAGGCATCCTTGAGAGATAGGCAAACTTCTATCTGGCAAACCATTAGTGCATTCGTCGCCGAGGTTTTGTTGACGGTTATGCAGAGCAAGCATCTTCTCGCGTATGTTTGAATTTGGAGCCAAGACCGACTGCCAGATTGCATTGGGTTCCGCAGGCCTTAGGCCACCGGTAACTCCGGCAGACTGTTGTTGGCCCTGTTGTAATGAAAGACCTGGGACCATTGGTTTCACATAAGCTTCCTCAGGCATGCTCATTAGCCCTGCCAGCCCACTATAGGTAACCGCTCCATCATAGTCGTCGGGCTTCCTGTCGTGCCATACATTATCTGCTCACCGGGAGATACCTGAGGCAGTAGTTGAAAGGGAGAAGTCAGAAGTGTCGGTGGACGACACTGCTGGAGAAAGCCATGTTTCTGTGGTTTAACACAAAGTTCCAGTAAGTTCAGATATCTCAGTATTTGAAGAATTAAATGAGATGGAGGCTAACAAAAAGCTATTGCACCACATATCACAAAGAGTCGACGTGCAAAGTATCTCACTTAATGATCGCCTGAGACTGGCTCGGAGTCTGTCCCGCTAGTACTCTGAACCATCTTGTCACCCTCCAGCGCAGATTCGACGTGGCCATTCATCATAGCTCTAACGCTTTCCAACCCGCAAGCTGCAATGCCATTGGCAGCAACGATGCATGCAACCACTATCCAAGCGTATTTCCAAGCTTCAGCGCTTTGTATAACGTGGCTCGGTCCGACTGGAGCGCTGGCAGCTTCTGGGCCAACGTAAGAGGCATACTTATTATTATAGACGGCTGTGAAAATCGTAATCCCGATGACTCCGCCCAAGGCGCGACATGACACGCTGATTGTAGCGGCGGTACCTAGCAGATATGATGGCACGGAAAGGCCTAAAGCGGTAACTAAATGAACAAACTTGGTGAGTATTTCTTGATTGATAATGGGATTCGTAGTCAGTACGTACTTGGAATTGTTGTTGTCACGGCAGTCCCAAGCCCCAACATGGTTGAAAACCCATATGCCCAGTTCAACCTTGATGGACCAATCAGGCCCATCAAACCTGTGTGAGTGTGTCAGAGTCATGTTTGTTGTTAGAACTGTGTTGCTTCTACTTACCAGCAAATAGACTGCACCAGAACAGTGCAAGGACAAGCAACATGCGGTAGGACTTGGTACGGGCCATAATCCAGCCGGCTGGAACGCAACCAAAAGTCGAAGGGACGAGGTATGGGGACAGGATTACAGCCACCGCGACGGCATCTTGAGTGAACAGATCGAAAATCTCCTGTGAGTACAGAACATTAACACCTAGAAGCAGTATACCATCAATGGTGCACACAAGCAACAGGATGGCGAAGTTCCGGCTCTGGAAGAGGCGGTGGTCGAGAATTCCCTCCTTGACCACAAGCCTCTCGAAGAGGCCAAACGCGATCAACAAGACACACCCAATAACCAATGTCGCAATGACCCTTCCATCGCTCCAGGGATACGTGCTACCACCCCATGTAAGACCAATGATAAGGGATGCGAATGCCCCGGTCATAATCAAGATACCGATGTAGTCAATATCTGTCAGTATCTTCGCGAGGAGCGTTTTGTTTCGGCCCAGGCGAGGTTCAGGCGGGAAATATGTGAGGGCAACGGAGAGGCCAGTTAAGCCATATATGATGCCGTTGAAGTAATATGCCCAACGCCAGCCACCGTTCCCGCCCGTGTTATCGCGAACCATAGCTGCTGCAGCAAAAGTGCCGAGAACGACAAATGCGCTAGCCATGGTCTGAGAGACCCCCAAAGCCCATGGCCGAAGCTTGTTAGGTATAATTTCCTGAATGCAGCTGATTGAGACAATCTACAGCACAACATCTTTGGTTAGTAATAGGCTATTTTGTCTCCTCTGGATCCGCGAAGGGTTGGCCTTCTGATGGCTTTTCAACAAATTAGTTCTACTTACGCAGCCAGCGTTGGCAACTCCTGTTAAGACATTGCCACCAACAATCCCGTTGAGCGTTTTGGAGGAGCCAGATACGCAGGAGCCGATGACTCCAACCAAGCATCCTCCTGCTACGAACCATTTCTTGCCGAGTCGATCGCTTAGGGACCCCTGCGCAGGTGTCAGTACACCCTTGCACCTTACGATTACACAAGAATGAAATAACCCTGATTACTCACAAATATTGGGCCTAAGGCAAGCGAACAAAGGAAGTTACCATTGGCAATCCAGCTAGCAAGGCTTGCGTCTGCGGCAGAGCGGGCTAGAGAGGCAACTTGGAACTTGATCGTAGTGTTTGTCTATACCCATTGGTTATATTAGTTGTCCTAATCAGTTCATGAGGTATGAATAGAAGAAATGCCTCCGGTTATCGGCGGTCATTCTCTACGTACTGTGTTGGATAGTGCTGCACAAACATTGGCCATGGCCAAGGCCACAAATGCCATGAGTGTCTTCCAGCTTAATTGATAAGGGCTTTGAGGTTCATCTTCAGAGTCCGCCAGCGTCTGGAACGCTTCTGGGATCGAGGGTATTGCTCCTTCGCTAGTAGAGGAATTTCCGGCCTTCTCACTATCGCTCAGCCGTTTCGTCATGGTCATACTTAAGACGGGGTGTTGATCGGACCGGAATACGCCTGGAATGAAGCAGTTGGTATACGGATGGCAGCTTGGTCGATTTCTTTCGATGGACAGATATATCTAGCCAAAAGACAAGGCCTCTTTGGAACACAACTGGTTCACTTAATAGTCTCGGGATAGCACGAGGTACCAACGTAGCCAGGGGAAATGTATAATGGGTGGGGCCACTCCAATGATTGTGGATCCAGCCGATGTCCACGTAAGCTATGGTCGGTCGTACATTCTATGAGTTGCCAATCTAGGACATTCGTGCGTCCAGCGGAATTGATCAGGGTAACAAGATAACTAAGCGGCCATTAGACCAATTACTAAGCTGGGCTATCGAAGACAATCGCATCTGGTGCCCAATATTGTGACATGCGGTTCTAGGGACATTCGTGGTGGAGTTCATTCGCCTGGCCGTTTTGAGTGTAGCATGCCATTGAAACAGTAATCATCCACACGCGTTAGTTATCATTGGCTGCGGCGACGACAAAACAAGAGCCTTGGCTTCCTCAATGTCCCTTGTGCAATCCACCAAGCGACCCTCGAGCGCCTGACCATGGCCCGTGGCAAGATAGACGCAAGTCCAAGCCGGCGTCTCAGCCATGAAGTCAGGACGCGACCTTGCCATCTTGTCCATGTGTTCAACCACATACGGCGCCTCTCTTTTTGTCTTTTCCGGGAAAGCAGTCTCATGAAGCCTAGTTTTGACCTCCCCTGGATGCAGAGAGAAGACTGATATGCCGTTCCGATCATGATCAAATGCCTGCAGTATGTCCAATTCCTTCTGCAGCACCCCCGCAAACCGCGTAATAGCCGTTTTGGCGCAACTATACGCGGAAGCCCACGGCAGATCAGCAGCGGCCGCCCGGCTGCTCATGAACATGATTGTGCCAGTATTGCGTGTCTTCATCGATGGTAAAACCTTCCGCACAAGCTCGGTAGGTCCCTTGACGTTGACTTCCATTTGCCTCCACCACTCGTTTGATTCTGTCATGTGGAAGGGCATGAAAGTGTTGATACCAGCGTTGCAGACAAGAATATCGATGCTCCCCAGAGCTGACACGGTTTTTTCAAGCAATGCATCTGTATCGTGCTTCGAGCACACGTCACCAGCAACGCCAAGTACTTTGTTGCTGCCATGTGAGACTGCTATTTCGTCGGCTATGGTAGAGACAGTTGCGTTAAGCTCTTCTTCGGACCGACCGGTAATCACGACCGATGCTCCTGACTTGGCCAAAGCCAAAGCAACCTCTCTTCCAATCCCACGACTGGATCCCGTCACAATAGCGACTTTGCCTACGAGGCGGCCACGGAACTTATCCGGAGCAATGGCATCATATATCCCAGTGCGCAAGGTAAGGTGTGGTTTCGTCATCCTAGGAACTTGATATGAGAATTGCCCTGCTTTCTTTCCAATGGATAGGCCATGCATCGTATTTGTACAAGAGTTAGCGATAGCGGTGATGCATTTAATAATCCTATTCGCCATAGTTACCTGCCCAAAACGGTTATGTTACATTGCGGTATTTGGCAGTCGTTACTACCTCGAGGACTGGGTCACAATGATTGCGCACCAGAGCGATAGTAGATACATTGAGTTGCATAACGGCATCGTGAACTTCGATGAACTGTAAGTACCTTTAGATGCTGCATGATCTCGATTGCCGGTTGCATAACATCTCGTCAAGGGTGACAGGAAGCATACTTTCCCATTGCGTTTGAGGTAATCGCGATTCCACAGATATGGTACCCACGCGTCGACAACTGATGCCACCACGCAGATTAATGCCACATTAACAGAATCATTCTAGTGAACCCCCACGGGAAAGTGAGTTTTGCTCCGCGGCTCTACGAGCTCTACAAATGAACAATAGTATTCTGCCTCGTAAACCCATACGAACGCCTAGCGCCATTCGTGACTCGTATCTTTTGGTTCTTGTCAAATCGGCAGGAGAAATTTGAGATTTATGAGCTGCCATTTAAGGAACATGCTATCATTGAGGCCTCCATAGTAGCGTTCTATATGTTGGTATAGCTGTCAGAACTCTCCCGGTATTCTTTATCATGAAGCATAATCGTTTTGATTGTTGGTAACATCAAGTGGCGCGACGCGTGTATCAATCTCGCTCAATTCAAAAGTGCTTTCCCATCAAATCCCCGCGATGTCAGCATTTGGTATTTACGACATCCCAGCGACTCTGACTTTTCAAGATTATCTAAGCATATGTCAATGCGCCAGAACATTGGCGGATGGTTATGACCGGAAAGTGAGTACCATGGTGCATACATACTTAGATAACGACCAATGAAGACTGCGCCATATGAATCCAAATAACAATTTGCACTAGGACAAGGCTCGTGTAGGTGCTGTACTGGCCCCAGACGTGGTGGTCGATTACTCCTACGTCGTACCAGAATGGGGTCGCATCTCCTACAAGGCACTCGACTTCGTCGACTCATGGCTCGGCCCACAACGACTTGGCGTCCGAGCCTTAGCGACGCAGCATCTTTTAGGCATTCCATATTTTAAATCAGTAACAGAGGAAGAGATAATCGTTGAGTGGCAACAGCTGGCCAGTCATGGCCGGCGCGTTAAGGGGCAAGACTATACACATCCCATGTGCAAGATCGAGGAGATCAGCGACGGGAGGAGCTGGATGCGGCAAACGTTTAGTAAAATTGAAGGGCGATGGAGAATAAAAGAGATCAAACCAGAAGTTATCTACCATACGGGCGATTTTCGACACATTGGGCGGGAGGACGAGGAATAGATCATGGCACTCGAGATAGCCTAATCAAACAAAATAAAACTGATACCGTCACATGTATCCGCATCAAAGCTACAAATATCACACATTGAAAAGTCAACCGCACGCCAGCCTGTGCCAATGATGTGATAATGTAGAAAATGATTGGGCAGCGATTATTTCGATTGTGGACAAGAAGACGCGAGTCGTTTCTCGAGCGTTGCAAGGGTTGAGCTACTCCAATTACCTTGTCAAACAAGAGTAATTGTATACATAAAATCCTCAGTGACCTCTGCATACATATGTCGTGGCACATCGCCACTGCGAAAACTCTCGTCCAGCAATCTGCAAGTGCGTGCTTCCTCATCTTCAATAACATTAAAGTCAGCCCCGCAAAACCGCGCATAGGCCACACGTCGAAAACATCCAGGTTTTGCAGTCGACAAGAGAACCAGACATTCGTATTTTCCAGCTCCGTAGAATGATTGTTGATAGCCGTGCGTGGTGGCTGACTTCGAACTTTTCATTACATAGTCAGTCAAAAGGCCTTTATTTGTCCCTGTTCAGATCACCGACTCACAGTGAACCATCCTGCGATATTTCTGCACTGGGGTCTGCGTAGATGTTGCTCCCAGCTCCACACAACAAGAGGTAGGATGTTTGGTCGATCAGTGTGCCGGCATCTTTGATAGTGTTATCAGTATTGATATAATTTTCGTTGTCGTCAGATGGCACCATGGATTCAGCAGACACTTCGTCCATGAGCAAATGAAACGATTCCGCCTGACGTAGAGTGTGTTTTCCTATCATCATTCCTAGTTGATAGGCATGTTGGTACCCGTAGACATTAGTGACGAAAGGCTGAGATAGTCTCGTTATTGTGGCTTGACATAATGGTCCTCGAATCCTAACGTATGCCGACGCAACAGGACCGAATGGGTCACCGACCGGGGATGTGCTAAATCCCACAAGCTCTGGGATGCACTGCCGTGTATGTAACGGGTAGTTCGTTGAAAGCGGTCGGCTGGTGTGCTGGCTGACAGAAAGCCAAGACCATGATGGCACCCGACTATCAACACGTTTCGATTGATAAACGGTGCTGGTGAACCACAAAATCTCCTGCACAAACCTCGGTCGCCACAGTCCACAGATATAATCACTAGCTTCAAGTCCGAGAAAACGACAGAATATACGGGCCAGGCCAGAGATAGCCACAGATCTATCCGTGGCAACCGAGAGTGTCGATGAAGAGTAGGTGTCGACAATCTGGTCCCACAATTGGTATATTGGCTCAATGGCTCTTTTCGGGCTGAGAAGGTTAGCAATGAGCATGGACTTTGGATGAGTGAGAATGTTTGGCTCCAAGCTGTATTGCTTGGGCAAGCTCTCAGATGTTCTTAGCTCAGCACACTCCCAATAGACCTGGTCATCGCCAAAATGAACTACCTTTCGAGAAAGAAATCTTTCTTGGATAACCCAAGCCCTTGTTCTAAGGGGACTTTGCTCAACTACTCTCGCCCATGAGGGATTGTAGACACAGAACGCTTCATAATCTTTCGAATCTGAACAAGGAATAAGAAAAGTCTGACAAGCGCCAGGATTGCGCTCTCTGAATAACCCGCCGTTTGTATCTGGCGAACAATCGGCGGAGATGTTGACGTAAGCATTCAGGTATATATCTGTCATGTGGCCTGCCTCTCTCGCCCAATCCTCTTTGCTGTCCTGAATGATGCACAAGGAATCTATCCAGAGATAGTTTATGCCCAGCTTATGTGAGGCAAGAACAGCATCTCCAAATGTCCGAGGCAATATCTCCCACGGAATCTGAAACTTGTATCTCTCAATGTGGTCTCGCAAGAGTCGTACGGGGACACCGGCACCCCAGCAATGGCTGACTGTAGCATATTGGCAAGATTGAGGGAGAACACCCCGTGCTAGCACCAGTCGTACTGTTGGAGTAGGGCTACCTGCAGTTGGTGGTCCTACTTCTAGCAGTCTACTTGGAAGCAAGGTTGAAGGTGCAGTCGCTGTGCGCCAGGCATGGCAATTGAAATGGGTTTCACAGCTGGTGAGCCATGTTTTAATTGTACTAAATGTCTCATCCGACTGTGTACTGGTGCTTGACATGGTGTACGGAGTGATTCCTTCAATCGCTGTGAACCGTCAGTACTGGACGAAGGGGTTAAGGGATTATTGATTCTTCAGGTGGTTGCAGAGTGGTTCACGTCCGTTGGAATTCCGATCCAGAGCCCAAGGGTTGTCAAACAGATGCAAGTCTTGCAACTCACCTTTGACTCCGCGCAGCTCTATTATAGTCCCGAACTGCGACTCTAGTTGCGGGTCTTGGAAGGGATCCACATATGGATTCGGGTGATTAATACGAACACCGCAACCATTGTCCGTACTGTATACCACCGTTGTGGTGAGATAGATTCCAGGTGACGATATTGCCTTGAATTCAGCATCGCTGAAATTCGTGAGGTATCGGTAATGGACAAGAGAGCAAAGCCTGCACCGATGCCTCGCGCAATTCCTCATTGCCGCCACGTCATGCCACCATTGTGGTTTACTGATACGGCCCTGAGCTAATTGCTCGCGAGACCGATTCAGATCGATGACATGAGAATCAAAAAACCATCGACAGCGATTGCAAAGTACGCCGTCCCACGAGAGTGAAGTAGTGCAAGACTGCATCATCAAAAGTGTGATCCCATGGTTCCAGAACGTATCGAAGCAAACTGGGAGCGCAGACTTGAGGAACGCGTCGCGACGATTAACTTCCATATGCCATACCTGAGACACTCCAATTCCCTCACGTGACCTATTCATCTCCTCCAATTAACTATAGCGGTCGCGACCCACCTTTCTTACACGTAGGCTTGACCGCAATGTACGCATGCAAACATAGTGCTATGCCGCAAGAACCGCAACTGGTCGCCGTGTTTTGTTAAGACGAAAGGATCATGAACCAAAGGCCCACAGCCACCGGCCGCTTACCGCCCTTGCTTCGGGCCGAGCGTGTAGTCCTAAAGTGCAACTACGTTAAGGTTGCATTCGTGTTCTTATTGTATTCCACAGTTCGTGGTTTCGTACTGAGATAATTGTAGACTTCGATACAATACTTCTTTCTCTCTAAAATATATCCCTGCCTAACTAATAGCTCTTCCGATTAATATGGCTATTTAATCGATGCTTCCTGAAAAGAAGGCTGTCGAGAGAGACCGATTTCTGTTCCGTGATATTTTGAATTATCTCAATCATTGCGTTAAGAGGATGCAAACTTGGAAGCACTCCGTATCTGCTTTCCGTATTTGTAAAATACAAAAGGGAAAACAGCCAGAAGTACTGGGACGCCAGCTATCACAGAGCCTCCAGGACCAATGCCAAGCGCGTCGAACATATAGTTCGTCCACAACGGGGCGGAAGCAGCACCAGCTGAGCGGCAGACAGTGTTGATAGCGATGGCACTGGCAGCATGTATTGTGTACGTATCGACAAGATAATTGGTGAAGGCCGTGAAAACGATCATTATGCATGCCGACACGCCAGCGCCTCCAATCAACGGAACCACCCATGGCATCCAACTAATCCTAGTTAGAGTGTGCAAATCCCACCGGTAATATAATCTCAACTTACTCGTAATTTCCAGTCCAAGCAAAAAAGAACATGAACAAGGGGAAGCAAACCCCACCCGCTTTAGCTAGAACAAGGCGATCTTCTGGCGACTTTTGCAAACCTAGCTTCTTCTTGCTGTACTCCCCGTGGAAGAAGGTTACAAAACCCCCAAGGATCCCACCGATGGCAGAAGTCAGTACAGGCAACTGGCCTATTCCAGCGTTCCATCCGCGGTGTTGCTGGTAGATTATGGGATATATACTAAACAGCATATAGACCAGCGTGTATAAAAAGGTGAGATAGATTGCCGCAACGAAAGAAATAGGGTCGAAAAGGATGCGCCATGGGCGAGAACTGGCAAGTTTCAAAACACCAAAAACCGTTTTGGTGTCCTCCTCGATGGGTGCCCGGACAGATTCATACCCGGACAGCTTGGATTTTCTCACTTCCCTTGCTCGACGCTGTAAAATAATTGGCGCATAGGTCTCAGGCACTGTGAGGAGGGGAATTGCTGTGACCGCCCCGAACATGATGAGTACATAGTACGTCCACCGCCATCCCATCGTGAGCTCGAGAAATCCAGATACTACGGGGCCCAGAGCTGGTCCTACTTGGATCAGAATCGAGAAGATGGCCATTGCTTTTCCACGAGTATCGTAATCCCAAATATCAGCCAGGACACCAGGCACATTTGACAATGGGACGCTGGCAAATGTACCCGTGAGAAAACGGCCGACGAGAACTCCAGCAAGGTTTGGTGAGAATGCGCAAAGGAATCCGAACGCAACATAGAGCGGTACGGTAACAAAGAAGACTCTTTGGCGGCCGTAAAACTAGAGCGTGTGAGAACCAAATATTGCCCAGATCGATATAATAGGAGTGTTTACTTCGCTAAGAGGTGCAAATACTAACGGACCGGCGCAGTAACCTAATCACGGGTAAGTGCTTTGCGCTTTCGCGTGCGGTGGTCGGTCAGGTGGGAATGATCATACCAAGCAGGAACAGCGTCATGGACAATCCGGCTACTTGGAGCGAAACGCCGAACTGGAGAGAGACTCCCTTGAATGTGAGTTAGTATCTGGTCAAGTGAGTGAGGGTTTGAGCTTACGCGCAAGGTACCAGACGGGGCAGACGATGCGAAGGTGGAATTAACAGCCAGCGATATGGTCGCAAACGTTAGCCACCATCGTCTGGCTCTGGGCCAATTTTTCGGGTTGGCAGCATCATTTGGTGCAAACGCGATGTAGCCTTTGTCGTCTATGAAGGGCGGTTTCGTTGCAGGAGGATGCCCTTCGGCTGGGGATTCTTTACTCTCCATCATATGGGGGCCAGCTTCGACTGAACATCATACTTGGGTGATTGTATACCAGATGGAAAAGTAAATAGAGAACAAGCTAGAACTTAAAATTGCAAGCACGTCTAAATAACATGGAGCGCTAGTACCCCGGTTGGATGATCCCAGGACTCCGCAATGCCGGCAGGTAGTTAGACACCCGCGCGTACATGAGGGAAAGCCGATAACTCCAGGCTCCGATTTCGTTCGTCACTTTGGAACGAGCCGATTCCCGCTGACTCAGCGCATTGAATGCGTGCCCTGAAACTGAGTAGCTTGACTTGACACAGTTCTGGCTGGAGTAGACGTGTAGCATTGTGAGCTGAGATAGTTCACAGTCTCGGGGAAACACCTTGCCAGTTCGACTCGGTTTTCACGCGTCGGTTTGTCAATGCTCAGCAGATATAGATACCTTAAATTCGCCCCAGACCACAGTGAAAAGAAGACCATTGCACCATCCAAACCAATAGATGGCTGAATGCCCCCACCCCCACCACGGCCCCACGCCGGGTGTCTCTGGAAAACAATAATTTAGGTATCCTTTGGAGCCTTATTGTAGCAAATATTCCTACTCTAAATTTGCTGCCGAGGCTTTCGCTTTGGAGTTGTCGGTAACTTAGAAATCTACCGCAGTCGAAACGTTGAACTCTCTATTTCATGCTTGGTAAATGAATTTGTTGTAAGGAGAAGCACTCGACATTAACAGTCAATGACGGCCGAGTAAATTATGTGACACCTCGTCAGCTCCGGGGTCTTTATCATGCACGTTTTCTACATGGCTGGCGCCCTTTTGCTACTTAGGCCGTGGAACTTGAAGTATACTTTGTGTATTTCGATAGGATATAGAAGACGCCCCTACAAAATCCATTTCTCTAGGCTGAAAATGTCCCCACTAGTCTCGTCTTTTGGTCCATTGATCAAATTGTCAAGCAAAAGCTACAAAAGGTCAAAATTAGCCGGCAGATCCTTGGTATCCCAGAGTGGTGAAAACAAGGGACAACTTACAGCAGCATGGTATTTGACGTGAAAATCGCCGTCGCGGAACTTTTTGTGTGCGTCTTCGGCCGCCTGATCACCTTCCAATAGAAATTCGGCCACTTCTTGTTTCCAACTCTTCAAAAGCTCTTCCTGCCTCTCAGCCGAGCACTCATTTAGATATGATTTCGCGGCGGCCCTCAAGCCAACGCAGCCCGACACAAAGTCCGCCTTGGACCAAGGAGACATCACGTTGTGGCCAAGGCTTGCCGGCTTCAACAACCCCGAAAAATGCATGGGCAAATGGGCCTTTTCGCCAGTGCCTGCCTTTGTGACCCCGAGCGCGTGTGCACGCCCCTCGACTGTCCACGCGACGATGGTCTTCATGCGCTGCTCATGCAGATTGAGAATTTTCTGGAGCACTTTTCCAAGGTTGCCCGTGACCTCGTCGCGCGTGAAGGTTGCGTTGGCATATTCAGCGCCCTCATACTCCCAATCGCGCTCCACCACCTCCTCTCCAACGTCGCCAGGATTCACATACGGATTTAAAGGGCGTACTTGCTGTTCGAAAAACATGGCCAAACCCCGGCGAGCTGCGTCCTCGCCAAAGCCGTAGTCATTTTTGACTTCAACCGGCAGGATACTGGACATGTGGTGATATACTCGCAATGCATAGTCGATAGACTGTGGATTCTTGTAGCTGAAGTCTAAAAGGTTCCATTGGGTATTTGAGAGGGCATCTTGTTGATTTGCAGCCGTGGTGATGTGTTCGGAAAGGGCCTTCGCGGCAGTTTCGATGGCTGTGGAGCCTTGTTTGTGGAACTGATTGAATATCGAGAGAGCCATGTTAACAGCGATAATGTGTGCGAATTGCGCTCAAGAGTTGTTGACTCATCTACAAATATACACTTTATAGCATTCCACAGATGCGTATGGTCGATGCGAAAGGCTGGGTGAAAACAAGGACAGCACAGTAGATGCGAAATCACGTGTCATAATGATATCATGCTGGATGAAGCTGAGCTGCAAGGTCTTGTTTGCAAAGGATCTCGTTGGTGGGGCTGAGGCTCAGCCCGACGATCACTAATGTCCTCGGCCCAGGCCCTGAGGAGAGCCACGAATCGCAGCATGCAAATCACATTAATGGACGCAATCGAAAAGGCTTTCGGAGCAATCAATGCTAGCTGCTCTGACACCCGGTGAACCACCAATGCAGCATTTCAGTGGTGGTCACTATCAATGCGTTGGACTCCCCAGCGTGCTGCACAGTGGTAATGGCTCGTGGCATGTGCTGTGCCGTTTGATTGCAGCATCGAAGGATTTTGCGCCAAGTAAATCCTTTCACGTCATATGCTTAATATAGTCGTGTCACTTCAACTATAAAGACTTCCATTTTTATTTACCCCTGACTAAACCCCTGCGCTCCACCACCCTATGCGATATTGCATTGCCTGGCTTAGTTGCTTGAGAGTAGATCGGTGGCTGTATGTGAGGCTGTAAGATAAATCATTACCTTTTTCTTTCATCGTAAGGATCGTTGATACCAGATCCTTTGCAGATCAATACAGAATGCCTCACGAATTGACTTATTGCCGTTGCTCACGATGATCGGTGAAAGTGTAGTGTCATCTTGTGCGCTATACTCTAGACATTGACAGCAAAGCATTGACGAGTAGTATAAAGGTTGGCCGCCTCTCATGACATGACGACCATCTCTATCATCATCAACAGCAAAGACTCACTTTCCATATAGCCCTATACTTTCCAACAGCTTTCCTGTCCCAGCCCAGTGCCATTTCATATTTCATATTTCAACGTTCACAAACATGAAGCTCAGCACCGTAAGCGCACTTGCCCTTGCCATCACACCTGCGCTGTCCGCAGCCATTGGCGATGTCACCCCACGAGCTACACTTTCCACACGGCTTTTTGGAGACGCCCACGACTTTCCAGACAAGGTCAAGTGCCCCGAGACAGACGCTGGTGATGACAAAGAGTTCGAGAAGGACCAAATGGAGAAGACTGCCAAAGAATGGAAGGACAAACTCAACAATAAGAAGAAGATCACGACTGGCGACCAAAAGCAAGGGTATCCTGCTAGGTATGCCATTGGCAGCGAAAATGGCAACGATGACGCAAAGAAGTTCTGGGAAAATACGAAGAACATGAAGTTTTCGGATGAGTGCATGAAGGGTTACATCTGGGAGGTTCCCCTGCTGAAGAATGGCAAGGAGTGGAGTACCGACGGCAACAATGGAGACGCTGGTCCATATCGACTTTACTTCCTCGCCAAGGATGGCGAGGTCAAGTTTTGCGGCTCTGCGATCCATGTCAGCAACGACCGAGCCAGGGGAAGCGAGTTCAAGCGCTGCGAGCCTGATGACTAAACCATCCAGCTTGCTAGTCCACATTGTTTTGATCATTTTCGACACAGAGAAAGATACTTGCGAATGAGCTGTTTTCATAATCCAGAGTTCCTCTCCTGTGTTCCTCTGGGGGTTTCATACATAATCGAACGTGTTTTAAAACAGCCTTGATCCCATTACTAGACCGATTTCTTCGTATGAAACTTGTAGGGACTGCAAATACCGAGTCACTAGCATAGATTAAATGACTAAGCCGCCGCCGCTTAGCTTTTGTTCGGCAATTTGAACCCGCCAGGGACGCCTCTGCTGAATACATCCTCCGGGTCATACTTTCTTCTGGTTTCCCTGAGTCTTGTGACGCTCTTCTCTCCATAGCCAGCAATAATATCATCCTTCTGGTATCCATAGTTGGTGAAAATGTATCGGTGCAGCAGACCCTTCTCCCTTGCTAGACGCCTGAGCTCGTCAACGAGGCCGCCAACAGCCGCAAATATACGACCATCATCCCGTGGCTGGGTTCATATTGTGTTGATCAAAATCACAAACAGTGGTCCATCTGATGGGGGTATGGCTATTGCATTACCTCCGGCCTTCTCGGAGTTCTCAAGAAGTGCCTTTGTCAAAGGGTGAAATCCAAAGGAGAAAATGAAGCCTTCGGCATCCTGGATTGTAGCGAGAGTCTCCTGCCATTTATCATGAAACGTTTCCATCAGAGAAATATCTGGTTTGATGGTAATTGTCGCCCAATATTGCCTTGAAAAGTTAGTGGTTTTATGCAAGGAGAAAGCTCCGGTGAAGAGAACCAACCTTTGCCCATCGTTAGAAAACCGGGACAGCTCCTCGGTGAACTCCAAATGCTTCGATGTTCTCATAGTGCACATCTGCTCTATTTGCGGCTCTATGGACGTGAACCGCCGGAGCGCAGGTGGGTTCTCCTTGCCTTCCGTATGGTACATGACACACGAAACAGCCTGGTGGCCAAAGACGTAACCAGCGCTGCACATGATGTGAGCATCCTCATCTGTCTCGTTGTTGGTAAAGTCACATGCGTGCTTGAGGAGTTCTGAGAATGTGCCGGGCATGTAATACGTCACTCCACCCCAGATGTTCCTAGAGGGAATGGTCTTCATCTTGATGCAGGTGACAACGCCAAAGTTGTTCAAACCGCCCTTGAGGGCGATCCAGAGGTCGGCTCGCTCATCTGCGTTCGCTCGAACGATTTCTCCGGATGGGAGTACAACTTCAAACTCAACTACCGAATCGCACGCAAAGCCGTAGCGCGCCGAGAACATTGATAGTCCACCTCGGAGTCCAGTCAGCATTTAAGCTTCAGCGTTATAATATTGGCGACTGCTCACCGCCAAGAATGAATCCAGAGACACCAAGTCGAGCTACACGGCCGCCGGGGGTCGTCAGGTGCTGCTGTTCCAGCTCAGCGTACACATTCGCCCAGGTTTCACCAACACCGATTGCCACTGTGGATTTGTCCTCGCTCAGTGTGATGCCCTTGAGACCTCTCAGATCGATGGTAACGCCATTATCAATGTTGGCGCTCCCTGCAAAGGGAGTCTGGCCGGAGCCTCGAATGGCGATCTGAACACTTCCGGCGATAATGTGAGGGCGAAGGGCCTTGATCAAGTCCTGCACCTGCTTTGCGCTATTTGGTTTTGCTATAACAGACGGGTCCAACTCGTTCTCAAAAGCACTAAAGTATGAGTGGTTGTCCTGCTCATACTCTGCGCTGTCCGGCTGCAAGATGGCGGAGGCCTCAAGTACACCTGCTATGGCGCCTAGCACCGTATCTGGAAGGCGCGACATTCTGATCGATATTCAGGTCTGAACAAAACTTAGGTCGATATTCATCACACAGTACGCGATCGAATCTACGACTCTGGCATAAACAAAAGTAACTGTCGGGTCTGGGCTGCGGATAGAGCGGGGAAGTGCTGACATCTTGGATAGTCTCATCCCTTACTTACTAGGGTCTATCTATGCAGTTGGTGCACACCTCAGCTATGAGTGCAATCCATGTTGGCATACTGACGAATGACTGCCCGAAGACAACGGCTTGTATTTGCCTGCGAGCAATCGTGTGCTCTCTGAGCTCAAGATACATCTGGCTGTACGAGTACTGACAATCGGGCGTTGCTATCACGGCCCACAGATCGAATCCTACAATCGAAAAAAAGTAAAATGCTCTACTTCGATGAACCTTGAATATCGGAAACCCCGTCGTGGACAGGTTGATAATGTCGAGCACAGTTCGTTGTCGTCTGGAGGTGCTGCATAAGGATCGTTCTCAGGCAACAGCCCCCTGCCTGTTAGCAGGCATGGATCTCTGGCGCAGAATACCACGTAAGCCAGCCAACCAGAATATTCAATTTGTCACTTCTACGGCTTATGGTTCCCACCAAGACAATAAGACCACCTTTTTTGTCAGATACAAGCGCGATTTGATCCCAGCTTAGTTTCTGCAACGCACGAGACTATAACCATCGACACTTATACAGTGAGGCTGATCGGCTAAGATGGCGCCGCCTACTAGCATGAGTCTTCTTGTATACCTGCGATTAAAGATCTTGGTGACCTGTTTACGCCTTCTCATAAAGGTGCCGATCTATGTGAGGCTTCGTCGGGATAGGCTCCTGACGCAAAGCTTGGGCGTTCACACTCAACACTTGCGCATTCCTTCGCGCGATTCGGGCCGCTTTATTGACGCGCACCTATACTATCCCGACTCGACGACCTCGCCCAAACCTGTCCTCGTCAACTGGCACGGAAGCGGCTTTGTTATACCTCTGCACGGCAGTAACAACGTTTTCTGCGCACAGATCGCGAAAGAGACAGGCATCTTCGTCCTGGATGTTGACTATCGCAAATCGCCCGAAACACCGTTTCCGGGGCCATTGGAAGACGCCGAGGACGTGCTACGCTGGACATCCACGCAGACAGACCGGTTTGACAGCTCCCGTGTTGCCGTGTCTGGCTTCAGTGCCGGCGCCACAGTCTGTCTGGCAGCAGCAATAGCCTCCAGAAGTCTTCTCTCCATCTCCGCGGCAGTGCTGATCTATCCATTTGTCGACATGTCAGTGGCACCCGAGGCAAAGATGGTTGCAAAACCCATCAAGCCGCCGCCACCGTACATTGCTCACATCTTCAACGACTCATACGTCTTTGACAATGCAAAGCGTACCGACCCCCGTGTGTCGCCGGCTCTGGCTGAACCGGAGCACTTCCCACCAACGGTAGCTATCGCCACCTGCGACGGCGACATATTGCAAGATGCCGGGAAGAAAGTCCCTTTAAAAATGCTCAAGGGATTGCCCCATAGCTTCGACACTGGGGCAGAGAAGGGAACGCTGGAATGGAAGAAACGTGAAGAATTGTACATCTGGGCAGTGCAAGTGTTGAAGGGTGCTTTGAAGCCGTGATTTCGTCGTAAACCCCTTCCAAAACTGTGCCAGCATTGTTGGCCAATACTACTAAATGGACCTGAGCTCTTACTCTTATACGTAAATGACCTTTGCTCAAACAATGCCAAGGCACTGATCGTGTGAAAGTAGACCATCGCATATTGCAAAATAAGTGAGGAAGTGATTCGATGTCACTTGTGTTTCTGAGTTGCTGTAGGTTGGTGAGACTGCATCCACGAAGGTATCATGATGATCCCAAAAGGTATTTCCCATACTGGTTCTGATGGTCTATGCCAACCCAATCTTGCAGGTATTGCGGAATCAAATGCAAACTGAGCAAGCGGCACGCCTGTCCACACAGAACAGCTGGGCCAGTGTCGGTGCCAAGATTTTGACGGTGCTGCTGGGCTGGAACCCCCACGGCTTACCACGTGGGATTATATGCAGTACCCCGTCACGTGAATTCGTGTTCTTCTCGCTTCTTTCTGGCTCTTTACAGGCTAAATATAGTATCTCCCAGAACGCGTCTGGGACGCGTTTTCTGAGAGAAACTTAAATTGGCGGGGGTCTTTCGTACAGTTCCGCATCTTGTCCAATTTCTCTTCCAAAATATATTCTCGTTCGGTCGACCCATTCTGACTCCTTCTGGTTCAATATGACCCCACCGAATAACATTTTTTATCCCAACATGTGTGGCCACCTTGGTATCGACCAAAGTCATGGGTTGGACTCCGATGGCGATACTCCAATGTTGGAAGCTTGCACTGCGGAGACGATTGATATGAATGCCGACATCGATATGTACGATGTCGACGACATACCTTCCGACCGAGGAGGGAACCTGGCAATCGAGGATATACTACGTGGGAAGTCTGGTAAGTCTCGTTCCCCCTCACGTATATCCCATCGTCACTAGGCTCTAGCCAGCGATATATTACAACGACACCTACGAGCCGCACTTCGGCCATCATCGAAACGAAGGACACTGGGCCCCTTCCCGAGCGAACGGAAGGAAAGAACATGCACGAGGTCTACAGCTGCTGGGCAGCTTTACCCTGACATGGGTTGCAAGATTGGAGCATAGAGCCAGGTGACACCCCGAGTCAGCACCTGATATAGGACCACAATAGAGCAAATCAAATAAAGACGTCGTCTTTACGACAGATCTTCTCTCTGCTATGCACTGCGGCTTTGGCCCGCTAGCCCCAAACGGTGTCCCGATGAGATGGGTGTCGTCTGCGAGTCGCGCCCTACGATATAGGAGGTGGAGCTAATGATCATGAAGAAGATACGAATTCCAAAGACAAACCAACGAAAACTATATTGCAGATTGAATTTCTTTCGGGAAAGGCTCCTGAGCACTGTCGGTAAGACATATGCTAGCTGCATAGTTCACGCCCTTCATCACTAATGGATGGCGTACAGACGCATAACTCTCACGTGTCGTACCGAAGAAGCAGAAGAATGTCAACAGTGTCTGCAGGACTAGGGAGCATAGTAGCACGAGATCAGGGCATGGCAATGAAGATGGTGACGGCGCGTGGAACGAAGGGTACAGGAGGTCTGGGAACATTACTACTAGGGAGTCAGGTTGCTGGAACACCAAAAAGCACCTAAAGAAATGGCACTAAATTGCTTCTTCCCAAACAATTGCGTTTCATGATATATGTACGAAGAAAAAGCATACTATTATCACATACGACCATACCCTCCAGGGAACTCGGCATCCCGTCCGCTCTGCCCTAGATAAACTGGAGAGGGCTGGATTAGTAGTTGGGTGGGTGACCACCAGCGAATACCCGGTGTTGTATGTTTTTGCCAATTTGCTTTCTTTTTCCTATTCCCTCCAACTAAGTAGCTTTTCTATCTGCACACCGACCAAATCAATAGCGCTGGGATTTCTGACGGTAGCATACTGGTTCGGCTAGACCTTGACAACGCGCATCTGGATGTGGGGTGAAATCAAGCGCACCGCCACTCAACCTAGCGTTTAGGGACTCCAACATGCGACCGTTTCGCCCGTATCGACAAATGGCAATTGGACACTGAATCATAATCTGTCGAAATGTAATACGGTTTCTATGTCAAAAGGGTCATTTTTACTATTCCCAAACGTAGGTAAACTGTAGGAGTACTTCAGATTATCTCTTTGGAAGTACAGCTGTCTCGTCTGTCTCTTGAGGTGTTTGCTTCGCACTTCGGTATGGGACATAGCCAAGCCATTGCACATTCACCTTCGCAGCGAGACGGCTTCGGCGGCCTAACGAGACAGAGCGCACGGTATTATTCCAAGTTTAGAATTGCAAGATCTTTCTTTAGAGGGATGTACGTGTCAAAACACTGCTGATTAGTGGTGTGTTGTTCTTAATCACGCTCATGCAAGACTAGACTAACGTGCCGCCGACACAAGCACCAGCCGGTACTTGGCCAAAGCTAGCAATACTCTGCGTGGTTCCCTTGCCGTGAGCCCAAAGATTCCAAGCACATTGCCATTGCATATTGACAGAAACGTAAGCGTGCCATGAACCCCACAGTCCAAATTATTTCTTCAGAGACTTGAGCAGCGGTGCAATCCTGGACCTTTTGCTGAGGCCAACTCGGTATACTGACTTTCCCGCCTGCGATGGCGTGTATTTCGACAATGAAGTGGTTGCAGTTGACTTGTCGGAATCTGAGAGAGTTGACTGTGACCTCAACATGCTATTTCGATCGGTCTCCTTGAGGGGCAATGCGCATTCCTTCGGGTTGGGTGGTTGTTTGGGTTTCGATTGATGGTCGGTGGGTTTCGTGGCTGCATTTGCTTCTACTTCCTTCCCACTATCTTCGATTGCCGTACTCTCGTCTTCCAAATGCCTGCCAGGGGGAACTCCTAACTTCGTCTCATTCGTCCCTGACTGCTCCTCAAAGGTTGGAATCTGATCTCCAACATCGTCATTTATCGGTATTTCGGACTTGCGCGGCCGACCTCTTTTCTTTTTCGGTTTTGCTACTGGCTCCGACTCTGGGCCTGGGTTCGGTACTGGTGCTGTTGGAGGGAGTGCATCACTGTGGTTGGCCGTTGGGTCCTCCATGGGCGGCACCTCTTCCGTGACAGGCTGTTTCTTCGGCCGTCCTCGCTTCTTCGGCTGAGAGGCTTCCTTTGACGGGACTGAAGATTTCGGAGTGGTGGCTGGTCGTTTCGTCTTTGCTTTCTTTCGCGACTCGGTAGACTCGCCATATTCGGGGTCCAGGTCACTGGTCGGTTCCTCAAACAATTCATCATCAATGGGTTCTGCATGCGCAAACCCATCCTCATGGTCATCCTCGCGCGCTTCCTGCTGTTCTAGTTCCCATGGTGGTCTAGGACCAGACGATGCATAGCGACTTGGCGTCGAGTATGCAATGGTCGTGGCACAGCTGGACTTTTGATTTGAGTGATGCTGTGCTCCCGAGTCCGGTATTGCTTCGCTCGCGCGTTCATCCGAGATCTGCACCCTTCGGTATTTCTGCTTCTGGCTGGTAGACAAGTTGCTCTGCGCAACATAGAAGGTCCCAGCTTCCTGAACGGCTGAATCTGCCGCAGCCGTTGCAGACACCTTCCTCCTCTTCGATACGTCATGCTCTGAAGATGTGTCAATCAAATCAACCACCTCCAGTTCTCCTCGAATAGGGGCTTCTGGTGCCGTTGTCGGGTCCCCTCTCCTCCGCTTGCCACTGATCCTAGATAGCCTTGCTTTCGTGTTTTTGCTGCCTGGCGCAGCAAGCTCGTCACCGCTGTCGGGAAATTCCCACTCGTCATTTGGAGCACTCTTCCTTGGTGTCGTGAACTCGGTAGCATCGCTCATCTGAGCCAGTTGACTTCTTCGGGGCGGTTTCTTGCTCAAAAGAACTGGGCTGGTCAAGTCCGTGGCGCTGCTCGCATTTGTGCTGCTCCTCTTGCCCTTTGCCTTGCCTTTACCGGGCGAAGAGATATCTCCACTGCTCGCGCTTGCTCTCTGGCTCAGACGCACAATGCTCTCAATGAGATGGGATTGCTGCAGCGCATTGCCCTGCTGCTCCTCGTAGACATTGGCAAAGAAGGACGGGTTTGTCGAGCCCGACCTCTCGTTCAGCGTCAACAGCGACGACTCCCTCACGATGGGACTGGCCGGCCGGTGGTGAGGGCTCAGCGGCTCAATGTCGAGGCGCGGATCTCCCGCCGCCGAAATAGCACCCGCGACGGATTTGACAGGACTGAGCTCGTCATCGTCCTCATCATCGGAGTCCGCAATCACCCTTCGCGGAGCCATCGTTGATTATGCTTGGCTGCTGACGGCGGTATGTTGGGTACTTTTTGTATGGATTAAGTGGATTCAGGTACAGGGCGCGTTTGGTTGGACGCGCTTGGATATTGGGTGCAGGTAGGTAGCGCGACCGCGCGTGGGGTAGTCAAGTACCGTGAGATCAGCGTCGTATGCATGCACGGCCCGTGAGACCAGACGCCATGTAAGCTGCCGTATGTACTTCGCCCCGAACACCCAATGGTGGTCTAGTTGTTGATAGATTCAGTCTGGCATGATCATGGGCAACCTCGCTCCTTGACTAATGACTGTCTTTCTGGTGCTGCCTCTTGAATCTTGTGTAAGCTCTCAGCTCGGGGGTGTTCAAAATGTGTCCACTGTACAAAAGCGCCGCCTTCCGACATTTCAAATTCTGGAACCCCACATACAAGGCTTGCGACTGATCGCGCTGAGTGACTCTCTATACGAACACATCCCTGAAATCCAATCCTTTGGCGGTTGACAGCCCAGAGGGTCCTGAGTTGTTCCGCCCACCTAGCAAGCGAGGTCAATAATGCCTAGAAAGCCGCTTGCGCCGCACGAACGAAAGCGCCGGCACCACGGGCGGTCCCGGCTAGGGTAGGCCGCCCCCAAAAACGACTCGAGTGTCCAAGACTGACATAAATGAGCACAGTTGTAAGACTTGCAAAGCCCGCCACGTCAAGTGCGATCAAACTCGGCCAGTGTGGTACGTAGCTTGATCCGTTTGGGAGTTGCGCGTTGCCAGCAGACCTCAAACTCGGCATCTGGCCGCATCCCTAGTTGCGGCAAACTGCCCTAGAAGGAACCGCGGGGAGACTAACCACTTATCGAGACTAACGGTTCTTAGTTCACGATGCTTAATACGCGGCCGAGAGTGTATATTCGAGAGCAAAGTGGCGTCCAATGAAGACGATGACTGGTCGATAACAACTCATGAAGTTCGGGAGAATCCAAGTCTTTCCGACATGTTGCCAAAGCATTCTTTCTTTGGCCACCCTATCCAACTCCTAGACGGGTCCCGGGAGTTGGCTGATTTCAGTAAGCTTTGAGGGCAACGTTTTGAAGTCAGCCCCAAGTCGACGGAAACTGACGTCTCGCAGTGACTCGGTATTCGAGCTGGCGAGGGGGTTCCTGCGTGTAAGCCAGACTTCTTCTGCGTATCTAGTAGCCTGACGTGCTGATTTCGATACCCTACAGTCTCCAGCGCGCCCTGTTGGATCCCGCATGTTTGCATGCAGCTATGCTGGTTGCAAGTGTATCTTACGCCGTACAGAACCCCGCCAAGAAATCCATCCAACAAGCCATAATCCACCACAAAATCGAGGCTGTGCGTCACGTCAATAGCCGACTACAACACATCCAGAATGGTGTTGACGATGGCGTAATCGCGTGCGTGAGCAGTCTGGCAATAGTCGAGGTAAGGATTCTCGCGAACACTCTCTGAACAGGCTCTAAACGGACACAGTGTGCACTTGGGTCGACGGATGACACAAAGACTCATCTTGTTGGCCTCAATCGAATTACTAGAGTGAGACACCCCCGGCCGACGAGACCAAAGTGTCCTCTGCTGCAAAGCATGGTGGTTTCCATGTGAGTCTTAACGACCGGCTGCTTGGCGAATCTATCCTCAAACAGGTCCCCTAACTCTTTGCAATTATAGGGTAGCGTGGTGTCTTGGTGAAGGGCAGGCCCAGGTACTGGCTCAAGAATGCAGCGACGACACAGACAGGGGGCCATCCATCAATGACTCGTTCGAGCGGCTGATGCTCGCAAACCGCGCCAGTGTGTTCAACCCCAGGAGAAGTCTGTCGGGCACCTGGATTGCCTACACCGGCTTCATGTGGTCCTACATGTATTTCTTCCTGATACTACAGAACGAAGACTTGGACATCTTCCTCCTCAGTTTCCATTTGGAAGACCTGCTGGAAGCTGTTACCGTTTCGGAGCAAGCGGCGCTGGACGGGACGTACCCCGTGGCGGCTTGGATGTGGGCCCCTGTGTTCGGGCTCTGCGTCCTCGAGAACGTAAAGGCCCGCACGGCGCTAGAACGTCAACAACTAGGATATTGGCAAGAATCATTCCTGTCCAAGATTCGTCGGGTCAGTCGACACGTAAAGATAGAGAACTGGGAGGACGCGAAAGACGTCCTTTTCAACTGGACATCTGGGGAGCCGTTCGATGGCGAGGACCAACTCAAATGCTTATGGGAGAGGGCCGTGGTCGGGGAGAGTCCAGCTACCTCGATACAACGACCACCTGCATTGGGGACACTTTCGGTGTTTTATCCTACGACCAAGCTGGCCGACGATGAACCCGTACCTTTGGTCACTACTATCATGCGATCAACGCCTGCCGCAGCGGCGTATGCAAGAGTGCCATTTTAATCAAATCGCTTCCAGACACATACACTATATTGAATTCCGTGGTGCATTTTAGACGCCGGCTTGACGGGAATCAGCTTCATTATTGGCGCGCGCACACAAAGTTGCTGGTGATTAGAGTAGTATGTACAAGAAGTCAAAGCAGCCATCTCCTCCCCCCTATCCACTCCCCCAACTCAGCTTCCCCTCACGGAGGCGTACTTGACGGCGGAACCGAACTGGTGCTAGTCGTGGTCGGGGGCGACGACGGCGCGCAGTTGATGATGACGCGTGTTGTCGCCGACGCCTCCGTGACCGTCACGGTCGGGTAGACGGTTCTCGTACGGTGAATGGCGCCTGGGTCCGAAATCGTCGGCGCGGGCGTCGTGGTGGGAGAGCTCGTCTGCCGCGGTTGGATCTCAGCCTGCGTCCCGCGACCGGTGCAGACGACGGAGCTGACGACTGTCACGGTGGACGGCCACGCCGTGCGCGTCCTCGCTACGGTCACGGTGTCGTAGACCGTCGGGCTGCACTCGTACGTGACGGCCACCGTCGAGCCGGTGGCGTTGAATCTCACTACTGTATACGCAGTCCGGGTAAGGTGCACGGTGTTGGTGGTGAGCGTGCCCAGGGGAGTCAGGGATGTGGCCGGGGAGCTTGGAGTTGGACTCTCCTGTCGCGGGAGGATAGGAGTGGATACCGTCTCGCTTGGAAGAGCCGGTTGTTCGGTCTTCGCAACTGGCAGCCCGCCGCCGGGGAACCCGGCGCAGGTGATTCTCGACGTGGCCGTGATAGTCGTTGCGTAGGAAGTTTGCGTAACGGAGACGGTCGTTGATGCGTCCGTCGTGTACAAGTACGCGATGGTCGCCACGCACTGGTACCTCGAGAACGTCTGTGCCCCTGACTGAGTCTGCGTCTCAACTATGTACGCGGTCCGGGTCCGGGCGGGGCGGGCTGGAGCCGTGACCGTGGCCGTTACTGTGGCAGTCACATTATCTTGTCGCGGCAAGAGCCGGGATGTCGACACGTCCACAACGGGAGAGGTAGGCGACGAAGTTGGGGTTGCTGTGGTGGGAGGCGGCGCCGGCCGAGCGAAGACAGAGGTGGTACAGTTCAGATACGTCGGAACAGTCGTCCTAGCCGTGTAGACAGACCTGGTAAGCGTCCTATTGACGACCACGTCCGGAGGAGCGGCAGGTGTGACGGTCACCGTCAACGTGGTGGTCGCCTCCTGCGAGAGGGCGCCGGGGAAGGCATGGAATGCCACCGCCAAGGCAAATAAAGCTTTACAGATTCCCATTATTCCTCTTTTGCCTCCAGAGAAACAAGCGTGGTTGAGTCGCCAGTCTGAAATGCAACAGCCTTCCACCCGGGGCTTATATGCCAATCCATCGAGTTGCATTCACTTGGCTGCTCTGAACAACACTCGAACACTCGGATACCACGTAGTCGAACCGACTGGGCCTGCACCGAAGTTAATCTAGACATAATTCCGGCAGTTGCAGAGAATTAGATCATGTTTGTGCTCCATGGTTGAGAAACACAAGTCCAAACGCGCTGCCGACAATACCAATGCCCAGCGTCATAGTGGGACAGGTCAAAGTGCCGGCGGGACACAAGAAGTGTTAAGATCCCAGAGCGGGTGCTTCAGCCGAGTGGATGAATGAGCAAAGACTGAGTCTCAATACGATGGTTAGACAGGATATGCTCGAGCCTCGGCGGGGACATCATTTTTCCCAGATTGTGAGGGGCCGGCGCATATAGTGAGTAGTCCCTCGCGGCTATTTGCCAAGGCAAGGCGCGAGCCGCGAAGACTTGGGATTGGATGAACCTCGACGCTAATTGTCCCTTCTAGAAGAGTGGCTGTTCAATATTACTTCCATTTTCGGTATTAAACATTCAGTATGAGGGGGTTGACGAGCATCACCTTCTATGACCAGTGGATCGTGTGAAATGCTGCAAGAGATTTTAAGTCGGTTGCAAGGAGGACGTCGCGAGGGACTGCCCAATCGACGTGGCTTTCTCTGGATTCTGGATTGGTTGGGAGTCCAGTCTATTAGTTGTCTGCTACCCTAGGTGCTGGGCACCTACCAGTCACGAAACATTTCAGAGCCTGCCTGGGCCCATTGTACAACGCTGCCATCCAAGCGTTGAAGCCAGTGCCCCTCTCCTGCCTCGTGCGAGTGTTTCTAGTGATCACTTCTGCAAGTTCAACTGGACAGTTTGAGTAGCCATTGGCTGGTGAATAAAATGAAAATAACAAGAGGCCACCTCTTGGCTCTATTACCCTAAGAACGCCGGCCAATGCGAATGCGATGATGGTATCTCTATGCCGTTTACTCTCATACAAATCTTACACCATGAATGACTCTCCACAACCGCATTCCTCCTCTGTAATATGTGTTAGTGGCATGGACGTACGTACTCAAAGAACTGTGCGAGAGGTAGACTCACTGATGTTTGGGTTCTTGAACGTGAACCTCTGGCTCAACTTGTCTTCGACCCAGTCCATCTCGCTGCCAATGATGCTGAAGAGGGCCTTGCTGTCGATCAGCACTTTGACGCCATCCTGCTCCACTGCCTCATCAAAGGGCCCTGCCTTGTCTACATAGTCGAGATGGTAGGCAAGCCCGCTGCATCCCCTATTCCGCACGCCGACCTTGATCATCTTGGGCTCGGGCCCCTCCAGCATCTCACGTAGCTGCTCCACGGCGGCTGGCGTCAACTTCATGGCCGCCTTGCGAGGCCTCAGCTTGCGCTTTCTCTCTGGTGCCGGCTTTGACTTTTGCGCCTCGGCTTCCGGGATGGAGGCGGCCGCAGCCTCCGGGTGGCCCGTCGTCGGTGGCGTTGTGCTTGCTGCCGTGGTAGGCTGCTGGGGAGGTCTAGTCTCGTGGACCTTGGGTAGCGGGCTGGCGATCGAGGTCTCGGGGATATCATCACTGCGCGGCTGTGGCGGAGGGCGGGTGAGCGGGTATGGTTGGTATGCTTGGCCGGTCGAGAGCTTTTCCGACGCGGCACTCCAGTACTTTGACTGCGAGAATTGCCGCAGCAGATGCTGGCACGGTGTGGCGGCGCGCGAGGATGCCAGCGCAGAGCGGCTGAAGAGCAGCGACGGCACAGTCCGCTCCAGTGCTATCCGGGGCGCATTCATGGTGAACGGGTTCTGGAGGCAAAACTGCAAATGTGACCTCGGCAGCGGCTATAAGATCATCTGAGGCGTGAGCTCCCGTGAGGCTTGTCGTGCGGCGAGCTTGGGCGTCGGTCTAGAATGAGAACAAACAATGATGTAGGGTGAAGAGGCCGCGAGAGAGACACGACGGCAAGTGTGGTATCTCGGTGGCTTTGTTGGACTGATCATTCGATATGTCTGCTTTGAAAGCAGCCCGCAACCAACAGCCGTCCGATGACATACGTCGGTAGCAGCGAGACCCCGGTTTTCTGGGCCAGCGAATCACATGTCCGGGATTGTCAGCTAAAAATCCTGGTCCGGGCTGCCATTTTGGGGATAACGCAGGCTGCCAGGCCCCGTTGTCGGCTCGTCGGCCCATCATTAATCCAGCCAAGGATCCGTGAATCCATCCCGTCAGCAGTAACTAGGGCAGTCAACTGGAAGCCCGTCAAGGTGATGGGACCCCGGCGTGTCAGCCTGCGGAACCCCCTGCCCCACCTTGCAACGGGGGAAGCTTGCGAGGCCTGGGGCTTTGCTGGGCATCCTGGGCATCCTGGGCATCCTCTGACAGCTACTGTAGGGTCTACCGTAGCAGTCGGGCCAGTGGTCGATCAGTGCAGTGGCGGGGCCCCTAACTCGGCCTTTGGGAGCAGTTGAGCGTTCGTAACTCGTAACCGTGACTGCGCGCGTGCTGAGGACAGATTGGTGACCTGGAGCTAGGGTGTTGGACGGAGAACTATTCTGCTCTCGTGTGATCGTGTCTTGCGCAACGAATGTGCCGGCCTCCTGCTCTTCCTCGCCACAAGCAGACGACCAGCAGACTGGAATGAACTGAGTTTCGCCCTGCGTCGAGCCGAGCCTTGTTCCTCCTGTCCCTCCCCTCCATGCATCGCCATCCGCAGACTGCCCGACATGGAGGCTTCTCCTTTGACGCAGCAGGCGCGCCCTGAGGTCTTCCAGCAGAAGATTGTCCAGCTGTACCAGGCCCTATTCAAGGTTCGCGAGCTCTGAGCACCCATCATGCGGAGATATCGGATTAGTTATGGCTGACATTGCACATCAAAGGTATGTCCTTTCCTGTGTGCGGACCTGCAGCGATTGCGACGTCGCTGACGGTTGTCCTGTGCTCTAGGACGAGCTCGATCCCGAAAACGACGACGACAAGCCCGAGGGCTTCTGGCGAGAATTCTTTCTCTTGAATCCCGATCGACCAACTTTGCAGCGCATATTAGGAGAGCTAAGCCCCGACGAGCTACTCGCCCTTCACTCGCAGACGAGGCAACTGTTCTCGCGGGCAGTGGATTGTCTCAAGAAAGGAACAGGAAATGCGAGCTTACACGCGTTGGAGGTGCGTGTCGTCGCTACAGAGTCCCGGCCGCCAGAACAATCTAACAGACGCCTAGACCCTGACCACATTCTTCTCCGCTGTCTTGCCCAAGAAATACACGAACCCCAGCTCGGATATAATTGCCGTCCTTGCAGGGCTCGACCAAGTAGATCACATATTCACAGAGTTCGTCGCAGCGTTGGACGCCATCATCCGAAATGGAGATAGTTGTGAGTGGTCTTAGATCAGCATCCATGTCGTTTCTTCTGACAACAAGTTATAGTGGACCTGCGCCAGAGAGCGGTTGAAGTGGTCTTGGCCATAACTTCAGGCGCCTATCAGACGAGCCTCCTGACCTACTTCATCCACAGGGACCTGTTCCCAGCGATCATGAAGTTTATCCAAGATTCGGACACTCCCTCCCGAGTTCTCGAACCCTTCACATTATTAGGTCTACTAGCGAACTACAACAAGTTCGAGTTCCAGAACCCTTACCAGCTTCGCCTCAATGACTTCGTCAATGAGGCCGCCATCCAAAAGGTCATCAAGTGTGTCGGCATGACTTGTCGACATCTGAGAAACCAGTACATTAATATACAAGAGGATCTACCCGAAGGCTGGACTTTGGCCAACACTCTGGGTATGCTGAAATTAGGAGCTTTTGCCCCTGGTGCCAAGGCGAGTCAAAAGAAGCCGGTATACGACGCCGAAGTAGCGAAGCAACTGTTTGCAAAACTGTACGTTCCACCATGCTAATGGTTCCCTGTCCCCCACTGACGGACGACAGTCCTGGTGAAGATGCAGCTGTGCTTTTGGGCTCGTACGATTTTACTCATGCCAACAAGCTTTTCTGCTTCAACCTGGTCTCTTTACCCGCCGATAAAGGCGAGGAACAGCCTATATCAAGTCTGATATCTCTCACATCTTATCTTCTTCAGCATGCCTTCCTCTCCAATCGCGCAACGAATTATGCACACCTTAGCCTCATGATTTTCAGGCTGCTCATCGAGGACCAAGTGCTCTGTAAGCGTATATGCAGCGAGGAGAGCAAAGTTGCTGTGCGTCTATGTCGGCAGAGACAACCGTACCTGCCCATGGTCCGTGGCGAACGGATAATTGCTACCAGTATACTTGATACCATGGTTGACGGAATCAACCACAACTTACGGCGGCGGCTGGATGTCAGCCTATACAACCTGTGCACCGGCATCATGCTACGCATTATTTCGTATCTATCTCGGTCACGAACGCGGCTACAGTACCACTGGTCGGAGCTCTTCCGGTCCCTCCTAGCCTTGATTCGCTTCCTGACTAGCTACGCGTCGGATTTGAAGGATCTATCCCACATCGAGACACTCTTGGATCTAGTAGTTAATCTCCTGGCTTTGTCACTCTCCTCGGGCGAAGCCTTCCTCCCCACGCCGGCAGCCTATGACGATCTGTTTTACAAGACCGTGGAAAGCGGTGATGTTTTAGTCAAATTCCAGGACACCTACGGGCTGGCCAACAGGCCATCCAATTCCATCGGGACGCTGGTGAGTGTGAGCACGCATTACAAGTCAATGCTGGAGTCAGGTGGTTCCAAGAAGAACCTTACCAGTTCGGAGGTCGCGGAGGTGATCAAGCAAGGCTACGAGACGTTGAGCATCCAGGCTAAGGAAGGTCTCGATGGCTGGGAACGGTACAGAGAGGCAGATGAGAGGAGTGTGCTGAAAAAGATGGCTCGCGCAACGGTGGGCGACGTCAAGGTCATGGTCGAAGCTTGAGATATCTCGCTAGCGTGCGAATGCAGCATCTCAGGCAACGAACCTATCAATATGTGAATCTATACATACCTCAACACATTGTCACATGAGAATTGTGCCGACTTATCAAGATCGGCCGCGCTCCAGTCATTGCTGTGGTAGACTACGGCGTTAGCCGCTAAGAATGGGTCGTCGACCCCAGCAATCCCTGTCATCACAGTTGGTTACCAAAATCTATTCCTTGCCGATATCGTCGTCGAAAGAGTCACACATTCAATAATTGAACGGCGCCGTGCAAGGACTCGATTTGTATGCATTTTGAATATAGACGCATCTCTAGGCATCCAATGTGTACCATTAGTCATACCTTTCGCTTCGTGAATCTACAGTCCAACCGCCACAGCCAAGATGCCACTCCAACTTCAGCCCCTGGAATTATCAGACTTTGACACTCTCATTTCGCATGCATCTACACATGCTCCAGGCGATGATCTCGTCGCACCTCTTAACCCCTTGGTCTGGCCCGTCCGCACACGCGCCGAAGCGCAAGCGAGGGCCCGACACAACTTCGCGCTGCAAAAGTGGCGTTTCGTAGAGGATCCAACGACCCGGTTCCTCAAAGTCGTCGATCCAGAGGACGGCGGCCAGATCGTCGCCGTGGCTCGCTGGCATTTCTACCCGCAGGGCTACGACTACGCCGAGCAGGCGCATTGGGAAATGGCGCCCGCGACACCGCTGAAGAAGTACCTTGCCGCCGTCAACGGCCGAGAACAGCCAGGGGAGGGTAGTTCGGAAGCAGATGTAGAGTCAGACATGCAGGAGGATGTCTACCCACCGCGCAATTTCAACATCGCCCTGCACAACCACATCCTCGCATCCAGGGACGCGTTCCGTCCGTCCTGGATCCCGGGCCGCGCGCCATGCTGGGTCCTGATGCACCTCGTCACACGCTCCAGCCAGAGACGGCGGGGCGCCGCGGGTCTGTTGGTGCGCTGGGGCATGGATCGGGCACAGGAGACGGGCGCGTGTGCCTACCTCGAGGCGGGGGTGCAAGGCCGGCCGGTGTACGAGAAGTTCGGGTTCGAGCAAATCGGTGAGGAGAGGAGGGTTAGTTTCGCACGGTTCGTAGGGGAGGATGGCCCGAGGGAGATTGTCATGGCCAATATGAGGTGGAATCCTGAAGTGCAGGAGGACACGCCAGGTGAGAGTATCTAGCGGGCAGTAGCATGGGCGCCTTTGGTTCGGGGTGTTAGTGACTAGGCATGCTTCTCGAACGATATCCGTATATCCTAATAGAATACCACTAAGAAAGGTGGCACGCGCCACATTTCCTATGGTAATTGTGGCATACACTGTTTGAAACAAAGATTCTCCTCATTATATGCGATCGAATGAGCGACCATTTTGACACGAAGTTAAGAACATGACTTCAACCCAACAGCCTTCTAGAGATACTGTAGGTTAATTTTTCCCGTGCACCAAGACGAGACATAGTGCGAATTATGAATGTGCTTCCTAAAGGCTGGCATTCTGCCTAGTTCTCTGCCGTTGATCTCTGTGGTCTCTGCTCAGATTCTAGGCCCTGAGACGGCCGTGCGTATCTGGAATCTCTTTCTTCCCGAGACAACCCAATCCACCAAGGCTCCGACGATAACAGCGCCAACTAAAGGCCCTGCGTAGTTCATGGTATTGCCATCGACAGGCAGGACCGTAGGAAGGGGCATCCAGGCAATGATGAAGGTGATATAGCAGAGCGCGAACAGGTTGACAGGAATCCCCATGCTTTTCAAACTGAACGGGCCCCATGCGATAGATTTCGGTCGCGTAACGCGCCGCCAGAACACGAAGAAAATGGGCAGAAAGTAGGAGATATAGAGTGCCAGAGCTGGAAGAGAGAGGAAAGCGTTGAAAGCGGTCGAGCTTCCAATATTGATCAAGGCGAGTAATGCTACACAGGTGCCGATGAGCAGCAGTGCATTAAGTGGTATCTTCAAGTATGGGTTGACCTATTCAGAATGATCAGTATCGACGCGCAGTCCCTTTCATGGGTCGGACTCACAGATCCAAAGAAGTTTGAAAATGGCAGGCCCTTGTCGCGGGAGAAAGCCCAAATGAGGCGCGATACTGAGGCGAAAACATTAAAAAAACTGGTGAATATCACCAGACCCATAACCGCGACGAAGAGATTGGTGGCGGCCTTCGATCCAGTTGCTTGGTAATAAACTTCAATGATTGGCAGGCCTGTCGGTGTGCTTGCGACTTGGTCAACATTGCCGATTGTGAACAAGAGGCAAATCATGTAAGTGGTCTGCATGATTGAGTTCAGCACGACAGAAAGTATCATGCTTCGCGGAACGCGAGTGCGTGCTTGCACTACCTCGTCACCTAGTGGAATTAGCAGTCGCGTCACCAGAATCAAGCGTAATGGACTTGCTCATGTGGAGGACCCCATCAAATCCTGTATCGTGCATGTCAGAAGCTTCTTCACAACAGTCTAAGGCACTTACAGTTCACGAACCTGTAAGAGGGTATGTGACCGTCAACAAGCCAATACCCCAAGCGACAGCGGGATTCGTCCACCCACTAACATCATGCGTCAAGGTCTGTCGAAAGTCAATACTCAGTCGATTGAGAGGAATCATGTATGGCGGCAATAGTCAAGGTGCTGGCATTCGGGCGTACCTGAAAGACGTATCGGGCCGAGCTACGTTGCGCCATAGCTAGCAACGTAACGATAGACGCCACGAAGAACGCGATGTGAAGGAAGGCGCCGATGCTTTCTATTAACTTGAGGATTTTTCTAAACCAAAAGTTGCCGACCAGTGGCAACAAAGTGATCGCCCACATCAATAAAGTGATGTGCCATCTTTGCGGTACATAGTCTGGGCTGTTGAATATTGCCAGGCCTATGATGATGTTTGAGACCAGTGCTGGATTGGAGGTACAAGAACAAATCCAAGCAAATGTGGTGATCCATCCTACTTCTTGTCAGCCTCTCATCATCTACTCTTACGGGTGAATTTACCTTGCATTAACCCCCAGAATTTGTTCCAACGGGGTGCGAATCTTGCCGACCATCTGTATTGAGCACCGACAGTGGGATCCCTTGTTCCGTCAGCCAGGCAGGCCAAAAATTCTCAGTAAGGTAGAAGCTCCTACATTGAGGCCATCTCAGCCAGAGACATAGCAACGGCAGTCGTGCCGATACCAGCGAGGAAGCACCCATACACCATAGAAGCGGGACCGCCATTTGCAAGAGACAATTGGAACATGACAGCAGACGCTTCCCATGAGCATTCAAGCACAAAGCCAAAGTTGATTGCCGAAACAAATGAAATATATCTCTAATGCTAAGGTCAGTTTCGCGTAGGTAGTTTGGGAGTAGGTAGCGTGCGAACCTCAAGCACCCCATCGCCGCGAGTCTCTTCAGTATTGAGAGAGGGAGTCGTGTCAGACGAAACAGCCTCCTGGCAGTCCTCCGACCTTTCGGGCAATGTATGCTTCTCGGTGTATGCCATGATGCTCTTACCCAAATTTCCAGATTCCCTGTTGCTGTAATGAAGGAATGTATCAATAGATCAATCGAGAGACTTCAGAAAGTCCTCAGCCACCAACCCAGAAAACACGTCCTGGTGCCAAGCCGCTTCAAGGTGGGATGTAGCGAGTGCTATATGCAAAGGCACCGCTAGCTTGTGTGGCTCATCTATGATTGGACGTAAATTATAAAACACGTCCAATCAGTTTGCCCCTACCGTCAGATATTGGTTTTTCTCGATGCACTGTAACCTGTAAACGAATACTACATTTGCTGTAGAAATGCAGGGTCATGTAAGTGGCTGGCTAAGCGGGGCTTTGAGCCTACCGTAGAGCAATCATTTTTGTGGCCGATATCAGACTGGGTGGTGCTCACCATGACCAGACGCGATTGAAACTAAGGACTAACTTGGTGTATCACACAGTTTGACGCGAAACATAATAAAAGTGTGCTACAGGCTTCCACACTGATCATAAATATTCATAACGGTTAGTAAAAAAAAAAAAAAAAAAAAGGTAGAACTTAGTGCGCGAATGCTAGAGGTTTGAATAGTGGTGTGTAGAAGGATAGATTCTAAGCTTTCCAAACTTGTGCCAAAAAGCTGTGCACTTTACACACGGGTAGATAAGATAAGCCTATCAGCTTATTGTATCTCCTATTGTGCCACCAGACGGCCCCACGTAACGTACCTAGATCTTATACACGATCTTGTAGTTAGAAAGGACCCCGTCACGGTATTCTTGAAATCCCTTCGGCACAGAGTCCAGTCCCTCGAACAACTTCGGTGTATTCGGCCTGATGGCCCCAGAGGAGAGCAACTTGGAGAGTTCCTCGAAGAGGCTAGCTGCGAGCTCGTGGTCTTCCTTTTGCGGCTGTCAGTCCGATTAATAAACGAATTGAATTGTTTGATGTTCATGATGACTTACCGGCCAGTAGAAATCCTGATATTTATGCTCCTTAAAGAACGCCGTCCAGACAAGCACATCCATCACCTTAGTCTGCTTGGTCACATTCTCGGTGAAAGCCTTGTGACTGAACCAATGGTACGTGGTTCAGTCAGAAGGTGATATCAACCCGGACGAGTAACTATATGGCGTGGAACGAGTCCGCCTCGCTGTGTACGTGCACATTTCAGAACGAGCTGACAAGCGAGATCTTTATCCACGTGGAGCCGGTCGTCCTGGGCGCCGTCGGGAGCGCCGTCGGAACACTGGACCAACCGTTGATTCGTCAGATCGCCGGCTTTGATCAATTTGAGAGCAAAATATTCCACAGGGTCTGGTGAAACCAGACGGCAAACTCAAAGGCAGAAACATCGTGGTGCTAGGCAGTGGCGCCTCCACGACCCAAGTCGTGCCAGGTCTGGTGAAGGAGATGGACAGCAATGGGAACGTTGGACAATTGATCAAAAGCGCACATTCGTGGACGAAACGGGTAAGTCGCACATGTGTGCCCAGACAGCCGTCTGGGGCCAAGTTATCGTGGCCAAGGGAAACCAAAGTGCTCCGGCGCTTGGAAGATTTCCATAAGCTATATTCTCTTTTCAACGCGTCTGTACCGTATGCTCTTGGCCTGGAAACACGAGAGAAGGTTCTACTCCTTTCTTATGAATGACTCTGGCGCCCGATGCGGACGCAGATCCTGGTTGCTACTTACCAGTACATTTAAAACGACGGTACGGCCGAAAATAAGGAGACACTGAAGCCTGGCTACGAACCTGGCTTCAAGCGACGATGCGGGTGACTTCGTTTCGAAGCAGGCTCATCGAACTGGAAATACCTGGTCATAGAAAAGCAGCTGGACTGAGGATCTGCACAGCGGCAAATCTTTGGCTTGGCCAAGTATCTCTGTCGAAGAAGTGTGACGATGGGACAAGCCTGACATAGTGACAAGCATCGTCGCCCGTAATTGAGACCATACAGACAAACGAGTGACTGGTTATGAGTTGAAGTTCTATATCCAAGGATTTCTCATGTCCAAACCCAACCCAACACAACACAACACAACACAACACAACCCCCCCCCCAAGAAAAAAAAAATGACAAAAACAAAGTTCCCTGGCATAGCAACTCCAAACCCCTCCACTTCAGTTCCATTTCTTCAAGCTCTGGAATAGCCTCCGATCTACAATTGTATGGCTTGCCATTATGCGCCTCTCAATTTCTGCAAATGCTGCTCCTCTACATCATATGTGGACGAATTCTGCGTATCGCAATTTTCGCACTGTCATCAGGAGACACGTTGGGCCCAAATGTCAAGTTCTTCGGTCGGCCCTGCTTTGGGTCAATCAACCTGAAGTCAAAGTGTCGGATCATATAACTCAGGATCGCTTTGTTTTCAATAGTGGACACCCATCGCTGTCCTAATATTAGGCATGGTTACGAAAATCAAGTGGAAGGGGCTGCTTACACCAGGACAAGCATGCCGGCCTGAGTGGCGACGAGCGCAAACATCAGCATGTATCGCGTCGACTGTTATGGAAATACAATTTACTTACCAGCGCCAAAGTGGAGGGACTCTTCGGTGGACGTAGGATACTGGTAATTGTTGGCAGCACCCGGTACCTCACGCAATTTGGCGAACCGCAAAGCGTCGTATTCCTCGGGGTTGGCCCATACGTTGGGATCCATCGAAACTTGGGAGGATGGAACCGTTAACACAGTTCCCTTTGGCAGATGGAGCCCGTTCGACAAGACGATGCCTTCGGGAGCTGTAATCACCCGGTCAAATGTGGCTGTGAAGACGTTAGAAACACTTCATACAAACAACAAATACAGGGGAAGATATACAATACGATGGAGGATTTACTCGCTGCGACTCTTTCATAAAACTGTCAAGTTTTACCATTTTACGCATGGAAGCCTTGGTGAGGTGCCCAGCGCACTCGTCCCACAGACCATTGATCTCGTCACGCAGCGGCTGAATGAAGTGTGGCATAGCTGCAAGATCATACAGCATATGAATGCCTGCAATGGTGGTGGTGTGAATGCCCGCTAGCATGATAATCATGTTCTGTTCCGACTGGCGTGCAAGCGTAGGTAGCTTAGATTCGCGATGCGATGCTTCCAGAACGAACTGTAAGAAGTCCAAATGCGGCTCATCTGAGCGCTCTTTCTCATTTCCAGAGGTCCTGTCCTGCAAAAGAGGTACCAAAACTGACCTTGCCTTGTAGAGGAGAAATACTGTTTTCTGTATCTCTCTCAAGAAGGGTAGACGAAGGCGCCTGAGTGGCGCTGGTGTACGTCGCAACTTACGCGCGGCGCGGAAGACGTTGTCCGGAAAGGCGATAATCCCTTGCAACCAATCTTCTTGACGATTCAGCTCGGTTCCGAAGAACAATCTCCCGGTCATGTACCCGACTATTCGAGCATACTCGTCGCTTATTTTCACGTCGTGCCACACTGGTTGGTGGATGTCAGCCATGACTGTGTCTTGCCGAAGATAGCACTTGTTCAGCCAACTCACCATCAGTTTCGGCCGGAAGCAGCAGTTTAGTGGCGTACTCTACCTCCTCCAACATTCCAGGCAAAAGTTCGTCTACCAATAAAGATGTTTAGGAACAGATGAGTTTAGCATGGTGAAGGTAGCTGCGACTTACCGAGCTTGGGCGTCATCATTGACTTGAGAGCGAAGATGGGGGCTTTTCCTGATAGATCAAAGAACTTGTGTTTGCCTTGGACCGCCTATGTTGATGTCAGTTGGAACTCGCCCTGGGGAACAAGCCGTCCACTTGGGCTAACTCACGTTGGCCGCGCCGGAATAAAAGTCACACATGTTATCCGGCATGTTTTTGAGTTCATTGAGAAAGTCGGGGGAAACGACTGTCACGTAACCGTCGGGGCTCCAGAGCTGGTAAGCACCGTGTCGATACTGCCGCAACACAAGCATGTCAGACTTAAGGGGCTTCCGCAGGCTACGGAGTCCATTCTACCTCTCTATAACCTTCTTTCATGTACTTCTCATAATCGTACTGCCACTCACGCGAAGCGCGACCAAAGTCTCCAGCCTGAAGATTGAGAACTGGCAGGTTGAGCTTTTTCTTCCGATCTCGTAGCGAAGCCTTGTAATCAATAATCGCGATCCAACCCGACACAACAGCCAAAGCTGATATAATCCAGATGAGATGAGTCGCAGACTGATAGATAATGGTGTGAAGTACAGAAAGAGTTCGGGTATTAGAATCAATGATTGCACTGCTGGCTGGAAGGCTCAGTGAGCCGTTTTTTGTATACGTATCCATGATTTGCTTGCTGTACTGGAGGGTTTCTGCAAGTTTTAGTAGCCAGTCTTTTAAATGGAGGACGTTGAATGCCACAACGCAAGGCGATGACTGTAAACTCAGAACCTTGACGGCCTTTATACCTGTGATTACGATATCTATGATAACAGACATCTGGTGACCCAATGCAAGTACTGGCTGCGAGTAGAGTTCAGCTACCGCAACAGATGTGGAGACAACGGGACGAGGCTTGACGGGCCGTAATACTACTTCAAGTGATAATGATGGGGCTCTGGGGTATCTAATGTCTCGGCCGTGACTGGGCTTTCTCTGTATGGCTCTATCAATCCTGATTGAAGCGCGTCATCCTTGGCCTTGGGTCCTCTAGTCCAGACCAGCTAGATCAGGCTGGGTGGATCCAGACAAGACCCGCCCGCCCGCTTGGAGGTAATTGGTAATTATACTTGTCTGATCGGAACTTGGAGAGCACTGCATCCGGTACGGACTCCGCGGCCTGGTTAGATTGACGCGGTCTTATCGCTCATGGTCATCGTGACTGTTATCATAATAGCCAAAATGATGCTCCGAAACTGGTGGTGGCTTGAACTTTATATTTACTTAAAAAATTTTGGGTGATTATCAGCCTTGAGTAGGAATTAAGGCGACGGGTCTCTTTTCCGTATGCTTGATGGACTTTGAATAACATTGACAACTGCATAATGGTCACGAAAAATGTATGACGCTCGGCTGAGAGACAACATGCCCTACCTCTTTGAGTATTGGAACGTCAGAGAACGGTTCATTGGTACAAGCGCCACTTTGCTAGGTCTATAACACGCATCCTGTCAAGCGCCGACTGCCGGTTTAGAACCCGAAGATATTCGCAAGTTGCACCCCACGGGTCCAAGTCTGAATGAAGTCGACTTTAGAGTTTTAGCCAAGTTCAGACTAAACTTCGTTGAGCTTGTGGGGATTATAGATATTTGAGTTTTCCGGGTCTAAAAAGCGGCTCATTCTATGCGATTTACCCACTTGTGCCACGTCAAGCAAGGCCTGCTATCAAGTCTCAAGAAAGTATGCAATTCGGGCGATGTGTATGTGGGTCCTCATTGACAATGACAAAATTCCATCTGCTTGGCTTTGCTTGCAGGAGTGACTAGCAATGTGGACCTAACATGTCATTGTACACAATAGGGTATGACCCTGATCAATGTTGCCCTTGGTCAGAGGCATGCTGCTTCGTTTCCTTCTTCTTCTCCTCCTTCTTCTTCTTCTAAGACATGGGATAGGTAGAGGGAAGATTACGCCATAAACTATCAGTCGCGGTGATGTTGTCTTCGTGGGTACCAAATGCCGAGGGCTTTCTCCACTCCTTCGTTCTTTACCGTTTATCTCACTGGGCATTCCAACAACCAGTACAACCAGTACTGAGTCGGATCGTGTTATCACTCTTGGTTGGCCAATGGATACAACGGGTGGTGCACTTTCGCATCCTTCAAGCTGAACTGCTCCTTTGGTGTGTTGCTTCATCCATATGGTTCGTGCGAAGAAGATTGGTTTATAGACAACTAGTACGTTATGGACATACGACCTTACGAACTGAAGGATACTGCTGATATGCTACTAGTCACCAAGCATACCTCATAATCTTTTGCTTGGACATCTTCCAGCACTCGCCCGAGTCAAATCTGGCTTACCTCGCGACGTGCATATTCAAGTCGTTGTTTCAATTCTCGCTGATTTCTATGGCATGCGCAAGCAGGGGGTGTTCTATTTGGAGTTAGTTACCACCATCTACTATCATATGCTGATAAACTCTTCAAACCACACAAAATATCGGACACTGATCGAGATGGCTAGCTAACTCAGTGTCATTAGTCTATACCCGGTTCAAGTGGAGCCTTTCATGGTCGTCTTATCACCCAATGCTATTCAACAAGCATCTACCACGTTGGGTAAGCATTCCCCAGCGTACTTGCCATACACCTCAGTGGTGGGGAAAGATTCACTCGTAATCTTGAACGGGCAAGCATGGAAGTCACTCCGGTCAGAATTCAACCCAAGCTTTTCTTCCTCCAACCTGCAACCCTTTTTAGGCGCCATACTTGCAGAGGGCCGGACATTGGTCAGTCGGTTAGACAGTATTGCCATGGCTTTGGGCTCGATACCATCTTTAGAGGAGATGGTTGCTGCGGCAAACGCCGACATCATTGGACACGTTGCAACTGGCCATTCATTCACAGCCCAGGGGTCGTCGACTAATTTAATAACCGACCTTACTAAACTTAGCCGCATCATCCGAGGGGACACAACAGTCATACCATCATTGAAAGAAAAGCTATTCCGGTCCCAAACAATCAGACGTCTGGCTGTGAAGACATCGAACATGATAGAAGATAGAATCGTGTATCGCTGGCGTCGTATGCAAAATATACAGCAAGAATCTGGGCATGACACATGGGATTCGAAGAATAGGGCCATGCCAATAGTGGACGCTGTATTAAGAAACCGACTCAAGACCGAAAACACCCTCCTGCCTGGCACACTCAGCATGGTGACGGAAAAGTAAAACCTGATAAACAAAGAGAGATAACCATGAGCTAATCAGATCACAGTATCAAGAGCATCATATTTGCCGGTGTTGACACGACCGCATCCGTGATAAGCGTATGTATATCGTTAAAAAAAGCTTCCATATCAAGTTCGGTCAACTAACTGTGATCTTGTAGCATGCCCTTTACGAACTGTCACAAAATCCCGTTGCGCTGCAACAACTGCGAAAAGAGCACGACGACGTACTAGGATCAGACAGCTCGCATCTTTGGGATAGTATCCTCTCAAAACCCTCTCTCTTAAACGAGCTTCCGTACACACTTGCGGTGATGAAAGAGACAATGCGCATGTATACGCCAATCGGTTCCACTCGGATGGGGCAAAAGGGGTAAGCATTACCCATACAACTGGCGCTTGCTACATAACATTGGGGATCCTAACGTAATGTGTGCTGTAGGTTTAATATTAATACCGGAGATGCGAGAACGAGCTACCCAACTGAGGGTTGCATGGTTTACCTGGCCGGTCCAGCACTCCACCGTGACCCGGATCTGTATCCTCGGCCAGGCGAGTTCCATCCCGAGCGCTTCATGTCCGATGGTCGCAGCGAATGGCCCGACTTACCCAAATACGCCTACCGCCCCTTCGAGATGGGGCCTCGTACTTGCCTGGGCCAAGACCTGGCCTTACTCGAGTCGAAGGTCTTGCTCGTGCTATTAGCGAGACGCTTCGACTTTCAACCTGACTACAAGGGTGACGACAGCCCTCGCAATAGTATTGAGGGGTATGGCCGGCGGGCTTACCAAACCATGTACACCACTGCGAAACCCAAAGAAGGAATTCCCATGCTTATTAAGTTACGCAACTAGTCTGATCGGCCACTGAGAAAAAGCATTGCGCGAAGGGGTATCCTCATTGACATATTTCCACATGACATTTCGAACTCTTGAACATTTAGTTGCGTCCTCCCGGTGACGAGGTGGTCTGAAACTCTCGAAGAAGAAGCCGGGCTGGGTCATAGGCTCACTTACACGAAGCAAAGCAGTAGACAGAGGGTATTGGAATGAGGCGGTCTCCAAAGTAAATACTTCCATAATGGATAGCAACACACTCTTTGATTATGAAAATAGGCAAAATACTTTTGTCCGTGGCTACAGTCCTCTTCATCCTGCTTCCAAATATCGAGGCCTATGTGTTGGACATTATACCTGAAAGGTTTCTTGGATACAATATTGCCAATGACCAAAATATCTGGAGACTTTGTGTTTATATCTCTCTCAACAAGTTTCCTTAATTTCGAAATTGTTCTCATGCAAGCGAGTCTAACTTTGAGTCGATCTTGGCAACACATTCCCTCGCTATTTGGGACAAGAAGTTGCATCATGCGGTCTGACTCGCCCATCTCATGCTCAGGACATAAGAGTTGCGAAGATTATTCTCATTCGTATAATAATTTGCTGGTCGGTCATGATCCGGAGCCTCTAGTCATATGGTCTCAATCTGAATCGTATGCGTCTCGGTGACAGCGAAACGTCTCCGGATCGTAGAATCTGGAGGTTTGATCTCCAGTCCATGTCACGCCGAACTCGAGAAGTTGTCTTCTAATGGCCTTGAGGGGCTGCGAATCCTCATAGAGCATTCTGTCCCATTGATCCGAGTTTCCTACGACGTACAAGCCATCTCTAGCACGAGAGACCAAAACGTTGAGTCGGTTTTTGTTGAGAAAGCCGGGTGATGATGTTACAACAGGATCGAGCAAGACAACATCGAACTCTCTTCCCTGAACTGTATCTCCTGTCTCCAAAACAACGTGAGCAGTCGCTGGGAATTCGATAGCCATCTTGGCCATGGCCGCCTTCAGGCGCTTTCGTTGAGCGTGATATGGGACAAGGATGGCCATGGAGCACATCTTGGTCGTCCCAAACCCATCTTTCAACAGCCTTTCTAGGATGTTCAGGATGACGGCAGCCGAAAGATCACAGTATCTTGAACTATGGTCTTGCTGGTTTCTTGCTTCAGGCAAGTTCGCAAACAAAACAGAGCGGTCATGCGCACCACCATAGTACTTCTTGTTGTGTCCGACAATCTGCTTGGCCAGGGTACGGCTCTCAAGTGAAATACCTGAGCTGATGCGGCCACCATAGAATGCTTGGTTGTATACTTGTGCGACCTGCGGGACAGCTCGATACTGGGTTCTGAAGAATCCAGACCATTCCAGATTCTGATCGGAGCATGACTTTTGGATTCTCTCTTGAAGCGATAGTCCGATTTGTGCTTTGAATGGGTTGTCCCTCTGAGTCTGTCCAATGAAGGGCGGGAGCTGGTTTTTGTCTCCAATCATAAGTTTGCCGCGAGCATTCGTATAGAATGCGATAAGTGGCCACCAGTCATACTCCGGTATCCTTGCAGCCTCATCAACCACTATGAGCTCTGCAAGACTGCCGTAAGCTCGGGTAACGTTGATGTCCATTGCACCGGCCACGGTCGAACAGATTGCAGTAGCATTGCTGATTGTGTGGCGCGCGAGGATTTCACTTTCTTCTTCGAGTAGTGTCTGATCTTTCGCTGTCCATTTCTCGCCCCGCAGGTACCTCTTGTACAGCACCTCGAGGGCTGGATACTTTGTCGGTGCGGTGAAAGTACCATCCTTCTGCAGACCAAGAGCTTGTTGCATTCGGGTTCCAAGAGCCAGATGAAGGTGCTGCACCCTGTCGTCATCAACTTCTGCGAACTTGGTGCTTGCGAAGTGCTCAATAAGCATTGTAGTCTCGTCTTTGTGTTTGCCTCTGGCCTGATCAGAGATTTGGGGGTCATCAGAGGTCCCATATCGCGCCATCCTCGCCGGACGCAGAAATATTGAGATTTCCGTCTTGATGCTATGGAGCCGTACAATCGCTCCAGGCGAGATTCCTTTCCCAATCAGGCACTTCGTCCGCTGGTAAAGCGCTTCGGCCATAGCATCGGCGCCACGATTTCCGGCAGAAGTAAGGAGTAAATGGTGCTTCTTGGTGTCACGAAAGAAGGGAAGAACTGCCTCAGTGGCAAAGCTATAGTCGCAAGTTAGATTGGCCGATAAAATCTGGCACGAAAGGGAGAACTCTGACATACTGCGTTTTGCCGGTGCCTGGGCCACCTTGAACAAGGACAAACCCAGCTGGGGCATGTCGTGCAAGATCGATGGCCTTAAGTTGACTCTCATTCAGTTGGAACACCTCGTCCTTGACCAAATTTTGGTCCCCCAAGCCATGATAAATGTTGAAAGTACGAACGTTCTTCTCCAAATCTTTGGCCATCAGAAAGTCCATGATAACACCGAACCGACCAGGAGACTGTAATCGTTGTTGGGCATCCCAGATGTATACATATCGGGAATGTCGAGGAATTATGTTGACTTTGAAGATCAATGGTCCCCACTTCTGTTTCTGACCTTCTTTGGCCAGAATGCCGCCTTCATCCAGGGTGCCAACCAGCTCATCGGGCCGCGAACCTGGAATAGTCTCGTTAAATTTGAGCTTCCACCCAGCTTTGAATGTAGAGTCGCCAGGAAGTTTCCAAGAAATCTCCGCGTTGTCACCCTTGCCAATCTCCTGAGCAGTTTCCTTTTTCACCTTCGAGAGCATAGCTATGAAGATGGGTCGGTTATGGCGTGACAACCTCTGGACCATTGCCGTGCATTCAAAATCTTTTCTCTGGTCACGTTCTTCCAACTCTTGTGTAATGCGTGCCTCGACGCTCAGAGTTGCGAAATACTCATCTCGGCTGTCAAAGGTATATGCAGGCTCCCTCGGTGCTTTTCCAACCGTTCTTCTGGTCAGAAATTCTCGCCTCGTAGCTGTATCGTCCAAGCGACCGCATTTGAGAATTTCTTGGTAATCAGCCCTCTGAAGAGCACCATACATATCATCAAACTTCATGATGGGTGGTGGGGTGAATCGAACCCGGGAAGTCTCGCGGAGTGATAGTTCAGGAAAGCTTGGAGTAGGGACAGCCCACAGGCGCAAAGCGATCAGCTGGGCTTACTGGTGTGACTAGCTATATACCTGGAATTATCACACTTCGGCAAGACACGTCTCTGCTTTTTGGGGCGAGGAAAATGGCGGTTGGCGTTTGCTGGCGGATGAAAACGAAAGGTGGCTGAAAGGCGAATATTTTGGCGCAAGTCTTTATTTCCAGTACAAGACCGACTTGACCAAGAAACACAACCGAGATGCGGGTTGGCTGAAGATGAAAAAGTTTTGCCGTCTCAGAATGGTTTGCGAAGAACGAGAAATCGGCCAACCGGTCTCGAAGAATGATGATTTTGCTGGGCGATCGAACATCACCTGGAACTAGCTCCTGGAAAGCGGCATGAATATCGGGTGTATTAAATCAAGGCGAACCAAAAGTGAAGGGCCGACGATGGCAGGTGAACAACAACCAGTCTGCTATCGAAGGGAGCTCCTTCGATTCCAAGGGAATGCTGAGAGAGGAGTTGCGCTTCCGTTTGCCGACTTCGGAGTGAGCATTGATCGTTACTCAGGAACTGAGGTAGGAAATTGTCAGCTATCTGGGCCCAAAATTTCCGTCAGAAAAGTTCAATTGACACACGTACCCGTTCGCAATTTGAGGAGCTCTGTGGACCGATGTTGCCACTCGAGATGATCTGGGTGTTGATGGGTTAGGGTGTTCAAGTCGCTTTCTCAGAGAGGAGGCAACTTCGACTGATATGTTGGAAAGTCGAAGCAGGACGGATCCAAGAACGGAGGGAGGGAAGTCGGATGACAATTTTTGAGGAACTTGTATTGCATTCCATGCAAAGTGAAATCAACAATCAAGCTATGATATATTTTGTTTGCAACAATAGCACGAAATATATGATATTATCACTTGATGTTTTTGCAGACTCCCCATACTCTTTTCTTTTTGGGCGATTTTAGCTGGTTGTTTGGGGCATACACATCACAATACCATGGCGCATGGAATTCTGCATAATCTCATCTCCGCCATATAGAGTCAGTCTGCTGCCATGGAAGTTTACCAGGGGGTCGTAACGGCCAAGAGGTAGAGATGATTTGACAGAGGACGTTCGTTGAATCGGCTCTAGCAACGGCACAAGGCGGCCGGAAGACAATGTGAAGCTCGAGACTTGATGAAGTACCTAGGTAGCTGAGAAGACCAGCACATACGACCATACCTGCTAGAGAACTCAGGATCCCGTCTGCTCTCCTAAAGATAAACTGGCAAGGGCTGGATTAGTAGCTGGGTGGGTGACCATCAGCGAATACCCGGTGTTGTATGTTTTTTGTGTCTTTGTGGGACTTTTTCCCCAGGCGGGTGACGAACGAATGCTGTCCGTGGGTCTCAACCATTTTTGACCATATATGTACAACATTATGTTTAAATTAGAGGACACGGATGCGGTGCTAACAACATAAGAGTAAGTGTCGGATATTTTGCGTCTTCGACTGTTTAGTGCCCTGAAGATTACCAATTGACAGCATGGTTATGAGACTATGGGCTCGCCGTAACATTGGCTGGTAGCGCTCCACAACTCACATCCATGTTTAAACATGAAGTTAACATGTGAGTTATCCGTTATCTCCAAACCCAACCATCTGTAGGTTGTTGCATTGCATAAATCACGATAAATCTCGATGGGCGTTTATTTCCAACCCCCCTGGGATGGTCATTATTCTCTCTCAAGATATCGTTTGCGATTTCACCAAGAACATTGCCACATATTTCTCAAGTCTTGATATCAGTAACGGTTGTGGTCACGGGGTGAAGAGGCTTGAGACTGGCATAGTTGGGAACTAATTCGAGTAAGTTGACGTATAGATAGCTTGCGATACCCCATCTTCCCAAGATCTTTTGAACTCCCTCTTGACAATCGCAACCTGTCTTATCTTGTCTGTCCAAAACATCCAATCGAAGCGCAGTACGTGATATCCAATATCGACCCCAGTCCTGCTGGTCTTCTTAGCCGCATCTGAGCTACATTGACTTGGCAAGTTCGAGCCCTCTCTGAAACGGTGCGCCCCTATGTGAAGATGTCTATGGGGCAGTGCAGGTACCGGCGCAACGGTCGAGGTTGGTGCAGGAAGGATCGTTAGGGACGCAAATCTCAGGTGCCTCGCAAGGTGCGATCCGGAAACCGCAGGGTCTGCCCTGAGCTGCGACCATGGTGGCCACGAGAGAGAACAAAAATAGCTTGAGCATGATGAAGATACTTGTATGCAGAACTGGTTCCTAACACGAGTAGAGAGTGAAGTATGGTGATATAGGTATTCTAGCTTTGACGTTTTCGAATGTAGCTCAAGACTGCTTTAGTTGCTGGGGAGCGAGGTGGATTTATATACGCTAGGATTTCTGTCAATTCCGTATGATGTATGCAATGCCTCAGTGCGGCGTTGCTTCCGAGCTCCTATCGATTATGATCTACGTTCGTAATGCGGAGGACTTGAAGGAATACACGAGCTGACAACCTGGTTTGGCCAATGAAGGTTGATGGAGCAGTCGGTGAAACAAGAGGTGAGCCTTGGTAAGGAATAAGAAAAGTCGGGGAGGCGAGCCGGGTTGACTTGGCATAAGCTTACAGTTGATCACAAAGTGTGATTCGAATCAACAAACCCATTAAGGAGATGTGGCTTCTGAAAAGTGGAAGGCCGGGGACCACAATAGGACTGTTCGGTCTGAGGGCAGATTTTAGTGTGTCAAGAGTTGACTGAACTCATGGGTTTGATCATACATTGGCGGGTGCTGATCTAGCATATAGATATTTAGCATTACCGGATTCAATCCAGCAGCTCGCGGCCGACTACGTCTGATCCCCCGTGTTACATCGTACTATGCTTGGATAGTACGAGTACGTTCGCCTTGTTTGGCTTCATTCTGACTAAGTACGTCCCAAGACAGACATATGCATAGGCTGAGATACAACCAGGCTAAATAGTACCAGCGCTCGAAAATATCCGGCTGCAACACTTGGTGAACATGCTGCACAGAGGCCTTGCCCGTCGCTGTTGTGGCTTGGGCACGCTGTGAGTAATTGAAATGGCAGGGGCGGTGCTACTTAGATACGTACTTGGACTGAGGTGCGTGCTTTTGAAGTTTACTTAGCACGTCATTGAAACGCCAGCCAGTTAGCTGCTTCTTGCAAACCGGATCTGGCAATCGAGACCTTGTCGATGAGTATTCGGCTTTTGCATGGCGAAAGACTCTAGACTATCTGCCCAATGACGAATATCTTGTCCCGCATGATTCAAAATGTTCCGTCGGTAGATCAACCACCCGAGTGTTCTCCTGACGAGGCGACACCCCGCACATTCGAAAGGAGACCGTCGATCTTGGCCCCTTGGGTCGGTAATGAGTGCCCGGGTAAAGGCAATATCCCCACTTATCACCCCAGACTTTGGAAATGAATAAAGTTGATTGGGACCCAATAGGATTATTACACTGCTGGTATGCAAGTTCCATGAAGTAAACCATTCCAGTGTTGCAGTAGAAATGTCTTGAGCCTGGGTTTATTATTTCAATACTTGTCTCACCATGCACAGCCTAGGGCTATACCTATATGCTGTCGCTCTATGCGGAGTTGCATATGCCAAGCCGGGATGCAGCTCGAAGATCGATAGGCGCAAGGTGGTACAACAGTTCAACCCGCACCGCAATGCGAGCTCGGATACTACACCGCTGCAAGTGGGCAATGGAAATTTCGCATTCGGCGTCGATGTCACCGGACTGCAGACTTTCCAGCCTTTTGGGACTCTTTCGACATGGGGATGGCACAATTTCAGCTTGCCCACGACGGAGGGACAGACTTCCGTAGAAGGTGAGTAAGTGTTTCTGAGATTGGACTGGCATGCTGACTTGGCTGGGAAGACTTCACTGGGTTGGATTGGTGGACACATGGCCGGCTGGTCAATTATAACCAGCCGAATCCGGCTCAGAATGATATCTCGCAATGGCTAATACAGAACCCGCAGAGGGTGAACCTAGGCAGGATCGGCCTTGCGTTTAATGGAGGTGACGTGACGGAGGACATGCTTGAAGGCACCACTCAGACCCTTGACTTGTGGACTGGCAGAATATCGTCATCGTTCAAGTTCGAGGGACAGACGGTCGTTGTGGAGACATGGTCAGACTCGCATTCCGACACAGTTGGAATCAGCATCGAGTCCGCTCTGCTGTCGGATGGCACCCTCGGGGTCTTCTTTGATTACCCACTTCCAACGCGAAATAAGTTTGATGCCCCGTATGTGGGTGTGTTCAATGCGACGGCCAACCATACCACCACGCTAGACAGAAGCGGCGAGAACAGAGCGAGTATCAGACACGATCTGGACGCCACATCGTACTTTACTGCAATCCAGTGGGACGAGGCAGCTGACATCTCGCGACCGATCAACGACTCTCATCGTTACTTGTTGCAGCCTGGAAGCGGGACAACAAAGCTGCAACTCTCGGTAGCCTACTCGCCAATCTCGATCCCTGAAGTTGTGCCGTTCGATCACATCAGCTCTGCTTCGGCGTCGTGGTGGGAGTCGTATTGGACGTCGGGGGCTTTTATTGACTTGACGTCAAGTTCATCTCCAAATGCCACTGAGCTGCAGCGGAGGACTATCCTCTCTCAATACCTCGTTGCCGTCAATTCGGCCTCCTCAAATCCTCCCCAAGGCAAGGCGCATGCACGCAGGCTGTGTAAATATTGGCTAACACCATCACAGAGTCTGGGCTGGTAAACAATGGATGGTATGGAAAGTTTCACGTAAGTCCTGCGACCCTTCTAGCCCATTACTCCAGACCAGCGTACTGAGATTCTCCTAGTTGGAGATGCCAATCTGGCACTCACTGCAGTTCGCACGATGGAACCAATGGCCGCTCCTCCGGCGTAGCATGCCCGGAACGTACGACCGGTTTCTTGAGTCGTCTTATGCACGAGCCGAAGCTCAGGGGTACGAAGGCGCACGCTGGGGAAAGATGACGGACCCAACCGGACGATCGGCCCCTGGTGAGATCAACTCGCTGCTCATCTGGCAGCAGCCACACCCGATGTACTACGCCGAGCTCGAGTATCGGTCGTTTCCCCACGAAGACACGTTGAGCTCGTGGGACAAGGTCTTGACGGCGACGGCAGACTTCATGGCATCCTACGCCTTCTACAATGCGTCGACCAAGGTGTACGACCTCGGACCTCCTATGTATCCTGTGTCCGAAAACACCAACCCCAACGCCACAATCAACCCGGCGTTCGAGATTGCGTACTGGAGGTTCGGCCTCGACATTGCGATCCAATGGAAGGAGCGACAGGGACTTGAGGCACCCGCCAACTGGTTCACAGTTCGTGACAATCTTGCACCACTACCCACCGATGGTGATACCTATGCTGTGTACGAGGGCATCCCGAACATGTGGAAGAATACCACGGTGCAAGACCATCCCGCAATGGCTGGCATCTTTGGGTTGCTGCCGCCGCCGAGCAGCGGGCCGTCGCTGAACATGACGCTGGTGCAGAACACGCATGACCACATCAGCCAGCTGTGGGATATTGGGGACTGCTGGGGCTGGGACTTTCCCATGCTGGCAATGAACTCGCTACGGCTGGGTGACGCGGATCAGGCCGTCTCCTATCTCCTCCATCCTCTCTTTGAGTTTGACGACGCAGGTTATCCGGTCGGCGGCTCACGCGTGGCGACGCCGTATTTCCCGGGATCCGGCAGCTTCTTATTGGCCATGGCTATGATGGCTGGAGGCTGGGACGGGGGCGAGGGTCTGCATTTTCCGGGGGGATGGAATGTCAAGGCAGAGGGTTTCCTTCCTGGCCTGTGATGCGGAGGATCAGAGGTAGCATACCACGTAATAATTCCTGGTTAACATGCAGTTGCGGCACACGGTTTCCCCCATGATATGTAGAATGCTGGGATACACTGCCGAAAGATCATGCCCTGTATCTAAAGCATTCAAGGTTCTCCTGCGCTTATTTATAGTCACGATAGCCAAAGTCTGCACGACCTAACGCGCGAACTTCCAACTCCGGCTTCCCAGCCTGGGCTGAAGAGCAGGCGAGAACAGCATTGTGTAAGTCCAAGACAAATTAACAAATGCTCACGGGAGAAAGGTGCTGGTCGCACTGCAGGCTGGGAGGCTGGCTGGCTGGCTGGTCAATTGGGCCCTGCTGAAGTGGCGGCCTGGGGGCTACTAGCAGGGGGCAGTCATGGTCTGTGCGGGGCAAGGTCAACGTCACAGCAGCGCTCGGCAACGGGCAGTCCGCCTCAGACAGTAAACATTCCATCCAGCCCAGTTCCAGACTTCAGCTTGAAATATCCCACTACCCGGCTGCTGCACAAATCACAATCCTCTCTGGGGCTGCATTGTCATTGCCACGGTTTTGTACCCAGTTTCTCCCTCCCGTAAGTTACCTGCTGCCAACGAGTGGCTTGCATCGTCCCCCGGAGTGATCTACTTACTGAGCATGCCCCGCTAACCTCAATAACAACATCGCAGCCCACACACACAGAGACCGTCCCTCTGGAGTCGGCCATCGACAGCCAGCAAACAAGATGACATCCTTCGTAACGACAGTGTACGTGAGCCTTCTCTACCGCCCTCGGGACTGGCCGCAGGCGCCAAAACTCACCCTAACCCCTTGACGATCAACCGCCCCCAGCTAACACCCTCCCTCTCTCCCCTTGCAGCAACCAGCGAGCGCGCAACCAGTTCCGGCCCCGGCCCGGAGGCAAGGCCGGCAGCTCGAGCTACCAGCTGCGCCAGTACGCCGAGGCGACGCTGGGCGGGGGCAGCCTGCGCAAGGTGGTCAAGCTGCCCGAGGGCGAGGACGAGAACGAGTGGCTGGCGGTCAACATGGTGGACTTCTACAACCAGATCAACCTGCTGTACGGGGCCATCACCGAGTTCTGCTCGCCGGCGTCGTGCCCGGAGATGAAGGCGACGGACGAGTTCGAGTACCTGTGGCAGGACGGCGACGCCTACAAGCGGCCGACCAAGATGGCCGCGCCCGCCTACATCGAGCAGCTCATGTCGTGGGTCCAGGGCAGCATCGACAACGAGGCCGTGCTGCCCAGCCGCGTCGGCGTGCCCTTCCCCAAGCAGTTCCCCCAGCTCGTCCGCCAGATCTTCAAGCGCATGTACCGCGTCTACGCCCACATCTACTGCCACCACTACCCCGTCATCCGCGAGCTCGGCCTCGAGCCCCACCTCAACACCAGCTTCAAGCAGTACGTGCTCTTCATCGATGAGCACAACCTCGCCAGCGGCAAGGACTTCTGGGGGCCCCTGGGCGACCTGGTCGAGAGCATGCTGAAGAGCGATTGAACGGGGTGTGTGTGTGTCTCTCTCTATGTCGCAGCGTGAAGAGATGAGGAGTTGGGATAAGGTTGCCGACGATGACGGAGGGAAATGCCTGCATGGATGCGGCTTTCGATGATACCTACAAGACGCGAGCGGTCAGGCACGGAATGAATATGGCATCTGTTTTCCTGGTTTTTGGTTTCTGGCGTTCGGAGGGATTCTACTGGTATACATGCTTTTGTTGGCCCACTCCCAGGCATATCGGGTTCCATGGTGGTCATCCGCAGGGATAGGTTATAGAATAATTGGAGGCTTCTGGGCCTGTTCGCAGCTGATGCTTGCAAGTTCTCTAAGTGACAGTGAGTTCAGTGAACCCAATGCACCATTGTGCGTTTGCAGATACTCTCGTCCTCATGCAAGTTCTCACGACTACGTCAAGGGGCTTGCGTATCACTGTTTCCTGTCAGCCCTCCAGGCACAGACTTCACTTAGTCCGCCCAGTAGTGCCGAGTTCAAAATTGCTTGCTTGATTTGTAGCTGCCATCTGTTCCTATGGGTGTGACCGGCATGGCATGACATGGTATCGCTTCCTCTCCTCGCTCCAAAAAATAACCGCCAACAGGTTTTGTGACTGAGCACACGGTTCGTTTGCCAGAAATGACTTCCCCCTTATGATCAACCCACCCTCTCTTGTTTCATGCGAATTGTGCCGTGCCGAGACCATGCGAACCCCGTGCCCCTTGACTGAAACGCCATTGTTGTATGCTGTCCGGTTTGCAGTGCATCGCGCCTTTCGTCTGGCGCCTAACGTGTACACTGATGTTGCCCCTTTGGCAACTCAATAATCGATCGTTCACTCGGCAGGTGTATCCTCGAGGGCGTTGATCTTCTTCTTGAAGAACTCGAAGGCGGAGAAGAAGACGGCATTCACAGCAGCTGACCTCCCCATGGATACGCCGAGCCCGCGATACATGTCTTTTCTGAAAAAGTGAATCTTGGGAATGGGCACCTTTTGGCCTTTCGAATACATGAGAGCATTGCGCTGGTATATGCTCTTCACCGAGTCGATAGGATCTAAGCGGACCATTGGTCAGCTGGGTTTGCCGATGCGAGAACTAGAACCGATCTGGATGGAGACTTACAAATAAGGGCCCATGAGACGATGCCGCAGAGAGCTCCTGCGGCCAGAACGGCAATGGGATTCTTGTGCGCATCCTTGCCGCTGAACGTAGTCAAAAGTTGTTTGCTACTTTCATAGGTAGCAAAGTAGATCCCAGTACCCAAAGTGTCTCGCACTATCGTGGTTTGTTAGCTCAGATGTCGCCCTTGGGCCTTATAGGTGGAATCTACTTACGAAGGTGCAAGTTGAGACCGGTATACATCCCACTGAACCCCCTATGCTTTATCAGGTTCCGCAGTGTCTGGATCGTGCCCTTGTTGTGGTAACTCATGGCAATCTCCTGGCATTTCGGATCTGCATTCTTCTGATTTGCCATGAGGACGGACACTTGGGCACTGATCTTGGTCAGCTCGAAGGGGCCTGTCAACGCGAGAGAGTTAGTCCGATATCCAACACTAATCGGGAAGCATCTTGCAGCGACGAACTTACATGCGATAAAGGTGATACCTGAGCCAGCAGTAGCCCCTGCAGCTCCAAAACAGGCAATGGTGCCCAGCGTCGGATACGCGCCATTCTTATTGACATGCTCGAGCGGGCAAAACCCAAGGTGCTTCCCCATCCAATCCGAGTAGACGTACTTGGAGCGTTGGTATATCGAGAAGGACACGGTTCGTACGAGGGTGACACTAGCCAAGGGGGCGGTCACACCTGGAGAAACGGTTTGGGTCAGCCCTAGTCCAGCCATGTCCATAGCCCACATGGGAGTATACTGCATGCAGCCCCGTTGCTATAGCGCCACTTACCTCGAAAGAAGCCGCGAACCCCCTCCGACTGATACGTCCTCTGCACGCAATGCACAAAGCCGTTGTAGGGATAAGTCTGCAGGCGGGTCTTGACGCTGTCGAGGGGGAAGGCCGTGATGGTCGACAGCACGCTGGCGGAGCTGGCAGCTACCTCTGTCCTGTAGCGCTTGATCCACCGATGCGGCTTGTCCTGTTGCTGCAGCTGCTGCTGTCTGGTGCTGCTGCTCCCACTCGCACTACTGAACGGAGGCATGCTGCTGGCGGTTCGGGTCCGGAGCGAGTCTCGGGTGACATCTTGTTGGAACTTGACCTCAGTAGCAGCCGGCATGGCCTCTCCCAGTGCTGGCGGTCGGCGTATTGCGGGGCGGGCTTCAGACAGTGGCCTCGGGCGAGACCAGAGTCATCAGCGCGGTCGCGATACTGTGGCTTCGGCTGCTGGCAAGAGATTTGCCATCAAGAGGTTCCCGGGTTTCTGCCTCTGCTGGACGGGCTCGTTTCCGACGAGTATGTGGCAGACGGTCGGCAAGCTGTAATGGTGATGGAGATGGAGATGGAGAATGCGGGGTTCGTCAGGTCGTCGTCCGTCTCCCGTGCTATGGGAGCAAGCTCTCGCTGGGCTGTTCAACGGCGTGCGGTGATGGGATGGGGGGGGAAGCTCAGTAGTAGCGCTGCTCCATGGATGGTTGCTGTTGAGGCCCGAGGGAGAGCCAATTGGAGAGAGTTTGGCTCAGGAACTCGCATTCGGCGTGTGTGGTGATCCCAAGGTTTGCTGCTGCTGCTGCTGCTGCTGCTTGCGGGGTCGGCTAAGGGAGCACAGGCATGCCCAAGGGGAAGACCTACCGGCGGTGCAACACGGCGACGGCTCACGGACGGGCAGAGCTGGGGAACGGTTTGACGTGGTTGCGATAAGTGGGCAATGGGCACAGCCATGGGCACAGCACGGCGCCTGAAGCGGCTAGACGGGCGACGAGGAGGGCAGGGAGGGGGCACCTTGTCCCCCTAGTCGAACCACTATCTCCACCCTTATTCATCGACCCGTGTCGCCGCTGACTGGTCGCCGGCCTCAAGTACCGTGCTAAGTACATAGTAATAGGCAAGCAGAAATGCATGTGCTGGTCGATCTTAGCGGTCGATCAAAGGGGGGAGGTTGTGTTGTGTCTTCATCCCCCAGCCCAGCCCAGTCACTACCACCACCGCATGTAGGTATATTCATTCATGTCCATCCTCCATGTCCGTTTGGCTATCATAACGTGTGCCCCTGCCCGGCAGTTTCCGAGGACGATACTTCCCGAGGTCAGTCAGTGGTGAAGAATAAGTTCAATTCGTTGCCATAATTTTGTTTCTGTCTGTTCGCTCGTTGCTATGTAGCTGTTGATCAAACAAAACGCTTCCGAGCTATTCACCACGGTCCCCCCAAAAAGCACAATTCCATGCATAAATGCGTCACCGTGACTGAGAGTACCTATTGCAAACCGCTGGCCTGCCGTGATGCCTCCTACATATCGGATGATCGACCGGACCATATTCCGTCGGCCCAAAATAGGCCATGATAGTCGTGTGTTTCGATCCTCCAGCTCGTATGATGGAGCTGGCCCATACCTTGCAAGCCTTGCCCGCCGTCTCAGGAAATGGACTGATGGGCCCAGATGGGCGCACGCTGTGTACCATAGTAAGAGCACCTCACTCGCATTGCTGTCTACCAATGCATTGATTGGTCACCAATAATTCCGCGGTATCCATAGCACTGAATTGGCGTGCTGTTGCTCTTACATATGGGATATATACATATAAATAGGAAGATATACTACAAATCTTCGATAAAGGAAGGATGTGGTGGACATGCTTTCAATAGTGCCGCTGGAGCTTCGGCAGACCTTGATCAGTATAGCTCTTAGGGTCTGCCATGTCTCTCCAACCCTCCATCTTTGAGCATCGTCACTGAGCTCGCCTCATTGCCACTCAAGTATCCCTCGTAGGTTGTATTCGCGGCACCATGGTTCGTTTGATACAGCCTGTTGATACAGTCTGGCCGACGAATTGTACTGCCTCAGACTCAGCATCACCTTGGCAATATAAGTTCGTTCTTTCACGCGAAGATAGAGCACTCATTGCTATCGTCTGAATCATCGACGAGATGATACCTGGTGGAGCTCAGTGAATAGCTTGGGGCGACCATCGTTAGAGAAAACACTCTGGTTTCAAGAGTCAAGCTCACAGACCACCCCAAGCAGCCAAGAGCATGAGTCGAAACGGTGCCGAGCCCTTCTTTCCTTCATCCCCGTAGGCAGAGCCCCATGGATTTGTTGAGCATAGCGATAGTCATGTCGTATTGTTTGTAACCGGCCACCCTAATCTGTTTATTGAATTCGTCCGTCCTGCAGGTTGTGTCAGCTGGTCGATATTCAGAACTTGCGGCTCTTGAACAGGCGTCTCTCACTTCTGCTGGTCCAGCATGCGGTACTTCAAATTCCGAGGTCTGTATCGATGCCACGCAACATGCAAGAGGTTTTTCAGCACCTTGTGCTCCAGCCCGCGCGTCCGTGTGGCCGCCTCGAGAAATTCCACCGTCCGTGAAATGCTGCTGGGGTCGAATTTGGCGTCCCTGTCGCGGAATGCCTTCCTCAGCTGATCGCGAAATGTATATCTGGATGGCTTCGAGAACTGGACAGCTCGGAGACCATGACGATATAGATGCCGATAGGCGTGAATAATTTGAGTATCAGACATGGTCGTGCTGTAGCCTTATGAAAGTACTCAGTCAGGGCTATCTGCTCGCGTGACCTTCGATAAGTAGCTTTCGATTCTTACTTCGCTGGGTGCATTGGCGTGACATGCGCACCTGGTTCACATGGGAGGACTTGAAGCTTGGAGGCTTGCCTGCTTGCCTGCTTGCTAAGGATTCAATGGATGCAGCCAGGCGGCGCAAGAACCCAAATGGTCGGGATTACAGAAGCTGGGGCGGGTCGACTCCGCTGGAAGCGCTATTGTTCTAGCGCTTCTTAGCGCATCGGATCCAATTGGGCTGGATCCTCATATGTCATGACCCAGGCCTGAAGCCGACGTCTCATCGCACGAGGGCTCCTCAATCGTCCCATGTGACTGGCATCCAGCACGGTCAAACTTAGCCACGCCTGCAAAAGTTCTTCTTATGGCCTTCTCGAGAGATTGAAATAGAGAAAACGAAGTGAGACCTACAGACCACACGACTTTCCCCGGCAAGTTGTTTCACACTATCCCACCGCGACTCTAGTCGCACGGGATGACCCTCCAAAGATCCACGAGCCTGGCCGTCTGATGTCACATTCGCCATGTCCTCCATGGTATCAGAGTACATCATAAGGCCTGCCCTACAACAAGTCCGCCGCTTCTCACGCTCTAGTGTTGCGAGCGAGCCCGAGACTACTGTGTCGTCATCTGGCAAGTCAAAAGACCGTCCTTCGAGCCGCGACGATGCCATTTCCGAGACCGAGGAGGATTCCTACCTGAGAGACGACGAAGACGACAGTGCCTCGCCCCCGGCGTCCTCGCGAAGCTCGGTAACGCCAATCTTCGAGCCTGCCAATACGTCTTCTCCGGTATACGAACGGATCTCGAGAGATGCCCTGCTCATTCCACCCGAAGCCGGCGCTTCCCAGCGAGCCGGCGGTTCCCTACGAGCAGGAGCTTCACAACGAGCCAGCACTTCGCAAAGATCCGGCACTTCGCAACGAGCCGGAGCGACTCTCGCGCAACCCATCCCAATATCTCCTGCACCGGAGCTAGAGGCTGGCGGCATAGGCAGCCCTGCAGCAGGACCCGTAGCAGAACTATCGACCTCGCCCTTGCCCGCCGACCCGTTCCTGCCCCTCCCCGAGGATGATGGCATGGGTGCTCTCAGGAAACAAATCCTCAATATACAAGCGGAGAACCTTCCGGCCCCTGAGCAAGCACGACGGGTTCATCAGCTGTTGATGCAGAGTTATAAAAAATCAAAAGCTGCCACAGAGTTGGACCGCCCCATCTCCCCGTCAAGTGCCGTTGGTTGGGAGCAGAAGCATGCACAGGGGCGCCTCGACTCGTTCAAGTTTTGGCAGGATCTGATGGGCGAGGCCCCGGAGAAGTTTGTTCTTACAGAAGATGATATCAAACCCACGTTTGCCCCACTGAAGGCTGGCGAGGAAGAATCCGAGTATCGGTCTCTAGGCTGCGAGCACTACAAGCGGAACGTCAAGTCGCAATGCTCAGAATGTTCACATTGGTATGCCTGCCGTTTTTGCCACGACAAAGCTGAGAATCACACCATGGCCGCGAAGGATACCAAACACATGCTATGCATGTTTTGTAGCCTAGCGCAAAAGGTCGGCGAGGCATGCATTGGCTGTGGCGAGTCGGCAGCGATGTACTACTGCTCTATATGCAAACTCTGGAACAACGACCCGGATAGGAGTATTTATCATTGCCCCGACTGTGGGATCTGCAGGGTTGGAAGAGGACTTGGAAAAGACTTCTTCCACTGCAAGGTAAGATTCCAACACAATCTGTTATATGCATGACTTAACTCACATCCATTCCAGAAATGCAATGCCTGTTTAAACATCAATCTGGAGAACAGCCATAGGTGCATCGAAAGACTATTGGACTGCGACTGCCCTATCTGTGGCGAGTATATGTTCAACACTCCTCGGGGCATCTGCCACATGAAGTGTGGCCACACTTTGCACAAAGACTGCTGGGAGGAACACATCAAACATGCTTACAAGTGTCCCATCTGCAACAAGAGTATCGTCAACATGGAGACACAGTTCCGCCGGCTCGATGTCGCCATCCAAACGCAGCCGATGCCCGAGAAGTTTCAGGATACCAGGGCCGTGATATCTTGCAACGATTGCTCAGCGAGGACCACGGTTGTATACCATTGGCTTGGCTTGAAGTGCGCTGTCTGTCAGTCCTACAATACCTCCCAGTTGCAGATACTAGGCGCCGAGGCAGAGACCCTCGAAGAAGCCGCTGCAGCGGCCCCCGACGTACAACTGCCAGACTCTATCGGCAGCAGCACTGCGGATATTCTGCAGGTTACCGAAGGCTCCGGGGCACGCGACATCCCAGCACGCCGCCGCCGCCACTCTTCCAATCTGCTGCAGCTCAGCAACGAGATGCTGGTGCCGGGAACTGGTGGCATTGGGTCGTACGTGGTCCAGGACCGCCTTGCTCGCTCAGTCTCACCCGTTGCGGCTATGCATCAAGCAGATGCGGAAGACTCGGATGAAGATAAGGGGGACATGATTGGATTCTGGAGCAGGATTCCCCGAAGCATTACGTCCAATGAGGACCGTGAAGACGACGAAGGGGACTCAGATGACGACTCGGTCTCATCGTTTAGCGACAACGGCATGGATGAAGACGACGAGGAAGAGGAAGAAGACGATGAGATAAACCTATTCGGCCATCGCTAGAAGCACTGGTTGGACGACTGGATAGGATTAAAAGGTGGCTTTAGTCAAGGCAAGGCGTCGGCGTTTGGGTATGACTGGTTATTGCACCACGAATTGGGGTCTTTGGAATGAATAGGAAGCATCCCCTCCTCTGTACATTGGTTTTGCATAAAAGGGTCGCAGGCGAAACCTGGCGGTATATCTGGAGTTCAGTCACGGCATTGGGAGCAAACATGAGAGAAAGATTGCGCGAAGGCTATCGTTGAGAGAAGGACGGGACCATATCCTAGAAAATAGTTCTGAAGGCCGTATTCCTAGCACTTCCAGTAGCAGCCAATTCGAAGCAAAAGAATCATTAGAGAAACATCAAGCCTTTATCGCCTCCACAAACAGCTCCCGCATCCCTCTTAATAACACCGCCAACTCTCTGCTCTCGTTCACCCGCTCCAGCACCCTTTCGACCTTCTCCCTCTCGAGTTTCGGCCGGCAATGCCGCACATCGTAGTCCCTACTACTCGTGCATAACTCGAACCAGGCCTCCCTCTCCCAGTCCTTCTCGTCGATGTGCGAGTACACAAATTTGAGGCGGTCGGTCTGGCCGGCGCCCTCGATCTTGAGGCACAGGTTGGAGATCCAGAAGTCGAGCTCGGGCACGTTGAAGCGGGCCTGGGTCTCGAGGTAGGCGGCGTGGGCGCGCTGGGCGGCGGCGCGGGCGTCGATGTCGCGCTGGGCGTCGGCGATCTGGGCCTTGAGGGCGTCGCGGCGGGCGGCGTGGGCGTCGCGCTGGGCGTCGAGGGCGGCGATGGCCTGCTGCATCTCGCGGGCCTCCTGGGCCTCCTTGGCGACCGTCTGCTGGTGGTTGGCCGTCTTGAGCGCGACGATCTCCATGTCCTTGCGCCGCATGCGCTGGTCCTCGGCCAGCTCGGCCACGCTCATCCGGAACTGGTTGCGCTCCGCCAGCACCCGCTTGCGCCCCGTCTCGATGAAGGCGTCGAACTTGGCCGTGAACTTGGCCATGCGCTCCCGCAGCTCGTCGAACCCGAAGTTGATGTCCGGCAGCGTGTCGGCCATGGACGGCGCCGTCGCCGACATGGGCGGCTGCCGGCTGAGGCTCGCTGAGAGGGAGGGCTCGAACGCCGAGGCCATTCTGGGCTGGGGGCTTTGTATAGAATTCGTTTGATTGCGTCTGGGTCGCGTCGTCTCTTCTGGTCCGCCTATGCGATCGAGTGTGTGTGTGATCGGGTATGTGGTGTCGTTTGACTGCGATGCGATGTGTTTGTTGCTTGCGTGTAGTTGGTCAGTCAGTCAGTCAGTCAACCCAGCCGGCTTGCATCCCCGGCGCATAATCCCATCGTCGGCGGCGGCGGCTTTTGTTTACTCTTGGCCGCGGTTGCTGGGCGTCAGGGGTGCGGGCGCTAGAGATAAGATAGCCAGTCAACGACTTTTTAGTGGGGCACCCCGTTGCAAGCTTCATCGCACCGTACCCAGCTCGGCCTCGAGCTGCACTGGACTCTTCAACCTTCACAACTCTGCGCCTTGCGCTCGTCTTTTCTGACTCTTTGCATCCCCTGTTCGGCTCATTGCAAGCGGGTCTTGCCTCGGTCCGCTTGCAGTTTGATCACCTACTATGAAGCGCTACACCGGCCGAGGCGCAAAGAGGACGTTTGAGTTGAGCCGCCTGCCGGATGGCTGACAGGCGCTACGATGAACCAACTTTTGGCAACCCAGGACGCCTTGCCTACGAGCCCGCTGGTGCACGGCAGGCGGAAGATTGGGGCTGGCTGACGGCAAGAAATCTCGATGGGGATCGCGGTAAGTACCAACTTGGTTTATGCTATCCACATCTCTATATACTGACCATCGGCCCAGTACCAAAATTCAGCCAGGTTGGCTCCCACCACGAGTGGCTTGCTGCAACTCATGACCCCTCACCAACTTTTGCCAGCGGATCCTGGCAAGAGAGCCAGAAGCAGAGGAGATGGCTTCTCAAGAACCACCCGGAAGCTGCTCTGGGGAATGATGGGCTAGGAGAGTTGCTAGCTGTCGAGACTGCTCAACCTCGAAGACCACAGGCGTCATCCTGGGGGCTGGAACAATTTGCTGTTGGCCAGATGGCCGATACCAGCAGCGACGTGAATAAGTCCGTCGCCGTGCCACTACTGGCGATGGCGGCCGGTTCTGCTGGCGATGTACTACGACTGGTGCGTCCCACAGCGAGCCGTTGGCAGGTAGAGAAATCTGGGACCACAGGACATGTCGCAGAGTTGCAAGTTCTCGACTCCGTTCGCCATCAAGAGACCTTGTGGACCAAGGACGTCGGAACAATACGCCGTATTCGAGCTGTTGTGAGCACCAGAAGGTTTGATCCCGTACGCTGGTTGATAGTGCAGCGCGATTCCAGCACTGCCGTCTTTCGACCCGAATACCAGAAAGTCCCAGTGGCATCGGAGTCCTTCTCTGGAACTGGACCACAAGACCCTTCCCATATCGCGCCAAACCTGCTGTTTTCACTGTCAACCAAGCAGACAGGCCTCAACAGTCACTCCGATGCTGCCTTCAATCCTGGAGTCAAGTCTAAACCTCCTCAATTGGCTATAATCGACGACGGTGGTAATTGGAGTATATGGGATGTTGCCGGAACTAGAAATAGGTCGTATAAGCGCCCACAAGTCCGTCTTAGCAGATGTGGAAACATCCGTGAGGGAGTGCGAGAAAGACTCTCTCGAAGACTTGCAACCGACCCACAGTGGCACAGGATACTTTGGGTTGGACATGCTGACCCGGAAGACGACGTTGACGATTCCGACCAGGATGATTCTGCTCACTTCGAATCGACGTTTTCCCCCCTAGAACGGTCTTCTACATTGCTTCTTTGCAACCAGAGATTGCTCAAGCTTTTCGATCTCGAGACAAACAATTTCCTGCCTGACCTACGCCTGATAGCTGAGGGCAGCAAGGACATCATTCTCGACGTCCAGGTCGATCCTCGGGATGCACGCTACGTCTACATTCTCACCGCCAAGAGAATTGTTGTGGCTACAACGTACGCGACGGAAAGCTCAGCTCATTATCAGGTGGAAAAGAAAGTGTCGGTTATTCGGTCTTTTCCTCATCTTCGGAGCAGATTCGACCGCCATTTACATATCACGGTCGCGCCCGGTTCCTCAACACCAGCCGGTCGTACTTCTGTCTTACTGCTATATTCACGGGATAGCGGCTGGCATGACGTTTTCTGTCTGGGCTTCTCCAAGCAATGGCCAGACAGAGTCTCTTGCTATCACGATAAGATTGTTTCTCAGAATCCGCTTGCTTCAGATGGCGTACGAGGATTGCAGAAGCTGTACCTCGCACCAGTACCCGTTGCCACCTTCGTGGCCTCTGGAAACGCTTCCCGCCGCAATGACATCAACTTTTACCAGCTATTCACCTTTGGAACGGACCTCAGTCTAAGTTATTGTCTTAGCATGCGTACGAATCTACAATGGCATCCTGATTCCCTTTCTCTCCGCAGTGCCAGCATCTCGGAGCGTCCGGTCGAGGAGGGGTCCAGACGTCTACGATCGAAGTCAGACAAATACTCAAGCCAGGAATTGGAGAGGCAGAGAGCCGTTCGCTACTTGAGCTCCCGTTTCGTCGTTGCGGATAGCATCGTAGAGTTCCACAAGAAGGTCGACAAGCCAGCGGTCAAGGCTGCCAAATCCACTTCCAGGACGCTCAAGCAGCAACGAATGATTCGGCCAGTACATGAGCTATTTCAAACCATTCTGCTGAGGCTACAAGCAGAAGATGGTGACGCTTCCACCGGAATGGATATTTACGGGGTAGCCCCTTTTGATCCTGTTTTCGTCTCGCTTCAAGAGGCTATGGAGACAAGAAGCTTGCCGTTAAAACCAATCTTCGACATGGTGCAAAACTTTCGGACGCCAAGAGACATGAATGAGACCAGCCAGGACTGGCACTCTGAAATCGAGCAACTTCGCCATGTCGATCCGGCATTGACCATCGTGTCTCTGTCAACTGTCAGTAGCACTTTGGACACTGCCAACTATATTGAAGATCTCTATACATCACTCAGTGGCTCAATGCTGGGGACTTCTCATGCAGAGACCGATTATACTGGCATGTCCCGCTATACTGGCCTAGGGATGCGTCAAATCGCATGTGAGCTCTATCTTTCGCGGATCGGTATCGCCTATATCCCATTGGAGCTCTATGAGACACCTGGTGCGGACTCACTCGATATTCGCTCTTCTCCAACAATCATGCCAGAGGATATGCTACAAGCCAGCCAGGAAAGCAATCGATCTTCTGCGCTGTCTCCGAATGTCTATGTTGACAGTCAAGCAAGCAGCCGGGCCTCCACCCCTGCATCCACTGTTCCCTCTGTTGCAGCGAAGTCAGAGCCTGAAAATGACTCGGAGGATAAATCAATCGCACTTCTTCGAGCGCTGACTGGGTCTGGCAAATCAATAGCAAGATTGAATCTGCCTTCGAAATGGAACGTCGGTGAGGATATCTCGAGACACGCGTGGAGCATCGACCAGAACACCGAGATCACTCCCGGCATGCAGAGGAGGGCGAAGCAGGAGGCGCGACAAGCTCGGAAACGCAAGCGAGCCGAGACTCTGCTCCGGTTGCAGCAAGAACACAGTCTGGCCCCTTCCACCCAGCCCGTGTCGGACACTCGCTTCTACACCCAGACAAGCCAACCTATGAACGACTTCTCTTCGCAGACCCGCATCATGTCATCAGCGCCGCCTGTGACCATGTCTCAGCCTGTTCCGGGGATCTTTAGTAGCAGACCCAACCTGGAGAGGCCGAAGAAGAAGCCGAAGCGGAAGGGTGGCTTCTGAGCGAGTACCACGTGGGTATGGATGTACTGTTACTGTGCAAGACCGAGCTACATTCTGTAGCATGTCCCCAAACCCTCACCGACGACCAACAAGGTAGATCATGTATATAAAATGGCCTGTAAATAGCTATGTAATGCAGAAAACCTGTTCCTGTCAAACGATAATAGTGATATGATTATGAGTGCGTGTCGCCTGGGAGCCTATCATGAATAATACGTCCATCACTTGTAGAGCTGTCCCCAGCGACCGAGATCCCATCGTCCACTTTGTGTAACGGGAGAGTAGATGATTGGTAGCTTCCGGTGCGGTGCCGTGTACCGGGCCCAGAAAACCCGGCGAGTACCGCACGCATCTGTGTCATCGGATTCACTGCAAAATTAACCTACGCAAAGGGGTTGGTCAGATCCTCTGCAATTCCTGGTGGCACACCCTTGCCCTCGAACTCAAAGTGCATTTCGGCGAGCAGCAACAAGAGCCACATATTTATAGACATAGCTGCCATCAATATATTGAGTTATCAAGCATGTTCTTATGCGCCGACTACCTACTGATTTGTGTGGATAAGCAGTAAGTTGAACATTTACATCGCGATGTCTGCCCGCTGACATCATAGCTTGACAGAGGCAAAGAGAGCATTTGCAAACAAATTCTTTCGCAACCGTAGTATGAGTTATAATACGCATGTAACGAGGTCAGCTTTGAAGATAATTTTGAACGATCGTCTGCATTATAATTGCAGGTTGATATCGTGATTGCCTAATTGGGCGTGATTAACCACTTACACACGGCCGTTGGTGCGCAGCCATCCGGTGATACCCGTTTCCCACCTTGAACTTTCGACAGCTTCACTCGCCAAGAATAGCAAACAACCGGCACACTGGACAACACGCAAGACCTCGGTCAAGCCCCAGTAAATCTATTGTCAATCACTCGTTAATCTTAACGGAAAGCGCTCCAGCAATATTCACGTCCCGCTTTCTGCAGCGCAACGAGTTACGGTGCCCATCCGGGTCACATACACACAGCCAGAAACATGTCCCACCACTGCCACGACGAGCACTCGCACTCGCACGGAGATGGCGGCCACGACCATGAGCACGACCACTCGGACGACATTACGCCGGCGCTGCAGTACAGCCTGTACCAGCACATCGACTTTGACGGGGTCAACGCCATGAACGAGGCGGCGCCCGGCTCGGGCCGCGCCATCGTCAAGAAGACGTGGGCGGAGCGCCTGCAGGTCGAGCCCGAGCTCGAGAGCGACGCCGATGAGCAGATCATTCTGAATGTGCCGTACGTACCACACACACATACTCTCTCTGTCTGCATTTGCATTGATGCGCACGTTATGATTTTGAGCTTTGATCATTCTGGGACTCTGGACGCTTCTACAATTCTATAACCTGCTCAAGAGCGGGGATGGGGTTGAAGTAGTTATGCACTGTCGCTCATGTCATATCATTCATACTTATGTTATTATTGCATGTGATGCCGCCGCCGGAGAGAAGTCAACCCAGAGAATGAAAACAACGGGCATTAACTGCTACACGCAGGTTCACGGGCCAGGTCAAGCTGCACTCGATCCTGCTGCGGTCGTCGCCGTCGGACTCGGCGCCGCGGACGCTCAAGGTCTTCATCAACCGGACGGACGTGGACTTTGACACGGCGAGCGAGCTGGCGCCGGCGCAGGAGCTGGAGCTGGCGCAGACGTCGGGCGTGCAGGAGCTGCCGGTCAAGCGCGCCCTGTTCGGCAAGGTGCAGCGGCTGACGCTGTTCCTCGAGGACAACTTCGGCGACGGCGACGAGGACGTCACGCGCCTCAGCTACCTCGGCTTCAAGGGCGAGTGGATGCAGCTCGGCCGCGCCCCCGTCAACATCCTCTACGAGGCCGCCCCCAACCCCAACGACCACGCCGTCAAGGGCACCAACGTCAACGCCATGGGGAGCGGCATCGGGGGCAGGGGCCCGGGCGTCTGAGTGGCGGATGCCTCTCAAGAGGAAGATTGAGGGAGATGGGGTTTCAAAGAATGTGGTACTAGGTGATCTTTGGTGGAATTTTACTGCTTTGGGGCCTCGCGTGCTAAGACTCGAGTGCAGGGCCGTTATAGGGTCACGATTACGGAAGGCTACATGAAATCGTCCTCCCACCCCTCGTCTCGGTCCTGATTACTCATGCTGGCCATGTTCTCCTCGGTGAAGATTTCGTCGTAGGCATGGTCCTTCTGCCACTTCTTCTCCGCTCTCTCCTTTGCGATGCGGGCTTCCTCCTTTTTCTGCGCGTGTAAGTCAGTATCATGCCTGTCCCGCAGAAGCCCGAGTCTTGAGACACAGGAGAAGGGAGGGAGAATAGTCAGCTGGGAGGGGGGTCTTCACTCACCCTCGCTTGCACAGCAGCCTGGTCCTTCCGCCTCAGCTCCTTCTGGCGGTCCTCCCTCTCGGCCTGCAGGTTCGGGTGCTTCTCGACCTTTGTCTTGTTGAGGCGGTTGACGATGGGGTTCTCGCGCTGGGGCACGAGCACGCGCTTGACCTTGCGCGGGTCCTTGAAGCTGACCTGGCCGACGGCCATGGACCCGTCCTTCTTGAGGTTACTCCAGGGCGTGTAGATGATGGTGACATTGTCCTTCTTGTTGCCCTCGATCGAGTTGGCCTTGGTCAGCTGCGCCAGGTCCGTCACCAGGGCCTCCGGGATCGCGTCCCAGGTCTCGCCTTCCCGCAGCCGCAGGTAGATGTGCGCCGACGACAGCTTGTCCGCGTGGAACTACGATGGCGGTCGCGCGTGTAAGCCATGGCCACTCATCTCACGGTGGTGGTGGTGGTGGGGGTGGTCGCTCTCAGATGAGTGAGAGGACGGATGCTTACCCTATACATCGTCAGTAAGAGCAGTAAAAGAAAAAGGCGAACATTTCAGGCTACTCACCAGACATCTTCTTCCCAACCATATTTGATCAGCTCCTCGTCTACATGGGCCCGGTTAGCAAGGATCCTCCACTGCATGTGATTGATTGTGTGAGTTCGTTCTTACTCTCAAATTTGTCCTTTCCCACGTAGACATAGGCCGGGGGGTCGACGGCCGTCGACGTGTAGTAGTAGACCATTGCGCGAGAGAATATTCGCGATGTAAGTCTACTCACAAACTCTCACTGCAGAAACCACAAAGGACAAATATTTGCTGCGCTGCCGTCGCTGGACCTCGTCGTGACCAGGGTCTTTGAATGATCTCTCACAGCCCGACGCATCTTCAATCGACCGCGCCAGCCGGGGGCCACCCCTGCGCCAGCTGCCGGCAATCATAGCTGCGGCCCGGCCTAATTTTTCAACAAACGTCGATACCATCTCATCCCCAAAAGCTCCATTCAGGGAGCTCGAGCGCAACAAAGCATCCGCAAGACGAGCCTCCATTGCGGTCGAGACTCACCACACACGCCGCTCCGAGCCCGCCGGATCGATCAACCAGAGCTTCCATCCCCACCGTCTGCCTCTGGGGACGCGCTCCCGGCGACCAACGACTGACGACAGGCAAACCATGGCGTCCCTGCAGCCATCCCGCTGGGCGGCCAGCCTCCCGATCCGACCGTGCCTCTCGGCCGTCTCCCCGAGCAGCACCGGCAGCAGCATAACCTCCCGAGTCCTCATCACAGCCCGCGGCCAGGCCCTGCTCCCGCGCACGGCGCGCCGCGGCGTCAAGTACGGCTGGTCGACGCAGCCGCCGCGCAGCAAGCCCAACCGCTTCAACCAGGTGTCGTCGGGCCTGCCGGCGCCGACGGCGGGCCCGGCCGCGGCCCTCAAGCGCAAGGAGAGGAGCACGCCGGTGCGGACGGGCGTGCTGGCCATCAAGAAGGGCGTGTCGGCCATGTTCGCCCAGGGCCGCCGCACGCCGTGCACCATCCTGCAGCTGGACCAGGTCGAGGTGGTGGCGCACCGCACGCGCGCCCAGAACGGCTACTGGGCCGTGCAGCTCGGCTGCGGGCTGCGGCGCGCGGGCAACGTCACGGCGCCGCAGCTGGGCTACTACGAGGCGAAAGGCCTGGCGCCCAAGCAGCACCTGGCCGAGTTCAAGGTCCGCGGCGAGGAGGGCCTGCTGCCCGTGGGCGTGCAGCTGCAGCCCGACTGGTTCAAGCTCGGCCAGTTCGTCGACGCCCGCAGCAACAGCCGCGGCATGGGCTTCGCCGGCGGCATGAAGCGCCACGGCTTCGCCGGCCAGGAGGCGTCCCACGGTAACTCCAAGAACCACCGCACCATCGGTACGACGGGTCCCAGCCAGGGCGGCGGCTCGCGTGTGCACCCGGGCAAGAAGATGCCGGGGCGGATGGGCGGCGAGCGCGTCACGGTGCAGAACCTGCGGGTGCTCAAGGTCGACAACGAGCAGGGCATCGTCGTCATCAAGGGCCACGTCGCCGGCCCCAAGGGCTGCCTGGTCATGCTGGCGGACGCCATCAAGAAGGAGCCGCCGGTCGAGTCTTTTGTCAACAAGGCGAGGCGGGTCGCGCTGGAGCGGAATCCCGACGCCGAGAGCAGGCTGGCGGAGGCGAGGGCGCGCCACCTGGAGTTGAAGGCCATGCGGAAGGAGGGCACGATAGCGACCGCGGTGGTCGCAGGTGTATAGGGAAGAGGCGAAATGAGAACTGTACGATGAACAGGAGCGCGGACGAGGCGAGTGCATGGTGTTCATTTGTATTATATACAGTGTTGTACACATAAAATAGACGCCGCCAGATGGGGCGTTAATAAGCGGGCATTTACACTCCACCCCGACTTTCCCTGATCTCCTGATGTTTCGTAGTTCTCTCAGCACTGGTGCTGCCAGAGGCTATGCGACATGTGCCATGTTCCCACATCTATTCCATGCCACAGGACCTGTTACCTGCAGCCAACATATCTGTAGCGCAGCACCAAGCACTCGATGCTGTCGAACGGCCGTGGTCTCTCCAATTCTAATTCCCGGTGAGATCTTCAATAGCTTCGCTATCTCGACTTCGGTTGCAGCGGACGACACCAGATCATTAGTGTTGTCCGACCACCAGGCACACCACTGTTTCTCCCAAGGAAAGCAGAACGCCCCCTTAGCGGATCTCGGTCCTGAAGCCACGTCCCTTCTGTGCCTCGTCGTCGTCATCAAACGCACCGCCCTCGATGCCCCGGAAGGGGTCGCCGCCCTCGGCGTCGAGCAGGTCGATGGTCTTGCCGTCGGCGGTCTGGAGGCTCCACTCGGTGGTCTCGAACATGGCGCGGGGGCCGGGGCGGAAGCTGACGAAGCGCATGGTGCCCTCGGCGCGGGAGCCGCGGACGCGGAAGGTGATGTCGATGCGGCCCCGCAGCTGGTTCATGGTGCCCGAGATCCAGGGGATCTGCTGGGCGAAGTAGATCTCGTCGCCCAGGTAGGCGCGGGCGGCGGCCGACGTGCGCAGCGCGTACAGCGTCGACGCCACCACGGGCGACGACATCTTCTGGTAGTTGAAGATGGCCAGCGAGCTCAGCGCGATCAGCACCACGAAGGTCGGCAGCGTGCGCGTCCACCGGAAGGTCTGCGACTCGACGCCTGCGCGGGAGAGAGGTTACCACTGGCTTGCTCGTGGGCTTCATTCACCGCGGGAGGATTGGGGCGCTCCAGAATCAGGAAGGGAAACGTACTGGGGAGCTCGCGATCCGGGCGGCGCTCCATGAGCGGGCCATCGCCGGGCTTGGGGGCGCGGACGAGGGTTCGTCGCTGGACGGGGTTGGAGATCGTGGCGTTGCAGGTCCGCAGGGTGGGCAGGGCCCTTCTGCGCACTGCTAACCTCGAGAACATGGTCTCGAAGGGGGCGACGGGCGACGGGCGACGGAATCGGGTTGGACGGGTGAGTCGGTAGTCCTGCTCGTCTCGTCTCGTCACTTTGGCATCCCGGAGCTGGAATCTTTCCCAGATCCCAGAGATCATCCCACAATCAGCTGGGCGGGATCGGCGGCCGGGCCGGCAGAGGTCGGAGGGTCGGGGTTACTGATCCGCCGGCTGGAGGGAGTAGGTAACTTAGGTACGGGGCAAGTTACAGTGGTGAGAGGGAAAGTGAGACAGGGCTGCAGGGGTAGCTCCGGCCTTGGAATGCCCCATCAAAAGCCCATCAAGCCCATCTACAGGGGGCCAAAGGGCCAAAGGGCCACAGCTGCTGCATACGTCACATCCTTCGCCATGTGCGACGTGTGCCTACCCTACATCCGGTGACAGGGGTTTTGCTTTTCAGGGTCCAAGCAGCCAAACAAAAAAACATAAGGGAAACAGACCTCGCAAACGGAAGCCTCAGCTCGGCTTTGCACTTCTGGGTACTTCAAGACGGCTGGATCGCCTCAGGCCATGCATCTGCCCAACTTTGCTGTCTCTTTCACCCCGTAGTCCAAACACCACCCACCACATCCATCAGCAGCTGGTGCCCTGGCCTTCACCCCAAGACCAGCACCGAAAGAGGACATGAATACATGAATACATGAGCATGCCTTAGAGATCTCTCTACACCGTCAATACAAACGAGAAGAGGAGACAAAGAAGAAGGGGAAAAAACACCCATACACACTACTACCACAACCACCTGCCCACCATGGACATCCAACAGACCCGCACCCGCCTCCGCCGCACCTTTGCCTACCCGGCCGACGAGTCCGCCTTCGACGACGCGGCCGACGACGACGACGACGGCGCCCCGGCCCTGGACGAGACGGAGCAGGACGAGCTGATCAGCGCCCTGAGCACGGCGAACCACGGGACCAACGCCCAGTTCCGGCTGCTGCTGCTGGCGCTGCCCGCCGTGTCGGCCGTGCCGTACGCGCTGGCCCTGGCGGACCCGCGCGCCCAGGGCCTGTCGCGCACCGCCGCCGTGCTGGCCCTGACCAGCCTCGCCAGCACCGCCGGCCTGCTCTGGGGCCGCCCCGCCGGCACCACGGGCATCGGGCCGCTGGACCGCTGGGCCGCGGGCGCCCCCGGCGCCGAGGACACGCTGCACGGCGACCACGGGGCGCGCGCCGCCTCGACCCGCCGCCGCAGCCGCCGCGACAGCTTCAGCCTGCCCCAGGCCGTCCCCCTCGCCGACGGCCACGGGCCCCTGGGCACCTGGCTGCCCTACCTGAACCTGGGGCTCTGCGCGCTGCTGGTGCTGATGGGCCTGCTGGGCGCGGGGACCGCCGCTGGTCGGGGTGCCGCCGCTGGTGCCGCGCCGAGGTCGTGGGGTCATGTGGGCTTGCCCTACCTGCCGGCCGTCATCTATGCCGTCGTGTTGCTGGCCAACGTCGTCATGGGCGGAGTTGATCCCGAGAGGGAGTTGAGCGGGCTCAAGTACGAGTACAAGGGAGCGTGAGGCATGGCTCGGAATTTGTCACGTGTGATGGCTGCTGTAATGGACGGACGGAATACCACGAAGACGCCTGGTGCAAGGGTTTTGGTCATGGCTGGTCGATAGATACCCAACATTATTATGGAAGTGCAGTGAAGCTGCGATAATATCAACTCAGTGTTCTCCATCCAGCATTCTAGCGTATTCCTCGTATTCATCCGATTTTGGCATGTTAAACTACATTTGCTGGCAACGATACTATTGGTCTATAACTAAGGGAACGGCACAAGATGCCACCAACGCCGTGCCAGAGTACCTGGCCTACCACCACCCTGCTGGGCCTGACCATGCGACGAGACTGTTACACGTCTATTGACTCATTAAACCGCAAGACGCCGTTATGCTTCACCAACCCATCAACCCCCTTCGGAAGGCGTGGGAACGGATCGGCCAGGGGGTGTGGCTGAACGGGTGCCTCAGCTGATTTGTCCACCACCAAGGCCAGCCCCTGAGACTTGATCGCGTCCACAAGCGCCGGCACCATGTCCTGTGAAGATAGGTTAGCGTCAACACCTCGAGCCATGGGGTAGGAGCGACGAATGGAGGAAGATTAGGTATGACTTACCAAGAGCCGCGAGGAGCAGATCAGGCCCATGAAGTTGTTACCTTGCGCGATCCGGACAACCTCCTTGATGCTCGACGTCCGACGCCCGCTGCTCTGGATCACATGAGGGCCGGGCATCTCAGGTCCCTCGCGACCAAGGTCGTTGCAGAGGAACACGGGGAAGTTGGGCTGCTTCCAGTTGAGGGTCGTGCAGAGAGTCGGGTTGTAGGAGCTAAAGACAACGGAGCGGACGACCTCGGATGCGCGGGACTGGACCCGTTGAGATCGGGCATGGTCGAAGACGACCCCCAGAACAGCGTCGACAAAATTATTGACGTCAACAGATGGGCCCAAGTCGAAACTCTTCTCTTCTTCCTCTGACGGAAATATGATTTGGAGGTTGACATGCATGGTCGCTGGCAGGATTGCCAAGGCTTCTTGGAGTGAGATTCCTGCGGTAGCCAGAATGCGATGAATGTCTACAATGTTGTCCTGGGACAGTGATGAGACAGCCGAGAGATGTGCACGACTCGAACTCTGCGCCGCCACTGTGGTGAACTGCTGGAAAGATAGGCGGGACACGGGTATGTCAACGCCGCCGCAGCTGACGTGCCATCTCGGCCAGAGGACCGGTATCCCATCGTTCGTGGATTGAACGAAAAGCTGCACAAAGTCTCCCGACAAACTCGACCCTGTCACAAACATGGTCTGATGCGACTCGAGTTGGCTTGTGGCCTTCCAGTACGTTTCGAAGTCGGTGATTTCCAGGGGGGTCCCTTGGAATGGCTTGATGACTTGCGTATTGAAACTGATCTGTCCAATGGCCCTCAGGCGGGGGTCGAAAAGGGGAAGGCAACAGCGGCCAGAGCTGCGGAGTGACGCCCATAGGGTACTTGGAAGTGCCACCGTCTTGGCGATGACCTTGGCACCGTAGGCGGGGAACACATCGAAATCGAGAGAGAAAGTATCCAGATCCTCAACCTGGAACGAGACCAGCCGTGTGTCCTCCTGGAAGGGAAGTATGATGTTTTTCGGTATGAGATCAGAGACCTTGGACGAGATGGTAAGGCGCGCGGCGGGATACTTGCTGTCGTGGAAAAACACTAGGGGTTGGTCCCTGTGCACTTCGAAGCTGATCTGAACAACAGTCTTGGTATCCAAGAAATTGTGGCCGTATCTGCGGAGTGGTATGATCGGTGGCGGTAATTCCAGAACTGGGATAGCATCTGGGTCAAGAGACATTGGAATAGGTCCATTTCCACTTCCCATAGGTGTCAACTGGGGAGCCCCCGTTGCTCCTAGTCCCATGGGGCTTGAAGACTTGATCTTCTGATATGGCGAGAGGAGCTTCATGCAAGCCAGGTGGCCTTCCCAGGCAGCATAATACATGGCCGGCAAGTCCTTCTCGTCAAGTATGTTGGGATTCGCCCCAATGTTGAGGAGCTCCTGAAGACATGGCACGTTCCCCTCACTCGCCGCGTGAACAAGTGGTGTCCAGCCATACAGCTTGTCGATCTGGTCGAGGTCCGCGCCAAATTGCTTCAACAAAAGCAGCAGCTGCGGTGTCTGTCCAGATCGAGCAACAAGATGTTGCGGGTATAAACCCTCTGCATCAGGCATAATCTTGGCACCGTTCTGCAAAAGAAGCTGCACTATGGCAACCGATCCGTGTTCACAAGCCAGATTCAGGGGTACGTGATCAGTATCTGACTTTGGATCTAACCGCGAAGTGGCTACCAGTAGTCGCTCTACGCAAGCCAGGTGTCCATGAATGATTGCATGGATCAAAGGTGTGAAGTTGTCGTGATCGATCAGGTCAACGGTCGAGGAATCGGCTGGGGTGGAAAGTTAGCACAATACAAAGATTTGAAAACTAAAGAAAGTATACCTTCAATTAAGGCGTTGAGCATGTCAAGACGCCCATGCATGCTCGCATAGTGAAGCGGTACTCGACCATAGACGTCGGTTCTGCTTACCGCTACTCCTCCAGACAGGCCAACGTTGAGGACAAAGGAGTTTCCGTAAATGGTGGATTGGTGCAGGCAGTTCCGCTCGTTGATGTCGTCTTCGGACTGTACGTCGACAAGTCCAGTGGCCAGTAGGACTTCAAGAGAGGCCTGGGGTGCCTCATGTATTGCAGCCAGGAATGTCCGAGTCACTCTTTCCATCAACGATGTCTCCATGGCAGCTGTGGAATTGGACGCGTTCCGCATTCTCGTAAGAAGGTCTTGCAGCGATTCAAGGTTGCCAGAGATGGCAGTGTCGAGGAGTAAGGAGTCGGCATCGCCCTCGTCTGTTCCAAGCAAGTGTTGACTGCTCACCGTGTGCTCAGGACGAACCTCGAAACTGACATTATCACCCTCGGCCCAAGCTCCTAGTTCTTGTAAACTAGTTGTTGCTTGATCCGATAGTTCGCTGATGACGGGGGCGTTGAAGAATGGCTGAACCTCAACCGCTCGTGACAGATAGAGCTCTTTTGTCTTAGACTTTGAGGTCTTGTCCCATTTCTTCAGAATTTTGGAGAAGGCAGTGCCGTTGATTTCAACAAATTGCTGCAGCTTGTTGAGGTCATTCGCGAATTGCTGGAAGCCCTCTTGAAGAGTGGTGAATTTGGCAGATCTCCTTGATACACCCTGGCGAGATTGAAGTACCTTCTTCTTGTCTAGCAAGGTCTTGAGCCGGATTTTGAGCTATGGAATGATCAGATTGTGCCCAGATTCGCGCCAAGTCGAATGGCTTACCTCTGCTTCCTTCTGTAGGTAGAATGCATTGACTTTCTCGAGCTCTCTTTCCTGGGCCGTGTCAGAAATTCTGGAGATCAAGCTCGTTGGAACAGCACTTGGGTGATCTTACTAGCTGAAAGAAGAACTTTGCTCTGTTCGCTTGCAACGCAGCTTGCGAATCTATAGGAGTGGTAGGATGAAAAGGATCGGTTTGCGCGCTGAGCACCGGGGTGGCAGAGAGCCTCTTGATGAGCTACAGACAAAATATAAGTATCAAGTAGATTCTTCGTCGAACTAGCAAGTCGAAGGAGGTGAAGAGCATGGTCCCGCAAATGAATTTGCTTTTTGATCAAGTTTTGGTTGATCATATGCGGGGATGGCCAGGGAGTTTGAGGCGAGCTGGAGGGCAACATACCTTCTTCAGAGCCTTGTAGTTTACGAAGCTGGCGGCATACTCTGGTACCTCAAGCTGGCGCTTCTGGATCTGCTTGCCGAACTTCCTAGAGGAGTGTGAGATAGGCTTCCAAAGGGTGGGAGAGCCCACAGTCGCCGACGATTAGAAGGCGCGTGAGGTGCTGTCTGAGATTTACTTACATGATGCAGCGTGGGTGCTAGCAGCGAGCCTGTGAAGGCTGCTTGCTTGTGCACAAAGTGCTTGAGATTGGCAGCAGAGGGTATTTCAACGAATGGCAATGCCGGCAACCGCCCTATGCAATTGGACGAAGCCGCTTGTGGGTATCAAGTCTGGATCTCAACGCCTGTACACTAATGCCGAAGAAGGTCCCTGTAATGCCTCGACTGATCTTAGCGGGAGGTCCTGTGGATGCTAACAAAGATCACTATATTGAAAAGACAGTGAGATGGAAGACGAAAGCACGTGGTGCTTGCAGTGGCCGGGGAGCGCCAGGGAGCGAGTGACGGCAATGATGGGCGAAGCGGGATGCTAAAACGAGTATCCCAGTGAGATTGTTTGGTGTCATGTGCCTCGGCGCATCCGCGTATCGGTACAGCCACATAATGAAGACGACGGATGACTGGGTTTGGCCGGTACACTGGTACTCAATAGCCAAGGTGTCATCCGAATGAACGGGATCGGGGGTGTGACTGATCGGGTTTGCAGGACAGAGGCGGTTACCTTTCTATCCTTCTATAAGGCACCGGCGAGCCTCTCAAACCCTCAATGACGCAAGGCTTAGACAAAGTTGAAATTCTCTACAGCAGAGAAGAGCGTAGCAGCGATCGACAACCTAGGTATTCTAGGTTAGATGAGATCATGTAGAAGGGCCTAGGCAAGGCAGAGACGTGCACACAGAGGCAACAGGCCGAGCAATATGGGGGTCAGGAGTGAAGGCACTGGATACATTGATGCTGCCGGCTGCAGTTTACTCGCCGCATCATAATGCTCAGCATGGCTACGGCCATCCGGTGCAACCTCATGCTGCAGTGACAGGCTAGCGACCCTCGTGAAATCTTGCTGGCTGACACTGCAAGCGGGGCGGTTACATGCCGCAGCGGTCCTGCGGTGCGTTCCCGGGGGTGGTCATGGGCAGGAATGGAGATATAGAAGGGGTTGGGTGACTTGGGTGTTTGGTACCTTACAGGATTAGAAGGGGGTCTATAACGTCTTGTGTATGGTCCGTGGTTCTGCAATCGGGTCGTTGGCCGAGGACCAGGGCCGACGTGACGTCTTCTGCGGGAGTATGCTCAGGGCAGCACTTGGTGGATGGTGCAATGAAGATCTGATAGGAAGGGCCGTGGGCTCTGCTAGAAAAGCAGCAAGTCGCTTGCTTGCTTGCTTGCACACCGAGCTGAAGAGGCTGCAAGAAAGTTTCATCAGCGAGCGCCTGCATGCGATCTCGAGAACGACCTCGAAAAGGCACCCGACCCGCGGCCTTCCAGCTAGTTAGCTAGCTAGTGGGGTTTGGATTTTGAGGAGGGGTCAAAGGACGCCAAACGGAGGTAGTTAAGTCGGCGCAACGGCGGGCGACACATGCAACTACGTTTTGGCCTTTCTGCGTTGCTCTTTGCTCGCGGATGTTGATGGGCTGCATGCACCTTGAACTCAACCCTCCTATGCAACGCCCTGCGCCAATTTTTCCGCGGCCTTGATGATGAACCCTGGGCTAGAAGCATATCAGAATCACCAACTTCACCATTGGTGCGCCCGGCATTCATTCAACTTCGCCAGAAGAGGGGTCGTACCTACGCATCCCGTCTTGTGTCGTTCGTGGGCCTCGCAGTCGATGCAGTCACTGCCAAGTACCCGCAGGAGACATGCGTGGTGATTGACCAATCAGCAGAGGAGAACTGACCTCGTGGTCGGATTACACCTCTTCAGCAAGGCTGAAAAGAAGAAACCCCTTGGACCACTTTGGACGTTAACAGCGCCGTTCCCCACCAAGACCAGCCTAGCCCCATGGATTCGCGGGACCCTTCTTTGGGGCTCCGCTCAGCCAGTTCTCACCTCATGGCTCCAGCTGCGCGGAGGGCACGTGGCTAACTACTGCATATAAGAATTACGTGTCCCAGGAAAAGGCAGTGTCAAGGAAAACTGTTTCACAGAGTATCATAATTCACTATTGTGTAACAGAACTGACATGGTTCATTCACTCCTTTGAATATCCACTCGAGCACCTCTTGCTGATAAATGGAATGTGAAGAGATAAGCTTGAAAGGCCTTACAGCCGCTTATTTCTTCATGACTCCAATTCAAGTCCGCCATAGGTGAACATGGCGACTGAGAGGAAGGCGACCGCACCGTGAGACTTGGCCACTATTGTGATATCTGACGCATTGAGTGGATCTTTGGCATCAGATTCTTACAGCCCATAAATACGACAGCACTTGCTATAGGACTCAAGGGCTTGTATTGAGATGTGCAAGTTTGCGAGAAGGAGATGGTTATCATAGATGCCGAGGAGTTGAGGCTTCACGAACCTCGCCTTTGGCTTCTCTATGATCAAAGTTCTGTCAGAAGCCACTATTCGCTACACGAGTATTTGACAATTGTCTGGGGTCCTATTGAGCACCCATAAATACCAATACTTCTTGGACACTAGTAAGAGATATAGTCAAGGCTCTTGAGACCTCGCGAGACGCAACCCATCAGCTTCGTGTTGCCAAATTCAAATTGAAGGTAGCCTGTTTTCTACGGAGAGTAATGTGTACTACAACCTAGTTCCTCGGGGTATCTGCTGCCATCCGTGGCTCCTCCTGATGCAAGCAACACTTCCAGGAGCCTACTTAGTTGTATCGCCCTTCTTCGAGTCGTCCATGAGGCTATCGGCCATGGCATCGGCAGTGGCTTTCTTGAGTCTCTCGCTATCATCGTCCGGCTTGGTCTCCTTGGAACCCTTGTCCTTGGATTCCTTCTCATCCTCGCTGTCCCCAAGGCTGAAAGGATCGTGCTCGGCAATGGGGTTGGGGTCGACGGCAGACATCGGCTGCCACTTGCTGGCCTTGCCACCAGCGGGAGGGGTGGCGGTGTTGTCCTTGGGAGGCAGCTTGGGTGATACGTTGTAAGGGTCATCAATATCATCATGACCTTCCTTGAACGCAACTTTACGACCATCGGGCCGAGGTGATGCAGACTTGGGTGGTGGCCTGTAGACGTTGGGATTGCCCGAGCCTAGCAAACCCATGTCAGCTAGTACATGATGGCTGCAGCAAGGAATTGCACTTACTACCGTCTGGGTTCAGCCTGATGCCGGCGAAATCGTCGCTCAGCACCTGAGGATCCGCGTCGTAGCGCTCGTAGTCCGTACTTCTACGGCTGCCTTCACCACTACGTCGGGGGGCTACCGGCTGAGTACGGCGGCTTGGCTGAGATTCGTCTTCTTCCGAATCGTACTCGCCATCAATACGCTTCTTCAGGGTGGTGAACCAGCTGTTGACCTTGGTCTGCGTTTCCATGAACCCCTTGCGCAGGTTCTCGCGGATTATAGGTAGATCATCGTCAATGAAGCTGTGCTCCCGGTCGTACATCTCGTCGGGCCGGAGACCAGTAGCTTGGCGGCGAGGTTGCTGGCCACGGCTTTGGCCGTGAGCCCTGGCCTCGTAGGCACCTGCATTGTCAAACTGCTCAGCGAGCTGCCTCGCGTACAGTTCATCGGCCTCGACCTGTGACATGGGAGCCCGCCCAGTCGGGCGCGGGGGCTGCGGAGGCGGCGCAGATTCGCGTGGCTCGAACTGAACAGCATCGGGATCGCTCATGCTCAGAAGCGCATTGAAGGCTGGGTCGACGCGACCGCCGCTGGCGACAAGAACAGCCCTGATGACTCCGTCCTCAATGTCTGGGAAGGCCTCCTTCAGGATCTGCTGGTTCTTCTGGGATTCGGTGGAGGGGCGAGGGGGTTTGGGAGGGGCGGCCTCATCGCCAGTTGAAGGTGTCGTCGTTGTCGCGGCAGCCGGTGTCGCAGACGTGGTAGTAGAAGTCTGGTGGGTTCCATCGTCACCTAGGACGCCAGTTTCCTGGACATCGTCGTCGTCCATCTCGAATGGTCTGGCAGTGGTAGGGGACTCTGGGCCAGAGCTTGTCGGGGTTTGCTTGGTCTATGGAGATGCAAACGATCAGTTGGGCTGCACTAGGCTGAAGGGACCGAGAAGCCTAGCCCTGGGATAGGGAGCAAATCACGCGTGTATGCTGGAGATGAAAGGCGCATGAAATGGGGTGTGCCGTGAAACTTACGGTATCGGTTGGGGCCGCCATGCCGGCAACAGGTTGGCGGGCGCTTCTGGGCGATAGAGGCAGAGGATTCCGGTGCAGGAGGGCTCGGAACCGCAATAGCAAAGCGGAGACGGCTGGCTGAGCGTGTGGCTAGCGACAGAGAACAAGAGGCGGTTAAGATTGCGAGACGGGAGGCAGCTATTCCAGACCTCCTGACTTGATGGGATCGAGGGGCAGCCTAATAATAAGCACTCTCCGGAATGGCAGGGTTGAGGGTCGAGGGTCAAGGTCGCCTCGGCGTCGTCACTCCACATGGCGCCGTGACGCAGCTCGTGCCACACCGCCACAGTTCATAACTGACACAAACGGACGCATCACCCAGCCAGGCCAGCCAAGCCAAATCAGCCACAGTCCATCCTCCCTCCACCTTAAAGTTCGGGATAACTCTGCAAACCCAGGAACAACAGCCAGCCGCTGGGGGGTTTCTGGTCTGTGTCGCAGGTAATGCATAGAGCTATACAGGCATTGAGACAAGTGCAATTCATAGAAGAGTGACTTCGATACTCGGATAGATTCGCGGATCCAGCTGCGGAATCATCCAGCTGCCATCGCTCACACATCACTCACTCTGACTATGAACCTGCCTATTCAGCACTGCGGCTGTGTTGGACCAACGATTCTCCTTCCATGAGCTGAGCCCGGCCACCCAATGCTATGAACCCGGAGCGAATGGGCCATCTCGTACCACGAAATTGCCTCCAACGTTGCATTCATCAGGATGGCCGACTTTGATTTAAGCGCCAGCTTTATACCGGCATTGCATAAGCCTTCAGCACTGCTTCCCATAGCCAAGCACCGAGAAAGCCTATTATATCTCATCGAGACAAACCAGGTGACGATCATCGTTGGCCAGACCGGCTCGGGGAAAACAACCCAGATTCCTCAGTTTCTTCACCAGGCCGGATGGTGTGAGGACGGTAAAGTGGTTGCAGTCACGCAAGTACGTTCTCCAGTCTTCAGGAGTCACCGTATGTCCTTGGGGTGGGAGCTAACATGGGAATTAGCCACGCCGTGTAGCTGCCACTACCGTTGCAATCAGGGTAGCCGAGGAGGTCGGATGCGAGGTGGGAAAGGAAGTCGGCTTCTCCATTCGTTTCGAAGATGTGACGTCGGCGGCTACCAGGATCAAATTTCTAACCGACGGTCTTCTCATAAGGGAAGCACTTGTCGACCCATTGCTGTCGCGCTACTCGGTCATCATGGTTGATGAGGCCCACGAGAGGTCCATAAGCACAGACATCCTCCTCGGACTGCTGAAGAAGATCCTGAAGCGGCGCCCAGAGTTACGCGTCGTCATAAGCAGCGCAACCCTCCAGGCAGAAGAATTCCTCAACTTCTTCTCCACACACTCGGATGAGCCAAAGTCGGCCCAGAACGAAGGTGGCAATGCGGGCGCCATTATCAGCTTGGAGGGCCGGACGTACCCAATTGACATTCTTTACCTCGAATCTCCCTCCGAGGACTACGTGGAAAAGGCCGTCTCCACGGTCTTCGAGATCCACACAAAAGAGGCGGGCGGTGATATCCTGCTATTCTTGACCGGCCGTGAGGAGATCGACAATGCTGTCGAGGCCATTTCCGAACGAGCTGCTGACCTGCGTCCTGGGGCCCAGTCCATATTGGTACTGCCACTGTACGCAGGACTCTCTACCGAACAACAGATGTACGTCTTCGACGAACCGCCTGAAAACACGAGAAAAGTCATTGTATCTACCAACATAGCCGAGGCGTCGGTCACTATCGATGGCATTGTCTACGTGATCGACTCTGGTTTTGTGAAGCTTCGGGCTTTCGATCCGAAAACGGGCATAGAAACTTTGACAGCTACGCCTGTATCTAAAGCAGCAGCATCACAACGTGCTGGCCGCGCTGGCCGAACGAAGCCTGGAAAATGTTTCCGCCTCTACACCGAGCAGAACTTTCAAGCACTCCCTGATGCAAATATTCCTGAAATTCAGCGGACGAATCTAGCGCCATTTGTGCTGCAACTCAAGGCTTTAGGCATCGATAATGTTGTGCGGTTCGATTACTTGACAGCACCGCCCGCTGAACTGCTGATCAAGGCTACAGAACTGCTTTACTCTCTTGGGGCCCTTGACGAGTATGCAAAACTCACTCGCCCGTTGGGGATGAGGATGGCCGAGCTTGCGGTTGAGCCCATGATGGCAAAGACGCTGCTGACTGCTCAATCCTTTGGTTGTCTTAGTGAGATGCTCACGATAGCTGCCATGACCAGCCTTGGTGGCTCCGTATGGATACAGAGAGACGGGGAGAAGAAGCAGATGGAGTCTGCACGGCGTCGATTCGCAGCCGAGGAGGGGGATCACCTTACGCTGCTGAATGCGTACCAGGCCTTCGTCAGCAAGGGTAAAAAGGAGTCCCGGTTCTGCCACGAGAATCATCTGAATTTCAAGGCCATGACCCGTGCCGTCAGCATTCGGGGGCAGCTGAAGCGGTATCTCGAACGCTTCGGTATTGCAGCAGACGAATCATTGAAGGGCCCACCAACAGGCACGAGTGAGCAGATCCGGAGGTGTCTCACGACTGGCTATTTCGCCCACGCAGCCAAAATGCAGCCGGACGGCAGCTTTCGCAACGTGGAAGGCGGCACGGTACTCCATGCGCACCCGAGCTCCTTGATGTTCAATCGCAAAGCCGATTGGGTCGTCTTCCACGAGGTCATGGAGACCGGCTCCAAGACTTTCATTCGCGACATCACCAAGATCGAGAAAGCATGGCTTCTGGAATATGCATCGGGCTTCTACCAGCTCAAATCCTGAGAATTAGGCCGTCACACTGGCATACAGACCACCTAGTGGTCGCGTTGAGAATCGAAACGTGGGCGAATACATATAAGCAAGCTTGCATTCCAACCACGCATTCTGGATGACGAGAGTTGCACGTGCTACTTATGCATGTCATACGAGATTATGGTCGCGTTGCCTCCTACTGAGGTAAAGGCAGCCGGTCACGCGAGCTCTGTTGGCCGTAGCGGGCTCCATCTGCAGTTAGCCGGGGCAGGTTGCCATGTGTACGTGAAGCCTCACTGCCCAGTGCCTTATAAATTCAACGAGATTGCTATTATATTATCTATGGCCGAGAGGCGCTGAGCAAATAAATTGATCTGGTCCAACCTTTACTGCTATCGACCATCGGCTTTAAAATAAGAAACAGTAGCTCGACTTGGCTGCATCCATGGATCCTCTGCATGCGGAGAAGGCCCGAGACAACCAATTGCTTAAAAAAGCATGTGGGCGCAGCAGCGCCTTGACGGAGAACAGGTACCTACCGCACACACACTTTGCAGTCTCATTTCGATTAATTAAGCGGGTGCGTGGCCATGTTGGGTGACATAATGGCTGCTTTGTGCACCAGATGGCACGGCGGTCCAGGTCGACCGCCTGCTAAAGAGCTGAGAAAGATTGCGGCCGGCCCATAGCACAGGATTCCAGGGCCAGAGTAACTTATTGCAGGTGTCGCCAATTTCGTTTTCCGCACCTTGCCCGGCGGCATAGTCAGGAGCTCTGTACTCGCTGCTGGGCTGAGTGAAGCCTGAGGTGCTGCTGACAGTAGAGTTGCTGTGGGCATTGGATAGATGACAGACTAGTTCCTGGCATTGTTGACATGGAATGTCGCAGGGAGTGCCATATCTCCCTCATCGCCTTATCTCTAGGACCGATCGCTGGCTCAAGCCTCATCCGAAAGGTCAAGACGCCGTTGATCAGGCTTGACTCGCGTCCCGCAGCCAACAAGCTCGGAGTTCCTTGGACAGCTACCGGCTCTGCCCCTGATGGATGATTGGGGAAGGGGGGTGAGGATCGCTTATTCTCATCTCGGGGAGATTCAGGACAAAGTACCGTCCCGCTCAATGTGGGAGCAGAGTGACCTGTTCGTCTGAAGAGAGCAGGCCCCGTCTGATCGCTGCAGCGCTGCCGAGCCCCGGCCGCGAAGGGAAACAGGTCGCCGCTCTGCTCGACGATTGGCGGAGCCGACTGGGTCCAGGGCAGCGCAGAAGCAGCGCAGAGAGGGCCTGTTGGCCTCTGCTAGAAACAAACGGGCCTAGCGCCCGATGGAACCCATGCCGCCGGCCCTGGCCAGCGCTGGTGCTTCCTCCTGTTCCTGCATTAGACCCCTGCGCCGTTTTCCCCTTCCAGAATCCACCCAGACGCAGAGATCCTCCTCTGCTCCTCCTCTGCTGCAGGACGGGAGGACCGAATCCACGATAGCCGCTCGCCCTGGGCTGGCCTGGTCTGGTCGCTGCTCGTCTGGCTCCCCCTGAGAGCAAAGCGGGCGGGTGGGCTGATCGTCGACATGAAGTCGCGAATGACCATATGTAGTAGGAAACACCAGATCGGGAGAGCCCTCTCCCTTGAGGTCTTCTGAGATGCACACGGCAGAAGAAGAAAGCACGCACTGCTGAGGAAACGAAGCAGTCCAATGAAAGCGACACAGTAGTTACTGTGTGCCCATAGTCAATCCAGGAACACGCAAACCAAGGTCGCGGAGCCTCCACGCCCTCCACCCTCATTTCATTTTTGCTCGACGCTCATTCGCCGCTTCAGCCCATCGCGGGCACTGTGGTACATGGCGCAGGTATCTTTTCTCCACCGGTCCCCATCACCCCCTTTGGCCTAGGACGGGGCGGCCACAGTCTTCACCTTTTCTTTCTCCCTTATCCCCATCCTCAGCTTCCTGGCGTCCCTCGACAAACGGTCAACCGACCCAAGCCTCGATAGCGGGCGTGCCATTCTTTCAGAAACCAACTACCAGTCACTCTTTTTGTTCGCAGCTTCAGTCACTCATTTACTGGCATCGCTTGAGAGAGAGGGTTTTTAATCGTAGTGTCGAGAACCGAGTTACCGTCTTAATATCGTTATCGTCACAACCTGCCTTTCCGAACGACTTCGTTTACTTCCTCCCGCATCACGAGCCAACTCCTCCAGGCAATTCCCCGCCGACCAGACATGATTGCATTGTTACAACGCATCTAGCACGCACCAAACGCACACGATTTCCTGTAATCATCTTAAATACGGCGGCTGTCTTTGTTTTGCTGCGTGGAAAGGGGAGCGATAGCGAGGTCACGCAAACATGGAGGGTCACGTCCACAGTCATGCCCACCGCCATCTCCATGGCAGTGGGTATCGCCTGAGCCCAAGGATACCGTCGAGACAGAGCGAGAATGTCATTCACTTGGGAGAAAGAGCCACGGCCGTTGAGGGGAGCTCGCTCACGGGCACTGTCTCGTCGAGTCTTTTCCGCAGGTCTGACTGCAAAGCTGGGGATAACTCAGCTCAGTGTGAGAAACCCGCTGGTGGAACATCGCTGACCATCCCGATTACCCTGGCAGTCGTGTAAGGTACTTCGCTTCTTGTTCGTCTTCTTGCCTTCTAATTTGACTGCAGTATCCCGATTGTCATTGCATTCTGCGTCCTGGTATACCTACACCGCCGGACCTCCAAGAGACATAAGCAGGAAGATGAGGATGCCAAGTACAAGTCCATGGACTTTGGATTGGGCGATGCACCAACAGGAAAAGGGAAGCGGAAGAGTAAGCTCTTCGGAGGTGAGAAGGAGGCTAGCCACACCAAGGGACTCTCGATGGATATGAACCTGTCAAGCCCGTACCTGCTGCCGCCACACATTCAGCAGTCCCGCGAATCTCTCAACTCTTTGGCCAGGACTCTGCACCAGAATGAGGACCCGTACCGACACGTTGACTCATTCGTGGGCAGCGATGCAGCTTCCATGCGGTCATTCCCTAGAGGTGCTGACAAACGTGCTTCGATCTACACACAACAGACCAACATGAGCGGTGGACGCTCAACGCCTAGGATCCAGTCACTTCACAACCTTCCTCCACGACAGAACTCGCTCCCAACCGCTCCTCTCCCTCCAATTCCTGCAGCTGCCAAGGAAGCTCCTCGTCATGAGGTCAAGGAGGTCGTTCCGCCTCAGTCCGCCCCTCCGATGAAGAGTGAATTCCGCTTCACTGACGACGAGACCCCCTTGCCTCAGGTGGGCGGCGAACATGTCGCTATGCCTGCCATGCCAGAAGTACAGGAACCCGCGCCCGTTGCCCAGAGAGAAGCTCCACAGAGTGTTCGCCCAACGTCATACGAGTCCATCAAGGCAGACCAGTCCTACGTTGGTGGGCTAGTCGGCGATAGGGACTCGTCAGCTCTGCCGGCTGCGGATCTCTATCACAACAGCGCCAATGGCCTGGGCATCATGGATGTGAACCCGCCTCAGGCGTCTGTTGTCGATGATGCACCTGTCAGCCTCCGACCAGGACAAAAGGAAGCTAATGTACGAGTCTCGGATGTGCCTTCTGAATACGAGGACTATGCCAATGGCGGCCATGCAGGTCAAATGGAGCCATACGCTGCTGCTATGGAACAGGAGCACCCCCATTCAGCTGGTCTCGGTGTTCCGCAGCAAGACAACAAGCGTCTGTCGGTTGGATTCCGCCCACTGCCGCCAGATGATTACCTTGAATCCGAAGACCCCGAGTTCAGGGCTAACCGAATTCGATCATTCTACAAGGAGTACTTTGACGATGGCAGCAAAGAGCCAAGACCACCGATGCCACAGCCTCAGAGTGCTCAGTATTATGAGGACTACGACCCCGGCTACCTCGGAGAAACGGCCTACTTCGACCCAGATTCCAATGCATTCGTCATGCCCTATGCCCAGCCGGTTACCCGCCGTGCTATGACACCACCGCCCAACAACAGGAGACCTATGCCAGGACCTGGACCCAGGCAGCGAGGACCGCCCGGACCTCGTGGCATGGGCCCCCCGGGACCCCGTCCTAGAGCCGGATCTACCATGTCAGGAGGACGATTCGGACCTGCAAGTCCCCGGCCCGGCTCTTCAGCCTCCGCACGCATGGGTGGACGTCCCGGACCCAAGAAGCCCATGGCTCCCTTGGCTGCGCTTCCCACGCTTCCCACCCCCTCCAAACTGAGGGACGACTCTTTCGCCATCATCAACGCGGCTGATTTTGCTCCTCCCCCATCATTCAAGGATCAAGCTCGTGGCCGCTCGCAGAGCCCGTTAGGTGAACGACTTCCTTACGCAGTCAATGTCCCAGCTGTATCACCACTGGTGAGCTCCTTCGATGATATGTCATCACTGCCCAGCCCGTAAGTACCAAGACTACACTGAATCTTTGACGATCTCTCTAACTCGATGTAGGCACTTGCTACGCAAATCAAGCACATTCACCGGTCTTGACTTTGCCCCACCGCGCAGGTTCAAGGACCCCGACTCCATGAGTGATGCTGGTAGCGTCCGCAGCATGGGTAGCGGCATCTCGGCCATGAACAACAATGCTCTTCGCGCCGGTGCCGGGCGCATAAGTCGTCTGCCCGGTGACCAGGTCTTCACGGCGGCATCCACGGAGAACCAGCTCAAGCCGAAGTGGGGAATGCGAGACTAAACTTTTCAGCATCCCTATATGAAATGTCTTGGTCCTAGCATTTCCACCGGCGTTCGATTGTCTCTTTTTGGCTTCTTGTCCATATGTACTGATAATGTTTTTTTCTCTTCCACATTATATCGGCGGGAGTATTCAGGGTCATGACGAACAAGCACTCTTGCATCGCGGGCACTACACATTTTACACATAGAGCGGAAATGGTGCAATCTATCTTTGGGTTACAACCTGTAAAGACATCCAGCAAGTGATGAGCCAACAATATAAGAAGACAAATCTTGGGAATCCTATGCGCATGAATTGTGACGTGACCAGCGGCCTAGATCGAATCCCAAACGAACAAACGAGGATCCATATCATAGCTTATTTCGGGAGAGTTTACCATAGTACACGACACGCTTCCGCCCGATCTGAGGAAGCCGGAAGCCAGTTCAATTTCAGATGAGCACCAGGGCATCCCGGCAGCCCCGGACATGTTGCTTGCGGGTAGGATCGAATAGAAAGTCGGATATGAGATGGAGAACCTTCCATTCCGGGCAAGCTCTGTTCCAGGTGGGCTGCGAGCTGACTGCCAGCTGGCCCGTTCACCCTGTTGGTGACGTCGGAATGTCAATGCGGGCCGACTGGGTGACCAGTGGACATGTTCGTCTGGCTCGATAAACCAAGATTTCTTTCTATTAACAAGGGCACCGTTATTGACTCCCGAAGGTAACGCTGTTGACTGGGACGTCATCTGTGGAGAGATAGAGGTCTAGATGCACCCGCCAGCGAGATAACCCCTCCGTATAGGACTGTGGAGGAGATGGATGAAACATGGTCTCGTCATTGGAGGATAGCCTCAATGATCGCATGGCTCATTCATTCATTCACTCATTCGCTGACGTCTGGAGAAGCTTCCCCTGCCAGAGTTAAACCAGGTCCTCAATACCGCTTGCTGGGAGTGTCGCAGCGGCTTGGAATTGGGATGAAGCATTCGCCCAACCTTGCTGCGGCACTACAGAAACTCAACTTGGATCTTTGGTATCGAATCACATCCGTCCGATGAGCCATGATTTGTGAAAGTCAATTCCGCGCCTGGGAGAGCAGGACGTGCTGTAGGTAAAGGAAGACCCTTGCGAGCGTCAGAGTTATGGTTGCGCCGTCGCTCTATTTATGTCGACGGAACCGAGGAGCTGGAAAACTCTGTTGATTCCTCGACTCGTGGTTCGCTCACTCTGTCAGACCGATAGAGTTTGGCTCCTCGTGCCTGGCGTGAATCATGGTTTTGGCGGCCGTATTTGCGGACCTCCAGAGCTCTAGCTAGATCTTTTTGCGGCTCGCCAATTGCAAAGTCAACAGTATAGGAAAGCCGTCTCACAGGCGATTTCGCGGGCTTCGGCACTTGTAACTCGCGACGGGCAATCCTTCGGGCCAGGTATGAGCGGGGAAATCAGAAAGGGCCATCGGTGTAAGCCAGTCGGTCTGCTCTGCATACATGGGCAATGCATATACTACTGCAGACAACTGCATCGAGGGGTTCAGCTGCTGTTTTGTCCATCCATTCGTTGAGCTTGCCGTCTACCAGTCAAGGGCCTCCAAGTTGCCACACGCACGAACTAATAGGACCCGGCCAAAGTGCAACCTGGCGCATTTGGCAGGCAGTGCTGCTTCGGCCAAACCTGGGACTCCTTTGCCTGAGCCCGCCTGAGTTAACTTTGGGTGCTGCTTCAAGGAGTGAGGAGACCCTGCGCATAGATGGCGGACGATTGCAATAAAAAGCAAGGCCACCCTGGTGAATATCGAGGCTACTGACCGTTGGCATTCACATGTCCATGATCGTAATTGTTCCTTGAACTTTGCCTTGGCACACCCAAGTAAGAGGGATTTCTCGATGCTGTAAATCCAGATAACTTCCCTACGCTGGCAGCAGCAAGTAAGACACTCACCTGCCTGACCGCTCCACGGACAACACCGCAGTGCATCCTGCTCGTCTTACATTATTGTTTCACAGCCTTGTCAGACCAGCTGGCAGAGAGCAGGCAAACCCCCAAGGAGCTTCAGCCATCGGGAAAGACAGTGTAAGTAAGGAAAAGGTTTACCAGATTTCCTCTAGGTACGTAATGGACCACTCGAGCTATTCGACGTCGCCTCTGCATCGCCAATTCAAGTCTGCATGGTCTGGAGGGCTAGTTACTGACTTGATACCGATCTAGCCGGGCAAGCCTGAGTCGGATCTGTCCGCCGAGTATGACATACCAGCGCCCCAATCGAGCCTGCTGAGTCGACTTGAATCCACAATAGCGCTCTCTCTTACTCTATCTCCCCACTCGACCAGTTCGACCAGTCCGAGCTGCTCAGGCTGTTCCGTCGACCAGAGATCTTCATATTTGTTTATTTTCTCTTTCTATTTCTTCCCCAGGTCATTGCAACGCCTCTCCATTCTTTAGCGAGCCCCGGTTGGTATTCTGCAGCGAAAGGGATAAAGACGGCTGAAAATAAGGTTGCAACGTTCTGCGGAATACGACTTGCACCAACAGAGCACTACCTTCAACCCCGCGACGCCACCCAATTTCAACGAGGGAGGACAGACATTCTGCACGCCGGACCCTGAAAGCTTTTTGAAGAACTCTATGCAAGAGGAGGGACAAAAAATCAGAAAAAGCAGTACTGCGGTTGGGAAGACTGGAGAATTGACGAGCGGCAAGGGAAGGAGATAAGATTCCGATATAGCTCGGACGACACGGACGACCAAGTCAACTTTATACTGCCATTGCAGGAGACCTTCACGACAGCCGGGACACACGAACAGACGACAAGATTCTAATTTCAGATTGACGCCCCTACCTCAGCTATCCCGAGCCAGCCAGCCCGAGACGCCAGTTGAGTCGATAGCCGACTTGATTGATCACAAACAAGCGCCATCTCGCCAACAAGAAGATCCGATCTGCACACAGCCAGGAGGTATTCTGTCATCATCGACGCAATACGACACATCAGAGGCAAACTGCCCAGCAGAAACACGAGGGGATTAAAAAAAAACGACAAATTTGGCAACTGAGCTTGGCAGAGGCAATCCGCAGCCAGCAACGACCATCACTGCCCGTATCGGCATAGTGAGGCTAGCCTAATACCTTGCTAACCGGGAGCATCAAACTGCGCGGCACCCACATCGTGCCGCCCGGAGGCTCACAGACAGGACGAGGACAGCACCAAAGGCAAAAAAAGGGAGAAAATAGCGGCGCGAGGCCATCGTTAGCTCGCGATCCTACTGCGGCTTTGCTCGCTTGGAATTGCAGTGCAGCCACGATCGCAGCAATCTCGCCCCGAAGTTGGGAGTGAAGCTTGCCTGCTGTGCCTGGGACCATCCGAAAAGAGAGAAGAGCCACTCTTGAGTCTCTGGCCCCCCCCCCCCCCCCCCCTCCCCCTTGTCGCGTGCCTTGGTCGCCAGCTCCGGTTTTCCCACGCAGCGTTGTATGAGTGCGGAGATTGACAGCAGGGAACACGGGCGCATCGATTCCTGTTGCCAGGCTCTCTCTGGCCCTCGTCAGCTTATTCGGTCATTGTCATTGGCTTCGACGCTCAGTCTGTCGGGTGCAGCCCATCCCATCCCATATCCCCCCCAAATTGACGAGAAGCCATTCTCCTCTTTTTTTCCCTCGTTTCGGGCCAACTTCCTCCACTGCGTCCGTCCTGTCCAGCTTCCGCTCTTTTTTGCCCTGGGCTGATCAGCGACGTCGCTTTTCTTGTCTTGCTCGCAAGACACTGGTGCCAGTTTTGAAACTCGCGGATCAGCGTTTGGACCGGCGTCTTGCTGTCCAGTCGTTTCCTCTCCCTCCACACGAGCAGAGAGAAAGACGGCCACAGACACGAGCTCGTTGCGCACTCAGCCACCCTGACTAGCGCCCGTCACCCAATCGCCCAGGTCCGAAGTCTGAGCACCGGCGAGCCAGCCAACGACGCTACCTCGGGGGTCTTTCTTTAACCACTGGCGCACCCTGCATCTGCTGTTTCGCGTTTCCAGCGTCTCACATTGTCAAAACTCGAAACACTGTCGTCGCTTGCCCTCGACCTTCGCTGTCGTCCTCCTCCTCTCCCATCCAGTCTTTGCAGGCTGCGATACCGCCTGGGCCGGTCGCCAAGCATTCTCAAGGTACGAACTGTCCCTTTCTTACCCAAGTGATCGTCGCGCCCTGTCCTGAAGTGAGGCCTTGGGTGAGTTGGTGATGGAGTCTCATCGCCGCACGTCGGCGCCGTCTCCCTCTGCTCTGTCACCCTCTCGCCAATTGCCTCTTAATTCAACTATACTTCACACGCATCGCTAAGGGCTCATTGCATCGCAAATGTTACCCTACTACCACTCGTCGTTGTCTTCACCATGTTCCTGCCTGCTAACATGACTCCGGCCCGCAGGCACTACTCTGTTGTGAACGTCGCGAGACAATTCACCATGTCTTCTAGTGGTAACAATACAAGTACGGGCACTGGCACTGGCACCGCTGCAGCCGACCCGACGACTGCGTCGAGTCCGCTCACCACTCCTACTACGAGTCTTGATCCCACGATTGATACCTCTACTGACATTCCTACCACTACAGCTCCCGCGGAGACTACCTCCGCGCCCCCTTCACCCACCACCACTGAACAGCCCCCAACCACCACCTCAAACCCCCCAACAACGACGGAACCTACCACCACGACGGTTCCCACTACCACAGCCCCGACGACCACTTCGGAGCCGCCGACCACCACATCTACCACCTCTGCCACAAGTCCCACCACCACTTCACCCACAACCTCCTTAACTTCACCCACCACCACCAGCCCGACGACTACTTCGCCAACCTCGGAACCCAGCACATCGTCGACGCTCACAACCACCTTCCAGACCACCCAGTCCGATGGAAAGACCGTAATACTCACGGTGACATCGACGCAGGCCGTGGCGCCCACCTCGACAACCGGCACCGATCCCTCGTCGACTTCGGGGGGCATCCTTCAAGGCGACTCAAGCTCAAGTGGAGGCCTGAACAGCCAAGGCAAGATTGCCGTGGCCGTCGTTGTACCCATCGCCGCTGTGGCCCTGTTGGTCGTTGCTGGTATCTTCTTGTGGAGGAAGCGCAAGCAAAGGAAGGACGCCGAAGAGGAGCGCAGAAAGGAGGTCGAGGACTACATCTACAACCCCAATGCCGACCCGACCATGCCCGACGTTGGAAGCAGCGGTGGCGGTGCCTACGAGATGAAGGAGGACGCCTCATCGGGATACCGTGGCTGGGGCTCGACCACCCTCGCCGGGTCTACAGGACGTAAGGCGTCCACCACAATGTCCGGTGGAGCAGCAGGTGTGGCTTACTCGGATACTCCGACCATGTATGGCAACGTCTCTGACACGAAATCAGGAGAACCCCTCATGAGTGATGGCTCGCACTCCCCCGAAGGCGAGATCCTGGGTGCCATGGGGCCGGCAACCTCGGACAACCGCGGCGGCAACGTTCACCGCGGACCCTCGAACGCCTCATCCTCCTACAGCGCTGCTGGCCGTTCGGATGGCTCCGCCGAAAATGGTATTGGGGTTGCCTATGGCGGCGGTGGTTACTATGATCAGTATGGCAACAACCCATACGACAACGGTCAGCAGGCTGGTGGGCAACCCATCATCCGTGACAACCCGGCACGACGAAACACCCGCATTGAGAACCCTTCGCACTACCCACAGCAGAGCGCTGGTATTTCGCAGAACTTCTAATTGAACGAGGGACCCCTGCGTCATTCTAGTTTCTCTTCCACGCGCCTTCTCGAGATACCCTATCCTTTAGGCGGTAAGAGACCGCCTGTCGATAAGCGACATTGCCACTTTTCGGCTACCTCTTTTGACATACGTCACATTTCTTATTTATCGTCTTCCGGCGTTCTACGGTCTATTGCATCACATACGGTCCTTTATGCATAATTTCATTTTCTTCACCAACACGGGCTCTGGTTTGTTTCTGATCCCTATCCGGTTGGGCAGCTACATTATAACGTCCCTGGGGTTTGGTCTCTCGACTGATATCAAGATATATCTTCACATCAGCGGATAGCTATGCTATCACCGCGACGATCCTCTAGGCTATATGAGCGGCTTAGTCGGCAGGGGTGTACAGATTCTCAGATGCCAACAAGGCCGAAGTTGGTCAGAATCATTCTGGCGACAGGCAGTACATACCAGTCTTAACTGGCTAAGCCAGAGATGCGATAATGCTGGTGACCGTATTTTCCATGGCGTTCAAAAACCCCGACATACATCAGCGATCGGTTTTTAAATCCATTCTGGATCTTTAGTAATACGCACACGACGCAACGAACCGAGTAATCGATTCATTGCATGGTTTTCACGATGGCCGAGGCGGGCGGAGAGTGCTACATACGCATTGTAGTCACAGGGTGGCTTTGTACAAATTATGGAGGGTTTCGGGGCAGCACACGACGGGATAGAGCACGGGACAAGACTTTTATAGCAACCAGCAGTGACGTTCTGCAGATCACGCACCGCAGGCTCACCGAGGAGGAGGATTCGGGGCAGCCAAGACGCAATCTACGCGCAGCCGCACAGAGCTGTGGTCGCCATCGGCTTCGCTTGTCGAGGCAGGAGTTGTTATGGGGGAATCTATCACCAAATCTGTCGAGTATACGTTTGTCCATAGCATATAATGAACCATCTGAACCATGACTACCTATAAGAAGTAGGATCTACTACACCCAATTACAACTCGTACGTGTGCTGAACCGTGTAAAAGAAACCCTGTGGGTTGGGCTCGACAAGAACGAACCCCATGATTACCAGCCTATAGTTCTGAGCACTCTTTGTATACTGTATAGTCCAAATGAGACAGTCACTCCCTACCAGTCACTCCCTACCAGTCACTCCGTGCGGAAAGCTACATCCTGCGCAGAACACCTGGGGACCAGCTCCGCTTCTGCACTCCTGAGCTCTTGCGCAAGAGGCGAAAGCCCACAAAGGGCTTGCATGCAAGCAATGATGGGATGAAAGGGGCCAGACCCCCCCCCGGGCACACGTGCTCATTGACGCAGAGTCCCAAGAAGGCCTCGACGGGGTGGTTTGGCTCTGGTGAATGGAAAGGACAACGGAGACGGACGGCATCAAGGCGCATATCCTCAAAATAAAATGCAGAAGAACGCCAGCTGCTGCGGGACAATCCTCTGCCTCGCCCTCATCGCCATCACCACCCTCTCCATATCCACGTCCCTAACCACCACCCGCGCTGACCCCGACGGGACCTGGTACTCGTGGGCCCACGTCGCGCTGGGCAAGGACATTGTCGACATCTACAACGCGCAGAGGCGAAGGGTGCGGGATCCGTTCATTCAAAAGCTCTTCATTGCCCGGCTCAGGCCGCTGTCCCAGGGATCGCCCGTCTACACATCCATCGCCCAGCGGCTCTCGAAGCTCGTCACCGACGACGCCGGCATGGACAAGTCAGCCAAGGAGGAGGCCGCGAAGGCGTCTCCGGCTGCTCGCGCGGATGCCTCGACGCAGACAGATGTAAGTATCGCCCACTCAGTTACGGGGTCCCGTAATGCTGATGTGAATCACCAGGAGGTCGATGATCATCGCTATGGGTACGCCCACTTTTGTAGGTACGGCACTATCAACAACAAGGACCGAATTGATTCCGTGGAGTCGTTCCATAACATTCATGGCGGTACTCATCACTGGGTCGGTCGGCAGGAGACCAAGGATTCGGGATACAAGCCGCTCATCCTGGTGGTCTGCATTTTGGTGATGCTGAAGATCTTCTCCTGGCTGTGAGAATGGCGTAGGGACCTAGTCTGAGGATGAAGGGGCATATTATAACATCGGAACAGCCGTAGTAGAGACAGATCAACGAGGCGTAAATCCGAAAGCAAGACTCGCAATGGAATCTTTCATATACTTCTTTCAATTGTAGACCATGACAGCGCATGATCGGGTATCAAATCTATGCCAGCTCCACGCCCTGCAGGCCGTCCAACACCTCGTCGGCCACGCCGCCCTTCTCGAGGACCTTGGCGACCATGGCGCCCAGCACGGCCGGCTTCATGCCGCCGCGCGGCGCCTTCCACACGCCGGCCACGTCCCCCGTCTCGGCCTGCCGCGCGTCTGGGTTCTTGCTCGCCGCCCCGCCCTGGCCCCACGCCGACGCGTTGACCGAGTTGGGCACGCCCGGCGGCGTCAGCCTCGAGGGCGGGTCGATGGTCCGCACCGACAGCAGCCGCAGGGCCCGGCCGGGCTTGCCATCGACCCCGCTGGCGTCTACCTCCATAGTACCCTCCTCCGCCGCTTTCTCCTGCAGGGCCTGGCCCTCGCCGACCGAGACGGCCAGCGCGCTGTCGGCTACGGCGAGCTCCTCCTTGGACGGGTCGAAGATGATGTTGTCGCCCACCGCCATGACGAGGAGGGTGATGGGCGGGCGTGTGGTCGCGCTCGTCTTGCTGCCTTCTCCGGTTTGGGGGTAGATGAAGGTCGAGGCCGCCCAGTCGTCGTCGAACATGGGGTCTTCGTCTGCCTCCGACCTGAGCTTGGGCAGGCGGGTCGAGAGTAGGGCGAGATGGCTCGTCAGGCTGAGGAGGGGGAGAGGGTATGAGAGCGGTGGGGAGATGAGTATGATCTGGGCCTATGGTTAGCACCTCACGCCTTGTGTGTCCGTCTGCCGACCGAGGGGGACCTACGTCGATGTACAGCTTCCAATGGAACCGGCGGTTGATCCACAGCCGTCTCGTGAAGTCTCCATCCGCCAGCAGGGCCTCGCTCAGCATGGTGCCCAGGAACACGGTCGAGCTGTCGTCGTCTCGGTACCCGGGGATCTCGACGCTGATCTCGACCCAGTCGTTCGAGCCCTTGACCTCGGCATCCTGAAGCTCTCCGTCTTCTTCTTCTCCGCTGTCCTCGCTGTCTTCGGGCTTGCCCTGCTTGCTCTTTGCCGGGCCTTTCCTCCTGCTGCCCTGCCGCCGTCCGTTGCGGTCCTGGTAGGGGGACAGGCGGGTCTTCTCAACCTCGGCCTTGACGCCGACGATGGCCTCGGTGCCGTCGGCGAAGCAGATGCGCGCGGAGCCGTTGGTGCCCGGCAGAATGCCTGTCTCGGCGGTCAGGGGCCGGAACTGGGTCGCGGTGCGGCCGTCGGGCCGGATGGGCGGGGTGAGGCTGAGGGTGCTGTGCAGGTAGGCGAGCTCGGCGGGCGAGAGGAGCGTCGTGGTTGCCATGGCGGGCGGGGGGGTGTGCCTGTGCCTCTGCCTCGGCGAGGGACGCGTGAGTCCGGTAGAGAGTGACAAGAGGTTGCGCGTGGAGTCTACAGCCGAGGAGGGTTTGTGTCAAAACTCTAAGACTTTTTTGTGTTGCTTTTCCTATTCAGACTTGCAAATGACGACGAGGCTGAAGGGTGTACTTTTCTTTTTTTGGAGCTGAGCTCTCTGGGGCAGATGATTGGCTGAGACGCCCCGATTAGTGCCTGTACCGCAGCAGATCTTGGTGGGGTGATAGCGAGGTTGCGAGGCTCCGCCGGGCGCCGGCTGTGGGTCTGAGTCTGGGTCTGCCCGAATTGATGTTATGCCGGCCGAGCAGTGGAAGTCTCCGAGATTCATATGGCAAGTCAAGCAAGGTTTCCCATACAAGTAACGGGCTCACAGAAACCAGCTTGACTAGGAATTGAAGTTGACATTTCGCCAAGGGTCTTGCTATTGTAGAACTGGTTACCATTGAGGTCTGCCTTTATTGAGTTATTCGAGAAGTGCTCGTCACGGGTCTGGAGCTGCGTCTACGATCAAGAGTTTGGACGTGCAATCCACCCCTCTCTGGCCGCCTCGCTTCTTCTTCTCACAGCTGATGTGAATCGAAGGGCTACAATGATACAAAGAGACAAGATCTCGTACCTTACGACAGCGCACAGCGGTTTTGTGCAAGGTGAGTAGCCCGGACAGAATTGTCGGCGTCGGGTTGCACCGAAAGCCACCGAGACAGTATGGAAGTTGCCGGGTTCGTATATCCTCCAGCTTCACTCACAACTTTGGCCCCTTATACATACGGCGGGTATTTTGAGGACCACAAATGTCCCCGAGGGCTTATAAAAACTTTTTTCCTACCAGAAACCATATGAACTTCGTGAGCCATACATGTTTTGACACACACATATATAATGACCAGGTTGCCGCGGCACTCCCCTCAAGGAGCCTGCCCAATTTCATTGTATTTATTCCCTATCCCGAAACCTCTGTGTAGAAAGGCTGAGTCTTTGATTGAATTTATCAACCCCAGTCATCTTCTTGAACCTAACAGTTTCCACGCCGCTTTGACCCCTAGACTCCACGGCTCTGGGCCAAGTCCCTATTCTAGTATATCTTTGATTGAGAGTGTCACTCTCAGCCATGGCTGGGCCCATCGGTGCCATGCTCTACCAAGCCTACATGAAATGGTTCCCGATTCCGCTTCCAGCCCCAGACTCCTTCTCTGGGCAGACCGCCGTCGTGACCGGCGGCACCAGCGGCTTGGGCCTGGCCGCTGCCGTGCACCTCGTCAACCTTGGCGCCTCCGAAGTCATAATCTCGAGCCGCAATCCCTCGCGGGCACATGATGCGCTGGAGGCTATCGAGAGAGCCACAGGCGGCAAGAGCAAGGGCAAAATGAGAGTCCTCGATCTGGACATGGAGAAATATGCAAGTGTTGTTGCGTTCGCAGAGGAGGTCAAGGCAATCAAGGAGGGCAAGGGCGGTGTCGATGTTCTGATTCTGAACGCCGGTGTTGCGGGCGTGGACCACAAGCTCTCGGATGAGGGATGGTAAGTTCTCATGCTTGTCTATCGAGCAAACCCCCTTCTCCTGAACTTTCTCACTGCCGTGCTATAGCCACAGATGCTACAGAACCTCCAGATATTATTACTAATACGGCGTTCCAAAACTACTAGGGAGCAGAATATCCAAGTCAACACCCTCTCGACCACGCTCCTGGCACTGCTCTTACTCCCGCACTTGAAAGCAGAGCGCCCGAACCGCCGCACGGCGGCACACCTCAGCATCGTGGGCTCGATGCGTTTCGGAGACCCTGACATCAAAGAGTGGAAATCCTGGCAAGTAGGGAACAAGGGCGAGGGCGAGGGTGTCCTCGAGCATCTGAGCCGACGCGAAAACTTCCCCGGGCCTAGTGTCATGTACGCCAGCACGAAACTGCTAGTAATGTACGCCTTTACAGAGTTGGTGGAGTTGGCCAAAGGCACTGATGGCCGGTACGTCCATTCTTCTTTCTCTGTTCCCCCGTCCGTGGATAAGAGGAATAAGATACCGGATTATACTACTTGTCCTCCGCCCTCCTTCCTCCCACGCACACTCTAACATGCAGAATGGCACAGGCCACAGGTGATCCTCAACACCATGTGCCCCGGCATTGTCAAGACGGACCTGCCGCGCAATTACAAGGGCAAAGGAGCCGTGTTCGTGGCCGGCATCGGCGTCTTCTACGCCCTGTTCGGCAAGTCGGCCGCGGACGGGGCCCGCGCGTACTTGGCCGCCGTGACGACGGAAGAGAGCGAGCACGTAGGTCTCTCTCCTTTCCTTTGATGTTGAGAGGTATTCGGTTGATGCCTGAGCTAACGCCCATTTTTGATGAAATAGGGCAAGTTCATCCAGTTCTACAAGAGCGAGAAGCAGCTACAGGCGTAAGTTCTACTCGCTCGCCATCTTTCGATAGCGCGTCGTCTATTGTATACGAGTACATGACAAGGGCGGTTGTCTCGAAGCTACTCACTGTATGCTAACTTTCTCCAGCTTATCAAACAGGGTCCTGACCTCCGAGGACGGAAAGCGGATGCAGTCTCAGATATGGCGGGAAATTACAGGGGAGCTTGGAAGAAAAGTACCAAAAGTCAGGGACTTTCTTGTCGTGTCACAGGTCACTGCAAAACGTTGAGCGCATTTCATAACCACAAAACGCCGGATTTGAACGCTGGGAGGTGTGAACCGTTGCACGAAAGTATATCTGGCCTGACCCAGGAAAGGAAGTCCTCAAGTTAGTGGTTTATAGTATGCTCTTTTCAGTGCCACCACTGCATGGTACTGATTGTTCTGGCCCAGAAGATTTGTCGCATCTGATAATCTTGAAATTTCGTGGTGTACCCTTGACTTAGAAGCACGCTGGTCTCCTTGATTCTATTGGGGACTCGAATTTTCTATCGGCCTGAGAGCGAACCAGCCCAAAAGGTACTGTTAACGGCAGCTCGTAGACTATATACGATCGTCTTCCCGAGGTTCTCACTCTTGAGATCCGATCTTCTATCCACGAGGGCTAAGATTTCCGGAAATCCAATGCCCATTGCAGCATCAGTTCAAGACCGACTGCCGCTACTAGTTCAGCGACCATACCCTTGGCGGTCTTGGGATCGTCAACTTCTTCGTTGTCCCAGTCGAACAGGTCGCCGGCAGAGATGAACCCCTGAGTCAGCCGTACTGGAATGATATCCAACGGAGCTTGCTGTATGAGGTCCATCGAGGGGAGGCCAGGCATATTGCTCCGAAGAAGGGGCAGATCATCGTCGTCATCTTCGTCTTCGTCGTCGTCGCCATCATCATCATCATCTTTCTCTTCACTGAGAGACTCAGCGGCCTCGCCGCTCACATCCAACATGGAGCTATCGTTTCTGGAAGATACAGCTGAGTCCTCAGGTGAGGCTTCAGACAGATGCAAATAGCCCTTTTCATCAAACAACTTGAGTGTCTCCTTGTCGAGCGCAGTCCAGACGTGTCGATCTGGGTCTAATACATACTGCGGCTTGAAGTCGATCTTGTACCTCATCTTTGGGCAGGTGTGGATGTAGAAGCCGGAATACCACCAGCCGTACCCTTTCTCCTCTGCTAAGGCGATCTCGTACAAGGCACCCAGCTTCCCGGCTTGGAACCGGTGGATTGACTCGTGGTACAGAAAGTACTTGGCGCTGACGCAATGGGGGAGCAAGTCCAGGACACCAACCGCCACAAGCTTCCCGTCGAGACGATAGCACTGATGGAACGAGCCCAAGGGGCGCTCTGTCCCATCTGGCGCTCTGAAGAGCTGGCGTCGCAAGGGCGAGTCACAAAGAAAGCGCTTAAACCCATCCCGAGTGATATCCGAAGGGCTCTCATGGTGGACGACCCGTTGGTAGTTTTCAAAGATGGCGTACTTTTCTTCAGTGAACTCATCTGGCTCAAGACTGACGCTGAACGTGTGGGCTGGTTGAAGGTTTGCTTTTAGTGATTGAGTCTCAGCCTCGTGGATTCTGTCCACCAGGTTGAATTGGTTATCCCGTTGTTTGGCCTCGTCGCGTGATCTGGGATATAAGCGTGATGCTTCCTTTATGTACTCGTCTCCTAGGACATATCGATTGAAACGGTTGATAGCCGATCGTTGATCCTTGGTAAGGTGACACTGAGCGGCATCGAGACGGAGCGTATAGTGAGGGCAACATGAGTCTCGTTGGTTTGGCCTATACAGTAGGCGTCCTGAGCGCCTCCAACATCGGTCTACCAAAGATTGATAAAATGCAGGACTGAGGGAAGTCGCTCGTACGTAAAAGGTGTTGCCTGTTTCAACATAAGGGATCAGAAATTCCTCTTGCCACACGGAGGAAATAAAAAAAATTTATATGCGTGCTGGCCAATGTACACTAGGCCGCGTGCCTTGGGAACTGTTCAAACTGTGCTGCTCAAGATGGAGGAGATATACTATAGCAAGGCACTTCAGGAGTTTACATATAAATGCACTTCAAATGACAGACCGGCAGGGCGATCAGGGATATAATTCATTACACACGTTTCTGTGACTGACCGGTTTGAGGAGCACGTCGGCGGCAGTAACCACACGAAGCTGATGATCTATAGCCTATTACGGACAGTTAGGACTTTTCTCTAACAATATCAAACATATCCTTAGATGCGTAGGTATAGCCAAAAACGTCGGGGCCAACAAGGGAGCATCTCATCGCTTGATTTTCTCCGCCATCGCTCAACGATGAGGCAAGAGGATATGCTCATGCGCACTGCTTAGCCACATGATGAGGTGCAATGACGTAGTAACGACTCCACGGTGACATGCGGACATGGAAAGTGAGGCAAAGGGATAGGCAGCGGGCAGCGTGTTATAGCCAGTCATGTGGTTTGTGCAGTATCGTACATGTTGGGGGCGTGATGCAGGGAGTCATAAGCAGTCAGGACATGGGAGGCTGAACAGTGGCCCAGGGAAACCAGAAATCTGGTAGTTGCAAGCGCAGACTACTGCAAAGCGACATGTTCCCCATAAAAAGGGTATGCAGGGCAAGTGGCCAACAGCAAGGACACGATGCCGCACGGGTCCAGATGGTTGGGTGAGGACGTGTGGAAACTAAGGCAACTTGGGGGAACGGGCACAGAAAGATTGCGGCCTAGGTACTCACCGATTGGAGTCAAGTATGAGAATGCATCCTCAGGGGTTGGCTGCACGTCAGGCGAAGCCATGATGCCTCTAACGGGGCTGGGCGGCCGGGCTCGGGTTGCAAGGTCTCTGTCGTGACCGGGACCAAATTCACACCAAGGTTGTTACCGTCACAGCCCGGGCTCGTTTGATCCAAGGAGGCCCCGAGTCGTGTTCGCATACGTACAAATCTTGGCGGGCTTGGGATGGTAAGAACCGGATCCCCGCTGGGCAACAGGCGTCGGCTCGGGGCAGTGGAAGATTCGGTTTGTATCAGCGCCCTGGGGGAGAGGGGCTGGCTTGCTTTGCAAGACTGGCCGAGTAGGGCCGGAAAGGCAGGTGAGGAGCTGGGCCGGCTACGTGTTCTGCGATGGATCCCCGGAGAGGAAAGCCAGGCATCGGATGTCTGTGCAGTGCTGGTGCAATGCTGGTGCAGTTCCGATGAGGTCCAGTACGGTAGACGATAATCCCCCAGCCATTTAACGGAGGTTGCTAGAAAAGCAAATGGGCCTTTGGACGGGGATATGTGTGGTTCAAAGGCTGGGCGGCCCCGAAGATCTGGCCCCAGCTGGACCGGACTGACTGGTTGGCACTATGTACGTGCATCAACTCAGCACGCATGCCTTCCCAGCTTGCATCATGCAGGTGCCGCAGTCGTCTCTGGATAGATCCCAACTAGCCCAGCAGGCAACTTTTCTTCAGTCTCCGTGTAACGTGAGCCTGCTCGATTTCAACTGGGCATCGGAGTGACGCGTATGAGGCTGCTATTCCGAGAGGTCCGCTTGGGAGAGAGACTGTGTAGGCATTGGGATGTCGGTGCTGAAGCGCCAGTGTCACGCATAGTTGAGTCAGGCCAACCTGGAACCCTTCTCCAGATCCAGATCGGGGAACCAGTCAAAATCATCACGCAGTTAGTTAAGGATTTATGCTGGACGATTTGGGTATCGACCGGGCGCAAGTAAACGACCCCGCGATCTGCCCCTCCTAGGGAAGCATGGGGACCCAATATAGTTATACCGAAGCGCCTCACGGACTGCGAATGCAAAACGCTCGTTGACATCCGATTCGTGTTGCAATGGTCTGCTGATGAAGTGTGATATACATTTTCCACCTAAGCAAATAACAACTACTGCATACTAATTCGGACGTGCGTCCAGAGAGAATCCCCGCATACCGGTCTTCACGTTTCTTGGCCAGCCATGCCATGCCATGCCCTGCCACTGTCTCACTGGGCTACGTAACTAGAAGAGTGGGGGTTTGCGGCTCTCAGCGCATCATACGCGAGATGCGTATAACGAGGACAAGTGACTGACTGGCACGGTCATGTTGTGCTTCTTATAGACCCAAGTGCATGCCACATGACTGCACGCAGAATGACATGCAAACCCAACAGACCAAGACAGGCACAATGCTGGCGGTTGAGAACCCTCTCGAATTGAACAACGGAGCGGTGGATCTCTATTAAAGTCGCCTAATATGCACGCGTATTAGACATTCATGCCATCTGGATTTCTACCAGGCTTGTGCATATCTGGGTCGAGGCGTAGGCCTGCCAAACCCAAACTCGTCCACTATTGTTTGGATGAGGGCGGACAGGCACAAGGTTCATCGGTCGACTCTACTACCCAGCCGGTAAGCTGCCATGCAAAGAGCAACCTGCTCCTGTGCAGTGGGCGGCAGACTCGTGGGGGTAAGTTGTTCCCGCAGGCAGGGAATACGAACAAGCAGTGTTATAAGAAAACATGACGACAAACCACACGGCGCTCTCTGTACTGCAAGAAAGTTTGGCCCAACGGGGTATACCGGAAGACGAAGGAGGAAGGAAGTCCCTCGAAGTACCGGTGAAATACGCCCGAAGCTCAGACATCTAACTTCGGGGTATCGTACCAGGGCCCCCCCCCCCCCCTTCTCATCAACTAGATAATACATGTATTGTCTATGCATGTACCTGCCATATGCCTTCGAGAAGGGGTTTTGGCGTGGGGTTCTCTGTCGTTAAACTGGGTCCCGTGCTCAACCGACTGTGGACCGCCCGCAGCAGCATTGCACATGGGACGTGACGCGCCCCCCGAAGGAGGTGAACTCACCTGGGCACTAATAGCTGAGGCTGCTAAAGCAGGTCAGCAAGACCCGTCGAGAATTTTCCTTCTCTTTGCTGGACTACCAAGCTCTCATACCTTTTTCCCGCCGTCCCGTTAGTTTCCATGAAGGGCCCACGCCTCCAGGGCTCAATACACCTCTCTCCCTCTCTCTCTCTCTCTCGCTCACTCTCACTCACTCATGTGTCAATGCATCAAAGTACTTGCAGTACACGGGGCTTGCACTCTTCCGGCTTGACTCTCGATTGGGCAATGTAATGTATCAGTGCCACACGTTGTCCGTACAAGCCAGGTCTCCATCCCTACGTACATACATACATCCATACATACATCCACATGCACACATGCATAGGTAGGTATACACATATTTGGGGGCCCTGGATCTTGAACCCGCACTGGAGTTAGCCGATGGCCCTCCGGAGGCGGCCCTGGGCTCTGGCCTGTCTGGGGCTGGGCGTCGTCCGGTACCCAGGTACTGAGCAGGAAAATGCAACTAGGTAACGAGCCTGTCTACATAGTACCTCAGCTAGGCGTTGTCCTAGGAGTACTAGTATAAAGGCCAACTCTAATTTCCTCGAGCTCTCTGCCCCTCCATCCTGCCATGGCACGAGACACGCAACGGCACTCTGGCCTCCAGAGCCTCCCGCTCCGACCCAAACTGCAACATCTGCCTCAACTCCTGACTCTGCGCTGTCGGCAAGGCTGACAACCTCGCTGTGTTGCCCACGGCATAGTCCCCCCACTGCCGCGCTTGGGAATTCTTCTCAATTGTTAGCTGAGGCGTGCGTTGTCCGTAGCGTCCCACGCTGAGCACACCAGGCCCTCGGCGTGCCCCGCAGTCGAAATCTTCGGCCGATTCGACGTCTACCTCAAGTCCCCGGGACCTGACGTAGGTAGCACTCGACTCGATTTTTTTTCTTCTTCGTCTTCCCGTCGTTGCATGCGCACTTTCGGAATCGCGTTACGCGCTCTCCAGTACTGCGGTATTTCTAATACTGCCTCGTGGCCGCATTTTTTTCCGCGGATCCCCCTGCAGAAAGCCGGAACGCACGAGGGAGTGTGTCCATGTGGATGCAAAAGAGCCTCAACACCCTACACCACCACTCCTTTCTCCATACTCCGTTGCTGGAACCGGGTCTCCAAAGCGCACTACCCGTGGATTGAGCTTCCCCAGAGCCGGCACCGCCTGTCTGCTTGCCCAGAGACAGGACTCGACTCAACTCGACGTCCCCCCCGGTTGAGATCCGCTTCTGCTGTACTGGCCTGGCCAGCTCGTTCCTCGCTCCTTTGACAATTCAGAATACCGTCAAGATCATGCAGTTGAACAGTCGTTGAGCGTTCTCACCACTCTCCAGCTACAGCCGGTTGCGGAGTCGCTCTCACCACACACCTACGAGAGCTGCCTCCCTCTGCCTTCTTCTGGGTTCCGTTGCTTCCACAATCCACCCAAAGACCAGCACGTATCCTGCTTACAGTTCGGCGCAATGGCTTCCGGCTCTGGGTCCTCCAACAGCCGCTCGATGGAGTCTCGCACAGGGCGTAGCAAGCAACGTGAGTCCAGCGCTTGCCTTTGTTACACCGCCGCTGGGGCGACCAATCCCCTCGTTCAGACCGGCTGACCAGTTTCCTTGGCAGGTTACAACTCGAAAGGTGAACGATTGGTTGCTGGCGTAGTGCCCCTCACCGAAGATAAGAACTATGTCCTCCTCATCCAGTCGACGAGAAGAAAAGGCTGGGTGCTCCCCAAGGGAGGATGGGAGTCGGACGAGGAGATCACCGAGGCCGCCGCGCGTGAGGCCTGGGAAGAGGCAGGCATATCCATACAGATCGACTACGATCTCGGAGATATAGCCGAGTCGCGGCCCCCAAAGAAGTCCTCCAAGGACTCGTCCAAGTCCCTGTATCGCTTCTACGAGGCGACAGTGCTCAAGGAGGAGCTCGACTGGCCCGAGAAGCACAAGCGCGAACGCCAGTGGTTCACCTACTCACAGGCCAAGGAAGCTTTGTCTTCTCGCCCCGAGCTCTTGGAGGCTCTTACCCGGTCAACCATGAAGCGGTAGCCTGTGATTTCGAAGATTGCATAGACAGCTGGGTCCGGAGTTCAAGGTCACGAGAGGGCTCGATTTTGTTTTTCTTTTCCCTTTTACTCTCTCGGCATTGGAGCGTTCTGGTTGACCACCCAAAATATCTGCCTCGTCGGTCTTGATTTGCATCATCTGGCATGGAAGACCCTTATACCTGCAGTGCATCTCCGGGGCGTTGGTGGCTAAAGTCGCAATTTGATAGAGGTCAGGGGGCATGAAAAAATAACATATATTGGGAGCCATGAGTGGTAAACAAAAAGAAACACCAGGTACACAGAAAACGGCATGGCGAGATTGCATCTGGAATCTGTCCCCCGAGGGTCACATCTGGCTATACCGGGCCCTCCCCCCCCGTACCAACCCCTAGATATATACATAGAGCATCAGAGCTGTGTGCGCGATACGTGCACGCGCGCGCCCCCAATCGATCCGCTATGAAAGTGCGCCTGTTCGTCTTGAGGCCATGTCACTTACGCAGGAAAGGGGGTTATGAGTATCAGCTCAAGTATCTCGCTGCCGTCATCGACTCTATTCCACCCCTGGAGCACAGCTTTCCAAAAAAGGGCAAGGCAACATTGCAGCGACTCGGGTAAGTAACTGCCGCAGGTGAGGTTCCGTCACTCTGCCGCCCATGACGAAGTCGGGGGGAAATTCTATCATGATATATCAGCCGGGGCAATGTCCTGCTGTGCTTGCCATGTCGTGCCTTCAGGCCGCGTACTTACAACAGCAGATATATCACCAAACAGCACGCAGAGCTGCCATTGTTCATGGACCTGATTAGTTGATCGGGATCGAGGATCGAGGAGTGAGTCACAACGGAGCGCATGAGTTCGATAGAGGAAGAGAAAAATAATCAGCTGGGTATCTACGATTCACAGCGTATTATATACTTTAATAGGGAGATGTTGTTCCCCTGGTATCATTACGTCTTGCCCAATCCTCCTTCAGTTCCCGTCCTACCCAAATCTCCATTTCCCTGAGTTCCTTGCCAAAGTCTCCCCTCGTCCAGATCACGCAACCTCTCAGACGATGACAAGACACCCATCCATTAAAGAAAGTCCTCCCTTACTCAACCCTCCAGCCCGACCTTGAACATCTCGGCGCTCCCCCGCGTCTCGCGCCTCGAGCTCGCGCCGCCGCCGCTCGGCGTCCTCGCGGATGCGGTTCACCAGCGCGGGCCGCGGCCGGTTGACCATGGACGGCGTGCCGTCGCGCACCGTCGGGAACGCCGCGAAGCTGGGGCCCTGGCGCGGGATCTTGGGGATCGTCGGCTGCTTGGTGGCGTCGATGCTGTCCGAGCGCATCAGGCTGCTCACGCTGGCCATGCTGAAGGCCCGCGGGGCCGGGGCCGGAACCGGGACCGGCGCCGGCAGCGGCTCCGGCTCGTCGCTGTCGCGGAAGGCGAGCCGCTGCGCCGTGCTCAGCGCCCGGCTCGCCCGGCTGCTGGGCGGCCGCCACCCGGGCTCCTCGGTCGCGGTTGCGGCGGCGTCCGGCGTCATGGTGTAGCGCTTGCTCTCCCGCGGGTCGTCCAGCTCCGTGCTGGCCGTCGAGAACATGGTGTAGCGGCTACTGGCTCTCGCCATGTCGCCGGCCTCGGAGGTCATGGTGTTCCGGGTCTTGCTCTCAGCGGGTTTTGCGTCCATCTCGGACGCCGCCGCCGGTTCTCTCGGTCTATTATCCCGAGACGGCTTGGCGATGGGTGTTGCGACCACCGCGTTACCCTTGTCTTGACGGAGGCGCTGCTCCGTCTCAACGGCGACAGGCTTGCGGCTTACCGCCGACTGCTCGGTCATGGCTGCGTTCGGAGCTCCCTGGTCAGGCTGTGACGGCCGCTGGGACTGAGGCATCGGAGGGGCTGCCTCGGCGGCCTTCGCAGTGCCTTGCTCCTTATTCTTTACACTGTTTACCCGGATCAACCGCACCGTCTCGGCGTTCTGGACGCTCGGCGGCTTCTGAAGGCGGAAGCTGGCGGGCGACACCCCGTATACGTCTTTGGGACCTCCAGCTGACTCTGACTTCTTCTCGTTGGTGGATATTGTTGTTTTGTCTTTCAAGTCGCTGTAGTCACTCACAGCAAACCCAAAGTTCAGGGGCTCCGGCTTCTTCGGGGAGCGAGCGCTGAAGACGGGAAGTTTCAGCTTGTCCATCGGATATGTTCCGCCGCTGAATGGGTTGAAGCGTGACGTTCCAGGCGAGCCGCGAACAGCGACTGTCTTGTCATAGTCCTTCTCGTCTGGGTAGGCGTCTATGGCCTTCCGAGCTGCCCGCTTCCGGCGGTAGCGGAGGCAGAGACAGGCCATGACGGACGTGAGGATGACGGCACCACTCACAGACACGGCTACGATGATTGCCAGGTTTGTAGTAGATACCGCATTCTTCTGGACCTGGTCGGCAAAATTGGTTGCGTCTCCCTGCATATACATTTAGTGACGTGACTCCTTGTATCATTGGAAACTCAGCGACTTACCTTAACGGCAGTAGCCTCGGCTTTTGCCTGCTGGATCTGGCTCATGGCCACATTAACCGCACTCGCCATGCTCGAGCTGGCTTCGGCCTGAGCAGCGCTGACCGCACGGCTCGCACTTGCCTGGACACTTGCCAGGTTGACAGAGATCTGGCTATTCATCGAGGAGCTGAACGAGGAGCTCGCCTGGGCGATCCGGTCATTGGCCTGCTGACTTGCCTGTGCTACGGCGCTGGTTGCCGAGGATTGCGTGCGCGATATCGCCTGGCTCGCCTCTCGGGCTGCCTGGTCTGCAGACTGTTGGACTTGCTGTGCGGACTGCGAGATGGACTGGCTTGCCGAAGACACGGACGAGAAGGAGATGGAAAGCCTCTGTATCTCGCCGGATAGTGCTTGTATCTGCCCGTCATTCTGACGTTTCCTCGGAGCCGCGGTGGGCTCGGGTATCCTCAATGCCGGTGCTGCGCCTTCCGCTGGTGCCGTCGACACTGGTATCCTCTCGAGTATAACCCTCCTCGGCGTGACCTCTCTCTCCACCACGACGTACTCAACCCGTTCCCAGATTACGGCCCGCGCCGCCTCCGTAACCTTCTCTTCAGCCCGCGAGCCTGGCGTGTTGACATCATCATGCAGCGCAGCTTTGGCCAACGATCCGGTCGCTGCCAACCCGATCAACAGGGCGTGATATAAGAGCCGGCTCTTTGTCATTATTCATAGTCCATGACTCGTAGTGAACAGACTCTTTTCCGCTAGGACGGTGTCGCCAGGACGATCTGTCACAAAACTGTGGGAGGCAAACACATAACAGACAAATAGAGAGGGAAGGAGGAAGAGAATATTGAAACGGATATGTCAGTGCCAAAAAGCACCTTGGGACCGAACACCAGCCATGCTTAGTAGCTCTACCAGACTTGCTTGAGGCCTTGGACACAACCCATGCCCAAGAGATTCATGCGTGAACAAGACAAAGGTCGACGTTGAGCTCGGCAAAGGCCCTGGTCTGCGAGGTCCGGTCGAGACCCCTGCACCGCTGCAGACCCGGGAACTGGGGGTTGAAGCTCGCACGGCCGCAGCTTCAGCCAGGAACATTGATGCCCCAAACCATCTGAATTTGCTATTTGGTCACGTCACTCCACTTCATTCGTGGCAGGCTGTGTGATCAGCGACCAGAAACAGCAGAAAAGCATGCACCAGTCGAGATCAGTCGGGCGAAACAGCCCATGACCAGCCCAATAAGCATGACCGGGGGGCCGTCGGGGGGCCGTCTGCATTGAAATGTGTGTTCCGTAGCTGGGGAATGGCTCCTGCGTCCGGCCCCCGGCCCACGGCAGCTTGGATAGAGATAGAGATAGCTTAAGAGAGAGCCCATGCTCAGCTCCCGTGTGGGCGGGCCAAGGTTACCTAGGTATAGTCTTGATTGACGGTAGGCAGCGTGAATAGACTCATTAACCGGATCAGCAGATGTTTATACGGGAAAACACCACGAATTATCCTAAATGCGAGGTGGCATAGTTTCCCGGAAGCGACGTTTGGTGTCGTTTTGCGTGGCATGCGAGCGTTTCTCTCGCAATAAACAACACAACGTGGTAGACCGGAACGTCACCACAAGAAAACTGTCACACAAACCGTCCACCTACCCTACTCGCCCTTCTCGGGCACAACGCCCGCGGACAGCGGGCAAACTTGAGACCATGCCAAGGCCGCATCATGCAAAAGCACAAGAGATCGTGTCTGCTGCAAGATTGAAACCACTTCAGATGAAGAAGGGACGAAGTCGGACAGGGTGTCTTGGGACGTCCAGACCGGCGAGCGCAGAAGGGGGATGGGGGGCCACAAAGATGATAGATCGCGGGTGTGACCTGGAGTAAGTGGGGTCTGCCGAAGGGATGAAACCGTTACCAGGTGCGCAACTCCGTACCTGTGGCCCGGCTTGAGGGCTTCCCGGCAGCTGCACGCAAGACCTACATACACCCCGGCTGGCCTTTTTGTAACTGAAAAAAATAATAAAGTCGCTTGGCAGCTTATCAACTGCTTACCACAGTACGTTGTTACGTCGAGACAGCCACAGCCGAAGCGAAGGAGGAGGCCGTCGTGGGATGTAATTCTATTTCGGGCCTCAATGTCGCATCGGTTCTTTCTGACAGCTGAAGGTTACCAGATTTGGCGAATGCGCTGCAGAAAGCTTGTGCGATGCTGGCATGCTTGCAAACACCTATCCAATATACCTTGCTGAGCAATCGATTTATCGCTCTCGAAACCTGCTCGCTCGGGATCTAGGTAGACAGAGGCAGAATCGCCGCTCAGCTAGTCGACGTCAATTACACTCAGCTGCATAGCATCAGCAACGTATTCCGTAGACATCATTCAGTTGACGGCATTTACGAACCCAGCCCACATGCGTAAAGTACTGTAGACTGTGGAGGTACTTTCGCAATAGGCAGCTCAGGGCCGGTTGAATAGAGACGAGTGAAGTTTGCAGCTGTTTGAGACACAATACCAAAGGTATAGCTAGGGATGGGATGTGACAAAGTGTAAATAGCAGCACAGTGCTCGCGGTGCCCGCGCCCGCCATAACACTGTCTGCCCTGGTGGATGGGCTGGATGGCGCCCATCGCGTCAAGGTTCTTCCGGCGCACTCTCGCGGCGGGATGCGCCAGCCCGCCTCACATGAACGGCCGCCGCGGTCGGTGACGTTGATGCTGTCTTGGGACGACGTGTTTGCCTCCCAACTACTCGCGAAAATTAAGGAAGCCAATGGACTTACCCTTGGCGCCTTACTGATCCGGCCACCGAGCACTTTGCACCACAGGAACAGCGAGGGACTTCCTCCATGGATTGGGACAGGCAATCATCCACCACCACCGCCATCACCACCGCCACTTAGACACACACCCACCTTCATGACATGATGGAGAACCTGACGATACACGATGCGCCACCCCCCGGGGCACCCCAGCAGGGAGGAGGAGCAGGAGGATCACACATCCAGCAGGCCCTGGGACGCGGGGCGCCGCCGCCGCCGCCGCAACAGCCCCAGCAGCTGCCACCCCAGATGTTCACGACCGCCGCCCAGCTCCTCGACCTGACAGACAGTACGCCTCTCCTGCGCCCGTGAAGCTTCCGGCGTCTTTATATACACACTCCTGCTGACTTTACAACCCGCAGAGAAGCTGCTTATTTGCTTGCGCGACGGTAGAAAGCTGACGGGCATCCTGCGAAGCTGGGACCAGTTCGGTATGTTCTTGCGACACCCGGGTTTGGCGTAGCATTGCGCATCACCCTGCATGGAGAGGAGAGGGAGTGAATACCTACACATGTGATCGAGAGGTCTAACACTTTTATCTTTGCGCCCCTGTAGCGAACCTGGTGCTCCAGTCCACAGTCGAGCGGGTGTACGCCACGCTGCCGGAGGCGACCGACGAGTCGGCCGTCAAGGGCTACTACGCCGACAAGCCGCACGGCATCTTCCTGGTGCGGGGCGAGAACGTGCTGCTGCTCGGGGAGATCGACCTCGACAAGGACGACGAGCCGCCCGCCGGCTTCGAGGAGCGCGACTACAAGACGGTCGACCAGATGGCCAAGGAGCGCAAGGCCCTCGACCGCGCCAAGGAGAAGACCAAGCTCAAGAAACTGGCCACGCTGGGCTTCGAGGGCGAGAACATCGGCGAGGTCCTCCTGTGAGAGAAGGGAAAGGGGGCAGAGGGTGGGGTTTTCCAGGAAGGGGGGACTTGTTTTTCTGGGCCTACAGCAGAAGCAGTTGCGTTCCCATCGGACTGCGCGTAACGCACGTTCCGGTGTGGGCAGCTGTGGAGTGGGCACATCGCCAGGCAGAATATTGTGAAATGCCTTATACCTTTCTTGCCGGGTTCGCCCTGGCCAAGAAACGCGTACGTATCATTAGCTTCGACCAGCCAAGCTGGACACGGAGAGACACCGAAAGGAGGTTGAGAAAACACGTGAACAAAGTCAGTTCTACAACGATCCACATGGCCCCTGAATCGTGACAGATTGGCCGAATGCGCAAGGGATACTGGACACTCGTTCATTAATGCGGGAATCATGTTGTGTTTCAACCGTGCTTCGTGGAGGCAATAGAGACCCTGGCCCGAAGTTCTCGAGATTTGCTATTTCAAAGCCACATGGCCATACTCCGAGTCGAACTCTCACCAGAAGACTCCCCTGTCATGTCAAAACAGCACTGGCCAGCCCGCCTGTCCAACTAACAAGAAGGGGGTTCGGGACAGATCGTGGGCCAATTGCTGAGCTACTGGACTAGTTACTCATTAGAGATGGCATGTGTTTGCTGGGACGGCGACGGCCTGGTGGGGTATATGAGGGAGGACTGCTTAAACAAGCAGACCAGCAAGCAAGATCACCCGGTGAGAAGTTTTGTCATTATTCCATATTGATGCTCTTTTGTTCACAACATATTCTGAACACATGCTATGAAAAGAGGGGTATCTGTTCGCATTATTATTCATCATAGGCAACGTCAGACCGACATGGCCTCGTCTCTCGAGAGGCCAAACGACCTCATTTTGTATACATGATGGCCCAGCCCTGGGTCATTGTACTCTTATATCGCCCATTGACAAGTAAATTGGTAGGGTTGTCAAGAACTTCAGAAAATCCCCCAGAACTTCTTGCGCTTTCCGTTCTCGTCGATATACAAGTCCGGCTGGACCTCGGGCTGCTTCTGCTCAGCAGGAGCCTCTGCCGGCGCGGCCGCCGGGGCCAATGGGGCCGGCTGGGAGGGACCGGTCCAGCTCTCGATCCCCTGTGCCGAGTCCAGGCCGTGGGCCTTGCGGTACTCGTTGCGCTTGGCCACATCGTCGACCTTGCGGCGGCGCTTCTCGGCCGTCTCGGCCGAGATGTGCTCCTCGTGCAGCTTGAGAACGTGCAGACAGGTGCCGATGTAGTCAATGGGGTGCGACCAGAACTCGGAGAAGGCCGGGATCATGTCTGCGTACGGCGAGGTGGCGTTGAACTTGGCGGCAAAGGTGTAGAACGCAAGAGACAACAGGGTGCCCTGGAAATTGTGAGTAGTCCGGACTTCGGGACATGATAGTGTTGGAGGAAACTACTCACCAAGGTGATGAACATGTGGATGTGGCGGTTGTTCAAGAACCAGTGGGACCATGTGTTCGGGGGCGGCGGGAGGCCGGGATACTGCTTCTTCTGTTGCGCCGTTACCTCCTCCATGGTTGGGGCACCGCCATAGTGCTTTGGTATAGATCGGGGGAGCCTGGATCCGTGAGATGGCGGGTTGAAGCGTTCTGGCTTCTCGAGAACAATGGGCTTGGAGGGGTCGGGCGTGATCGTCTTGGGAGCAACCTTGGGAGCAGCAGCCGGTGCGGGAGTAGACGTCTTTGGCACCGCAGCCTTCGCAGTCGCTGTGGAAGCTGTCTTCGGGGTGACAGGCTTCGAGGCTGGCGCCTTGGTGACGGGAGCCTTGACTGGCGAAGTCTTGGGCGGGGTCACCTTGGCTTTGGTGGCAGCGGCGCTGGTCGTCTTTGCGGCCGTTGCCTTGGTAGAGGCAGCCTTGGGAGCTGCTACCTTCTTTGCTGCGGCCGTCTTGGAAGCTGTGGTGGCGGCCGCCGACTTCTTCGCGGCGGCGGTTGTGGTGGAAGCTGCCGTCTTGGAGGCATATCGCACGAGGACCTGGCCGAGCTCGGCATTGACGGGTCGCGGGAACGGGACCGTCCTAGCCGCGGTGCGCCAGATGGCACCGTACTGAGGGAGGAGGAAGCGCGGGATGGAGGCTTTTGAGGCCATCGTGAGATTATGATATGGGGCGTGGTCGTCGGCGGGGGCGGATGAGAACAACAGCAGCGGCAGCAGGGGGGACAATTAAGAATCCCTGACCACGGGTTGCTATTTCAAGGCGCCGTCTGCTTTATCAGTCGAGTTTCCCCAATGTTGACGTGACTCAGAGTGGCCTGGGATCTCGCGTTGCGCATGAACTCGCAGATGCACAGCTCATTTCCCTGCGAGCTGTTGCCCAATGCTTCGCGGTCAGCTTCGCAGCAGCCGAGATCCACCATCTCCAAATTTCTCCCGCACGATGACCCGGTCCGAACTTTTTTGGACGAGACGCGACTTAGGCGTCACGCTACGGGGAAATCGTGTCCAGTGGGAAGAAAAAAAGGGAGCCAGGGGCCCAGGTCTCAGACCCCTAGGTGTGCAAGTAGCCGGAATAATCTTAGGCCCGGTCGGATGCCGACTTATGCACGAGTTAGGTCCAGGAACCTTGGACAGGAGCGGGTTTATTTTACTGGGGCGAATTCGGACAATGTCGTGTCATTCTAGTCAGTCAAGCCTGTGGGAGGCTCGACGCGGAATAAATGGCAACCGGGGGTCGTGACGACAGGTGCGAGGCATAGAATTACTGCAATTGACGAATGTTCATGGACCATGGGTAGTGGTGTCTTGGTGAGATCTCAGTCCGGGCCGTCGGCTCCAGTCGGCACTGCCTAGGCATGCCATGAAGACGGCTTCGATTCCATCCAAATGTTTCCAGGGCACTCATTCTCCATCTTCTTCTTCTCGTCCACCCTCAAAGCCTCAACCGTCAAGGCGGCCCCCCTTGCCCCCCCGGGATTCACCGGAGCAAAGGCTGCGCACAGGGCCAACTGACCATTGCTGGGCCTCTGATTCGGCGGGCGCATGCGGGCCTGGCGGGCCCCGTTGGCTTTCTGCAAGATGCGCTAGCCCCGATTCGGCCTACTGAGCTCATGGCGCTCTGAGCTCCCTCGTGCCCGGGTGAAAAATTCAAGGAATAAGAATCGCCTGTGCAACTGGACTTTTTCCTCCTTCTTACCATATTCTCCCCATCAACCCAACGCTCAACCACTCCTCCTGCCGTTCACGATCACCCACGCTCACTCCCACACCCCTAATACCTAATCGCCTTTATCTACTACCGTCAACATGGGCTTCTCTGCTGGTACGTTCCCGTTCCTGTCCGTGTCTCCGTCCGTCTGCCGCTCGCCTTGCACATCCACCACGTCATGGCCAACGGGAAGCCATTGAACGACACCACTCTCTACATTCCTTCGCAACTCGAGCCTCCGTGCTTCAACTAGGTCGCCCCTGTCTGCTCGCGCGTCGTTTGGTGGTTTGCGACTCTGGTGTGCGCTCCCGTCGCTCTGTGCGAAGCTGCGCTATTTACCGAGTCATGCCGAAGCCGCCACGATCGTCGCAAACCCGAACACCGCGAGATGGCATACTCTAGCGGACTAGGACTCGTCATGCGGCCACCGGATTGTAGAAGTGGACTGGCGTCAATGCCCCTTTTCGCTGAACCCAGGCGGCAGATGGCCGTTTGGTCGTAGCGCAGACAGGCAGACAGACAGACGGAGAGACAGACACAAACTTGTAGCAGACCATCGAACTCCGCAGACTGACACACAATGGCAGGTGACTCCAAGAAGGGTGCCAACCTCTTCAAGACCCGTTGCGCTCAGTGCCACACCCTGAAGGAGGGTGAGGGCAACAAGGTCGGCCCTGCTCTGCACGGTCTCTTCGGCCGCAAGTCTGGCCAGGTCGAGGGCTTCTCCTACACCGACGCCAACAAGCAAAAGGGTGTCACCTGGGACGAGAGCTCCCTCTTCGACTACCTCGAGAACCCCAAGAAGTACATTCCCGGCACCAAGATGGCTTTCGGTGGCCTGAAGAAGGAGAAGGACCGAAACGACCTCATCACGTAAGTTTCCCTCGCACGCTTTCTCAGCGCTTCTCTCATCACTTTCGTCCTTGTGGATACCCGATGCTGACTCTGACCTCCTCCCAGCTTCCTCAAGGAGTCTACCAAATAAGCGAATGGCGAGCAACGTGTAACGATAAGGACTGCATAGACGGACCGGCCAACTGTGTATTTATAGAATAGACTGCTTTTGGCGTCCCCCCGTTTGGTGCGATCGACCGCATATATCCCTCACAATCTCCTCTTTTTCGTCTCGTGCACATCTGGTTGGGTCCGCTGGAGTACAAGGCTTCTGGGAGGATAGGAAGCATTGGGCTGTGTACTTTTCACCAGTAATTTGACTTTTGTGCGAAACTACCCAACACCCATCGTCGCGCGTGAAATAGTATCGTGCTCTGTGATGGTAGTCTGTACTTGGAAGAATGGCAATTACTGCACTGTCATTGGCTGGCTCTTCAATTCTCTGAGCTAATCGATCGCCCTGGCAACGGAAATCTATACTCTAACGATGCCGCGGTCACTCCGAAAACGATGCGCCACATAGCCGATCCACTTGGTCACTGGGGCCTGTGGCTCAGGGGCTCAGGGGCTCCGTCTTGTGACCATATAGTAGGAGTCATCAACAGCGCTAGATCAAGGTCCTCCATATTCCGATCTAATACAATATTGACTTTGTTATAAGTCAAAGGTGAGGTTCTCTGTGAAACGGTGAAGCTTTTGTCAGCTTCTGATTACTACGTAGACAGTACTGTCGAGATATCAGCAGTCTTAGTTGTGGTGTGAAAATATAACACCTGGTACTGCCGCCACTATTCAGATTACCACAAAGCAACATCCTGTCTTGGGACGTCGAAGAGAGTTTTGGCACCCTCTGACGTCTCTATTTGATAATCCTGCAGGGACCGGTAGAAGTTGAAAGTCCCTAGCCTCTGATATGTATTCGGTACAGCGCCAGGGGCCGGCATCACAACGAGACCGACGCAACCATACGGTATCTCACGACCCGGCCGAGTCACATCCCCCGAGAGGTGCAATAAGAACACAGGAGACTTGGACTCGGTAATTGCACTTTGGATAAGCTCAGCATCGGGCGGTGTGTCTGCCAGTATCCTCACGCCACGCTCGCTAGGCAGGTCGGCAGCGTCGACGATCTGCACGCCAAATCCAAGACTTTCTTGCAGCGACGGCATGTGACAGCCAGACATGCGAATTGCAGCTTGCTGGACGCTCCCGTACGGAGCATTGGCGTTGGTCAGGGTCACGTCAAATCCCGTAACAGTATGGCTACCTCGCTCGGACTCGCCCAGCTTGAGCTCCCCATCCACCGAGGCCCAAGACCACGACGGCGCTCTGTAGGCCTTGGGCCGAGTGCAGTCGGCGGTCCTAGCGACCTGCCAGAACAGCTGCGGCGTGACCAGGCTCAGATCGCGGCGGGACAGGAGCAGCCCGGCCACGTACGCGATGCTCGCGCCGGGGCTCCTGTGGGCGCGAGCCGTCCCGTCGTCCCGCGGCCCGCCGCACGCGCGGAACCGGGCGTGGACGCGGCCGGCGAAGGCCGAGACGGCGAGCAGCTTGTCGGCCTCGACGCCCAGCCGGCGCCGCGCGAAGTCGCCCACCACCAGGTACCACTGCACCTCGGGCGGGTAGTCGCGCAGGACCTGGGCCGGGTAGACGCCGGGGACGAGCGACGCCGGCGCCCCGAAGTTGCGGTTCGGCACCCGCGGCAGCGTCGCGAGCTCCCCCTCGCACGCCGCGTTGGCCGTCGCGCAGCACCAGTACAGCTGGTGCGAGAAGATGACCAGCCGCCGCGACAGCAGCGACTCCTGCAGCGTCCACCCGCGGCCCGTGATCGGCTCCCGCAGGTCCAGGCTCGAGTGCAGTAGGATCCGCCCGGCGCCGCCGACATCGCACCGCAGAACCAGTGGCGGGACTCGGTAGAGAGAGGGGGCGGGCTCGGTGCTGCGTAGTCCGTTGGATGAGCCGGGGGCCGAGGCGGCGCAGAGGGTCACTGTGTTGGTCCCGTAGTACGAGCCCATTCTCGTGATCTCTAGTTCTTTGTCCTGGGTGCTATCTTGGAAGATGCAGAGCGCGTCGACCCAGATGTATTTCAGCCCTAGGTCGTGTGCGAAGTGGATGGCATCATTGATTGTGGACGGTAATGACGATGTCACGATTCCCGACTGGAGTTCCTCAAGAGTCTTGGCCGTCAGCTGTACTGGGTTGCCCTCTCTTCCCCAGCAGTACGAGAGAGCTGCGAACCCGTCCGCTGCGACCTGGGACTGTTCGGAGATGCTGAGATCTTCCACGGTGATCAGGCTAACCATGAGTTTCCCTGGCTCCAGCACCTTGTTGATTTTGAGCAAGCGAGTCGGTAGATCTTCGAGCGCGATGGTTTCGTTGTCAAGTGCGATATCCTCCAGTGGATGTCGATCCTGGGCAACGCGATGTAGATCGGCTTTCAACCAGTCAGTGCGACACTGTTCGTGGTGTTTCATACACGTGCTGAGGCAGTCCCGAGCGAACTCAATGCTCCTCGTAGAAAAGACATCAGTTTCAGCGGGGCGGTGTGGTATGATGCTTGAGGCTGGATCGTCTATAGGAGTCAGGCGGGCTATACATGTAAGTGCTCCGCTACCAAAAGGTTACATACCTCTGGGAGCGCAGATGGACAGTCTCGACCAAGGCACGCCAACAAGGCCTTTGTTTACCAAGCGTCTCCTCTCTCCATCCCTACCAACGGCTTCGATGATTGGACTGCAGTCTATCTTGCCGTCAGTTTCAAAGGCCAGGTGAAATTCGATTCTGTCAATCGGAAATGCCAAAGAGTGAACGGAGAGTATTTCTATGGAAAGTGTGTCCAGAAACCACTCGTAAAGCTTGCAGCCTTCCCGAGAGGCTGCGATGGCCTCGTCCAGTCCATAGCTTACTTTGAGTGATGGGCTCGTGTCTCGGGAGTATCTGTCATCACCAAAGTGCACCAAGGGCTTCTCTCTGAAAATATCACCGTTGACCAATACCTTCCCGCAGTGAAGGCACGAATGCGGAGAGGCGACGCTTGGTGACCGTTCTTCCCTGAATGGCTTGTAAGTCAGAGACGCATCCGCAGATGTGAGCAATCTGTAGACCTGCTCGAGGGTTGTTGCCTCCATACCGGCTTGCTTCGAGATAGTCTGGGGTTTTATTACTGCCAGGGCAGAATCGGTCTTTGAGATCTTGCCCCTGGCTGGCTGTCAGACTGCAGGAAACATCGCTTCCCGAGTTGTCCGATTGTAGTTGTGGGACATCCTTGAACCAATCAACGCTTTATGCGTGTACCCCTGAAAGATAACCTTCTGCAGCCTTTCGTGATTCTATTATACCACGGTACTTTTCACGCATTTTGGTTCTACATGGTCACATATAGCCTGTAGAGAATGCTACCCGTATTAAAAGCAACAATTATACCGTCATTCTGTAGGGCCGCCTCTTGGCATCAGTTTTGGATCATGCGAGCGTCTAATCAATGTAGGTTTGAGCTTATAGAATACCATAAAACTGATACGGTGGGCTTGTGTATAATATTTCTGTATTTTACTAGCATGCAAGATTTCGTAAGTCTCATCAGTCCTGATTTCGAGACCGCACTCAAGTAAATATACGAGTATGACAAGCGTGGCTTTTATTCGTAAGCAATTATACCGTCTATCATCTAGCTCCAGCCCTTCTCCTTGAGTCTCGTGAACTTGGCATACGCCTGCTGCGACACGGACGGCTGGATCTTGCCCAGGGCGGCCTCCCAGTCCGCGGGCGTCAGCGTGCGCACGCTGCCCTCGCCCTGCAGGTCCATGCGCTCGACGGCGGCCTTGGCGGCGGCGATGTGCAGGTTCTCGAGGTCGGCGCCGCTGAAGCCGTCGCAGCGGCGGGCGATGGGGTCGAGGGCCAGCAGGTCGTGCTCGGCGATGTCGGGCAGCACGTTCTTCATGCGGGTCTGCAGGATGTCGACGCGGCCGGCCTCGTCGGGCAGGTCGACGAACAGGCTGGTGCCGAGGCGGCCCGGCCGCAGGATGGCCGAGTCGATCATGTCCGGGCGGTTGGTGGCGCCGATGACGTAGACGCCGGCGCGGCTGTCCATGCCGTCGAGCTCGGTGAGCAGCATGTTGACGACGCGGGCGCTGGACTCGGCGATGTTGTCGCCGCGGCGCGGGACCAGGGCGTCGAGCTCGTCGAAGAAGAGGATGCAGGGCGCCGACGACCGCGCGCGGGTGAAGACCTGCCGCACCGACCGCTCCGACTCGCCCACGTACTTGTTGAGCAGCTCCGGGCCCTTGACCGAGATGAAGTTGGCCTTGGCCTCGTTGGCCACGGCCTTGGCCAGCAGCGTCTTGCCGCATCCCGGGGGACCCCAGAGGAGCACGCCCGAGGGGGACTTCCAACCGAGCGTGGCAAACTGCTCTGGCGTCTCGATCGGCCGCACGATGGCCAGGGCGAGCTCCTCCCGGACCTTCTTCAGCGCGCCGACTTGCGACCAGGTTGTGTCTGGAATCGTGGTGAAACCCTCGCGCTTGGCCGATGGCTGGACCTTGGACACTGCTCTCACAAAGTCCTGCTGTGTGAGGACGCACGCTTCCTCCTCAATAGACTGGCCTGAGATGGTATTGATGGCATCGAGTTCTCGGAGCAGATCCCTGGTTCTGGGTGCTACTTCATATCCGTCCGAAAAGAGCCCATTGCTTTCCATATCAAGAACCGCTTGTTTGACAATCTGTTCGGTCGTTCGATCAAGCATGTCGGCGGTCGCAACGGAAATCACGTCCTCCAAGTCTGCACCGACAAAACCAGGGGTCATTTTCGCAAGAACATCGAGGTTGACCTCTGGCGACAGCTTCTTCTTCCGTGTAAGTGCCCGCATGATCATGGCCCTGCCCTGCTCGTTTGGCACCCCAATGTTGATCTCCCTGTTGAATCGGCCTGCTCTCCGAAGGGCAGGATCGATGCTGTCCGGTCGGTTGGTCGCAGCAAGAGTGATGATGGGCTTGCCGCCGGTCTTCTCCAAGCTCAGCTCGTCCATGCAGGTGAGCATCTGCGCGACGATGCGCTTCTCCATCTCTCTTTGGGCGTTCTCTCTCTTTCCCATGATGGCATCGAGCTCGTCGATGAAGACGAGACATGGCGCCAGGCCCTTGGCTTCCTCGTACAGCTCCCGAATCTTCTTCTCAGACTCTCCGGACATGCCCGCCACAAGGGACGGGGCAGACACGGGAATGAAGGCGACCCCTAATCGGGCTGCGAAGGCGTTGGCGAGCATGGTCTTTCCACATCCCGGAGGGCCGTGCAGCAATACACCGCGAGTCGGGTTCGCATGCGCTGCAATGTAGGCACCAGTAAGGCGCATGGGCCGAGCCACATCCTTGATGAGCTGTTCGATGGCGTCGTCCATGCCACCCAGGTCCTCGAGGGAGACACCGGCCGGCGGGCTGCGGTCTACGGGCTCCTTTTCCTTGACCTGCCTCGTCTTCAACTTCTTGGACTTGGGCTCCCCGTTAGGTTGCCTGTCCGTCAGGACAATGGCAGAGTCGACGGTCTCGACTGCGGGTGTGGTAGACCCTGTCGTCACCTCTGGCGTGCGCTCCCTCCTTGCCACATTCCAAGACCTGGCGATCTGCTTATTCATGAGGAAATAGTCGCGCTCCTGACTGGTGTCAGTAACGAGGGAGACCATCATGATATGTTCACGGGGCGGTGGAAGGCACAAACCTTGACCTTTGGCTCGTCGGTCGGCGCATCATCCATGGCCTGATCTTCATCATCCTCCAGGCGTTCCTCCTTTCGGAAACGCAGGACGCGCTCTATCGAGTCTTCCAAGGGCCTCTTCTTCTCCCTCGACAGGCTCGAGTTGGAGCGCTTGATCCTGTCGTAGACGCCAGAGACGGTGAATTTGGGTGGAACCCCGGTCTTTGCCGTCTTCTCGGACTGCTCGTCCTCGAATTTCCGGACGATCTGGTAGATGTCCCGATCCAGACGGTTGACCAGTGCGGCCGGCATCTTGGAAAAATGCGACGCTTCTACGCTCGCTGCTGGTCACGAGGCAATCGCAAGCAATTACAACTTTTCTATAGCAAAATCGAGCATTTTTGCGCCTAAGCGTTAGCGCCGAAACCAGGCCCGCCTGTCACAAACCAGAACGTGTTACCGCACGTCACCACGGGATGGCCCTCTGGCTGTGTCACATCTACGTATCAGCTTCGTCCGTGCATGTCTGAGACGCGTGATGAAGACCGATAAGACCAAGAGAAACTTCTGGTCAACTCTGAACAAGTTTCTCAGTCGAGTAAGCCTCGTAGCCACCTGGACGTCTATGAGCTACGCTCCCCGATATCGAAGTCACAGGTAGGGTAGGTCACAGGCCGCCCGTCACAGAGGTCGGGCCTAAGCTAGCGGGCCTAGGTAGGGGCGGCGTCCCCCATTTTCTTAGGGCCTTGCTAATGGTGCTGTATCAAATCTGCTGTATGTGCTGTATCACGTGACCCCACCCCCCAAATTCAGTTACAGCCACCTGTAGACCCCCCAAATCCAGCTGCCGTCAGCTGCGCCCAAACCACCGGCCCGGCGAATAGATTTAACGATTTTCTGATACCATCCCTATCTAAATGTAATTCACCTAAATTGTTGTAAAGTAGGCCGTTTTTGTACCCATTCGTAACACTATAGATCCTTTTGGGATTTTGTTTCACAATCCTCCCGAAGGAGGTCTTTACGGCGGTCCTCCCTACCCTATTTTCGACGAGCTTTTCCAGTCCTTTTAAGAATATGTTAAAAACCACGGATTCGCCATCGTAAAGGCCAACGGCGGTAATTATTACGAAGGCAAATCCACGAGATACTCGATCCAATACTTCTAAAGCAAAGCCACTAACCTAACGAGGTCTACGGGTAATAAAGCGTTAAAAACTCGTAAGATTAACTACTTTTAAAAAGGAGTTGTTTTAATTTTGGTATTTAACGATCGACGATGGATTTTTAAATTTATCCGTAATATTAAAAGTCAATTCTTTTTATATAACTATAAAAGTTTTATTACTCCCGAGGTATTTATTATCTATCGAGGTTTTATAAATAAATAATAACGCTTTTATATATCCTTTAATAAATAGGTTATCGGTAACCGGGAAATCGTTAATATTTTACGTAAGGTTTGGTTTAATATTACCGTTATCGAAAAGGACGTTAATAATACGATTTAAAAGCACCGTTTTAATATATTTAACGGTTATACGGTTATTTAATACTTTATAAAAAAGTTTACCAACGATAAGGATACTTTTACCCGATTTAAATAGGAGGACGAGGATTTTAATAAATTTACCGCCGCTTTTTAATTTTATAAATATTATTAAAGTATAATTTAACGCTTTTTTTAAATCGTGAATTTTAACGCCACTTATAAGATTAATAAATATAAAATACCCTATTTTAATATTATTAATTTTACGGCGTTTAATTCGATTTTCAACGTTATTTATAATTTATTATTAAATAAAAAAAAAGAAACATACCGATAAATTATTTAATAATTTAAAGACTTATTATTTAAACTCCGTATTAATAAACTTAACGTCCTTTTTATTAACTTCGATTAAAACCTTTAAAATATAACCCGTTTAATACTTTTTAATATATAATAATAAATATGTATTTTTTATATTAATAAAAACGTTATTTTTAAAGTTCGTTAAAAATAAAAAGGTTTTAATAATAATAACGACGAGGAGGAGGAGGATATAATATAAGATATTTATATTATAAACCATTACGAGTTTTAATAATTTAACGGTTTTATTAAAGATTTTATTATTAATTTTAATATTATTTTTAAGGGTGTCTTTTATATACGTATTAAATTAATATTATATTAAAGATATATAATTTATTTATAAATAAAATAAAATTTTAATAAATCGTGGTAATTATTATTTAACGAGTTTATCGACGATTAACTTTTTATCGTTATTTATCTCGAGAATACTTACCTTTTATACCGTAAAGAATGGGTTAATTATTACACTTTATAATATCGTAATTACGGCGTTTAAACCACTTCTCTTACCGAATTTAATTATAAAACATTTAAAAACTATCTTTTTAATAATAACTTTAACTTAACGAAATTGGAGGAGGTTATTAATACGATGTTAAATAAATAAAAAATGGATTTTATCGTTTAAATAAACCGTAATAATTATATTTAACGCCGTAATTAAATCTCGAAAAATTAATTTAATAATATATCTCGGGTTTATTTATATAAATCTTTTAAACTTATTAATAAATAATACGTTTTTACTTTAAATTATATCCTTTCACTTAAAAATCCTCGATTTAAAACTATTAATCGTTATATAAATCGATTTACTATTTAATATAATCTTTTATATAAACACACGTTATTTAAATATATATAAACGGACGATAAAAATCCTTATATTATACTCTTTATAATTAAAAAAATCGATATTTAATAATTACGTTAAACGAGTTTAATGTGACGGATATGCTTTCTAGGATAAACCGTAGAGAGATACAGGTACGTGGGTTTATGCTAACAGGGGACGTTAGTCTCGAGGGCGGCTATAGTCTATAGCCTGTGCACTGAACAAGATAGAATAAAGGTCTGTGAGCGAAGTCACAAGTATAGTCGTCAAGGCTTGATAGGCCTCACCTATGGGTAAGATAGATGCTTAGATTGATCACTGAGGTAATGACTGTCTATGTAGCTAGGAAATGCCCTTCCAATATATATCCATTCATTCCCTCACTGATGTTGGTTTGGGTCACCATGATCACAAAGGATCACTTGGTGATCGAGGTGATCAAGAGTGATCTCCTTTGTCTTCTCACTTGGATCACTTCTTGGCGTTGGTGATCCAAGTGATCCGTCACGTGACTCCTGCTGACTCGTCCTGCCAGCCGTATTGGTCTTGTCAGGTGACCGGCTCCCCTGGTCCATACGTTTATCCGGTGCCCCGCCTTTCTGCGTCGGCCACCTTCTGAGGCCATGTTCGTAACATCAGGTTCCTCCCTCTTTGTCTTAGCCCCTAAGACTTGAGGTCGCATAAGTAGGTCGCTGTCGCCCACTCGTTGGTTTGGTAGGTTTTCCTTCCTTCCTCATATCTTGTGATGTATGCTCATCATGTCAGGTCGTGTTGAGAAATCTTCTCGTTCCAAAAAAACTCTTTATCGTTTATCTCTTGCCGATCGCATCGAACGTTGTGGTGTCGACGTGATGCCGTGTTCTTTCTGCGAAAAGCGCAACTTGCGTTGCCGGATGATGGAAGGTGTTTCGCGCTGTAAAGAGTGTTGTCGCAGGGGGCGCTCGTGTGATGGTTCTGGCGTCACGTTGTCTTCCCTCCAACGGATCAACGCGGAAGAGGACCGCTTGGTCCGCGAGGAAGAGGTTGCGGAGGAGAAACTTCTTCGGGCTCAACAAGAGGTTAACGAGGCGCTGTCGAAGCTAATGCGCTTGCGTGCCCAAAAACGGGCTCTGAAAACTCGCGGGGTGGACATGGTAAATCGTGGTCTCCGATCTCTCGACGAGCTGGACGAGCAAGAGCGCGCGGAGTCTGACGCGGTTGTTGCCGTTCAATCGCAAGGGGGCGTTGGTGTCATTGACTGGAGTTCCGTGGGGATCCCTGGGATCGACTGGGATGCTCTCGGTGGTACTTCTCAAGGTGTTCAGCACAGTTCTTCAAGTGCTTCTTAGGTTCCCAAGTGTTCTCCGACGGTGGGTAGTCCTTCCACTTGACAAGGTATTTCCATTGACCATTGATTTTCTGCAGGTCCAGGATTTCTTCGACTTCGTATTCTTGGTCTGGTTCGGTTTCGAGCCGTGTTTCGATTTTTGCATTGGGTGGTGCTGGTTCCAGTAATGAGATATGAAATGTTGGGTGTATCCTCATTTTCTGAGGTAGTGATAGTCGGTAGTTGACAGGTGAAACAACTCTGTCGATTTTGAATGGTCCAATCTTTTTGAAATCGAGTTTGTCGTTTGGTCGTTTTGTTTTGATGTTTTTGCGGAGTAGGTAGACAGGGTCTCCCTCCTTAAGAGTTGGTCCTCTAACTCTCTTCTTGTTATTCCACTCCTTCATCCGCTGTTGAAGGAAAAGTAGTTCTTGTTGTAAGTTTCTCTGCAAGTCTTGCAGTTTGTCGGCGTGCGTGATAGCCTTTTCCGCCAGTACTCCTGGGAGTGGTTCCTTCGTCATGTCTGGGTTGAATCCGTAGTTCGCGTAAAACGGTGTTGTTCCGATTGACTCTGTTTCGGAGCTGTTGTAGGCAAATTGGGCGATTGGTAACAGTTCGACCCAATTGTCTT